CGTAAGTTTTACCTCTACGAGTCTCTCCGCAAGTCTCTCCTCTGCTATTGATAATGTGCACCTGTAAATCTTCCTCCTCTCCAGCGATATTGCGCGCTAGCAATAATACGCACCCGCAAGCCTCCCCTCTACGCACCAACAACGACTTGCATCACCATATTCCTTACATTTCGGAGATGAAGCATTAATTCCCCCACGCATGCGTACGTATGCGCATTTTTCCAGGTTTACCTGGTCAACTAGAGGCAATCCACCACAACGCCCAAGCGAAGGTCCGCCGCAGGAGCTCCGCCTCCGCCTCCGCCTCCACCGCCATGACATCGCTCTATGTAAGCTCTGTCACTACAAACATACAAGTTCACAAACCCTACCGCCTCTATCAAGAACATTCGAGACATCCAAGCTCGTAAACGGAGTTCCGCCCCACAGCTGCCGCCTCTGCCGCCGCCGCCAGCATCCAACTTACAAACGGCTAGCCTCTGAAGGGCAATTGCTCCACGACCACGTCTTTCGCTTAGCACCCCCTCTCGATGTCGCCACGCCAGTTCGTCGACCTACGCTACCCATCAAGACTTCCGTAGCAGTGTAGACATTGCCAAATTCCACAGCCAGGCGATCTTTTTTGTATGCGAGGGCTTGGGTGTCGGCTTTAGTCTGCTTAGTAGTCTCTACCAGCACTTGGAAAGTGGTAGAACAAGCTGTGACCGGCGCATTTCCGACGTCTCACTCAGCCTGCTACAAAGAAAGTTTAAGAGCAAATCCCCAGGCCAATTACCTCAGGCTTCAAACAGCAGTGAGCCCGGCCACATGAAAGCTGATTGCCCTAAGGTTTTCAACTACGGCTCTGGATTGTGGCGATGGTGGAGGCAACGGTGGGTGTTAGGTTGGTCGCCGCAAGGTTGATTACCCCAACCTGGCCTAGGTTCGGCGTTAAGACTGCTGCGATCGAGGTAGAGTTAGAAGTATATTTTTCGTAATAATATACTCTTCTCTATTTATTCAGCCCTTATTAGTGGCTCTTTTCCGTCTCCTCCCTTCTCCTTCGTACTTTGTTACTTCGAACGAGCATTTAGAGCTTTTACTTAGACATCCCACTTTATTAGAACATCTATAAAGCATAAGGCAGATAAAGATTCAAGCTTATAAACCAAGTCCCACTAGCGCCAGTGGAGGAGGCGATCCGCCACAGCGCCCAGACGGAGCTCTGGCCTTTGCCTCGGCCTCGGCCGCCGCCAGAGGATCCAAGCTCACAAGCGAAGCTCCTCCGCCCGTGGAGAAGGCGATCGGCCAAGGTGCCCAAGCGGCGAGCCTGTGAAGGGCAATTACTCACGATGTCGCCGGGAAAACACCCAAGCAGTCTACGCCAGTTCGTCGACCCACGCTACCGTCAAGACTTCCGTAACGGTGTGGAGATTGCCAAAGCCACAGCCAGGCGATCCCTTTTGCATGCGAGGGTGGTACCCGGTCTGACGAACGGGTGGAAGCTGCTTCATCACGGCGTCTATCGAATTTGGTTGGGGAGAGGGGCATCCGTTTATATCCGGCCCAGGAGGCGGCGAAGTGAACTGCGGGAGTGGTGCCCGGTCTGACAAATGTTCGGGTTAAGATGGGAGGCGTCCAAAGAAGGGAAGGGTCTCGACGAGGTGGGAGACCGTAGAGGTAAGGCGACCAGGTGGACGATCGCAAAGGCGTGAAGCGTCGAGATGGGAGGTGGTAAGGAGAACTCTTATAAAAACGAGAGGCGTCGAGGTAGGAGATGTTAGATTGAAGGCGGAGAGCCGGCGTACTAGTAACAGGTATTCTTGTTAGCGAAGTTATAAGAAGGTGTCTTAAGAGGAAGATAGGGCTTCGTTTGTAAGCTGGAATAGTTTTGGCTGGCGATATTATATATAAGACAGTGTGGGCATTAAGAAGAGGGGTAAACTCCGTGCAGCAATTGGCTTGTGAGTTTAGATGTTTGAACCTTTAAACATATTTGCTAGTAACGTTATGAGAGTGTTAAAGAAATGAGTAGTGTTGTAAGCTTGGATCACTTCTTAGGTACTTACTAAACTCAACCCCAATTGTTATCTAAAAGCCCAAACCCAGCCCTCGTGGACTAAATCTAACCTTCGCAGACCAGACCTAATCTTACTTATCTATATTATCTTTCTTAGCGATAGCAAACTACTACTAAAAGACAACTGGATTTGGTCTAAAAAGGCTGGTTTTGGTAATTACCCCTTGTAGATTTATATATCTAATGTGGTAGAAAGCTCCTAGAGTAATTGCCCTTCACAGGCTCGCCGTTTAGGCGCTTTAGCGGATCGCCTCCTCCACTTCTGGCAGCGGAGCTTTGTCTGTGAGCTTCAATATTCGATATCGTAGGAAAGGCGGATGTAAAGTATGTTGAGGTGGTGTGTAAGGACGTAGGGGAGGTGGGCGGAGGCGAGCTGGGCCGAAGCGGAAGGCGCGGAGGTACTGCCTGCTTGCTGAAGCCAAGTCTTCCGATTATCCTACACTAGCCTTCAAATGATTAGATATAAGCTGAACCAGAATGTTATATATGGTAACAAAGCAATCTCCCACGAAGCCATTAAAAAATACTTACCTTGGTCCTCTTCTTTTCTCTTATACACTTAGATCAGACGTTCGACGTCCATACTACGCCGGTGGAGGCGCTGGAAAAGTACTAACAAAGATGACTTGAGAACTTGCTACTCGAATTCCCTTGCAACAATGTAAATAAGACGTCAGAACTATTCACACATTTTTGGTTAACGCATGGCGCACTGGCATACGAGAAAATCGGCCAGATGCTTAATGTATGAAACGGAGGAGCGGAATAAGGTATTACAACCGCTTACGTGGAAGTACTATTCCGGATCGTCTTTGTTCTCGCTGATGGAAGCCGTGGATGAGCCTGAAGCAGTTTATTGCAAAAAAGTACTTCTATCGGAGCCATAGTTGACTATTTGAACGAGAAGTGACGACAGATCGGATTTGATGGGTGGTCATGATCGTAGAAAGCTTCCGCAATGCTTTTTAGGTCAGTGAGTGGGCTTGAAGAGATAGTCGACGTGGATGCATGCAAGTATACTTTGAGATTAAGGAGGCAAGATTCTTCAGAATAGTCAAGCCGACTGAGGACTGCACTGATTGTGAGTCTGGCACAGTTTCCGTTGGGTTGGGCGTTGACTGCGCCGTCAAACTCAATACGGTGATATGAGGGATATAACTCTCTGTACTGGCCAAATCACAAGGGACCAGCCGACCGTTGAGCCCGTACCAAGTCCTATCATTTTGACATGGGCCGAATCATGCTCCCAGTTCCGACCAAAAAGAAAAGAAGGCCGCATCCACCAGTTGTTCTGGTTAGACAAACAACACTGAGTAGTGTTTGGCGGTCAATAGATGGTCGTCAGATGAGGGGACTCGACGTGATGTAGAATGTTGTTCGATGACTTATGCTATCCGAGGAGCGAAGCGGGAGGGCACAGTTGAGAGGTAAAATCTCATGACTCGGCATGGCTCTAAGGAACGGCGACGTTAGTTTAGAGTAGGAGGGAGCCCGAGGACTGTGAATTTAGGCACGAATGGACATTGCATCCGAAAGCCATGGATTGTAGGTTCTTGTTGGTCTACAGGAATACATGCCAGCCAAGTACCCTAGCGGACATGGACAACGCTAATATTACGGTAATGGAAGTGGATGATGACCATTGAGCGGTTGAGCTCGATCGAAGCGGTAGTGGTGGTGGTGGCGGCGGAGCCCTGTTTGGGCGCTTTGGCGGGTCGCCTCCTCCACTTGCGGTAGCGGAGCTTTGTCTGTGAGCTTGGATGTTCGATGCCGTGGGGGGCGGAGGCGAGTTGTGCAGAAGCGGAAGGCGCGGAGGTACTGTCTATTTGTTGGAGCCAGCTCTTCCGGTCATCCTGCACTGGGTCTTAAATGCTTGGATGCAGGCTTAACTAATTTTATACGGCTGTTCATAACTATATCCCCAGCTCGTACTTTACGAAGTGCTCAAAAGCAGCCGGATCTTTTCATTCTCTGCAATTTAAACGGCGCGTACGTCGCCGTATATATCTTGTTCACTAAGCTAGTACGACATTGACGTCGGAGTATATACCGTGCCCGATTTCAATGCTAAGACTCTTCACTAGCGTTCCACTCTTTTGCCTTTGACTTATGCAAGCTCTCTCTTACAAGGTTACCATACCGAATAGTCATGGAAAGAGGCGAGTCTCCAAGCCTGTGTGCTTGAATGGGCAGTGCTCGTGTCGGCACTTGTAGTCCATACCTGGTGTGTGGTAAAACCCGCACCATTCCTCAGCTTCCTTTGGAAGGAAGGCGCCCGCCCGCCAACAGTGACGCACTGCCCTCCAAAGGCCACCTCCACACGAATGGCACTGATATATCCAGAGCGATGAAGTCAATCTGTTATCCTGCAGCTCTTGCTGTCAGATTGCCACACATTCCGATTTGCAGCCCATCCATCCGCCAGCTCTCAGACTGGACCGTCAACCCTGGTAGAAGTCGCAGCTCGTGGAAACTAACATGCAGGCTGAGCAGCATACAACGCCTAGTTCCATTTCGCAGTCAGAGAAACGGAAATGCAGCCTGGAGACCGCATTTCGGCTGGAATGAAGAAAATAACATGTAGGTGAAGCTGGCCATATCTACCCGGAAGCCTTCGAAGATGGCCGCTTAACAGCGGGATTATCTGCGTGAGAGAAGTGAGTTTGCCGAGAAGAGTAAATCCGAGCTCATGAATGCGTGCTGGAGCCATGGTGGCGTGGAGTGAGGGCATGTTGTCCAATGGCGTGGCGCAGCGTCGTATGAGAGTTCGAGGTGGTCTGCGCTAACTGCTTTCGGAAGTTCTGGAACGGTGGTGTTCCGACGGCCGATGGGCGCCAAGAAGTCGGCGCTCCCGTTCAAAGCTTCGAGCTCCAGTCGGAAGCTCCGTCTCCAGCCTTTCCTCGCGCACCACACTACGCCCAGATCCAATCGCGCGCACAAGATGCCGTCGCGATCGCCCTCTGCATCGCGCAGCCGCTCGCGCGGTCGTTCCCGCACGCGTTCGCCGTCGCCCGCCCAGTCGCGCTCTCCGCGCCGCTCCATCACACCGCGTTCAGCTTCGCGCTCGCGCTCCCCAAGCCGCACCCCGACCCCGCGCAGCGACCGGTACAGCAGACGTAATGGCCGGGACCGCAGCTACAGTCGCAGCCCCTCCAGGACCCCGACGCCCGACCGTGCCGCGAGGCGGTATAGCAGGCGCAGCTACAGCCGGAGCCCGAGTCGCGACAGCAGGGCCAGCAGGGACAGGTCGCCACCGCGGAGCTCAAAGGTGTGCATGCCGCGCAGCAATTGGACCATGCTCCGCTGACACGCTTCCAGATCGTCGTCGAGAAGCTCACAAAGAACGTCAATGAAGACCACTTGCGCGAGATCTTCGGCACCTACGGCCAGATACAGGACTTGGACATGCCCATCAACCGCCAATGTGAAATTCCCCTCCCCTAGAGTTGCGACAATACTGACCCCCGCATAGTCATGACGAACCGCGGCACCGCATACATCATGTACGCAGAACCCGCCGCCGCCGAGGCCGCCATCGCACACATGCACGAGGCACAGCTCGACGGCGCTGTCCTCACCGTCTCCATCGTCTTGCCGCGCCGCCGCTTCTCTCCAGGCCGCTCGCCTCCTCCCGCCCGTCGCCCGCCTCCCCCGTCCTACAATGACCGTTTTGACGGCCCACCGCCACGCGCCCCACCACCAGGCGGCAATTACGGCCGTGGCCCTCCGCCGGGAGGCCCTTACCCTGGCGGTCCCTCTGGACGTTATCGCTCCCCGCCGATGGGCCGTCGCGGTAGGTCGCCTCCACCACCCCGTGGCTATGGTGGTGCCGGTGCTGGACGTGGCGGTGGCCGCGGCGACTACTCCTACAGACCCAGGTCGTACTCGAGATCACGGAGCCCACGCAGAAGCAGGAGTCGGTCGTATTCTTCCCGCTCGTTGTCGAGGAGCCCACCGCCAAGGAGAGGCGGCGGTGGCGGTGCCGCCGGCGGCGCTGGTATCAGGGGAGGAGGGCCTTACAGGGATAGCCCTCCGCCGCCTAGAGGTGGAGGCGGGAGCGGCTCTGGCGGGCGTAGAAGGAGAAGCCCAAGCTACAGTAGCTACAGCAGCTACAGCGAGAGGAGTAGGAGTAGGAGCAGGGGACGGGATAGGCGTTAATGGAAGAGCATGAACATCGGAAAGCTGAACTTCAGCGGCGAAGCAAAGCTTCTCTGCTTGCGCTTATGGGCATGTAGTTTGCTCGGGAATACCTAGCAACTGGATGAGTAAAGGATGGACGTTCAAAACAACATGGTTGGCGATCCTTTGCGTGGTGGTTTGGAGCATTGTTCCACGTTCTGCTACACGAGCGTTGGCGTCGCTGGTTTCATGGTAGGGAAAGCGACTTTTTTTTTCCTTTGGGAACCTTGCAGAGAGGGACAAAAAAGAAGGGCAGGCAAGCGTAGCCGGTTGTTTGTACAGTAACCTTCACAGAGAACAGGAACCAATCGATTATGGAATTTCCAATCACACAGGCACATATCCGTGTAGTAGGTCTGTCTCACCTCACCTGAGAAAGGGCGGCCATTCACCTTCTTGCCCTTCGTCTCGTCCCGCTTAGCGTTCTGTCTCCAACCAACCAGCTCCATCAACCCCCCTCCACCTTTCTGTCTTACGCACAGGTGTCGCACCACCTGCCTCCACCCCCGCCGTATCTGCACCATGCAACGCAGTCGCCCTTTCTATAGATGTTTGAAGTTGTTGCTCTGGGCTGGGGGCCGGAATGCTTCATCAGGATGCGCGCAGAAGGGGTGGCCAATGGGACTTGAGGGGTGTGATACAAGCATGTCTACGCGACCGAGTAACTACTCTGTGCGTGCGCTTGGGTACGGACGGTGGTGGGTGCTTGTGTGGGCCTTTGCTTTGGGGTGGGTGCACGGGGAGAGGGATAAGTGAAGACTTGACCCTTACACCTTCTCAAATGCCAGTAACGAGGTTTCAGCGCACTTGCGGCACACGATAAGATGTGATTTCGTGAAAAAAAAAGGCAGAGACGTACGCAAGGCTGAATGAAAGCAAGGCTGCACACAACTTCAAACGTCTGGCTCTCTATGGCCGTGCGGCATATGGCGAAGTTGGGATGGTCTGAGTAGGCGAGTGATCGCCGATTGGTTGCATTGGTTTTTGCACATCTCTACTTTTGTACGCTGCTTACGGCCGTGTCAGGAAAAGAAGAAGAGCCTCGCCTCTTCTATTTCTGAAAGACAGCATCAACGTCGAACGTCTGAAAGCGTACGGCCGTTTCGTTCCTGCAGACTGACACCCCGCGCTCGAGGAGCAAAGCTGACCCACGACTATTTAGAAGATGTAGTATATACCCAAAGAATAAATGTTCACCGGTTACTACAACTGAATATTCTTTATTCCTCAGCACCATCTTGAAAGTCCATTGCCTGCGAAACAATTCCTAGCTACTCGACGATTGCGCTCCAGACCCTTTTTGATCCTGCAAAAAGGCGCAGAATCCATGCCATGTTCGAACATAGCATTCATACGGCCGACTACTGCGGCGATTCATGAAGGTGGTACGGAAAGAATAATGACTGGTGACTTATTGTCCTACGGCCGAATCGTATTACCATTGGGAGTCGCCTTCCTTGGCGTGGCGCGGCGCGCGGACTTGAAGACAACCAAAGGTTATTTGGACGTCAGCTGAATCGACACTGTTATTGGAGACGATCTGACGGATACGAGTGCGAATACAATGCACAGCGAAAAGGTGGAGTGTAACGTGCTGGACAGCGGTGGACAGCGAAGGAAAAGGAAACAGAGTCAGGCGAGCTGTTAAACTACCAATACGCTTGTAGGAGAGAAGAGAGGTTGGTTAGGTTGAGTATTTCTATCGTTAAAGGTGAAGAAGACAGACCGTAGATCACGTTTCTGTGAATATTCATCGCAAGAGGCGGTGGCCGCACCCACTCACACCCCACCACGAAAAGCAACCGGCGCGTCTCAGCAACGTCGATCTCATATCATGCTGTGGAACGAGGGCGAAAAGCACACTGCGTCTTGAAATTAAACAATGTGGCCACGCGACCATTTTCATCATCTGCCAACACTCCAACACCATTTCGGCCCACAGTGAGGCAATTGCACGTGATGCGGATTGCCTTAATATATACACATCAGACCCAGATTTGTTCGACCTGTTTCGGCTTGCGCTTGGAACGGTAGCGAGTGTTTTTTCTGCATGATTTATTCTCCCATTAACCTCTACACTCATTTATGTACGGCGTCAGTCAGAATAACTCCCGACCAGGATTATGAACAATACAAACAGAGCCCAAGCCAACAAAAGCAAACGCTAACAGAAAAGCAAAACCAGGCGTTAAGTCGTGCTCTCGAACCATTCATATCAACATCGCTTTGAACGCTAGAGGACACGCTTCAACGCTCAACCATCTAACCTGCCATCGAGAAGAGATGCAGACTCCGAAAAAGCAAGGACAATCAGACTCCACAACCTGGCTTCGTATGAAACGCCAACACCTCGAAAAACTCCGGTTCCTTCTACTCCAGAAGCGAATCGAAGGATGAACAAGCATGAACATGAAACAGAGAATCCGAAGAAACCGTTTCGTCCCAACACCGTTGACTCTCTTTTTGAAAATTCGTCATTATCCACTTTTTTTTTGCTCATTTTCGTTCTTTCGTCCAGCGAGTTTTCGTTGAGCTCATTAATTCAAGGTTCTTCCTCGACGGTAATGTGGACAATCTCCTGCTTCCAATCGGGGCTTTCGGCAGGCATGAGGCGGCACTTCGCAACGGGTTTCACGTGCGTCTCGCGCTTGTTCTCACGCTTGATGAACGGAATCTGAGCCGAGGCAACGACGGCGATCAGAGCGCTGACCCACCAGGGCAGAGCGGTGAAGCTTGCATGAGCGCCGGCTCCGTACAGCAGACCTGCGATCGGAGAAGCGACAGTGCGACATGCGGCGCCGGTACTTGCGGCCAAGCCGTTGATCTTGCCCAGGACCGAAGGCGATGGCGAGGCTTCCTTGATGAGGATGAGAAGAAGAGGGTAGGCGAGGATGGAAAAGAAGTTGCGGACGGTGAGACAGGCGTAAAGGGCCGGGTAGAGCAAATGGTCAGGCAGGATGACCAGGTACGGCACGATGAAGTAGGCGATGGGGTGGCCGACGGTGACGACGACAAAGAGGCGCCAAACACCCAACCAGGCGGCCATCAGAGGGAATACGACGGCTTGGATGACCAGGGCGATGATGCCGTTGATGCTGAGGATCAGGCCGACTTGCTGGATTGTCATTCCCAGGCCACCGGCCAGCGGGACGCTGAGAGCCTTGGTGTGGTGGGCACGATGGTCTTGCAAGAAGATGGGAAGCAGCACATCATAGGTCATGCTGTGGTAGGTGAAGATACCAAGAGCAATGACGAGCATCATGATATTCTTCGAGAAGACAGAGTGAGAGACAGGGGCGTCGCCGCCGTCGGCCTTCACGGTCCAGGTCTGTTCGCGCTGGACGTCAACATTGTCGAAGGTGCCGTAGGACTCGGTCGCCAGGTTGGCGGCTGCGTGGGCAGTGGCACCAGCAGTGGGCATGAGAGGCGTCTCGGCATGCGTGTCTTGCAGGTCCTCGGCAGTGCTCCAGGGCTGCATATCCGGGTGAGTCTCCTCCAAGAACACATAGCCAGCAATAATGGAGCCGAAGAGCATAAGAGCGCAGATCAGGTTTGGCAGGAGATAGGGGAACCTGTCGAAGAGCGAACCCTCGGGGAAGAGAGCGGGGAAGTTCTTCGAGGGCTCAGCAAAGTATCCGCCAATGGACGCTGGGGGTCGTCAGCACGGCATATTCACATGCTCTCGAGGCAGTACTTACGGCCAACGATTGTTCCGACGGACCAAACGAAGGGCATGACGGCGTACGCGCGGGCTGGACGAACATCAGCATTTCTTCCGCTTCAGGAGGGGGTTGCAGGACTCACGCTCATGCTCGGGCTTGTGGACAATCTCGCCAACCATGGTCTGGATGACACCAATGTTGCCGTTGAGAATGCCGCCGAGGGCGCGGCCAACCAGGGCGATCCAGAAGTTTGTGGCGAAACCGACGACCAGGAGCGAGAGGAGCGTGCCGGCGCAGCCCAGCAGCAGGACGGGCTTGCGGCCAATGCGGTCACTCAGGCCGCCCCAGTACATGCCGGTGAGGGCCTCGGCGAGGGCGAAGGCCGAGATGAGGATGCCCGAGTAGAAGGCGGCATTGTTCTCGTCGGTGGCCTTGTAGTGCAGGACGAGCTTCCAGGCATAGGGAAAGATGGAAGTGAGGGCAATGGGCTCGGCAACTCGGACAAGTGCTGGCGGAAAAGGTCAGCGCGGGCGGCACAGAAGAGACGGGCGACGTACCAAGCACAAAGAGCTGCGAGGTGGGAAACTTGCTCGGGTCGCGAGGATATCTTCTCTGGCGGGTAAGAAACATGTTCTCTTCAACTCAGTTTTGATCTTACGGTTCTGTCAGCGCTTGACGAGCAGGCTCTTCCGCAGATTTATAGCAGCGAGCCGGGCACGTGTCGACGCTTGACGGGGAAGACTGCTGAGAGAGACGAGCTATCAGTTCTATAGCGATTGCGCGATAGCTGACGAAGGTGAGAAGATGCAGGACAGGAGACGGAAGCGGCCTCAAGGTTTTATCCTTCGCAGGCGCCACACCGAGATCAGCGCCGTGCAAATGCGGTGCGAGCGACCAGCCTGGCCTGTGCGCCCGAGTCTCCCAGCCAGCAGCCCCCGCCGAACGTTCACGAATCCGGGGTCAGCAGATCGCCGCCCCTTCTCCGACCGCCTCGCCCGCCCGCCGTCGCGCCTGCTTCACGCCCGCAGTCCTGCACGCGCGCTCGTCGACGACCGTGGCCGCGCGCTGTTGCGCATTGCGACGACGTCCAGTGCCGGGCGTGGCCTTGTGCGGCCCATGCCCATGATCTTCCAGTGTCGAGCATCCGACGGCAGTGCCATGTCGTATACCGTTAGCGCCGACGAGCATTCACCGCAGCGCGTCGGCTGATAGGACAATCCGATGTCGGCTGGGGCTACACCTGCATGCCCGTGCAGCCCGTGCCCGCTCCGCCGCCGGGCCAAAGTCGACGACGTGCCTCGAGTCGACCACGCAGCGCCTTCGCAGCGCCATTTCCGGCGGCTGTTTGTTGTTGTCGGGCCAGGCAGGCTGTCACCCGCCGCGAGGGCGCGCAGAAAGGAGCGGTCTGACTTGCCGCTGCTAGTCCACCGTCGCGCACACTCCACCGGCCTTCTCGTCGATTTTTTTGCCTGCACCGCCGTTGGTTGGCCGTCTGGCACGGACTGCGCCTGGGCAAGTGCGACGCTGCAGCCGACCATCGCGCTCAGGCGGCAAATCGACCCGACGCGCACCGCAGAAGCACACCCTTCCGTCCCTCACCACAGGCCGTCCTTTGCCATGTGCGACTTGCGACACTGTCAATGCTGCCGGAAGAGCCGCAGGCGCATGCGCCGCCCTCGGCTCCGCCTGTCCTGTCTTCCTCCTCCGCACCACCCGGCGCCAGCCTTACGGTTCGGCTGCCCACGGTTGTTGCTCGGCAGGATGCTGATGCAGGGAGCCAGTCTAGCGGAGGTCCAGCCACGGTCGACTGCTTCGGAAATTGCATCCAGGGAGAGTCGCATGCGCTGCCCCTACCCCTCACTCCAGCCTCGATATTATTACTTCTGCCCGCCTGACATCGGCGATCTCGCGGGAAAAAAGGGAAAGAGATGGTTCCAGCCATGGCCAGGTGGTGCGAGGCGCTTTGCGCTTGCTCACCGCTGGCTCCTGCTCCCACTTGCCGCGGAGCCGCTTGCCAGCAGCCTGAGATAAGGGAAGCCGTGTCTGTCTGGTAAATTACGCTCACGCCCGCGAATCCGCTTCCTTAGCGTTGAACTAGCCAGTAGCTTCCGGCCACCGTGTCTGTCCACCACTAGGTACCTTCTTTTTAGCTTCGATCGCAACCACCGCCTCATCTTTCGCTGCACGCGCGACGTTGAAACGGCCATCCATTCCAGCACGCGAGCATCGTCCCATCCGGGGAAGGCTCCGCTTTGCCTCAGCTTTTCTCAAACATTCCGCTTTCGGCAGTCATCCGGTGACGCGTCTGCGCCGCATCTACCCCATGATTTTCTTCCCCTGAGTGACCAGTGCGTTGTTCGGTTGCCTGCGATTGTCAGACTTTGATGCAACTTTGGTTAGAATGACCAGACCGGCTTTACTTCGTCCAGCGGATATAGTTTGCAGGAAATAGCTCCCTCACTCACGCTGATACATATTGTCAAAAATCCCTCTCAACATCACACACCACGTGAGCCTAAGATCATCATGCTTATCCAAATCTCAACCCCGCATGTGTCGCGGCTTTTTTGCAGAATCATTGTTTGAACCCTGATGTGCATACCTGTGAACATACCGGGGGATCGCAGCACAGTGGGTGCCGAAAGATTTGAGCCGTTTCCACATGCATCTGAACTCGTTACGTAGGTAGTTGAAGCTGCCATCCGGATGCAGATGTGGAATTGCTAAATATACATCTACGTCCAGATGGTAACTTCAACTACCTACGTAAATCGGGCGCCGTGCTTTCGAAGATAATTGTGGAGGATCCTTTCTTTTGGCACCTACGTGGCGGTGACAGTACGTCCAGGGAAGTATCACTCACCGTGCCAACCAACACAATCCTCTCTCCCGTATAGTGGCTCATATTCCACGACTTTGGTCTGTTAGTATCCTACGAGAACGTGCCATAGTTGAGATGCACACCAGAACGAGGACGTCGGATGCAAGCCTCAACAAGCCTGCCGTACAACAGCGGGGCCGGCTTCCACCCTGGAGATTTCTGAAAGTCTTGGTCGACTTAGCCACACTCAACGAAAAGTCAACTGTGACCGTGGAGGTGGGCGGAGCGACGTTTACCCTATGGCTTGGAGTCGCATGCTGTGGCGTCGCGCTGCACGTTCGCGAGCAGGCAGCCGCGAAAACGAGAATGCGACAGGCTGGAATCTCGTTTCTCGCATCCCAGCTGCCGCCGCAGCAATCACATGCGGAAAATTAGTCGTGGCCGCAGTCTTCGCCCCGCTTCCCGTTCCGTGGCGGCCATCGGAATTTCGCCACGCGCACAGCCACACAAAATGACGCAACGGGCCGCGACGTCAACTGTGCATGAGCGTCTCGATGATTCCCTGCGCCTGTGCGCCTGCCCCCCGCCGCCCCCCAGCACTTTACCCACTCCCAGTACATAAGCTCAACGACGTCAACGCCCCTCGCCGCTTTCCATCCACCACTCCTCAATACCCACCCTCCACATACAGACATCTCCACAACCTTTGCATTACCGCAACAATGGCTTCCGTCCACGTTGAGAACATTGCCTCTCAGACCACCGAGAAGGAGGTCCGCGACTTCTTCAGCTTCTGGTACGTACACCTGCTGCCATCGGCCCTCTCAGCACCGTCAAGCAACCCCGAAGCTAACATTTCTCTTTCACAGTGGCAAGATCCAATCGCTTTCCGTGACCCCCACCGCCGGAGGCACGCAATCTGCGACCGTGACATTCGAGAAGGAGACGGCTGCGAAGACGGCGCTGCTGCTCGACAACACGCAGCTTGGACCCGCGCAGGTTAAGGTCACGGCTGCCAAGTCTTTTGACGAGCTGGCTGGCGGCAAGGCATCGCCCGAAGGTGGCGAGGCAGGCAAGGAGGAGCACAACATCCCGCAGGAGGACAAGCCCCGCGGCCGCATTGTCGCCGAGTACCTGGCGCACGGCTACGTCATCAGCGACAAGGCCATCGAGCGCGCCCTCGAGCTCGACAAGCAGCACGGCGTGTCGAACCGCTTTACCTCGGCGCTCAAGTCGTTTGACGAGCGCTACAAGGCTTCGGAGAAGGCCGCCGCCGTCGACACCAAATACGCCATCTCGCAGAAGGCCGGCGCCGGCTGGCGCAGCCTGAACTCTTACTTTGACAAGGCGCTCGGCACCCCGACCGGCCAGAAGCTGCGCCAGTTCTACGAGCAGGGCAACAAGCAGGTTGTTGACGTCCATAACGAAGCCCGCCACCTTGCAGATCTCAAGAAGCAACAGCAGGCCCAAGGTGCCCAGTCTGCCACTGGCGAGACCAAGATCCCGACCGCCGAGGAGGCCGAGCTCGAGATTGTCCCTGGTACAGACAAGACCAAGTGCAACTGCAGCTCCGTGGCCGGAAAGTGCCCTTGTGAGCCAGGCAAGTGCGCCTGCGCCGGATGCGCTAAGAGCACTGAGACGGCTGCCGCCTCGGCCGCGGCAACCTCCGAGAAGCCGGCCGCCTCTGCGTAAGGGATAAAAGAAGGGAAGAAACAGCGATTCCGATTGCAGGAAGGCGGGCATATTGTGATACCCAGACATTGTCGAGTATGAAGGAAGTTGACGGTCCGCTTCGTGGTTGAGAGCGATTTCCCTTGAGCAAGATATGATGGATTTTTTCTTTTTACATTGCGTTACTCTTTTTGAGACGGCTTTTTACTCTTCACCGCCCCGAGTATGGCAAATACCAGCAAGTTTTTGATGTTGCTCTTTGTCTCATGAAACACTGATTGCTGGTTTCGTAGCTGGGAATGAATGTAAACCGATGCTCCCCCCTTTGAAGCCTGTGCAGCATGTACTAATGGTCGTTGGAGTGAAACTTGTTTACCAAGACATACCAGAGCAACTAACTGGTACTAAGCGCATCTTGGGCGCTTACTGGTTGCATTCTAGATGACATCAATCAATCAACGTGTCGCGTCTCTTTCAGGCCCCTGCTTCATGAAAGAAAAGAAAAGAAAATCGATTCTGGTCCAGCTACAAAATATAGCCATCTAGCTCTCCACTGCAACGCACTCGTAATGCTATCCTTTACCCACATCATTTTCGTTCTTCCTGTTTTCCCAGGTCCATTTTCGAAAGACACATGGACAAAAAGGCCGCCGCTATCAACACCTAAGCTGCACCCTCCCCTCCGGCCGTAGCGTTCGCGTTCGCGCCTCCTCGTCCCCTCCCCCTGCCACCCCTCCCCCTCCCCTTACCACCACCCCTCGATCCCGGTCCACCGCCCCTCGTCTTCTTCGCCGGTGTCGCCTTTTTCTCCTCATCCCCCTTCTTCTTCTTTCCATTCTTCCCTTCCTCCTTCTTCGCCTTCTCTTCTTCCTCTTTCTTCGCCTTCCGCTCCTCCTCCTCCTTGGCAGCGGCGGCAGCGGCGGCGGCCTGCTGTGCCGCTCTCGCCCCCTCCGCCATATCCTCGTCGTCTGAATCGTCATTGATTTCCGAGAGTTCGCTCTCGTCATCAGCGGAGTCATGAATGCTGGCGGGAGCCGTCGATGTTGCGGTGGTCCCGGTGGGCGCGGGGGCCGCAGCGATGGAAGTGATGGCGTTAGTAGTAGGACTAGTAGCAGTAGGCTTGGAAGAATCATCGGCAGAAGGAAGTTCGGAAGACGATGACGGAGGCTTGACTTCGCCTATCGTAGCGGACTGCTGGCTTGTTGGCACCTCCTCGTTCTCATCATCATCGTCTTCTTCCTCTTCCTTGGCGGTGACCAACGTATCGTTGTCGTCGTCGGCGGCTTCTTCCTCATCGTCCTCTGCGTCAACGACTCCTGCTTCATCAGCCGTCCCGTTGCCCTCGTCAGCTGTGACCATTGTATCATCACCAGCGTCGGCTTCTGGATCATCTTGCTCAGTGACATCCAGATCGTTCTCGACATCCGCCTCCGGTTCCTGCTCGCCATCGGCCTCAATCTCCTCGCCATCTCCCTCGCCTTCGCCCTCTCCCTCATTGTCGCCTTCCACTTCACCCTCCCCTTCCACATCTGCGTCCGCTCCGGCATCTGTGGCGTCCACGTCCATCGCATCGCTTTTGACTCCAACCTCTGCGCCGTCTCCGTTCGCACCAACAGCAGCCGGGACCTCGCCAACTGTGCGCGCATTCTCCGCATCACCCGCTTGCGGCGCAGGCCCAGAAGCCCCGGCCATGCCCGCACCTTCGGCAACACTTGGCCTCGCCGGGCTTGCGCGGATTGGCATGTTCGTGACCGGCGTCGTGGGTGCGGCGACGGGCCTTGTGACCGCCGCATCTGCCTTGCGCATGAGCTCGCGACGGCCAACGCCTTTGGCGCGCGGTTTCGGCGCGGCGGCAGCAGCAGCAGCTGTTTCGGGTATAGCAGCGGGGGTGGTGGTGCCCGTGGTTGGAGCGGTCGTGGGTGGGTTGTTACTGTTGTTCATGGATAAGACGCCGAACGCGCCTGCTGCTGTGGGTGGCGGTGGCGGCGGCGGCTCGTTAGCACCAGCACCATCTATATTCATGATGTTCTGCATGGACATCATGTTTGTGCGTTCATAGGTAGGCGCTTGTGGTTGTGCGGGAGCCGGGACAACCGGTGGCGCAGCCGGTGCTGCAGGTGGTGCTGGCGGTTCGGGCTCCGGCTGGAGAGTTGGGACCACTTGTTGGTACAAAAGAGCGTAGGTGTCTCCGATCAGGTCATCAATAAGGGTAGCCTTCATAAGGTTGTTGTTAAGGCGACGGAGCTCCATCGCCTCACGCAGGACGTCGAGGATGTTGGATTTGGTTTCGGGGTCATGGCACCAGGTTTCAAGGCGTGCGGCAGCGGACGTCCATTCTTCATGGTTGATTGACTTGAAGACCGCGTCTTCATGTCCTTCTGGAATCTGCCCTGCACGTCGGAGCATCTTGAGGTATGACTGGCACAGAGTCTGCCATAGCTTGGTGTGCTCGAAAAACTCGTGATTCCTACGCCTGACTCTTTTTGCCAAAGCCTCCATACCAGCTCTGTCATTTGTCTCAGAAAGCAGCTGGATGAAGAACTGGGTATAACGCGTTGTGTAGACAAAATGCCGACCCAAACGTTCATACTCGGGCTTCCAAACCTGCAGTTGCATGGTCTTGGTGAATATCTGCTGCGAGAACTCGCTCTTGGCAGTAAGTGCTGCCATGTACTTGTCTGCAGGGGACGGGTCACCATAGTGGATGTAGGCAGCCCTTGCAGTCATACGATGGTGCCAATTAGCCTTATCTGCAGAGCGAAGCACTTTCAAGACTTTCAGCACGTAGTCGTCCCATTCATCCGGGTTCTCGGTGTCATCTGTTGAGAAGACTGGAACTTGCCTGGCGTAGTGAGTGGCTTGAAGCTTCTCGCTTGCTTCTCGGGGCTCAAGCTCTCTTTTCTGTACCAGCTTGTAGAGAATGGACAAAAGTTTGTAGTGAGGTTCAAGTATGGGCTCTCCACGGCTTCCCTTTTTGCCTGGGAGCTCTTCGATCGCCCTTGTGAAGCAAGCCACAACCTCCTCGGCACTTGGACGGTTTCTGGCTGGAATTGCGTCTTCGTCGGCCTCATAAAGCTTCCACAGACATTTGCCGAGCATGAAGTGGGACAACCAGTTGTCGGGCTTCCTCGCGATCGCTCGCCTGAACAGCCCACTAGCGAATTTCCACGCAGCCACGAGCGTCATGAGCGCAAAAGGAGCCGATTTCATCACCTGATTGGTGCTGTAAAACCGCTCCTCATTCTCCTTGAGTGCAAAAGCTTTCATGGAAAGCGGATCACGAGAAGACGAGTAGATACGCATGCCGAAATCAGCGTAGAGTTGCGCCATCTTATTGGCCGTGTCCTCCGAAGCATCCGCGTTCCTAATAGCTGTCGCGACTGCCATTGAGTAACAGTGGATGGCTGTCCTTTGATGCTGAACGAGCTCTGGATCTCCCTTGTTGACTTTTTCAGCGGACCATGCCACCATTTCATCGACCTGGTAGTCATATGCTTGTGCCTGTGAGTACCATGTTTCCCATCTTTCCGAGTCGTACTCTAAATCTTGACCGAAGAAAGCTGACGCGATGTTGATGTCCTCTGTTGGCACGGGTGCTTGCCGCTTTTGGTTTTGAGATCTGAATCGGTTCAATGCAATGCTTCCCATGAGGAAGTACCAGCCTCGCGCCGCAATGCGTGCATTCTTCACTGGTATCGGTTTGGTTGACAAGTCGCCAACGCCATTGACACACCTGTAGAGGTCCAAGGGATTGATGGGAGACTTGATAAAGGAGAGGTACTTCATCTTGTTCAGAAGTAAGTCCTCTGCACCAGAAGGTTTGGTTCGCGCCAAGTACCCATGGACGACATCAATCGTGGATCCGAGCTGAGTCTTGTGCAGATCTTTGACATTCATCTTTCGTGCCTGGTACATGACAAAGTCGATTATCTTGAGAGCTGTCTTTTGGTCCATCATGTCGTGATCGCTCGGATACTCGGTCAGGTCATCGGCATTGGTGAAGCAAAAGAGACCATACAGATCATAGAGGACCTGGCAAATCACCGTGTCCCGGGTCTCTATGTCAGGAATATCATCTGTCTTGAACCATTTCAAAAGCTCATCCTTCATCAAGCGAAGTAGTGCCTTGGTGGAGGCGGAACAGAAGCCACGGATGCCGAAAGCGTAATGGACATGGCGAAGATATTCAAATTTATCCTCGGTTGGCTTTGGGAAAAGTTGACTGTCTTGTGCCATAGCGTCGCTAAGAAGACGCCATTGCAACAGCCAGCCACGTACCATGGTGTCGTGCAGTTTGCCCATGAACGCAGTAAATGCTGAGTTGAAACGACCTTCAAATGTTGGCTGAGGAATCTGGCCCACGCGGATCAAATCTTCAAAGACAGTGACAGTACTCAGAAGCCAGAGGAGTTCGCCAATCGCATCCAGGGATGACCGCATGTGTGCCTCATCAATGCATTCGAATACATTCTCAACCGTTGCGACCTTGAGGATCCTGTCGAAAATTTCATCGATGATTTTAATCGACTTGAGAAGCTCGGCTGATCGTTGCTCGAAACCAGTTTCACTGTATGCTTTGCTTTTGATGTCCTTGACAAGAATCTCGATGCTCCGGAGGTAGCATGAGACAGCTTTAGGGGGATAATCAATTGCCTCATACGCTTGTCGGAGACGTTGCCACAGAGACAAACGTAATGAGACGTCAGCGCTCGAGACGAACTGTGTCATTGCTTTCAGCGGCGAAGGTCGGGAGTCTTGGTGTGCATCGATTGGTGTGCTGTTCGCTTCGGCATCTGGCGTCAAGGCTCCCTCTGTTTCTTGGCTGTCGCCAACCTCCGTCCGGGATGTCGGTTGGTTATCGTCCTGGTTGGTAGATTCCAGTATCGGTTCGAGACTCTCAATGACAGACACTGGGTCTTGTTCATCATGCTGGAAAACTTTCATAAAACAGTCTTTCATGTTGATCTTCGTCAACTCTCGCTCCGCCGCATCCGCGGAGAGTTCCGGCATAACGGCATTGTTGGGAACGTGAATTGCAGGACCAGGCAGGAGATTTGCAATAGTCTTCAGCTCCTCGATGCAGGTAACGACGTATTCCTGAGATACATCATCGGACACGTTTAGGTGAAAGGTCGATGTCCAAAGATGTCTGAAATCCAATTCATCGATGATCGGAGTCCGCTCATCCGTGGTTCGGTACGCCATGGCATCTCGGGCCAATCTCGACCACCTCTCCAGCCGTTCTCTTTGCAGAATCTGGGTAGAAACGTCAACACTGCTGGTTGGATGCTTGATCAACGAATAGACGTCAAGATGAAGTTCGAAGATGGTCTGAACCATCTCGATCAAATGTGAATCCTCCTCAGTCACGGATTGTCTCTTGCCTGCCGCTTGCTGGTGCAGAATCCTGGTGTCGAGGGCGGACAACTCTTCGTGCACACGTCCGTACAAAAAGTCATCCACGTTGACGACTGCCTGTACCACGATTCTTTTCAGGTCATCAGACCACAAATGTCTCATGTAACTTGATCGCAGGTCTTCAGAATCGGGAAAAGCCCCCGGCCTGAGCATGCTCTGGAGCCACAACCACATTAGTTCTTTGATCGGCATGCCTTCGGTATCGCTAAGTGGCGGCCATTTGGATAGGTAGTCGGAATCAAGAATTGGTCGGTTCATTCTCTCAGAGCCTGATGGCTTCGTGTATCCTAGGAAAGCGTTGAGCCCGGCTTCGCGAGAAGCGCTTCCTAGCATGTCGATAGTATCAGGGCCTGTGAGGATCGGGACCGCCTGTGGTATGAGCTGTTGAAGTATCGTATAGAGGTCTTCGGATGCTGCTTTAAAACCCGATTCTTCCATCTTGGTACATTCCGTCCTCTTTTTGCGCAGCGTGTCTCTCAAGATCTTTGGAGACCGCAAGCCCTTTACCTCCAACTTTGCCAACATGTCCCCGACGACTTCATACAACCAATCATCAGCTTCATGGAATTGGCGCAGCTCGTCCTCCACCTGCTGCTGAGATGCGTCCGCTGCGGCGACAACGTTGCCCAGGCTAGCATCGCCAATCGATTCACGCGCTCGAATCCGTTTGCTTCTTCCACGTCCACCCTCAGCAGACTCCGGAAGACCAGCGGATTCCGTCGATCTCTTCCGCGATGGTGCGTTTGGCCGATCGGAGGCTTCTACAGAAGCTCCTTCGCCATTTTTCGCGCCTTCTTGATCTGCTTTGTCATCGGCAGCCTCTTTCATCTCCGTGTCTTCACCAGTCTCACCCGAAGCCTTTCCATCGGTCTCTTCGTCATTTGCCTGTGTTTCAGTGGTATGTTTAGATTGCTCCGCTGGAGTCCCCTCGGGCGCTGAGTTCGTTGAAGGTTGCTGAGACTCAACAGTGTCTTGTGGCAAATCAGAAAGACTCAGCGTTACGAGTATTCCCGGGCCGGGATCGACTAGTCGTTGTTGCTCTTGAAGGAATTCGTTCAAGATTGCGTCACCCACATGCGTCCAATCGGATTTGGCGGGATTCAGCGCAATGTGCGGCGACGGGCGACTTAAAGCTTGTTCCAGAGCCTCACGCTGCTTCACATCTGCTGGAAGAGGGGCAAATGAGAAGGGAGCTAGTCGTTTTTTCAATGCAGCGGACAGCTTCCTTCGCCTCAGGTCGGAAAGTGGTTCTTGTAGCAACGACAAAGTGTCTTGCAACTTTTCCACCAGCTCCCGCAGTTGTTGGCCAGCGAACCCTTCTTCTAGGCCTGGGAGACGCATGATACTGTCCAGCCCCTCGTCGTCGCCGTCCAAGACGGCCTCAAGGCAAAACCTCGTTATCCTGCTGCTTCCAGTGAGCGCAGCAACTGAAGCAGTGCGCGCCCATAGGTCCAAGTCCGTGTCGTCTTTATCTAGAGCCTCGGCAAAGTAGCGAAGGGGCACGTCTACAGCGGCCGTGGACGCAGCAGCATCCAGAACAAGGAGAGCTTGCTGTCGCTCCCGTAGACTGTGCTGTACCACCTCCAGCATGAACTGACCATGGTTTTTGTAAGACAAGTGCAATATTTGGGGGAGAGTGTTGGGTGCACTGTCTGCAGCACCGCCCAACTGAGTCGGACCAGCCTCATGGTCTTCTTGGAATATGAAATCATAATCGGGGTCTCCGTGGAGCTCGGTGCGACGGTATTCGGAGAGCGATTCCGGGTATTTGAAAATGTCGGATTCAAACAGAGCTTTGTAGGCGTCGATGGCGTCGCGGTAGGACTTGGGTCCTTCGGAGTGATACTTCAGGGCGGTCTGGTAGAGTTTCAAAGCTTCTTCGATTTGGATTTCCTTGGTATCATCGACCTCCTCGTCGGACTCGACGTCCGACTCGATGTTGATGGCTTTGAACATGGACTAATCAGCACATTAGCTTCGGGACGGCCTCGCTCAGCGCGCATGCTAACCATTGTGGCAGGATGGGTGCGGCGCAGCTAATCGGGGAATAACAGCTCCCGAGCTGTGCGGGTTCGCAGCGGTAATTGCAGGCGCGAATTGCGGGAGAAGCGCGTCGGCAGCTGGCTACGCCATCAGAGACACCGAGGCGACAGCAAGTGGAAGCGCGACGGTGAGAGCAGCGAGAGGGCGTGGGAGAGCGGTGGTGGGCGTGGGTGAAGTGTCGCGGGCACCTGCGACGCGGCTGCGGACAATGCGGTGATGCTGCGCGACAGCTCCCGCAGGGTAGGCACGCACGAATCGCGCGCGCTGGCTGCATGACTCAGGCGCGCTACAGGGCTGGGGAGAGCGGTGCGTGCCCTGCTGCTGGCAACGACCGGCCGGGAGCTCAGGTGCGGTCGACGATCACCACCTCCCACCAGACCCGTTCTCACTCCGACCTGCACGCCGCAATCTCCTCCTCCCGGGCTGCAACCGTATCCAACACAATTGATGCTGCTGCGCTAATCCAGACTTTTTTCGCCCCGGCCTCCACCATGGTTCCCCAGCCAGCAGTCCCGGAGTAGGTCCCGCATTTATTTGTCTCTGCATCTATCTCCTTATAGACTGGATGCATGTCCGCTCTGCCCGCCCGCATCGCCTTGTCTTGGTCCAATTCTTCGTCGCCTGCCAGCGTTCCCCCGCTACTTTCGTGCGCACTTGCTGCGACCGAGGTGCTGACGTGTCTTCTGTTGCCTAGGATCTTCGAAGATGAGATACAATCCGTCGTTGACGCCCGCACAGAAACGCTCCAGTCGCTGCGTGAACTAGGCCCCCCAGATCTCGTCCATCTGGTCAAGCAACCCAAAGGCACCACGAACAAGGTGAGAAGGGACATGGCATCCTTGGCTTCCAAAACACTTGGTCGGGCAGACACCCTCTAAGAGATGGATTAGGTTGGCGTATACCACCACGTAACCGGAGTCGACGCGTCCTCTTCCGCCAGCTTGGCCGCCTACATCAACACTCTTACATACAACCCCAATGACAAGACGAACAAGGTCGTTTCGGGGCTATACTGGTAAGGCCGGAATGGGACACGCTGTCTGTTTCCCAAGGCTCCACTGACGCTTTTTAGCTGCTACAATGCCTTCTCGAGGCTGGATATGCGCGTCCAAGTAGCCATTCCTGGCACGGTCGAGAGTTACTGCATCGACGAGCGCGGCGAGAAGCGTGTTGCTTCGGACGAGTTGTGGCTCGAGACGTATCTCTGCAGCGTCTTGCGCGCCTACTCGTACGCAGACGATGGCTCGGGCGATACTATCAAGAGGATCGTCGGCGTTCGGAGATTCAACCCGATTACAACCACCGAGTCTGAGCACAAATTTCTGGACGCTGCGGAGCGCCTGTTTTTCAATGGCTGGCAACTTGGCTCCGATCCAGAAATTCAGGTCCCGAACTTGGTATCCAACCATCTGACTACGGGCCTTTTGAACTACATCCACACCACTGGTCGCTACGCATCTGGAATCAACCTCTTCGAAAAACTGCGCACACGGGACCCGGAAATCGCGTCGCTGCTCTCCCACGTGTACATCTCGGCAGATGAAGAAGTCAAGGCAGTAAGACTGCTCCACGATGCGATCCAAGAGCTTCCCATGGACTATTCTCTGCTGGATTGTCAGGCTGAATTCCTGAACCGAAAGGGTCACCCCGAACTGGCGCTTGAAATTGCCAAGAGAAGCGTCATTTCTGCCCCCAGCGAATTTGGCACGTGGGCGAGATTAGCGGAGATATACGTCAGCCTCGAGCAATGGGACATGGCACTCTTGACGCTCAATTCTTGCCCCATGTTCACCTATCAAGACAAGGACGCACCACGCATGCCGGAGCCGCTTCGTGTCTCTCTGCCTGTGATGTCTGAGAGTGTCTGCGACGAGATTGATGACAGCGCAGGTGTCCCTGACGTCGACATGGTGCATCCCACGCTGCGCAAGCTGCACGCTGCCGGATTCAAGGGCACCTTTCTGAAGGCGTACATGCTTCTCACCAAAATCACCAAAAAGATAGGGTGGGACCAGCTGCTGAGGATACGTAGCCAGGTCTTCGTCATGGAGGAGGAGTACAGGCATGAGAAGCAGACGGTATCACAGCAACCGGCTAGCCGTAATGCCAGCACGAGCGCTATTCGGTCGCCGAGTCCGCACCAGAATGGCCACGGAGAAGTTGAGTTGACCGGCGAGAACGGCGAGTCGTCCAAGCCGGATGGAGAAGCCAACAGCGAAACCGATGGAGCGGGCGATTCTGTGGAGAGGCCCGCAACTACCGTTGCTTCAGAGGAAGTCAAAGCTGGAAGTGATGAGCCGGATCCCTCGCACACGGCGTACACGCAATTCCAGAACAAGCGTCTCTGCGAGCGCTGGCTTGACAACCTGTTCATGGTTCTCTACGAGGATCTGCGTGTCTACACGATCTGGCGGACGGAGATGGCCCAGTACCGCCAACAACAACTGGTTTACAAGAAAACAGCCGAAGAGTGGGAAATTCTTGGAGAACTCGCAGAGCGCCTGCACCATTTTGATGAGGGCATCGAGGCGTACCAAGCCTGTCTGAGCATTCGCTTCTCACCCAAGGCGATGCGCGGCTGTCTCAAGATGTATGAGCAGGTGGCAGACGTGAGGGCTATGCTCGGAGCACTCATCCGTCTTGTCTGTTGGCAATACAGGTGGTACTCTGAGGTGAGTTCATTGTAGTCACATTGATTGATAGGTGTGCATTGCTGACACGCCCAACAGTTTTCTCCCCCGCTACTCTTCACAATTCGGAGACTCATCGAGGAAGAGGGCACTCTCAAAGTGCGCAGCATAATCCAGGGTACGAGCCTTCCTCAACATGTTCTAGAACTCACACATCAATACACGGCCCTGGTGGCTTCCTTCCGCAACCCTGGATCGGAGTAATGGACATCTTCGATATAATTGCGTGGGGATGGATGGCGACGGCACAATGGGCGGAATGCTGAATTTCTAGCATAATTTGCGCGGCTGGGCAATTGGGCTTGGACGTGTTCACGAAAAGAAGATACCTTTGCATGGGAGAATTCACGGTCATCATATGTGCTTTATTATTGCTGGCCGCACATAGCAGTTGGCATGGAATTTGGCAATGTCAGCCATGCTCTAGAGATGTAATTGAAAGACCGAACAATCATTTTCAGTTACACTCCCCTCTGTCCAACCAATCGTTGCTGGTGATTCAATGGCGTTGGAGGCGGTGCGTGTGCCTGAGAGACGCGGCGGCATCCGGGGGAGCTTTTGCCGAAGGGAGCTCCGAGCCGCAGCTTCCACTGAACACCAAGGTGGCTTCATCAACTCGCACCTTCTCAAGCCGATCACAGCAAACAAAACAACCTTCCCGCAGAGCTCCACGAAGCCAACCGCCATTCTATCACAGCGCATTTCATCGACCAAGTTCATCCATTTTTGCCACGCCTTGCGCAAGATACTCGTCGCCGTCCGCCGCGTCCCACGCCGACCCGTGCTGTACAGAAGCTGCAGACCACACATAGCCCGACCAACACTCACCACAACAATGGACTCGCTATTGGGGCCCCTTGCCGGAATGCAGCCACGACAGGTCGCGCTACAGGTCCTGAACTTCGCGTTGGTGCTGAGCACGGCCTTTATGCTCTGGAAGGGTCTTTCTGTCGTGACCGATTCGCAGAGCCCTATCGTCGTCGTGCTTTCGGGCTCCATGGAGCCGGCTTTCCAGCGCGGTGACTTGCTGTTCCTATGGAACCGCGCGAAGGAGACGAAGATTGGGGAGGTGGTGGTGTACAGCGTGAAAGGGAAGGATATCCCGATCGTGCACAGGGTTGTGAGGAGGTTTGGTGGCGGGTGAGTTTCTCCTCTCACACTTGCACTGTTTTAGGATATTGGCAGCGGCTTGACTGACGCGATTGAAATTTCTTGTACCAGACCGAACCCACTGCACCTTCTCACCAAGGGCGACAACAACGTCGCAGACGATACGGAGCTCTACGCGCGCGGCCAGTCATTCCTGAACCGCGAACGCGACGTCATTGGCAGTGTCTTCGGCTACATCCCCTTCGTGGGCTATGTGACGATCCTGCTGAGTGAATATCCGTGGCTCAAGACAGTCATGCTCGGCTTGATGGGGCTGACTGTTGTGCTGCAGAGGGAATGAACGCCTGCTTCATTGGACTCCTTAATGGCCAATTCTTTACTGAGCAGTGGGATCGAGAGAACGCAGAAACGCTTTTGACCCTGCATGATCTCGAAAAATTCAGCGTGTTTCAACTATTGCTTGGACTTATTCTGCTCTACGGCTACATCGTGTTTCTGAGCTGGGTCATACATTTCTTTGCTCGGTTGTATGGAAACCAGGTCGTTCTGCCGAACTCGTTACACCGGCTTGATCGGACTTTCGGCGACTGGCTTTATGATCTCACACTACGATTGTGCGCGTTTCAACCTTCTCAACTGCTCAAAACTCTCCTGAACCGGCTCAATGTACGGCGGGGACGTGCTTTTTTCTATCTCCTGATTAGCGTCAACTGGGTCAACCGCTACTTGATTCGTCATATCCATCCATGGAATCATCGCCAAGCGCTTCGCGAAGAAGACTCTCGAGATCTGCTTCCAGCTCCTCAACCCGCTACAAATGCTCTTCCTATGGGCCCGCTTGCTGCTGCTGCTGCTGCTCCTGCTGGAGATTCGTCTCATAGAGCTGTTTCACTTACCGTAAATTTCCATGGTCCCACGAAATTTGTAACAGAAAGACAGAGAAAAGTTCGCAGAAAGAAAAGGAGTTCAAAGAAAAAACCATCACTTGTTTATTGAGATACCCAAAGCTTTCATTCATTTCACTCTGAAAAGCACCATGTGCGTCAAGGGAGAAAGAGACGGTCGTTCAGTGGCAGCAACGGTGCTCATGGCATTAGACATCAATTGATTATTTTCAGTAAAACATCTACACTCTGAAGTGACTGCCACCACTGTACGGGAGATAAGCAGGCCACGTCCTAAGCAATTCGCCATAAATGCCAAGTGTAGGTGAGCAAAGGAACCAAAAAGAATGTACCTTCGCTACGGCATTGTGAGTCTAGCCTTTACGCACCAAAGCGTCGTAGACCAAAAGGGGAGCAGCACAAAAAAAAGGACTTGTATCATGCGGAAGGCAAGGTTCGAACTATTTGCAATTAGTCAGTCTGCTGATATGCATGGGTGGCTCTCCTTTCGCCATCTCACCTCGCGATTTCTGCTTTGGGAAAGCAGCGCCTTAACCACTGTAGCGGGTGATGATTAGCATTCTAATATTCTCGCAGAAAGAAGACAGTGGGAATTGTGCGTCAACATACCTAGGCCACTCCCGCCAGATTGATGCAAGAACAGGTTGCTTGCAATGTTAATATGGGGTGACTGGTCGTTTTGCGATGTGTTCCAGACGCGTGTGTGATGTCAAAACTGATTGTGATGAGATGTGACATGCAGCGTGCCGTGCCGTGCCGTTGGTTGTTGCCTGCATGCTGCGTAGAAGAGTTGCGGTGAGTGTAAGGGAAAATGTGTGACTGCTTATGTATTCACTTGGCCTGCAGCTGATATACATAAGAAACTTCGTTAGGCACAAGCGTCCAGCTCTGAGAGCGATTCAATGGCCTTTGGAAGAAGAAGCGACGATGTTATGGATCAATGCTCTTGAGAATAATACCGAAAATATGCTATGCGCCATCTATGTTGTGCATGCATGTCCTGAAACAAAATTGTGCTGTTCAGCTATTTACGCCATTCGCTGCCCTGCTTAAGTCATAAGCCGTCCCACCGGATGCATCCTAGTCCAACATGGAGCACTACTGCTTTCTTTTTCTATGCAGAGTTGGTCTCCAAATGATCCCACTCCAACGCCGTCAACCTGCTCGTGAAAGTCATCAAAGACGGGTGCCATCAGGAGGGTTACCATCCTTCAATTTGAAAGTCAAATCTTCTGTCCTCCTTCCCGCCCTTCACCGGTTTCCCCTCGTGGTCGTACAAGGTCCTCTCCACGAACGTGACCTTCCCCTCCCGATCCACCAGAATGACCGTCTGCTTCTGCGTGCCATAGATGCCACTTGTCGCGCTGACCGACTCCACGCCAGTCGCGGCAGCCACGGCGTCTGCCGGCTTCTGGTCCACCGTGGCGTCGTGGCCGATGCCGGGGATGAAGATGCTGTTGCGCAGCTGGCGCAGGTACGTCTCCCACTCCTCGCCGTTGCGCTGGCGCGGCATCGTGTCGGCGCTCAGCACAGCAAACAGACGCTCCAGCAGTGCCTCCTGCGGCTCGCCGGCGGCGCTGACGTTGTCGTCGACAGCGGCGCGCAGGCTGGCTTCGCCTTGCACGATCTTGGGCCACGAGTTGTCGCCGTAGTGCGAATTGCTCAGAGCGCGCGTCTCACCGGGCTTACCGGCCAGCCAGATCAGGCCTTTGACATCGGGCGTGCGGTTGGAGACGATGGCGAGACCCTTGTTATGGACGGGGCCGTTGCCGTTTGTTGGGGCAGCGGCATCGTGCTGTTGGGTCTTCACGACGTCCTGCAGGCGGCCATACAGCATGCTGAAGCCGCCAACGTGCTTGAGGGTTCCCTCATCGACGAGGCGCTGAGCGAAGTCGGCGGTGCTCTCGTCGGAGTCCGGCGGCGTGGTCAGCCAGGCGATGGGGATGGCGCCGCGGCTGCGCTCGTCCTGGATGATGGCGGCGCCCTCCTCGCGGAAGTTGGTCAGCACGGCGATGCGGCCCTGGCGCGTGATGCCCAGCCAGGTGCCGTGGACGGGCCGGTGCAGGTCGTAGCCGCCCAGGACGTGCGAGTGCGGCTCTGCCCACCACTGGGCGGGAGCGGTGGGGCGGTGGAGATATTCCTGGGGAAGAAAGGGTCAGCGGGGGATCGCGCGGGGTCTGGGGTAGCGACGCACATCTCGGTTGTTGAGGAGGATGAAGGGGTACTGCGGGTGGGCGGTGGTAATGATGGCGATGCACATTATGCGGGCAAATGAGAGAGGCGGATGATGATGCAATGCAAAAAGCGCTTGCCAGAAGCAGAAGGTTTCGTCGCGGCGTGAAGAGCACTGATAAATAATAAAAAGCACGCGTACACGACAGCGGGATCTACACAAGATAAAGTTGCGGGTGTGGACAGACCTCACGCGTTGTTGAGGCTGGGCCTCCGCGCAGGCAGCCGACCGTTGACGTGGAGGCCGGGCAATCCAGGGATCGATCTGCTGTGGCGCAGGCGCCGCCCCGGGCCACGCAGCCCTACCGTGCGCGACCAAGTCCCGGACTATTGAGCAGAGCGAGCGCACAGCGCCGCACGGACGCGCAGATGACGAGCTGGCAAGGCGCTCAAGGCGGCGGCCGGCCTGAGACAGATAAGACAGCCAAACCCCTGCCCGCTTTGCGTCGGCTTGCGGGCGGGCGTTTGGAGAGGCAATGGACTCAGCGCCACTGGCGCACACGCGACCTTGTGACAAGGTAACGTGAGAGCCAAGCTGCTTCGGCCGCCGGACTCCGTGCTGTACCTTGCCGGCAAAAATAGTATGACGGGGGCGGACTTCCGAGCGCGGCCTGCGCAAGCCCCTCCCGCGGGCCGATAAAGCGGAGCTGCTAGGTAGCTCGTCTGCGGGGCCTGGGAGAGCTGCATTGCTTTCTTTCACCTCCGTCCCGAGCTTCTTCTCTCGACAACTCCTCTCTCGCCCTGCCCCAGACTCCCGCGCCTGGGGAACTCCGCCGCCATGTTCTTCGGAATCTTCAACATCTTCCCCAATTTGCTCACGTACGTGTCTGCCTCTGCCCAGCGCTTCCTCCAGCTTCCGGAGCTCAGGCTTCAGCGTCGGAACCCGGCACAGAGCTCGTAACCTGCAGAAACTTCTCTCCTGGCCGTCTCGCTGACAGCATTCCCGCAGCACGGGGCTCACCACCCTCTTCCCCATCTTCGCCTCGTACAAAGCGCTGCGCACCGGCGACCCGCAGCAGCTGACGCCATGGCTGATGTTCTGGGTGTGCTTCACCATCGCCCAGACAGCCGAATACTGGTTCTCGTGGGCGGTTGACTGGGTCCCCTTCTACGCGTGGATACGCTTCGGCGCCTACCTGTACCTCGTCCAGGGGGCCCCATACATCTACCAGACGCACGTGCACCCCTTCCTGGTGCAGCACGAGCATGAGATCGAGCGCTTCATTAGCGATGCGCACGAAAACGGCAAGCGCGTGGGCCTGCAGTATCTCAACCAGGCTATCGAGTACGTCAAGGTCAACATCCTGGGCATGGCGCCGCGCCAGCCCACCCCGCCCCCGGCTGGCCGCCCCGGTCAGGGTGGAACCTACGCCCAAAACCTCTTCGCACGCTTCAACCTACCCTCGGCCTCCCAGGGGCTTGCCGCACCCGCCGGCGACTTCTACGGCCTGGTTTCGGGTGCCCTGCAGGGCGCCGCCCAGTGGCAGAAGCAGGGCAGCGCCTCGCGCGACGATGCCGCCGCCGCCCTTTCCGCCAGCGGCGCCCTCATCCCGGACGAAATCGCCCGTGGCCGCCCCGAGGACCGCGCCAACTACATCGCCTCGCAGCGCGACCGCCTGCAGACGCTGCTCAGCGCCTTCGACCGCGAGGCTGCCACCGCCAATGCTTCGAGAGACCCGTCCAGGGACCGCAGTGCTGGCGGTAGTCTGACCAAGAGCAAGAGCGAGCTGGAGTTTGATCGCGTCGAGTATGACGAGGCGCTCGAGGGAGGAAGCAACAGCGGCGGTAGCGCACGCGGCCGCATGGGCGGCAGGACAACCAGTACCGGTTGGATGCCGTGGCAGTGGGGCCAGCAACAGCAGCAGCAGCAGCAGCAGCAACAGCAACAGCAACAGCCAGAGAAGGGGAGGCTGTCGCCGCAACCGCCGTCGAGGTCGCGCACGCCGTCGCGTGAGGACAGGGCAAGGGCTACGAGCAACGACCTGGCGTACTAAGGAGGGATTCGAGTTTGCACCTTGTTCCTTGATTGCATAGATCTCTTCACATCATTAGGGAAGTCTTCCGGCGTTTGGGCTTTTGCTTTTACATTCCACAAAGCCATTGAGGCTGACGGTGATACTGTCAGCTCTGCTGCGCCTATGCCAGAGAGGCTGACTTTCTCTATGGTATTTCGGAACAAATTTCTGAGAATAACCATACATGTCTCGCGACCTCATAGCTAACCGCAATAAAAGCATCTGAGATCATATACCGACGGTGTTTCTCGTGCGCTGAAAGATGCAAACGAGAGAAGATTCGCTGATATAGCCGTCTCAAGGTCTACCAATACAAGGGCCATCAATCATATGTTTCGAGCGACTCCGAAAAGCCTCGATATCTAGTTCATTTCTCCTCAGCTATATCAGGAATCTGACACGCTGATTTGCAAACTTGTGAGGTGGAGATGTCTTGATTATTGCCTTTGCCAACGGCTCATGATCACTTTCTACTTTGCCCTTTTCACCCCAAATTGCCATCCCATAGTCTACGAAAATGCCACTGAGCACATAACCACAGCCTGCTTCCTATGGTGTTTTCGGACTTTCAAAACCAGAAGTTTAATACATGCACACAAGTCTCCTCTCCGTTTCATCCCGGGTATCCGTATCGGCGGGGTCCCATGCGCAAGATATCAGAGGGAAAATAAACAATAAAAAAGGTGCCATGGCCGTCGCACCTTCTCTTGCACCCGATCTTCCGCACTTCCTTAAGCCCCAAACTTGCTCTCTTTCCACGGATAGGGGATCTCGTCATCCTTGCGAATGGTGATCTGCTTCTTTTTCTTCGTCGCTACATGCTCGACCCACACCTTTTTGGCATATTCCTTCATGAAGCGGCGGATGAAGCGCGGATCCCACAGCTCGCTGGCAACACCCAGATCCTTGCAGCAGCGCATGAGCGCGTTGCTTTTGCACCCTTCAGTCGCCGTTGGGATGCCCTCGGGCTCGAAGTACTGCTGCTCGCCGCGCGCGATGCTCACCAGTCTACCGCCCGCCACAAGGCCGTACTCGCGCGTCACCGTCTTGCCGGTCACAATCGTCTCACCGCGCGGGGCCAGGCCCCAGCCGCCCGGGCCGAAGGCGCGATTGAGGATGCGCCGGTACTTGATCTCGGGCAAGTAGATGATACCGTCGGGCTTGATCTCGATGTCGTCGGCGTTGATTGGCTCGAGCAGCGCCGCGGCCGCCGCCTCGCTGAAGCGCTCCGACGACAGCCCGTGGAAGCTGCGCGACCAGTCCAGCGATGTGTCCGACTGGTCTAGGTCTAGCGGGTTGTCCGAGAGACCCTCCTCAAGGTCGCGGATCGGCGTGGAAGGACTGGCGGCGGCCGAGTTGCGCGCGGTTGTCGGCGGTGCGGAAGCGGAGGCGGTGCTGCTGCGGGTGGGCGGTGCGGTATTGGTAGTTGTGGTGGTGGTGCGAGGAGTGGTAGAGGTCGTGCTGGTGCTGGCGGCGCGGAAGACACGCTTGGGCGCCGTGGTGCTGCTGGAGGTGCTACTGCTATTGCGGGCTGTGGTGGCGTACGCGTGCCAGCTAACCGGCGGCCGAGGGAGACGCGGAGCATTAAGGCAGCGGCGTAAGCACGCACAGGTCTGCCTGGTGTGTACCGCACTCATTGTATTGATACGTGTACGCGGAGGAATTGGGGGTGAAGAGAACCGGAATTGGAGTACTTGATGGCTTTTCTCCCGCTGGGCGGACGCGAGAAGTCGCGAAGGTAGTCGGGATTTGCTCGCCGCTCGGCCCGATGGCGGTAGTGCTCGTGAGTCCTTATCGATTGCTGCTATTTCGTCATCATTCAGGGTGCTTCCGAGCGGCCCACAAGGAAGTTCATACTTTCGTCATTTGAGGAGCGGCTGGAGATCAACAAGATGTTCCCCTGGCTCCCCGAGCAGCTAGGAGACGGCACGAGTGGCAAAACGGGCACATTGAGGGACGCACTCTTGTGCCAACATCCTAGCTCTGAGCTGTTCAGACAATAACAGAGTATGGCAGCCGACGGCTAGCGTGAATTTATTTTCTCTCATACCATGGGTAATTGTATCGTCCAGACGTGGATGTATAGTTATTAATTCCACATTCACGTCCGGATGATAGCTTCAACTACCCATACATGTTCTTTTTCGTTGTGGAAAAAAAAAAGAGGAGCTGAGGCATGCTTACTCTATGTTCTAAGGCCCTACCGTTCTTCGCGCTAGCCATCGGCTGCATCACCCGTCTGTAAGAATAAGAGTCAAATTCGTACACGCTGGCACCTAGAATTTCTTGACCTGAGATAAACTCTTGCAGAACAATCAGTTAGTCGTTAGAATCGTGAAAGGCAATATCATTTGGACTCTATCGCTCTAGTCCTATTCTCAACTACGCAACGAAGAAATTTTTGGTCAAGTCATATCCGTAACCTTGTCTTTTGCACGTCTTGTACATAGACACGTTCATCTCGTAAATTAAGCCTTGAGGCTCGCGACGGTTTCGTCGACCAGCTTCCTGTAGCGGGTCTGGTTCTCGATCTGCTCAAGGAAGACCTTGTACTTGGTCGCCAGCAGCTTCTTCTCACCCTCGTTCTTGGTAGGCTTGATAGCCTTACCGGGCTTGCTGTAGCGGTCCATGATTTCCCACAGCGGGGTGCTCTTACCCTCCTTATCGGTCGAAGCAGCCTTGGCACCAAGCATGGCCGCACCGTGAACGACGGCAGCGTGGACGTAGCGGGGAATGAGAACCGGCATGTCGCAAGCGGCGGCAATCAGGTGCATCAGGATGTCGTTCTGGCACTGCGAGCCGGACATGAAGATGGATGAGATCGAGTGGCCAGACTCGTTCATCGCAGTAATGATCTGGTGGGTCTGCAGAGCGATAAACTCCATGGTTCCCAAGTATGCCAGTGCCAGAGCGTCTAGCGACTTGTCGCTGCTGAGACCAATGAACGAGCCCCTCATGTTGGGGTCGGCAATTGGAGAGCGGTTGCCGAACAGGTCACCGTAGAAGAACAGGTGCCTGCCGAGCCAGCTGATGAAGGGCGCGTCCTGCTTCTCAGCCATCTCCCGGAGGTGTTCGTTCAGGTACTCATAGATGTTCGTGTTGAACGTCTCAGCCACAGACATGGCTTCGTTGAAGGCAGGGTGAGTCTCAATCGTGTGCTTGAGCAGCTCACCGGTAGCACTCTGTCCACCTTCTGCCATCCAGTAGTCGGGAAGCAGAACGTCACGGTATGGACCCCATACACCGTTGACGAAAACAGGATCGCGAGACATGGCCAAGTGGCAGGTGGAGGTACCAGCAACGGCGGCCAGACGGGTGAAGGCCTGGGAAACGTCGTTCTTGGGCACATCGGCGTTGAGCTCCTCGTCGGACAGCTTGACCTTGGCACCGACCGTGCCAATCCAACCAGCGTACGCATCGATGACACCGCTGCCAACGGCGATGCCAGCGGGCAGACCCATATCCATGGCGGCCTTCTCACTCAGGGTACCAACAAGCTCACCAGCAGTCAAGTATTCACCGTTCTGCAGGTATCGTTAGCTGCGACCTGTACAATTGAGAGGAGTGTGAAGGCTAACCACCCCGTTGACGCCACCCATGCGCTTGAAGTTGTCTTCGACAAGCTCTTCCAGGCCGATCTCCTTGAGGAAATCCTCCTGCCAACCCTTGACACTGCCGTCCACGCCAACAGGGACGAAGCCCTGCTTGCAGACGACGCTGCAGAAGCTACGGGTCTCGTTGCCAGTGGCCATGTGAGTCAGAGCATCGGTCAAGTCGTAGAACTTGCACTTGTCAAACAGTTCCTTGGGCATGTTGTTCTTCAGCCAAAGGACCTTGGGGATTTCCATTTCGATGGACATCTTGCCACCGACATAGCGGAGCAGGTTGTGGTTGGTGTTGTTGATCTTGACCGTCTCGTCGACGGGGCGGTGGTCAAGCCACAGGATGACGTTGCGGTCATGGCCTTCACGGTTGTCGAAGTTGGGGCCGGTGATGCACACGGGCTCGTCTGTCTCGGAGTTGAAGACAGTGAGCGAGCAGGTGGCATCGAAGCCAATGCCGCGGACGGTGTCAGCGTCGATGTTGTGCTGGTCCAGGGCGCGACGGATGGATGAGCAGATGCACCGCCAAATGTCGCTGGTGGATTGCTCCTGCATCAATGCGTCAGCGGCTGCAAAGCAGAGGGGCGCGAGACGGGCGAGCTCACGTAGTAGCCCGTCTGCGGCTGCCAGAGGCCAATGTTCTCGGAGGCAAGGCCGACAATGTCGCCGTGGTCGTTCATGATGCAGGCACGCGCGCTGCCCGTGCCGACATCGACACCGATGTAGTGGTCGACGTGCGGGTGGAGCTCATTGCGCGGGTCAGTCGACATCTGGCGCGACTGCTTGCGCGAGGGGGGAGCTCTGTAGGGCAGGGACGACATGGTGGGCAACAATTGCTGCCTGAGCCGGTCTCACGATCGAAGTGCTCTGCTTGAGGGTGTAGATCAATGGAGAGGAAATTGGGCTGATTGAGGGCAATGTTTGTGAGGGGGAAGAGATGCTGGAGACGAGTGTCCGGTGGGGGAGGGGCGCGGGAAAAAGCTGTTGAGACGCAGCCTCCTAGCTCTGCCTCAGAATCTCACGATCGTCGAGAGCTCTGCGGATGACTTCATACCCCGGTTAGCTCGAGGGGTCCTCCACAATCAAAATGTGGGTCTCGCGCCCCGGACAAGTTGCGATTTGCCCAGCCCGCTCTTGGCCCGTCTTCTCGCCCCCGTCATCATTGGCCCTGAACTGGCAATGCCGGTTTTCTTACGCATCCGAGGGGCGCCGACGGACCACGTTGACGTTGCACGACTCATCAGAGCTTTATCGCGCCGCCTGTGTTGCCCCATGCCTCCAGCGGCCCCGGTCTCGGCGGACTTGCCCCCGAGCCCGGGCTAACGTTCGGCCACCCCCGACGCGCCACGAGCTGGGAATCAGCTACCTACACCTGCAACTCTCCTGCACGACGCCCGCAGCGGCCGCACACCGCTCAGTCCTGTCTCCCCTCCACCCGGAGTCGCTCCCGCCCGCCATGGCCTCCCTCGTCCACTGCATCCTCGCCACCCTCGCCCTCCTTCTTACCACCGCCCTCGCCGCCGACAAGACTCTCAACATCCACGCCTGGCCCCTCGACGCTCCCGCCCCGCAGCACCTTGCCCAGATCTCTTACAATGCCGCCAATGCCAGTGCTGCCGTCGTGTCCTGGAAAGCCCCGAGCATCTCCATCACCGACAACGCCCTCCTCCGCATTGGCCTGCAGAAGCCCGATTGGACTGGCATTCTGACGTCGGCTGCCGCGCTTAGTCCCGAGTATAAGAAGACACTCGTCCTGCATGCCGATGCCCAGGGTGCCATCTACGGCATCGGGTTCGGCGCCGAGCCTCGCGCCACCTCGGAAGCGGAGAAGAAGAACGGTGCCGTCGAGGATGAGGATGTCGTTGAAGTGAAGGTCGAGAAAGTCCAGGCAGGCCCCGCGCCGTTCTTGAACAAGCCCGTGGTGTTGGACGAGAAGGGAAAACTTGCTGGGCAGGAAGAGCCGGAGAAGACGTTTTTGCAGAAGTAAGTGATGGCTTGCACCCGCGCTACCGGAGTTGTACTAATGTCAATCATAGGTACTGGTGGGCCATCGCGTTGTTTGTAGTGCTCCAGCTATTCGCTGGTGGAAAAGAATAAGTACGAGCCGGTCTAGAGAGACGGTTTCTATCGATGATGGATCGTGTAGGAGGAAAGACGCGACATGTTTAAGCGCCTTCTCTCGTACCTTGATGTTGACATTTGGCCCGGATTTCCATACGAAACAAGGACTTGTGTTTGTCAGGGCTACTGATCTTCTGTCAACTGCTCGCAACTGAAACGCCACTGGCTTCCTGGATAGCTTGGAAACAGAAGCTTTGGGCCGAAGAGTAGAGCAGCTCCGAGAGAGTACGCGGACAGCATCCGAGCCTACGGCTGTGATTTTGGCATACCCGAAGGACAGAAATGCGGCAAGGAATAGGACATTTGAGCATGATCCTAATGGAACGAAAAGGATGAATTACCAACCGAGCGAACATGTTGACGCGAAGAGCCTTGCTCGTACGACTTATGCCTATACTTTTCCTAGTTATGTTCAAGCACCACCCGGCCTTGTAAAACACGGCAATGTACTCCCGCAGCATATCCAGACCAAGCGACGAATTTCTCATGAGAAGTCAATCGGGTATCTTTATTCTGATAGAACTTTCGTAATTAAGAAGCACAACCCGTGTGGGCGACGTCATCTCTTTGTCTTCTTTCGAAATCAAGACAAACGCCATATGCCTGCTTGCTCCCTTTGCTGCCAACCCAAGGAAATCAAGGAAAGGAAAAAGGGAAGAAATGGAATCTCTGGAACATGAAATACCCAAGGACATGCACGCTATTACTATGCAAACATTATGCCAAAACGAAAAGGACAGTCTGGCAAACAGCAAATCGAACCAAGAAACAATGAAAGGGAAGCACAAACAATAAGAAATAGTGACCAATGAAACCCTGTCCCTGCCAAGAGAATTCGACCAGAAAGGAAAATCAAGTCTAAACCGGTGCCGACTGGTAGAAAATGATGTTGTGATGGTCTTCCTGTGATCGGGATCGCCCTGTCGTTGGCAGACCTAATCGTAAAAGCCGCGTGGATCTCCCCGGAGACCAGGTCAATTTTGGCTTGGGGTGAGTCGACACTCAACAACACCTGCCACCTTTCTTCTCCGTCCTCTCAATCTCAGCACTCCATTCCTCGCCGCCGGGGGTCTGTATTGGGCCGCCGATCCCCGGTGAAGGAGTGGGAAAGCCAAGCCAACTCCGGCGCTTATCTCCCATGCCAACTCGAAAGCTGCCGCTCGCGCTCCCTGATGAGTAGTCGAAGTAACCACCTTGACCGGGCCCGCCGCTCACCGCAGGTGTCACGCCGCCTGAGCTGAGAAAGTCCTGCTCCATGCTCTTATTGCGCTGCTCGACCAGTTTGCGCGTGATGACTCGAAAAACCTCCTCGACACCCTCACCATCCTTGGCGCTGATCTCGTGACAGCAGTCCCATCCCACGTCCTGGCCCCAGAAGCCGCTGCTCCTATTACTCTGTGGGCTCGCCATGCCGCTGTCATCCTTAGCGCCGCCCGTTACGCCGGCGACGCCCCAGAGACTCTTCGGGACCGACGTGGTTTGCTTGTCCTGCTGCGCCTGCTGCGGAAACAAGTTCTCGGCGACGTAGGCAATGCATCGCTCGAAAGGAACCTTGCGGGCCGAAGGGTCTTCGGCTACCCTATCGACTTTGGTGCCGACGACGTGAAGGATGATATCGTCGCCCAGATTGTTCTTCAACTCGATGAGCCAGCGGCCCATTTCCTCAAAGGACTTCGGATCGGTGATGTCGTAGCAGAGGACTGCTGCATTAGCGCCTGCATGGATATGCCGTCAGCATTCCACTCGTCTGCACTTCTCCACTCTTCTGGCCGAAGACGGCAAGCTTTGCAACATTGCCTCCGACGCGAACGTAAAGCGCATGCCGAGTGTCGCGCGCGTCTCTTGGTAGATGTTCCGTGGGAAAGGTATGCAGGGACCATGACTTACCGCGGTAGTACAGCTTGGAAATGCTACGATATCTCTCCTGGCCAGCAGTGTCCCATATTTGGAGGCGAACCACGGTGGATGTGTCGATGTCGACGACCTTCTTGGTCAAGAACGAGGCGCCAACGGTGGAGGTGGTGTTTGCGAAGGCGTTCTTGACGTATCGATGCACCAGGCTGGTTTTGCCGACGCCCTTGCTAGGGTCAGCGATGCACGGAAGAGCTGGTGTTTGGGGAAAACGGTGGGTACCTGCGAGCCGAGCACTACGACCTTTGCCTCGACGTCTGAGCCGGCCATGTCGATGGTTTACAGGAGAAGCGAGGCGGGTGCGTAGGGAGATTGGCAGACGCTGATGATCGGAGGCCCGTGTGCTAAGGTTCAAGGATTGTGCTGAACGACAGCTGCGGGTTGCGGTACAGCTGCGACGTGCGAAACGCGCGGCGGTTAAGATCGGCGCTGAGCGACTGCCGGCGTGGTTGGAGAGGCTTGCCACGACGCAGCCATGAGAGAGGGGAGCGAGGGCGAGGGCGGTACTGGTCGCGCAGCGAGAGATACGGCGGTCGGATTGGACGTCGGCGCGTGGTGGTGAGCAGCGATGACGAGAGGCGATCGGCCTGGATTGGCAGCGTGACAATCATGGCCCAAGTGGATCGTGGTCCTCGTGCACTGCGCCGCTCGGAGCCTTGGCCGGTGGCTGCTGTGCCCGGCCCGCGTGCCGTGTTGCCTGAGGCACCACACCGACCAGACCGGCAGTTGCGCGGCGCGCGGTGACGAAAGAAACCGCCGGCGCCGTCCCATACCTTGCCGCACCACGCTTATGCCTGTCTGCCGTTTTGGTGCAAATCCCACTTTACGGCTGTCTCGATGAACTGCGGGGCACCGATGTCTCAAATATTCTGCAATCTGCTGTGGACCCGAGGCTGGCGAGCTGCATTACTCGATCCAGCGAGTGGCACCAGCAAAGGACCGGCGCTTCCATCCGTGCTTAGCAAGCGCCGCCCTGTCATTGGCGCGCCCACGCCTCAAAGCTTACCCCACACTCGCTCGGTATTCCTTTGAACCGACGCCCCAGGGCTTGAGCCCCTACGATAGCCGCTTCGGAAATCCCAGGGAGCGCCGGGCTAATCTAGACCAAAACTGCAATATCTTCCTACGCAGCGAGCACTACAAATCCCCTCGCCGCGCCGCTCCATTCTCCCTCTGCCGTCGCCCAGCCCCTCCCGCCGCCATGAACCGCAACAGCAACAACAGCCAGCCGGTGAAAATAACCGGCGAAGAAGTCGCCAAGCACAACTCCGCCGAGAGCTGTTGGGTCATCGTCCACGGCCGCGCATACGATGTCACCGAATTCCTGCCCGAGCACCCTGGTGGCATGAAGATCATCCTCAAGTATGCCGGCAAGGATGCCACCGAGGAGTACGAGCCAATCCACCCGCCCGACACTCTCGACAAGTACCTCGACCACTCGAAACATCTGGGCGAGGTGGATATGAACACGGTGCAGCAGGAGGAGAAGGCCGAGGACCCGGATGAGAAGGCGCGGCAGGAGAGGATCGCGAGGAAGCCCATCCTGGAGCAATGCTACAACTTGATGGATTTCGAAGCAGTGGCGCGAAACGTCATGAAGAAGACCGCATGGGCGTACTACTCGAGCGGTGCCGACGATGAAATCGTAAGCATTCCTGTGGCGTGATTCCACTTCGTCTGGTTTCACTGTATAGGCGCCACACCGTAAATGAACGACTGGCTTACACCAACTACAGACATTACGAGAAAACCACTCGGCCTTCCACAAAATCTGGTTCCGTCCCCGAATCCTCGTCGACGTGGAGAAGGTCGACTGCTCGACAACAATGCTTGGCACCAAGGTCGACATGCCCTTCTACGTCACTGCGACTGCTCTCGGCAAGCTGGGCCACCCTGAGGGTGAGGTGGTCCTCACACGCAGCGCGAAAAAGCACAACGTCATTCAGATGATCCCCACGCTGGCCTCTTGCTCTTTTGACGAGATTGTCGACGCAAAGGAGGGTGATCAGGTGCAATGGCTGCAGCTCTACGTAAGTCCAATGGGATCCTGTAATTCAAGACACTCAATTAACATTTTCCGCAGGTCAACAAGAACCGTGAAATCACCAAGGGTATCGTAGAACATGCCGAGAGACGTGGTTGCAAAGGCCTCTTCATTACCGTCGATGCCCCTCAGCTTGGCCGCCGCGAGAAGGACATGCGCAGCAAATTCGACGACGTCGGCTCCAGTGTCCAAAGCAGCTCGGGCGACAGTGTGGACCGCTCTCAGGGGGCTGCGCGTGCCATCTCATCCTTCATAGACCCTGCCCTCAGCTGGAAGGATATCCCCTGGTTCCAGTCCATCACCAAGATGCCCATCATTCTCAAGGGCGTGCAGTGTGTCGAGGACGTGCTCAAGGCCGTCGAGGCTGGTGTCCAGGGTGTCGTTCTGTCCAACCACGGTGGTCGCCAGCTCGACTTCGCCCGCTCCGGTGTCGAAGTTCTCGCGGAGGTCATGCCGATCCTGCGGCAAAGGGGCTGGGAAAACAAGATCGAGGTCTACATTGACGGCGGTGTTCGTCGTGCAACCGACATTCTTAAGGCACTCTGTCTGGGTGCCAAGGGTGTTGGTATCGGCCGTCCATTCCTGTACGCCATGTCTGCTTACGGACAGCCTGGTGTTGACCGCGCTATGCAGTTGCTCAAGGACGAGATGGAGATGAATATGCGTCTCATCGGCTGCTCCAGCATCGATCAACTCAACCCGAGCTTGATCGACACTCGAAGCCTCAGCATGCACAGTGCATCCGTTCCGTCGGATACCTTGGGCTTGAACGTGTACGACCCGTTGGTTGGGCCCAAGGAGAGCGTTGTCAAAGAGAAAGCGAAGTTGTAAGGCTTGTATAGATATTCAAGATGGATATTACGTCGACATGATCGTACGTTTGAGCAACGTTTTGGATAATTTTTTTGGGGTTGGTGTATATACGGTAATATAGAAAGAGGCACGCTGGGTGTTGGACGCCCGGGTTTAGAAGTGACTTTCAAGCTACTACAGGGGGGGTATTGCAGCCGATGGCTAGCATGAAGAATAGGAAGGTCACAGGCGTAGCTATGCCTCAGCTCTTTCTCGGAAAAATCACAAATGTGGGTAACTGACGCTATCGTCCGGATGTGTATGTAGAGTTTTTAATTCCACATTCTTGTCCAGACAAAGCTTCAACTACCCATGAAATGACCAAAAACACATCCACGCTTGCCATAGGCTGTGAGAGGGGATTGCAGATCAGACTTTACATGTCATTTGGGATTCTCTGCCCTGCGTATGTTGTCTCCGCTTGCAGTGCAGTATGGTGTAGATCAAATAGGAATTACGGATACGAAAGCCCCTCATTTCGCTCTTTGACAAGGGAAACCATGACTCTCCTTATACAGTCAATCCTCGTAAAGAGGAACAGAGTGAAATACGAAAACAGCGATGTGACTTTGGTTAATGAAATCGAAACCGGCGTAGGGGCAACTAATACATCCAACATGAAAATAAAGACAAATTGTGGAGATCATCTCGTGTCCTCCGACAGTGCCGTTGAAATGGCCGTAACAAGCTGGATTGCAGCAATGCTACGGGCTACCCATCTCTACACTCACATCTGTTGCGAAATCAAAGAACTTTGACAGTTCTTCATCCTCGTTATACTTACCTGTCTCGAAACTCTGTGGATCCGTGGAGCCCTGGGGCGACAATTGAACCTGATCTTCTTCGGAAATTGGAAGGAATGGTGCGCCAAGGCAGTCCTCGGATTCATTACCATATCGGATTAAAGGGCCACCAAAGAAATCCGTGGATGTAAAACAAGATGGTGGTTCCTTTGGGGTCATCCTTGAGGTGGAATCAGGCCAAATCCTGGCAATATCCTCATTGGCTAGAACTCCAGGAGCGCGGTCGCGCGAAATCCATCGAAGATCCTCAGTGGTCCATATCCAGGGAGCGATATCGTGCGAAATCAACGGAAAGGTTTCACTTTCCGATCGTCGGATCTGCAGCTTCTTCTGTCTAAACTCACGAACATCTCGAGTATGGTTGGTTCTCGTAGCTGTCTCGTGGTCAGACACCTTTACGATAAACTCTCCTCCAGTAGCTGAGAGACGATAAAATGAGTCAGATATTTGGATAATCGAGCCCTGAATGTTTTGGTATTCAGGAGGGACATTCTCACAGGCTACCCGAGCCGTGGACCCAACCTCCACTGTTCTGGATCTTGCTCTGTTTTTCCGTATATTCCACTCTCTAAGCTTGTTGTGATACTGTCGTTTTCTGCAGATATGTCAGCGTATCTGTGGACGATGTCTCTGGAAGTGTAGCGTGATACTGACGATGCGCGAAACCCCAAAGCAGACATCACCGTCATCATCTGCTCAATGGTCATTCGTTCATACAAGCCGATGATGATGTTCTTGTATTTATGCCACGCGAGTCTTTCCTTGCCCTTGCGCATGTTTTTGAGGTCGGTGGCCACCCGAGATTGAGCTGAGGACAGTACGCGACCCAGTTCCGCATGGGCGCCGGAAACCGATGTGTGAGTGGTAATATGGTTGTAACCAGAGACAGACAAGTGCCACAGAAGTAGAGCTCATGGTGTTCTTAAGTGTGTGGAAGCCTAAGAAATGCAATCCAGCCTGATGAAACGCGCAAAATGCATGTCAGCAAAAGCAGCCTCAGCCCTGAAAGTGCAGTTCAGCCTTGTCACCCTGGACAGTCCGATAACCAACCAAATGCCAGTAATTCAGCCATTCGTGTTGTAATGAGAAAAGCTATACACCATCGATAATTGATCTTACATCTTGTTCTACGGCATCTAGCAATCTCAACCTTCTCCCCACATCAGAGTGGCCCTCCCGCTGCCAAGGCATGCCTGTCACCAGCGTGCGTTGATTGGTATAGGCGGGAAAGCACGCAAAGAACAGACGAAAAAGCTAGTGATCAATCACACATCACCTGGTTTTCCATTAACACGCATAATCTGCAGCCAGAACCGACATTTCAAACACCCACTCGAGGCAACCGTACGTGCAAGCTCGTCCACTCAGTGCATAAAACGGACCACCAACCAGAACACCATACGATGCAAGAAAGCAACCACCCAAAACCCCTCAACTCTCGTGCTAAACACCTCAAAACGCCCTATTTCGTCCCAAGAAAAAAAAAGAAAATCCCGAAAAGAACGTGCAAGATCATCAAAGAAAATCCAAAAGGAACGTGCAAGGTCATCAAAGGAAATCCTAAGGGAAGGGATGTGAAGATCATCAAAAGAAATCCCCAGGGAATGGTGTAAAGGTCATCAAAAGAAGTCTCCAATCTCAATCAACCTGACCCTCGCTCTCGACCTGTGCCACCTGCCAGAGACGGAGCTCCCGGCGCACAAGTCCTTCGCCTTGAAGCCCACACCCCCGCCCAGACCTCTCACGGGCGCGCCCAGCATCAAATCGCCCACGCCAATGACTGCGTCCAAGCTGTCGTCGACATCAGGCTCGAGCACGTAGTCAATGGTGCTGCCGATGGTACCAACGTAGTCGAACGAAAAGCGGTCCGTCACGACGTTGTCCTCGTTCTCGACGACGATTTGGATTCCGTTGCTGTTGGCGCTGTGCGTCGACGAGGAATAGGTTGACGACGAGCAGGACCGCCAGGACCCGGAGAAGCCGCGCATCCGGTCGGTTCGTGGCGAGTAGCACTCGACGCGCGCATCGATCCGCGCCTGTGACCTGCGTCGTGCCTTGGCCAAGTTTCGAGTGTACTCAATCGGCGAAGACGAGGACGCGGACGAGGGTGGCCTGCCGCCGACCGGGCCGCCGTCGTGCGGACTCATCGAGTCGCGCATGTCGTTGTTCCTGTCGCTCCTCTTGCCGCTGTTCTTGACGTAGAAGTAATACTCGTCGTCCGGCAAGGTTACGCAGCCGCGCGGACGACACAGGTCCTGCAGCACGCCGTCGTAGTCGCAAGGCGCGCGTAGGCGCTCGAGCAACGGGAAAGCGCCACCCGCGACGCTGATGGCCAGCTCGTCCGTGGCCGGCGCCGGCATTAGGATGTCCCAGTGCAGATTCCGTAACGAGTTTGACGCGAACACGGGCCGGAACAGCGGCACGTTGCTGTTGACACCCGGGGATCCATCCTGCACAATGGCGAAGCTTTCCAGGCGCGTGCACGACCTGAGAAAGGCGATTACGATGAGTAGGTCAACGATCTCCTGGTGCACGAGTGCGAGCGACGTCAGGCCCGCCGCCACGGGCGACTGGGCGAATCGGAGGAGCCCCTTGTCGGTGACACCGTCGAGGGCCTCGAGGCGGAGCGAGGTCAGGGTCGGGGGCAGGGCGGCAAGGGTGCGGTCGTTGAAGTCAGAGGCGGAGAAGTTGGAGATGTGGAGGCGACGGAGGCGCGGCAGCTTGCGGAAGGTAGCGACGAAGGCGCGGAAGTCCATGGCCCCTGAGTCCTGGCCGTGGAGAAAGAGGGTTTCTAAGTTGGTGGCGATGTCTTGGTGGTGCAGGAACAGCTCCGTCGGGCCCGGGTAGAGCTCGAAGGCTTGCTGCTGCGTCAGATGGCCTGCGCCGTGGTTAATTGGCTTCCCTATTATCCACGCCCGCTCTTTAAGGTTTGGTCTCGTTGACAAGGCGTGGTTGAGGCGGTCGAATTCGTGGTTGTAGATTCTGTAGAAGCCGGCGAGCTTCTCTAGGTTCGGGCAGGCCATGACTATTGATGCCAAATCATTGATGATTGCTTGCCCTTCGTTGTAGTTCGCCCGCAGCATGACCTGCTGCATTTCGGCTGCCTTGATCTCGACTACCAGCTTCGCCACAGCGCTCCTCTCTCGAAGTGTTTTCCGAAGCAGTTTCAAGCGGCTAGGGGCCTTCGATTTGGACTGCCGGGGGTCCGAGACGTCGGCTGGCGGCAGCCACAGTTTGGAATAGCTTGACGAGAACAGTCAGCACCAATTGGACACAGTAGCAGCTGGATGTGCTTACAGCTTGTTCCGTGCGGCCTTGTCCCAGGCCCGACTCGTCAGCGCAAGGTTGTACAGGTCCCGCAAGTAGCAGGTGGTGCAGCTCTGGGCGTCGTTGCCGAAGTGAAGCACTTCCAACTGTTGCAGAATACATGCGTACACCTCGCGCGGCAGGATCTGGAAGATGCGCGGCTGCATGACGCTCTTGGTCTTCGAATGGAAACGAAGGCCGCCAGAGGGGATGGAGAACATTGAGAGCGGGCGCTCGGGCATTTCCCATGGCGCTTTCTCAAAGGCGGGAGCGCTCTCGAACTGCGTGCGGACTGTCATGCCAGCCGGCAGCTTGCTGACGGTAGTGCGCTGCGAGATTATGGAATTGGCGGTGCGGTAAATCGACGTCGTCGCGCTGCTGAGGGCCGGGGGGAGGGAGGAGCGCTTTCTCGCGCGGTCTGCGGCATCCTTACTGCTAAACCGCGGGATGTTCACCGAGGGCGCGGCGTCGTCAGTGTCGTAGGCGTGGGACTCGTCCTCCTCGTCGATCACACAGGGCCGGGCTGTGTCATATATGCTGCCGGCGCGACATGTTAGCAAAGCACAGGCGAAGAATGGTGGCTCGACGCACTCGTAGGGATGGCCGTAGGGCGTCTTCTGCACGGACAGAGTGTCCTGGGGGGAGTGGGAGGGTCTCGTCATGGTCTCTTGGGGGACGGCAGGCAGCATTCAGCCAGCAGAAACTGGGGAGATGCGAGGAGAATATGGGCCTCGCGAGAAGGGCTGGCTTGGCTCGTGTGGTGGCACTGGCAGGCAGAACCATGCCGTACCTCGCGCCGCGGGCCAGGGATAGCAGGGCTGCGCCGGCGGCGATAGCGCCATCTGCAAGGGAGCACTACCGATTCGGCAGCCAATGATGGGCTGATCGGAATTTTTGGGCGGGCTTCGCAGCCGCGTGGGAGCGACCCAGCATGAGGGAACCTGAGATTGGGTTGCAGATCCGGGTTCATCACGCGTGGCCAGGCTCGCCCGGAGATCCGCGACCTCTCAGCGATCGCTCAATTCTTCCCCAGCTGCCGATCCGGTTGGCGTGCTCCTGCTGTCCGCGGCTCGACTCGAAATCAACTCCGGTGAGATGGCACGCCACCGGCGCAGTCCTCTAGCCCGTTCCTGCCGTCCTTTGGCCTCGGACCCCCACCCACCATCACGAAGAAAGGAGACGGCGCACTGAGAAACGTCGGCCGCCTGGGGCACGGTTCCCCTGCCTAGTCAGCCTCTGCACGTGGCGCCGTCAGTTATTGTACCACCGAGGGCTGCCCTGTCGCAATCTTATTTTCGCCAGTGACGTTGTATCATCAGCAAACTCCTGTCGCTTGTTGCATCAGCTCTTCGAAACCCAAGGCGAGCGTGCACTCTCGGATGCCCGAGTCGCCCTGCCGTTCCGAATTTAGCAGTCCAGAGTGCTGAGTTTCACCATGAACTCTATGCCCAGGCCTTGGTCCCCGAGCGTTGACGAACCACGTCATCTGCTGACTCTTCGAACAACGGCGGTTTTCCTCAGCGTGCCCACGGACCGTATTCGAAGAGACGTTGTCATGAAGAAATGCATTGCTGGTCTCGCGAGAAACCGCTTTTGTGTCCAACCAACCGAAATACAGCCCATCTTTTTCAAATCCCCCAGCGCCGACCCCCCTTGCGGGCCCCCTCGTCTCAGTTGGATGACGACGGCCCAGATGGCACGAAACACCGTCGCCGAATGCTCATCAAAGAACTCCCGGTTTGCCGTGCATCTATTGAGTCTAATCACAAAGGCCGTTATTTTTGCCTGGTTGCCAGCTTGTCGAAGCTGCTCCAGCCATCGACGCCTGTTCACTCAGGCGGAGCGGAGTCGACCGTCACACGCAGAGTTTGCAACGGTTCAATTAGCACCTGGCACACGATTAGCGTCATCTCCGAAAAAAAGTTCCTTCGTATCGTCATCGGGCTCACATCTTGTAGCTACCCGAGCCCTGGGCCTGCCTGTGCATGTCTTCGGACTCGAGCCTGTATTCAATGTCGATGTCCAGGTCACGCTTGTTCTTCTCGTTCGGCTTGTTGCTCAGAGTTCCAACGATCTTCTCGCCCGCCTCCACGGTGAGAACGTCGTCAATGTAGAAGACCGTCTGCTTCCAGTGCGTGTACTTGGTGTGCGGGCCGGTCGAGAAGCGAATGGGCTTGTGGCACGCGCTGAACTCAATGTCGAACCAGGCGATGATGGCGTGGACAAAGTCGCTGCGGCGCACATTGAGGCTGTACGGGACCTTGAACGCCAGGTCTTCCGCCTTCACCGTGTAAAGGTCGATGTTGAAGATGGCGGCAGGGTCGGTGACAACGGCCTTCATGTCGACCGTGTCGACCAGAGGCTCCGTCATGGCAGTCTTCTTGAGCGGCGTGTAGTCGAAGCCCCACACGTTGTCCCAGACTGCGAACATCAGCACGGCACCACCAACTGCAGCACGCAACACTCACAGCCAATCTTCTCCTCCTTGTAGTCGCCGTCTTCGATGCCGGCCAAGAAAATGGTGGCCTTGTCGGGGAAGATCAAGCCGCCGGGAGCCAGGTACTTGTCGCGGGCGTAGAGGACCGTGTCAAGCATGCTCTCGTACAGGAGGAAGTAACCCATCCACTCGGAGATGATGATGTCGACCTGGGGGAAAGGCAGAACAACCTCTTCCATCTTGCCCTGCAGCAGCGTGATCTTGTCCGACATGCCGTTGGCCTCGACGATTTCCTTGGCCTTGTCGATGATGGTCGACATGTCAACGCCGATGACATGCTTCGCACCGGCCTTCACGGCGAACCTGTATTTTCCAGCATATTAGGACCAGGTGGTGCCAAGGGCGGCGGGGATGTGTGGGGAGGGCTGCAAACATGCTAAGGATGGATGTACCGCATCCGACGTCCAGGACAACCTTGTCCTTGAAGAGATGGCCATTCTGGTAGATGGCGTCCCTGTACGACCGCGTGCGAACCTCGTCTTTCTGCGGAGCCTGTTAGCCGGGCGATGCGCCGCGGGGCACCAGGAAGCGGGCACTCACCAGCATCTCCTCGTGGATGCCTCGACGGACAGTTAGCTCGAGCTCGCGCGCGCAGTCTTGGGCGACTCACCATGGTGGTTGTAACTGCAAAGAGAGGCGTCAGCGCTGGGGTCCTACAAGGCTTTTGGGTCGCAAATGCGCGCGCACCTGTTGAAGTAGTGGGCCTCGGAGTGGGCCAGGTTAGCCATGCGGTCGTCGGCCATGACTGCTGAGGATTGGGGAAGAAATGCTCGGAATAGCAAGAAAGGACTTGGTGGTAAAGAAAATGCAGACCGCCGGGTAGACTTTTCTGTCGCTGGACAACTTTCGCGTCGCGCCCGACGTCCGTGCGATCGCGCTTGCGCCGGCTACTCACCCGGCGGGCGCTGACATGGCCGGCCGCCACCGCTCGACAGCGTGCCATTTCGCCGCAAAAACCCCGCCGGCTCTGCCTCTTGAGGTAATGACATATTATTGGCTATCGCACTATTGAACACAGAGACTATATAAACGACCGCTATAGATCCCTCCAGGATGAATAGTCCAACCCGTTTCGAATGAACGCTTTCCGCCCTGCCAGTCCATAGGGTATATGACCATAATAATCGTCAGTCGTGAGTCGTAGTCGTTAGTCGTAATCATGAGGGCTTCATGGAACCCTTATTGTCGGGAAAACAGCGAGAAAATCTTCGCAATCTTTGCCAAGTCAGCTTTTGATGCGACAGACTCGCTCGAACGACGCACCTTTTCGTGTCGTGAAACGCAGCTCGAACTGGCTATCTCTGCCCTTTGGCGGTGAGTAGTTGTCGCAGAAGACGTACGGATGCAACACGCTCAGAGATAGGATCCTCGGTCCTACTCGACGCATCCAGCCTTTGCGGCCGATGTATTGTGTGACAAAAGCCGTCCAGATCGGCGTTTTCTGCATCGGCCCGCGGCGTGCGGTTGCCTCGAAACGAACAGCACCGGTATTCCGATCCTTGAACACCCGGAAAGCATGAAGGTAATGGTCATCCTCGATTTCGCCCGAGAACTCCGTGTCCTCGCCCGTCTGGAAGTAGTCTTCGACTCGAAGGGGGCTCTCGATCCCGTCTTGGCGTTTTATGGCCACGGCGGTACAGAAGAACAGCACCATCCTCTCGTAACAGGTGAACCGGAGATTTGCCCAGAGATCCATGCGGCCATCATACTGGTTCCCTCTTGACAGCTGCAGACAAGTGCCGACTCGTCGGATGTTCAGCAGAGTGAGCGGTATGCAGTGACGATACCGTCGGCCTAGTGGGTCCTTTGTAAGGAAAAGAAGCCTGGCGCGGTGATCGGCCGGCCTCCAGTAAAGCCTGACCCAAGCATCGGCTGCGTCAAACGGCCTTGTCAAATCAGCAGAGGGGAAGCGACAACATGGCAGCATACTTACTGCTCCACAACCTTTTGGAACCCTTCTGCAAAAAGCCTGTTCACGGCTTCAGGATAATCCCTACCGAGACATCTTGTTCTAGAGCATGTTCAGCACAACTGATGGGTGAGGCTTTATCGACAAGTTCTTACGGTTGGCCTAGGTGCCCAAGGAATTGCGTCACGGGATGCATTCCGTCGAATATCTTCTGAGCCCAATGAATAGGGCTATACGAGCTGGTGGACTCCAGACTCGGCGACGTCGGGAAAGACGCGAATGTGTCAAACGATGAATTGGAGTAAGTGGGCGACAAGGGCACTTGAGGCACTGCTGGATAGACGCCATCACTATCCCAATCGTCTGGGCTAACGGCTGGTGACTGGGCGATGTACTGTGGGTTGGTCCGCAATGGAGGTCTCACTGGTGACGGCCTGAGAGGTGCTGGTGGAGATTCTGATGGGGGCGTCAGCGGTCTGCCCCTCGGGGTTCGCAGACATCTAGCATCCTGACTCACCATGGCGTTCGGTATCGAGGAAAGCCTGGCGGGCTTTCAGACGCTTGACGACCGACGCCACGACACCCAAATCATCAATTTCCTTATCGCTTGATGGACGTTAGTACGGCTATTCATCGAACGGGAAGCGCTGGCCGTACCCTTGCAGTACATCAGAAATACCCATGGTCAGATCGTGGTATGCTACGAGGCGGCCACCGAATGATCGGCCTTCACGGTCGAACCGGCCGCACAGACGCTCGTAGGCCCGGCGGGGGTTTGCTGTAGCTTTCACGCCGAAGAGATCAGACTTCACCGTCTCCAGCGTCAATTCCAGGCTTGGGCACAGGAGATCCAGCTCAGGCGTCACCTGAGTGGCGGCGCGGCGGAAGGATCGATGGGTGACGAGCTCGTCCAGCCGCCTCAGCTCCGCGCTGATGGCGAAGAGGGCGCTGATGTGGGCTAAGAAGTCGCGCTCGCAGCCGGGGAGAGCGTCGATGAAGGCCTGCAGGCCAGACGCCACGTCCTCGGCGTCTTTGGCCAGGTCAAGCAGCGACCAGTCCATTGCGCATGGCGTGACGGGCGGGAGAGGGCGAGGGCGGGAGTCTGTGTAGCGGGGGAGGTCAAAACAACGCTTGTGCACATGAGGATCGCGAGCTGGCTCTGGCAGAAATCCGGGGCAAACCCCCCGACGGCGGCACAAGAGATGAGCAGCTGCTGAGGCTCTACCGCCGTTGATGAGCTGTCAATGGCAGGGCAGACCAATCGAACGCGACCGCATGCGCATCCTACTCGCATGCCGCTGATCCCACGAACGTGACCAGCGGCGCAGTCAAACCACCGAGGAGCCCTCTGCATGACAATGCATCTCTTGCGTCGCGGGCCATTGGGCGGGCAGGGTTGCGCAGCACGCCCCTAAGCCCGACTCCCGCGGCCGCCGCTACCGGGATCATCGCCGCTGCAGTGTTGCCTAGAGAGCTGCCGAGGCCATCATCAAGGCCGCCGCGGCGACAATGCGACGGTTGCCGCGCTGCGCGTCTCTAGTCGCGGAGTGGCGTAGACGCGCATGCTGTGTGCTGGCGAGTCCTGATAAGACGAGACGAATAGAGTGAGTTTGCGGCTGCGGCCGGGCCCACCATCGGCCGAGGAGTAGCATCGAGTACTTTGGGAGACCGTATAGCTTGAAAGACAGTGGAGCAGACGTCCGAGGACGCCTACCAGCTTTATATACGTGATGGGAGCCTACATTGTGACTGCAGGCCCGCCTTGCGCTCCGCCTCACTCCCACGAGGCCGGGCTGCGCCACCGCGGCAGGGCATTCGTGCAATCACTGTCCAAGCGTCCTCCTTCACGAGTACAATTCCGCCCCAGGAACGACCGTAAGCGCGCTATCATGTGGGTGATGGCCGTGGTGATTGGACACCTCCGTGGCCGCACGTGCGGTGTCTCGGATCACTTGCCAATCGTCTTCAGCCGCTCATCCACCAGCCTGGTGACCATCTTCTCCAGGACGGCAATGTCGCCGCTGGCCTTGTCCTCAAAGTACCCGACCACGCTCTTCTCGACGTACTTCCCGACCTGGTCCACCTCGACGTTCACCTCCTCGCCCGGCTGCTTGCTCGCCGTCACCACCTTCTCCTGCGTGTAGGCGATGAGCATGACCTCCCACCAGCCGTCCGGCCCGTCCTGCACCTTTGTCACCGTCAAGCTTGCGCCGTCGATTGTGATGAAGCCCTTCTCCACAATGTACCTCAGGATCGACTTGTCGCGCGGCTGGAAGCGGAACGTCTTAGCGTTGCCGTCAGGAGTGACTGACACGATGGTCGCGACGGTATCGACATGGCCTTGGACAAAGTGGCCGCCCATGCGGGTCGAGGCAGACACGGCACGCTCCAGGTTGACGTTGGAGCCCTGCTTGAGAGCGCCCAGGTTCGTTCGGCGGAGCGTCTCAGGAGCGACGCCGACCTTGAAGGAGGACTTGTCGAAGTGGGTGACGGTCAGGCAGGTGCCTGCGAAGCGTCAACACGGCGTCTCGGAGAGATAGATGAGCGGTAGGCTAACCATTGACCGCGATGCTGTCGCCCAAGTGGCAGTCGCCCAGAATCTCCTCAGCGCCAGAAATGGTCAAGGAGGTGCCACCCCCGCCGCTGGCGGTGTCATCTTGCTTCTCCAGCGAGGAGACGGCTGACCGGGTTAGCGCGGCTCTTGTGACGATGCATGCTGAGCTCTGCTGTGTTGCTTACTGCCGATAATCTCAACGATGCCGGTGAACATGGTGTAAGGTGGCTTGGGGGACAAGAGGGAAGCTTAGGCCGAGGCTGCTGCGTCACCCCGCGATCGTCGTCGGCGTCACTTGCCCCGGCTGTCGGCCTCTCGCGGGGCGCCGTCTGAACCACCTCTTAAAAGCCCCGGCGCCTGGAAGACGTGCAGTGGCCTGCAGAGCCGGAAACATGTCGAACATTATCTCTCGTGCATCGCTCACCCGCAACTTTTGCCGGGCATACCGTCCGATTAGCTGCAATGGCTTGAAGAGCAGGTCCCTAGCGACGGCTGCCGGAGCAGCGACTCTTCCCTTGGCAGGCATCCGTGTGCTAGACATGACCAGAGTCCTCGCCGGAGTAGGTTCGCGCTTTGCATGATGGACCCAACTGCACGAGCTGATCATTTTGTAAAGCCTTACTGCACACAAATTCTGGGCGACTTAGGGTACGCCGGCTTTGGGCACCCAGTACGGGCCACCTCCTCTGAGGTCGTCAGCGCTGCATCTGTACATGCTGACCAGGAGCCACTGCAGGGCCGAAGTAATCAAGATTGAGCATCCCATTCGGGGAGATGACACGAGGGCTTGGGGTCCTCCCTACGCTGAATATACCTCCGGCGACGCACAAGGTCCGGGCGAGTCTGCGTACTTCCTCTCTGTACGGGCGAATTTATCTTTGCAAGGGAAAGGACTACCTCGATGCTGACTCAGAGTAGGTCAATCGCAATAAAAAATCCCTGGGTCTCTCATTCGCCCACCCGGCCGGTGTTGAGGTTCTGCATAAGCTGGCCAAGGATTGCGATGTCCTCGTTGAGAACTACCTTCCGGGCGGACTAAAGAAGTACGGGATGGACTATGAGACCATCTCAAAGATCAATCCGAGCCTTATTTACGCCAGCATCACTGGCTATGGCCAAACAGGCCCCTACAGCAACCGCGCCGGCTACGATGTCATGGTGGAAGCGTGAGTGATACCTGCACCTTTTTCAGCTTCAGCTACTCACGGTTCGTAGGGAGATGGGCCTCATGCACATCACAGGCTCCAGAGATGGGCCTCCGGTCAAGGTTGGTGTAGCCGTTACGGACTTGACCACTGGACTCTACACTTCGAACTCTGTGATGGCGGCTCTCATCGGGCGCGGAAAGACGGGGAGAGGCCAGCATATCGACGTGGCACTCAGCGATTGCCAAGTTGCAACGCTGGCAAACATTGCCAGCTCTGCCCTGATCAGTGGAAAGAAAGACTCGGGCCGGTGGGGCACCGCACACCGTAAGCCGACCAACGATGCTGTGGTTGAGAGATTGCCGAGACCTAACAACTTGTAGCCTCAATCGTTCCATACAAGGCGTTCAAGACTGCCGATGGTGATATCCTCCTTGGCGGAGGAAATGACCGTCTGTACGGCATTCTCGTTGAGAGGATCGGCCGGCCGGAGTGGGCGAAAGACGGGCGGTTTGTGACGAATGCGCTCCGAGTGAAGAACAGGGACCTGCTCGAGGATATGATCGAGACGGAGACGAAGAAGAAATCGACACAAGAATGGCTCGAGATCCTGGAAGGATGTGGGATGCCATATGCAGCGATCAACGATATCCAAGGAACCTTGAGCCACGACCATGGTAACGATGCCCCAGATCCGCGACAGGGAATCAGCTGACGGCTTCAAAGTCCTCGCGCGCAACATGGTCGCCGAAGTGGAGCACCCGAAATGCGGGCCGATCAAACTAGTCAACACTCCGGTCAAATACTCTTTCTCCGAGCCGAGTATCCGGACCCCTCCACCAACACTCGGTGAGTTACAAGTTGAGAATGCAGCTGAGCTTATGCTGACGGACTGGGGAAAAGGCCAACACACGGACGAGGTCTTGAGGGAAATGGTCGGGCTGAGCGAGTCGGAGATTGAAAGCCTGCGGAGCGAAGGTGTCGTTGCTTGAGCCCACGATCTGGCTCGTTTATCGATAGACTTGGGAAGCTTGGGCAGCGCTAGCCAAGAGCCGGGCGTTGTCGGCATGCAATCAATAATTAGACACAAACTAGCTCTGTAGCATGCGTAGAAATGCAGTACCGGGGCACTGCTGGGGGCCCATCTAGCGTAGAAACAATGCAGAGGTTGGATGCGCGCAAAGTATGATGCCAAGCACAGGGGAGCGGGCGCCTGAGCGGAAAGATGACGGCTAGGCGGAGATCATAGTGGCCCAAGCGCGGTGGTTAGTTCAACGGGCAGCTCGCTCAAGTCTGCGCGTCCCGCGAGCACCCAAGCCTCCGCAGCAGACAGAAGCTCGCATGCATCCATTGCCCCAGCAAACCCGTCGCACTCCTCTCTAGGGCCCAAATGTCGCTTGAGCAGCCGCCCGGCGCCTCTGCGCCTGCCAATGCCGCCGCGAGCCAGAACAACGGCGACTCTGCGCTTGCCAGCTCGCGCCCATTGCCCGCCGCAACCAGCGCCAGCACCACCACATCGCTGCACTCCCTCAAGCCCGCAGCTGCCACCCCGGCGACCTCGACCGCTACCTCCTCCGCCTCCCCCGTCGGGTTTTCGCGAATCCCCTCCGGCTTCTCCGCCTCCACCGAAGAGATCCTGCGGCGCGTCAGCGCAAACGCCTCGGCGCATGTTGGCACTCCGGGCTACGAGGCCGCGCGCGAGCAGGTTCTGAAGAGCATGGTCACCAGTGACAAGATCCCCACCCCGCCGCCAATGTCGACCGCCAAGAGAGGATCCCGCGGCGCTCCCAGGACCGCCCTGGCGAATTCGTCCACGCCGCGCCCGGAGAGCGCAGCTGGTGCGGGGGAGAGTAGCGCAACGCCCGCGTCTGCTGCGAGTGCCACATCTGCGAGAGGGAGAGGCAGTGGCCGAGGGCGTGGACGCGGGGGCTCGAGGGGAGGCAAGAGGAAAAGGGCAGACACGCCGGACAGTGAGGTGAGCTTGCTGTCACGCTGCACCATGGCGGAATCTAACCGTCCTGCCATACTTAGGACGACTCGGACATTTCTTCCTCCTACACTCCGCTACCTACAAAAACGAAATCAGGCCGCAATGTTACGAAGCCTGCCCAGTTCATGCCTGTTCTCCCCTCCCCTTCGACCGCTTCCAGAAAAAAGCGCCCGCATCGCCGCCCCGCCGAGACGAGCGTCTGCAAAGTGTGCCAGCGGGGTCACAGTCCCATAAGCAACATGATAGTCTTCTGCGATGGGTGCAACTCAGGCTACCACCAATACTGCCATCACCCCCCTATTGATCGTGAGGTTGTGCAAGTGGCCGAAAAGGAGTGGTTCTGCGGAGCTTGTGCTGCTTCGAGGAAAAAGCAAGACGAGGCAATACCCAATCTGAACGAGTTGGTTTCAGGCCAAGGTCTGACTAGGGACGAAGTAGGTCCCATTGCTGTATTTGACCTACGCATGTTCTAACAGAAGCGATAGAAGCGGGCATACTTTTCCACGCTATCGACAGCAAAGCTTACGGAGCTATTACTCCACGCCACCGACATACATCATGATCTTCCGGTCTTTGCACCGAATTCTAGGGCTCTTATCAGCGCTACGGGAGCTCTACCGAGACCATTAAGCGCCATGACGAGTAACGCGACGACCGACGGCCCTGCCGTTCAGACGAACCACAATTCTGCCCTCAACAACACCGACTTCTCCACCAACCACACCCAGACCATTAACCCCGCAACTACGACGTCTGTACCGCCACCTTCAATGCTAGCGAATTCGAGCACAACCTCCTCCATAACTCCTGCCGCTACTACCTTGAACCAGAGTCATTCACCATCCACCCTTCTTGCACCGGACCCAGACGACGCAGGCGTAGACGATGCTGACGATCCGTATGGCGACGGATATGACTCGGATCCGCCCGCTCACTATCCAAAGCCAGGGCATGGCCTGGCACGCACCCTACGGCCCGAGAGTGAGGATCTGCAATGGCTCGTCGACGATAATCTCGAAGTATTCAGCCACGTCTATACTAACGACGGGCAAAGCGGGCTAAATGGATTCGGGCCGGATGGTGCCATTGACTTGGCGGGTGCCGAGGCGGCTGCGGCGCCCTGAGGTCTTTGCACTCGTCTTCTTGAAGATGCAGGCATGAATTGAAAAAAAAAAGCTATTAGATCCTGGTTAATCTCGGGTACTCCCACTCAACAGGCAGGACGGGAATGCGAAGGCGTATAGGATGTTTTTGCATTCTTATGTTTCATCTTTCCCCCTTCTCGGCTGTCGGTGGCCCTGAAGGTAAGACCTGATGAAAGGGGCTGAGTACGGCGCGGAAGGATTTCAGCGGGGGGCTTGACAGCGAGACTACGGGCCTTGTCATTGCAGGTGCTTGGTTTGGTGCTATTCCTGCTGTAACTATTTGGTCTAGCTGGCTCACCTGGTGGCCTTGCTATGAAACAGGGAGACTGCAATGGCCTTCACGTTGGAGTGCTGGACTGCACCCACCTTCGTCAACTAGTAAAGAAGCGGCAACCATTCAGCCAAGCTCCGGCCCTCTTCTCCTCTTTGTTGGTTGCAAGGTCCTGCGCATGTGATATTGCAGCTGACGGCGGTCAGCACGTAAAGCCTGACCAACCATACGATGCTTTGGCCAGTCTCCGCAAGACCGATTGGCTGCCAAGGCCGTATTTGGTAGAATCCCACCCATACCGCTGGTTGCCCAATTAGGTGATGGGATGAGGCCCAAGCGAGCCAAAGTCAACCACGTGGCTCGAGGATAGCGGACGTGTGTTCATTTCATGAACGATGAACAATCACACGGATTGCTTTTCTCGCAGTTTACGATTCTGAAATTTATATAGTAATCAGAGGTATCTAGGGAATAGTAATCATCAAGGCGTAGATGCGTGCTATAGGTGTAGATTTCTCTCCACCTAATCGGTCCCACGACTTCTAATCAGCACTTCAGCCATGGGGTTAGGGTTAATAGAAGTTCCAAAAACGAAGTTCTTCGGCCTTCCTGCCTCCTTGTCGGCGAGCTGGAAGTCGTAGTTGAGCAGAAGCTTGGAGAGGATGGTCTTGATCTCGTTGCTGGCGAAAAAGCGGCCGGGGCACGCGTGGCGGCCCTGACCCCAGTGCAGGTAGTCGACGTTGGAGGTGGCGAACTGGTGCGAGTTCTTGTCACCCTCGGAGCGCAGGCGGAGGAAGCGGGAAGGGTCGAAGGTCTCGGGATTCGGGAAGTGCTCTGGGTCGAAATACACCTGTGAGCTGTCGATCTCGATGATGGTGCCTTGGGGCAGGAAGGTGCCGTCCGAAAGCGTGATGTCGCGTTTGCAGTATCGCTTGAATGAAGTAAGTCCCGGCGGGTTGCAACGCTGAGATTCTTTCATAAAGCTATCGAGCTTCTTGAGCTTGGCCATGGTCTCTCGCTGGTACCCGCCCGTCTCGGCGAGAACGGAACCGAGCTCTTTGCGCAGCGGCTCCACGCACTCAGGGTGTTGCGCCAAATCGTAGATCATGTGGGTAACGCTCATGGTGGTCGTGTGGATGGCGGCCAATGCTAGCTGTATCTGAACATAGGCTTGCTCCTCGTATGCCTTGGCGAATTCGGGGCTTGACTTCTGCTTCATCCACTCGGTGAAGTCGTCGCGCTTGGTCTCGGCCTCCTGGCGTCCCTGGGACACGGGCTTCATGAATTCGATGGCTTCGGCCTTGACCCTGTAGAGTTCGCGCATTTCCGGAACGAATCTGTGAACCAGGGGCCGCATCCACGGCTTCCATTGCTTGATTGCGCGGGAAGCCTGGAATGCCTTGAGGGTGTAGTCCTTGGAGAGCTGCAGCCAGCGCGGGTCGCGGCAGAGTGGTTCGCCGACGAATACACGTGCGGAGACTTGGGCGACGATGTCCAGCAGCTTCGAGTAAACGACAACGGGTGTCCAATCATCAGAAGGTGGTAGGACTCTCTTAAGCGCCAGATCGATTTCCTCGGAGATCACGGGCATGAGGCGAGGGAGGCCGGGAGTGAGGTCCGCTTTGATCACATGGATAGCGACAGGGACATCCTTGTCGCCAATGCCACAATACCTGCCAGCAAGAGATTTTTCCACCGCAGTGTTGAAACTAAGTGCATCGTCTCCCAGGTTTTTGAGCTCGGCGGTGTACTTTGGGCTGAGAATGACCGTCTCACTTCCGTCCGATGTGGTCAAGCGGTACATAGAAAGACCGTTCTTGAACTTTGCATAGCCATCCTGAATGAGAGTCATGGCGTCTCCAAGGAACTTCTTCTGGCGTTCTTTTTGGTTAAGATGTCCAGCGGCGAGGGGCGCCTGGAGCTTCCCACGCTGGAATGAAAGCAAGATGAAGTAGGAGAATGCAAGTACAATGGCGGCTAGTGAAACCACTGGTACGTTCTGTAGGTCCCTGTAGCCAGCCATTTTTGCCTGCATATTGCTGGGGATGACTGTAGGAAAGTTGCGAATGCTCTCCATGGTCCCGCGAGAAGGGGCGCTACGCGCGAAAGATTGGACTGCGAGATGAACGAAGAAGAGAGCAAGAGAAGGACGTGAGCCAGGGGATTCTACTGAAGAGGGGAAGAGCGCGAGGATTGTGAGAAGATAAAGACGCTTCGCAGAAGCTTGGAAAGCTCGGACTCGTGAACTAACAACAGATTGCGGGCTACCAGGACGAGGATCGGCGCGAATCCAGCTTATTTAGGTCAGGAGCTGACCCAAAGCTCAGGCGAGCAACAACCCGGACTCGCAATTGCAGGTCTCTGATTGGCAAGTCCTACGAGCAGCGACCGGAAAGCCCAGAGCCGAAAGCCTTTGCGGCGAGGCACTGGTCGCGTGGAAGCGCTGGCATCAACCAGGCGGGGATCTGGAGGAGCAGCAGGTCAGCAGTGGCGCCGGTGAAGCAAAGGCACTCTGATTCGTTCTCTGCTGCGTGGCTGTCTCGTTCAGTGCACGGCACAGAATGGCGGTATCTGAGCTTGATGTTCGCTTTCGCTTTCAGCGACCAGGGTCCAGGGAGGTCGTGAGGCGCATACTTCCCGAAACTGCCGTAAATGAAGGAGGGGCTGGGCGGCGTCTCGCAGGCGAGGTGTGAGAAAAAGGCCCGTGGGTGGCGCCTACTGTGCGATTCGAACTGGGGAGGCTGCTGAGTTGAGCGAGCAGCGCTTCACCACAGCGCCAACCCCGCCGCCGAGCGCTCCGGCCGCGACTTTTGCCGACCACCTCACTCCGCGTCGCGCATTTGCTGTGGCACCCAACCCAGAGACCCTGCGCAACAGCCTATCGACCTTATCGCCGCAAAAAAAGTCGCCCACCATGTCGCTGCTCCTCTGCACTTCTGCCCGCCAGCTGTAGGCTCCGTCAGACAAGATGGCGCGCTCAAGTCGTAACCCAAGCTTCTACCAACTCTCCAAACGCGCCCGCAAAAGTTTCGCGCACCGCGCTCCACAGCTCATTGCGCTCCATCCCCCGCAAACACCCTCTCCAACATGAGCACCATACCGCGCCCACGGCCTCCGCGGGAGCGCCTGTCCTCACTCAAAGATGCTGGGAAGACCCGACCCGTCGGCACGCTTCCGCCACGCCAAAAACCAAAGCGTCAGACCTGCTGTTCCAATCCCACCCCGGAAGACATGGACGGAGTCATGGTTTGCACCAGCTGCGGTAACGTCATAAACGAATCCCACATTGTTTCCGAGGTCACCTTCGGCGAGACTTCCTCGGGAGCTGCCATGGTGCAGGGTGGCTTTGTCGGGGACGAGCAGAGACATGCGAACACTATGGGCTCTTCTGCCCGCCGCTTGGGCCTGGGCGGCAGCGATGGCAGGAGCACAGCCGAGTCGAACGGACAAGACGCAATTAGAGGCCTGATGACTGCACTTCGCATGACTGGTGAGGGCCTTGAGGGCCAGGCTATGAACATCTACAGATTAGCCGCAAAGGAGAGGTTCACACACGGGCGTCGCCCCATCGTCATCGCGGCTTGCTGCCTCTACTATGTATGCAGGACCAAAAGGGACAACAAATATCTCCTAATCGACTTCGCCGAGAAGATCAAGGTGAGATTCTGTTTAGTCTATCCAGCACATTTGTGTGTTTGCTGACCTGGTCGTAGCTCAACGTCTTCAAGCTTGGAGAGACCTACAAGGAACTCCTCGGCAAGCTGTTCATCTCAGACCCCTCGAAAAAGGATCAGTATGCAGCACTCGAGCCGGAACCGCTCATCAAGAAGTACGTGGATAAATTGGAGTTCGGAGAGGTCGGCGGCAGAAAGGTAGCAGAGGACGCGGTGAAGATCCTAAAACGGATGAAGCGAGACTGGATGGTGGAAGGAAGACAACCAGCTGGAGTTTGCGGCGCATGTATCATCCTTGCTGCCCGCATGAACAACTTCCGGCGAACTGTTCGTGAAGTTGTATACGTAGTCAAAGTCGCCGACATGACTATCGCCAAGCGCCTTGTCGAATTCAAGCGGACCCAGAGTGGCCAGCTTACCGTCAACGAATTTCGGACGAATTACGATGCTCTTCCAGACGAGAGGGAGCCCCCATCGGTGTACCAAGCGCGTGAGCGGGCAGCGAAACGGCGCAAGTTGACCAGCGCAGAGGCGGAAGCAGAAAACCTCTCGGAATCTGGTTCTCGGCAAGCCTCTGCTGCACCGGATCCTGCTCAAGAACCTCGCCGCGATGCCGATGGCTTCCTCATCCCCACCGTTCCGGCGTCAATGCCCATCGACCCAAGTCTTCTTGCCGCCACAAATCTTGCAGTGGAGGAGCTACAAGCTGTCGAAGGCTCACCTGAGAAAAAGAAGCCGGGGCGGCCGAGGAAGAAGAAAGCCCCACCCCCGCAGGTTGCCGACGAAGATTTGGCCGTGGAACAGGAAATCGAAGAGGAGATTGAGAATATCCTCCACGACCCGGAGGTGAATAATGTAGAAGATGTCAATTTCGCTCTGGTGGAAGCACGCTCGAAGGCACTGGCCAATCAAATGAGAGGCGAGCAAAGAGCGCCAGAAACAGAGATTGTTGAGGACCATGAGTTCGACGATGACCCAGAGGTTGCGAATTGTCTGCTCAGTCCAGCCGAGATCGCCATCAAAGAGCGCATCTGGGTCACTCATAACCACGACTGGCTGCGCGAGCAGCAAGCCAAAATGCTCAAAAAGGCGTTGGAAGAGGCCAATGGTGGACCGAAGAAGAAAAAGCCGCGAAAGAAGGTGCCTCAGCTTGGTGACATGAGCGAGTACACGCGCGATTCGCCCATCCACAGCGCAGCGGACGGAATGCAGAGAATGGTCCAGAGGCGCGGCAAAGGGTTCAGTAAGAACATCAACTATGAGAAGCTCAATGCTCTCATGGGGAAGAACGAACCGGATGCTAGTCAGAGTTCGAGCAGCAGACCTAGCAACGCCGGGAGCCCTGCTCCAAGCGAAATATCAGTTGAATACGAAGAGGAGCCGTTGGACGGCCCTCAGCGAAGTCTGGTCACTCCTCCCACCACTCAGCAATCGCAAGGTGGCCGCCAGCAACAACAACAACAAGCCACCGTCATTGAAGATGACGACGAAGAAGACGAAGAAAGCGAGGTGGAAGAAGACCATGATGTTGATGACACTGCAGCCGGTATCGGCTTGGCTGGTCTGAACGCGGAGGGCGAATTCGAGGAGGGAGACGACTGGTATGAGTAACCTTGGACAGCCTTTCTAGGTTTTCGGGAGGTTATAAAGCATTAAACGGCGTTTCTTACGGGAATCCAAGGGTGCATGGCGATACCAATGAGCGTTTCAGGGCGCGGGTCCGGAAGACCATTTGCTCACGGAAATGAAGAATTATTTGCTCAACTCAAAGAGGGCTCACGTAGCTTGTGCACAACGGTTGAAATGGATAGGCTATTACTCGACATACTCCATCACTGGAAGCTATCGTCCGGACGTGAATGTGTAATTCGATATTTACGTCCGAATACTCATGAGTGTATCTAGGTGCTTCTAAGCTCGTTTGAAGAGGGTAGAAGCGCTGGTAGGATGCAGTTTGGATGGGGTTGCTGAAAGGGCATCTGGTAAGCCAATGAGGGAGGGTGTGTAAAAGCGAATCTGCTCGGACATTGGCAAGATGCCGAAGGCCCATGTGTAAGATGGGCGCGGAGATTTCTCGAGGGATTCAGGAACAGAAACGCAACAACCAATGGACGGATGCGCCATTGTCAGCAAAAGGAGATCGGGTGGAGAATTGCCACAGAGATTGCGGAGGCCAGAAGGCTGGAATCCGGCGACGCACCGGAACGGGGCATCAACGTACGAGTGCTACGCAAGATGCGGCAAGAGGAGGGCTGATTGAGCCAATAGCGGTCCAGCTGATTAGGCCGGATTGACGAGAAACCTTGCAGCGGGTGCCCGTGCAGCGGAGTGTCGTGAGGTCGGATGTCATCGAACGGCGGCATCGCCCCCCGCTTATTTTGGAAGGCCCCTGATTGGCTGGGTTGGTGCCTACCATATCAGATGGCAGCATCAGATATTCGCCCTTCAGGAAGCATAAAAGGACACCCTCCTGCTGCCCGTCTCCTCTCCATCCCCATCACCAGTCTCAAACCAACAAAGCCAACGACAAGATCTTCGCAGCCCAGCCACACCACTTCTCTCCGATCACCCTATATCAACCACAACCATGTCTGCTCCCGTTGGCGCCGTTCCTTCTAGCTGCTGCAAGCGTGACGGCTCCAGCTGCGTCTGCGCCAAGGAGGCTACCTGCTCGTGTGGCAAGCAAAAGGCACTTCACTGCACCTGCGAGAAGGCGTCGACGGAGAACAAGGTCGCTGGTGCTACCTGCTCCTGCGGTACGTCTCAAGCTCCGCCGCCCGGGATCTCAGAATGCCCTTTGCACCCCGCATCCAGCCCTAAACATATTATGCCCTTCACATGCCCCGCCAATATTGCCCTGATACTGATTTTACTGTCTGCAGGCCAACGTGCTGCTGGCGCTTGCACCTGCAACCGCGCGTCGGAGGAGAACACAGTCTCGGGCGACAAGTGCGCCTGCGGCAAGAGATCGAGCAGTATGTATATCGCGCCTTTTCTCGTGCTCTCTTTCATGCTGACATGCCCTGCAGCCTCCTGCACCTGCGCCGGTGCCGAGCTCGGCCAGTCGGAGCTGGAGACCGACTTTACTACCAAGAAATGAGCAGTTATGGTGTTCTATGACGAAGGCGGCTGATGGTTTCGGAGCATTCGTACGGAGTTGGGTGGCGTTAATGAGGTGCCATCATGGCATTTTTTGGGCGCGGGTTTCAGGGTCACAGACGGCGGCGGCGGCGGCGGACTGCCGGTCGGGGAATTTTCAATAGGGTTCAAGTCAAGCAATGATACCAGTGCCAAAAAGCAACAAGCGGCCCGCAACGTGCAGGAGTCGGTGACGTGCTGAAGAAGGGCGCCGGCGGCGGAGATCGCTGGGGGTCCACCCTCGATGATGATCGCCCCCGTCGGGTCAACCTGACTCCGGCTGAGCTCCATGGAAGGCAGCTCATGCTCGCGACAGAGCCTCCTTGCGCCAGCCTGACGAAAATAATTCCCCGCCCATCGGCCTCGCGTCGCCCAGTCGCCTGCGCGTCGTCCGCTCCTCATCTCGAGAGCACGCGCCTGTGCCCCACAGTCTCAGCGACTCGCCGGCCAGGACATCCGCCCCTCACGCTCCTTACCTCCGCATACCTCCGCCGCAGCCCCCCTAGACGCTCCCGGCCAACGAGAATTCGCGACCGCACACGACCCTCCCGAGTCCACGACCAGCAATCCTCTTGATCTCCCGGCGGACCTCCGCCGCCCCCGAGGCGAAGTAGAGCGTGCCGAATTGGTCGGAGCCGAGACGACCCCATCGACCCATCGCCCGCAGCACCCACCACCACAACAACCACACCACCATGGCGTCCAACTCGAGCGGCGGCGGCGGTCTGTTCAGCCGCGGCAACTCCGGCCAGGCGAACTCGATGCGCGGCCTGGTGTCGTTCATTGCCGACCTGCGCAACGCCCGCGCACGCGAGCTCGAGGAGAAGCGCATCAACAAGGAGCTGGCCAACATCCGCCAGAAGTTCAAGGACGGCGGTCTCAACGGCTACTCCAAGAAGAAATACGTCTGCAAGCTGCTATACATCTATATTCTGGGCTGGAACGTCGACTTCGGCCACCTGGAGGCCGTCAACCTGATCAGCGCGAACAAGTATTCGGAGAAGCAAATCGGCTACCTTGCTGTCACTCTGTTCCTCCACGAGGAACATGAGCTCCTGCATCTGGTCGTCAACAGCATACGCAAGGACCTCCTGGACCACAATGAGCTTTTCAACTGTCTTGCGCTGCACGCCATCGCCAATGTTGGTGGCAAGGAGATGGGCGAGGCCCTAAGCGCTGACGTCCATCGGCTACTGATTTCGCCCGCATCCAAATCCTTTGTCAAGAAGAAGGCCGCTCTCACGCTCTTGCGTCTGTACCGGAAGTTCCCAGGCATCGTGCAACAGGAATGGGCCGAGCGCATAATAGCATTAATGGATGATCCGGACATGGGTGTTGCTCTCTCGGTGACCTCTCTGGTGATGGCGCTGCTTCAGGACAACCCCCAGCAGTACCGCGGAAGCTACATCAAGGCCGCCCACCGCCTGAAGAAGATTGTCGTCGACAACGAATGCTCGGTTGACTATCTCTACTACAAGGTTCCTTGCCCGTGGATCCAGGTCAAACTACTCCGATTGCTGCAGTATTACCCGCCCTCGGAGGACACGCACGTCCGTAACCTGATCCGCGAATCGCTGCAACGAATCATGGACTCGGCAATGGAGATGCCGAAGAATGTGCAGCAGAACAACGCTCAGAACGCCGTTCTCTTCGAGGCGATCAACCTCGTCATCCACCTTGACACGGAGCAAGATCTCATGGTCCAGATCTCCTCAAGGCTAGGCAAATTCATCCAATCGCGAGAAACGAACGTGCGGTATCTGGGCTTGGAAGCCATGACGCACCTTGCAGCACGAGCAGAAACTTTGGATCCTATCAAGAAGCATCAGAGCATAATCATCGGGTCGTTGCGGGATAGAGATATTAGTGTTCGCCGACAGGGTTTGGACTTGCTCTACAGCATGTGCGATTCCACGAACGCGGCGCCAATCGTCTCCGAGCTCCTGAAATACCTTCAGACGGCCGACTTCGCAATCAGAGAGGAAATGGTCCTCAAGATTGCCATCCTGACAGAGAAATACGCAACGGATGTCCAATGGTATGTGGACATCTCGCTGCGGCTAATTGCCATGGCCGGTGACCACGTCAGCGACGAGGTGTGGCAGCGTGTTATCCAGATTGTCACAAACAACGAAGAGCTCCAGGTGTATGCGGCGCAGAACATTCTCCAGTACGTCAAGGCTGAGCACTGCCACGAGACGCTGGTGAAGATTGGCGGATACCTGCTCGGTGAATTCGGCCACCTGATTGCCGACAACAAGGGCTGCAGCCCGATTGAGCAGTTCTACGCCTTGCGTGGAAAGATGCTAGGCTGCTCATCTAGCACTCGTGCCCTCATCCTCTCTTGCTTTGTCAAATTCATCAATCTGTTCCCCGAAATTAAGCCACAACTTTTGCAGGTCTTCCAGGACTTCAGCCACACATTGGACTCCGAACTTCAGCAAAGAGCATGCGAGTACTACGCTTTGGCAACTCTGCCGACAGACGATCTTCTCCGGACTGTCTGCGATGAGATGCCACCATTCCCAGAACGTGCCTCGGCTCTTTTGTCCCGTCTTCATCAGAAGCACGCCAATTCCAGCGACAAGAGAACCTGGGTCGTCGGTGGCAGGGACGCCAATACTGACCCCAAGGAATTCAACTTGGTCCAAAACACTGGCCTCAAGCGGTCGTTCACCAATGCCTTGTCCAGCAATGGCACCCCCACGACACCGACAACAAATGGCGCGAATGGTGCGTCAAACGGAGCATCCGACCTTCTGGGTCTTGACATGCACCCCGACAGCGGCAAGGGTGCAAACCTCGCCAGTGCTGCCCACCTAAGTCCAGGCTGGGAAGTTGGCTACAACAAATTATTACTCAAACCTGAAGGCGTGCTCTACGAAGATGTGCAGATCCAAATCGGACTGCGTTCCGAGTACCGCGGCGAGCTTGGCTGCCTCATTCTGTATTTCAGCAACAAGTCCTCATCTACAATGACTTCTTTCACCACAACACTAGACAACCGTTCAGCTGAATTCCTCAAGACGGATATCAAGTCATTGCCCGAAACCACAATCCATCCCGAGGGACAGACCCAGCAAATGATCATGTTCGAAGCGAAGCACGTGTTCGTCCATCCGCCGACAATTCGCATTTCCTACTTGTCGGGATCCTTACAAGGATTGACTTTGCAGCTGCCAGTCACGCTGCACAAATATATGGAAGGCGCCCAGCTATCGGCCGACGACTTCTTCAAGCGCTGGAAGCAGATCGGTGGCCCGCCTCGTGAGGCACAGAAGGTCTTCGGACTCATCAGCAAGAGTCGCACAACAAACGCGACTTTCACTCGCAGAATCGTTGAGGGCTTCAAGTGGGGTGTTCTAGATGGTGTTGATCCGAACCAAAAGAACCTTGTTGGCGCAACGGTGCTGCACACACATGATGGTGGTAGATTTGGTTGCTTGATGCGGTTGGAGCCGAACTTTGATACCAACGTGAGTGACGCCCCTCAGATTGTTCTGGTTGTTGCTAATGATCCGCAATTAGATGTACCGCCTTACCGTTCGCGCCACCGATGAATCCGTGCCGTCAGTTCTGCTGAATGCAATGGTCGAGCGACTTTCACAAGGAATGGCCCCACACTGATCGGCAGTTGGGTTGATACTTCTTTTCTTCTTTTTACTTCCGTTTCGACCTTTTTTCCAAGGGCCACGTTTGCATGTAGGGCGTGAAGCAATTCATTGTCGGTAGTAAGGTTGGTGGTATCGGAGGGCTGGTCAGGAGCATCGAACTGTGACCTTTTCTTTTCATCTTCTTCTCCGAGCAAATTACCCTATAGCTGTTCAAGGAGCAGGTCACACACCTCCGTTATACGCTTTTCTAATTTCCGCTTCTATACGTGATCACAAATTCCCACTCAGGGCGCTGTGGGCATTATGTATTGATGGATACAACTATACAGGAGCCGCTTCTTGTTTCAAAATTTCAAACTTTTCTTTCCTTGTGCATTCGCGAGGCACGATGGAGGGGTGTGCTCTCTTCGCCTGGTGAACCCATGCTGGCTCGTCACTGAGCGCCATCCGTTGCTATCGCTCTTTCTTTCGTTCGTTGGTCGGTATGTAGAATGGAACGTTTGATCTGTTAGCTTCTACGAAATGACAAAATATGTTGGCAATGTTTCAGAAACTCGTAGAGGCCCTCTTGAAGTGGCCTCGCCGGTGGGAGGTTTTACTTTGCGGGCTTATGCTTCATCTGCACTTTCACGCCTAGTAATTCCGGGATTGGGTAGTAGAAGGACAATGATAATAGGGCGGTTGGATCGACTCTCGTGGTGCCTCCTAGTTACGAGCATTCGGCTGGTAGAACCAAACCGACATTGCATTTGGTGGATCGTGCCTTGGCGGGACTTCGTAGCCGTGCTTTGGCGTAGCGAAGAGCCCATCCCTTTAACCACGGCGGTATTTGAAAGCCGGTTCAAGCTCGCTTGAGCAAGTCATCTGATCGGTGGTGCAAAGTATTCCGGTAAGTGTGGCCAATGATGCAAAGCAACGAGTCAAAGTGGCAAAGTCCCGGTCGGCACACAGAGCAACGAGTGTGGACGAGGGCGTAAGGCGCATCGCAGCGAGAAGCAGCTCCACGGGCGCGGACGTGTATGCTGGGTGCTGGCGGGGTCAGCGGAAAAGAAGAGCGACGGCTGACGGACCTGCAGGCCCCTGGCGAGAGGTGCAATGGAGCGGCGCGCTGGGGTGGGACAGCGGACTTGGATGCGACGCGCTGGCCTGACGCTTGCGGTGCCTGCGCGCGGGCGATCGTTACCGGCTGACTGTGCGTGTTACACGGCGTTCTGGGGCGGGCAAACAATACAGCACCTTACTCCGCGCCCGCGGCGTCTCGGACCGCGGCATGAATTTTGACCAGTGTGGGCACGCATGGCGCGGGCAGTGGAGAACCAATGGAGATCGGCGTTGACGTGCAAATTGGGCCGAGAGCATGCGCAGTCGTCGTGTGATGGCGTATTGGCGTTCGTTACGGGGAGGGCTGAGGTTTACCGCCGGTTGTGGGCGTGCGCGGCGGATAAACCTTGCCTGTTCCAGCAGCTTTGGCTCTTGGGCGCTGCTCTCTCAAAGTCCAGCGCAAACCACTGCATCACCTGCCTTCTTCAACGCTCCCACCGCTCCATGCTCCCCTTGCAGAGCCGCCCGGCCCACGCTTGATCCTCACACTGCTTCCCCTCTCCGAGCAGGCCTGACTCGGCTTGCCGCTCTCCTTCACCCCAGCCGCTGAAGGCACGCTCCAAACCTCGTCCGTCGTCATCGCGTCGACCGACCCAGCCCTTGCGGCTCCGACCATCCATCGACGTCCAACGCCCCCACTGCGTCCTGTGCAGCGCTCCGCTCACACCCATCCATAATGTCTGAAGTGCAATCACGGCCCTCAGCTCCTCGCGGCAGGAGCTCTGCCCGCGGCGCCCGCGGCGGCTACAGCTCCCGCGGCCCCAGGTCCCAGAAGCAGACCAACGGCGACCACAAGAGCGCAGGCTCAATCGACGCGTCCGCCGAGGAGGGCGAGCTCGCCCAGCTGAGGCAACAGTATGCCATCCAATTGGCGACCATCAGGGAGACTTTCCCCGACTGGACCGACCTCGACCTGCTGCTGGCTCTGCACGACAGCGATGGCGACCTCAACGTGGCCAGCGAGAAGATCTTAGAAGGTTGCCCCCACCAGTCCACCTAAGCCCCGCCATGGCGCCCAACTGACTCCGCTGCGCTTATAGGACAGGTTTCTCAGTTCGCCGAAGTCAAGAAGAACGACCGCTCGCGCTCCAAGGTGAAGGATACCTCGGCAGTCGGCTCTGATGCAAACGCGACATCGGCCTCCGCACGCGGCAGAGGCCGTTTTGAGAGCACCCGCGGTGGCCGCGGACGTGGAACTGAACGTGGCAGAGGTGGCTTTCGGGGTGGTCGCGGCGGAGCGCATGCGGCGAACGGCTCGCGCTCTGGTGCCGGCGTTTCTGTCCCCACGACCGAGTCTTCTGCTTGGGACACCGCTGCCACAACGACGGATGCAAACAATGCATGGGACACTGGTGCGCCTGCGAATTCAGGCGACGCGGCTGCAGATGGTGCCGAGGCCAAGCCTGCCGCCGCGCCTGAGGCCGTGAAGAAGCCTGCTGCTCCACAGGAGCCCCCGAAGAAGACATGGGCCCAAATGTTTGCGAAGCCGAAGCCAGCGCCTGCGCCTCCAAAGCCCGTTGTTGCCGCCCCGCCCCCCGAACCCGCCGCTCCTGTACCCGCCGCCGAACCTGAGCCGACGAAGGAAGTTGAGAAAGCAGTCGAGGCGGAAGAACTCCCGATACCTCCTGTTGCCGATGAAGCGCCTGCTGAGGAGACGTCCACTGCACCCGCAGAGCCTCCGGTTGTCACTCCTGAAGTTCCCGAACTGCCTTCTGCACAGCTTACCCCGTCCAAGGATGAGCTCACGAAGGAGAATGTCGAAAACCTGCCCGATGTCGCAGAACCTGCCCCTACCGGCACTGCTGCGAGCACCGTTGCTAGTGGCAGCGTCGTTGGCGTTGCGACGCCTTTGACTGGACCTCAACGCACACAGGCAGCCCGTCCCGCTATCGGGGGATTCGCTACGACGGCACAGAAGGCCACTGCTCCTCAGGGCCGCAGCTCTAGCTATCAGAGGAAGGTTCTGGACCAACAAGAGGCAGTTGTCATGCCCGGTAACCACGCCGTAGACCGCGCAGCTGTGCAGTTTGGCAGCCTTGGCTTGAACGGCGATGCCGCACTTGACGTAGATGAAGACCGTGAGGAGGCCGAGACGCGTACGCAGCCCCCTCAGCATTCCCCCACCCAGCAGCCTAGGACTTCTCTTCCCCCTGCTCCCCGCCAGCCTGCTGCTCCCAGCGAGTCGCAAGCCCAGGAATCGGTCCCGACCCCGAAGCCGGCCCCAGGTCTGCCCCCTGTGAACCAACAGCCTCAGCAGCAATCTCCTGCCATTGGGGGTCAGGCTGCTCAGCCTTACAGCCAGTTTGGCCGCTATGGTCAGGCCAACATCCAATCTGAGCCGGCCGGTCAAACCCAGAAGCCGTACGATCCATTTGGTGCGCCCGTCTCGCAGCCAAACCAGTTCGACAACTTCCCAAGCCACACTCAACCTCAGAACATGCAGCAGCCTCAGGTTCCTTCTACTCTCGGAGGATTTTCCTCTGCCCCTAACGATTACTCCTCCTACTACACTTCTGATCAACAGAGAAACGCGTACCAGAACTACTATGGTGCTGGATACGGACAGCAAGCTGGTGGGAACCAACAGCAGGAAGTCAATGCGCAGGAACAGAGGACCGGCAGTGGATTCGGTCCCGCGGGCGCAGATTCCGCTTTCCCCACCAGCCAATCGCAACAGGTAGGCAACCGTTTTTCAATTTCTTACCGCGATGTTCAGGCACGACGTTCTCGAGTGCACACGAGCCGTGAACTATCTGGATCTCCAGAGTACCGAGCTCGTAGTTGGTACCAGAACTCGCGCTTGAACAACGATGGCCCGGCCCTTCTGGGCCCTTCCAGGTCATTGAAAAATCTATCAGTGCCATCTATCTCTCAATTAGTACCTAACATGCCATCACAGAACCAGAGCCGTTACGGTGACGCTCAGAACAGCGGCCACAACACTCCCGTCCCCGCCATGGCTGCTCAGCATCATCCCGCAGCTCAATCTCAGCACATGCACCAGCCCCACGGCCAGACCGGCCACAGCGGCTTCCCATACAGCCAGCACCCCTACTACAACACCCCGTACTTCAACGCGTACATGAACCACTACGGCGGTGGCTATGGCGGCCAGGGCTACGGTGCTCCCTTCGGCAAGGGCATGTACGGTCAGCCCAACCACGCCTACGGTATGTCTCCGCAGACGACGTATGACGCTCACAGCTCCTCGCCCGCCAACGTTGGTGCGTTTGGAGCTTCCTCGATGCATGGTCGTGACAGCGGGCTCGGTGGCGGACTCGGTGATTACCGCGCCAGCTCGACACAGCCCTCGCAGACTCAACAGCACACTGCCAGCAGCGGTGCATTCGGTGGCATGCCTGATGTTTTCGGCCGCAACCAGGGTGTCTTTCCCGGTCAGGGCCAGCCCTATGGACAGCAACAGTCGGCGTCTCAGGCTGGCGCTGACGACGCGCTGAAGCCCTTCGGTGACAAGGCTGCTTCCGGGCCGTCCCCGTCTTCGATCGGACAACCTGGCCGACCTGGCTCTGCTACCAACTCGGCTGGTCAGGCTGCCCAGTCGGGTCTGCCGCCGCCTCAGTCGCACCAGCAGGGCTTTGGTGCTTACCCCGGTTCTCAGTACGGACTGGGAGGGCTTGGCGGACACCAGGCCGGACAGGGCCACAGCGGTGGCTATGGTGGATATGGCGCAGGATTTGGAAGCTACGGCAGTTACGGCCGCGGCGGCGGCTGGGGCGGCAACTATGGTCATTAATTCAATGGCGTTCAAGGTTCACCCGGTTTCGGAAAAGCTTATCGCTCATGAGCACCTCAAGTGTGGATAACTGGAACAGACTGGGTTGCTCAGAGGAGGATCGGGTTCTTACATCGGGTTTCTCTTTTTCCTTTTCTCCAAATGGACACGAAAGCTGCGTTTTGAGATGATGAGTTTTTTGCCTGCAATGGGGGACAGCATGGTTCACACAAACTTAGGGCGGGAGGGTTCTGTATTATTTACAACTCGGCTCTCTTCAAAAGGTTCAATTCTTTCTCAGCTGTGTTTTTCCGTCTTTTCTGCTTTTCTTCTTTGGTGTTGAAACCTTATTTCTCTCATTCAAAAAAGGGGGTTAAGGTGCTCACTCACGATGGGAAAGTCTTCGACTTGAATGTTTGTTTTGTTGCTTCGCAATGATGGGTCAAAGCTCAGGATAGGTTCCGAGCGATGCCTGGATTCAAATGCACTGGTGTCGAATGCGCAGTTATTGGAACGTTTGCAGTGCGACGGGCCTGCAGTCATGTTTTGTATCGAAATCAAAAGTTTCAGGTATGAATGACTGCAGCAATGAGGGGTAATAATCGCGCTCTGCTACAGAGGTGCTGCAGCTGATGGCTAGCGCGAAGAATAGCAGGGCTCGAGAACATAGCGTAACTATGTCCCAGCTCTGCCTTGGAAAAAAAAATAACATATGTGGGTAGCTGAAGCTATCGTCCGGACGATAGCTTCAGCCACCCATGACATAAGCAAAAAAAAAAAACAAATCCACGCTATAGCCATCGGCTGCGAGAGGGGACTGTAGAAGCTGCATCCATGGGAAGATCGCGGTGGGTCCCGTCGGAGAACAGTCAGCTTAACGCCGAACCCAAGGACAACTTTCCCACGCGTCCAGCTCCCTCCGTGGACCCTGACACCAACGAGCCGCCGTTTTCCACAACACCTACGCATTCCTCGCGGCCAGAAACGCAACGCCACGACGCAATGGTCCGCAAAGCCGCCAAACAAGGCGGCGCGAAGGCAAAAAACGCCGCTTCCTCTTCCCCTCCGGCCCTTCCTCCCCCGCCCTTTTCGCGCGTTCCCGAGCTGGAACCGTTCCTGTCGACGCTCGACCGGGAGAAGGTGTACCTCACGCACGTTGACACGCACCCGGTAGCATTCAAGAAACAAATCTTCGCCATACCGGCGGCGCTCAATGTGCTGATCGTGGCGTTGCTGGCGTGGAGGGCCTACGCGGCATTGCCGACATACTGGGCGATGCTGCTGGCGGCGCTGGGCAACCAGACGGAGCACACGGTGCATCGCGACGAAGCAACCTGGAGCGAGCTGGCGTGGATCGCGGTGAAGCGCGGGGCCATGTTCCTGGGGGATTACGTACTCGTCGTCGTCGTGGGCAATTGGCCGCTGACTTTCTTCCTCGACAGCCCCGGCAACCCGTGCACGTGGCGCTGGGGAATCGGGTTCCGGCAGCGAGAGATTTATATCAGGGAGAGCAGGGGATGGGGCGCGAAGGAACTGCTGGGCGAAGAGGGGGAGATGGCGGGTGAAGATAGCCCGCTGTTCAAAATGAAAGTGCTGCCGGCGATTGAGAGGAGATTCATCAGGGAGAAGACAGGGTACCTGATGGTGGACGCAAACTGGGACCTGGACTTCGACGCCATGGTTCGGGCGCACCGAGCGGTGGAGAAAGGGGAAATTGCCGAGGAGAAGTTCGAGAAGAGTGTGTGGGTGTATGGTGGGGAGCCGGTCGGATGGTGCGTATGGGAGGTGTATCGGCTGGACGGTGAGGGCGCGGAGGCCGAGGGCAGGAAGAAGATTGTGGCGTTCAAGGACCGGCTCACGGCGCTGGGGAAGGAGAGCCTGTTCTTCAGATGGATTGAGCTCATCCAGTACGAGAGCAACCAGCCCGGTGGTTTCACGCCTGAGCGGCAGCAGGACGCAGTCAACAAGGCCAGGGAGCTGTTCGAGAAGCAGGGCGTGGACTTCGAGAAGCTCGTCAACGACGTTGGCGGGCTCGACGGCATTCCTGGCTTGGGCCGGTGAATCCAAAGGACGATTACACAGGAAATAGAAGGTCTACCGCGCAAGGGAACAACAATCGGGGAAGCACAGCCAGGCCAGTGCCAGGAGTAAGGCCAAGGAGAGGACCCGACGAAAACACCCGAAGGAATAGCGTATCGAGTAGTCGCGTTAATGCGACTGGACGAAGCACGAGTGGAAAGGTTGAGGGAAGCTGGGTAGCTGCTTCAACGCCCCGCCTACAAAAATCACACACTGAAAGGCCAACAACGTCATAGCCAAGCAATTGAAAGGTTATGTTGGAACCTGGCAAAGTTGTAGATGCAGCAAAAGGAGTTGGACTGATGGCATGGTGACTGTACAAAGGCTGTTACAAAGGGCACTTTTGCTGAGGTAATCAGCAGTTGGCGGCGCCATCCCAGAAGGGGTAACCAATCATATGACTCTGAATTACCGACTATGATGCATTTCTCTGGACCCCGACCTCTCGATCTCCCAACGTTCATCGCCCCTTGCATGCGAGACATTCGTTATAGGAGCACCTCAGCCAAGCATGTGGAGACAGTCGTTATAGGAGACGGCCAACCAACCAGAAGGAAGCAAAATCGTTGCCGCCATGGATCCCTCGACAGCCTCGTCCCCTAACGCCCCTCCGCCCCAGCCCTCGCCCTTCTTCCGACTTCCACGCGAACTCCGAGATTGGGTCTACGCATATGTCTTCACCGATGCGGCCGGGCTGCGATATGAATACGGCACGGCGCGGCTGTTGGGCAGCAGGCCACACTTCTGGGCTCTGCGCTTCACGTGTCGGCAGAGCCGGCAGGAAACAGTCGACTTCGCCTTTCAGCTCAATCACATAGTCTTCGACAACCTGGGCGGCCGGCGCATTGACCGGCCCAACTACCGCAAGTACCTTAACCGGTGGGACACGGAGTACAGCGAGGAAGACCCAAGCGATCCCGCGCGCGACGCCATCGCCAAGCCCGTTGTCGACCGTGTGCAGAGCTTCCTGTCGCGCGTGCCCAGCGCACCCCAGCGCCGCCTGTTGGCCAACTTCACCGTCGTCGAGCTGCGCCCACTGGAGCACATCTCGGCCCTGTTCGACGCCTTCGACGCCCACGGCCTGCCCGACGTGACCCTGACAGTCGTCCTCGTACCCAGCGTCGTCGGCACTTACCAGTTCGACGACAAGTTCCTGCGCGCCCTCGAGCGCCTGTTTGTCAAGCGCTGGTTCCGCTCAAGCAGACACACCGTCCGTCTGCGCCTCGAGGGCTTCGAGGGCCTGGAGGACTGGATCCGCACCGAGTTCCCGACCGCAAGCAACGCCCCGGTCCAGCAGGCGTTGCTACGCCAGCTAAGAGACCTGCAGAGGTTGGCTGGCGCACTAAACTCTTTGAAGAAAGACGGCGACGGAGTGACGCTGCAGCATTTGTCGACAAGTTTCCTGCTACTTAATTAGCATGTGTCGTTATGGTGTAAGTGTGGAATTTTACTTTGTTGGAAGCTTTTGTCCTTTCCTATTCTTGAGTCCAGGTTTTATTACTGTCGGACTGATACCTTCAACACGAAGTGCCCTTCTTCAACTCTCGCACACTGAAGGGCTCGTGGCTGCTCTCCGCTTCTTCTGCTCCTTTCCATCCAAGAGGTTCGGTGCAGGCTTGGGATTGTGACTTCTTCCAAGCTGGTGGCGTTCGGGAGGCGGACCCCCTTCTTGGGTCCTTGCGGTGTGGCGTTTCACAGTTCAAACCATTTTTTGCTTACAACAAGACATTTCCAGTTTGAGTCCTCCACTCGTCCATGCCTACCTTCATTGATTGGCTGTGGACGACCGCTCCGGCGACGCGCAAGGCGCTGGGAGGGTACGGCCCGGCGTCTCACATGGAAATGATCGGGGGAAGACACGGGGCCCCAGGAAATTCTGGGGAAGGATTTCCGCTCGGTATGCATTTCCCGCGTATTCCCGAACTTACATCTTGCCTCTTGTTTGCAGCGCTCTCAAAAGTTTGGTCTTCCATTTCCACGTTACCGCACTTCATTCTTCACGTTATGTTCCCTGAATTGGGCTTGCTTTCACATCTAGCCTAGAGTACGTCTGGACGAGAAAAGCTTTGCGGGTGGCTGTGAGCGCATGCGTGCATTATCTGTCCACAGCCTCCCAAGGCTGGTTGAGAGTCAGCTTTCGCTGGGCGTTTGTCCGCCAAGCGTGACTACCAAGCGGCTTGCGCTCAGCCACCGGGACAATTCGGCTTCTTGGCGAGGCAATTTGGGACGCGCTGGGCTCGTGGAAATGTGTGCGATTAAGGTAATAAATCCCGACCTAGGCCTGACGATATTTTGTTGGTGTTTGGGTGCTCCGGAGCGCTTTAATAAGGACGACACCGCGCAGCTCACGAGCCACCGAATCAACTTTCGTTCACTTCCCTCCAATTTCGTTTCGCCCGCAACATTTGTTCTTTTCAACATGAGTTTCAATTCATACTCGCCTGCCGAAGCCATAGAATTGGTTTCGAGGGCAGGCGTGAAGAAGGGCAACATGCGTCCGGAAAAGGTATTCCTGTCAGCGTTCAGTGCAGGGTGCCTCCTTTCTTTTGCTGCGGCGTCTTGCCTTGTTGCAAACACTTCACCGTGGGTAAGACGACCATCTGCATTCTCGCTTTTGAAGCCATAGCCACTGAGTCGTACGCAGCTTCAGGAGAATGCTCCTGGCGTAGCACGGCTACTGGGCGCCGTCGTCTTCCCTTATGGGTCAGTGCTCCAGAGATTCAATTGCGGGGGTCCATGCTCACATTCACTAGCCTGGTGCTGATCGTCCTAACTGGCACCGACTTGTGCACGGGTAGCTTCATGGTACGCCGCCGTGAGACCCACCACAACGACCCCATACTAACGACCGCCACCCGCAGTACACCACCGTTGCCGTGCTCCACCGGCGGTTGTCTCTCCCGCGCATGCTCCTTCACTGGCTGCTCACCTTTCTGGGCAACTTCGCGGGGGCGCTCTTCATGGTCACCGTCATCTTTGGCCCGGGGGGTGTCTTTTCGGCCGAGCCCTTCAAAGACGAAGCCATCCTGTTCGCGACTAAGAAGCAAATCAAGCCACGCTGGCACGAAATCTTCCTACGGGGCATCGGCTGTAACTGGCTCGTCTGCCTCGCCTGTTATCTGGGCATGCAAGGACGCGATCTCGTATCCAAGATCGTCGGCATCTGGGGACCTGTCTTCGCCTTCGTCTCGCTCGGCTTCGACCACGTCGCCGCCAACATGTTCTTCATCCCGCTCGGCTTGTGGCTCGGCACGCCCGGCTTGTCCATCGGGCTGTACGTCTGGAAGGGCGTCGTGCCAGCGCTGCTGGGGAACATTATCGGCGGAGGCTTGTTCTGCGGCACGTTTTTGTGGTTCTTGCACTTGCACGGACAGGAGATAGAAGTTGATGGCGATCTGTGGAGCACCCATCACCATCATCATCATTCCCGGGATGGCCACCGTCAACAGCATGACGAGGAGAAGGGCCATCGGCTCGACGAGCTTCCTAGGAAAGATAGGCTTGGCGTGTTGATACACCAAACCAAGGGCTCAACATCGAGCCTTGCGTCTGCGGCACGCAGCGATCGAGGTTTGTTGAGCAGGGAATAAGACAATTACAGAAGCAATAAAGGTTGAAGTGATTTCAAAATAGAGATAGACGGAAATTCCCCCACAATAGAGATAGATGGAAGTGTGTAGCGGGATAAGCATCTGCTTGGTAGGAAGGAAAAAGAGTTTGCATGGAAAATGTTGACTTTATTGAGATGCGAGGTCTGGAAGTGATGCAACCAATGAGCAAGTGCCTCACGTAGGTGCATTGAAACCGAAGGAGAAGACATGGAGTGTGATGCAATGATCCCTACTACGAGGTTGAGGGTATACCGTATTGAATAGGCCTCTAGCAGTTACGCCATTTTGTGAAGAAAGAAACGCATATTCTTTAAATGCTGAAGTCTTCTTTGGAAAGTTGACCTTTCTTGTGTTCTGGGTCTCCGGTATAACCGATAAATGATGTTGCGTGTAGGCATTGTGAGAGTGATCAGAATTCGAGACATTGAAAGTGGACCCGTCAAACACTACTTTTCCTCGTTCCGTGATAGTGAGTAAAGATGAAATTGTGACTTTTTGCAATAACGCCGTCCTATCTATTTGTGCCGTTCCCGTCATGCAAATGCAAATTCCTGCCTCGATGGGGTTATGCGGGGAATAAAACCAGCCGGAGAAAGAGCCATACTTAATACATATGCGCCGAAATTATATGTTCGCGTGTCATTAGTGAGACCTCGTAGCCAGAAATTGACGAGATCCATTCGATGGAGGCGGTTCTCCGTGTTCGTAGACCCACGATATGCGCGGTTGTTGCCACAGAATATTGCATGGTTGCAAGTGCTCGTGTTGAAGCTGTGGATTATGAGAATTATGCGGGCAAGGCCAGCGCCTTGATGTTGACGGAGGTTGGTTGGCCACGGATGAGCTCCGTCATGACTTTTCCGGTGCCGAGAGATTGGGAAATTCCTGGAGTCTGATTAGTATGTTGACCCAAGAGAGGCACATCCGAAACAGTCGTACCCCATGCGCCATGGCCAGCAGCCACGAAAATGCCGCCTTTGTCACCGCCGAGAGTCTGAATGCCAAGCTTCATGTCGGGGACTCGAGAAATAATCGGTCTGCCACTAGAAGTCACGGGGCGGAAACACTGTCCAGAAGTAAGCCAAGGAGCTCCAAATCCAACCGGGATTTCCTCACCAGTCCTTCCCTAAGCATCTCGAGGTCACTGTCCTTGTCCGGCAGACCGCACATGGTGGCTGCGACCTCTTTCAGCTGTTTCATGGCGTCTTCCCTGGGCTTGACCTCCGAGGCAAGCTCCGGCAAAGGAACCTGGGTGGTGTTGAGTCCTGCGATGTAGATTTCTCCGCTAAGTCGGCTGAAAAGTTCAGGCGAGAAGCCGAGAGTGTCAGTGGCGAATATAGCGTGGCAGCCCAGATCCTCTTGCTCCTTGGTCCATCGAGGCGAGCGAAGAAGGAGTGAGTGGCCGGCGAGGGGCGAAATGGGTATCCGGACATTGGTCTTCGGGAACAGCGTGGTAAAAACCCTTGGGGTCCAGGCTCCAGCAGTGACAACGAGGCGGGCACAGGGGACTTTGCACTGTTAGTGATCTTTGAAGGGATCCGTGGCAGAAATCGGGCTCGCTCTTACTTTCCACCTCCATGCCAGTCTCAGTGGCAACGCGGATTGCGCTCATCAAACCCTTCTCGTCTCTCGACACGCCGACAGCCTTCGCCGGGTGGTGGAGATGGACGCCCCTCTCGCGGCATTGGTCCAGCAACCACTCGCACAGGCGCTTAGGATCGCTGCTCCAGATCAGTACGGGCAACAAACAAGCATGGGACCAAACTTACATCTGCGCAGTGCTCGCGTCCTGGCTGATGACCTCGAGGCTGCTGCCAGGCTTCAGCGCCAACCACGCGGGGCCCTCGCCCTTCTCGAAGTGGTCCTGGCCGCCGGCAGCTTTGGCGCGGCTGGTGCCGTTGCGCAACCAGTCCTCTCCGCTACCAAGCACGGCCTCTTCGCTGTTCTCCGGGTCCTGGCTGAGGGAGGTGCCAATGCTCAGGCAGTAGCCCCATTTGTTCCGGCCGTCGTGCTTCTCGGCGAGCTCCTTGTGCAGGCGGAAGGACAGGGCGCCCAGCGGGGCAACAGAGGGCGCAAACCCTGGGGCAGCGTCAGCGTCGCGCAAGCTCACACAAGAAAATTCACGCACAATCTTCGGCGAGGAAGCCACCGGCGAGGCCCGAGGCAGAGCAAAACAGCTCGTCGGCGGACTCGACTATGTGGATGGAGGCAGGGTCGACATCGGGGGTGTGGGCGAGGTAGTAGGCGGTGGAGAGACCAATGATGCCTGCGCCGAGGATGACGGTCTGGGTCGGGGTGCTGGCCATGCTGGTCAGGGAATGCGATGGCGGATCTGCGGACGAGTGGTGGAGGGCAGGCGCGGGTTCAGACTGCCCGCCTGGGGTTTATGTAAGAGGGCAGGCGGCATCGTCGTGTGCGGCTGCTTCAGTTAAGCAGAATATCATACGATCCGTCCCAGCGACGGGCGTTGTGAAAGGCGCCAAACCCCACATCGCCATGACGTCCGCCCGCACCCCTCGCACACTTAACGCAGATCCACACCAGCGTCACCGGCAGGAAAAAAAAAGGCGGGTCTGCCCGGGACGAGGCTTTCTCGGGCCTTGGGGCGCGCGCATTATTTTTCGCGCTCCCGAGCGGCGGTGCCTGTCCCTCTTCACCTCCGCCCACCCCTCGCCATCGAACCACCACCCATGGCCGCCGCGGGGAAAGTCATCATTGTCACCGGCGCCTCCCGGGGTACGCCGCCGGCCCTCTCCCCGTGCATGTGGCCCGCCGTCTGCTGACGCATCTCGGCCCGCGCTCAACAGGCATCGGGCTCGCCATTAGCCACTTCCTGCTGCAGCGCCAATGCAGGCTCGTCGTTGTTGCCCGAAGCAAGGAGCCACTCGAGCGGCTGCGTGCAGAGCATCCGGAACAGGTGCAGCTCCTGTCAGGAGACCTCTCCGACTTTTCAATCGGCAAACAGGCCGCCGATCTCGCTCTCCAGCACTGGAACCGCCTGGACGGGCTCGTTGTGAACCACGGCGTGCTCGAGCCGGTGAAGAAGATCTGCGACACCGAGCCCGAGGAATGGAGGGCTGCCTTTGATGTCAATGTATTCTCCGGCATTGCCCTGGTACCGTGCCCCCATGCCTGCTGCGCTCATTGCCCCTTCTGACCGCCCGTGTAGATCAAGGCTGCCCTGCCCGCCCTGCGCTCTTCCAAGGGCCGTATTGTGCTCGTCTCGTCGGGGGCTGCCACGCACTCCTATGCCGCATGGGGCGTCTACGGTGCATCCAAGGCCGTGTTCAACCACTTGGCCGAGACTTTGGCCGCTGAAGAACCCGACGTTACCACCGTCTCTATCCGTCCTGGCACCGTTGACACGGCCATGCAGGACAACATCCGCGCCACTCATCACAAGCAGATGGATCCTAAGGATGCAGAAAAATTTCTTGGTTTGCCATCTAACGGTAAATTGCTCCGTCCTGACCAGCCCGGCAACGTCATGGCCCGTCTAGTTCTCGATGCTCCAAAGGAGCTGAACGGCCGATTCCTAAAGTATGTGCTCCCCTACATTGCCTCACCCCACCTCGTGCTGATGCCGGCTCTGCAGCTGGAACGATGGGGAGCTGGCGGCTTTCCAAGATGCATGAAACTAGCTAGGGTGTTAGCCACAATGTCTTTCTTCTGCATGGCCACAGTGAAAAGAACAGAGACTTGTGCTATCTCAGGCGAAAGATGAAAAGGCTCGACACGTTCTCGACATAGGGCTTTTTACACCCTCCGTCTTAGCATGGAATGTGATCTTTTGTCATCACAGGAAATGGGGGAGAGGATGAAAGGCGCTGCATCTACGTACCATTGCCAACGACGTCCAAATAAGCTCCTGCCAACACACTAGCCTATGGCATGCACTGCACCAGCAGGGCCACGACAGTGGATGACTCGTTCGGATCATCAATTAAAATCAGATCGCCACAGATTCGACAGCACTCTTTGCTTCTTGATCATCGCTTGGGGAGTGGCGTGACGCGGCTGATGAGAGATCGGGGGCCACCTACCTGCAGCGCACTCGCTAATCAAGGATATGCACCCAAATTGGGACAATGCGGGTCGCTGTGCAGCCGATCGTACGATCAAGCGGGGTGGCGCCATGCTTGATGATCCCGTTGGAGAATCATGCGGGAGCGGCCTGACAGTCGCCCGCTCTGGGGTCCCGCAATGTGGGAGGAATCCCGTGCGCCCATTCTGGCCGAGCTTGAATCTGAGACATACGCCTTGTGTACCCCTGCATGAATCGCACAGCGCTCCTACACATCAGACGCGAACCGGTGTCATAAGGCAGCTACTAAGCCGTCCGACGCGCCATTTGCGTTGGGGACCGGCACTTCGCCCACACCGGCAATGCCATGATCGAAAGCTTCACTAAATCTTCGGATCGTTAGCACTTGTCCGCAGGCCAGCGCGATAGAAATGAAGCTGTGCATGGTTCTTCTCAGAAAGTCCGTTTGGCTAGGACAGGTAATCACCACAATGTTGGTCTGATAGGGGCGACACGAATGTTCATCTTCGGAGCGGGTGAGTGTGAGGGACGGACAGGCAACTTACCACTACGAAATGCTGGCCAGGTGTGCGGCTCAAAAAGTTGGTGATGGAAGCGAAGAGAGAAAAAAAAAGTTTCCAGGCATTTGAGAAGCGCTCGGAAGCACAGCTTTGCCGGCGCCGGCGCGGTCCGTGCGGCGGCCGAGCTAGGATGAAGCGTCAGCTCTGTTCTTAACATTTAAAGAATGCCAAACGACCGCGACCATGTGTTGTGAGCGCAGCATTGGTCGCGAACCCCATCTCTCTGTGCCGCCTTCTGCTTCAACCCCATCCTGAGACTTTGTGCAAGCGAGCCATGTCAGACCGCGAATTTGGAGGTGCGTCGCAATCAACCAGGCTGCCGTGTCGCGCAAAGTGAAGCAACGGACTCCGCGCTGACTCCGGCGACAGGCAACGACGAGCTTTCGCTCCCGAAAGGTATGCGAACCTTCTCCCTGGTCCCGCGCACCTACACCGCCCGTCCCCGCCGCGCTCGCGGCCTCGGGCAAGCCCAGGGAGGGGTGCCCAAGCACCCCGCCTTCACCTCGCTTTCGAGACGCGCTGACCGGGAACAAAGCCACCGTCCAGAAGATCATCAACGAGATCCTCGCAAATGACCCGGGCGTCACGTTCGCCAAGGAGACGCGTGACCTCTTGATCGAGTGCTGTGTTGAGTTCATCACCATGATCTCCTCCGAGGCAAACGATATCGCCGAGAAGGAAGCGAAGAAGACGATCGCATGCGAGCACGTCAAGGCTGCGCTGGAGGACTTCGGCTTTGGAAACTACGTGGACGACATCATGCAGGTCGCGGCGGACCAGCGCAAGCAGCAGATGGTGGGTCCCCCGAGCTTGCCCGACAACAGCACAAGGCGCGCTAACGGCCGCGTTTCCAGAACCGCGAGAAGAAGCAGAGCAAGATCGAGCAAAGTGGTCTCAGCGAGGAGGAGCTGATCAGGCAGCAGCAGGAGCTCTTCCGGTCCGCCACCGACAAGTTCAACTCGGGTCCGCACGAGGCGTGAGAGCTCTGAGGTTTGACTATGGCGTTGCGGATAGGCGTTTTGGCGTTGCAGGCAGCGGGATGGCCGGAAATGCATGGAAGGACTGGGAAAGCGGGCAGAAGACGAGTTTTGACATGATATGAAAACGATTTATTTGAGCATGAGTTAGAGCGAGCTATAAGCGCTACGTGCTGGTGCGTGGCTCCGGGCCGCAGCGCGCAGGTAGTATGACGTTCCTCAAGCAAGCGAGATGCCGCGGCGCTGCCCTACGGCGCTGCTCCAGACTCCGCCAGCAGACCTTCCGCACCACTCTTGCTCGCACACGCCTTCGTGATTTTGCATCCCCTCGCCATCGCTCCCTACCGCGACTGACCGCAACCATGTCTGGCCTCGAAAAAGCGCTGTTCAACCTCAAGGCACGTCGCGCCCATCCCCGCATTGGCACCCCGCGCTAACAATGCCTGCGCACGCAGTTCACCGCGAAGCAGCTCAACCGTCAAGCCGCCAAAGCTGGCAAGGATGAGCAGACCGAGAAGACGAAGCTCGAAAAGGTGCGTCGCGCCCTTTACACAGCCCGCCGGAGCAGCGCCACCTGCCCGCAAACACTGGCACGACTGACACACCGACTCGGGCGCAAACAGGCTATGAAGCAGGGCCACAACGACATCGCCAAAATCTACGCCCAGAACGCCATAAGGAAGCAGAATGAAAAGCTCAACCTGCTGCGTTTGGCGTCGCGCATCGACGCTGTCAGCAGCAGGGTACAAACAGCGGTGACGATGCGTCAGGTCACGGGTAGCATGGCGAACGTGGTCAAAGGCATGGACTCGGCCATGAAGACTATGGACCTGGAAAAGGTATCCTCTTCCCCAAACTTGACCTATTGGGGCACGGCTGTCTGACTTGCGCAAAAAGATCTCCGCAGTCATGGACAAATTCGAGACGCAGTTCGAGGACCTGGACGTCGCGACTGGCTATTACGAAAACGCCACCTCCTCGGCCACGGCCGTCGGCACACCACAAGAGGACGTCGACCGTCTGATGGCGCAGGCCGCGGACAAGGCGGGAGTCGAGCTCAACCAGGAACTCGAGGGCGCTACGCCTGCCAAGACGAAGATTGGTCCTACCGAGGAGATGGAAGATGGCCTCAACGAGCGCCTCAGGGCTCTGAGGAACTAAGCCAGACGGCGCTATGCGATACCTATACAAGCGAAAGAATGGGCACTGACGGGAGTTTATGGCGTTTTTTAGGCTTAAATCCCGGGGCTATTACTGAATGAGTAAATATACATGAGTGGGTATTCGGTGGGTGTGAAATTCTTACAAATTGTCAATGTTGCGCGCGAATTGTTGGATGTCCTTCAGACAATGTGCAGGATTGTGTCAGAATCCAACCTAATAGTGTTGGTGGTTTCTCTCTCAGCTGTGTAGTAAAAAACAAGCAGCCTGTCGCATTGTATGGGTTCTCTTGTTACGGTTCTTTTAACAGCATTCATCTTGCGTTGACCTACTTGCATTGTACGAGCTGCTTCTGACTGGGATTCCGAAGAAATAGTGCAGCAGGAATGCGATTCTGCATGAGCCAAGAAAGAGCGACGTCATTGCTACAGCAGTATGTTCAGAGGATGCCACGTAATCTGGAGGCCGGCTTTGCTGCCTGAACTACAACGGGCTAGTGAAGAGTCTACTTGAATCTCCGCAGGCATATACGCTCATTCAAGACGTGCTGTGTAGTATCAAATCTGCTAGTATTATACCTCAGGCTATAAGCTGGTATAGCCTATGCTAACAAATTCCTTATACTCGTATTGATACCTACCTTGTCGGTTTATGACTAACTTTATAATAAAGCGAATATAAATAAAGTTCCCTACTTAGAGATAGGCTTCTAGAAATCAATCTTACTGCCTGGTTGATCTCTTTTTACGCTTATGTGGCCTTTCTTAATGAAGGGCTGACTCGTCTCAGCAGGAAGGTAAGACACATATTACATTAATATTGAGCCATCGATTTTTAAGCCTACCATTTCGTTACGATCGGAGCAATGGTGACGCCAGATGATGCATGGGGCTTTCCTCCCTTCCTAGAACCCGGATTCATAAATATGCAAGGGAGTGACGGCAGGAGCCTCTGTGTTGCAAATGTGAAAATTTTGGGTGACGCAACAATCATGGGGGTTGGCAGGTAACTGGAGGAGAGGGAAAACAACGTCATTCCCTGCAGTGTGTGTTTAGAGACTTCTGATAAACCAATCGCAAACCGCAAGTCTGAGACGCCACTGATCCGTCGGTGAGGGCCTGCTCTGGCTTCCCCAAACCTCTGCGAAAACATGCCCGGTCTGCTAAAGCGAATTGCATACCGTAAGGGAAACAGAGATTGTTTCAGTCTTGTGAAACACGAACGAAAGTACGTGTGCGATACCGAAGTGTGGAACTCACTCGTGATGCAGTTGAAGCATTTGATGCTCTCTGATCACAAACCCCTCGAGGAGCAGAATTTGCGCTCAAAGAAATGCAGCTGCTACAAATATGCTTTCGTTTCAAAAGGACTTGGGAGTGACGTAACGCATTAATTTACGAGGCCTGAACGCTTCCTGATATTTGTTGTAGCGTTGAATCCGTACGTGTTGAATAGATACATATGTGGTCAATATAGGTAAACCTAACTGCAGTTTCTATGAGGAATCACCACATGTGATGGTGAGAATGAGCTTGTAGCGGGGAGGAAAGGTTCGCGAGAGAGACTTACTGCGCCGAGCAAGCCTCAGGTGCTTCGGTGCCGCTCATGGGGATCAGATAGCTTGTAAAGCACACAATATGGATCAGCATCCAGTATTGAGTCCAGTCTTGTCGGTCTGTGCTATAGCCCACGTGGTCAATTCCGTCTCGGCGCTGAACGATAGCTGTCTCCCCACGGTTAGGGGGTTACCGCAAAAGGACACTTGAAGCTTTGGGACTGGCGTGATTGTACCACACTAGTGCTGTCAATCACGTCTGAGCGAGAGCTCCAAGTTTCCCAACATGTTCCAACCACAAGCAAACAAACATCATCCCAGGTCAGCCAAGCTTTGCCGTTGTCGCGGCAGGGATGGGTGGTGCGGAAGCAGCAAAGCTTGAGGAGCAGCGGCGCAACAATGGCGCGCGCCGATCACATTGTTGTGGCATATTGTCTGCTCGGAAGCATCGCAGACATCGGGGCCATTTTCTAGGCGGGGAGACTAGCGCATTGTCGCGACGCTTACTCTGGCACCGTGTACGTGGTATGACGATCAAGCATTAGCCCACTGCGCCGGCTCCGAATGGCGATAGACGTAGCTTGCATGCGGTGAGGACTGCTGATGCCATTTGCTCCACGACAGACCCGTCTTCAGCCCCTGAGATGAGCAATAGCACAGCTGGTGTTCCTCGGAAGTCGGCACACGCAAGACATGGGCGGCTCGCGAGAAGGTAGGAATTGTAGCCATTTGGCGCAAGCGTCGGCCAGCCAAGCGCAGTAAGCTCATTGGAGGCCTTGGAAGAGTCATCAGGGCTGGTCCAAGCACGCTTCCAGGCGCGTTCTGGCTCACCTGCCAAGCACGAGTGGAGTTTGGCTTCGTCGCCCGTGCGGGACGAGTGAGGCTGTCCGCGTGGCGGCGGGCAGCACGCGGACCGCGGCACAGCACCTGTCGAGTGCGCCAAGCGGTGCTCGTCTGCGGACAGGCGCCGGAGTCACGGTCGGTTGTGGCAGCGCAGGTGGAACCGGGTGCTCGCGTAGGCGCCATGGTGCGTTGTTGCGTGCTGGACGAGGAAGTGTTCCGGAGTTGCAGGGCGGCGGCGATTGGCCGCCTCCTGGCATCAGCCACAGTTTGCGCCACCGCCAGCGGGCTTGGCACTCGTCAGCGCGCGGCGCGCGGCCCTTAGAGCAAAGGGGCTGTTGCCCAACTGCCAGGGCAGGATCGCGGCAAACGGCAGCTACGAGCAAAGAAGCGCCGCGGCCAACTTATCTTCGGCGCTGCGCCGCGCTGTGTTTCCCGTCGTCCTCATCATTTCGCAAGTCTGGTCGACGTGCGCCACACACTGCCCTCTGAGTGGCCAGCCCCCGGAGATGCGTAAGTGTACCCTACCCGTACCCCAGCGCGCCAACGTGGAGCAAGCCCTCTTGGCCACGCTGCCGTCCGCGCTTAGCGGCTCGTTCGGAAGCTCCTGGCGTCTTGTCCCGCCTTATCGTGCTTATTTAGCACCGCGCCCACCCGAGGCTCTCATTCCACACTCGTCACTCTTCGCTCTCTGCGAACCACACCTCGATGGGAGATCCCTCTAATCGCTTCTCAGACCGTATAAACTCGTGGGCGAAAGCACATGCCTCGAATCGCCAACCCAGAGACGTCCGCCGGTCTATTCTTCCACTGAGCAATCAGTCCAGCAATGGGACTGTCCCGTCTGCTGCCTCAACAACTTCCGAGAAGCCTCCCCACACTCCTCCGAGCACTGGCAGCCCGCCAGCCGCCAGCAATGTCGCCGACAGCGCATCTGCATCGCCTGCTCCGCCTCCCGGCAATACCCAGCTTGATGGAGCTCCGCCTCCCGCCCTAGACTCCGGCGAGAAACCGCCCTTCCCCACTCGCACCAAAAATGCCGTTATCCGCTTCTTCCAGCACACCAAAGATGCCCTGTGCTACAGCTGGGTCAACGTATTGCTGGTCTTCGTCCCCATAGGCATTGCTAGTAAGCCGGCCGGCATGTCCGAAGAGCTCATCTTCTCCATGAACGCCATAGCCATCATTCCGCTTGCCGGTCTCCTCAGCCACGCCACCGAGAGCGTCGCTTCGAGACTCGGAGACACGCTAGGAGCTCTGCTCAACGTCTCCTTCGGCAATGCTGTCGAGTTGATCCTGTTCATTATCCTGCTTGCCAAGAATGAAATCCGTGTCGTCCAAGCATCGCTGCTTGGCTCGATCCTTGCCAACTTGCTTCTTATCCTTGGCATGGCTTTCCTCCTCGGTGGCTTGCGCTTCCAAGAGCAGGTAAGCTGTGACGCACTAGTGAGATATCCTGCATGGAGCTAATGCACGCTCCAGGTCTACAACAGCACGGTAACTCAGATGAGTGCTTGTCTGCTCAGCTTGGCTGTCATGAGCCTGCTGTTGCCCGTAAGCCACCCCAGCCTCAAACCACGCCGCGACGCCCTGCTAACATTCGTGCAGACCGCCTTTCATGCTTCCTTCTCCAGCTACAGCACGGCCGACGACAAGACTCTTCAAGTCAGTCGCGGAACCAGCGTGGTAAGTGTGACAATCGCTTGTGCCTCCTGGTGCTTGGTCTAATGGATGACCAGGTCCTACTCCTCGTATACGTGCTCTATCTCCTGTTCCAGCTCAAATCCCATGCCTACCTCTATGAAAGCACGCCACAGCACATCATCGATGAAGAGTCCCACCCGGGTGTCTTGGCCGACATGCTCAACTCGTCCAGCTCATCGGATTCGTCTAGCGACTCCAGTAGCTCCGACACCGACAGCTCGTCGGGATCCAACACTACGGCCAAGAAGATCAAGCGAGCTTTCAGACATCGCAAGCGTCGCAAGTCTAGCACAAGCTCCACGAAGGAGACCCCGTCACTCCCCTCGGTTATGAGCACTCCGTCGGTCGAGAACCACCGAGCCTATTTCGGCAATCAGGCTGGCGGTCAAGAAGGTAGCTTGTCCAGGCGTGGATCGGTCCTCGGTGCCATTCTGAGCGGAGACGAAGCCGATACGGATGATGCTGCAGTGCGTACTGGTGGTTCCCGTGTTCGTGATTTTGAGGCTGGATCTTCCGTTTCTGCATCAGCCGACAAAACCCGGAAGAAGCACAGGAAGAAGCACAGAAAGCATGCCAATGCCACCGAGCCCGAGGGAGACGCGAACGAAAAGAAGGTCGGCCCCGAGTCGTCGAAGGCAGCCCCAACCGAAAAGAATTCTCGTCGCGTTGGGTTTGCGGAAGACCCGGTGCCTGAACCCACCGATCCTGCGTCGCCAAACTCTTCCAAGCGTCCCTTTAACTTTCGCCAGCTTTCCACTCGTCCTGCAATGCTCCCGTCCATGCCAGGGTTCCTCCAGAACAACGTCTTTGTCACTCCACCACCTACCGCTGGTCCTGGCATGGCGACTGGTCGCGGTCTGCGCCGTACCGCTTCTTTGCCCGACCGCCTCAACGGGACTTCGAACAGTTCAGCACGCCGTTCCATACCTCCCATGGCAATTTACCCTGGACACACGACTTCCCAGCAGGAACAAGTCGAAGAGCCCGTAAAACACGTGATGTCTCGCACTTCGGCCGTCATGATGTTGCTTATCAGCACCGGTTTGGTCGCTGTTTGTGCGGACTTCATGAGTGATGCCATCGAGCCATTGGTCGACAGAACCGGTATCAGCCAGGCCTTCATCGGTCTCATCATTCTCCCCATCGTCGGAAACGCTGCCGAGCACGTTACTGCAGTCACTGTAGCTGCGAAGAACAAGATGGACCTTGCTATCGGTGTTGCCGTTGGCAGTAGCATTCAGATCGCAATCTTCGTCACTCCCTTCATCGTCATTCTCGGCTGGATCATGGGCAAAGAGATGTCCCTCTACTTCAATATTTTCGAGACAGTCTCCCTCTTTGTCACGGCATTCGTCATCAACTTTCTTATTCTGGACGGGCGCAGCAATTACCTCGAGGGCGCACTGCTCATTGCTGCCTACGTGATCATTGCGTAAGTTTTGTCCTCGTCCCTGATGATAATGAAGAGTCAAGTATTAACGTGGTAACAGTGTTGCTTCTTTCTTCTATCCGGATGGCTGCGAGGCCAGTCAGATCGGTGGTTCGGAGGGTTCGTGCTAGGTGCATGCCTAGACTCCTGGTTTCATGATGTTACGCCAAAGGGAGGTAATTAATTTCAGGTACCTCAGGTTGGTGAATGACGTCAGAATATGATGCGGTTTTCGGGCTGCCTTTTTCAGGTCGCATCCTTGCTTTGCGACTTCACTTCGACGAGTCATTCCTTACGAATATAATGCTATCTTTACGCAGGGCCCCTGATCTCTCGGCCCCTGCATCCAATCGTATGATTTGATGTGAGCAATTTCTTCTGAACATGTTCTTCGGTGAGGCGAGCTCCAATTCGACGATGGAAAGCCAGGAAGCAATTTCTTCTTGCGATGGTGTTGATGACAGCCTGACCATGTCCGGACACGCATGTTATTATTAGTCTCGAAGTCGAAGGTCTTGGAATCTAACAGGCCATTTCCGTCCGAACCGACCCATGGAGAGTAGATCCGGTGTTGGGATGGACAGGAGTCGCCCTGACATTCGCCTTGTTCGAACAGTAGGACAAGATATCGTGCACTCGCGGAAAAGACGCACGCAGATTACGAACATCATGAGAAAGAAAGGACGAAATAATGGTACGACATACAACAACACTATATCTACATTGATACGTACATACATACAAGTCTAAATAGTCTAGGCTTTTGGTCTAAACATCCCCTTCTAGATGGCACGACGCACGTGTCGTACGTCCCTGTTTTACATTCAACCTTGCGGATATTCTGGTTTGATATACATCTACAAGCGAGCGCTAGTCGGTGGTCATAACTGCGTTATAAAAAGCAAGGTTATCGTCGCTAACGATGGACTTGAAAAAGAAGTGAATCTAGGTGGGAGTTGCACTCATGTGAACTCCTCTTCCAAAACGCCCAAAGATTGTTCGCTTAGAAAGTGAAAACGCCTGGCAATCTGATAAGCTCTGGTGGAGAACAAGATGCGAAGGGGAAGCATGAATGGTTGTTGCGGTTGGCATTACTTCAACCAGCCAGCGGGGCGACGCGGGCACCCATGCGCTGCAGAGGCACGTCATCGGGAATGTTCAGGCTGTCGACGGAAGGCTCGACGGGGGAGATGCGGCTGGCCATGCTCTCAAGCACGGGCTCGGGGGTGGGGGTGCGGCTGATGCTCTGGGGGTTGGGGTTGGGGACCAGCAGCGGGACCTGGAAGGTCGGGGGCTTGACGGCGTTGGGCGAGAGCGGGCTGTTGAGACCCTCGCGGATGGTGCTGCGCTTGGCGGAGATGCGGGCCTCGGAGGGCAGCATCTGCTCGAAGCCGAGGCGGCGGGCGACCTTCTCGATGGACTTGAAGTAGCGCACCGTCTTGACCTTGAGCTCCAGCGTGGCGTCCTCGTCGACGACGAGCATGGGGTGCTGGTGCTGCTGCAGGGCCGACAGGGTCCACATGTGGTTGACGCCCTCCTCGACGCACTTCTGCAGCGCCAGGGCCTTGTGGGCGCCCGTGATGATGATGACGACCTCGCGGGCGTCCAGCACGGTGCCGACGCCGACGGTCAGGGCCATGGCGGGCACCTGCGAGACGTCGTTGCCGAAGAAGCGCGAGTTAGCGAGGATGGTGTCGTAGGCCAGCGTCTTGACGCGGGTGCGCGACTGCAGGCTGGAGCCGGGCTCGTTGAAGGCGATGTGGCCGTCGGCGCCGATGCCGCCCAGGAACAGCTCAATGCCGCCGGCGGCCTTGATCTTCTCCTCGTAGGCCAGGCATTCGGCCTCCAGATCGGGGGCGTTGCCGTTCAGAATGTTGATGTTGGCCGGGTCCAGGTCGACATGCGAGAAGAAGTGCTTGTACATGAAGCTGTGGTACGACTCGGGGTGCTCGCGCGGGATGCCGACGTACTCGTCCTGGCCAGGGCGTTAGCAAACCCTTTGTCCACAGGGGACGTGGTGCAAAGCAAACTCGACGTGCGACCAAGCTCCCTCATTGGCCCAGGTGGGCGGGCCGCTAGCATCTGCACGTAATAGGGAATACGAAATATTTATAGCGTTGCGGAAAAGGGCAAGGGCCGGGTCGTACCATGTTGAACGTGACAACGTTCCGGAACGAGACGTCGCCATTCTTGAATTTCTGCACCAGCAGTTTGTAGATGATTTCGGGGCTGCTGCCGGTGGGCAGGCCCAGCACGAAGGGCTTCTCGGGCGTTGGCTCGAAGGCGCGGATGCGCTCTGGGGCAAACGGTCAATTCTAATATTAGATACGAACGGTGGAGAGACACGGACGTACCGACAATGTAGTCTGCTATATACTTGGACGCAGCGTGGGCGTCGTCACGAACGATCAACCTCCTAGACGTGGTTGGTCAGCGCTAAGCCTCACCGCTCGGGCGACGAGGGCCTTACATGGCGGCGAAGGATCCGAGGCGTATAGGCTGGCCGAAAATGGCAGTCGTGTGTCTGGGGGCTTTTGGGCGGGAGCGGCAGACTGTGCAGGCGTCGCTGACCCTGGGGCAGCCAGAGGCTTTTTACGTTGTCTGGTAGCATCTGTCTTTGACGGCGTTGCCACTGGATCTCAGCGGCAGCATGGCCGCCTTCGGCGAAAGTGTGCCGGAATCGCGGCGCCTCATTGGGCGCGAGGGCCGGTGTTGTCGGGGATTCGGTGCAGCGTCATAGTGCTACCACACTCGCTCTCCCGTGCGGTCTTCTGGGCGGTGCGAATCGTCTGGTTCCACCGGCGCGCCGTCATACCACGCAACGCAGACCGGGGGTCGTAGGGCAGAGCAGGCCAGGCGCGGGTGCCCGGCGGCGATAGCAGGGCGAGTCAGCCAGGGTCGCAGCTGGCCCTCTGCGACACTGTTATCGCGGGCGGCAGCTTTTGGCGGGGACGGCGCTGGAGGTTACATTGCCTGGTGGCTTGCCCGACCGTTGCAACTGGCAGCGCCGGCTCTGGCGGCCAGCAGCCGATAGCCAGCGCGCCTAGCCACGGCACCCCGCGACAGCTGCTCGTGGCGGCGCGAGCCTCCCCAGCGCCTTCCTTTGCGCGGCTTATCGTTACCTGGCTGCTCGTGCCGCGGCTGCTATCTCCCGCCTGCTCCTTGCGGCGCGCCAATGCGCTGTGCGGAGAGGGACCGCTAGCGCTCCGCCGGGCCACGACCACGCCACGGGAGCTGCAATATATAGAAAGCGCGGCTGCTCGTGTGCCCCAGGCAAGCGACGTGCTCCCCTCGCGCTCGTCAAAACCTCGTGGCACCACCCGGCTAGCCAGTGCGCTGCTGTTGCGTCTCCGCCCCCGACTTCCCCTATCTCCGCTCGCCTCCACACGGCCCCGGCGCACCACATCCACACCATGGCCGACAACGAGAAGCAGTCGCACGCCGAGGAGCGCGCCGCCCCCGGCAGCCCGCCGCCCGAAGACGCTGGCGTCGCCGACGCGCGCAAGAAATCATGGAAGTACCGCGAGTTCAACATCCTGGGCCACAGGGTCTACTACGCGTCGCCCGCCGCGCAGCTCGGCATCGTGTCGTTCGTGTGCTTCATGTGCCCGGGCATGTTCAATGCCTTGTCCGGCATGGGCGGCGGTGGCCAGGTCGACACTGAGGCCGCCAACAAGGCCAACATCGCCCTGTACTCGACCTTCGCCGTCGTCGGCTTCTTTGCCGGCACCATCGCCAACACGCTCGGTGTCAAATTCGCCCTGGGCTTCGGTGGCCTGGGCTACAGCATCTACGTCGCCTCCTTCCTCAGCTTCTCGCACACCCAGAACTATGGCTTCACCATCTTCGCCGGCGCCTTCCTTGGTGTGTGCGCCGGCCTGCTCTGGTGCGCCCAAGGTGCCATTATGATGTCCTATCCGCCCGAGGCCTCCAAGGGCCGCTACATCTCGTGGTTCTGGATGATCTTCAACCTGGGAGCTGTCATTGGAAGCTTGGTACGCCTTAACCGCTCCCCCGGATCGTCTTCGAGAAGTCTTCTAGCCATCCCTTGCTAACCACTTTCGGCCCACCTCACAGATTCCCCTTGGCCAGAACATTCACAACACCGAAGCCGCTACTGTTAGCGACGGCACCTACATTGGGTTCCTGGTCCTGACTCTGATCGGCGCAGCCCTCGCCTTCACCCTCGTCTCCGCCAAGAGCGTCATCCGTGAGGATGGCTCGCACATCATCCTGATGAAGAATCCCAGCTGGAAGACGGAGCTGATTGGTCTCGGCGAAACATTCGTCTCCGACCCCTACATCATCACCCTCTTCCCCATGTTCTGGGCCTCGAACTGGTTCTACACTTACCAGTTCAACGACATCAATGCCGCCTATTTCAACCTGCGCACCCGTGCCCTCAACAACACTCTGTACTACATCATGCAGATTGTCGGCGCCTTCATCTTCGGCTACGCTCTCGACCTCGAACGCTTCCGCCGCACCACCCGCGCCAAGGCCGTCTGGGTTGCCCTCTTCGTCCTTACCATGGCCATCTGGGGCGGCGGTTACGCTTTCCAGAAGACCTACACCCGCGCCGAAGCCGCATCCGACGATTTCCACGTCAAGGACTGGGCCCACGATGGATACATCGGCCCCATGTTTTTGTACATGTTCTACGGCTTCTACGATGCAGCTTGGCAAACCGCCGTCTACTGGTACGCCTAGACTTTCCCCTCCTCTCCCATTGCACACTTATCACTGACATTTCTCGAACTCACAGGCTCATGGGCGCCATGACCAACAACGGCCGAAAACTCGCCAACTTTGCCGGCTTCTACAAGGGCATTCAGTCGGCTGGTGCCGTCGTCATCTGGGCGCTCGACCTGGAGAAGCTGCCGTTCATGAACCTGTTCGCCTCTTGCTGGGCCCTGCTGGCTGGCTCGCTGATCATTGCTCTGCCCGTCATCCTCATCAAGATCAAGGACCACGTCTCCATCGAAGAGGATCTTAAGTTCACCGACAACAGCCTGACCGACGTTGCCCCCGTTGGCACCACTGCGTTCGAGGAGGAGACGAAGAAATGAATGCGGGTTTGCGGTAGAGCGTAAAGGTGCTTTGCTTCTTCTTTTCATTTTCTCGCCGTTAGCCTCTGGCTCTCTTTGAGTATCTTTTTTTAATGTTTTAGTGGAGACGGAGTGGATGGGTAGATCTGCGGGCTTTGAAGGAAATCTGGTTGCAATCATGATGGGCACGGAAAGACGAGCTGGTCGGTTGGGTGGGGTGCCAGCCCCATTGCCGACGAAAGAGGTGCACCGGACGTTTAATGCCTTCCGAATGGATGCTGATATGGCATCTCACTGAGGGGGAGTGACGCGGTGTTTGGTGGTTTTAGTTTTTGCTGATGATTGATGCGAGATGCGGATTTTTACGATACCACGGATGGTTTGGTGGCATGTGGGAAGGGCAGGAAAAGCAGTCGAATAAGAAGGGGACACTCCGTCTCGGACAATCTTACTCGTTTTTGATATCATGACTGTGGACAGCAGGAGGGGGTGACATCCGATACTTTCCCCTCTTCATGCGCAACCTTCTCGAGTGTTCGCGTGGGCTTCTGGAACTGCACACGATGCGCGTCCCTTACTTCGAGCTATGCCGTCAGCAACACGGCCGGAGCTAACTCCTAATCTTCACCGCTCCTGCCACTACCTCCGTTGGCGGCAGGAGCGATGTCATCTGCACGTCTGGAGAAAGTATAAGACGTCCATGCTGGTTTACATCGGGAGCTAATTGTTGGCATGCATGGTACACCCCTCTACTACCCACAACTATGGTTTGACTTGCCTAACTAATGCAAATCGCCCCTTCCAAGTGCCGGTGTCGCCTCCCGGAAAGTTTCTGTCAGATACGAGAACTTGCCTCATACGGTAACCAGCCGAATTGATCTTACTCAGCATTCTATCCATCTTCACTAATAGGAGATCACAAACTGCAACCCGGACACGAGACAGCCGGGGCCCCGCAAAGAAGATTGGCGCTACCGGGCCAGAGCAGCCGAATCGAAGCAACAAAGTTGTACGGGGGAAGGGAGAGGCTGAGAAAGAGACGTTGCGACATCGCTTAGTAGAAAAGTGGTCATTTGACGATTTCTGCGCCACAGCCGCGCCTCGGATACGTAAGAATGCTACCACGGCTGACAAGGAGAGCAAGATACGTAAGATGCGTGACCCTTTTCGCTCGTGTGAAAGGTGACGAGATACGCATCGCGGCACTCGCCGCCACTCCAAAGATAGGCAGGGTTGCGTCCTTGAGATGAGATGAGATGAGATGGAACGTTGGTGTGCACGTTGGAGAAGCGAAGCAAAAGAGTGTTCCTGAAAGATTCTTCCGAGAGCCAGGATATTGATGTGGTGGGGTCATGTCCCGTCGTTGATCGGCATACGAAGGGCACCTTACCATCTGCACCGACAACGGAAGCCAATGGGAGAGGGGGAGGGAAGGGCAACGAAGTGTCTGCGGCCCTGGAAGCTGCTACCGCGACTGCTACTGCTACCCTAGAGAAGGTACGTAGCATCACGGCCGGGCAAAAAGCAATGGGAAAGTGAACGGAAATTCAGTTCGGCTTGGCGATACGTGGACGCGCAGAAGGGACATGTGGTAAGGAATAGCGTTCGCTTACCAATATGACGGTTCTCATCTTACCGTTTAGACGGATGAGCACTTAGTTTTTCCTGCAGACCATGGTTATTCTGCATGCTCGAAGATGCAGTAACGGGCAGCTTTGCAGATGATTGAACAAAGACCAAGATACGAGCCGTCTCATTTGGAGCAGCTGCATTCAGCTTCCACAATAAAGGGGCGAAGGGTGCTGCGAAGCCATTACTAGCTCGCATATGGCGGGATTTCGACGCGGAACTTCCCAGCTTGTGTGCGGTGTTAGTGACCGTTTAACGTCGAACAAACGAGGAGGCGGTGAGAAAGCGCATGAACTTGGACAACGGCTTGACGCATTCCTGGGCAACTCGGCGCCCTTTATTGCACCGGTAGCCTCGCAATATGTGAGGGAGCAGGGCGGGCGAGAGGACAATTGGGGAGGATGAGGACGGCTGGTAAGCACGGCGTTTCCCGGCATTCATGCAAGCACGAAGCCATGGCCCAGGGAGAGCGTGGTGTAGCAGCGGACGGCGGGCGAAAGAAAGTCATCCACGTCGTTTTAGGATGCCTCGGCTTCTGTGAGGGATAGGGCGGGCGGGGCCCAATCACAGAGCAGGCGAAACAACGCTGGTGCGGCAAGGCCAACCAAGGGTTCCGATTCCGTGCTTCTGGAAGTAGTGGCAAGACGAAACAACGGAGCAAGCCGTGGCTTTCTTCAACGCTCAGCAGCTGCGAGGGCGAAGGGAAGTCCAGGTTCGGTGAGATGGTTCCACGGCGGGATTTGCTTTGCGGTCACGCCAGGCCGAGTTTGAATTCTCTCGTCAGCAGCCGAGATGGAAGCCATGTAACACAAGGCGGCGCTCGGCTGCTCTCCGTTGGTAGGAGTGGATCGCGTACGCGTTGGGCGGAGCAGCAAAATTGCGATTTCGCGAATTGCTGGGTGGGGTTGCACTTTTCTGAGGTGTAACGCCGGCGGGCAGCTTCTCCGCAATCGTGATAAGGCGGGCCGCGATACCAAGCTTTGGTCTGCAGGGCCGACTGGCGCTTCGCGTGACCAGGACAATAGCCGGCGGCGTGGCGGAAGCTGCTCCGCTAGGGTTTGCGGTAGCTCGTTTGGGCGGCGGCAGCCGGGATATTGCAGGAGCGGCGCGGTCGCACGCAGGGCGGGTGTGTTCGTCGGGGACGCTGGGCGCGGTGGTGAGGCGGAGGGTTGGGACGCTGAAACGGGCGCCGGCTTGGCGGCCGGGGCGGGCTTCGAGCCGCTGGCGTCAGCGCAGATGGCGGGTCGCGCAGCAGTAGCGCCGGGAGGCGCACGTGGATCGCGGCTGGGGGACCAGGCCGCGAGAGTCGCCTCCTGCGCGGGAATGACGCGGCGGGAACAGGGCAGGCGCTGCGGGCGGCGATTGGGCGGCGGGGCTGCTGGGGCGCTCGGCTCTCCGTTGCGGCATAGCCATGTTGCAACGTCTGGTATCATCCATCCTCAGCAAAAGGCTGTCTTGCGACAAGCAGAGCGCGCCCGCCGTGCTCTGCGCTCGCGCGCCGCAGCTCCACCGCGCCCGGCAGCCACCCTTGCTTGGCTCCCAGAGCCTCTAGACGATGCCACCTTCCTCCCCTACTATATGCATATGCGACATCGGGCCATTCGAGTCCTTGCTGCCAACACGAGTTGCGCCGCCTACTTAGACTAACGCCGCGGCGCCCTGGTTTCCTTCGTCTGCCCTCCTCTGCCTGCACCGCCACCGTCTCTATGTTTGACCTCTGGTCTTCTCTCCTGGCCGCTGTTGACATGCTTCCCTCGCTGGTCCACACCGTCTGCAGCCCGCCGCCCTCCAAGCATGGCCTGCACAATGTCGTCCGCGCCTGCGACCTGACCATGGACGACTTCCTGCGCGATGTCCAGCGCCAGTTTGAGGCCCCGCTGCACCCGGACAGACTGCTGGCCATGTCTGCCCGCCTGCAGGCCGACTTCCAGAAGAAGCTGCACCACAGCGACATGTGCATGCTGCCCTCCTACAACCACACGCTGCCCACCGGCTTCGAGCGCGGCACCTACCTGGCTCTGGACGTCGGCGGCTCCACCTTCCGCGCTGCTCTGGTCGAGCTGAGCGGCAAGGAGAGCGGCGCCAACTGCATGCAAATCGCCAAGATGTGTCTCTTCACCATCAACGACTCGGTGCGCGCCCTCGAGGGCGGCGCCTTCTTCGACTGGATGGCCGAGCGCATCGCACACATGCTCGCAGATCCCGACGTGAGCGCGAAGCTGGGCCCGGACACGCTGCCAATGGGCCTGTCGTGGTCTTTCCCCGTTGAGTGAGTTGGGCCTCGTGTCCATCGCCCGCACCCCGCTGACTGCCCTCCCGCAGACAAACCTCGATCCGCACCGGCATTCTGCTGGACATGGGCAAGGGCTTCCGTGCCACCAACGGCGTGCACAGGAAGGACCTTGGCGATCTGATCATGCAGGCCTGCCAGCGAAGGGTATGGACGATGCCCCTGCCGCCGCCTCTCGCTGAAGCTGACACTTGGACAGGGTCTCGACGTCCGCCTGGATGCCATCGTGAACGACTCGTCAGCAACTCTCCTGTCGCGTGCCTACCGCGACGACACCACTCGCCTGGCCCTGATCCTGGGCACCGGCTTCAACGCATCTGTCCATTTGCCCGTCACTGCCCTGTCGCGCCAGAAGTTTGGCACCAGACCGCAGGAATGGCACGACCAGGCCGAGCGCGTGCTTGTCAACACCGAGCTCAGCATGTTCGGCAAGAACATCCTCCCCCTCAGCCGCTGGGATGAGTCTCTCAACAAGAACCACGAAAGACCCGACTTCCAGCCCTACGAGCACCTGATCAGCGGTCGCTATCTTGGAGAGATTGTCCGTCTTGTCCTGCTTGAGGCAATCCAAACCGCCGGCCTGTTTGGCGGCGAGGTCCCTGAGCGTTTCATGGAGCGCTACAGCTTCGACACTGGCATCATGGCGGTAATTGAAGAGTGAGTTGACTCGGGCTCCACCTCCTTCCTCGATTCGGTGCTGACTTGCTCCAAGCGACAACACTCCGACTCTGTCCAAGGCCTGCACTGTTCTCCAGGCACATCACCCCCTGACTACGCCCCCCACCTACACCGACATATACTACGTCCGCCAGGTCTGCCAACTCGTCTCTCGTCGCGCTGCAGCCTACCTTGCAACTGGCATCCACGCCTTGTGGTCTCTGCGTAACAAATCCGAGGGTCTCTCCGCCGCCGAAGCTGGCCACATTACCATTAGCTGCAACGGTTCTGTCATCGAGAAGTACCCCTCGTTCAGGAAGACCGCTCAAGATTTCATCAACGACCTCACGAGTCTTTCCGGTGCATCCTCCGGCGCGGTGGATCTGGAAATGGCCGTGGAGTCTTCAATCTACGGTGCTGCTGTTGCAGTGTGCTGCCTGGAGGACCACCACTCGTAATTGAGCCTCTCGCCTCCTATCTCCAGAAGCACATTTTTGGTTGTAGTCGAGATTTGCACCGACCCGGCGTCTTGGTACCAGCCTGAGACAAGAGCAGATCCGCCAAGCAGCAGGCCAGGAGACACAAACTGTGCAGGCAGACGTCATCGCGTCGGCTTGGCTGTTTGGACTGGCGCGGGGCATGCATCCACAGACCGGGTTTACTGCGACACCGTTCTGCAGGACCAGCCCTCCCCCTCCCCTGTGCTACCTCCACGAAACGGATTCGCGTCGCACGCGAAAGGTCCTCCCGTCCGTGGACTGACCGGATGTGTGAAGCTCCTTTGGTGCACTGAACAGCAAGGAGATTATGCAGCAGCAAGAGGTGTTTCGTCTTCTCGTATTCTGGGCATGTGAAGTGATGGATCCGGCCATCGTTGTAAAGCTTCTATCGGCTTCCCATTTTCGCCACTTTCTCGAACGCCATCCCGGCAGCTTGCATGAACGTTTCCGTAGTGCCGCCTTTACATGCATGCTGAAATTACGCTTCGTGCCAATAGCGCATCGCATCATCGGTAACGCATTTCATACCATAGGCCCTGGCTGATGTATGGATTAACCGCGCTAGCGCAACAGCCGCAGATGGCGGTGATGGCGGCATTAGATCTGTCAGCAAAAGAAGAACCTCTGGCGTTTCGTCTGCTTTCGTCTCCGACGACGTTGCATTGCGTGGGTGCATCGGGCGCATATATCGGATTCCTTTCGCCATTCCATCCTTGGAAGTTGCCTTATTGGGGCACGTTGGATGGATCCGAAAAGTGGAAACTTACGCTTTTCCTCTTTTTTTTTCTGGCATTCATATTTGGATGATTGTCCCCTCATCTCTCAGCCTAGCTGATTTCCTTTTTCATACCCCGAGGGAGCGGGACATTTTCGTGTCTATTATTGCATATTTGCTTTCTACATTGCATATAATAGTAAATAGATGATAATTGGTAAACATATAGAAATACCGCATGAGCGAGGCTCTCTGGCCCTACCATCAGCATCGATTGGAGACTTGGCAAAGACATCCACGTTTTGCGATATTCACATGAACACCCCCAGCCGCATCCAGTTGTATGCCGCACCTTGTAGCACGGCGATTGGCTGCTAGCCAATAATGCTTGTACAGCAACCACGGGAGTCGTAGCACGGCGTTAATCACACTGCAGCGCCAGCTCAAGCCGCGCAAACGGAAAGCGCACGCATGCACGAACATCAACCCTCCACATCACCCCCCACATCACCCCATGCTCTCGCCCTCGCTCCGAACGCCTCTTCGGCGAATTGCCCATTGCAGATCGCGGAGAAAAGGACTCGTGGTGAGAGAGCGCTACGAGCTCACCCGACGACGATGCACGCCTCCAGGGTCCCAACGCTTGGCATCACACCATTTCTGGCTCTGGTACGAAAAGGCCTTGGAGGAAACGAGTCACAGTAACAGCAACCATCGACTCACATGCAGGCGAGGAAAAGTAGAAACGACCGCACTAACGAAAGGGTGTGAACTTAGGACATCGTACCGAACAAGACCTGCACACAAGAAAATAAACGTTGTTCTAGCCCCTCACCCCTCTTTTTTTTTCGGTCTTCCCCCCTAGCGCTTGATCCCGTGCGAGAGTTTAGTAGGGCGGGGGAGGGGGCGCCCGTCGATCGATCTCTGATCTAAACGCCGAATCTAACAACTGCCCCTCCGATTCGCTGGTTGCTCGAGCACATGCAGCGATAGCGGGACAAGGGTACATCAATATCAAACTAGAAAGGAAAGCAAGGCTATAACCGCGGCACGGCACGAACCGGCGCATACCAAGGCCCCACTTGTCCCCAGTTGTTTATTTTCCCTCTATTAGGCACATCCTGCTGTCAATTTTCACTGGAGCAAGATACAATGGCATCTCGTAAAATGCCCTTTCGTCTGATCGTGGGTGCCAGGTATGCTTGGTTCCGAAATTCTTCTGACTTTCGCACTAGGCTTATTGCGAGCAGTGATTAGAAGAAACAAAAATCGATAGTATAATAATCTGTGGCAATGACCAGCCAGCCGTACATTTGACCACGCTCAGAAGGCAAGAAAAAGGTATCTTCAACGTCGAACAAAATAGCCTCCGGCTACACAGACACCGTAAGAGAAAATATGGCAAAGAGATCGCTTTCGTGAAAGCAAAAGATCAATCAATCCCGATTACGCTGTTGGTTCGAGACTCTGTGACAAGATATTTCCTTCGTTTCCCAATGTCCCCGGTTTAGAGGGATCACTCAGGAACATTCCATATCCAACAAATTGAAGCTCCGGAATGAAAATGACCGTCCAAGTATGTCGATAAGTGTTCATGCGCAAATTCCAGCCTGTGGGCCAGACTTACCACACAAGATTGATGTTCATCAAGAACCGCTCCTCTCCGCTTCAAGACCAAGACCCTACCTCTTCTTCTTCTTTCGTCTTTCTCAAAGCCGGTTACCCCGACAAGCTTGACCTGATAGCTCCGTTCTTGTCCGTGCTCGGCCTTCCACGGTATGAACTCAACTGGGTATCAGAAAAGAAACAAAAATGTTAACGATGTTCGTAATCGCGCGATGATTCGTGATGTGCTTGCGTTGCGCTGCATTCTGCAGAGCGGCGGCTGCCGCGGCTTCCTTAAATTGCTCCTCGGTCTTGGCGCCTGATCATACACGTACGGACCACTCCCCATGTTATGGCGAAGACTCAGAGAAGTAACGTTTCGACCGGTTCCTTACGGCTACGGCCTTGGGGTCTTGTGGCAGGTTTGTGTGGTGAACGACGTGTGGTCTGTAAACGGCGTCCACGGGTGGCATCCAATCGTCTAGACCAAGCGGGAAATATTCGTACAGTAGATCGGCGCTCTCGTCCGGACTGCTAATCAAGTTGATCGAGAAAGATGGTGCACGAGCAGGAGGCTGTGTCAGCTTCGGCAGCTTCTTGCTAGTTTCAGACGGTGATTCGGGTTTCTTGGATTCATCCTCGGTCAAAGACAGGCTAATGGGCTGTGACAATGCTGGCCGTGGCTGTGAGTTGTGGCGCGCCAAGTCCGGACTTGACTGAGGATAGGCCGGGACAGGGGGGATGCTGTAAGAAGCCGGTGCTGGTGGAACGGCGGTCATAGCTCCGGTTTGGCTCGTGGGGATTTTCCACTCGAAGAAGTCAGGAGAGACAAGCGTGTCGTTAGGATCGAACTGGAAGGGCATCTGGGGGATTTCGACGGTTGTGGCCGTGGAATGTTCACGTTTGTGGCCATGGTGGTTCTGACCGGAGTCTGTTCCGGTCGGAGTCCGGGTTGGTTGAGCGGGCGTTGCGTGCGATTTGCGAGCAGCGGTGCTGTTACCAATTGGAAAGTCTTTCCGAGATTGGAAATTTCGGGGACTCCGGCCACGGACAATGATGGCACCTGACTGCACCTCGCAGATGGACACTCTCATACCGTTCGAAAGAGTGGCCATGACTTTTAATCTGACTACGAAGTGCTGCTGAAGCTCCTTCCGCCGTCCATTGTTCGCCGTGGCGATCCTGAACTGCAGCCGCTTCCAAGCAATCGGGAAGTTCACATACTCCGAGTCCAGCTCCTGCCCGTTCGAAAGATCCAGCGGGATCGACGGCGGCTCCTTTTCTGTCTTGTCCTCGACAACCTGCGTGCTGCTGGCCGGGGTCTTCCACGGCACTGAGATGATCTTCACCGGGTTCCCCTCGACTGACTCGGTGGCGGATATAGTCAATTCTTGCGCCAGCACCGGAATCTGCTCACCCTGGTCGGTCATGATGTACTGCAGGGCGCGAGGGAGAGTGATGGTGCCGGTGATCTGGAAGAGGTTCCGGCGATAGCAGGTCAGCTCGGTGGGCGGTGCGGCGTTCTCGCCAGCCGAGGCCCAGGGCGATTCGGCAAGGAAGAACATGCCGCGCAGCTGTGCGTTCACCGAGGCCGAAGTGCGACGGTAGGCATAGTCGAGGATAGTGTAGGGGAAGGTGGGCGTCGAGAAGCTCAGCAGCTTGTTGTCGCGCTCGACCGTGTCGCCGTCGGGTATGGCGGTATCGGGCTGGGTCTGCTGATCGTATGCGCTCAGAGCGTCGGAGAAAGGGTCGTCGTAGGCGCTGTTGTAGCGCTTGAGCTGGGCCGGGTGCATAGGGTGGTGCGAGTAGGTGGCATCCTCGCTGCTGCGCGCGCGGTTAGCATGCTTGGGCGGGGATTCGCAGCGGCGCGCGTACCCGGCGAAAGTTTCCTGGTCGAAGTTGGAGTGGCCGTCGAGGTTATCCAGCGGGAGCAGCGGGCCGTGGAGCGCGTCGGGGGCGGTCACGCCCGACAGCGGCATCGAGGGCGCCAAGTAATTCATGGTGATGGTGTCGAAGCCCTCCATAGCTGAGGTGGGCGGGCGCCAGGTGGGGAGCGGTGGGCGTGGTTGTCGGCTGCATGCGCTCGCAGCGGGAAGTGCGCTGGTCTGCGGGCGGGCGGCCCGTGGAGAAGTTGCTCGGGATGGGGCTGAACAGCAGCTGGGGTTGTCGAGGGAGGCGCGAGGGCAGGTGTTGGCTGGGGCGTCTCGCGGATGCTGGGCTGAGAGGCTAGCGGCGGCACTAGCTTCGACGTCGACAGTGAGAGCTGCTAACATTGGAAGACAGCCGGCCCGCGCTGTGCCAGCCAAGCCTGCGTTCGGTGCGACCGAGCTCCCCCATGCGGTGCCTCTTGCAGCCTCTGGGCCCCGAGTCTCGCGCTGCGCCCGGCCACTCGCGGGAGCCGCGTCGTCGCGCTTCGGGAAGGCTTCGAGAGCCTTCGCCCGAGGCCTTAGGCGCGCCGCATCAGCCAGCGCGCGGCGTCCTTGTCGGGCGCCCATCATCCGTAGCCGCCGTGCCACCCCCACGCAAGGTCCCGCCACCACGCATGCCACACGAAAGCTAGCAATGCTAGTTGCTTGTACGCATCTGTGCCCTCAATTACAAGAACTGCGCCTGGGTATTCCAAAACGCCCGTCTGCCCGTCCCTCTCGCCTGCCGAATGAGCATCCCAGTCCGCCCTACGACGGTGGCACCATCGTCCAGGTGGCCGCATCGCAGCTGACTTCCTCAAAATTATGCAACACGTCGAAGCCCATCGCCGATAGCCCGTCAAAGCTGCCGTCCCCGTCCATCTGCGACGTACGTTAGCGAGTCCGCGTGCCCACGCCCGCCAGGGCCGAACACCTACGTAATCTAGAATGCACGCGTTGCACTGCTGCTGTTTTATCTGCCGCATGCCCAGGAGAATGAGCCCCTGCAGCAGCGTCGAGTATTCGCCCACCGCCGGCGAAATCACTGGCGACGAAATGCCGCCCGTCAGCTCTCCCACGTCCTTCATTGCCGGCACGAACTCAGAGAGCCTCGAGTGCATGTTGTAGAGCACCACCGTCCCCACCAGCGCCCCGTCCTCCGGGCGCTTGGCGCGAATGATGCCGCATGCTGCGGGATCCGTGAGTGCGAGCTTGTACACCTCGGCCAAGCCTTGGCGATTACTTGTCTTGATATGGTCGAGCACGGGACCAGCGTACTCCCATCCGTACACCAAGTCAAACTCGACGCCCGCACTTGCCAGGCTCTTGGCCATCCCCTCGGGTGGTGTCCACGTTGACAAATTGCGCGCGATCATGCTGCATACCGGCCGTGACAGCGCCGTGTTCCAGCCCATGTTTGCAAACCATGAGCGAAGCCGCTTGCGCTCTGCGCCGTGCCCCGTGGGAATCCCCAAGAACATGCTCGGCAGTCGCGAGCCGAGCTGGAAGCGCTTGATGCCGTCGCGTTGAAGAAGGGTGCGGATGGCCCGGTTATGCAACGAATGGCCAATTGAGAGCTTTCGTCGTGAAGGATCTACGAAGAGTGCGCCAATGACACCCGTGCCTGTAGCCTTGAAAAAGTACGTCGAGCAGAAACCATACAAGGCGTGGGTGCTGCTGTTCCGAACAACAAAGTGGGACTCGACCACTTCCGGATGATGCAAGAGGAACGAATTCGATGTCGCGCTTGCCAGCTCTGACCGTTGACCAGGAGGCATTCCCTCGGTCACGGTTTTGATGAGCGCGTCAAGGGCATTGGCGTCTCTTTCCTCGTTGAAAATCTCCACCAGCCAGTGCTGCTTGGATTGATGCAACTTTTGGCTGTGGCTGATGGTGCCTGGCAAGGATCCTGCCGGCGTGTGCTCGCCGTAGAGAACATTGACCAGAGAGTTGAGAGCGGTCTCCGTGAAATCGTAAGTGCACACGTAGGTGCCAATAGTCGAGTCTAGAGCAAAATCGTAGGGCGAGCTGACGGCAACGACGATGAGAGGCTTCTCCCTTCTCTCTCCGCCCGCTGTGAACTGCATGTTGCAGATCATGGAAACGTGCTTCGTGAAGCCGTGCTGATACAGGTTGCGATTAGCATCGGCTGTAAGGATTATCACAGCACTGGCTCGACTGATGAGGTTTTCGTGAACTGGCCGAACACCGTTCGCGGTGTAGGACGTATGCAAGACCCGTCCGTTGCGCTGTCGGGCGAGGGATCTCCCAAGCTCCCGGAAGACGCGCTCGCCGCTCATCACGGAGGCGCTCCGCTCCCACACGGCTGGCTCGGGCGAGCCTGCTGATACCGACTCCGATAACGCAACTGAAGCTGCAGAAGCCGGCAGAGGCTTGACGAGAGGGGTAAGTAGAAGGAGCTCTTCATCTGGTTCCAGGATGTTGGACAGGGGCAAGAAGCGATTCTTGTCTCTAACGACTGTGATGGAGTGGTTGTACGCCTTTGTCGAAAGAGCTGTATGCGACGGTTGTAGCGTTGAGAGAAGCTTGAGCCCCGGCGGATTCAATGCTTTGTCCCAACTGCTGCATTTTGCCTTCATTGTCAAAACTCTGCGCAAGGAATCTCTAACTCTCTCTTTAGTGATCATGGAATTTTCAATGCCGAGCTTTAGGCCGTTGATGGCTTCCTGCTGTGCAGAGAAGGAACGGCACAGAAGAACCAAATCACAGCCTGCATTGACAGCCATGACGGTTCCGCCGCCGACACCGATATTGTGGCTCAGAGCTTCCATTTCCAGGCACTCGGAGATTACAACGCCATCGAACTTCAGGTCTGACCGAAGGAGCCCATCGACCACCTGATCTGACAGGCAGGCGTGCATGACGTTGAGCCCGGCAGACGACATGGCACAGCCCCCGACCATCATCGCGTCAAGTCCCTGGGCGATGGCATTTCGAAAGGGGACAAGGGCGCTTAGACTGAGCTGCTCGAGGGAGTCAGTGATGATGGGTACGTCGAGAGCCGAACCCAGGAATTCCAGGTTTCCATATGACGGGAAGTGCTTTCCCATGGTGGCCACGCCGGCCTCCTTATAGCCTTTCACGAAGGCGACGCCATAAGCGGAAACTTCTTGGGGGTCATCTCCCGTGGTGCGAACACCCAACGGCTGGTTTCTGGCATTGGTCAAGACATCTAGACAGGGGCCCATGATGACGTTGATGCCGCAGGCGGCAACCTCCTGCGCGGTTGCCCTTGCAACCTCAAATGCCAGGTCGGTAGAGCCGGTAGCAGCGATTCCCATGGCACTAGGGTACTGGCGAATGTAGATTTCGTCGAAGAGGCTGTTTACCCCACCATTCTCCTGGTCGAGGCCGATGAGCAACGGCACGGGATGGCCGGCATCGTGAGCGCACTTCTGCAGCTCGTAGCATAATTTTGTGGTTTCCTCGGCGGCTACGCGCACTCAGCAGAGCACCACGAAGGAGGCGCGAGGAGCTTACATTTTAAATTCTTCGCAGTCAGAAGGATGGCGCCAATGTGGTGCTTCTCTATCAGCTCGCGGATCTGCGGGGTCAGCGAGGTTCCATCGAAGCCCATCATAAACAGCTGGCCCTGTCATCGCCGCGTCAGCAAGGCAGCAGAGATGCAACGCTTCAGGGCATACCAGGGTCCTGCGAGTCAACGTTAGCCAGGGTCACATGTTGTCGCGAGGCCGTGAGGCAGGGCAGGACACGCACCAATCCAGGTTGTCCCAAAAGGGATCGAGGTGGGATTGTTTGGCGACCATGATGCTCAGTTCGGCCCGCTGCAGAGCGGAGAATGCGCGATCGGATGCTGTGCTGGCGAATGGCACACGGAGCTCGCTTCAGACGCGGATCTTGCTGCGACGTGGAGTGGTATTGAGCATGTCTGCAACGTCCGAGGCGGCGAGGTCGGATTAGGGCGTAGCGCCCTTGGCGGCACTGGCTGAGCGGCTATGTTACACCTGCGCCGGAGCTGCAAGTCATCCCTTGCGCGGCGATTACTTACTCGCGGGCGGGCGGGTGAGACGGACGCGACGCGACGGTAGCTGGAGCTTGGTGGACGATGGGGATGAGGTTACATCCAGCGGAAGGACCCAGCGATCTTCCAGCCCATCTCGCTTGGGGCTTCCGCCAGTCCTCCTTCCCCACTTCCGCCCTCGTCCTCCGCTGCCCGCCACAACGGCGACATGGCCGCCCGCACCCTGCTCTGCTGTCCACTTGCGCAACCACGTTGCGCTAGAGCCCCGTAGTCGCCCTATCGGCTGCTGCGACAATGACGTCCCACCGGCCAGCTTCGCCCATTGCTGCGACGCTGCCGGCCTCCAGTCCGCCCATATCATGAAATGTTTTCCTTGCCACACCCTCTTTTTTTTTGTATTTTCTTCAGACAGTCCCTACTGCCGCCTTGAACCCCCCCTCCTTTTCGTGCCGCACTGCCTTCTCGGCGCGCATCTATTTGTCAATATAGTTCTTCTGCCACCCCTGTCACCATGCCGATAGCCACCTCGCCGGTCCGTCAGCCCAGCGGTATCACAAAGTTCACCAACTGCCGTATTGTCAAAGACGACCAGCTCGTCTACGAGGACCTGTGGTTCAGCTCGGTGACCGGCAAGGTCCTTCGCAGCCAAGAGATCTTCTATGAGCACCAGCTCGTACCCGATCGTGTCATCGACCTCGGCGGCCGTATAGTGTCGCCAGGCTTCCTAGACGTCCAGCTTAACGGCGGCTTCGGCTTCGACTTCTCTGTCGTGCCTGACGATGTTTCGCTCTACGCAAAGGGCGTCCTGCGAGTCAATAAGAACCTCATCACCACCGGCGTGACTTCGTACCTGCCAACACTGACGAGCCAGAAGGCCGACGTCTATCACAAGGTCAGCTGGCCCAGCCCGGATGTATCCCGCGTATAGATGCTGACGTTGGGCTACTAGGCATTGCCGTTCCTCGGCCCCTCCGGTCTCCGCAGAAATGCTGGCGACGGTGCTGAGTCACTGGGCGCCCACTGCGAAGGCCCCTTCATGAGCCCCACTAAGAATGGCATCCACAATGTTGCGGTTCTCCGCACGGCGCCGAACGGCATAGCGGACCTCGAGGACTGCTACGGAGCCGAGAACATGGAGGCCGAGTACAGCCCCATCAGAATCATCACCCTTGCGCCTGAACTTCCAGGGACCCTGTCCTGCATCCCGGAGCTGAAGGCCCGTGGCATCGATGTCTCCATCGGTCACTCAGAGGCTACTTTCGAGGAGGCTACTGCCGCCATGGACGCCGGTGCGAAGATGATCACTCACTTGTTCAACGCCATGAGGCCGTTGCACCACCGCAACCCCGGCATCTTCGGCCTGCTCGGCACCGCTGCGCCATCTTCGCAGAAGCCTTTCTTTGGCCTCATTGCTGACGGAATCCACTTGCACTCCACAACCGTCAAGATTGCCTGGCACGCCCATCCTGATGGCATGGTTCTTGTCACGGACGCTATGGCACTTGCAGGTCTCGAGGACGGAACGTACGAATGGACCAATGGCTCGCGCATTGTGAAGCGTGGCCCCGTTCTTACGCAGGAAGAGACCGGCAGGATCGCTGGTAGTGCCGTGTCACTTATCGAGTGCGTCAACAACTTCCTGAACTGGACTGGTGCCACCATTCCACAAGCTCTCAAGGCGGTGACCGCCACGCCGGCCCGCATGCTTGGCCTCCAGGGCGTGAAAGGCTCGCTCCAGCCCGGTGCTGATGCCGATCTCGTCGTGCTGGACGAAGAATTCGATGAAAACGGCACCCGTAGGCTGCGTGTCGATCAGGTGTGGAAGTTTGGTGAGCCCGTGTTCAACACTTTGAAGATGGCACAGTTTTGAGAATGATGCTACTTATGATGTTCGGGCCACTCTATGTTAGCGGCGTTCATGTCATTAGGAGTTTCTTGTTAGAATGTTTTTGACGTCGTCTAGATTGCTAACGAAAGATTAACGTGATGATGAAAAATTGAGAAGATAGACGGTACATTTAGATGTCGTAGATCGTAGATATACCCTTTGTTGTATAGTAGAACTTATTAGACATTATGTGTTTACGTGTTTGTATTCCGGGTTGTATGTTGTGTTGTATGTTCATCGGCGGTTACCATGGCAAGCGGTATGACTGACGCAAATACACCATTATCCTAGACACCAATTTAGTGTCAGCATGACACAAATCGGAGGGGACTAGTGGGAACCGTACATTAGTTGGAGTTCTCGCTTACGCTTAGACGTATGTTAATGTATCAATCACAGCTACAGCGTCTCCAGCACTATCCGGCAAATGAATGCTGCAGGTCACTGGAACGTCGCCTCAAGTCTGATAATAGTTGACATCGTTGACCACATTACTTTGTGATCCAAACATCAGAAATCGAAAGGCTTATCAGACTCTTATAGCGAAATCTGGGTCGATATTTGTGCTTATGGCGCCGCAGATTTTCTAGGTCACTCTTTCAATGGACATGACGCACGTGCACGGACCTAAAGACGCGTCTCCCGCGACGCGCCCTCATCTGCGCTTGGTCTAATAATCTTTTCCCCGACAGCCTCACATCCCACAACCACTCGCTCGACATACGCAATGGAAGATACCGTATCTACATATAATCACAGCCACCGGGCCTTCCTTCAGGCCTTTTTGGCCCGATCCGTCATGACCTTTGAGGAAGCGCAGCCAATTCTTGCCGCCATCCTTTCTGCACGCGACGGTACAGCCCACTAATACCTCCATACACCGTACTTCACAATCCCTCCACGCCCGATAGGCCCAGGAAAGCTGACCAAATATCGCATCTCGTGTAGAAACCCGCCCCGTCGCTCCCGCCGACGTGACCGAGGCCGATTTCCACAGTTACGTCTCGGCGTGTAACGCCGCGCTCTCGCCACTCGACCTCGAGATCCGGTCTTCACGACCGCAGACGACGTCGCCGCACCGGCAACCGCCAGTCTACGCCATCGTCAATGCGACGTCGGACGCGCTCACCCAGATTGCCACGACCCACTCGCCCGACGAAATCGCCTTCGTCAAGCGTTTGCTCGACGCCATGTTCGAGACGCACAACACCCGTCGCGCCGAGGTGCTCGCCCTCACCTCCATGCAGGCCATCAATCTGCACAAAGCCTCGCCGCGCAGCCGAGATTTCGGAATCGGTGCTGGAGGAGCAGGATCAACGGAGACGCAAGGGTCGAGCGGCGCGAGCTTGACCATGGCGCAGGCGCAGAAGGTTCTGGACGACTTGGTTGAGGAGGGATGGTTTGAGAAGAGCGCGAAGGGGTTCCTATCTCTGAGTCCGCGCGCATTGATGGAGCTGCGAGGTTGGCTCATAGAGACGTACAACGAACCGACTGGCGGCGACGACAGTGACGACGAGGGGGTTGAGAGAGTGAAGATGTGCGAGGCATGCAGGGAGATTGTGACAGTGGTGAGTATTGCTCTTCCAAGGAATAATGTCTATTATTTGGATATAAGGGAAAGTTTGCTTACATCATTGCTATCATCTTAGGGTCAACGCTGCTCCAATCGCGACTGCCGTTGTAGGCTGCATGATGCTTGTGTCCGCCAGTTCTTCCGTACGCTACCCGGCAAGAGGTGCCCTATCTGTAAAGCCGAGTGGACGGAAGAGGACTTCGTTGGTGAGCGTGCAGCCAAACCGCCGAATCGTAACCGCACGAGTGCCGCAACGGCCGCTTCTTCTTCAAGGAGGACAACGATGCACACCATGGATGACGATGAATCAGAATAATTAAGATAAAGGTCGCTGATTGGAAAAACGAAGACTCATCGTTGAATTGGTGCTGGGGAGGGGGAGGTCAGCTAATTTCTGACTCAATAACATGATACCCACTAGATGAGAACAGTATGGCAGCAATGATCAAATGAAAAGTGAATTTCCAGTCGTGAGCCTTTTGGGTCGGGATCTTTCTGGTCTATATCCCTTTTCTTTCCTTTGTGTAGTACATACAAGGTGCAGTGTCCAAACCCCAAACTTGGTATCAACATCGAGCGTTAGAATCGTTACAAGCTGAAAAATGAGAGTAAAAACAGCCCCAATCCAAGAGAATCAACAATTGGTCCGTAGACAAAGCCGCCCTTTCAAAGCCAACCCGAAAGAAGCTCGTTGAGTTCGCCCTGTCCGAAACGCCCCCCCTTCCATGAAACCCTTCGTCTTTCCGAGAAACTAATGAAACAGCCCAACGCCTTCCCCTGAGGTTTACACGCCTGGTGTACATCACCTACGCCTGTGCTGTGTGTTGAGCCCATGTGTGTGTCATCTACTCATGGCCTCTGCCACCCATACCCATCCGCTCGATGTTGGACATCATCCTGCTCTTCGGCATACCATGGCCTCCACTCCTGCCCACACCCGATGCACCAACTCCCCGGCCAATCCTGCTTTCGCCGGCAGCGCCGCCACCGAAGCCGAAGCCGGGGCCACGGAGACCAGACGGCTTGCCAATGCCGCTGCTACGGAATTCCGAGGGACCGCTGTTACCATCGGGCTTGCCTCTTGGAGTGGCACTGGCCACGCTGCGGCGGAAGTCTTCGACGACTGCCTGCTGTCGGGGCGTGGCAGCTTCCTCAGACTGCAATGCGAGCATCTCATCGACGGCTGCCACCAGCTCGCCCTTCTCGCGGCGCTCACTCTCAAGCTCCTGGAGCAGCTGAGCACGCTCTGCGCGGACGGCCTCGATCTGACCAGCCAGGCCTGCGATACGAGTCTTCTGCTCCTCGATTTCTGACTTCTGCTCTTCGAGGCGCTTGAGGTCCGCCTCACGGTTAGCGGCAGCCTTAGGGTCAAAGCCTTCGGGCAGGGATCCTGAGAACGCCTCGTCCTTATGGGCTTGAAGGTCTTCGATCTGCTTGCTAAGCTCTTCGACCTTGTGTGTCAATTCGGCGTGTTTCTTTTCGGCCTTGGATTCGTAGGACTTCTTTAGCGCCGCAACCTTCGTCTCATGCTTCTTCTTGTACACCACGTGCAACTCACGACACAGTGTCGCGACCTTTTCGTCAATCTGGCGCTGGACCTCCTCAGCAGTGTAGCGCGGACCTTTGTCACCGCTGTCGGCGGTAGTCATGATGCTCTGGTCGACAACTTTGCTTTCGGCTTCAAGGGCCCGCGTCTCGTGCTCTGCAGCGCGTGCTTCCGCCTCTTCGGCCCTGCGCTCACTCTGCTCAAGTTTGCGGAGAAGTTCTTCACGCTCTTTGTCGCTCTTGAAAACCTCCTCACGGATACTGCGAAGGACCTCTTCAACCTCGACGCCGCGTCTCTCCCACTCCGACTTTTCCCTTTCAGCATGTTCGCGGGCAGCCGTCTCTTCACGAACTTGCTCTTGGGCCTCACCGACTCGGCGTTCAGCATCAGCGACAGCCTTTTTCAGACTCTCGACCTCCGCAGCACGCCCACTAAGTGTAGCCGTAAGGGAGGATATTTGCGATTGATAAGTGGACTTCATAGACTCCATCTCGCGGACAGTGATTGTGGGGACGGATCGCGGGGTTGGCATCGGGGGAAGTTCGAAGTCGAGGAGGTTCATAAGGTTGCTCTGCCTTCGAGGAGTGGATGGTTCGGTGCCACTCTTCGCGGGCGAGCGCTGGTTGTTCAGGTAGTTTCGTAGGCCCACCTCGCCGCCGGCGGACTTGGAGGGCGAGTGGCGCTTGGTTGGAGACCTGCGGCTTGCGCCAGAGAAGGCGTGGAACTGTTCTGTAAAGTCCAGGAGTAGGCTCGTAGTGTCGCCATCCCTCTCTTGCACAGTCGGACTCTTGTGGCGGCGCGGGGTCGGAGAAGGAGACCTGTCGTAGCCGTGGTATTCGCGCTTGCGGCCAGTACCGGGAGTGCCCGGGGTTTTTCTGGGAGTTTTCGCCTGGAAGTGGACTGTTAGCGGAAATAAGATAAGTAAGGACAGAGGTGGCCATACGCTGGGGAAAAGCTGCTGCTTGGTCGGACTTCTGTTCCCAAGCTTGGCAAACATGGTCATGTCTGCGTTTGGAACTTCGGAAAAGGTACTGAAGCAAGTGTTGTCGACGTCGCTTCCATCGCCCTGGTCCTCGACGGAATCGTCTGCATTGTGATAGTAGGAAATGTCGCTGAAGGTTGCATTCGCCTTCTCCGCCTCCATGGCGTCAATGGCCACAGTGAGCCCTTCATTGTCGCGCAAAGTGCGCTCAGCTTCACTGGCGGTGTCGGCTTGTGGCTCAGCAACAGGCGGCGGTTTGCTGGGGGAACGGGTGTTCATGCGCGACGTGTGGATAGGCGAGAGAACATTTGTAGAAAACAACCGGGCAGACGGCGTCGCCTTTCCGTCGTCGAGAAGTTTCAAATCGTCGGTCTTTTTGGCGACAGTGTCTGCTCGAGGCGGCATGTTCTCTTGGTCGACAAGGGATATGAAGGGCGAACTGGGTGAATCGGCGCCGGAGTCGTCCATGTTGACAAGAGGCGACTTCGGAGAGACGTGCGATAAGTTACTGAATGCACGATGGCGGGCAGAAGAGGGCGTTCGAGCGTTGAAGGAAAAAGAAGCGGAAGATGGCGACAGTGGCGTCGACATGGTGGATGGTGCTTGGCTTGTCGCATCGGCTCTGCTCGAGGTTTCCATGTTTGTAGCTGTAAACAACGCCGGCGCCTTGTTTCCCCGGCGACCTGGGCGATTGGTGCACGGGCCACTTCACTCCAGCAGGCATGTGCTCTGCAACATCTCTCAATGTCGCCTTTCTCGGCATTCGAAATGCCCAAGAACAACTTCTCTGCTCTCACAAACAGGCCCTTGCTTCTTCTGAGGCTCTTGCACGCTACATAGACGTCGCATGGTCCGTGTCACTACGCAGACATCGCGGCGCGGATAAATAACAAAGTCTCGGCCTGCTCCTCCCCATCCAGTTTCCATCTTCCCTGAAGAATGTTATGCGACGCTTGTAATCAAGTCTTCGCTGGTACAAGCGCAAGGACCGCTTCGCCGCTGAAGATCAGAGTCCATCATTCCACCTTGCAATCGTTCCAAGCCTCTGTTTTCGCAGGCTGCCATCTCTGCAACCTTATCAGCACATGTGACGGATTTCTCCCGGATCCCACGTCTAACGACTTCGAAGACCGCCTGAAAAACTCCAGAATCGAGTGGCTGTTCCTTGACGATGAGCTTCTCTTCATAGAGCGAGCATATTCGGCCTCTGGAAACCCTTCGTCATCCTTCTCGTCCCAAGCGATTTTCAGGTTGATAGAAGCCGAAAGTACGAGCCTCAATCTACTTACGGGAATGGCTGCTTAATACTGGAATAGAAGCTGAGCCCGCAGCGTCTGCCTTCCGTCCGACTCCCACAACTCTTTCAGAGTCATCGTTAGCGACAGCACGCAAATGGCTCGAGAAGTGTCTTAAGGAACATTGCAATGAATGCGCCGAGGCTTTCAGAGAAAATGGACCATTCTTCCCCAACAGAATTGTCGATGTTGGAGTTACGGATAGTCCCTTTGTGGTCAAAGTGGTCGTGCCAACACAGACTATTGACGAACCGTATGCAACACTCAGCCATTGTTGGGGCGATTCACAAACTGTACGCCTTGTAAAAAATAACTTAGAAGCTTTTCAAAAGGGTATTGACGTACAATGCCTGCCAAAAACATTTCAGCAAGCAATATTCGTAACCCAAAAACTGGGCTTGCGCTACATCTGGATAGACTCTTTATGTGAGTACTGTTCTGAATCATTGTCTTACGTCCGTCTCACGCGATTTAAAAAACAGGCATTCTTCAAGATTGCGCGGACGACTGGCGTTCCGAATCCGCGATGATGCGTCACATATACCTACGTGGCGCACTGAACATTGCCGCATCAGCCGCTTCGTCCGACCATGAAGGGCTATCATTTTCACGCAACCCGCAAATCACCCGCCACATTCCCGTTTCTATTACCTGGACCATTGCAGACCTCCTCGACCATAAGCCGCGCGGCACGTACTACCTTTTCAATGGCGACATTTGGGATCGTGAAGTCGAATTTGCCCCGCTCAACGGTCGCGGCTGGGTGCTGCAGGAACGCTTGCTCGCCCCTCGCATCCTTCACTTCGGCAGAAACCAGACTTACTGGCAGTGCAACACAGTCTTCCACTCGGAAATGTTCCCGTACGATCTGCGGACCAAGGACCTGGGCCCGCATGTTCCACATGTGACATCCAACTTCATGCGCTGCTTTCACGCCATTCAGCGCAAGAAAACTCTGGAGAATGGCATCGAGCAGGGAGGAGGAGCCTGCTCCACACAAGAAACGACGGTCATCGAAGATTATCGCGGCGACACGCCGTACACACGCTGGAGCGAGCTGGTCAACGCGTATAGTGCGACAGCGTTGACGCGAAGCCAAGATAAGCTGATCGCCGTGCAGGCCCTCGCAGAGACGATGCGCGACGCCACCGGCGATACCTACGTTGCAGGCTTATGGAAGAGTCACATCATTGAGGATGTGTTGTGGCGGACGGATGTCGATGCTCTGTTGCCCCCTGGTGCCCGTCATCAAGCAATAAGGAGACCGAGGCTGTGGCGTGCGCCGACATGGAGCTGGGCGAGCCTGGATTGCCGGATCGAGGCTAGAAGCGCATGGAATTATTCGGTGCCAGGCTGCCATGATGATGGGAAGAGTTTGGTGCGGGAGATGATACCCGAGGTGGAAGGGTTTGATGGTGTGGAGACGGGTCAGTTGAATGATGCGTGGATGAGGGTGAAGGGGCTGTTGTACCGGAATAGCCAGCCCCTATCGTTAAGGATCTTGGAGAACCCTCTCAGTCTGTACCGGGCGGCGGAGGATGCTACGCCGTGGAGCTTGAAAATAGTGCTCGACGAATGGGAGCTCGAGATGGCCTGTAAGACTGAATATGTGGTGCATCCTGGCACTTTATTCTTTCCGGTTGGAATGCCCATCGCTGGTACCGTTGAAGGGCTCATGTTGGAGCCGATGCCGGGTCCGGATGGTCACTTCAAGCGAACGGCCTATTTTGAAGTCGACATTCTGCTCTTCGGTGGAAATGACATCTTAGAGGGGATGGATGCATGGGAACATGCAAGTGACTTGAGAACTCTAGAAGATGGCATAGATGTAAAGGGCAGGGCTCTTTATTGCTTTACTCTTGTATGAATCCGACGTCACTGGGCACTCTATTTACCTGGGGTTGCCTGCTGGCGGTGGACTGGGGGAGTCTGGAGTACTTTCTTTCATGTGGCCTTCTTATTAGAGATATAGATCCTTGCTTGTGCGTGTACCTATATCCGAACCATACGACATCTAGCACGATGATCCCGAAAATATCAAAGGCACGCTTGCAATGACCGTAGTGGCAGGCATGATTAAGATAATCTGACTGAAGATCAGTAGCTTCACGTCGAAGGTTAATCACGCGATTCGAGTTTCATTGCAGAAAACGAAAGGCTCCACGGATTGACTAGGGGATATAACTAGTCCCACTTAACAAGCTATTTGTTCAAGCCCCTCAATCGGCCAGTCCAAGCGTCATCATATCCAGGCCGGAGCTCTTCCAAATTAGCTCGCTCAGCCGTGGCCACTCGATGAATCCCTCACCATCATCCCGCGACGTCTCCCGGTTGATCTCGTCTTTTCTCGGAAAAGACATCTTAGCATCGGTCTCTGGGGCTGCGGTGATATCATTCGCTTCCTTCCTGCATTGTTGCAGGTGTTTGGGTAGAGACAGCTCGTTGTTGCAGACTTCGGTGATGTTGTGACCTAAACCAGGAATTTTTTGGTAGCCGAAAAGGAACTCGTTGAACGCGTTTTCGAGACGCTCATTTTCGGCTCTCATTGGCATTCCAACAACTTGGCGGTGGCGGTCGCGCGTAGGTGAGGCAGAGTAGGGGTGCGCAGCCTCTGCTAATTTGTTTAGCTGGCTATTGGACGGGTCGGTCGGACACTTGGAAATTGGGGTATTAGGTGCGACGGCCGGCTCGCTGTTATTCTGATTTTGACGCTCTTTCGTCGCCTGCGGATGCAGGCCGCCGTTTGCCCGTGCGGAACAAACAGTAGGACTCGTGGCTGAGATGTGCGCATTGTTTGGTGCTAGCGTGCAGTTCGTGTTGACTCCGCTAGACGAAGACAGAGACGGTGTATTTGGTATCATGGAGCGTCCAACCTCAGAAGAGGGATGTGATGCATTCGTGTGTTTCATGGCTTCGATACAGCTCGCCGTCGATTGCCAGGTCGAGTAAACGGGAGACAATAGCCAGGATAATACTTGTTGTGCTGACGATGACGATTTGGTACTCCTCGTACTGCAGTTGGAAAACCAGGAAGCGGGTGCCGAGGATAATGCTTACGTGGAAAGAACTGAAGACTATGGCGCGTAGAAATGACCCGGGTGGCGTCAGATAGAGAAGTTGACCATGGCGGTGTACAAAGAACGAGGCAATAAAACCTCCACACACTATTGTACCAACGACGGCGAGGTACCAAGTTGTGTGGGCTCGAGCGACGGGAGTCATGCGTCGTTGTCTGGCTCTGCTGTTACTGTCGAGCGAGCGTCTGCCGTTGAGCGGTTGTTCTTCTAAGTGGACGTCGTCGGATGCGTGTTCGAGTTCGAAGTAGTCTGGCATAATAGACGGTGGGTGAGGATGGTATGGTGGTGGTGGTTCTGAATCAGAGAGCAGACTTGGTTTTGCTGAGGGCTCCATGACGGCTGTGATGAGCAGGTGCGGTGGAAGTGCAGGCAGACGGGGGTGGTGGCTCCTAATAAGTGGGCGTGCAGCGAAGGGTTTGCAGCTTCCTCGGGCACTTTCGCCCAAGCTGTACCACGGGACCAAACCAGTCCCACGCTCTTCGTTGCATAACTCGTACCAGTGCTCATCGTCGTTGCCTGACTGCGTGGAAACTTGGTGGGGATTCTCTGCTTGAGCCTCAACAGGACTTTCCTTCGGGCAGGCACGCACAGGATGCAGCTCTTGGATGCCGCATCCACCGTTGCATGTCTTGATCCACTTCTTTCTCCTGTTTCTCTTTCCAGGATTGGACGGCATACCTCAAGAATAAGAAAAAGATGTATCGGGAGAATGTATCGGCAGTAAGTGCAAATGAATGGCAATAGCCTGCGGAGGTATCGTGAGTAGGGCGGATGGAGGTGTTAAGATATGGCACTGCAAGAGGACGCCGAAAAGAGCAAGCATATATGGATGGCTGTTAGCAGTGGCATTTTCATCGTCAGCGCGGAAGGCAGGAACACCGGGCCCTGCTGCTTCCACATTTGGGCAGGGCCTGGCGGCTGGACACAACATGGTGGATGCTGGGCCGTGTCGTGACGAGAGACGGGAAGCGTTGGCTGCTGGCGGTGAGCGGCGGCTAAGTATGACGAAGCTGGCCAGCTCCCCACCGCGCGCGCGAAACCTTCAGCCGACAATTTACCTGCCCATCACCGAACCCTCACCATCCGCCCGCCGCCAACAGCGATTCCACAGGCGCTCCAGGATAATTGGCCTGCTCCGCTGTCTCGCAATTACTCCTGGAGGCGCAGCCCCGTCCTCTCTCTTCTCTCGCCGCAGCGCATCTGCTGTTTGCTCGCTCGCCATGCCTCCGCCTACCTCAGAGCGAGCCCGCTCCACACGCGCAAAGGCCCAAACGCCTGCGCCTGTTGTTCCTCGCATCATTCCCGCCGTTCCCTTGTCTTTTGAGCGCAAGTCGAAGAAGCCGCAGCCTGAGAGCCGCCCAACACCCAAGCCTTCTGCTGAGCTTGCCGACCAAGTCGCACCAACCGCCGCACCTGCCCACAACCCTCAAAACACGCGCGTCAAAGATCTTGCAGACGGCAATCACGCTCCCGCCGCGGCTGAGGGCATTGTGGACGCAGACGCCGTTGAGGAGGCTGCCGCTGATGCTCCGCGTGTGACGTCCCAAGTCGCTCCGTCAACGGCTGAAAGTGGTGCGCTACTCCCGTCCAGCTTGAAAACGCTCCCTACCAGGTCGCTGACTGTTTTCACAGATAGCAAAATTGCCACTCCGGCGCCTGAGCCCCACCAGGAACCGTCTCGAGAGCTTGGTCAGGCCGGCTCGCGTGAGCAGCAACACTCCGGACCACAAGCCCGCCAGCAACGCCCGCCCTTCGAGCTTCCCCCGCCATTCTATCCTTCCACCGATCGCTCTACTCCTACGTCGGCTACCTCGTCCACATTCACCCGCCCGCAGCCTCCTACGAACCCTCCGATCATGCACAATCCGAGAGCTAGTGCCAACAGCATCGTTTTCGGCGGATATCCCGACTCTTCTAGTGTTTCCCCAGCCCCTCCAGCCACAAACGGAAACTTTCCATATCCTCCCCCGCCTGGAGCGTACCCAGCTTCCACTATGGTGGCGCCGCCTTATCCGTTCCCAGCCCAGACGCATCAGTTCTCGGAACCCCACACGGGTATGATGCCTGCTGCCATGGCGCCAAATGGCTGGAGGAGGGTCGACCAACCTTTGCCGCCTCATCTTCGACAAGGCCATTCCACGCCAAACCAAAGCGTATCCAATTCCGGCTTCTCTCCAATCCACCCTAGTGCCGGCTATGGCCAATCCTTCTCCCCCGTCCACATCAACGGCATTCATCCTCTCTCGAGGTCAGGCTCACAGGCTTCGTCACCGAGGATTCCGGTAATGGACGATATGCCCAACGAGGCCTCCTTGGATGATGGTGGCCGCAAGCGCTTCGTTCAGAACGGCGTGCATTCTCGCAAAGCGCCGGCGCCCGTCTTCCCACCCGTTTACCCACAAGCCACTCCCGAGTTCGGCTTGAGGGACTATATGCGCTCTCAGTTTGGCTCACGCGTGTATGCGGACTCTGTGCTTAAGCTTTACCCTGGTGGAGGCCGCGAGATGATTCTCTGCTTGCCCGTCCACAGCGTCATACTTGGCCGCAATCGCAAGTTTGCTGATGTCATATCCAAATCCCCGCCTTTCCACTCCGAGGCTGGCTTGCGTGTTCTCAATGTGCTGGCCGAGGATCGGTTCCTGGATGGACCCATATTCGCCGAGGCGTTGAAGTATTTGTACAGTGAGGACATGCTGGGCCCGAGGAACTTTCTCCAAGGCCTGCCGCCCTTCACTGGCAACGTGGGCGAAGGCAACGGGTACGGGTCTCCTGCACAACGGATGAGCCATGCCCTTGCCTATGCGGCAGCTGGGTTCTGGCTGGAGCTTCGTTGCATTGTGAGCCGTGGGCTCGAGATTGCCACGGAGCTTCTCCGCTGGGACACTGTTGAGACGGCTCTGGTCTTTGGGCTTGACGGCGGCCTTGACGCTAGTTGGCGTGTCGACGATGCGCTCGAAGACTCGTCTAGCGATGACGCATCTTCGAGGTTTGACACTGACCTGGTGCCCAGCTATGGGTCGTACAGCACGCACTTCTTGCAGACGATCAACGGGTTCCTGGTGCACAACTTCCCTGAAGATTTCGAGCTTGACACGTCTGCGGCGCCTCTCCACGACATTCGGCGCAGGCCATCGATGGAGGAGGCCAGGCCGGTCAGCCGCAACCCCCGTCTTAGCCAGATTCGGTTCGGAGAGGTGCCGGTCGACTCGACGGGCCCGTCGCAGTACGTCAGCAGCATCTTGTCGGGAATCCTCCTGTCGCTGCCATTCCCTGTGCTCAAGGCTCTGCTCGAAGACTTTGCGCTCTGCAGCCGTCTCGGCAGGGGCAGGGTGGCTCAGTTGATGCAGGCGGTGGTTGCAGAACGTGAGGCGCGTCGCATGAAGGTGCGCAGTCAGGTGGAGGGCGACGAGGGCATGAAGCAGAGCATGGTGTGGTGCGAGCGGGTCGAGGCGTCGGCGCACCATGCATCCGGATACCGTCTTGGGCGTTCGCGTCAAGACATTGATACCCCCAGGTCGTCGGACGAGCAGATGCACTAGTTTCCGGTTTTATTACTCTCGCTGTTGATGTGTAGGGTTGGTGGGAAAAGAAACAAAAAGCATAATATGGCATTTGCATAGCGAGCGGGTGGCGTTTGGGGATTCTGGACCAAAATCTTATTCTGCGATTTCCCAGGGGCGATTAATTTGGCGGATTTCTTTTTCGTCGTGGATGGGAAAGGAAAGGATGGATGAAGATTTTCTTTGCTGGCTGGAGGCTTCCTGCTTTCTTTGGTTGGATGGACGGGAAACAAAAAGCAAAAAAGGGAGAGTGCTGCTTCAGTGGCATAGGGCACCGGGAAAAGAATGACGACATGACGACTTGTATACCACAGGATTAGCTTTTCTCTATCTTCTTTGTTCTCGTGTAGCAAGCATCAACTAAGACGGTATAGTTTCTACGGCGCCGTGATCGGAGCGCATTTCCTAGCGCAGGGGAATAGCAGGGTGAGTGAGATGCTCGCATGGGACGTATGACGCGAAATAGACTGCTTACCTCAGACAGGGCGGAATTAAGGTGCGGCCACCAATGGCCAGCGGGGAAGGAGCACACGGGCCGGCACGTCGGCAATGACACACAAGGGGCAGCATTGCCGCTCTCGCTGTCCAAACAGCGCGAGAGGCCGGCGGGTCATGGGAGCACCATGATGAATAACACGAAAACGCGGGGCCCGGGCTCGTTGCAAAGGCGCTGGGGCATAAAGAAGGCGTCGTCTCCATGTTTGTGACGGGCTCCGTGCCTCCTTGGGGCTAATCATTTCCGCGCTCTTACGATCTCGACTTTTTTTTTTCTGCTTCGCCTTCTTGCCAGATTTTCGTATTCGCCGCTCGCCTGATACGTCTTGGCTCCCTATTTGGTCCGCTTTTTTCTTCTTCTGCCGTCGCCTCTCCCATTCTCTTCCTCGACCTTTGGGACGGCGGGTTGTGATCTCCGCTTCCTTCGACCAGGAGCGCCACAGACGCAACCACCACCCCGCAGCCATCTGCCGAGGCTGATCCTTCAGAGCCCAGCTTCAGCTCGCAAGAATTGAAGATGCGCGACGACATCGAGAGGGCCGAGTCGACCATGTCGTCCACGGCCTCGGCACCCGAAACCGACCCGGAGAAGAAGGACCAGCCCCAGGAGCTGTCCGAGACGGACCTTGAAGCTGCTGTTCAGACCCGGCCGCTGGAGAAGACGGTGTCGAGGAAGTCGAAGCACTCGATAAACAATGTTTCGTCGGTGCCGAATGGAGGCCTGCTCGCCTGGCTGCAGGTCCTGGGCGCCTTCTTCCTGTTCTTCAATTCTTGGTAGGTGCTGTTGACGCTGGAATAAGCATCAGGTTAACTCTTTGATCAGGGGCATTGTGAACTCGTTCGGCAGCTACCAGACCTACTACGAAAGCGACCTGTTGAAAGACTCGAACCCTTCGGCCATCTCATGGATCGGCTCTGTGCAGGCCTACTTGCTCATGCTCGTCGGCGCTCTGACCGGGCCCATCTACGACGCAGGTTATTTCCGCCACCTCCTCGTCATCGGCTCCTTCCTCGTTGTCTTCGGCCAGATGATGCTCAGTCTCTGCACCGCCTACTGGCAGGTTCTGCTGGCGCAAGCCTTCTGCATTGGAGCCGGCACAGGCTGCCTTTTCGTGCCCAGCGTTGCCATTCTCAGTACCTACTTCACCACACGCCTCGCCACGGCAACCGGCATCGCTGCCGCTGGCAGCAGTATTGGTGGCGTCATCTATCCCATCCTCTTGCACCGCCTGATCGGCCCCATTGGCTTCCCCTGGACAGCGCGCATCATCGGCTTCATCGCCCTCGCCACGCTGCTCGTTCCCAATCTCTGCATGAAGGTCCGCGTGCTCCCAGCCTCGCGCCGCAAGATGCTCGACCTACCCGCCTTCAAGGAGCCGCCGTATGTGCTCTTCATCTTCGGTGCCATGGTTGTCTTCATGGGCCTGTACACGCCCTTCTTTTACATCCAGCTCTACGCCCTCGATCGGAGCATCACGTCGGAGAACCTGGCCTTCTACATGCTGTCCATCATGAATGCGTCGTCGACCTTCGGCCGCATCTTCCCCAACATGCTGGCCGACCGCATCGGTCGCTTCAACACCATCGCCCCGTGCGCCTTGCTGTCGGGCGTGCTGATCCTCTGCCTGATCGCTGTGAAAAACCTCGGCGGCCTCGTCGTCTTCTGCGTGCTCTATGGCTTCTTTTCTGGTACCTTCGTCAGCCTGCCTCCGCCCATCCTCGTCCTGCTCAGCCCCGATCGCAGCAAGATCGGCACTCGCATGGGTCAGGCCTTCTCATGCATCGCCATCGGCATTCTGGTCGGCACACCCATCGGAGGCGCCATCCAGAGTAAGCATGGCTTTACTGCTTTGTGGCTCTTTGGTGGCATCGTCACCATCGGAGGTAGCATGAGCGTCGTGGCGGCGAGGGTATGCAAGTTTGGCTTCTCCTTGACGCAGAAGGCCTAATTGTGTAAAATAAAATAGTGTGTAAATAGAGAAAAATGGGTCATGTTACCAGGCGCCTTAGCTGTTTTATTTTTTTTTTTTTTACCTGCAAAACCTCTCAACCATGGTGATGAGACCGCAGTTTGAAGTGGGATCACGCTGCATCTTTTTAAAAGTTCAACGCACCCTTATGAGATTGCCTTTTATAAATGTGTCAATTAGCTGGTACTTATTTCTCGTCTAACCCGGCGCCACTAGGGTCTATCTGCCATGGGGTAAGGGCTCTACAAATCACCCCATACTTCAGTCTCCACCGACTAATGTGCTACAGAGCATACGGAAGCAAACCAAGATGGGAGGATACCTGGCTTCGGGCCATTGACGAGCGCTGCACGGCTCTCGAAAATGAAATTTCAAGCAAGTTTTCCACACACTCGCCCCGAGAGGGAAAGACTAACGCCTGATATTTTTTTGTCGCTAGCATACGCCCAGATCCTCCACCCATCCGCCGGCTCTCTCCGTATTCTCGTCACCCCGGGGCCTAACTGCGAGGAGACGCAGAGCGATGGCAACGGCGGCTCGCTCGTCTCAAGCCACGCAAGCGTGCAGCTGGCCTTTGTCGGCCCGTCCAACACTCGTGCACACGTCGCCCTCTACGAGCTCGACGTCAGTTACGAAGCGTGGTGTTTTCACGACGAGTGGGGTACTTTTCCCCCGGAAGCGAGGCGCGTGGCTCTGGAAGGATTGAGGGAGGCTGTTGTGGCGGATATGGAGGAGCGTTTCGGCAGAGACTTCCGAGCGCTGACCGTCCAGAAGTGCGTGGAAAGGACGACGCTGGCGAATGATGCTGCCGAGGGCTGGCTCGGCGAGGTGCCTCGTAGAATATGCCGCTTGTTCGGCCAAGGTGCTTCGACTGCGGCTGTGCAGAGGCCACCGCCGTATTCAGCGTAGCTCTTCGAGCAGATGAATGAGAGAATTCACATATAATCGTAAGCTTTTCTTCGTCGCAGTATTTTAATTGAAGAGTAATGAGATCTTTGTTTTGCTAATATACTTTTATCAACTCTGCCACAGTGCCTTATCTAATGAAGATACATGTTTAGCACGAGAAACATTCGATGTCGTCTTTATGCATGTAACTAGGAGCATCGATGATTCGAGCAGACGAGCTTTTGATCATGTGCCTGTTGATCGCCGCGAAAGACACCACAAAATGGAGAAGTTGTACATATCAGCTCAAGGTGAGTAGAAAACAGTGGCATTGATCAAAGCTCGGAGCTGATCCGATGATGCGTAAGTGTAGGTAGATAACACATCGTTGACCAGTGATGCGGAGGACCGTGATAGCAATTCTGAAGCAGACATTTGTCCAAAGTTAGTGTCTTTTAAATACCGAGGGCTTCTTCTCTTTGCAGCTTTACTTGCATCCCCAGACTATTCAAAGAACTTAGGCTAGTACACGTGTACCGGTTAACGTGGGGTAGGCACCTGGCTTTTGCGAATTTCAGTACCCCTGACTTACATCTGTTTAGCGCCTTTTTCTCTTGTTCGCGGCGTGAGCAGAAGCTCAGAGATGAGATATACGGTAGGTGTGGACTCTGAAATGTATAAGATGGCTGACGAGGACAGCTTACGCAAATGAAGTTTGTCCTGGCGCTCGTTTCCAAATTACGGTCGATGACGCGGAAAGCTACACATGAACTCTCCACTACGCTGGCCCCTGGTCCGACATGCCAGAGACAAGCCTCTACACGCGCAAATATACTATCAGGCTCATTGCCACTAGAACCTGTTTTCCTCCCCACGAACGCGATTCCTCGGAAGGTGACCCTGAGCGGTTGGTAGGACTTACACAGCTCGCCGAGAATCTTACATTCTTCGAACAGCACGGCGAATACAACAGCCGAAAGAAAAAGGACATGCTGTATGCTATACCAGCTGAACATAGGGAGACGATCTTGGGAGAGTCTCTGGATCAACTGAAGGCAAGCGAGTCTGGACTTGATTGGAAGAAGCTCCAGGGAGATGGACCATAGAGCGGAATGGCTAGACGTTTCTTTCCATGGCCAAAATGAGGGCCGTAGAGAACATAATTTACTGCAGCTAGCGTTATTCTTATTTTAGTGTGTTGCTCAAGTGAATGGGTTTCATGGAACAGAAGATCGATTGAATTCCTCGGCTTCTCCTCACTGTAGAAATTTGTAGAATGACGGACCAAAGACAAGGCATCAACAGGCATCTATATAGAAGGAACCTCGTCCTCTACTGTGCACAAATTCCCAAACAATGAGCCAGGTGGGTGTCATCTGGGACCATGACGTAACGACCAGAGAGCCAAACACCACAAGGGTATCGTGTCGAAATTAAAAAAGGTTTGGTGGGACTTTTAAATCAGGGATATACTCGAATCAAGGATATACTCTAAGGGGTGTGAGGCTTTTGTTCTCTTTGCTCTTCCTTTTTCCTATTTTGCAATATCGAAACAGTCACTGTTATGTAGTCGGCTCGAACAATTTGTAGAAAAGAGCGGATATATAGAGATCATGAGACATGGCGGTGTTTCATTGCGACTCCGGTCTGTTGGGATTCAACAGGTGGTACACCTTCTATATCTAGAGGATGGAGCAGTAACGGTACAGGGATTTGTCTACCACGGTATTGATCATGCTGGTGCGGGGCCTCGTAATTGAAAGTCGCTCGAGTGTAAAAGAAGACTGACTCTCACTTATCGCTTCCGCCGTGGCTTCGCCTCCCTCTCCCTAGCCGATACGTCCATCACGAAGCAGCAGCAATGGGGTAAGTTGTCAGATAATTGGCTTTGAGAGGTTACTGAATGAGCGGGGTGGCAGATGCTCACACCTCGTGCATGTGGGAGCGGGCGTGCTCGCGTCCTTCGCGGGATTGACGACCATGAACAAAATCGAGCATGAAAACCTCAAACGAGAGCTCGAAAGTAAGTTTGGCGCTGCGGGATTAGGAAGGCGTATGCTGACATTCATGCACTTCAGCCATGTGCCACGTACTGCAGCCTGGAGGCAAGATCTCTTTCAACTGGAGCGGCCAACCTGTGGGCCAAGACAACAAAGATTTGGTCAAGTACACGTGTGCCATCAATTGGCGCATGGACGTCGGCTTCTTCGAGCGCAAGGCCAAAGCCCACCTGATCCCCAACGCGAGCTTCGTCAGGCTTGTCGAGTCCCACGCGTACGCCAAGGTGAACCATTTCTGGGAGCGCTACCAGCGCGAGCCGCGCTTCGACATCCAGGTCATAGTGCTCCAGAACCTGGTGAAGCTCTGCTCCGACACCATGGCGAGGCGCTTTGGTCCCAACTGGAGGGAGAAGGTGCTGCTCAAGTCGCAGGGCCAGGACATCGCCCTCGACGAGAAGCGTGCCTTCGCCACGCTGCACACCATGGGCGGCCCGCGTGGCGGTGGCGAGTGGATCCACGTTCCTGCCAGCGCTGAACTGCCTGAGCCGCACATGCGCTACCCATCCGTCGCCGACAACAGCCTCGTGGTATGGAGGGCGCCCACCAACAGCTGCGCATACGAGATTGATGAGCTGGACACGGGCGATGAGCGCACAGCCACCATGGACGACATGGAGCATTTCAACATGCTGAAGCGGCGAGTGACGAACAAGGCCAGACTGCTGCCCGACGCGAACGGCACTTATGGCCGAAGCACCTCAAGCGACGACATGGAACGAAGCTCAATAGTCTTCAGAGGCCACCGCAACGGTCCTCCGCGCCACTCTCGCTCGCCCCACGGCCGCACTGCTCCGGAAGATTCTCGCCCCAGGATATTGCCCATCAATGACGAAGGCGACAGCGACCGGCCGCGTCACAAGAGGAAGAGATCCGCCCGGAGCGAGGAGAACCGGCGGTCCAGGAAGGATCACGGCCGTGCCATTGCCGGGAGCATGTCAAAGGATGCCGACATTGAACGGGAAAGGCCAAGAGGCCATCTACCAGAGATTACCCAGTAGTGGCGTTTTCGTTTTAGTGGTTCCCCCGGGAAGATGAAACTTCAAAAGTGCATCCATATCCCGTTGTGGGACTAGCAGTCTTTCGAAGCCATAATTAGCAATGTGCAGGCATTATTCGTTAAACAGTAACCCGACCATCGTCTTCGTTGCTTCGAAGACACCCATCTCGAGTGCTAACTGGTCAAATGTTGCCGAGATCTTACGAAAAGAGCCTCGATCATCCGCTTCGTGCCCTGTGTTTATGTCATTAGCAAAATCCCATGCATGGTTCCACCGTGAAGCACTTACAGACACCAGGCAAGGCTGCATCTGCACCGACGACCGACTCTGCCTCGCCAGTCCAGTCAAAACGAATCCTCCAAGACACCTTGAACAGGACATGCTTGCTCTGGAAAGTAATGCTGTCGCGACCAAAGCGTTGCAGCAGTTCCCATCTCTCCATCGAGGTTTCTTCTTGGCCCCCACTTGCAAGATCACTACCGATTCCGGAGACCTCTTCAGTCTCCTCTTCAAGAAGGTTCGAGCTCGCAGGGGCGTCATGCTGCCCCCCCTCACGCTGAACGTTTTTCTTGTTGCCACCTTTCCCCTTTCGCTCCGGATCCAAGAGGCGGGCGAACTTCCTGTAGCAACGCGCCCAGCACTGCGCACGCTTGACGGCGACGTCATAGTAAGACTCGGTAGCCCAACATACTGCACCCACGTCATTCTCGGCAGCTCGTGATCTGATCCATGTTCCTAGTTCGTGGGAAGCCCAGGGTGAAAGTGATTTGATGTTTAACTTCGAAACACTCCGAGTGGCAGGGTCTACAAACAGCTCCAGATCGAGATGGAGTAGGGAACCCGGGGAGCGTATGCTGGTAAAATGGATCTGGTGCCCCGACTCATTATCCACATCTACTCTGGAGTCGTACTGAAAAGTAGTGAACAATTTCAAGTATGGAAGCGGAGTATCCAATTCAATAGGCTCATGAGAAGGTAACGGCTTCTCGGGCTTCTCGGACGGTGGATGAACAGGTTTTGCTAGAGGCAAGAAAGCGGATAGCAGAGACGATAGTGGTGGAACTTCTGGCCTCGAAGCCGGTAGTGACGAATCGGCCTTGGTGATGAGAGAGATTAGGGTAGATATGTCCTCGGCGCTCTCATGTCCGGGAACTGTGCGACTGCGCTCAACCTCTCGCTCGTACTGCTTGATCTCTTCCTGCATCTCTTGTAATTGTTTTCCCAGCCGTTCCTTCTCCTTCTCCATCGGATCAATCCCCACCTTCGGCATCGCAGGCGCTAATCTTTGCTCGGCTATGGCGGAGTTCATTGCCCGCGGTGACTCCTGCACTTCTTCCCGCACCAGTTTTCCTCCTCTCGGACTGGGGTTCTCTGCACCAGCCTGCGCCTCTCTGTCCGCAGGTTCCGGCCTGAGAGGCAACTCTCTCGGCTTAAAGGGTGACGACAGACGCTGGCCCAGCGACTTATTCCTCCTCGCCTTCTTACTTGGCGAGGAGAAAAGACCGGCATGCGGTGGCAAATCTGGTCTCGCAGCCGGCGACCCTTTCGGAAACGTGGGCAAGTCATCCTCCACATCAGTTCTCCTCTCCGCATGTGCCGCGCTCTCCTGCGCCAATTGATCCGCTGCGGCCGCCTGGAGAACGTCTCTGCTCGGGAGCAGACGCCCGCCTATCGAATGCCTGCGCTCTTCGCCATGTTGCTGTGCTGCAGGGGCGGCGTTTCCATCGTCTGGGTTCTGATGGCTCTCTCCCAGCACGTACGCGAGTGCTCGTTGTCCGCGGCCAGGAGACCTCGACGGCTCATCGGGCTCAGCGACCGCAGACGTGGTGGAGGCGCGTCTCGACAGGATCTCGGGATTAAAACGGGCAAGGCTGGCTTTGGTTGGAGACAGGAACGATGGACGGCGTGGAGGCGTCCTTCGTAGGGTATTGCGCGGACGGAAATCGCCAGTCTCGGAGACTACGGGAGGCTCGGCGGATGTTCTGCGGCGTTTGGGCGATGGCTCAGCCATTATTTGCGATTAGGGCGCCGAAAATACGCGGCTGTTCTGCTAGGTAAACGGTCGCGGGCAGGCACGCGTCGCGACGCGCGGGCGGGCGGCAACGGAGATGCAGGCCCTCGGACGGGAGAGGGCTCCGAGGCCGGAAATGCCGGTCCCGGACCCTGTTGCGGGATGACTTCATCGGTCTTTTTCACTCCAAACTTGCTCCTTCTGCCACACACCTACACTTCTCCTCCAGCATGGATATCTCGCCAACCTGACCCGCAACCCGATAATAACCCTTGTACAGCACACGCGACACCACCTTTCCACAGGCCCTATCGGCGACCGACCCCAGCACAATGGCATCCCCCATCCCTCGCCTTCCATTATGTACCAGTTGTCTACGGCAGCTCCGGCCCTCTATCCGCTTTCGCACGCTCAGCATCACCAACGGCAATATAGCAGTGACACAGCGGCGTACGATCAAATACCACATTTCAAAGCCAGGCGAGCAAGCGACGCCACTACAAGGCTTCTATGCCGATATGCTCGCGCACCCGCTCTACCAGACACCCGCCGCCACGCGCACCGCACCCACTCCGCCGCCTCCAGATGAGCTGCCCAAGACAACCAAGGAGGAGGCGCTGGCCAAGGGTCGCATCGTGTTCGGGTCACGCCTGGCCGGGCCGACGGAGCGCAAGGAGAAGCGCGACCGGGCGAGCAAGATGATCGCGGGAGTGCAGGTCCCACCCAAACCGGAAGAGCCTGATAATTGCTGCATGTCCGGTTGCGTAAACTGCGTTTGGGACGTCTACGGTGAAGAGCTGGAAGAGTGGGCACAGGCCAGCGCCGAGGCGAAGGCGAGAATCAGGGCGCAACAGACAGAGAAAAGACTTAAAGGGCAAGGCACGGGTGGTATGGTGGCAGCGGAGGGGACACCGGCGCATGTTGCGAGCTCCATGGACGATGACGGCGGCGGAAGCGAAACGAATTGGAGCATCGACTTGGAAGAATTGGGCGGCTTGGACGATACACAGCCCGAGAGGCCAACAGAAGAAGAGCTGTGGAAGAATATTCCCGTCGGTATCAGGGAGTTCATGAAGACAGAGAAGAGGCTGAAGGAGCAACACGCTCACGAAGAAGCGCACGTTTGAGCTGTAAATATTGGATGTGTCGGACTTTGCGATTGAGAGCCGTGTTGCGCGATTCCGATAGAGTATACCCAGCCGACCAGGCCATCTGCAACATAGGCGTCCTTGTAGTGTAGAGTACAATAGATGTTAGACCTGATTAATCTTTTGAAGGCGTAATGCCACCGTCTCCTGGGGAAATGCAAGCGACAGTCCCTCCATCGTCTCAGAACGCCAGCCGGTGCCCACCCATTCCAAATTTGCGTGGTTTAATCGACGTCAACGCCCTGGGCCGACAGCTCGTTCCTGGCCTGCTCGATTTCCAGCATCAACTCCTTGTGCGCCTCGGGTACATCATTGAAGGTGAAGACACCCAGTCCCAGCTTGAACAGAAGGTATGCGCCGAAGGATACGAGAGCCCAGAAAGGAAGCTGTTGCAAAGAATTGTTAGCAATTGATCTTGGCGTATTGAAACAAGGGCGGGGGACGGGTGGCGAAGCAGTTGGAGAACGTACGACAGGGATGAGTTGCTCCTGGATCTTGGGGGAGAGCGGAATAAGGCCAAGGTACAGGGCCAGATAGAGCTGCCAATTGCGTCAGCGGGGGGCGGTTGCGATGCGGCGTCTAGGAGGAGCGTACGGAGGAGAGCAGGAGCCCAAGGGAGATGGTCTGCTGAGCGCGAGTCATGGTGAGGAGTGAATCAGAAGCGTAAAGAGAGGAGTGCAAGCGAAGGGCTAAAGGAGCGAGGGAAGTCGGGGTGAGCTGTTTGCTGCTGCTGCTGCTGCTGCGGTCGGAGCTCAGAGCGACGGCGAACCTACCAAGGTGGCCCCGAGTTCACGTGACGGCGATCGGAGGCTGCAAGGGTCCCTCCCGGTCCCCTATCGAAGGCCCCAGAACCCGAGCAAATCGTCCTCATAAACCTAAACACGCCCAAGTCACGCATTTCCAGTTCGAGATACCCAGCATTTTGCCCGCGCTTTCAGAAATGGAGTGGCCTTCCGCAAACCAGGCGCCTGCCCTCATTAAGGCGGTCAAGGCATTCTTTGATTCGCCGGGCCAGGAGCCAAGTTCGCAGTCGCTTGACGGCCTGCTTCCTCGGCTCGAGGAGCTCCGGAGAGGCGATCAGCCCGAAGTGTGGGACAGGCTAATCGAGTCGTTGGCTGACGCCTGCCGCGACCGTAAGTCTCCAAACACATTATTATTATTTTGCCCCTGCTCACGCGCCGCCCAGCAAAATGGCGCGAGCCCATCGAGCAGTCTGGAATTCTGAAATATTATCTGGAGAACCTCGACGCCGCCTCGCTCCCGCCCGCCTCTTCCAAGCAGTTGCTGCGCGCCATCGGCAATGGCGTTGCGGACCGCGATGAGTCGAGAGCAGTCGTGCTTGCCTTTCTCGACAAGATCATGAGCTGCCTGCAGAACCCGGCTCTTCTGCCTGTTGCCATCAGCGTCCTCTACAACACATGTCTTGGATACGGTAAGCCCAGCACTCGACTGCCCCGTCCGACATGCTGACCGGGATACCAGAGCCTGCGCAAAAGGAGGCGGCAGGCTTGCGGCTCGACCGCCAGCTCTGCCGTCACTTGGCCGACGACGCGCCAAACATCTCTCAGCTCATAGAACTCCTTGCCTGGGTATCCGACAACCTCTCAGAGGATGTCCTTGCCGAGTCCGAAGACTGCCTGGCTGCTATAATGCAGTGCATCTCGGCCTGCGAGGAATGGGAGGACTTCAAGAACCTCATCGCCGCAGCATCCGTCTACCTGCAAGACAGCAGCATTCAGCACAAAATCCTCCACTCGGACGGTCTTTCCCAGATCACCACAATTCTCAAGAAAAAGACCGACCAGCTCCCCCTGCTGCAGGCCACCATGGATGAGGAAGAAACGAAAGACTTCCTCGAAGATCTGCGTATCACGACTGGTCTAGTCATGAACATCATCGCCGCCATCACCGCCTCGGATGACTTTACGCGCCTCTACACCCTCTCCTCGCCGCTGATTCGTGAACAAGGCGCCTGGCTCTCATCACCTAGCCCCATCCTCCGCACCTGCGCCTGTATCACGCTCGGCAACATAGCCGTGTCCGACGCCGTCAACGTGGAGATGGTGCGCGAGCACTCGTACCACCTCCCCACCCTCCACATCCTTGCTACTGCCACCGACCGCACCGAGCTCTACCTTGCCGCCGGCTTCCTGCGGCACCTGGTCCAGCCAGCCGCCAACATCGAGCCGGTCACGGCGGCGGCTCCGCTACCGACGCTCGCCGCGCTCCTGGACCGCAAGGAGACGGAGCTGGACTTTGAGGTGGCGGCAGTGCTGCGGCGACTGGTCAACAACTCTCGTGACATCGCCGCCGCGCTGGCTAAGGATGGTGCAACCCTCGGCAAGCTGCTGGTCGCAACAAAGCAGACCAAGACTGGCTTCGAGGTCGGCCGCCTGCTCATCGCCATCTTCCGCAAGCTGCGCGAGCGCCAGCACGACCCCGCCGAGGACGACACCGCCAAGGCGGATGTGGAGCAGTGTTGGACCAGCCTACTGACCCACAACGAGCTGCTGCGCCCGCTCGAGCTGATGGTGCGCCAGGAACAGGTCCCCGCGCTAGCGTCAGAGGCGTGGTTTGGGCTCGGCTTGGTTGCTTCTTCCACGGCAGGCGCGAGGAAGGTGGCAGACGTATTCAAAGACGAAGACAACTGGAAAGCTCTCAGGAATGCAGCCACGACGGGTGACAGGGAGAGCGCCGATAGGAAGAATGTCATGACCACGGTGCATGTGGTGGCGCGGTCGTTGGAAGGCGAAGAGAAGCAGAGGTGGGAGGAGATGGCGAAAGAGTGTTGGGACGGATCAGCACTGGCCACGCAATGAGAAGGACTGTTTGAGATGATGAGAGCGGCGGTAATATAGAAGCTAGTGTAGAGGGAGGGCAGCGTATGTTCATTTCAAGGCAGACTGCACATGGTGTGGAATGTAGAACTATGTTTATATATTAACGTTCTGTTGCGACCAGGAAATATGGTTTCGAGGAAGCGAAGGAGGGATCAAGAGCGCTAGGAAGTCTATATATGACAAACATAGATACCGCCAACCGGCCACGCGTACGATATCATCCAAATATTCGCTTCACCCGCCCGACCCAGAATTAATCTCTTGCAGGACACGGAAGGACAATGTCTGCTGGAGCCCAATTGCGGTGCTCATCACCACCTTTACTAGCGCGCTAAATCTTTCCTCGACAGTTGATCACAAACGCACGGGAGGAAACTTTGTGGGGGCTTTCACGGATCGGGCCGCACTGACGTCAGTGATCGACAGGCTCCATCGCCGGCGCATGCACATTGTTTCAACGTGCCCCAGATCACTAAAATTCACCTAGAATGCATATGGCTACTGCCTCCGAGTCAATGGAATATCAGTTGCACAGACATGGGCAAAGACTTCTGCAAAATTCGCACTTTTCGCTCAACAGCTATCATAACTGTTTATCAATTGTGACAGCTGTATTCGCACACTCGTGATATGCATTTCCTCAACCCTATCCCCGTCCCCGCAGTATTTTCATGCCCTGCGTGACCTTCGCAGCACGGACAACCACGTTGGTGGATCTCTGCGCGCCACTAGTCAACACCATAGCTCCAGCCACAACAAGCCATACAACAGCCACGCAAGCCGAAACCGGTTTTAGGGCGCCCGTCTAGAGGAAAAAAAAGGCGCTTCACCGCACGGTACCCATATAGCGCCTCTCAACCACAGACTCACGCGTTTATATCATCTACAGACTGACCGGAACTTAGTGACCAGTCAGTAGGCAAGGAAGGGTATGTAGCACTTGATCTCTTACGTCTTCAGAGCACCTCGTACTGGGAGCGCTTAGTGGACTAAGAGGGAGTTTGTAAAGAAAACGGCAGTCATTGTTTCGTCACCAAACACATGCTGAGTAGCAAAAGAATCGCAGTCGTAAAATCCTCATCTAATTCGCAAAAGAAATACTAAAAAAGCAGTCATGAACATCCTCGTTATTGCATTCCCTTCGTTGTCCCGCCTAGCCAGTTTGTCCCAATTGCAAAGTCAAAGCGCAGTTCAAGCTTAGTTGGCGTCTTCGTAAACGAAGTCCTCAATTTCCTCGTTGTTACCAAAATCAAGGTCCCCGCTGACAGTGTAGGCGAGCGAGTTGTAGATGGTGTAGACGTCCGAGCTCCACGAGTAGCCCGTGTTGACAGCATAGGTGGAGTTCCAGGGAAGGGAGTACAGGGCACAGAACAGACCTTGGGGCTCTTCGTTCTTGGCCATGACGTATGCGACGAAGTAGTTGCACGCCTTGTACTCCTGGTCATCGTTGGGGTGCTCCTTGTCGTATTCAGTCTGAGCATCGCAAGCCTTGGCGCAGACGCGAGGATCGTAGGCGTCAGTGTAGGTGGTGTAGGTGATGTAGCTGTCGAAGTCGTTGTAGGTCGGGGCGTTGATGCAGGCATCTTCGAAGTTCTGAGGGGCCTGGTAACCATCAATGGAGGTGAACGACTGCTTGCTGCTGTCCTTGTTGTAGCCGTTGGAGCCGGTGATGACGACCTGGAAGTTGTCGCGGTACTGGCCGGTGTTGGTAGCCTTGGAGGCAGCAACGTGGTAAGCGTACAGGGTGCATGCAATGGTGGTAATGCTGTCAGGGTTTCCATCGCTAGCGCAAGACGTGTCCTCCGAGGGGTCACGCTCAAAGTAGACATTGAAGCCCATGCAGAGGGGCTCGTCGTCGCAATAGCTGGCACACTGGGCCGGGCTGTAGGAGTCCAGGGTCTTGACAGTCAGGTAACCCATTTGCTGAACGGCGCCCTGGAGGTTGGTGAAGCTAGGGGCGGCTTCGTAACCGGACGGGACGTCGGCAGTGAGGGCCGGGTTGGTCAAAACCTCAGCATTGACCCAATCGCTAGGAGCGCTGGTGACCACAGGGCCAGCACTGTTCCAGGTCAGAGGGCATACAAGGTAAGGGTGGAGGGGGTTTTCTAACTCACCCAGAGTAGGTCTGGCAGGCCTCGCGCTTCTCGACAACAGCCGTGACGGCGCTCGTAGCAGCAGCAATGGCAGCCGTAGCATCGTAGGCGGAGGTGGCCTCAACGACAGTCGTGGCCAGGACAACAGGGTCGACAGGGCCGAGGTTGTCGGCGCTGATAGCGGCGATTTCATCGGCACGGTCAGCCGCAATAGCTGCAAAGTTGAAGTTCTGACGCTTTTCCACAGGGCCGGCGGCAACGAGGCCAATGGCGAGAGGAATGAGGGCTGCGGCGCGCATTTTGACGATTGATACTCCTGGAGGCAATGCTCGGGACTGAATTGATGGGAGGAGTCAAGGAGGAAGCTGGCTGTGATGAAGAAGTTTTTGTCGTCAGGAGACGGTAGCCTTATATGCTGCAGACACGAGATAGCTCCGACATGAAGGATTACTGCGTGCCGAAGCATCTATGCCACGAAGCGCGCGCTGAGAAGTGACGATGTCGGACATGCCGGGCCATTCAGCCACAGCGAGCGAAGGAGGCGCGCTTTGGCTGGTGGTTTACAGCGCTGAGGGCAACACTCGGTGTTTGCCATGGCGTCGTGGGGCTGAGGCGCGGGTTGTGGCTGTTTTGTGGTGTTTGTGGCGTGCGCGGTGAGAAGGAAGTAAGGTGATGTTTGCGTGGGTCGGCAGATTCGCTGGCACTTCTCAACGCGGGAGATGGGCGCCAAGCGAGCCGGAGCGTCGGTGCCTGGCAGGGATCCCTTCAGCTCGCCGCCACGAGCAGTGGTCGGAGCGACAGGGAACGCGTATGCGGGCTGGCACTACTGCCGGAAACGTGCGACGCGGCCAGCCCTGTTGCCCAAAGCAGCAATCGGCTCGCGCACGTTGGTGCGGCGTCAGCCGATGCTAGCGCATCGAGCGGCATCTCCTCGCCCTTGACCTGGCTTTTCCATTCAGCATGCAGCACCTCTCCCTTCTCCATACATCCCTCCCCAGAGCCCCACTCCTCACAGCACCTCTTCACGCCCGTCGGCCTCGCCGGCGCCTGGTGGGCCGTTGGGCTGCCATTGCCCAGTACGGAAATCTGCGGACCACGTGGGCTTGGCCTTAGCTCTTTCCCCGGCCCTCAGCATTTCCACGCCGTTGAATTCAGCCCCAAGAGATGGTGCTGAAGCTCGCCCTTCCGGTGACGCGGCCTCTTGACGCCGAAGGATCTTTTCGCCGTGTGTTTGCACCCACATCCTGGCTTCTTTGTCTATTTTACGGCTTCTCCCGAAACTGTTCGAATTTTCCTCTCTTGCATCGATCAGTTTGAACCCGGTCAATGAGTCAGGTGGCGGTCAGGAAGGAGGGAAAAAGTGCTGTCAAGCACACCGAGTTCGCTGAGAGGATGCCCGTCACTCCTTCCCCCACACCTTCAGCTCGGTCTGGACTCCAGCTCTGCATGGATCTATCTTTAACAGCACAGGCAGAGGAATTTACCGGCTCTGAGCCCGTACCTTTTCCCAAGTAAATACTAGCGGAGCTGCGGTCCGGTAGTAGTGGTCTCTTTTAGCACCACGGGGTTCATGTTGCCTGGACTGCGTAATCGCTCTCTTTTCTTTTATTTTTCTGAACCTGGAAAGGAAGGTAATGGCAAGGACGCTTGGAAAGCGTATAAAGACGACAACGCCGCCGCTATGCACCCAAGTGTGCTCTGGCCTCGCGACCAACATATAAACAAGACATACACAGGGAAGAGAAGGGGGCGCTGGGTGGGTGTGAGGGGGGTCGAAGAAAATTCCTCCATAATAATAGAGTCAATTCACCACTCCCTACGAGCACCCATTAATCCTGACTGGAGAAGGAAAGGCCCAGCTCACCATGCAACCAACCTCCGACGCCCTTTTTTGAGGTCCTCCCCGTATTCAATCTAAGCACCCATCAGACCACTCATCTGCTCATCTAGTAGGCTCTCCCACTTCTGCTCTTTCCAACAGTCTTGAATGTCTGTGAGAACTGAGGGTTGCCGCCTAGGGCCAGCGTGTCGAACCGGTTGATCTCCATAGTGACTTCATCGGTGTAACCGGCGAAGAAGAAGCCCACAATGACGACAAGGTAGGAGAGGATGAGAATCGAGCCCTTGAAATAATTGCTCTTGCCCTCACCATACATGTAGGACAGCAGGAAAACGCATAGAATTACAGTAACCATGTCCCATTGAGGGAAAATTAGGGCTAGCACGTTGGTAAGTATCTGCTCATGTATCTTCTAGACGAGGAAACTTACTGAATGTGTGGCCAAGAACATTTTCCGGGTCGATGAAGCGACCCTCAATTGCGCTGTAGAGCACGAGGGCCGGGATCTGGAGCAGGCAGACCTGAAGCGCGTACGCGGACCCAATCTCCATCGAAAGAGCAATGTTGCCGTTCATGGCGAAGGAAATGGCGTTCTATTACAAGGTTGTTAGTGGAGTTAGCAGCACGATTATGACGGGCGACCATACCAAGAATTCAGTAGTGTTCGGGACGAGAGCGAACAAGGTGATGCCGAGGAATTTTTCATCGATATCCACGTTCTCCAAAACCGCATCGACTGTGTTGACAAGGATTTCAGCAATGATGGCATACGCAATCGTGGCCGTCAGAAGAATAACTGCTGATTTCGTCCGACTCCAGTTAGGCGCGTCGTGTCCGCCGCCGTGACCAGTAGCCGTATGCCCGTCATCAATTTCTTCGCCAGCGGTGCCTGTCCTGTGGAGATTCGGGCGCTCAGAGTGAGTAGATGCAGCAAGGTTAGCTTGCGAGACCCGCCGAGGGTGGTGCTTGGCTGAGGCGTCCCGAGCAGCAACAGCAGCAGCAGTTGCTGCCATTTCGGCGACTTGGCGAACCAGTTGGTTATTCTCATCTTCCGACATGCCGTGGATGTTGAGGCTGCGCTGACTGCGGCCATCGTGGTGATGGTCATCCCCATCCTGCGGTGGTATGATGTGCGGTATGTATGAGTCCGTACTGTGTGAAGACTTTGCTCGCTCTGCAATCTCCCCGCTGGGAGATAGGCCGGCTTGCTTAAGAGACTGGCCCAGAATGCGCTTGTACAAGGCTGACTCGCGAATGTTCTGATCAGATTTGCTGAGCGTGCCGTAAGAAGGAACCTGATCGCCACCACCAGCAGCACCACCGGGAAGTTGCTGAGAGTGTAGTTGGCCGGAACCAGCGAGATGGGTGGCTGCCATGTCCATCTTTTCCACCTTCTTCTCATCCACTTCAGAGCTCCAGATCACGGCGGCGTGGGTGCGGAGCGTGAAGAGGAGGCCAATGGCATAAGAAAGGAAGAGGGTAATCGAGGCAAACCAGACAAAGGGCCGGACAGCTTGTAAGTAGAAACGGTCGTGGACAGCAGGAGATTGGTCGAAGTAGCATCGACGGCAGTCGCGTTCATTCTCCAATGTCGACCCTCCATGTCGGCAATCGCGGCAGTTGAGTTCGTGCTAATTCTGATCAGTCCGAATCGTAAGCCAAAGCAGGGCGGAACACTTACACTTCCGTAGATCTGGTAGAACAGCGTCGGACCAAACACACCGATGACAGCAAACAAAAGCATAGTTGACGTGACACCTGCGGACTTGACATTGAAACGCTGCGTCTTCCGCTTCAAAGCGCCAAAGCACATGGAAAGACCAGGGAGGAAAAGAACACCCGCAAAAATGCTGCCGATGATACTGCCTTCCACAAGCTGTGCTTTGCCTTCTTTGAGCGCAACGCAATAGAGGAAGACCTCCACAACCGTCGAGAAGAATGCGTTGATGGTTGCACCAACTCCCATGGACGACTGGGCCGAAATGGATGCAACGGCCTGGCCGATAAAATATGCCAGTGGAATGATGGAGAACAGAGCAAGGGTGAAGAGCAAGAACTGGTTCGTCAGGGCGATCTCCAGGCCCAGAGCCTCGTCAAGGACAAAGTAATCGAAGATGACGAAAGCGACGACACCGAGAAGGTTGATGAGGAAAATGTTGGTTCCATCGATAGTGTACTTCCAGTACTTGATACCCACCGCCCTGTACGTGCAGAGCAGGATGGATGAAGCCGGCTCGTCCGCCCGGCGGATATCGTTGATATCAGAGTGGAATGATAGAGCCAGTGGGTGCCGCCGCAGATGGTCAAACAAGAGATATGTCACTCTGCCCATTGGAATCGTGAAGACCAGAAGCCAACAAATGCCGGAGACCAGGAAAAGAGAAGGTGTCAGAAGACCGTAAAAGACGAGGAAGAAGACGACTCTGCCCACGGTCCATTTCCCTCGGCCGAAGAGTCTCCGTTTGGTGTTTACGCCATGGCCAGAATCTGCGTTGCTCCCCCGACTGGGGCGGCCCAGAAGGCTTTGGGTCTCATCGGAAGAATCGATGCTGTTGCGGTGCCGTCCAACCAAGCCCCGGTTAGACGAAGGTCCAAAGAAAAGGCGACCCTCCTCAATATCCCCGCTCTGCCACTGCTCGTACTCACTGATACTGCGGCCTTCTCCCTCGTCTTCTTCCAGGTATGCCTCCTCTTGTATGAACTTGACAAACTTGCCAAATGGGTAGAAGAGATACTTGGCGAGACCCCAGAAGGTTCTGCCGTATGCCATAGATCCATCAGCGCAGCCAAGCAAGAAGCAGATCAACGCACCCGCGGCCGCAATTGCGGCAAGCCACCAGCCGAAGACGAGGGTCCAGAGGAAGTTGAATAGAACAAGCCATGGGCTGACGAAGCCTCCAGGAGTCGAGTGGATATCTCCTTCTGCCGTCTTTTGAACTGACCGATTCTTCTTATACAAAGCGGGCTTCCAGATCCTAATACCAAAGGGATGGGTCTCGTTGATGGCCTCCTGCCTGTCCTTCAAAGTGAAGCTCTCGGCATCGCTAAGATCGGCATCGTCGTCGCCATGGTCAAGCTCGACGTCCTCTTCTTCCTCGTCGGCACGGATGGTGTCGTCGCCAGAGGAGCCGGCCGGCTGCAGGTCCCCGGAGGTCCGTAGGTCGGGGATGCTTTCTTGTCCAGCGTCTTCGTCGTCAGTGGAGTCGACCTTCCCAAGAACAGGCGTCTGGGCGGCAGGCCGGCGGCGCAAAGTCGAGGGCACACGGCGCAACGACCCAGTGGTTCTCGCTTGCTTCTGCTGGATCATCTCGTCGACCTCGTCCTCGGCGTCGTCGACGGAGAATTCTTGACCGCGGTGGAGGCGATTGGTAGATGTCGTTCGGCGGCCCATGCCCTTCCGCTGGGGGGGTTTGAGGCCCTGTTGCGGTTGTGATTGCTGTGGCTGCTGCTGCGAGTCCACTGCAGGCCGCGCGCTGCTGGACGACGCTTGAGCGCCTGGAGATAGCGGAGCGTTAGCCTGCATGCCCTTCGTGGTGTGGTACATTTTTTTGGACGGGAGGGATTTTGTCACGTACCGACAGCGGGCGGCGGCGGCGGTTGGGCTCCTCTTGACCTCTGGCCATCTCGATCCGGGGCTCGCGCGCTGCTGGGCCGACTCGCACTGCTGCCCTCCGGGTTAGCCATCCTGGACGACACACGGTCGCTAGAGGCGCCGTCTTGCCTGGATTGGCCGTAATCGTCGGCCATTTCGAGTGGAACGAGACCGTCAGGCGCTGAGGAATGAGGCGAGTAGCCGCCTTTGAGCCTGTTTGTTGTCTGGCTGCTGGGCCGTGCGGGAGCTGGTGCTGGAGATCGCGGGCGGTGGCAGGAAAGGCGGTAAGTTGGTAGCAGGGAACTATTATAGCTTGGAGCAGACCAGAGCTGGCGACATGGGGGCCGGCAGATGACCGTCAATCATGCTGCACACACCGCGCTAGCTGCGCTACGGGTGATACGGGTTGCGCGATCGCGGGCGGCACGGTGATTGCAAGTTCGCCGCCGCGTAGCCGTGCGGCGCACGTGAGGAGCAGTGGGCGGCGGATGCGCGCCTGATGAATGAGCCTCTCTCTGCCTGGCTGCGTCACAGAGATGCTGCCGGGGCCCAAGCGTCGCGTCGGGCGAAGCTGCGTCCGGGCGCGCGGGCGCTGATCCCACGGCGGACTGTCGCCGAGAACGCCGACGCCGCTGAGTGGCCGCGAGCTAGGTTCCATGAGCTTCAACACCAGCTTCCATCACCACCCATCCAACACCAACCCCCGCCATCCGCCCCAGTCGCCGATCCCGTCCCGCCGCATCCGTCCGCACCCACCGGATCCTGCGTATCCCCGTCAGTCGTCCACACGACCACCGTCCCCCGGCCGCCACCGCCATGGCGCTCGACACCTTCTTCCACAACAAGATCGAGAGCATGAAGCTCGAGATCATCCAGGGCCAAGCAAAGCTCCGCCGTCTAGAAGCACAGCGTAATGACTACAACTCGCGCGTGCGGTTACTGCGCGAGGAGCTGGGCCTGCTTCAACAGCCTGGCTCCTACGTCGGCGAGGTCGTCAAGGTGATGGGCACCAAGAAGGTTCTGGTCAAGGTGCACCCGGAGGGCAAATACGGTAAGCAATTGCGATGCCTCGGCTACCGCAACCGCTGACGCTTCCTCGCAGTTGTCGACGTCTCGGATCAGGTTGACATATCCAAACTGACGGCCGGCAAACGTGTCACCCTCCTCAGCGATTCGTACAAGCTGGAGAAGATGCTCCCGTCGTCTGTCGATCCTCTCGTCTCGCTCATGATGGTCGAGAAGGTTCCCGACAGCACGTACGACATGATCGGCGGTCTGGACCAGCAGATCAAGGAAATCAAGGAGGTCATCGAGCTGGGTCTCAAGCATCCCGAGCTGTTTGAGTCCCTTGGTATTGCACAACCGAAGGGCGTCCTGCTGTACGGGCCGCCGGGAACAGGAAAGACGCTGCTTGCTCGTGCAGTGGCACACCACACCGACTGCAAGTTCATCCGAGTGTCTGGCAGCGAGCTGGTGCAGAAGTACATTGGTGAAGGCTCGCGCATGGTGCGCGAGCTGTTCGTCATGGCACGTGAGCATGCGCCATCGATCATCTTCATGGATGAAATCGATAGCATCGGTAGCAGTCGTGTCGAGGGCTCGTCTGGCGGCGACTCGGAGGTGCAACGTACAATGTTGGAGCTGCTCAACCAGCTGGATGGTTTCGAGCCGACCAAGAACATCAAGATCATCATGGCCACCAACCGTCTTGACATTCTGGACCCTGCTCTGCTCCGCCCTGGCCGTATTGACCGTAAGATCGAGTTCCCTCCGCCGACCATCGAGGCCCGCGCCGATATTCTACGCATCCACTCCCGCTCCATGAACCTGACCCGTGGCATCAACTTGACGAAGATCGCTGAGAAGATGAACGGCTGTTCCGGTGCCGAGCTGAAGGGTGTCTGCACCGAAGCCGGTATGTATGCGCTCCGCGAGAGACGTGTGCATGTCACGCAAGAAGACTTTGATTTGGCGACAGCCAAGGTCCTCAACAAGCACGACGATAAGCAGATGAGTTTGTCGAAGCTCTGGAAGTAAGGTGGCCGCAATTTTTGGTAGGCAAGGGAGGACAATGCAGTATGATGACGAGACCGTCGATCTTGCACCTGGCTTGAAAAGCCGTCTTTAGTTGCATGCTCTCGGAGGCTATGGAAGGCGTATGTGGACCCAGGGAAGTAAGCAAGTCATTAGAAAACACAACTTTCATGTAATACCATCTATCGTGAAACGTTTCGCCAGAAGCACGCACAAAGCGAACGATACGAGAGGGATCGAACTAAGAATCGACGAATTGGCGTTCAACACAGCTGTGCCAACGCTTTAATTCCTTGTAGTGACGCGTCATGGTGCATCTCATAATACAATGCCGTTGGATGGAAGGGATGTAAAGATAGCCTCAGTTTGGTCTCGTCCTCTAGTCGAAATGATCACATCGTGATTGTGTTCAGGCTACCTGCAAGTCTTTTATAGATCTGGCTGTTGCTTGCCTGATACCTTCTGGAAGCTTGCCTGCTGCTGCGCGACTTGATTTTCCAGTCCTCCTTTTACCCCGCAAGGCGTACAGCGCGTCCTTGTTTCTTCTACGACGTGTCTCATGAAGAATACCGCCCGAACACAGATGACGACACACCGCTTCAAGCTTCAGCGGATGCCATCCGTGCGTGCCCTTATTCGTATTGCCCGTGCCCCTTCCTTTCAACTATGTAGGGCCCTTTTTATTTTTTTTGGTGGCTCCACTCTCCGCCATCGCGATTCGACGCGTTGTTTCGGCGCTTCCGTGCAGAAGGCCTTAACCTCCTTTTTCTTCTCTCCCCTTCTCTTTCCGTTTCCCATACATAGCCTGTCAGTGTGGTATGCAATTTTGAGAATCCTTTCCTCTTCGCCAGAACTCTGGATTGCAAAAGAACTTCACCATTTTAAGCTTGAATTATTATATCCTACCTACTGAAGATTACATTCGGGTGTTCATGTGAAATCCCCAAAGTCCAGATTTGTATCCAGATTCCTGTTTCAATTGCCCGTGTAGGAAGGCTCTTGCGACGCAATATAAGTTTCGACTCTAAATCATCCAATCCACCTTACTCGGGTTACGCCCCACATTCTCAGTTCGAGATGCACAATGACACAATGATGCACGCGCATGACCGATGTGAGTTTTTAGGATGCGCTATTAAGTTGTATTGTAGGGTATTGTGCCCACACACCCCACTTTCGCTTCTTGTATCAATACGTTGCATCGAACCGGCATACAATACTGTGGGGCAGAAGATCTTGCCCGGGATGTCCCCTCCTTTCTCGTGTCCTTCGATACAAGTGACCTTGGTGGAAAACCAAAACTATGAATTAAATCTATCAAATCAGTGTTAACAGACGACATCCTGTGCAGCAATACCTTACGTTCTTACATCCTGACGGTGGATTAGTCCTTTCCGTTTGTTATCTGCTGGTCGTTGGTGGCTTGGCAGCGTATATCTTCTACGCTGCCTGCAGGAATTCTCTGAACCATCCTGTGCACCTTCTTCACGTCCTCCACCTGATTCTTTTGATTTTGATACATACCAAATGGACACGTTGGAGGCGGGGAAATAGTTGTCAACTGAACAGGCAGATCTCACTTCCTATGGGGCTATTCCAAACGAGACACATCTAAGACATAAGCCTTAAAACTGTTTTTAAGCAGAAACCCTAAAAAAACGAACCCGAAACTTTGAGAGTACTTCTTGCGCTAACTTAAACTCACCGCCCTTCGCCCGTCCCTGTCCAGTTGTGGCAGTGCAGTATCTGAAGCGAAGAAGTAGAGCGAGAAGCTAACCTTGCACGAGCTTCCACGCCCGCAATGCCGAGTACCTCGAAAAGATCTTGAAGCAAGTAGATAATTGCAACTCCGTCCATGACTTGAAGCTTTGCTTTGGAGTTTACTGCCAGGTCGCTCTGATCTGAAAGCTACACAATACATACATGTGGCTGGACATGTCGGTTCTCCATATCGGATGTTCCGCGTCTGGTTTCCTTCGAGGGAACGCCGTCTTACATTTTGACATTCATTTCCTTCACTTCCCAATATGTCTCGTGTTCTTCTCTCCTTGCGTCACAGTCTTCACTAAACTTCCACCTGAGTGGGCCGCGGTCTGTCCACGCCCATAGACTATCTTCGCCATTGAACGCCAGGGCCAACACTACGCCCTGAGATGGCAATTCAACTGGTTGGAGACTCACAATTTGGCAGCCCTCCGGGGAATCTTGTTCAGGTGAGACTTTACGTTCATCGAGCTCACGGCGAGGATAGCATGAGTAATAGTCCCAACCACAACGATCAATCCACGGCCATTCATCCAGATCCAGGCCATCATCATTGGAGAACGTAGAGGCGGATGTGTCTGCGGAAGAAGCTGTAGTTGTGCTTGAAACCGATGAAGCGCTGCGGTGTCTTGTGACCGGAGTGCTTGCATCTGATTCCGAGTTGTCGCTCGACGAGCCTGTATCTTCGACATGAGCGCGGTCGACCAGATCAACGGTCGAGTTGCCGACGTTGGGGTCTGCGTTGCGATGGGAGCTTGTATAGCCACTCAGGGTCGTCAAGCATCCGTTAGAATGTGTTTTGCGTTCGAAAAAGGCATCAGGATGAACGACCCAGACTTGGACGCGCTTCCATGTGGCAATAGCAATGTGACGTTTGCGGGGCGAGACTGCCATGATTAGACCTAGCGAAGAGCTCCTGCTTGCGCCGATGTCAAGGCCACCAAGTTCAGCAACCGCGAAATGGTCCAGGCTAGAGTATCGTTGAAGTGGGTTGTAATGTTGACACCCGTCCGGAAAATGTACGCCCTTGATGATATAAGCGCCTGGAGAGCACGAATCGTCTTGTATATGCAGCTGGAGAACGCTGTTGAGACAGTATTCTTCGCCAGTAGGGTCCTTGAGCCTATGCTTGTGATGAACAGCCAGCGGGAAGCCGAAGGACGGGCCAGTGAAGGGTCTCGGTATGAAAGAAAAGCGTGGGTGAGACATCTGGATCGAGGTCACGGTGCCGTAGTCGTCCACTTCGCACTGTGGAGTTGGTATCCCAGGATTGAAGAACCACACCCTGCGTTTGATGATCTGAATCTCACACGGTGTAGGAGTGCCGTTCACATTACAGCTTGTGTCATAAGCTCTGGTAGGCGGAAGGGGGTCTGAAATGAGACATTAAAATTTGGGCATGGCCTAGGAAGTAGGCGGGAGGTCTCGAGGGTATGGTTTAGTAACATACCGTAATACCTGTCCGGGCGTCGTTGGATCAGTTGAACCTGATACCGAGAGCCCGAGTTGGCATCATAACAGATTATTGCAGAGCCATCGTCCGCCACTGCCATAGCCCTTGGCTCAAGGACACCTCCTGTGAGGATGTCGCGCACTTCCTCAATAGTTGCGTCAAACGAGCTGGTGAATGTCCAGGTCACAAGTTTCAGAATCTCTGCGGACCGTTTAGCGGCAGCTTCGACGAATGGCCCGCGCCTGTCTCCTTTCAGGCGGTAACGATAAAGCACAGCGAGCCGGTCCACACATTGGCACGTTGCGGAGCGGTCATGCGAGTCGTAGAAGGCCATCTTGAGCACCTCGAATTGAATATCTTCCTCAGGTCCAAGGTCCAGAGCTGTAGGCGACAGAATACACTTGAGGATTGGGAACTGAGACTTGATGCTGAATACACCGATCGCAGCGTCTTTGGGGTGGACTGTTGTCATCAGCAAGTGGTCTGTCTTGCAGCTACAGTTCATGAAGGCGCCATATTTCAGGGATTCTGAGAGAGCAAAACGCGAAACGTCGGCAAGAGCCTCGACTCCATGCAACAGATTCTTCACGGTACGGCGCCTGAAGGCCTTGTGGAGCTTCTTCGCGTCGCTACCGCAGAGTCTGTCGTTGATGCCAGGGACCTTTTCCAATTGATGCTTGAGTGAGAGTGTGCCGAGAGCAGCAGACCGCAGGGCCTTGCAGACGCGAGTGACCTGGGAAAAGCTGCCTGGATCGAGGTAGTATATGACCTCGAGCAGGAGCTCGTTTGGCAGGTCAAGCAGCATGCTGGACTCGGGAAGTGGGTTTTGGGCCATGAATGTCCTCAGAAAACCTAGTCAAGCCTAACAAGTCAGCTGCGGGGCGGCAGACGAAACAATTATTCAGAAGGCCATCACAAAACGATGGGTTGGTCGGTCAAACGTCCGGGAGACGGCCGCAGGGCTATAGGGCCGAAGCCTCGATCCAGGACTAGGCTAGCTGGCGGCCGTTGCTTGGCTGCACGTAAGCGGATCCTGTGCACGCCTCGCGCTCATGTCGAGAGACATGCGCTGGCTTGAACCCTGACGTGTCTTGGAGGGTTGGAGGGCTGCATGCAAACAAGGACAATACGAGCGAGGGACACTCACGATGGGAGAAGAGTCCGGCAGCTCCGCCGACGGGCGCGTCACGGGTGGGCCGGCGGGCAAGAGGGCTAGGGCGTGTGGGCAGCGGCGCGGTGTGGTCAACAAAGAGGAGCACAGGCGAGGCGACGTCAGAGCGCGTGACTCGCGGCGAGGCCAGGCGCGCACCGCACGCGATCGACGGTATTTTCGCGGAGAGAGGGGTGGCGCAGGCGTGGCTTTGCGATCTGGTCGGGATGGAAGCGGTGGGCGCGGGCGGCCGGGCAATTGGCTGCCCGGCAGCCAGCCTTGCGAAGCGAAAAAGGGTCCAGAGTTGAGCCCCAGGGGGCACACGACCAGCTTGGCGATCCGCAGCCCACCGCATCCTCGCCCAAAGGCTCGCGGGCGTGGCAGTTGCGCCATCTGCCGGGCTGTTGGGGCAAGGCGCGGACCCTGGGCGGCGCGCATGGCATTCGCAGCGGTGGCATGGCGAAAAGCGCAGAAATCAGGTTTGCATCATGGCCGTGGACCGAGCGCGCGCGGGCCAAATTGCCGGTGCAGAGGTCGAGAACGCGGCACGACTCGCTCGTGGGCGGAGACGTCTGGCGCTGATTTGCGCAGCCCCCACCCGATATTTGAATTTGCTGCAGTGGTGCGAGGGACAAAGGCAGCCGCGCAGCAGGGCGGGTGTTTGAGGATGGAGGCTAGAACGCGGCAGCCCACGCGCCGTTCGCGGAGATAGGGCAGCAGCCTCTGCCAGTATATTGGGGCGCCGGCGCCGCCGTGAGAGTGTGACCGATCTGCCTCTCTGTGCGTTGATCCGACAGGGCCAGGGGCGCCTAAGGATTTCTCACGTTGTTTGGCGCCTTCACTACCCTGCGTCAAGCTCGCGGCCTCCCTCACCCTCCTCTCCCACCAGCGCACGCAGCCCGACTCGCTCCACTTCCAACGCATCACTGCCCGTCCCCGCTGTCCTGAGCGCCGCCAGAATCTTCCATCCCGCCCCTCGGTGTTGTGTGTTTCAAAGTGGCCTGCTCCGCCGCCCGAGTCAGCGAGGCGTTTGCCGCGATGATGTAATGCGTGGCTCGTCCTCCATCCTCGCCGTCCTCCCTTCCACGTCTGCAACCTCACGCGCGCAACCCTCGCCTTAAGACCGCTATGACCGCTGTGCCCGCCATCGCCCGCGTTTGATGCCCACCACCAAGCGCCATCTCCTATCGCGGCTGTGCATTCTCCACCAGCATGACCACCAGCGCCGCCACCCCGTCGCACACTCCCTGTGCCTGGGAGCACCATCCGCATTCCCAGCAGAGGCCTGCTCCCTCCCGGGCCACCACCTCCAGGACGCCCGCCTCAGTCGGCCAGCCGCTGCCGCCCGCCCTGCGCCCTAATGATGCCCGCTCGCCCATTGCCCAGGACGCCCGCACTCCCAGCCCCAATTACTTTGGCCTTGCATTCGACTCGACCGCCGACATCTTCTCCTCCAGTGGCGCCCGCCACGCCAAGGCAAACTGGAGCCCCCCAAATTCCAATGTGCGCTCTGCCGCTGCCGCCTCACCCCGCGTGATACCCGTCGATCAAAATCCCGAGTTCGAAGCATTCCGCCGCCAGTCCGAAGAGGGCAGAAAGTTCAGTCTCGGCGGCGGTTTGTCGCAGTTCACCTTTGCCAAAGCCCCGATGAGCCTTTCTAGCCCGCCCTCCGCCCGCTCGACCGGCCATGTCGACTCTCCCACCACCCATCAAAACGGCACCCCCGTCTCTCCTCGGAGCAGCGACTCCAGCGGGTCTTTTCTGATTCCCGAGAAGCCACGGTCTCCCAAGCGTATGCTGTCGTCTGATTCATCCGGCTTCTCCAATCGCCCACGCCGGCTGTCGCCCGGAAGCTACCCCGAGTCTTCGGACAGCGACCAGGCCCCAAAGTTCGCCGATGGTGCGCTCGACAGACATTCAATGTTGCCATCCAAAATGCCCGTGAATGCATCGATACACACCCGCGCCGAGACATTACCAACGAACCTCGACAATGAAAGCGCCGTGCCCAAACAGGGCCCAGTCATGGTAACTCCGCAGCACATCGTCACCCTCCTGGAATCTTCGGAAGAGGAAATGCTCCTTCTCGACCTCCGCGTTTCCACGCAGTATGCGCTCTCCAGGATACGCGGCGCTCTGAATCTCTGCATCCCCACCACTCTCCTGAAAAGGGCGTCCTTCAACGTGCAAAAACTGGCAGAGACGTTCAGCGACGAGGGCCAACGCAAGAAGTTCGAGAACTGGGGAAGATGCAGGTACATTGTCGTCTACGACGCAGACTCGTCGCAGTTGAAGGATGCCACGAGCTGTGTCAACACTCTCAAGAAGTTTTCTAATGAGGGCTGGAACGGCCCCTCATACATAATACGCGGCGGCCTCAATGAATTCTCAAGCAAGTTCCCATCTTTCGTATCGAGGGGCACCGGCTCAACAACAAACAATGCGAGCAAAAAGCCGAGTTTGAAGCTGGACAATATGCCAGGACCGGCCCCTGTTGTGGGTGGCTGCCCTATGCCTGCAACACAAAACGCAGCAAACCCCTTCTTCGGCAACATTCGGCAAAATATGGACCTAATCGGCGGTGTCGGTCAGATGCCTGTAAAGCGACCGCAAAGAATGAACAACAATACTGAGCGAGAGCTGCCTGGATGGCTGAAGCACGCCGCCGATCAGAAGGATAAGGGGGCCTCCGTCTCGGACAAATTCCTGCAAATCGAAAAGCGTGAGCAGAAACGGATGCAGGAAGCCTTGTCAGGAAAAGTCGTTTACGGCGAACCTGGGCCAGAGGCACCGAAGAGCGTTCGGATTGCAGGTATCGAGAAGGGAACCAAGAACCGATATAACAACATCTGGCCTTTCGAGCACACCCGCGTTAAGTTGGAGGGCGTTCCATCCGAAGGCTGCGATTATGTTAACGCGAATTATGTCCACCCACCGTGGTCTAACAAGCGGTATATTGCAACGCAGGGACCGATACCAGTGACGTTCGCCGACTTCTGGAGTGTCATCTGGCAGCAAGACGTTCGTGTAATCGTCATGTTGACAGCCGAGAAAGAGGGCGGTCAAATTAAAGCGCATAACTACTGGGACGCTCAACAGTATGGGCCTTACAGATTAAACTTCCACACCGAGCATCGCGCATCTCTGGAGCCCGGGGCCATCAGGCGCCACCATGCGAGGAGTAGCGCAGATAACCGTTCTTCAGAAGGATTGGGAGGCTCTTCACGGGGATCAGGAGTGTCTTCGCAGTCCCAGGACTACTTCCCTTCGCCTGACAGCCAAACCTCACCTAATTCCGACCAGCCCTATGTCATAGTTCGCAAGTTCACCTTGTCGAACACCGAACTCCCCTTCGCAAGGATGCGCGAGATCACACAACTTCAATACTCTAATTGGCCTGATTTCGGAGCGCCGGCACACCCTGCCCATCTTCTCGGTCTTGTGGAGCAATGTGACGCTGTTGTCCGGCAGACGCAGGGTGGCTCGGTCGATGATCCCGACCCGCCGAGCAAACACCCGGTGCTTGTTCACTGCAGTGCTGGCTGCGGTCGCACGGGCACTTTCTGCACGGTTGACAGTGTTATTGACATGCTCAAGCGGCAGAGGAGTTCGCGGTCGCGACGCCAGGCATCCCCAATGGACCTGGACAAGACGTCGACGACAAAGGGCAAGGACAACCCGTTTTTCCAAGCCCAGGACGAAGCGACAAACGAGGGGCTCGACGGTCCATGGGTCGACCGAGACGACATTGATCTGATCGAGAAGACGGTCGAGACCTTCAGGCACCAGAGACTTAGCATGGTGCAAAGCCTACGCCAGTTTGTCCTTTGTTACGAGAGTGTGCTGGAGTGGTTGGTTGAGCAGCACCAGGACTGAGGCGAACGAAGGGGCAGCTCCGACCAGGCTTATTTTCTAAGCAGAGACATGGAGAAAGTCAGTTCTGCGACACTTTTCCGTCAGACGTGGCGTTTAGAGACGGAGGTAGGCGCCGACCTTGACGAATCGTATTATTACATGGACGAGTTCTGGACATAGCAGCATCCATGGTGCACTGGCGTTTTTCGTATTCCAAGAAACAGTTATCTTCTCTCTGGCGTTGGTACCATTCTTCTCCATGCTTCGGCATCGACTGAGGCAACAGCGTGGGCTTGCATACGGACTGACTGTACATAAAGGGCACATGCAAGCGCTGCCGACTTCGATTCGGGGGGTGTTGATATTATTGGAAGAAAAGACGGCATTATTGGCTTCGGGACTGGCAAACAAAGCTTTGGGGCAGCGGGCGCAGGGATCGGCGGCAACATGAGAGGGATGGAGCCCACATAGCAATGGATCCGTTGTTTTGAGAAGAAATTTGGAGGGATGCTGCAGGTGAGGTGTGACGTTGTCAGCGGGCGTGCGCGGTGCCCCTGACCAGACGCGGCTTCCCCTCACGATGACTGTGCCTGGTGGCGCGTGACACCGCGTCGCATTGGCGTTTCCAGCTCGCTCCCTTGCCTAGGCAGCACATGCTTCCGCGTCCTGGCGGGACGCGTCGGCCGGACGCGTCTTGCCGCTTGCCATTTTCACCAGCCTTCGCATGTCGTCTTATCGCGAGGCTGGGGCTGTACGTCATTCCTGCCAATGGCGACGACATGATCCTCGCACCCCTGCTGCCGGCGTGTGCTGGTACCACACGAATAGGCAAACGCCTGCCAGCCCTATACAATTTCCGTCCAATTGCAGGCGGTGGCTCATGACGACCTGCTTGGCAGCAACAGCCCGCCAGCGCTTATTTATGCCTGCCTCGCCCCCGGGCCCCGTCGCTCTCCTCTTCACGTCTTCACCCGCAGCCTCAACGCTCCTCAACGTCCGCTGGATCTCCCCGATCTTGGCAGAGCGAACTTCCTGCTTTCCGTCCGAAGTCCTCGCTTCTGGAGCTTGCCAACATTGCCAACCACGGCTGCGCGAGCCTGTCCCGACGGCGGTGTGAAGCGTCAAACTAACTTTCCACGCTCTTTTCGATTGTCTGTCGCTCCGTTTGTTTCTGCTCCAAAGTCGACTGTCGCTCGTTTCAAGCGTTCTTTCTGTTCGGCGTGTCCCAACATGTTCAAACGGTCGTTTACTTCCTCTTCTTCTTCCAAGGGGACGAAGGACCGCGTGGGCAAGATCAGCAAGCAGCAGCCGAAGAGATCGTTTCGCGAGGAGACCAAGCAGAAGATACTCCAGAATCTGGAGAGCCCGACGTCGGTGGGCAGGTGCGTAGCCCCCCGTCCTTCGCTGCCCGACGTGCCTGAGTACTGACTCGTTCGCCACCAGCGGTTCGCCCAAGCTCACAAGCGCCATCATCACCATGGTGATCGGCCGCGACCAGCGGCTCTTTGCTGCGCACGAGGACGTACTGTGCCACTCGCCGTTCTTCCACGCGGCGTTGCAGGGCCAGTTTCTCGATGCGTCGCCCAACAAGCGTATCGTTCTGCCCGATGAGGAGCCCGAGATCTTCTCGTGCGTGCTCGAGTACCTGTACAAGGGAGACTACACGCCCCGCCTGCTCCACGACAAGCGGCGCGGCTCCTGGATGCTCGAGGGCGCCGAGGTGGTCCCCTCAACCCAGACAACACCGGACCTGAACAATCCACAAAACAACGGCGGCCGAGGTGGAGGAAATACCGAAGCGATGCAGCAGGGCGCCAGCAACAGCATGGCGACCATATTCCACGCGGGCGAAGGGGCCGTGCTCCTGCGGGACACGGTCGTGTACTGCGCGGCTGAGAGGTACGGGCTGGCAGAGCTCAAGCGGCTGGCACTGCGGAAGCAGGGTCTGCAGGCGGGCATCGACGTCGGCACCGTGCTGCGCTCGGCTCGCTACGCTTACGCCCACACGCCCGACACGGACTCGCGGTTGCGCGCCCACTACCTGGCGCTGATCATCCGCAGCCGCCGCACTTTCAAGCGCAGCGGCACTATGCAGCAGGAGATGGAGATGGGTGGCAAGATGTTCTTCGACCTCTTCGTCGCCATGTGCAACCACATCGATGACATCGTCGAGATTGGCAACGCCCAATCGCCCAAGTCGATCATCTGAGGTGTGGCTGGAAACTGCATGTCGGCGGCCAACCCAGGTCGTGCGGACATGGATTTGAAGAAAACCTTTTGACTCCCAAAGATTGCTAATTCCCTCTGCTCGGGATGGGGCCCGACATATCATTGTCCAGATTGATCAAGCCGCAGGTAGTGTTCCGCCGGATGAGGAGGGTCGCCATCTCCCCCCGGGCCGAGTAACTCACCTGTCGACCCCCCGAGTAAGGCCAAGGTTTCGGGACGGAGAATTGGAGTTCAGGTTGACAACCCGAGTTTTTGATCGTTTCACTCCCCTCCAAACAAAGATTGTCACAACATGAGGCAACACGGACTCTTTTCGCCTCCCCACCCAAATCCCCATAGTCGATGTTTTGCGTCACCACTCCAGAAAGAAAAGGGGAAGTACCGAGGAGGAAAAAAAATTACACCTCGATCGTGCGTCTGCGACCCACCGCCATGGACTGGCTTTCGTTTGTATTTTCTTTTTTCTACTCTTCTCCCCGTTCTTCTGCGTGTGTGCGTGCGTCTTTGGAAAAGACCTCGCTGTGACTTGCTTTTAGCCGAATCTCCCATCATCCTGTTATGAGGTGGCTTGCGAATACAACGAATTGGGACGTGCATCATGATCTCGGGGCGCGAAAGGGGACTGTGTTCATTAGTAGTGTCTTTTGATCCTTGCCATGTCCCTCATGACGCTGGTTCCGGGCTTTCTTTTGTGCGATGGATGCCGGTCTCATCTGCGTTTGGTTAATGTGTAGGCGGCACGCAGAATGGTCCATTCAAAAAGTGCGAGGTGGATCTAGTTACTGTAGCTTAGGCAGTTCGCTCCAATAGAACAACCTCGGTCGCCGCATTAAAATGGTTTCCAATGCTAGCACTGTGACCTTTGGAGTGGTGTGGAAGGGCTCTGCCGAGAACTCATTATACATGAGATAAAAGCGTCAATAAATTATGCTATTGACGCTGCAAGTGCAAGTCGGCGGTAGCAGTAGGAAGGTCATTAGCTACAAGAGGCCGAACACCCCTCTAATTCGTTTATTTAGCACCATGCTGGACTTATTTGCTTTTTCTGGCGTCAACCACACCATCGTGTGCAAATAACCTGAAAATCTAACACTCTTCCCCCCTTTGAGCAAATTGGATCCCATCATTACAACGCATCAGCGCGCCCGTCTTTACATTATTTAACACAAGTGAAAAGCAAGCGATTGGCCGTACCGTCAGACTCCCCGGCACTATTCTCGAGCAATGAAAAACCCAGCATGCTTAATATTAGACAGGGACAATGTACATGCGGAGGGAAGGGCATCTCTCTCCTCTTGATGTTAGTCCGACAACGCTTCGTCCTTGTACCGCGCTCTGATTGCCTTCCATCCGTCCAGTCGACTTCATACATGCTGTGTGAGTAGAAAAGAATGAGCACGTGCCATGACTTTTTCTGTGGTACAAAGCGAGCGCGCATGTACCGAGAATCCACCACCAACGATACAGCCCGGCCTACCCCTTGGGATGAACAAAGCAAGCGGCGACGGCAAGCAATCCCCCCTTGTCAGCGCAGCTGAAACAGGCCCACAAACATCTGACCATCTTGCAATCCAACTTCCATAAATACATCCCCAATTCTGTTTTCGTGGCTGTCGTCCATGCTACTCCTTCTGATATGGATAAGAATCAATGAAGGTAAATGCCGCCCTAGTGGTGCAACGCGAATAATTTCCCTTCGAAACTACAGAAAACGACACCAATAGGGCCTCCCTGTTAAGCGGAAGCCCAGGAAAAAGAAAGTAAGAAACGGACCCTGCGGCTATGGCGCGAGGACAAATCAAAAAACTCCAAATTTCTTTCCCAAAAAAAAAAAACTCGAAACAGCCCAGCCCAGCCCAGGAAGGCCGCTCCAGGAAGCAAGACATCAACACGACCATTGAAGCATGGCTCGAATGATTGCCAATGTAACTGAGTAAATGACTTCGAATAATGACGTGAACATAAAAGGTTCCCGAAATTTTCAACTCAGGATGAATGGGTAAAGAGTAGAGGTGGAGAAACCGAGCCTCATTGTAACCTCTTCCTCTTCAAATCGCCTTGGGGCTCATCCTCATCCGGTCGTTCCGCGGTCTCTGCCGGGTTCAGCAACGAATGCACGTTAGATGCCATGCTTGATCGTCTGGTCGGCGGGCCTGGTGTATCGATGCCTCGGAATGGAAAGCGCGCCCCGGGAAGGGTCCACCCAGCGTCAGGGTTTAGGCTTGAGCTCGGCTCGTTGGGCGGGGGCGTTGCATTTCGTGAACCTGGGTGTTGCCGGGGACCGCGGGTTATTTCATATTGGGCCAAAGCGTTCCTAAGCTGTTCATCACCACCCACAGGAGTCCTGTGCGGTGACGATGGCCATGGCGTGGAGTTGTGGCCCGACGCGTACGGAGAGTGAGAAGGCGGCGGCGGCGGTGGCGGGACCCAGCCATGTAATCTAATATCTGCAGACGTGTGCCTCCTGGAGAGGTTGGGCGGTGGTGAATTCGAATCGACATTGGCGAGCGGGTGTTGGATTTGAGGTGGTGGTGGCGGCGGCGCCGCCTGCTGGACTGGTGGTCGCAGTGACGATGGCGAGTAGTTCCCTTGGGTGATCGAACCGTACCTCCGAGGTGACACGACTTGTAGATGGGGAGGAACGGCAGTTTGCGGGGCCCTGTACGACCCTGGTCGCCCGACGTCTACTAATGATGGCCGTCGCTGGTCGTTCTGAGGCATCTGACGAGGAGATGCTGGTGCCATGCTATCATTCTGCAGATTGGAGAAGTATTGGGAACGGGCAGACTGGATATTTTCTTGTTGCTCGTCCATTGACCGGAAGATGTCGGACTGTCGTGCAATCTCGTTTTGCATCATGGTCACTTGCATGCGTTAGCCTGGTGCCATGGGCCTGGACCATGAGCGACGAAACCTACCATCCTTATGTATTTGATGCTCCGGATCGGGGACCATCGCCTTTATGCAATTGGAAAGCTCATAATTCCACTGTGGCTGTAAGCAGAGGGGTATTGAGGGGCTGGATAGGTGACAAACCTGGTGGCAGCGCATCAGGCTTTCCGTGAGCACATTGCATCTTTGATTGACGTATGCATAACTATCTTCAGTCCGTGCGAGCCTAGCATGCATATCGTAGAGGCTGTGCTCGAGCATTTGCAGCCGAGTCTCTATAGGATCAGGCATGGGCTCGACAGGAGCCCCGGAAGACGGAGCTGCTGATTTCGGGCCGGTGGAAAAGGAATCGCGATGTATGAGAGCATGCCGCGAGGCTCGCCGCTTGATCTCCCGCAGGCCAACGAGATCCCCTCGCTTAAAGTTGCCGTTGCCGTGCTTGAATTCCCATAGGGGAGAGTCGGGGGAGCCGGTGTGGAAAACGTCGCTCACTGGCATCGTGTCAGCGGGCAAACGGCAGAGCAGAGGGGTGGCACCGACCTTTGTGGAATCCGTACATATTCAACTGTCGCACAAAAGATGAAATGTTGGTGTGTTTGAAGTACGAACTGTCAATGGCATTAGCACTGGCCATGCCAGCAGCCGGCCCAATCAGAGACGTACGAAAGAACTTTTGAGAATTCATTCGACGGCGACATGACAAAACTTTCGTTGGTGCTCGACCAGGAAATCAAATGCTGGATCGACTGGTCTTCGAGCATGCTGGGCCGAGTCAGTTCCGGGGCGTGTCTCAGCCAACGACGTTTGATTCACATACTTGTAGAGCTTGTGGATGAAGGCCGTCTGTACAACCTTGGGTTGCTGCGCAGCCGCGGCCGCACCGATGCCCGGGCCATTGCTGCTGGCAGCGCTTGTGTTCCCGTTGGCGGTGGCGGCGGTGGTGGTGTTGTTGGTGTTGTTGTTTGCCGGGGCCGGGGCGGCGTTGGACGTGGGCGCGCTGTTCTGCTGCTGCTGGGCGTTGGCCTGGTTGGTGTTCTCCGGTTCCGACTGGTTCCCACCGTTGCGGTCCAGGGCCGGGCTGGGCTGTGACGGAGGAGCCGTGGTGTTCGAGGGCGTTACATCCATTGGGTCTCCTGCGGGGACCGGAGGGGTCAACGACGAGGCGGCTGACGACGATGGGAGGATCGGTATTGTCTTGTGCATACCTGGCGCAAGGGTATCGGCGGCAAAGGGACTGCGCCTGACGGACTCAGCGCCGGAAGCCATCGTGGCGACAGCCGTCGCAGGGATTTCAGAGGCTTTGGGGCGGGTTGTTGGGGCGGGCCAGCTCGCAGCAAACACGTATAAAGCTGCGCAGCGTCCTCGAGCCTGTCGGGGCTCTCATCGACCGGCTCTCTTCTAAGAATAACGATGTCGACAGGGCGCGGGCAGCTCACGGCATCCTACGGCGGACAGCGCGAGCGGGTGCCAATGGGCGGGGGCGGCGGCAGCGTGGTGGGCGCGGGCAGCGAGGGCGGGCGGAAGGCGGCGCTCGAGGGAGAGGTCGCGATGGGCCGGGCTGCAGGTCCGTTGGAGTCGCAGGGTCGGCGCGGGTGGTGGGCGCAGGGGATAAGGGTCACTGGGATTTGCGGGGACCTGGAGCTCCCGCGGGCGGTGGTCCAGGCGAGGAAGAGCTGTGTTTGCAGGCGCCGTCGCGCGGTGCTAGGCGGCTCGGGCGAACATCTGCTGCGACAAAGGGGGCTGCGGTGGTGCTGGGTGGGACGCGTGATGGCCGGGGCAGCTGCGATAGAACGGGGCCGGGCTAGCAGGAGCAGCTTCACTGTGGAGGTGCGTCTGCGAGCATCAGGGGAAGCACGCCTCGATCCAGACCGCGAGCTGTACAACTGCCCCCCAGCTGACGCCATCTGCTCCAGACATCCAACGGGCGCCACGCTCCCCGCCTCCAGCCTGCTCTCCCGGTCCTCGCCCTCAGGCGCCCGCAGAAGCCGCACCCGCGGCTGCCAGTCTGGGCCCGCGCGCAGGCATGGCGCACCTGGCCCGCGACTTTGCTGAGCTGCCCACCCCGGCCGCGCGCCGGGCGACGTAGGTGCCCGCTCTCTCGCCCAGCTCGTTGTCGTTCAATTAAGCATATCACGTCTTCGCTCGCCTATCCAGCTGCAGCATGCCCAAACAAACCCAGCGCTGTCTCGCCCGCCCTGTTGCCCGCCCGCCGATCAGTGTGCGCAGTGACTGAGACTGATGCCGCTTGTTTTAGGCTAGACGGCATTGTCGAGCGCCTCACCACTGCCGAGTGGAGGGAGCTGCTGGCCCGCCTGAGCCAGCGCGACTTCCGCTGCGATATCATCGGCAGGTCGCCCGTCGAGCTCGTCGAGCATATCTTCCGCTTCCTGCCCCCGCACGCGCCCTTTCTGTACCAGCGAGTAGGCGCTCCCGTCCCGTTTGCTACGCCTGCTGATCCCCGCCAGGTGAGCCGGCAATGGCACCGCCTGCTGTCGTCGCCGCACGTGACTGGCTGTGCTCTCGACAGCTGGTACGCCGAGGGCGACCGCAAGCTGGCCGGCGAGGCCGCTGGGCTGTACGGCGACCGCTTGACGGTGCAGAAGTGGAAGGCTGACCACGTCAAGCGCTTCCGTGAGGGCCGCCCCTACCACGGCACCTTCTACTACGGCTCCTGGAACGTCAAACTGACGGCGCCCGACCGCGGTGAGTTCCCTGAAGCCGACTTCGTCCAGGACACGCTCGCCTGGAAAGCGTTGAGGAGAATCGAGGCGTTCAATTTTCGGACGGGGGAGCATCACTCCATCATGACAGATGCTCGAGAGCAGATCGGCACCATGAAGTTGACCGAGAGTCTTGTTGCTTTCTTCACACTGTTCTCCCGAGTTTGCCACATATATGATCTTCAGACAAAGGAACGAACTCATTTCACCCTGCACAACCAGAACTTGGACGTGTTTGTTGCCCAGGGCCGGACGGTCCTGGTGGCCTCCGAATCCCGCAATCCCACCTGGAGCACTCGCTTGAACATCCATCTTTGGAATGCTGTTGAGAGACGCACGCGTTCGTTTGAGATCAACCGAGTCCGCCTCGTTGACGAGGGCCGGCCTTAGTCAGTGAAGCCAGACTGTGAATCCCACGCCGATACTGACACTCGTCGCAGCCAGTACATGCCCAAAAGCGTCGTCATCGACGAACGCACCCGCTCAGTCGTCTGGTTCTTCTGCCTTCGCAGAGAGACCAAGAACTGGCTTTCGTTTGAACGGTGGTCGTTTGAGGGCGTTCTTCTGGGAAGGTATGAGCACAACGAGTGCGTCTCGGTCTACTCGTTGCGGACGGCGGAAATCCGGCCCATGGACTATGAAGGCCGCCTGTACCACATCAAGACGCCCGTCCGACCGTTTGGGTACCGCGAAGAACCAGTCTTCGCACGCACCATGACGACCATCGTCTTCGACAACAGGCTGAACCAGATCTCCATCAAGACATCGAATGACGGCCTTCCGGCCTTTCGCAACGAGTATTTCAGGAAGATGCCCTTCGACAAATTCACCGTCTGCCTCTGGAAAGACGGCATGTTCTACATGCCCCCCGCCGTTACTGACGAGGAAGCCCGCACCAAGGACAGCACCTGGGGCCCGCAGACGTACCAGACGCTGGAGCGTCGCGGGCTCCACCTCGGGATCATGGACATCCCCGAGGACATGGCAGTAGAGCACAGCGGCATGCCTGGAGACGAGACTCTGCTGGGCAACGAGCACCTTTTGGTGCTGCTCCGACGCGGGCATTGCGCCGTGTGGTGCTTTGATCCGCATCTGCAGCTGCCGGAGCGCATACCCGTAGACGACCCGCTGTGACAGGGCGGTGGCCGCTCAAGCACACGGCAAACACCAGCAGGCGCAAGCTCCGGGGGGAGGGAGCCTGGCAGCCAATAGGAAGAGGGCGAAGATTCGGGAGGGTTGGCGTTGGAGATTTGGCCGAAGGGAGGCTTGGCTCTGATCGGGGCCGGCCGCCAGAGTGGGGATTTTTGGCTGCGAGAATCCATGTCCGTGCCCCTCGTGCCCTTCCACCAGTAAAGTAGCAGCTCCGGCCGACTACATTTTTATTTTTCTGCCTGTACAACAGAAAAAGTCTCCCTCCAAAGCCTCGTTACCTCACGAACCCGTTGCCCACCATGGTTGAGAAGATCTACGTTACCTACAACGAGGTCAGTCGCCTGTCCGTCCTGCGCGCCTGCCCGCCGCACATTTGCCCGCGTGGTGCGTCATAGCCAGCGCGACGCGCAGAGAAAAGCGGCTGTCGCATGACTGTTTTCAGCCGCCGCTCTCGCGCACTCGTGCTGCTCGCACTCGCCTCGGGGCCGCGTCAATGTCGAAGTCCCGAAAGCGCAGGCGCTGACGACGACATCGTTCTCTAGGTCCACAAGCTCTGCCAGAAGTCGGCAGACACGATCCTCAATGAGTTCAAGCCCAACCTCATGATCGCCATCGGCGGCGGCGGCTACGTGCCCGCGCGCATTCTGCGCTCCTTCCTCAAGAAGCCGGGCAACCCCAACATTCCCATCCAGGCCATCGGCCTGTCGCTCTACGAGTCGCTTGGCACTGACGACGAGGTCGAGGCCCCCGGCACCAAGGTCACCCGCACGCAGTGGCTGGACCTGTCGTCGCTCGAGATGGCCAACCTGATCGGCAAGAACGTGCTGATCGTCGACGAGGTCGACGACACGCGCACCACGCTCGAGTACGCGGTGCGCGAGCTCGAGAAGGACGTCGAGCAGGCCACCCAGAAGCTCGGCCGCTCCGGCGAGAAGACGACCTTCTCCATCTTCGTCCTGCACAACAAGGACAAGGCAAAGAAGGGTGCCCTTCCCCAGGACCTGATGGCCGGCGGCAAGTACATCGCCGCCCAGACCGTCGGCGACGTCTGGATTAACTACCCCTGGGAGGCTACGTAGGTTTCTCTTGTCCCATCTCGGCAAATGTACAGCTTAAACTGACTCGTTGGCTTCAGTGACATCGACGAGCACGACCGCCTGGCTGCGGAGGCCGCGAAAGCGAAGACGTCGGCCTAAATATAACGACTAGCATGTAAGACCCAAGGTTCAGGGGACACGAAAAAAGAACGAACAAGAGGTCAAAGAGGGATAAAAGGTCTGGGATCCGTTCCATCTCTACATATTTCTTCACGGCGTTAGAGAATTGCGAGGGATAACAAGAGAGCGAACATTGGATGGTTTGGCATAGACGTCATACAGGAAAATCCAATTTATGATAATACAGCTCGAGAATGACAGCGCCTTATTACAAAGTCTGAGAGGATCTGCTAACTCTTCAGAAGTGCAATTTTAACTGACTTACCAAAACACGACATGTTCAGTGTCATTAGCTGCTCCTGTTGCCCTTAGAACGTGCAAATCTCCATAACTGCGGCATTCGTTGACTTGTGATGATTTTACTTTCTCTCTGAGTTCCCAGCTGAGAGTAGTTTGATTGTATTATTATTTAAGTATGTGTAACAATACTGACAACATCGTTCACAGACCAAAGCCGGACGTTGGGAGCTCACCTAAACTCCAACCAAACAGCTCCGCCTCCGGGGCATCATCACCGAACCCTCCAAACAACCCGCTGCTGCCGCTCTCAGTACTCAACACCTCCGTCGGCGGCGTCAGCAACTGTTGCGTGCTCGATCCCATACCCGTGCCGACCCCCTCAAGATCTCCAAAGATTCGTGCTGCCAGCTCCTCGTCCGTAAGCGTCGCCATCATCGCCGCCGGGGTGCCGGTCACGGTGCTACTCTTTCCATGCCCACCGTTCTCAGTCCCGAATTCAGCCGCACTTCCCCCTCCCATCGATGCCGCAGGCGACGGCTGAATCTGCAGCCGTTGGCGTTGCTGCCCAGCCCGAGCAACTCCGTTCTCTAGCGAAAACAAGACATCCCTCGGATCCCGCCCGCACACAGGGCACGCCTTGGTCGGCTCATGGTCGTACTGGTTAACGCCCTTGGGACAGGGGGCGCGCGTCCCCTTTGCCCCTCCGGCAGTTTGAGCGGGATGATGATGATGATGGTGGTGGTGGTGGTGTTGCTGAGGAAGAGCAGGAGAGAAGATTGGCGGGTTGGGTGAGAAGGTTGTCGTCATCGTCGTCGTCGTCGTCGTCGGAGACTTCAATGTGAGTGACTGGGGCGAGATGGCAGTTGCTGTGGTCGATGTCGACCCCAAGCCTCCGCAAGGATGCGACGCCGGTTGCCGTGATGCTAGTGGCTGGCTGGTTGTCATGTGGCTCCCTCTTAGGCATTGCTGCGGCTGTGTTGACGACGGTGCTGATAAGAATACCTCTGTGTGGAGACTTTCAGCTTTGTCGCAGAAGCGGGTGCGGATGGGTTTCATGTGGCCACAGGGCCAACAACCGATGAGGACGAAGCACATGTGGTGGCGGCGTTCTTGATTCTGAAAAACAAGAAGCTGATTGAAGGGCGATCTGTAAGTCACAGGTCGTTTGGTGCCAGTTGTCCGTAGCCTTTGCCTTCGGTGGTTTGCAGGCAACTTGTCGATGGAGTTGATGGCAACTAGATCAAAGTTTGAAAAACGAGTAAGCTACCTAGAAGTAGACGGCAGAAACAATAGTCGTGATAAGTGCAAAGAGGAGACTACGGTCAGAAGCAGACCGGTAGCTCAGTGCGTATGGGGTCTCTCAGTATGTTCCCAAAGGCTTGCCCGGCAATGTGATGGAGAGGTTTCATGAATAGGGAGCGCGATTGCTCGCTCATGACAGCATACAAGACCAAGCACGAAACCATCGTGGGGCTTTATATCGATTGCTTTCTTGGAGATCGGGAGTGGCGTGTTTGACAAGGGGCACGTTCGAAATTTTAGGTGGTTTGCTTGCATCCATGGCCCTGACAGTAGCAAACGGGAGGGCCCCGACGAGCAGCAAACGCAAGCGCACTTCTTCATTCTCGAGGGCGGATTTGAGGCTCGGAAAAGGGTGATGGTCACCACTAAAGCACTTCCACTTGCGCCACACGTGCTTCAAGTTAGGTATCCTAAGTACAGGGGAAAACGAGGTTTTGAGGAAAAGGTTGGGTGCCGGGCTGGGTCGCAAACGCGCAACGCTAGAAATACAAGGTTTTCCCGCGCCGCCAAACTAATAGGTAGGCAAGAACGTTCTAGATTGGTCATGCAGAAGAAAAGGAGACGAGGAAAGCAGAAAGGAAGAACTGGTTTACTTGCTCCCTGCTTTTTACACCCGCAGCAGCTTGGCCGCATAATCGACGATCAAAGGCTCCTGGGGGAATGCCAGCTCTTCCAGCTTCTGCGCGTAGGGAGTGGGGACCTCAGCACCAGTGATACGGACAGGAGGAGCCTGGAGGTAGTCGAAGCCGTACTCGCAGGCAAGAGCAAGGATCTCAGCACCGACGCCGAACGACGGGAAGTCGGAGGCAACCGACATCAGGTGGCCGGTCTTCTTGACCGACTTGATGATAGCCTCGACATCAAGGGGCTTGATGGAGCGGAGGTTGATGACCTCAGCCTCAACACCGTACTTCTGCTTGAGCTGCTCAGCAGCAGCCAGGGACTGGCCAACGCAGCGGGAGAGGGTGACGATGGTGAGGTCCTTGCCAGGACGCTCGATCTTAGCCTTGCCGAACTGTTCCCGCTGTTAGAAATCATGTCGAGCTTCTTGGATTGGGGTGCGTTCGTACCGGGAGGACGAAATCATCCTTCTGAGCTTCCTCGCTCATGGGGAAAGAAAGACCGTACAGAAGCCTGGCGAACTTTAGCCATTGACAAGCACCGCCAGAATATGGATAACCTACTCGTTCTCGAGAACGACGACCGGGTTGGGGTCACGGATGGCAGCCTTCAGCAGACCCTTGGCGTCCTCGGCGCTGTACGGCGCAACGACCTTAAGACCGGGGATGCTGCCGTACCAGGCGGAGTAGTCCTGCGAGTGCTGGGCGGCGACACCGGCGGCAAAGCCGTTGGGGCCACGGAAGGTGATGTTGCAGGGCTGGATACCACCGGACATGTAGTGGGTCTTCGCAGCGGAGTTGATGATCTGGTCGATGGCCTGCATGGCGAAGTTGAAGGTCATGAACTCGCAAATGGGGTGGAGGCCAGCGAGAGCGGCGCCGACGGTCAGACCACAGAAGCCGGACTCGGTGATAGGCGTGTCAATGACCCTCTTCTCGCCGAAGCGGTCGAGCAGGCCCTTGGTGACCTTGTAACTGTAGCGCAGCAGCATCTGTCAGCAATGCCATCCTGTCAATGGGCTCTGCACCGAATTCCGCGCCCCAGAAAGGCACGGAGCGCGGCCAATGCGTGTGCTCGAGCTTGTTCGGGGGCGCATCAGCGCTGGCGGACACTCACGCTCCGTTGTACTGCGCGACCTCCTCGCCCATGACGAAGACCTTCTCGTTCCTCTCCATCTCCTCGACCATAGCCTCGTTGAGAGCCTCACGGACGGTCATCTCCTTGGATCCGCTGGGGGTGGCATAGCTGCGCAGGGCCGGGAAAGCGGCCTGGGGGCGGAAGGCGGAGCGAACGGTGGTGGGCCGCGATGCCGCCAGCAGGCGGGAGGCGGGGCGGAATAGTCTTGCGGCGGACATCGCTGAGCAGGAGGAGGAAGAGGAAGGAGAGAGGGGACCGTGGAGCGATGAGGGCAGCTGGGTGGTGGTGGTCGAGGAAGAGGAATCAGCTCGAGTTGTTGGGTGCGCGGCGAAGATTTCCGCGATGCAACATCTCAACCCGGCAGGCCGGCTCTCCGACCACGCGCGCCCACTGCCGCGTTGAGCCGCCCCGCCAACACTATCGCTGCCCACCGCGCCATTGCAGTCTGCTGCAACGCGGCTCGCTGCTCGGCAGCCAGTCAGCCTATTTGCCAGCCGTGCCCGCAGCGCTGCCGCGCCGTCTGCTGCTTTTCGCGCGCTGCGGCGTGGCCGAGCGCGGTTCCGACGCGCTCCCGCCATTTTCGGAGCTGTTGAGGCGATTCCGATATCTTACTCAGGCCCGCACTGATTGCACGCATGGCTCCACGAAGCAAACAAACACACTGGCAAGCGTAACTGACGTTCATTTATTAGAGGCTGCGGTGCAACTATATAAGGCCCAGCCCAGGCCGTAACAGAAAAATTCCATCTACGCGTACAGTAGCATCTAGAAGCGAAATGCGGCCATGCAAATGCAGGGACTGGTACAAAGACGAGATCCACTCATTCCCTTATGCCTGGGGCTTGCGGCCGACCATCAAGTACATGGGCGTGAAAAGCTTCTCCTGACCGCCAGCAACAAGCGAGTCGCCGGCGACCGCCAGGCTGTCCGCAGTCTTCTGCGTGCCCTTGGGCGCCAGACCGAGCCACTCCAGGCCACCGCAGAACTTGTGTGCCATGGTGCGGCCGATCTTGTGCATTCTGAAAATGGTGACAAACTCCCAGATGGAGCTCATCTGCTTGAAGTCACCGGTGAGCGGCCAGTACCACGGCCGCGGGTCGTCGCGGTCAGCGAGATCCTCATGGAGCTCCAGCTCGAAGCCGGCCTTCTTCATGGCCTCGAGGGCGACCTCAATCTTCTCCATGTTGGAAATACCGTCGCCAAGCTCGATGCCCAGACGGATCTCGCGGTGGTGGGGGTTGTCGTTGTCGTACTTGTCGGTCATGAGCCACTCGTACACGCCAAAGACACCGCCGGGCTTCAGGACGCGGAAAATCTCCGAGTAGATGCCCTCGAGCGAAGGAGCGTGGACGGTGGCTTCAATGGCGTAGACAGCGTCGAAAGTGTTGTCGGCGAACGACATTTGCTGGGAAGGAATTTAGCGCATGCTGCTAGACGTGCTGGCTGCAGCCACATACCATGAAGTCACCCTTGACAAACTTCAGCTTGTCCGCAAGGCCCTCCTTCTGCGCGTACCAGGTGGCACGATCAATCTGGTAGTCGTTGTTGTTGAGACCAGTGATGTTGGCACCAGAGAACTTGCAGATCTCGCGGGCCGGGCCACCAACACCGCAACCAACATCAAGAACATTCATGTTGTCCCTCAGGCCCATGACGTGAGCGAGGTAGTGCTCGTGACGGGCAAGAGCCTGCTTGAAGGGCTCGCCGTAGGCGAAGCGGCAGAAATGGAATGATTGAGCCCAGCCCATCTCGTAGAAGTCGGTAGCAAGGTTGTAGTAGCTTCATGCGATCAGCAGATGTTCCGGTAACGTGAGAGTTGGATGATGACTTACTGCCTGGTGAGCGTCGCATACTCTTTCCTGCGCGCCTCGCGAACCTCGGCAGTCTCGTCGCCAGCGGCCTTGTTGTCCCAGTGCTTGAAGTACTCATCCACGGCAGCCTCGTTGGCAGCATTGGACTTCTTGTTCATCATGGCCCAGGTACCGCCACGCACTTGGCCAGAAGTGCCGTGAAGGGCATCCTTGTACGCGGCGTCGCGCTGCTTGTCTTCCTTCTCGAGAGCCATTGGGGACATGGTGAAGGAGAGTTGGCCGGACGGGACCTGACTTTTATAAGTGGCTGGGACGGGTAGGTGAGTGACAGGTTCCGAGCGGACGGAAGAGCAAGTTGCGAGAAAGGCGGCGCAGAAGAGAGCGTGGAGAGGTAGAGGGAGATAAATCAGCTGTTTTAGGGGTCTGGGCGGCTCACCGCCGGCGCGCGACTGGAGAAATGAGCTGGCGTTCCTGGCAGCACGGGCCGGTGGGCAGACAGAAGCCGAAGATCAAGGGGGCTACCTGATTGCTCGTCCGGGCAGGCGGTAGGTTCTGTTTGTACCAATCAGCAGTACACCCTTGGGACGAGTGTCCGGTTTGAAGTGCGCTGCATTCAACAAATGTGGGAGGTTTTTCTGCTGCAAGAATCTTGATTGGTTGGGTCTCACAAATTGTTCCTGCACGTCTACGGTGTGAACATCAACCAGGTGCAAACGAAGGTAGATGCTCCGATCGCTTCGTAGTAGAACCATTGGCCCCGGATATTGGGGTTCATTAGTGAGATGACCATTTTTGAGTTGACGATCGAGGCTGCCAGAACCGTCGGCGCGTGGGCGTAGCGTGTAAGCACGTGAGCGTTACAGCCATTACTAAGCCACCCCCGACCGCCACAGCTCGGATGGCGAAAGAGCCGCGCGCCATCGCTCCCGACCAACTTTTGAGGTCATATCAACAACCAACATCCGCCATCCGAGCACGCCCACCTTCCTACCACCGACGATTCGCAACAGCACCAACCGCGCGCCATGCCGCCTCAAATCAAGCACGATCTCAACCGGTCTGGCTGGGAAAGCACCGACTTCCCTTCTGTGTGCGAACGATGCCTCCCGGACAACCCATACGTGCAGATGCTGAAGGAGGACTATGGTGCCGAGTGCAAGGTCTGCACGAGGCCGTTTACCGTCTTCAAGTGGAAGGCCGATCGCACGTCGAGACAGAAGCGCACCAACATCTGCCTTACCTGCGCGCGCCTGAAGAACTGCTGCCAGTGCTGCATGCTCGACCTGTCCTTCGGTCTGCCCATCGTTGTCCGCGACGCAGCGCTTAAGATGGTCGCTCCCGGCCCCCAGAGCAATATCAACCGCGAATACTATGCGCAGAACCACGAGAAGGAGATCGAGGAGGGCAGAGGCGCGATAGAGGAGTACGAGAAAACGGACGAGAAGGCAAGGGACTTACTACGGCGCCTAGCACAGAGCGAACCGTATTACAAGAAGCAACGCAGGCTGGAGCTGGAGGCAGACGAGGCGAACAAGGGTGGACAAAAAGCGCTGCCTGCGCCAGAGGGAAGTGAGGGTCAACTCCAACTCGACAAGGCGGGGCCCATCCGGACGAAGGACACCAGGCCTGGGGCGTCAGGCGTGCGGGGTCCTTTGAGTCGCACCGGTCGTGGGGCACGAGGCTTCCCGAGCGCTGCGCAGCTGGCACCGCGTCCCGAAGATATCCTCCCTCCGGCAGACAAGAAGATCACTTCGCTATTTGTGACCGGCATCGAGGACGACCTCCCCGAGCACGAGATCCGTACTCACTTCACCAAGTTTGGCCAGCTCCGGTCGCTTGTTTGTTCGCATAGGTCGCACTGCGCATTTGTGAACTACGTCAACAGAAATTCGGCGGAGAAGGCCGCTGAAGCATGCCAGGGAAGAGCTGTTGTCAAGGGTGTGCCACTGCGGGTTCAGTGGGGGAAGCCAAAGCCTCTTGATACTATGGAACGGGAAGAGCGCATGGCCCACGCGAGGTCAGGGAGACAGACGAAGAATGCTGTTGCAGCGGCGTCAGGTGGTCAGGGGTCAAGCGCCGCTGGTCCGTCTTCTGCTGGCGGAGCTCCGGAGGACCTCGACAGCCTCGCAGCCATCGCACCGCCGCCGGGCTCGGAGGAGGTAAATTACGCAAGCTTGGCGGGAAATTGAATTGCAATGGAGCGAGTCAAGGTGTTTGTATCATTCCGAGGCGTGGTTGGGTCATGGATGACCGGTTACCGTCACTACAACCGACTGCTTTGAGCAGACATGCATTCATAAGGCGTTCGTGGGGTTGTATGGTCAAAGCCGGATTTCAACTTGGGAGAAAAGCAACTGGGTATCACTTTTATGTTGCATGAAATGGATAATATCAAGCTGAACAGCATTTCACGCCTGACAGAGTATTGTTGCCCTTATTCTGCTTGATGGACTCATTGTCACCGCGTTCCGTGTGCTCGTGTATCCTCAGCTCTGTGTCGTATTAGAATCCTGGCTTCGATTCCGAGTTTGCTGCACGTACTGTATCTGCCGTTGTCGTTGGCTTGTCCTTGAACGACGTTCTCTCTCAAGAATTTAGCAACGTCGTTTGCGTGGGTCACTGCCTTCTTCGCGTCTTCACTGTCGGGATCGAGGCTGCGCTGGGCGTCAAAGTCGTCTCTCGCCTTCATCCTAGCGGCAGACAAAACAGAGGCATCGCCTGCGGCAGTAAAGTTAGAAAGAAGCCAAATCTTCGCCGGGAGGATATAGTACCTTGGAATGCCAGCCGGGTGGCGCGAAGGATGCTTCTATAGGCAGCGAGAGCCATTTGGAGCGATGTTCGGGCGTTCCGGTGAGAGAGCGGGCGTGCGCTGGCTGTTCCGGAGCTTCGAATGCGGCGAAAGAGCGGAGCGGATTCAGAGACACCAGCGAGGGTCAGGGCGTTCAAATTGTGCTTACATAAGGGGGCAATCGGCTTGGCACGGGAGATTAGCCGGGCATCCCTGCTGGTCCGGGATTGACGTAGGACAGGCTGGAAGAAGCCACGCGCCGTGCAGCTGCCGCCTCCAAACAATGCTCAACATCGAGCTCCCCCGCCCCATCTAGCTTTGCATCCTTGACAAACGCTCTTTTCTCGGCACTATGGTGTCTCTCTGGCCATGGCGGGTAAGCATCCCCCCTCGGCCGCTTTCGAGCGCAGATAGGAGCTGATCCGTGAAGCCAGGATGACAATTCCGCCGCAGGCTTTGAGAAGACGCTCTCAGCTCTGTCCACCAAGATCACGAAGGCCAGCGCCCGCGGCGACCGCCTGCGCCAAAGCTCCCGCAAGATCAAGGTCATGTGGACCTTGTACACAACATTCGCATACATTCTCGCCGCCCTCATCCTGACCCTGATCACCGGCTGGCGAAATTGGGGACCAGTCGAGTACACCGGCATGGCAGGAGGTCCGCTTGTGTGCGCATCCTCTCTCACAACCGCGTGGCCATCCGCTAATGTCTAGCATAGCATTTATGGTGTTCGCCAGGGATTGACAGCCTACTTCAGCTACCGCATCAACAACACCCAGGCCTACCTCGACAACCTCTACAAGGAGCGCGACGCCACGATCGAGAAGCTCAAAGAGGCTACCAAGTACAACTCTACACAACAGTTGCTGGAAAAGTACGGCACGCCGAAGCCCTCGCCGAAGAAGGAGCCTTCCACGCCAGACCAGCGCCGCCCGTCAGGGGACAGCAGACCTTCCTCGGCCGCTGGCGTCAACGCCGGCCGGACTGGCTTCGTGCCTCCACCCACTGCCAATATTCCTCGCAACCACGTGCCACCCCAGCCTGAAGGCGGATCGTCGCGCCCTGTCACGCCCGGCGAAGGCCAGCCTTTCCCGCCGCCATTCCCCGCGGGTCAACAGCAGCCACCCTTCGTACCGGGCCCGCACGCCGGAGGCCCTATCGCAGGCGTCGCCGATGCTGAATTCGCTCCGAACGCTTTCCCTGCGCAGTATGCTCCCGAGAGTCCGCGAGGACCGCAATGGTACGATCGCATTCTGGATGTGCTTCTGGGCGAGGACGAGACGCAGCCGAAGAACCGCTTCGTGCTCATTTGCGCGCACTGCCGTCTCGTCAACGGCCAGGCTCCTCCGGGCACAAAGTCGCTGGAAGACTTGGGCAAGTGGAAGTGCATGGGCTGCGGCGGCTGGAACGGCCAGGAGAACGAGGCGCAAAAGCTCGTCGCGCAAATCCAGCAGCAGGAAAAGCGCGCAGGATCCAACAAGAAGACAAATGGCGATGACGCTCACCCGGGAAAACCAATCTGGAAAGTCACAGACGCATCACCGGAAAACAGCGCGGACGAGTCAGCAGGCGAAGACGGGCCGCCGGCCAGGGTGACCAGGAGCAGGGCCAAGGGCAATAAACATTAGGACGGGGGCCGATCTGTTGTTCTCTCTTCTCTGAACAAACTAGGTAAAATCGCATTGGGCACCCAACGGTGTTCTTCGGTTGTCTCTTCTCATTCTTTCACTTCTGAGTCTTGTCTTGATAGCATGTTTCCCGTTCTGCATGCAGGTAAGGCGTTCTGATTACACAGGTGCATTCAGTAGTCTTTCCGTAGTAGCAGAAATACCCTCTTGTCTTCCCTTTTACACCCTCTTTTATGGCTTGCTCCTATTGTTTTTGCCTTTCAATCATTCGCCCATGCCTCTGGCTGTAACAACATGGCAGATGTAAGTCCCCTCTCTTCCCGTTTAGCAAGAACTAATACACTGATCTTTGCACATAGAGCAGTCAATCATGGGTAGCTGAAGCCATTGTTCGCTTGTGTGTCTGTTTGCGCCCGGACAATAGCTTCAGTCCCCCAAAAGCTTTCATGAATTTTAATCAGTCTCATACATTGCATTTCATTCATTTGGCTTTACTATGTTTGAGCACCTTTAAGCTGCCTCGTCATGTCCCAGCTGAGCAAGTGCTCGTCTACGCTGATCGTCGCCCGTACTTTTCCAATTCGCCCGTGGGAATATCCTACAAGGTCTTCACCTTCACTTGCTGAACGCCAAATTACCCCATCGCCCTCCCTTATGTGACCCCTTAACGCCATGTGGTGGATCCGAACTCGAATCCTGAATCCCATGCATTATGCCGCCCGACAACCGTGCAAGGAAAAGAAAGAAAATAGAAAAAAAAAGAGCCTGGAAAAGAAGAAGCAGTATTCGAAGAAGCAGTTCGGTGGGTCTGCATGTCAACCAACTAGTTGTTCTGCTCATCACCGTTGCTGTCGACGCGGCGACGGTGCGGAAGCTCGTCCGGCCTTTCGGAGATCATGGCGATGTTCATGGTGCTGGGCGAAGGCGGACGTTGAAAAGCCGGGGAACGGGCGGGAGGGCGAGCGGAGATGCCTGGGAGGGCGGAGATGCCAGGACGGCGGCGGTGGCGGGTGTCGTGAAGCGGGCGACGAGTGTGGGGTCCAACTTCGGTAACGGCCCAGTGAGGGCGGCCAGCCTCCTCCTGAGTGATGACGTCGAAGTCATCGTCGAGTCCCACAGGCTCTGCCTCGTCGTCTCCGTCGAGGTCAATATCCTCGAAGGTGTTGTTGAACTTGGCAGAATCGGCCGAGTAGGGGGAGGTTTCCCCGTTGTTCTGAGGAGGAGGGCTGGTGGCCTTCTGCTTGAAGCTGTTGGTGGCGTCGGTACCAGCATCCTCAGAAGCTTCGACGAAGTCATCATCCTCGGAGTCTCCCAATTCGTCCAGATACTCGGACGCTGTGGACGCCTGAGATGCATCATCTTCATCTCCTTGGTGGTTCCCAACCAATCGCTTCCTGGCGCCCCGAACACGCAGCTCTCTCACAACATCAGTCACCAGGTCACGGGTGTTCGTCGTCATGACAGCCGCGCCAACCTGAGCGCCCACGAGCGCCACCTCTGCGCTCGTCTTGGCCATGGTAACCGCCGTTTCACCAACTTGCCTGATAGCATCCCAGCGCTGCTGACGCTGCGCGCTCTCTTCCTCGTGTTGCTGGCGGCGAGCTTCATAAGTCGGGTCGGTATCGACCTCGATTGGTTCATGGACGCAGATGTAAACATTGCCGTCCCGGGACGAGGACTTCGGATCGGGGTTGCCGTCAGAGGGGGGCGCCGAGATACCAAGAACTTCCGCAGACACGATGGTACTGACATTATCATCGCTCTCGCTTAGTGGATGGTCGACGGATTCGAACGGCTCGAGGACAGTGGCGTAGCTGCGGCCAGACAACCGACGAGGGCGGCGTCCATCACCAGCAAAGTACGGAAGAGAAGGAAGCGAAGGTATCGATGGCAGTCCAGAAGGCATGGAGGGGAGGCTGCTGAGAGCACGCGACAGCATGCCCTCGCCGGAGCGTCTGCCTGACACGTAGTAGGGGAGATACTTGGGAGCCTCCTTCCTAGCCTGTCCAGCAGGCGTCGCGAGGTTGTGGCGGTGGAGGTCGGGGTTGATGGTCGCATGGCCCTCTTGGAGACTGACCGGGATCCGCGGCATCACGGCGTAGAGTCCTTGGAAGAAGCGGTCGGTTCGCGAAGGGGGGACGGCTTCCTTGTTCGCTTTGTGGAATTGGACAGTGGACGGATTGGTGTGGTTTGGCTCCGCACTGTCATTCACGGTAGGGGTGTCAACATCGGCGGGTGACGACGAAGGCTCATCGTCTTCGAGATCACGTTGGCTGGACCTCTCGCTCACCGTGGGGTGATTTTCCGGAGGCGTCATCTTGGCTGTGAGGTTGTCGTTGGTCGAGGGGTGGCTTCGACGGTAAAGCGGGCGATGAGAGCTATGAATCGCTCGCGTTGGTGGAGAGAGAGCTGGGCCGTTCTGCGAGAGCGTGGCGCAGGCGATGTCTTGTTAAAGAGGGTTGGGTGTGGGTGCGGTCAAATGTCCAAGATGGACGAGATGCACCCTATTGGGTCGGCGCGCGCAGGCTGTGCCGGAAAGAGTTGGATAAGAGGCACCGCATGAAACGAAAAGGGCAAAAAGAAGGGCGTCAGGGAAGCCAATCGCTGCGCTGATCCTTCTTCTCAGACCTGCTCTATAGGACTTCTGCACGGCCCGAACCACGCGCTTCTGCACCGAGTATGACGGTGTAAGTTGCTTTCCAAGGTTCACCTTATCGTTCAGAAGAGAGTGCCCGGTGTCTGCCTGGCGCTGTGGTGCGGGTGACCGGCCGTCTTTTGGTATTGCACTCGGATCAGCGACGGTTCCATATGGCCAACGCAGCAGCACGGCCGCAGCGAATGAGCAAACTAGTCGGGCTCGAGAGTTTCCAGAAGAAAGGCGCGGGTCCTAGTCTCTTTACCATCTGGCGACGACACGAAGGAAAGGCGGAATTGTCCACGCAACTCCAGCGCCGTTTAAGCAACATGTGTCGCCACAAAAAAGCGAAGGTAGGAAGGACCCTGGATCCCACGCCCGAGAGATCCTTGGGTCGTTGTTTAGCATTGAGCCGGACCCTTGGAAAGGTGAGGTGTGTCAACCGAAGGGCGATGGTAACTGCGGTAACTACCCACCGTGCGCCCCATCGACATACGTATCCAGTGTCTCGATCTGTGCTGCCCCGCAGCCTCACGGCACGCGGGTCGGGGGGCGCGGGATGTGGGATGCGTCGTTGCTGCCTGGGCGCGGCACTGCACGCGCAGACCACCCTTTCGAAGTCAACAACTGACACTTTATCTTAGGCAGCAATCAACGGCAGAAATATGTCTCCAAGCAGATGGAGCTGTGCGAAGGCAATGGCGGGTGCTGCGAGCACCTGGCGGAGAAGGGCGGGGAAGTGTTTATTGCTGCCTTGGTGCCTCAGAAGGCTGTCGGGTATCACGCATAAAACCAACCTACATGTTCGCAGGGGGTAGTAGTGGCCGCCAAAGGCCTAGCAATTTTTCAAGCAGATCTTCGACGCGCAAAATTTGAGTCACTATCTTGCGCCATGCATACACAGGCACCAGCGTGCACAATTCTACGGGCAACGAAGGCCATTGCGACGATTCACACAACTCTGAAAATTTCATGACACTTTTTCATTTCGTTAACTACTATGCTATTTAGGAGACCCACCCGATTGTCTCCTATCCCGAGCAATGTATCGTCTCTCGAACTTCAAGTAGTAGTACTAGTACAAAGGAGCCACTCCATGAATGCCCATTAGGTCAAATTTCCGCTCCCAGTTCGATATCCGTCGTAAAGCTCGTATCCCATAAAGCCGTATGTGAATTATGCTGACCTGAGAGCCTCCTCAGTCACCGGTCTTTGCTTCACAATACTCTTGCAGCGTGCCTTCGCCACCGAGTGTAAATGATATTTACAACTCCTCCTTGACCTTGTCCGTAGCCTGCTGTGCGGCTTCGGAAGCTTTGTGCTTGGCGGCCGAAGCGCTCTCGTTGGCGGCATCTGTGGCCGCAGAAGCGGCACTGCTGGCACTGGAGGAAGCGGCCGCAGCAGCGCTAGAGGCACTGGCAGACGCGTCCGAAGCAGCGAGACCAAGCTTCTGCTTAATCCAGTCGAGGTAGTAACCTGCAGCGCCGTAGGCTTGCTCCGCTTTCAGGGAAGCATCATCGGTGGCCTTGGCATACTGGTTACCAGCCTTGGAGGTAGCCGCGCCATATGCGCTGGTGACTGAGTGCTCAGCAGTGTCACCGGTGAGCTTTGCGCGATGCTTGCGGGCGAGGGCAATCAGCTCGTTGCGCTTGGACCCCTGCGGGACCTTGACGCCATTCTTGTCGAGCCATTCCTTAATCTGGCTGTCAGACCAGGCGTCGAGAAGGGCATCGGTGAGGGTAGCCTGAGCAGCAGCGGCAGAAGCAGATGCCGAGGACTGGGCAGACCTTATGGCGTCAGCGGCAAGGCGCGAGTTGCGACGGACCGTGGCGACGAGCTTGTCGCGGGTGCTGGGCTGGGGAGCCGGGTAGCCGCGCTCGTCAAGCCAGGCCTTGAGGTCCGACTCAGACCACGTCTCATAGAGCCAGTTGCCGGGGTAAGCTGCCGTCTCGCCAACCTTGTTGGCAGCAGTCTGGTAGTTCTCGCGTGCAGTCTTGAGGAGCGTGTCACGAGTGCGAGGCTGGGGGCTAGGGATGCCATGGCGATCAAGGAAAGCCTTGAGCTGAGAGTCGGTCCAACTGCGACCGAGTTAGAACGGCAGCAAGGCATACCAGGAGAGCAGCCAGACTTACGTATCGAAGATCCAGTCCTTGACGTTGTTGTAGGCACTCGTCGCCTGATCCTCGGTTTCGTACCAGTACGCCTTCACGGACGCAACCAGGCTGTCCTTGTCCTGCTCGGCACCCTTCTTGGCCTCGTGGCCCTTGGAGGTCAGGTAGGACTGGAGTTGCTGCGTGTCCCAGCTGTTGTAGGGCTGGGCGACCTTGGCGTTCCAGTTGTCCTTGACAAGGTTCTCCAAATCCTTGCGATCGGCGGGGGTGGGATAGGGGATGTCGTGATCCGAGAGCCAGCGCTCGAGCTCGGTCTCATGCCACTTGTTGTAGGCTGCGGGCAAGAAGTCAGAGGTGTTCTCGAGACGGAGCAGCTGTCATGACGTACCTGCCTTGCCAAACCAAGTGCTGGCGACGGCGGATTCAGCGGCCAGAGCCACCACGAGGCCGGACACGATATTGAACCTCATGTTGCGTGAAGGCGGTGGGTAGAGCGGTGGGTGGGTGGAGCGATAGGGTGCAGGGCGGACGTGGAGGAAGAGAGGTTTTGTTGTTGTCAGGGCGGGCAGAGGAACTTAAGCTTCCTTTGTGGCAGCTGGAGCTCTAGCCCACTGACGCAATCCTTACTTAGCTGCTGCTTGCACCAGCACGGACGCGCCCGGGCAATCGACGATCAATGCGCCACATGGGGAAGCCGCCTGCCCCAGATTTTCTGACACACAAAGCAAGCTTCACGCCCAGGATGCTGACATCACCACGTCACCACCGCCCTCGTGCTCGCCAGCCACAATCGCGTGCATGGCGAGTCCAGAGTCCAGAGCCTTGCCTGGCCCGTGTGTGCGCAGTCTCAGGGAATGATTTGCAATTGGTCATGATTCATGCAGTGCGGAGAGGTATCGCAGAGAAATAGAGTACAGGACGCCGTCATAATCCACCCCCGAGCCGTGCAACATTCCCCGTGAGACGACCATCGTCATATCTACTCCATAGATCGAGCTAGCTCGCTGAGAAGCGCGCACGGTCGTAAGTGGCTTCACGAATGGCCACAACGAGCTCTAACCGCCCTTAGTTCCGCCGTGGCCTGTATAAGCAATGTCATTAGTACCCGTCGTTCGAGCTCGGCCACAGGCGCACTCACCAGACCAGAATCCAGGCGGCACCTTGTCCTTCTCCGCATCTTCGTTGCTGACCTTAGTCTCCGCCCTCTCGGCACGCTGCTCCATTTCCTTGTTGTGCTGCTTCACCTCGGGCGCTTCTTCCGAAGGTGGGTTCTCATTGAGGATCTTGGGCTCCGCACCTTTGACTGCATGACTGTTCTGCGGCTTCTTCCCACCGCCGCCGCTGTTCGTATCTTTGCTGCCCGTCTTCGACGCCGTGGCGTCGGTGCCCTTGCCGACGTCCGGTGGAGGAGGACCCGGATGTTCAAGATCCCTTGACTTTGCGGGCGGCTGCTTCTGAGGATTCTCGCCAACCGGGTCGCCTTTGCCGTCGCCATAGCCAGAGTGCGCATAGAACCGTGTGGCGAAGGGCAGCGTGGGTCTGGAAGAAGCTACCGCCGGCCGTAACATGGCGGCCGAACGAAGCAACGAAGCGGGTCTGAGGAGCGTCATGGTTTCAACAGAAGCTGCGAGTAGATGGAGGATTGAAGAGGATTTGGGAGCTGAAGAGGCTTTGTAGCAGCGGAGTCGCGCTAGTGTAGCTTCTTCATACGAAAAGGAATGACGAGTGGTATCAAACATTCGGTGACGTCACGTCGACATTATCCGCGCCGCACCTCACGCTGTCTCTCTATGTAAGCAAGCAAAATGCAAATGAAATCGAGAACAGAAGCCCATTGCCCACAAAATTATACAGAGGGGCATTGCGGCCGAATTCTAGCTCAAGAAGATAAAAGAACAACACGTGGGTAGCGGAAGCTATCATCTGGACGTGAATGTATAATTACTAATTCTACATCCATGTCCGGACAGTCGCTTCGGCTACCCATGGCCAATTGAAAGGTCTTCCCCAAACTAGTTGACCTGAGCGAAAGCAAATCCATGCTGGCCCTCGGCGAGTCAACCCATTCACCTTCCAGAACCAACTCGACCCCCAGTGGGGGAGTCAAAGTCCAATCAGGTGAACGAGAACTCAAGCCGATAACCCAAATGAACTCCAGAAATCATCCAACCCCCGGACAAACCCGTAATTCCAATCCATAATGATACAAGCCAAGACCAAAGAAAAAGCCACCTTAAACGCCAGAAGGGTATCGTGTGTCGTGAAATCATTGTATCGTTCGTCGTGTAATCGTGGTATCGTTTCTTATACAATCGTGGTATCGCTTTTTGTGCAATCGTGGTATCGTGCTCCTTAACGCCTTGCTCAAAAACCTTGGACAGTCTTCGTTGCTTCGTAAAACACATTCGCTTTGAACAGTGGAATAAGCCAGCTGAATGGGGGGATCCATGAAATCAGAGTAAGAAGCGCAAATGGGTATCGTGGTGAATCAGGGAAAACGCCGTAACCATGCATTGTTGAGGCATAATCGGTGGTGCCAAAGAACTCGGAGATTGCAATCTCCGTCGTGTACCAAAGGGAAAGAATCATGAAGATGAGACCGAACCAGGTGAAGTTTGTTCGTCCGTGGCTGTTGTCGGAGGAGATCAAGAGCCTCTTGATGCCGGTGCAAATCATTACAATGGGGTGTTGTTCGACGTGACCGCAGGTTTCGCACGCCTTGCATTTGTGTCCCATGAGCTCGGCTGTATCGACCGAATCGACAAGCTGTCTTGCGTTGCGATAAGCATCTCGGATGCTTCTGCTTGCGGCGTGCAGTCGCGAATTCATCGACCGCAGTTGGAGAGCCTCTTGCTCTCTGGCCTCCTCTGCTCGTCCAGAATTTGTAGGCTGGTTTGGGACATTATCGGTAGATGAACCGTGTTTATCATCGGTAGATGAACCGCGTTTATCATCGGTAGATGAACCGTGCTTATCATCGGTAGATGGGCCATGCTTATCATCGGTAGACGGACCATGCTTCGTGGCTTTCTTTGGACAACGCTTGACGGGATCCCAATCCTCGTCATAGATAATTGGAGATGATGTCTTGGCCAACTTTCGACTCAGTGCTCGAAGAAGGTCACGCGTCTCGTCTGGAGGGTCCGCGTTTGGGTCTTTTCCCTCTGCGGGTGGTGCGATTTCGATTGGTGGAAGAGTTGGTGTGAGAGGTAGATTTTGAGATTCCTCGGATACGGATGACTGTTCAGGTGTCTGTGGCTCCTCAATGTCATGCTTTGTGACAAGTGGAGTTGAAGCCAGGATTGAGTCCGGGTTGTTGGTTAACTTCCAATCGAAATCTGTTTTCAATGGTGTCTCAGGCTGAGGAGAAAGGGGTCTGATCTGTTCTTGAGGGACCACATGGGCAGTCTCCGGGTCCCAGTCCGGATCACGGTATGCGTTCCACCACTTGATAGAGTGGGGAGTGGGTAGTGCATGCCTGAAGGCCTTGTTTTGGATGGGCGGCACGTGATATTTGGGGTCGTCGGAGTCATCTGACTCCTCTTGTTGCCAGTAAGCCATTTCCGCTAGTGGGTCTCGTCGACCCATGAGCTTGTTGAACCTGCGGCGCTCTTCTTCAATGTCACGTGGGCCGTGAATGTCGTATGGCTTGTAGTCGACTGGCTTGTAGTTGAGTGGCTTGTAGCTGACTGGCTCATCGTAGTTGACGGGCTCGTCGTAGTTGACTGGCTCATTGTAGTTGACTGGCTCATTGTAGTTGAATGGCACATTGTAGTTGAATGGCTCATTGTAGTTGACTGGCTGGTCGTGGTTGACTGGCTGGTCGTAACTGGTCGGCATCTCGGGGCTGCTGCCTGACGCGTCCGAATGAAACGCGTTCTGTGACGCGTCTGCAGCGCGTCTGCGACGTATCTCGGCTGCAGCACGACGGACGTGGATTCTCTCAATGGTTTCCCGGTGTTTCTCGCGCTGGTTGATGCGGATCCTCTCAGCGAGCTCCCGGAGCTCTCGCAGGCGAGTTGAGTTCATTGTCGATGCCGATGGTTGAAGAAGCAATCGAAAGTGGCTGTGAATCAAAGCGTTGATGAAAGGGCTTGGCTGCGATGAGAACTTTGATGGTTCGTGGATGCAGATGGTGAAGAGAAGAAGAGGTGCACGAGCAGTGAGACGCGTCTTAAACCTCGGCGCGTCGCGGTCTAGCCGCATCGGAGGCGGCCCGGGCGCCGGAGGGGCAACGATGACGTGCAGATGCAGCGGGCCGAGCCATGGCGGTCGCTCAGCTCCCCTGCGCGTGCTGTGGGTAGCCATGTTGTGTGAAGATGCGTGGCGATGGTGTTGAGGTGAGGTGTGCAGGTGTCGGTCGATGCCATTAAATGCAGCCACGAGCACCGTCGTCCTTGGCCTGCAATGCGGAAAGAGCCACGCCCTCCTGCTTCCTTTACCTCCCCGCGAAGTAGCTGCGCATGGTCGCTCAAGCGCTTGTCGTTGTCGCTGTCGATCTTCTGCTCTGGTTCTGCATTGCAAGTTTTCGCCGCGCGCATCTGCTCTCTTCTCTTGCGCGGCTGTTGACACTTTTGGAGAGGAGAGGGAGAGAGGACGTTTCTTCGTAACTTTATAGCCTGAACGTCGCGCCACGCTATTCTGCCTTAGAAAAACAACATTTGTATCTTCCAAACGAGAATGTGGAATTAAACTACCCATGGCATGAGCAAAAAATGAATCCACGTAGGTGCCCAAAGAAATGATCCTCTACAATTATCTTCGGAAACAAGAGCACCGGCTTACGTAGGGAGCTCACATGCTGATAGAAATTAGTTACGATAGCTCATATTTTTCAGCACCCACTGTGAGCTGGGGCATACCCCTCTGTAAGATCGCGCTGCATAATTACCACGTCGATTCGCCTCATATCACAACAAAAACGGGGAGTTGGATCTCTTGTCTGGATGCATTTATTCACATTCACATCCTGCATGCATGTTCGGATGAACGCTTCAATGTACCCCCTCTGTTGCAATACCAACGGAACTGATCACCACGTACAGAGGGATATCGCAGCGTATCGGCTTACCATGCTTGTCGAAGCCAAATAATCCGAGTAAGCCATCCTCACAACAGTCAAAAGAACAATCAAAGACACGGGCGCGCCATCCGCATAGCTATCATCGGAAATCATACTGCTAGCTCGCTCAATCGCGGGCTCTCAAATACTCCTTGACCACCTCTCCCCACACGACCTGTCTCTTGTAAAATGCCATACGCGGCACACTTCCCTTACTCAACCCCTCCACAGCCTGTGCCAACTCCTCTCCGCTACCCTCCTCCTTGACGTCCTGCAACGGATACTGGTACGTTTTGAAAGCGAACACCAAAGTATCATCATTATCCCGTAGCCGATGTAGCGTCTGCCTCTCGCACCTGAGCACGCACTGGTCGATATCGACTTCCTCTTTCGTCAACGGTTTCACCTCCTCCCCATCGTAAAGATGATTCCCACCAAGCGAAAAGAGCTTTCTATTCATTGTCACGCTCCAATTGTGCCTCTTCACGATCTTACCGACGGGTAGCGCCGCGAAGAAGCGGTCCATGCTTCTCTCTAGCTTTTGCGCATAACCAGGAACAGGCGTGTGGATATCGGCAAGCCGGAGGCCTAGCTTGGCTAGCGTGTCAAAGCCCGACGGAGAGCAATTGGCGAAGCCTTCCAGGCGGTACCTACCCTCATCCTTCGGGTCGGGCGATGGACGGAGGAACAGGAATTCGGTGTCGACGTGGGAACCAAGGGTGCGGAGCGCGTCCGTGACGCTAGTGGGAGGCTGCAGCGGGATGGCTTCGCCGGTGGCAAGATTGTGGAGGTAGGCGTGGCCTGTTTCTGGCTGCAGTGCGTGCGAGTAGATAGTGGGGAAGCGCCGGGGGAGGTACACGCCCGTCATCCACTTGTAGAACTCGTCGACGGCGGGTTTGACGGTAGAGATGGCGGCGACGACGTGAGCGCCGTGGTCAGCGATGAGCTGCCGCCGGAGAGTGAGGCGGTCGAGATAGGTATTGTCCATTTCGATGAGTTCAGAGATAGTAGTGTTTTCGAGTGCTGACTGAAGGTTAGTCCTTCATTTCAGACAGCAGACGTAACGGATGCCGCTGACCCATTGTCAAGTGGTATTTGGGCTTAAATGGCCGGATTTTTATGGGCTTTGTCTCCCGCCAATCGAAGTCTCTAAGGGGAGTGATCGCATAGTATGCTTCCTTGTCCGGCTGCTCCTTTGGCTTGTCATCTTTGGGAATGGTGGCTAGCACGGCTTTCTGGTAGGATATCAGCATTGTTGTGTAGTTTAGGCGGTTTGTTGGACTGTGTACCCTCGTTTTTGAGGTACCCAAAGAGAGGACTCGGTAACTCAGGATAATGGCCACAAGCACCAGGCTTGCGAGCAGGGGGGTTCTCGAAACGTCAATGAATAACATTGTCACGCAGCTCCTACAGCCGAAAGGATACTGTGGAAAAGGCTTCCAATGCGTGAGAAAGCAGGAGAGTAGAGGTTAGCGCAGCGTCCATTGCTGCGGTGATGCTCGATAAGCCTCAAGCGATCGGCTGGTCCATCTGATGCCGACTGTTTCGATGAGTGCGGAGTCACCACCCGGCCCGGATCCAGTTGCCCTTTGAGGCTAGCTGCAGCTGCCGGGGGCCGAAGCTCGAGAAGAAGAAAGTCTTGGCTGACGCCGCTGATCAGTCTTTGGCGACAGAAATAATGGTTCCACCTTAGAGCGCGGCATGGTGATGTGCTAAATGAACGAGTTCTGGAGGACGCTCGACCAGTAAAGCTGCTTTGGGCGAGTATTCAAGCTGATTGGTGGGTCAATGGGAGCGGGCTGATGTTGAGATTGCTGGAAAGCGTTGGGGATAGCTTCACTTGAGGTGTCAAACCAACAATGCAAATGACGCAGCTCTCATTGGAATGTGACACCAGCGTCTTGGGGAATGATGAATGCCTTGCCAGGTATGCAAAACCAACTAGGCAGCAGCCATTATACTCTGTGAAGTGATTCGGACCAAACGCCGTGATTAGGAGGCATCGCGCCAAAAGCCAAAGTAGTTGATGAACGAGCTCTGCGCAAGTGCGCAGGAATTCCCTCTATGCTGCGGGTATCCTTCTCCTGGCGAGCCGCATCCGCCGCGTTCAACTATCCTCCTTCGCAGTGTTGCGGAATTGTATTGAAGCATCCGAGTCGACGGCTCGCGATGTTCCCGATGTATGCGCATTCGCCTCATCGCCAGGGTGTAGCATTGGATTGAATTGGCGACGCTGGCCGTCGGGGCGTTCGGTCAGGCTTGGAGCGCGCGGTCGCCGCTTTCCCATTGCACGTCCGCCGAAGACGGGCAGCTCGTAGGCTACGGTGCGGAAGAAGTACAGGGCGAGGTCGTAGAGGATCAGGACAGCCCAGGGTCCGATGGTCACAACGCCGAAGAAAATCTGTGAGCAACGTTCAGCGGGCAGGCGGAGTTGGGACGGGAGGGCGAGTCAGGCAGCCCTACAAAAAGGCGGGCGATCCATGTTTCGAAAGAGCTAAGATGATCCGGAAGGATAGAGGACCAGGCCATTTTGCGCCAGTCGTCAGGCTGGTTGGAGCGGCGGGGAGGCGAGGCAACGGCGGGCGCTTGCCCTTCTTATTGCGTCGGGAAATGGGATGCAATGAAAGTGGTGAGACGCGCGCATGCTCGGATGCCGCGGCGAAGCCTGGGCCAGCCTGCCGATTACCTACGCTCAGACGTCATCCACGACCTCGACTACAGCGCTTGCGTGCAGCGTCTCTGCTATCGTGAGCACGCGCAGAAGATGGGCGCGCCCTAAAGCAACGTGCGCGGATGCGGCCCGCGATGCCACTGCGCCGCCAGCGACCGCTCTTCCGGCTGTGCACCCCAGGCGTCCGCGCAAGGCTGCGATTTATGCACCTGGCGTCCAATGATGCGCCTTGGATGAAGCTTTGAGCCACAGCTCCCAGCGGCGCTGACGACGGCTGAGCCGCGTCTAAGCTGGCGGTGCAGTCACAGGCAGGCTGCCGCCTGGAGCTTGCGGGGAGAGGGGCTCGCGGCTGCGCGACCTTGCGACCTTAACCACCGGGTGCCCTGCCTCAGATCGTACCCTCAACTCGACTGCGAATTGCATCGTCTGCGCGGAATCCTTCAGAGAGCGTGCCAAGACATGTACAAGCTGCCCTGCTACCTTTACTTCTAGCTGAGCTCACCACTCCTCGGCCGCCTCCTTCGAGCTTCCTCTCAACGACTGCCTGCGTCAGCCTTGCCAACGTCGACACTGCATACCCTACCGCGCCGCTTTCACTACTATCACCCCTCGTTGCGCCAAGTCTTCAACATGGACGACACAAGCTTTCTCCTGGATTGGCCGCGCGGGAATGTCACCTTCGCGTTCGAGGATTTTGGCGGCGAACAGACGAGCGTCCAAGGCCTCGATCGAGATGTCCTAAGCATGCGCTCCGCTCTCCTCGGCATGGCACCTGAGGACGACGCTGCGGGAAAGGCCTCGCTCACCCTGAGCGTTGCGTCTCACGCGGCTGGTGTTGCGCTCGTCCGCTTCCTCTACCTTGGCAACTACACCATTGATGGCCCAGACGAGTTTCACGACCCTCAATTCCTCATCCACGCTCAGGTCCTCCACCTTGCTGATGCCATCAGCTGCCCGGAACTAGCCAAGCTCGCCATGGGCCAGCTAAACTACAATGCTGAACTGGCTGTGAGCTTCCCCGCCTCGCCTGCGGATCTGGTACAGACTCTCATCTTCGTCTACACCCACCTCCCCCACCTGCCGGAGGCTCTCAGCACGATGCTCAACTACTGCGTCGCTTCTTTCACGACCCACAAGCTGAGCGAGGACGCCGACTTCAAGCGCCTTGCTGGGACCCACGAATCCCTTCTCTCAGACCTGTCCAAAGTCAACGCCGAGCGCGGCTTTGGTAAGTACCCACCCCCTTCACTTCGAACGGCAACCACATGACCTAACGTGCAGCCCAGAGAATCTCGACATCCCAAAGATGGTTGGTCCAACGCGCCCTGGTGTTGTAGACGTCGACATCGCGAACCTATTCGCCGGTCATGCTGTTGACCAGGAGCCGGCTCGCTCGCGCCAGAATTCGTCGTCTTCGATCGACCACGCTCTGGAGTGTGGAATGGAGATCCGCAATCTGCCCATCCGTGTCAGGGAAGAGCACGACGGAGCCGAGCCGGGCAGCCCGGCTACCGAGGATGGGTTTGTTCTCGTCGACAACCCTGCGGTTGAGAAGCCTGCGATTGACGAGTCCGACTCGGAATGGTCTGTTATCTAGGCCTTGGCGATACTGGCATCAAAGCATTTTCATGGCGTGTTTTAGGCATGGGCTGGGTGGTAATACCCTGGATAAAAGGAGTTTCGGTTTGGGTCGTTTATAGTATTGCATGAAGACATCCTGTCTTCCAGTCGGTCAGCGAGCAAAATACCAAAGTGTTACCGCGTCTTGTTTCTTCTTCGTCACCTCACATGGTAACTTTGAACACTAGATGCCACATTGGCTCCTCCAGAGACGTATTTGGATCTTGTGCTACGACGGTGTAAACGGTGGATGAAAATGAGCAATAGTAGAAGAGAGACGATTCGGTGTCATCGCTAGATTTTGCTCGCCGATGTTCTGTCATACAGCGCACGAGGCCAAGAAATTCAGGCAGCGCCTATTCGCCTAATCAGACGCACAGCATGACCCGGTGGGTCGCGGGCCCTGGCGAGGGCGGGCGCGCGTTCGGAGAGCGCAAGCGACGAAAGCGGAGCTGAGCCTTTTGTGCGGAGCGGTCGTATCAAAGTTTCGATGGCCTAGGCGCCTTTGCCGCTGTGGCTGCACGGCCAAACCTTGGAAGGGGCGTTCCGCACAAATCTCTCACACAAAGAGCGCGTCCGCACAATTATCTCATCATCTGCAAGACAGCGTTTCACCGGTGAGACGGAGCCCGCTGCCTCGGTTCCAGAGATTCTGGGAAGCGCCAGGGGTGCGCATCTGAGCCGTTCCGCGAATACCACGCAGTATTGCTCCGAGCCTACTATCGGCCATAACGCTCGGCGCGGGGTCCAGCTTTGTCGGACAGGCTGACGCTCACGCTTCACCACGGACGCAAGCAAGCGGGTGGCAAACATGAAGGACGGAGGGCGCATTGCATTGCAGACGCGCAGTGCGCCTAGCTGCCGATAGAGGCGGTTCAGATTCGCTGCTCAAACCTGCTCAATAAATTCATGCAGAGCCGGCATATACAAGGTGATAGAACGTGCTCGCTTGGCGACGATGCGCGCAGCAGTGCTGATGAAGCCGACAGTATTGCCGTGTTGCGCGTGCGGCGGTGCCTGGGCAATCAGCGCGGGCGGAGCAGTGCTGGGTTGCACTTGCCAGGACCGGATGGGGTCCAGCCTCATCAGCAGGCGCGAAGCTCGTGCGGGCAAGCGCGGCGGGCCAACGTCCGCCTGAGCTTTGGTCGAAGCTGCCCTGTGCCAAGGGTTGCGGTCTGCTGATAAAAGCCCCGCCTTCGACCTACTTAAACCCCACCATCCTCCAACTCTGCTGCGACAACGATCCACTCAGCGACCGACAGCAAACTCCTCACAGTTACACCACATACCTCAACAACAACCCCCCTCACTCAATCATCATGTCTGACCACGGCTGCTCCTGCGGTTCCAACTGCCAGTGCGGTGCCAACTGCACCTGCGGCGTAAGTACCCTCTTACAATAACGGTTTTCTGCAGGGCCCCGCCAAGCTGACTCCGCGTGCAGAAATAAACTGCTTGCACATCTTGCACCACATCATGCTCTCTCGGAGTGAAGCATAGAGTCCCGACGACGACGGTCTCACGACCGCCATGCTTTCTTGCTTTCAATCAACGAGTCTTTCCTACTGCAATAACATCTACATCTCCTCGGCTTGATCCGGCAATTTCGACTCTCTTCTCAGCACGCCTCTCAACGGCTACTTGGAATGGGCGGCACACGGGGCGAGAGGAAGAAATACGGCAAATGGACATTCTTAGCGGAACATCAGGCTGAGGTTGTGGGCTATGGCATGCACTACTATACCAACTGACCGGCGACCTCCGGGATGAGCTCTAATGAAAAATGACCTGGCAACTTTGACTGCTTCTTGCCTACGTGAAATGTATTCTGGTTGTGTCAACATAACCGGTGTTGTCGCTCTTTGCCTGCGTGTGAGATTCTTGGCTCGGGTGTGTGCAAAGGCGGCCGAAAAATAGCTTGAGCCGGATCGATATCATAAGCGGGCATTTCCCCACTGGTGCATCCGCTGCCGGCCTATGTCATGCATTTCGGCTAGAGGTTATGCACAATGAAACGCGGACCCGCTATGACGCTGCTGCCGAGGAAGGATGTGCTGAAGCAAATGGACGTGCAGCACCCATCACACGCAGCTGGAGATCACGGCGGGAAGAGAAAAAGGACCATAGCTCCGTGTCAAGAAGGTCAGAACATCTTGTGAGGAGCACGCAAAGCATAATCATGTCCTGGCCAAGGATTTATATTGGTATGGAATAAAGAAAAAGACCATGTATTGTTGCCCTAATATCCTCTCCAAGCTCCATAACCGCCGAAACTCCCCGGCCCACGTCCACCAATCCTAATAGGATGATCAAGCCCCCATGATGGCGAAGAATAATGTTCTGGTGAAGCGGAACAATACATCGACCCATCTGACGAAGCAGGTTGAGTAAATCGGAAAGAGGATGATGGACGGCTGTTGTCGTTGATATCGTTGCTTTTCATGCGGACGGTAGAGACATTCGAACAGGCGTTATGGGTTGTCGATGGCAGTTTAGTGCTACATTTGCCAAGCAAAACGGCATGTGTTAGCCAATATGTCTTAAAAAAATACGCCTCGCTCTTTTTTTTTTTTTTTTTTCATTGCTCTGACTGTCTGCCACTCTCGCAGCTTGACAGGTGGAGCGTGAGCGTAAGAGACAGTCTAGCATGGAAGCGAAGGAGTTGGCCTGTGGCCCCCTTCCCCCCGAGCATAGACTTCATCGTCTCGGCGAGGAGAGCAGATGGTAGGGGCCTGGGTGACAGCTTACGCCACAGGAGCTGCAGGAGCAGCCGTTGCACTGGCCGTTGGCGCAGTTGCAGGTGTTGCAGGTGCTGTCGGGGGCATGTCAGCCCACTGGCTTCTAAAATAAACTCCATCTACGAAGGAGAGACGGGATGGACCGAAGCCCGAGGGTGTCGTAAAATGAGCAGAAAGGCAGTGGCGGGGGAGAAGCACGCACCAGGGAGACATCTTGGTAGTGGGATATGTTTCGAAAAACGGGCAGTTGGTTTGATGGAAGGGTTTGTAGAAGTAGTTGATTGAAGTGATGGTGGAATGAAGAAAGGAGACTTCAAGGTGCTCAACGAGGTCTTTATATATCTTGCTCCTCCCACCCCTATCTTGCGGGATTCCCTTGGCTCGCATGGATATTCCTGACTGAAACCGCCTCGCCGATTACCCACCTGTGCTAACTCGAGCCAACACCACGATGCAGATGGCGGCACGAGACTAGTGCGGGGCTACAGCGGACATACAACTCAACGTGGCGCTTCACGCGGATAAGCCCAGAGACTGCGAGGCTGGGGCCGGGGGGGGGCATGGGGCCAGCATCCAGGCGCCACTAGGTGCTTCGAAGAGCCCGCCAGTCTGGGGCTGGTGCTTTGGAGGCGCTGTTTGTCGCCGGACGGCGTCCTCTTGGACAAAAGCGTGGCGCCGGCAGTCGTGATAGTCATTCGACATGGAACCGTCGTGACGGAGGTTAGTGGGTCATTGCCATGCGGAAGGTGCGGGGACTTGCAGTGGGGCGCCGCAGTGGTGGGGGCGCGGTGCGTTGCGCATCTTCGTCGAGCAATTGGTCAGATCTAACATGGGGGATGGAGGGTGCGTGGGTGCGCCTCCGAGTCGAGCCCGACAGGGAAGCAGCGCGGTACGGCTCGCCCGGTTGCAGGCTGAGGCGGACGATAGGGCCTGACCCTCTCCGATCGAAGTTCCTGGTGGCTGCATGACCGCGTCCGGATTGGGCAAAGGCGTCGAAGTGGTGGTGCAAGAGCCGAGCGTGATTGGCTGCTTCACCTTCCGTGTCACATGGTTGGCTTACCTTAAGTCGACACCTGCCGGCAGCCGTGATGCTCGTGACTAGCTGCGCGGAAAGTGCGGTAGGGCCATCAGCACCGTATTTCGTCACTGTTTGCTGCTGAGACAAGCACAGCCTGATAATCGGCCACCCGAGCGGCATTTTTGCGGCTCGGAGTCCGATCCTCACTAGAGCTTTCTGTGACCTTGATTGAGACCGGCGTGTCTGCGTAAGCATCGGCTGTCCTGCCAAGTACTGGCGTCGCGTGGGATGGTTTTCACAGATACCAATGATGGACAAGCCCGTGAAGGTAGGGATCTTGTGACGACCACTCTCTTGCTAGAATGCCCTGAGCAGGCCAATTACATAGCCTTGCGCGCCTGCTACGCTCCGCCAATCGAGTCCATACAGTTGAATTTGCCGACAAAAGCAAACATGCCAAATCCATGTAACGGCGGCCGCCGTCGTGTTATCGGTACCAACACCCGTGAGGTAATGAGAACTGGCCCCGTGAGGCTGTTAGTCATTCGCCCGAAAAGGCTCTTTTCGCCCAGCGGAGCTACGACCGGAATCCATCCTCTCGAGAGTGGCTCTGGGGAAAGCAATGAAGCCGCTGATATCCGTATCAGAATGACCAAGATGCGCCACCGTATACCCTGTGATGAAGCCATAATGATACACTAAAGGATTATCCCAAATCCATGCGCGCCTCGTCCCCCAGACCCCATTCGCTCTCTCGCGTTGCGTGGTATCGGAGTGGTGTATGAACGTCTTCATCATCGTTCTGAAGATCCACATCGCCACCATCGATGCTGCCAGTCGCGATGCTTTTCTCACTAGCTGCTCTGCTCGGTCGTCGACCAAACCACCGTCTCTTGCGGACTTTGCCATCGCTTCCAGTTTCATCCCTGGTTGACATGGAATATTCCGACGGAGTCTCTTCCGGCCTTGCTGTGTCTGCCTCAGAGAATGAGGGGTCGTCGTTCAGCGGCGGCTTAGGGGTAGGCGAAGGAGTGATCTCTGTCGAAGGAGTGATCTCAACCAACTCGGCATCACGGCACCATTTGCGTCGTCGAGTATACCGCCCCCAGCCATCTTGTCCACGTCGACCATCCCGCCACTGATAGACTGTCAGCCGCGTATGGGAAAGGGCCACGTCTGTCTTACCTTGTTATCATAGTAGATCCAACCTCGGTTGTCGTCGTCGCCCTCACTTTCCGCACCCTCAACTCTCCACTCGCTCCCTTCGACCCACCGCCATCTTGCGTGTCCGCCGTCAACCTCCGGGAGGTCAAAGTGGTCCTTCTCTGGTGCGGGATTCAAATGCTCGTCTGTCCATGGGGCGCGTTCATAGGCAAGCAAGGAAGATGTCCATCCGATCCCCAACCATCGACGCTGATTCTCGAACAGCGCAAACGTGAAGCGAACGCCAGGTGAGACTGCCCTATGCTTAGCAGCTAAAGATGCTGCGATGGCGTTTGCGTCCTTCCTCCGCGGTGGGAGTGGGGGAGGCCTGCCTCTTTCGGAGCCTGGCGCCGTAGGCTCGGGTTCGCCAACGTCGAGGCCGGTGATGAGGGCCAGGGAGCGGCGGACGAGCCTGGAGCGCCAGAGGATGATGCGGGTCACGCGTGCGGGCCGCGAGTGCCAGCTCAGAATCATTGTTCCGAAGGCCAGGACAATGCGTCTGGTCGTCAGCAGGCGCAGCGGTGGAAGCGTAAGCGCCAACCAGACTGGGGTCAGAAACAAAATGCGGATGAACAAGGTAGTCAATGCGGGGCGAGTGGTGGCCGAGGTCGCGGTGCGTTGGGTGGATAGGAAATCTGTTAGACGAATAAAGGGATCCAGCAAGATGTTGCACCTCGAGGTGAACAGCTTCAGCGTGTCGACAATGTCCTCGAGACTCTTTTGGTGGCTCTCGCTGGCGACGGATGCGCCGCGCTTGTGTCCCTTCGACTTCTCGCCAGTCCAGCCGGTGGAGGAGAGCGGCGAGTACCTACGCGTATACATGCCTAGTATTATGCCAGCCACAGCAACAATAGGACCGGCGAGCCTAATGATGGTGCCTCCGTACAGTGTCACAGCCCAGAAGGCTGCGATGAAGAGGAAGCTCTCCCACGGATCGCCGGTGGTCCATGATAGCAGGCCGACGAGCTTGTTGAGCGGTAGCAGGAACGGATGCGAATAGGCGAGGGCACGGGTGACCTGCGGCGGGGTTGCGGCGAGCAGCGGCGACTTCTGGTGGACGAGGATGGTAGAGCGCTGCTTCGTGGCGGCGGGGAGGTGGCCTAGGGTGGCGGGCGAAAAGGCAGCAAACGTCGGCGGATTGGGGTCTCCGGCGCCCGGCGACGCAGACTTTGAGGGGTTGGAGGAAGGGGACATCTGAGAGACCCAGGGTGTATCTGTATGCTGCATTAGAACGCTGGCACCATCAAGGTATTCAAAGTCGCGGTCTTGCCAAGTGCGGCCATGCATGCGCAGTGATCACGGCGTCATTCCGCCGAGAGGCAGGGCGAGTGTTTGGTTCCGGGAAGGGCGGCAGCGAGCGGGCGGGCGCTGAGCAACAGAACAGGTTGCGCGGGCGATTTGGAGTCCTGCTGGCCGGCGCTCGGTGCTCCAGGGCTGCACGAGGGCCACGATGCGATATATGCCCTTTTGGGTACGTCGGCTTTCAGCGCGGTCGGCACATGTGATCGAGAGCCTTTCGGCCACTAGGTAGACGGGCTGCTGCTGGGCGGCGGAGCAGCGACGACGAGGCTGCACGGCCGGCCGGCCTGGTATCGACGAGAAATCTCCACCGCAGCGCTCACGCGGGCGCTGCTGTCCATGGTGGGCTGGGTGAACACATCGACCTGCGCACCGCGTTGCCGCACCTGTGACGCTGTCTTCCCCGGAACCGGTGATCATAACGTAAGCTGGGGGCGGGCGGGCTCGGAGCCTTCGACGCCTTTTCGCCGACCCGCCTGTCATGTTTGGCCTCTGGGAAATTTTGGGATCCTCAACGCCATCCATCCGCTCCCGCCCTCATTGACGGCAATCACGTCTCTTGTCCTTGTCCGCTCGTCAGTATGGTAAGGCTGCGCCCGCTGCCCCCACCGCTGCTCTGTGCGCGCGCTCATACTGATCCCGCCAGGCGCATCGCATCATCACCCAGGTCGTCGTCACCGGTTCCCGCGTCTTTGGCCGCGCCTTCGCCGAGGCCTGGAGACAGGCCGCCGCATCGCAGAAGTATGCCCAGGCCAACGCAAAGAACGGAAATGGCAAGACGTTTGCCTCCTCCGGCCTGACCCTCGAGGAAGCCTGCAAGATCCTCAACGTTGCGCCGCCCAAGGGCGGCAAGACCGACATGGAGAACGTCATGGACCGATTCAAGAAGCTGTTCGACCTCAACGACCCCAAGCGTGGCGGCAGCTTCTACCTCCAAAGCAAGATCCTACGCGCCCGCGAACGGATAGAAATGGAAGTGCGGACGGCCGAGCAGGCCGCGGAGCGAGAGGCGGAGCTGAAAGAAGGTTGGAACCCCAAGCTCTACAAGGAAAAATAGCCAGGCCATGGAGCTTACCGGATGGACTGTTGTAGCCCGGTAACATTATCGCGCCTGTCTCCATGACATTTGGCGGCCGAAGCAGCTTAGACTCCAGCATTGGCGCATTGCATGGGAGCATTGTCCGGGTCTATTGCATCAGCACGGAGTTTCGGAGTTGCGGTTTGCACAAAAATGGGAAAGAAGAGCATTTGGAGCCGGAAATGGGGTCCGGCTGGATGTTGGAGGACCATACTACTCCACTCTGGACTGTACATTTATCACCACTTGTGCCAGTACGTTTCGGCGATGCGAATTATTAGAAAGAGCGGGAAGAAATCGAGTCCGGGAACCATCCCGAAGGCGTGATGAGCACCTACTACTACCCCCTGCGAGCCATATTCGTTATCTATATGCTTTCGCGTGGTCCCAGATCTTATCCAGAAAAACTGCGGGGAAATGAGCATCCAGCGCCAAAGTTGCGTCTGGGCAGTTTGATCCACGATGGAAGACCCCTTCATAGCTAAAGCTGTGTGTATGATAAAAGACGCTTCAGATTGAGGAAACCAGGACGACATTGTGTACCTACCGTTGAGCAAAGCTGGGGGCTGGATGAAGGCCATTGACTCGGCAATCTTGGTGAAGGACATGGTTGACAGTGCGCCTGCCGCTAAAGTAGGCCATTGGTGATGCCGCAGCTGGCTGCAGGCCCCTGCTAGACCCTGTCGCTGGTCGCCCTGAAGAAGGTGACGTAAGCGAAGAAGATCTGCAGGTAGACGCAACTTCCGAACATATTTTCGAATTCGCGACCTCGACACTCCCCTCTTCACCTCACCCCACCGCAACGGCCCGCACCGTCGCCGATTACGCAGCTTCTTCGAGCGGCTGCTTTCGAGCTTGCTGAGATCCTTGTGCGCGACGTTTGCTCCGACTGAAACCATGGAGTCTTATCGTCCCAGCTACAACGATCAGCGCGACTCTCGCGACAACCGCGGCGGCGCTCGCAGGTCCCCACCGCGTCGCTCTCCTCCGTCCGGCATGTATCAGTTTGGCGGCGGCGGCGATAGCTACCGCCCTGGCGGCCGCAACGACCGTGATGCTCCTCGCCATGGAGACCATCGAAGCGACTTCACTTTCCGCGCCGGAGACCAAAGCCGTCACTTTCCGTCCACCGACTCGCAGCGCCCACCTCGCGACCGTGCCAGGAGGCCCCAGGCGCGGGACACACGCCGCCCCCGTCAACAAAATCAGCCTGGCCGTGGTCCGTGGCGACCTCCACCTCCGCACGAACGCGCCATCCTTCGTTCCACTCGCGAGAAGACTCCCGAACAGCTGGAGGGTATGGGCGATGGCAAGGCTAAGTTCATATCGCTTAGTGACATCTCAAATTCCGAAGGAGAGATGGACCTTGAGTCCGATGACGATGCGTCCGATTCGGAGCGTCCGCCAGCGAAACGGGCTAAGCCGACCACGGACGACAGCGCTGATGATGGCAATGCCCGTCCTCGTTGGTCCAACCCGGACCCGTACACTTCTCTTCCGCCGCCGGATGAGACCCACACGAAGAGGCGCGATTTTGTAAAGCTGATTCGCAAGGCCAAGGTTGCTGGCGAAGATCAAACCGCCAGTGCCAACCCCGTCGCCAAGAACGATGATTTCATCTCGCTGAATTTCGATGATGATGAAGATCAACAGAAAAATGATCATGAAAGCGATGACAACGACCGCCACAATGCTCGGCGGTCTGGTGGCAACTCGTTCAGTCATCTCGATAATCTTCATCCTGATCGTAGGACCGTTCCAGCAGAGGGACCCACTAAGCCCGTAGTCAACGCAGCTTCTTTGGGACCTCCCCCGGGTCTTGCCGGTCTGCCTCCCAAGCCTCCCACCAACATTCTTGATACGTGGCCACCCCCTCCGCCGCCACAGGCTCCTACCGGACCAAAGACGTTAAAACGTGCCCGTCAAGACGATGATGACGATGAATTGGAGAGCCTTCCTCCTCTTCCGCCCAAAGGCAAGAAGCGTAAGCGCGAAGTGATTGACGGCAGTGTCATTGACGACTGGCGTCCTCGTCACGGTAGCCCGCCCACGCCGTGGTGTCAGGAAGACCACTCGAGCACCGAAAGCATGGGCTTCTGGTTGCACAAGGAGATTGCGGATTTCTATGACTTCGTCAAGCCTCATGCGTTCGAGGACGCCATTCGACATGACTTGGTCAAACGAATTGAGCGCACCGTGACTCGGCAGAAAGGCTTTGCAGGTTCTATAGTGGAATGCTTCGGTTCATTTGCTGCTGGTCTGTATCTTCCAACTGCAGACATGGATCTTGTGGTTCTATCGTCCCACTTCCGGAATACCGGCCAAGGAATTGTCAACAAGAAGACCCTTTACAGGGTTTCGGATATTCTGGAAAGAGAAGGCATTAGCCAACCTGGAGCTACTGAGGTTGTTGCTAGCGCAAGGGTTCCAATCATCAAAATTGTTGATCGTACCACTGGTCTCAAGGTCGACATCTCTTTCGAGAACAGCACTGGCATTGCCGCCAACAAGACCTTTCGAGGATGGAAACAGGCGTACCCCGCCATGCCAGTGATTGCTACGCTGGTAAAGCAGTTCCTCGCAATGCGTGGCCTGAACGAAGTCTTTACCGGAGGCCTTGGAGGGTTCTCTGTCATCTGCATGGTCGTGAGTCTTCTTCAGAACTGGCCTGGTCGCCAGAGCAACAACTTCGTTCCAGAGGAACACTACGGAGACGTACTCTTGAATTTCTTCGACTTGTTCGGCAACAAATTCAACATTGCCACGACTAGGATTCGGCTTAATCCCCATCAGTTTGAACCAAAGGTATGTCGTGACATCGATGGCTTAGAAACAACCGTCCTAACTGTACTAGGGCCCTCGCGATCTGAACGGAAAGCCTGCTAGACCAGACCGCCTGTCAATTGTCGATCCCAATACGCCTACGAATGACATTTCCTCAGGATCTCACAATGTCGTTCTTGTCCAGAAATGCTTCCGCGATGCATTCGACAAGCTTCAAAGACGCATGGCTGAGTTGAATGCCCTTGATATTGGACAACGCAGGCATGCCAGCATCTTGGAAGTACTTTTCGCGGGTGACTACTCCTCCTTCGACTGGCAACGTAAACGCCTGAGGAAAATCTACGACTCGGACCGGTGAGCAATGATCACGGCTATGCATGCCATGCTATTGCTCCTAAATGTCGTACGATCTTCTCCTCTGGTTCCCGTATTGGCGCGTCCGAAAAGAAAAGTAACACGTGGGATAAGTCCCACAAATCGAACATACTGCAGTCCCTACCCTCTTGCGGGATTGATGGCTTCAGTTTTATGAATCCCCTTGTGCTGGGTGAGTCATTCAGGACCATCTCTTTCATGGGTAACCCATTTCTCGGTATCTGTGCCCATGGCACACTGACTCGGCACCTGCTAACTACATATATTGGGTCAGACTAACTTGTTAAGGAATCCGAGCAATCCTCCTAGAGCGGTTGCATCCTTTACATTGTCAGTCGTGATCCGATAGACTCATTGTAGCATTAGCTCCGCCTATTTGCGAAGCGCTCGCTTTCCGTCCAGATATTGCGGGCCGCATACATCGGCTATGTATTCTGGTGGCGTGGCCAAACCTCGACATCCAGACGCATGGCATCCTGCAGCACGATTCTACAGCGGCAAACTGTCCGGGTTGTGGTACTGGTGTTGAGAAAGTAATCTCCACCAGACGCTTTGCTCCATGGCATGCATCCTACGGCACAGCCTTTATGCAGGTCTTATTCTCGGATAGCTCTTTTTTGATTAAGGACCAGGCCACCAAATGAAGCAGGAAGACTGTCGTCACGCTTCTGGACCTTTCAGGTCCTCAAGCAAGCGGAGGAGAATGGTTAATGGATTGCTCTACATGAACTGCGTTTTGATTCAACGGCGGGGTTTTAATAGCGGGGTTTGATTTCTTCGTTTACTTTAAGTCGCAGATGGCCTTTTTTTTTCTTCTTCCAGCTCTCTACATGGCTTTCTCGAACGTAACGCCTCCAGCAGGCCTTTTATTCCTCACTCACCTCGCTGGCCAGGCTTCTCTTCGACGGCCGCTAGCGAATACCAGACCTTGGACGAAATATTCCAACAACCTCACCGCACCTTGACCCGCCGGGGAAACAAAAACACAGCTCTAATACTCATTGCTCACGGCAGTATTAATTGTAGATTACAAACCGCTAACCTTCTGCCTGACCACATGCCCCCCTCTCTCTTCAGTGCCATCTCCCTCTCCTAGTACGGCGCCGACATCGATCATAACAGCATTTCGCCAGGAGGAAGGACAGCAGAAACACCAGCAGCAATACAAATAATAAAAAACAGCAAGCCCCCTCGCTCCTGTTCGGATCTCTTGGCATTTCTTCTCCTCCTTCATGGATGAGTGGTCTAGTCGAAGTGAAGGCGAGAGCGCGGGCAAACCCCCTTTTCTCGTCATTTACTCGCTACACGCGGGTCCATGAGGAGGGAAGGAGCCCATGAGCCGTAAGCAAAGCTTAGCTTGGGGGTGTGCAGGACGGGAGAGAGTCGACCCTCTCTGTTCTAAGACAATACAAGTCGGATATCGTTGTGGTTACGGATGTGAGTTAAAACCCAACACAGTTCACATATGAATTTGAGCCTTCATAAGGGGCGTGCGTCTATGGTTACATGAAGAGAGTTCGTTAAGAAGAACCGGAAGAAGCCAAGGATCGGTCAAGGAAGGGAACTATAAATAATCGCCTGCTCCTCTTTTCTCTTGTTCGTTATCATCATGCGTTCTGTTCATTAAGCCCTCCTATCCCTCATTCATCAAATCCGTTCATGTGCGGTATCACCCCATCCACCAACGACCGCGTTCATGTTTTATAGGCCGAGTCTGGCCTTGGCAGCTATCGAAACCGCTTGAAGAATTCAAACAGTGTAACCCAGGCTGTGCGCCCGATCGAGAGAGCAAGAACCTCACTGCTCCTTTTTGTTTTCTGCACCAGCGGTTCTCTCGATCAGCGTCTTACCAACCATGACCGTCTCCCTCCAACCACTCTGCCTCTTCCAGAACTTATCCTCCAACCTGCTTCCGGTCTGACTTTCCCTCCTTGCCTCCTCTTCAAGCGCATCGACGCCTATTTCAGCCGCCTGCTCTTGGAGCTTGGGTAATTTCTCAACCTCGCTGAGAGACTCCGCAAAGTAGCGACGACGGATGAGGTAACGCTCGCGACGCTCCTTCTGGCGGCCAGGGGAGTCCATCTTGGAAATGGCGACGCGGATAGCCCAGCGGACAGCGAGGAAGAGATGTTCGCAGAAGAAGATAGAGAGCAGCAGAGCCCAGCCTTTGATATCACCAGGGGTGCCATCGGGACCAAGACCGTCGTTCCAAAACATGTAGACGAGAGCGGAAGTCGTGATGCTACCAAACCATGTCAAGAAGCTCAGGCTGTCGAGCCAGGGACCAATGGTATCAGCGCGCCACGGTGTCGGCCGTTGCATCTCAACGCAGATCTTGATGGCGTCAGCGCGCAGCTCAACCCAATCGTTGATCAAGAACGACACTGCCGTGAGAGGCCAAACAACGCTAAAGAGGGAGAGGTAGCCAAACTGGAGAACCATCTCACGAAGATCCTGGGTCACGTCGTACACATCGAGCTCGGCCTCCTTGCGCACGCGGTCCAGAAAAGCGGCTTCCTCGGGCGGGTCGTTGGCGGCAACATTAGGAACAGTGCCACCACTCTTGGCAGCCCTCTCGCTTTGGATCTTCTTATATTTTGCAAAGCCACGGCGCTTGAGGTAAGGGACAATGACCTCCATACCAAGATTGACAACCTGTGCGGTCACGGTGAAATATATGACTTGTTTCCTCAGTCTGTCGGGGTTGATGGTCCAGGTAGAGGATCGCTGCAATTGCTTCTCATCCTCAGCGAATGGCTTGACCGTGAGGCTGAAAACATCCAGGTATGGAACAATATGTTGGCCAAAGGGAACATAGATGAAGGCGGTGAGAATGATCGGCAGGTACGAGACGATGAAGTTCAGGACGAAAACCTTCTGCGTCATAGCCGTCTCATAAGAGCCATGAGTGTCGTAATTTTCATAGTCAGTCAGCTGTTTGGCGAAATTGGTCAAGATTCCGACGAGAATGGGCATGCAGGTAGTAAGAATGCCGGTGGGCAAGAAGACCTGGTGAATCGTCAACATCTCTCGTCTATGAAGCATGCAGATAAGCTCACCAGAATCATCTTCAGCGGGCCGTCGTAGATTTCTGAAATAAAGATTTCAATGCCGAAGCACGTGGCAATCAGACTGCCCAACAGGAGCGCAGCAGCCAATGCAAAGGGAATTTGAAGCAATTGGCGCTGGAAGCGCTTGGTCACGGGAAAGGCCCTGATTGTCTCTCCAGTTACGGGGTCTTGGATCTCCGTCGCATGCCTGAAGTCCTTCCGGGTGGTTTCGATGGAAGACACGCCACGAACCCCCCAGCGCACGCCGAGATCATACTCTTGGTGTTTCCACCATTCGGTAAAAACGGTGCACCAGAGGGCGTTGACGAGGGCATAGAGCGGGGAAAAGTGACCCAGAATCAACCAGGAGGCAAAGCCGAAAGCAGCGGGAAAGATCAGGAATGTGAAGTAGGATTGGGTGAAGGCAAAGTAGAAGGCGACCTGGAGCGAGTCAGTGAGAAGGCGGCCAGCGTCTGAGACCACGTCATACCTTTTCACCCAAGCGATTGCGGATCTCGTCGAGGTCTTCGGGCTGGAGGAGGTACTGCGTGCTCCACTTCTTGATCCAGGCGTGATTGTAGGAATGGTCGTGCAGAGCGAAGACCGACTCGACCTGCTTCCAGTCGCCCTCCTTGGGCGTGATGCCGGCACCACCCTCGGACTCGGGGTTTGTGATGAGCTGGTATATGATGCGCAGGCGCTCGGCTTCGGACAGTGGCTCGGAGTCGAGGGCTTGACGGGTCTCTCGCGGGGGCTCAGACGATCGGATGCCGTGGATCCAGTCGCGGACTCTGCGGGCGTCGTGTTAGCGGGGTTAGGGCGACTCTGGTGGTGATGTCTACGCACCTCGATCGGTAGATCTCGCCGTAGAGGTACTCCTCCGAGGCCACCTTGCAGAAGACGAGCAAGGAGCTGTCTTCGCCATTGCGGACCTCGGTGGCCAAGCCGACAGAGGACAGGGCGGCGATGAGCTTCTCGAACTTGGAAAGGGCGGTGTCCTTGTCTGCGGGGCAGCGTTAGCAATTGGCGGGCGCGGTGCGGGCAGGAGGGCTGACCAGTGGTGCCGAAACGGTAGCTGATGACATAGTCGACATCCATGTTGGTCTTGAGGGCTGGGCTCTGGGGCCCCGACGAGGCCATGTCGGCGTGCAGATTATTCGCTGGAGGTGCGGTGAGCGTGGAGGTCAAGGGACGGGCGCAGAGGCGGGGAGAGAGTACGGTGGGAGAAGTGCGAGGTCATGGCCCGGAAAAGCAGGCTGCCTTCGTGCTCCATGGTCGATTCCTTGTTGGGTGCTGCAGCTGGTGAGGAGACAGCAGCAGCGGCAGCTAGGCGAGGGCCAGGGCGGGCAGGCCTCGCTACGTCATCCATGTGCGCATCACAGCCGATCGACGAAGCCTGGCCGGACGACACCTTCGCGCTAGCACTCTGCTCTGTGGTGTAGCCTGGTGCCAACATGCTGCGCCGCCTGCTGTTCGGCGACGACTCGCCCTTTGAGCCCACCAGCATCGTCGTGCTGTGCGTGCGCGCTCCGCTCAAGTGTCTCGTCTATTTCGCATACCACTTTCTGAATGCGCTCCGCAGCAACCCCCAGCCCGCGAAGCCGTCAGTCCGCGTCGTTTGTATCTCTGACACACACGCCCAAACGCAGCCAATCCCTGCCGGCGACATCCTCATCCATGCCGGTGACCTCGGAACCGTTGGGACCGTCTCGGAGATCCAAGCGCAGATAGACTGGATAGCCTCTCTGCCGCACCCTTACAAGGTAGTCGTTGCCGGCAACCACGACACGTACCTGGACCCGCGCTCTCGCCGCACGCTGCCCGAGCCTGAGCGCAATAGGGAGCTGCAGTGGAAGGGCGTCCACTACCTGCAGCACACCTCATTGCTCGTGAGAATTCCCCAGCGCGAGTACCGAGGCCGCCACCCTCCCCCTCCCCGCACCCTCAAGATCTACGGCGCCCCTCAGATTCCTGAGTGCGGTGGCCCAGAGTTTGCCTTCCAGTACGCGCGTGGCCGCGATGCCTGGACTGACACCATTCCGTGGGACGTCGATGTGCTCGTCACACACACTCCGCCGAAATTCCATCTGGACCTGCCGCTGCCCGACGGCTTGGGGTGCGAGCACCTGACCAACGAGGCCTGGCGTCTTCGCCACACTCTTCATGTGTTTGGGCATGTCCATGTTAGTGCCGGAAGAGAGGTTAACTGGTGGCATGACGGCCAGAAGGCATATGAGCGCGCGCTCGCAAGGCCAGTCTCGGGCCTGACTCGCGGGCTCCTGAGCGTCCCAGCTTGGATTGACCTGGCCCTGGTGCTGTTCTGGGGTGTGAGGGGCGTCATCTGGGACAGAGTCTGGGGCGGAGAGGAGCGAGGCACCGTATTGGTGAACGCCGGCTTGATGGTGGGGAACTCGGGCCGTCTGGGGAATAGAGTCCAGGTGGTTGACATTTGAGACGATCTTATAGACTTATTCCTTCTACTTGTGGCACAGGCAGGCACTAGCCATATTCGGACTTCATCGCAGGCAGCAACGTGCTCTCTATTTCAATTTAACCCCCACTCCATGCATTTGATCATCCTACGACACAGGCCTAGGCTTCTCTATCGCATTCCCTTGGTTCTCTACCCGACTTTTCGAATCTGGCTCCGCAGCATTTGCCTTTGCGCATCGTCGTCCATGGTGCAAGCAAGCTCCATACGTACGGCGATACCGTCAGCGGAGCAGTCGAGGTAGACAGCAGCTTGAGAACACCACACGTTACCATCCGCTTCGTGGCCAAGGTCACGACACAGATTTATGTATCAAGAAGTCAACGTGACAGGGCCGAGGTCTATCTTTTCTGCCATACCATAGAGCTTTACTCCGGCCATAACATCTCGTCCCTCGCACCTGTCGAGGGGGGCTTTGTCTCCCTTCCATTCTCCTTCACTTTTCCATCTGAGGTCCAGATGGCACCCTCTGCCTCAAGTTTCCAGCCCTTCAAAGAGAGCAGTGTCTTCGAGCATCTCCCTGGCCACCCGCTCCCTCCCACAACATACGCCGAGGGCGGGTCAGGCTTACCACAGACAGTGGAATACTTTCTGGAAGCGCGCATGACCAACACATCGCACAGCTTCTTTTATTTGAGCGACAAGAAGAAAGTGCGACACTCGCTGGCCTTCAGCCCACCTTGCACCGACCTCTCCTGGGTCTCCCCGCCGCTCGAGCAGAACATCGTCACCCTGACCCGCCACTCCCGCTGGCTGTACGACGACTCGCCCGACGAGTACCATGGCTTCGGCTCCCGCATGCGCGACCTTATCAGCTGCCCCTCGGACCCTACCGCCACCTTCACTGTCACCACCACCGTTCCGACCATCGCCCGCGCCGGCTATCCACTTCCCGTCACCGTCAGACTCGCTCACATTGACCGCACCGACAACCTCCCTGGCCCCCCGCCGGTGCGCCTGCGCGCCTTCCGCGTTACACTCAAGGCAACGACAGACTTTCGTGTGCATAAGGCGCAGCTGAACAGCAAGGCCTACAAATCTATTGAGTTAATGCACCAAAGGTACGACACTGATACCATGATGCTGCCGCCGCCGCTGCCACCCGATGGCAGCGAGTTGGCGCTGACCGAACTTTGTCTCCGTGAAAGGACGGGGCCAGCGAATGGCGTGCCGCCGACTTTCAAAACATACGGTCTGGCGAGGTCGTACACTGTCAAGGTCGTGCTATGGATCGAGTGCGCGAGTAAGACTTGGGAGGTAGAGGCAGCTAGATTTCCAATCGAGATGCGGCCGTGGCTGGGCATAGAGGTGCCGCAGATGAATGGACAGGGGACGGAAGACCCGCCACCACCGTATGAGGAGGTAGCACCGCCGTATGGATTGTAAGGGAGGAGCCAAAGTCTTTTATTGATACCCTCCGTTGCATTGATGTCTCCGCTGATAAGATTGAATCGAAGGTCTGTGTGATTCAAACCCCCATATGTAAATAAATGCCACCGGAATGTTCTTCCTCAGTCGTACACAGACATCGATGAGCACTTTTCACACGCTGTGCTGGATTTCCAAACTTATGTGAGATGTTATCTGGTGAAGTCCACCCAAAAGGGACGCCGACTACTCTTTCAAACAGTCTCCCTCCGACCCACCGCAGCGTTGGACATGCATAACCCATTCCTCGCCAGCAACCCCTTCCTCACTCGACACGCTTCACAATCATCGCAATCGCACCTCAAGCGCGTCTCTGCGTGTCTGGTGCAGCTACTGGCGCTGCTCCCGGTCGTATCTGCACTACCCCTTCTCTCCCTCGCCACTCCCCCTTGCACATTCACCTCGTTCTCAAATGTAGCGAAAGGAACTGAGTCGCCAGCACCGTTCCCGCCTTGAGATCTCGAGTCCACTGTGGGCACACCCTTGTTCTCCTGCAGCTCTCTCACTGTCGCTGTGCTCACGCACCAACCTCTTTTCAGCACACTGTTCCCGCCTTCACTCATCCGTCTGCTCTTTTCCGAGCCCGACATCGAACGCGCCTTTGCCGGGATGTGAAGCCTACCCGCATCGAATGGCTCCTGCGCCGGCGGCGATGTCGATTGCTCCAACGATGAGGCTGCCTCATCTGTTGGCTCCCTCTCTTCTTCCTCGGCGGGATACCCGCTACTATCGCCGCTACTGCTGCTGTCGCTGTTGGCATTGCTGTCACAATTGCTACTATTTCTGTCGCTGCTGCCACCACTGCCACTACGATTGCCATCTCTGATAGCTGGTTGCTCCACGTTTGCAATAGTAACGGGAGGCGGACTGGCGCCCGGTGGATCTGCCGGAACGTGGACTGAGCTCGGGGACTTGGCTGTAGGAGGGGCGGAGGCGCTGGCGCTGGGTGAGGCGGAGACGGCAGGCGGCGAAGAGGCAGCGGCGAGTTGGGCGCGCGTGTGGGCATGCATGATGCTGTGGACCAATCTTAGTTTAGCGGAAAGATAGGCGGAGAAAATTTGGGCCTCTAAGGCCAGCTTCCAGGATTCCCTCCAATGGAAATCGAGGTCGCGTTTTTGGAGAGCGTAGCGAGCAAGCGTACCGTGTATAAGACGCCGGGTCGGCGGCGAAGTGGTTATCCTTCCTCTTAGCGTAGGACAGCATCGTTCCTCGCTACACCGGCGAAACAGATCTGTACCGTACGTTTGGGAGACCCACAGGCCTATGTTGTTTGTTCAGTTAGAAGAGATTGGATCAAGGATAGAAGTGCGATGTGTGCAATTTAGGGTTACTGTCAGCACACACTTTTTCTCGCAAGAAAAACCCCTGCTTGCCTTAAGACTCTTTCTCCTACCATACCCGCGGCGCTGGCTCCCCTCCGTCACTAGTCAGCCTCGCTACATCATCGCCTACATCACTGGTGTCTCTAATTCTTATCGTGCTCGATCAAGGATTGCTGCGTGAAAATCCGCATTCAGTGAGCGTAGCTGCACCTAATGTCGACAACCGTCCAATCACGTCGATTTTCTCAGCTTTGTTTCACATGTGCGGCGTAGCGCAACCATTTGGTCGGGGTCTGAGCTTTCCGCAACAGGAATAACAAGGAATGCAACGGCCTAGTCACTCCCTGGATCTTCTTTGTCTGGGGTCCAGCCAGCCGCCGCTTGCGGGAGCAGCCGCCCATGACATCCGGGCTGCGAGCAGGTGGCTGGCCGACGACGTCACCGTTGGTTGCGGAGGCGACCTGAATGAGGCCTTTGTCTTGACCGCCGTCCTGACATTGCTCTCGGATGTCTTGGCACATTGTTGCTGGCGACCCTCCCTCCTCCCTAATGATGAGGAGTACAAGTATCAAGGGCCTGCGCTGCAGATAGCAAGACTTTTGCGGGGTCTGGAGTTTGCTTCCGTCATACAGAGTATTCTTATTTTGATAGATCCGCAGGGCTGATAACTTTCTTCCACGAGGCGAAAAAAAAGTAAGATTGCGCCGCAGGAATGCTGTCTTTTCTGCTCCGCGTTGCCCTCGTGACGAGCTTCCTCTCCGGAGCCTTCGCCCAGACCTTTGATTTCAGCAGCCTTCCGGAATGCGCGCAGAAGCCCATCCTCAACACCATCGGCAAGAGCAAGTGCGACCCGAGCAGGCTGCAGTGCCTATGCAACGACGATGCTATCATCAGCAACCTGGCCCCTCTCATCGCCCAGGCGTGCAGCGGCGATGATATGATGAGTGCGTTCTGCTCTCGTCGACTTTAGTGAGACTTCTGCTGATGGCGTACATGTAGGGGCTGTGGCATCCGCACACGCACTTTGCCCAAATCTGTCAACTCAGAGCGTGATAACGGTCACGGACGCGAAGACAACGATGACGATCAATGTCGGCCAGATGTCCGTTACTCCCACTGCGCCTGTCACGACAGCGAGCGCTTCCGGCGCCGAAGCAAGCGGTTCGGCGTCGGAGTCGGGGTCGGCTGAGCCAACGGCCTCGGGCACCGGTGCCAATACCACTTCGGACGGCAACAGCACCAGCCCCGAGCAGTTCCACGGCGATGCGCCGGAATTCGGGCCTATGCGCCTGTGGTCGATGATCATCGGAATTCTGATAATGGCCATGATATTTGCAGAGCTGTGAGCAACTGCTTCTCGAGGATGGTATAGACAGATCTTAATAATATGACGAGGTGGGAGGTAGATTTACAATAGAAGAGAGGGTCTAATGCACCGGTCTTAGAAACGAACTTAATCCACAAAAGCTGTTTTTGTACAGCCCGGAGGCAAGTGAACAGTGCTGCCGGAATCACGAGAACACGCGGCTCTCGCCAATGTCACAAACGTCGAAGACTCCCTCTTCAGCGATGCCCTTTCTGGCCAGCGCTTGCTTAAGAAGCCTTGGTGGCTCGAGGACGTCCTCTTCGGTCAGGACCCACGTACCCCAATGCATGCCCAATGCCTTTGTGCACTGGGTATCTGCAAAGATGTTGACGCTGTCGAAGGGATTGGCGTGCACAGGCGACATTATAAACCTAGGCTCGTACGCGCCAATGGGGATCAGGCCGAGATCGAATGGTCCACGGAGCTTGCCGATCTGTTTGAAGGCCGGGCAGGTAGGAAGACTCTGGTGTTGTGCGCCATAGTCGTCTTCTCCCTTGGGCAAATTCGGCACAGTGCGATAGCCAGTGTCGCTGGTTAAGTCAGCACGGCGCCATGTTCTGCACGTACGAGGTCTTTGCTTACCCAGCGAACCACACCTTCTTGCCGCCACTCGTGATGGACCAAGACGCCCACAGAGTATGTGCCTTATCAAACGGCGTCCTTGCTGCCATGTGCTGGCAAGGAAGGCACTCAATAGTAGCAGTAATATCCGTCGCGGCCGGCTTTTGGCCACCGGTCTCGACAACTTCTGGCTTGGCATGCTCGACGGGCGAGAGACGTATGTCTCGGCTCTGCCACCAATCTAGCTCGGTGGCATTGTGCATCCCTGAATCGGCAAACCATTTCTGGTTTCCCAATGGTGCAAAGAAATGAACATTGGGATGCAGCTTCTTGATCTTAGTAACGGTTGGGTGAGACAGGTGATCGTAGTGGGCGTGGGATATGACGACAATGTCGATCGCGGGCAGGTCTTCAATTCTGCAAGGAGGGTCGTTGTATCTCTTGGGGCCAAACCAGCCCATTGGCCCGCACCTTCCCTCCCACACGGGGTCGAAGAGAACGCGCAGACCGCCGGGGAACTCGACGTAGTAGCACGCGTGGCCTAGCCAGGTGGCTCTGAGCTCCGAGGTTTCGCGAGTGGGCAGAAAGTGGGGCTGGCGGATGGGAACAGTGGGGGGAGTCGTGTCTGGCTTGTTGGCATTGCCGCTGATTTGTCTCCTGCCACGGTCATTTCAGCCACAGAAGCCCCGACATGGTCGCATGCGGTTGTACCATAGTAGAGCGCCGATAATCTGAGGAACACTCTGCTCGCGATACGAATCCCACGGGTTCACAAAGCCCTTCCCGCCTTTTGCGTGATGGGCGAGATCGCTGGCATCCTCGGGCACGGCGCCGGTCAATTGGGAAGCCGAGACAACAGTCGCATACAGGACGGCGCTGGTCGAGGCTGAGGCCATGATGGTCGAGGAATGGAATGGTCGACGCTGCGGGAGCTGCTGCCAATTGCGACGTGAGGCACGAAGCAAAAATCGCAAGGACCAGGGCATTTGAGCAGCGGAAGCCAGGGGGGCTGTGGAATTAAGTAGTAAGCGGGCAAGAGCAGAAAGAAAGTTCAAGCAATTGACAGCCGGACGATCTTTAGGCCGTGGAGCCGGCGTTTACGGTGATAACGGAGCCACGACTCACTATAGGCCCGGCGCCGCCAGGCACCGGAGTACACGTAGGCCCGCAGCCCCCAGGCAGCAGAACAATAATGTGGCGCGCGGCTTGGAGGAGCTGGCCCCTGCACCTCCACCCTGTCGACGATCCTCGCGCCGCGCTTTGCTTGCACTGACCTCAGCTTCGCCCTGCACCACTCACCAGCGCTCGCAACCATGTCTGCTGCCGCGCCGCCCACCCACGGCGACTGGGATGAGGCCCACCTTGTTGAAGCTCTGGCCGCGCTCGAGAAGCTCCAGGATCAGGCAAGTTGGCTCGCTACCTCCATTACTTGCACAATCCTAACCGTCGCGCAGATGGACGAGCTCCGGTCGATTGTTCCGAACCTCACCGCGCCCTTTCTCGTTGCCCAAGACTCCCCCGAGGCACTCAGCCGTGACTTCAAACAAGCTGCCATCACCGAGGCCAAGCGCCTACAAGCATTCGAGCGCAGATGGAAGAGCGACGAGGTCCAGGACATATTGGCGCACGCAGCCCAGAGCGTGAAGGCCAACCCTGATCTGACCAAGGGTGCTAAGGTTGCGCGCTACGGCTGGGTCGATGTGGCAGAGAAGCAGCAGAGGCCTGCGAAATCCAAGGAGAAAAAGCCGCGTGGTAAGGGCAGTGATGCCGACGATAAAGTCGCCGCTTCATCCGTCATGCCAATTGTGAATGCGTTCAAGGAGGCTCACCCGACCTTTCACGTCGACGTTGACGAAGGTCGCATCATCACCGTAAGCTCCGCAGTACACGTTGCTTAATTACAAGGTTAACTTCGTCAGATCTCCTTCAGAGTTCCGTCGCTGGTTCTAACCTTCAAGATCACCTGCCATGTCGGCCCTGACGACAAGACGTCATTCATTGTCGACAGCCCCGGGAATGGCCCCCTCTTCTCTGCAATCACCCGTTGCATCGCATCCAGGCCGCGCCCAAATGATCTCTCGTATCTCTTGGACATGATTTCTGCCTACACCGACATGAGGATTGCCAAATGCTCAAAATGTGGGAAGCTCTTGGATAACAATGCGCTGAACCCGGCTGCGAGGAGGAGCAAGCAAGTCGCAACCGCCGACGGAGACAAAAAGACTACTTGGGAGCCCTTCCACGAGACATGTCTGTGAACGCAACAATCACCACTCTTTTGGATCCGCCCAACGATGGTATTGCTCCCAGCACTGGCCGTCGGCACCACGGAACGCTTTGGGGTTTTGAAATTTGCCGCGCTGAGTGTCAGGCCGCATATATTTGCGCTTGCGAAAATCGTACCTTTCGCCGGCAGTGCGTTTGGCCCATGGCGTGTCGGTTGCAGCGGACTCGGCTTGGTCGTCTCGTCTCGGCCAGACTTTTTGTCGACCCTGCTTTCCGCTGCTGATTGCAACATGGATATCGGGTCCGCGGCCAGTCAAGATGTCCTTGCAGCGACCCCACCAGTTCTGGTGTTTCACATCCTTTAGCCAAACCCATGCATATTGAGGTTTCGAATCGACGCTGCGGCTTGGTTGGGTCCACTCTTTTCTATCGTCTTGTTCCTCTCGGGACGGTTGGTGAGGATCATTGACGGGCTCGTATTGCAATTTTGGGGAAGGCATGGCAGCGGTCACACGTGGTGCAATATGTCCAATCTCGGACGAGCTCGCAAAAAGGCTTGATGTACGGCGGGAAAGAAATAGAGGTGGTGAATTAGAGAGGATTATAACAACTGCAGCTTAGGTCTGGCAGAGCTTAGCCTCAAATAATACCCAATTCTCCCATGATAAAAAAATCCATCAGCTTCTCGTTGTATTCTTCACAAACGATGAGGCTGGATGATCATATCGACCAACGCAGAGTTTAAGCTTTGGTATTCTTGATGGGCACAGGCATGTCACTGATTCCACAGCCAAAGCTAATTAATCCATCATGTTTGGTGCTGATGCGTGTCAGGAACAGGCAGCGCGTTTGACAAGCTGCCGGAACAACGCGTTGCTAGGGTCCAGGGTTGCATGGCGAGGCCAAGCTGGAGCTGTTCTAGGCCTTTTGGAGGATTCCTTGATCAGCAACAACACAATTGCCACTTCATACAGGCCGAGCCGAGAGAGAAAAGAATGTCAACGGAGATGCAGGTGACGTCGGTGAGGTCAGGTACGGTGGTGGTCATACGGCGCTAACCGAAAGTTTCCCCGGACTTGAAAACAATCGCGTCCGACGCAGCTCTGCTCTCCAGCTACCGCATCCACGCGCACCCATTGCGCTCCCCGCACCACCACCCTCCGCCCGGATCCGACCGTCTAATCGCTCGCCATGTCGTCGCTCTTCGGATCCGGCTTCGGCCAAAACACCCAAGCCAACAAGCCCGCTGGCGGCGGCCTGTTTGGCAACCTTGGAGGAGGAGCTACCAGCTCAGCCGCCGGACAAACAAGCGGAGGCCTGTTTGGCGGCGCGGCCGCCGCCACGTCGCAGCCGCAGCCGGGCCCAAGTCTCTTCGGAAACGCTGGCGCTGCGAAGACCACTGCGCCGGCATCTGGGGGCCTCTTTGGATCTACTCTCGCCGGCGCCCAACCCCAGCAGCCGCAAAACACAGGCGGAGGCCTGTTTGGTGGGCTCGGTACCTCCACCGCGCAGCCAGCACAGCAACAGCAGCCGCAGCAGCCTAACCCGCAAGGCCAGCCGCAGCAGCAGCCAAATTCGCTTTCGCAGTCTCAGGCTGCCACGGGCCAGACCGCGTACTTCGACCACCTTCTCGAGCGCAGCAGGAAGAGAGCGGCGCAGGAGAATGGAACCTCGGCCTTTGGCGACCTTCCCAGCTTGCAGCTCGGACTCGGCGACATTGCGAGGAAGGTTAGGAACCTTGGTCAGGGTGGTCCTTCTGCGCCGCTAGCGCGCGACAGCAAGGCGTAAGTGCTCTCCGTTCGCTGCAAACGCTGATACTAATGTTGCAATGCAGTCACTACCTCCTCGCCGCCTCCGGCGTCAACACAAGCTCCGCCCTGAAAGATCTCAACCAATTCAGTGTGCAAGCCGGCGTCAACGCGCAGGCCGCCGTTCCCAGCTCTGTCGATGTCGACATCGACGCTTACATCTCGAATCTCCATTCTCAATCCACTCTGGCAATGATTGCGGAAGGCCTGGAGCAGTCCAAGAAAGACTTTGATAACTTCCTCGAGGACAACATTCAAATGGAGTGGGATGCGCAGCGCAAGCGAATCTACGAGCACTTCGGTCTTGGTCGTCAAGTGGAGAACCTAGAGGCAAGCGTGAGCGCTATCGGTGCTCCGGTGGAACGGGGAGCTTTCGGCCGCTCGAAGCGCAAGGGTCGTGGCTTTGGTGCTTCTGCTAGTGTTGCAGGCGTGACCTTTAGTGCTTCAGTCATGAACAAGTCCGTCATTGGCGCGCCTTCAGCTGTTGGAGGCGGACGCGCGAATGGCTTCGCAGATAGCAATGGCCCCAGCTCTGCAACCCCCGTCCCTGAGAGTCGCTTCATGAGGGACAAGCAGGAGAAGTACGCGGCAAAAGTCAAGGATCTGAATATCTCGCGCTTGGAAGAACGGCCATACCCAGTCATGACTGAGTTTGCTGAGATCGAGAAGCTGGCGCCCACTGACGTACGTATCTTGTGTTCTCCTCGCACCGCAGAATACTGACACGAGCAACAGAACTCGAACCGTCTGATAGATTCTTACAATGCCCTTGTCGAGATCATTGGAGAGAGGTTGCCCGACGACTCTACCAGAGATCCCCCGCCAAGGGAACGCCAATTTGCTCAAGACTACTTGGACGAGACGCCGTCTTCTGGAAGAAGCATCGCAATGCGCAAGCGCATCCTGGATGGCGCCCGGAGGTTTCTGGAAAAGAAGTTCTTGGCCGACATTAAGGAAATGAACGCGAAGAACCCCACAGAGTCCATGGTTGGAGGCGAGCCGACCCAAATCAGCCAAGTCCGCGGCTTCATCAGATTACTCGTGGCCAGGAAAGAGCTTGCAGCAGACAGCATCGAACTTCAGAGTGTTGGTGAGGACTTCTGCTGGGCTCTCATCTTCTACTTGCTTCGTGCAGGCCTCCTGAGGGAAGCTCTTGACTATGTTGCCGAGAATGAGCGTGCAATCCGGAGCCTGGACCGCAACTTTCCCTCGTACCTTGCCGCTTTTGTAAACAGCGACGACAGGAGGCTGCCTCCGGAGCTACAGACCCGCATCAACGCTGAGTACCAGAACCGCATGCGCCTTGCTCCCGAAAACTCTTTGGACCCCTACCGCATGGCGTGCTACAAGGTCGTCGGGCGTTGCGAGCTCAGCCGAACTACTCTTGAAGGAATCAGCAAGGGCATGGAAGACTGGGCGTGGTTGCAGTTCAGTTTGGCCAGGGAAGTCAACCGCGCTGAGGAGGCTGCCGGCGAGACGTTTGCTCTCGACAACATCAGGAGCACCGTTGCGGACATCGCCCAGAGGCATTTCCAAGGCTCGGATGCCAATGCCCAGTACGGTGTGTGCTTCTTGTTACACATGCTCGCGGGCATGTTCGAGGAGGGTGTCAACTTCCTCTACCAGCAGAGCTACACCACGGCGGTGCACTTTGCAATCGGCCTGTCTTACTATGGTCTGTTGAGGGTTGCCGACTTCTTCACGGCTGGAAACGATATCATGTCCTTCTCCACTCGATCGAAGCCTCAGATCAACTTCTGCCGCATCATCGGTCACTACACGCGGGATTTCCGTGCAGCGAAAGCCGAAGCCGCGGCTGACTACCTCGTCCTCCTTAACCTCAACTCCGACCTCGATGGCCAACTCGGCCAATCACAAGCAGCATGCTGCCATGAAGCTTTACGCGAGCTGGTACTCGAGACCCGCGAGTTCGCCTTGCTCCTTGGTGACATCCGCTCTGACGGTACTCGCATCACCGGCGTGATTGAGTACCGCCTTCGCCTTATCGGGCTGTCCGATCAAGAAGAGTTCCTCAAGAACATTACCCTGCAGGCTGCCGCGGTGGCCGATGAGGCCGGTCGCACCACTGACGCTGTGCTCCTGTACCACTTGGCCGAGGACTACGACAGTGTGATCGCGATCGTCAACCGTGCTCTGTCCGACGCTCTCGCCGTCGACATTGGCCAGAAGCCACACAGGTTGGAACCTCTAAAGCCACGCGCGGCAGCGAAGCGTCCCGAAGACGAGGCCGTTGGCAGTCTCAGCCTGACGGCAGTCGATGACCCGGCGCAGCTGGCAATGAACATGAACAACCTGTACAGTGCAAACGCGCTCATGTACAACAAGGTGAAGCAGTCAAACCGCACAGCCTTGACCATGCTGCTGCAGGTGTCTATTGCGAAGAACCTTGTCGAGCAGGGTCACTGGGCCGGCGCTTTGGATGTAAGTGTAACCCTACGATTTCACTCTCGACTACAAAGAGCAAAGCTGACGTTGTTTCACCAGGCTATCCACGAAACCACCCTCCTCCCCACCGGCAAGCAGTCCAACATGCAGGAGATTCGTCGGCATGCGCAGACGTTCAACGGTCTGCCGCCAGTTGTCGCCCGCCTCATTGGTCACTTGCTCATGTGGACGATCATCTGCTGTGGCCGCCGACGTGAGGAGCTGCGCCAGGCGAGCTTCGAGGCTACAGCTGCCAACAGGAACGTTGTTGAACAGCTCGAGACGACCGCGAGGGACATGATGGTATTTGCAGGTTTGGTCAGGTATAAGCTGCCGCCGAGGGTATTTGAGGCATTGGCGAGGGCAGGGCAGGAGATTGGTGCCTAAGGAAGTAGAGGATTGGGTGGGGAAGTCTTTTTCTTTTCTTGAATGATTAAGAGCTGCGAAGGAAAGGAGGCTATCGATAGCATACTGTAGTCACCGTTTGTATGGAGGAACACACACAAAACGAAGCGGTGAATGGGCGAAGGGCGGGAAAGAACATGACCCGTTAAGATGGATGATGTGTTTACAGGTGGTCAGTGGCAGAGCCTGGTTGGTCAACGCTCGTCGTTGGGACCAAGTCATCAATGTCTTTTTGGAAGGTCTTGGGTACTACAACTTTACTCATGAAGGTCAGACCAAGAATTATGTATGAACACATTTCCAAATCCAGCAAGGTGGAGCATGGGTTGGTATTGCGGCTTACGTCGGTTGCTGCGCCGCGGTGGGTCGTGTCTGGTGAAAGAGAGAACATTAACATTAATGCTTCTGGTCCCTAATTTGATATTGATTGACATATCGCTACTCGATGAAATGATATGGTGCATGTTTTCACTCCTCTATGACGAAGTTGATGAGTCTTCTTGGCACTCTTTTGTAGCTGATGACGTCGGCTTCAACACAGTGGTTAAAGCGACGGTATCGATAGGTCATCTCTACGAGTTCGTACATAATAAGGAGAACTAGGTCCTATTTATCTCTTCTTCACGCTCTCGATGATATGAATGCAAAGTTAATGTTTTCGAACGCAAGTGTTTCTTTGAGCTTAAGCTTTCGACGAGCAACGTGGCGCAGCATTCTTGCCACCAAAGTTTGGTGGAGCATATGAAGCGGCAAATAGGTAACTGACACGCTGTTAAGTCCAACTCGATGTTGGTAATGTACAACAAAGACGGTGGGGCACCAGCATGTTAGCTATAATTGGAAACAGTCGTATCGGATTAGTCTACTACACCACGGTCTATGCCACGAATCGATGCTGAGCAAGACTTCGGGGCCTCTTCTACATTGCTAGCCTTATGCCTTTTATTGTGGCTTTAACAAAGGCCTGGTGCTGGAAGACGCAATGATCCGCATGCGCATGCATGGCATACTCACTGCCCCCTGATCACCACCAGCTCGCACGGAACGAGCGAGCACAACTCAGCATACACACGCGCATCCAGCTGCCCTCCGCGTGCGGCTAGCTATCTGGCGGCATTATCGCTGGCTCCGGCTTTTAAGCTTTGGTCGTTGCCGATTCGGCTGCACGACATCACTGTCTGACCGGTGCCGCTGCACGTACCGCTGGAGGGAGATCATGATGGAGGAGCATCTACCGCCTCCTGCTCCGACGAGTCGACCTCACGCCTGCGCCTCACTCAGGTCCGGCGCTTGAGTGCATAGCCCATGCCACCCTCGCTGACGATCAACGATCCTTCTTGATCGTGACAAGGATGTGCTAGCTGTACTCCGACGTCTGGTCGTCCAAGTCTGCTTCCATTTTGGGGGACCCGTTCAGCCTTCTACTAAACGTAGGGCTAACCCGAGTAGTTTTGGACCCCAAAAGGGTTCAGGCTAAATCGAGGATCCGGGGCCGAGATGAAGCGCCAACGGCCCGGCGCCAGAGACCAGCGGCGACGACCCTGAAACATTCAGGGCCCTCGCGGCGAAGAAAGGTCCGTTTCATCCACGGCGAAGATAATCTCGGCTGTCGCAAGGGCTACCGGAGGCGAGGCGCCCAAATGCCGCGAACGTACCGTTCCGGGGGACCGCCGCTTTAAGCGACCCGATCTGAAGATGGTTCATCTCCCCGGATGCTGGTAGTTCGCCTTTTCCCTTGGGGGCCTCGAGCCAGAAGGAGAGAAGGGTGCTGGGGAGTGGGGGGCACGGAGCGCGGGGTGATGGCGGGCGGAAGGGAAGGATCGCGGCAGCCGTTACGGCCTGGCGGCGATGCGGCTGATCTACAGTTGGTTTTTGGCGCTAGCTCTTTCCTGACGGACGGAGTGGTGGTGTTGATGAGTTCCGGCAGGCGTGTCGGGATGTCGGCGAAAGACACAAGGCACGAGTAAGAAGAAGGCAGTTAATTTGGGTACGAAGTATAAGCTGTTGGTGTGATAATGTTCCAGATTGCGCAACGTGCCTACGCAGCCACATACTACATGCTGGACGCGCGGAATGCTGCGCAAAATGAGTGGGAAAAAAAAAAATGACTGGTGACGGAATGCCGGACTATTGAAGAGGAAAGCTCCGTGGTGCGACATACAAACCGTTGGAGAGCGCGTGGTGTTGGGGAATGCCAACGGCGGTTCAGCCAATATACAAGGCTGAAGTTTGACCCCAACCAGCAGCAAAAATGCCGTGGGAATTGGACGGTTGGTCGGCGTCGGCACGTAGAACGGCAGCCGCCGCCAGCGGTGGAGAGGGCGGTTTGAGATGGGCGCAAGCGAGCTTCTGGAAGGCGTGATGGGCGCGGCGTGTGGGGAAGCTGCTGAGCTGGTCCCCTGACCGGTGCCGCTCTCCGTCTCTTGCCCCCGGCTTGCCGACGGTCGGGACAGCGCTGGCGACGCGGAGCGATGGGGAACGAAAGGCGGTCGGAAAGCTCGTGCTGCTGGGAGATCCGTCCCGCGGGACACGCAGCTCACAACACACGATAGGCAGCCGGCTTGATGATTGCGCCATTTGTTGGCGAGTAGAGAGACAAAGAACTGGGCTGCCTGTGGGCCACGGCACCGTCACCGCTGCATCGAGTAGATGGGCCAGCCTCAGGGGCACGAGGCAACAGTCTTGGGCGTAGAGCGAGTTGAGGCGGGATGCGAGGGCCCCGCACACGACTCATCCAGGGGCCGCGGCTCGCCGGGACGGCGGCGGCCTTGCCTCGTCTTCTCGAACTCAGCGCCGCCGCAGATCTGAAGCTTCCAGAATTGCCGCGAGCTTCCGCATTGCGACTCGCTCCGGCGTCGTGTATAGTGCAGCCCGCTTACTCGCGCCCAGCCAGGGCGTTATCAGCCGGCGGTGCGAGGAGATTGCGCGCCGTATAAAGAACGTATGCCAGTCAGGCTCGTATAGTCGACGGCCGCCTGGCACGGCAGGAGCAGCGCCCGCAGGCAAGGAGCGCGAGGCCGCAATCCGCAGCTACCTATGTACGCGTCGCTTGTCTGAAGCCCACCGTCGTGAAACGAGGGACCGTGTGGGCGAGCTGAAGCAGGGAGCCAAGAGATGCGCCGATGTGCCCCAAAATTAGGGGTCGCGCGAGCCTTGGGTCCAGGGCGCCAGGGTGCCCTTGCTCTAGCCCGGCCTAGCGCCCCTGCGCTCCGCCTCCTTGTGCGCGTCGCCCGCCTACTTAAGAACACTTGTCCTCATCTTACGCTGCTGCCTCCTCAGACAACCCCCCTCCATACAAAGGCACGGCCCACCTTCTCTCCGCCGGCCAGATGCATAGCAGCGCGCGACTCCACCATGGACGCCCAGCAGTCTTCTTACACCTTCTCTAACCCTGCCATGACGGCCACCCCGCTCGACTTTTCCATGCTCACTCCTCCGGCGAGCGACATCCCCACAACCATCAAGATGGAGGATCTGCACTCAGCACCCAGCCCGGCCGCCGTCCCCGAGGCCGCCGCCGCCACCCCGGCTCCCTCATCCACAAGCACATCATCAACCACACAAAAACAAGCACCCAAGAAGCGCAAGTCATGGGGCCAGGTACTCCCCGAGCCCAAGACCAATCTGCCGCCGCGCAAGCGCGCCAAGACGGCCGACGAGAAGGAGCAGCGCCGCATCGAGCGTGTCAAGCGCAACCGCCTCGCCGCCCACAACTCGCGGGAACGCAAGCGCGAGGAGATGGAGAAGCTTACCACCGAGCGTGATCGCTGCAAAGCCTCGCTCGAGCGCTTCTTCACCTACACGCAGCAGCTCGAGGAGCAGCTCTCGTGGTACCGCGCCCGCGCCACCGAGCAGCTCCCCGTCCTGCCTCGCATCGTCGACGGCATCGAGATGCCCGACACCATCTTCGACAGCCCGGCCTCGTCGCCGGCCCCGACGTCTGCCCCCACGGCCGTCCCCACTTCGACCCCCACCATCATCACCACATCAGCCGACAACGCCGCCACCGAGCGCGAAGGCTCCGTCGCCAGCACCACAATCAACCCCCGCGAGGCCTCCTTCACCAGCCCCGCCATGAACGCCGAATCATCCTTCGGCAGCCCTGCGATGAACAACTCATCCTACGCCAGCCCCGAGTCGATGGAAGACTACGACTCGCCCATCAACTCCAGCTCCCAGCCCCCCACGCCCCGGAACGACGAACTGAGCTTTGTTGAGCCCGACCAGACACAACATTCTGCAGCAATGTTGTGCGACCTGCAGTGTCGGTCGGCCCGCAGCTTGGCTTCCAGTACGACGCTTCCGGCAAGCCTGTGGACTTTTCCCTGGGCGATTACCTATCTGATCCTTCTCAACCTTCGTCTTTCGTCGATGACGCTTCTCAGCTCTTCGATCTGTCAGCATATGTCACAGATCATCCAGAGGGCAGCTTCTTCGACGCCTCTTTCCCCTCAGACTCCGTGGGATCCCTCGGCTTTTTTGAGCACTCTGCTGCAAAGTCTTATGACCTGCACGCCGACTCAGGCGCAACAGTTTCTGTTAGCGACGGGCCTGGCACCGCTGCGTAAGCCTAGCTTCAGAGTTGCCGGAAAGGCTTCCGGATCCTCTGGCATCTTTCGGGAGAGAGACACGCGGAGAGCCGTCCGGCAATTCCGAAGACTATCGTCATCCATGTTCGACAAAGAGATAAGAACCATCAGAAGGCAGTGTACTGGGAGAGGGAGTTCTGTACAAGATAGTGGGCACTTTTGGCAGGACGGGTTAAGGCAAAACGAGCTCGTATCAAGGGTTTGAAGGGTGTTCAGGTGTTTTCATTGGCGGTATTAGCAATTGTAACTGTGTGACAAGCTTTAGCGACACGGAGGTTCAGGAAAGGTCATGAGTATGAGACAAGTCGGAGCTTCGGCTTTCGAACAACCAATAAACGAATTTAACCACTACTATTACTCCTCCAATGCTTGCCTTTTTGTGAGACACGTATGCAGTGTGACATTGAGCTGAGGTGGGATGCTGACGCGGGCTGACCGGCTGAACTGCGCTGACTGTCCTTGGTTTCGCAGCTCGGTATCACCAGATAGCGTCGAGCAAGTGCAGGCGAAGCCACTCCCCACAACGCCTCAGAGGCTTCTGAAACCGGAGCCAGAGAAGGTCCCTTCTCAGACGTCGTATGCTATTAGCAACGCGCCGAAAAGGGCAACGGAAGCGACTCTGGTAGAACCAAAGTCTCATAAAAGATGTTGCCTAATGGGAATCTTGACCGAATTTTCATCGACTCCGCTTGTACTCCCTTTTTGCTCCCGCTTTATTCCTAGTGAGCGCAAAGGGACCGAGGCGCTGCCGGCACCGGCGAAGGGTTGGTTCTAAATGACGTAGTTTGTACATCACAGGTCTTCCTTCCACCCACCCACCTATGCGGTTCTCAAACCCCACATGACGAATGATGGGCAGCCGCACCTGGAAGAAACATAGCAGCGTCATTGAAGCGTATACGCGAAACATATAAATAACAGCAGGAGCAGAGCCTCGCAACCATTCAACCCACAACACAACAAAGACATATCCTCACACAACGCACACACACATCATGCCTCGCGACGGATCTGGAGCTGGTGACAACGCCATTGAGGCCGGTCACAACATCATCCACGGCACTGGCGCCGAGCCCAAGGTATGCACTGCAGATGCCCCTCTGCTGTGGTGAACCTCGAGCGTACTGACCAGAGCAGTCGGACCACGTCGACCGCGCCGACAAGACGGCAACCCCGCCGCCCGGCGAGAAGGGCCAGGGCATCATGCCTCACGGCGACGCCAAGCCGCTGGCCGACCACACCCAGTCGAAGACGGACAAGCAGTAGCCTGCCTGCGGGACCACGAAGGCACGAATCTCCTTTCAGAGCATTTCACGACGCCATGGAACACCGAAGAAGGCAATTCATACCTTGCATCTTTGTACGATAATACCAAAGACATCCGGAAGGATGACAAGCCGAAGACGCTATCACAGCTAGGCCAGTCGGAGGGGAAATCGAAAGCCATTTGAAGCTACTGAATTTGCTCCATGTATCTGGTTATGGTGATGTCCTACCGTAATACTTAGTTTCCCTCGATCATCCCAGCCACCTCAAACACCAACTCGTCGCACCCGTACTGCGCAATCACCTGCATCCCCACCTTCCGGCCCTCCTCTTCACCCCCTACAGGCACGCTCATCGCTGGCAACCCCGCCAAGCTTGCTGGCACTGTGAAAACATCATTCATGTACGCATCGACCGGCTGTGCCTCCCTCAGCTCCTCCACCCGAGGCGGCAAGGTCGGCGCAGTTGGGCAGATCAGGACGTCCACTCCTTCGTCAGTAGCACTAATATCTCCGTTGCTATTGTCCCTTTCCTCCACCAGCAGCGGGTTCGCCATCCGGAAGCAGCGGTCAAAGTCCCGTTGCACCAGCCGGCGCACACGCTGCGCCTGGATGAAGTAGTTGTCCATGGCTTCGGCCGACAGCGTGTACGCGCCGAGCACGATGCGGCGCTTAACCTCGTCGCCGAAGCCAGCGCCGCGCGTCTTGCTGAACAGGATGGCGTCGGCGCTGCCGTCGGCGCCCTCCGCCCGCGTGCCGTACCGCACGCCGTCGTACTTGGCCAGGTTGGACGACGCCTCGGCCGGCGCCAGGACGTAGTAGGCGGAGAGGGCTTGGTGCGTGGTCGGCAGCGCGACGGGCACGATGGTGTGGCCGAGGGATTGGAGGTGCGCCAGGGTGCGCTTCCAGGCGCGCCGCACGGCGGGCGTGAGCTCGGTGATGTTGTAGTCCGTTGGGACGCCGACACGGAGGGGGCCAGGGTTGGGGGGAGTGCGTGGAAGGCGCGAGCGTGTGCTCGGGGCGAGGCTGGTTGGATCGAGCGGGTCGTGGTGGTTGATGGCGTCTATAGAGGGTCATGTTAGTGATTTCTATTGGTAGTTGGAATGGCGACTGGAGACGTACTAAAGACATCCTTTGCGGTTTTGGAGTCCCTTGCCATCACACCCACGGTGTCGAGAGAATTGGCGTAGGCAACGACGCCCCATCTCGACACCAGGCCGTACGACGGCTTAAAGCCCACAATGCCCGTGTACGCGGCTGGAAGCCTGACAGAACCACCGGTATCCGTGCCCAGAGCCCTATTAACAAGGCCAACGGTTAGCGGAGTATTATATGTATTAGGAGAGAACGTACGCCCAACACTGGTCCGTCGCTACGGCCACAGCGCTTCCACCGGAGCTGCCGCCGGCCGATACGCTCTCGCTCTGCGAAACAGGTCCGAAGTGCGAGTTCAGGTTGTGCGAGCCCATGCCGAACTCATCGAGATTCGTCTTGCCTGCCACCACGGCGCCGGCGGCGCGTAGCCGCTGGATCACGGTGGCATCGTAAGGCGAGGTGAAGGTGCGGAGGATGGCCGAGGCGCAGGTCGTGGGGCTGTCGGTCGTGCAGATGTTATCCTTGATTGCTACGAGGCGGCCATTGAGCGGCGAAGCTAATCATCGGGGGTGTCAGTAAGCTTGAGATATCAGAGGGTAGTCATCGTACGCTGTGACGTCTGCGATTCGGCGCTCTGGACCTGACGCAGCACGGCGGCAGTGTCGGGCAAGGTGATGAAGGCATTGAGGCTCTTGCGCGCGGCCTGGTTAGCTAGGCATCGTTGCGCTTCCCGCAGGAGAGACATAGGGATCCATGAGAGACCAGCGCCCTTTGTGGAATGACGCGCTGCTGCAACGCGTCGTGGTGAAGAGCTTCGCGGAGGTCCGCACTGCCGAAGTCACTCCGGTTGGTGCCTCAGGCATTCAAGATAAGTAAAAACCGTGACCATGATTGTTCAGCATCCCAAGATATTCAATTTAACATGGAGATCAGTAATAAGAATATCTCTCTAACGCGTCTAATTCGGCAAGGATAATGCACACAGAGAGATCCTTCCATTAGAATATAGGTCACTTTTAACAATTTAAAGCTTTATTTCAAGGGATATTAAATAGTATTGTTGGTGTAACAAAATTATACCAAAGATGTCTACATTGATAGAAGCTCAATTCAGCGAGGGTCGGAGGCAGTGTAGTAATACCTACAATTTCTGGGGGTATATTTATAGTACATGCACGCGGCTACTTATGGCGTGATTGGATCTTGGAAATTCGAGAATTTGATCACATTGAGAAGATCTGCAAGGAACAACTTATCTGTGAGACATTATGATGCGTTGTAGCTTCCATGCTGGTCCGTGCCATAAAACCTGGGTCATCTGGATCTCGATACTGTCTTCGAACTGGATAATGAAATCTGAGTGCCAGGTACTCCCGAGATCAGGAGCACAGCCTGTGGACAATGCTCTTATACGCGATCAAGGATGAAGGTTTATGCGATCCACAGCAGCGCATGTCAAAAGCCAACAAAGAGCCTCAATGTTTCTCGGTGATAGCACCCCTGTGATAGTCATTTAAAGCCACAACCGGTTTCTTTCTTTCTTTGCATTTCTGGACTCCGGTTGTATTTAGTACCGCACACTCTCTACAAAACCATAGACGCTTGCGGACGTAACCTTTAGATGTGGTTCGGAATTATGTACGGTTTACCTTACTCATATGGTCCTCGACCTGGTTCTACGTCTGTGTCAGGGTCTTCCTCCTCGGGAACATCATCGTACCGTGGATCCACATGGGCAGGCTCGGCCACCGGATCGACTACCGGATCGACTGCACCAAGTTCTTGGAGTGGCTCCACTGCGCCCTCAACATCATCGTGGGGCGGCGGAGCGAGATTCAACTCCGCTGCGGATTCTATGATTCTCCCACGAACACGGCAGATGCGGGAGGATGCAGCAAATCGTAGACGGAGGGATAAGAAGTAGTATTTTCGGAAGCTCCCATAAGAATGCTGTCATACAATCATGTGTTTGTGCTTGGTATGGGCGCTGTGTCGGTGGAAGAAGTCGACGAAGTCCCTCTGTTGGATAAACAAAGACAAATTCTTACTTTGAATCATGCCTTTACCTAGAAGCCCATTCTTAAAAGCCATGTTTCAAGTTCAAGCAAATCAACACAAGTATTATTGCTTCAAGCTTGAAGTGTTTGTCGTGATTGCGAGGCTGGTAAAACCTCGGTTGCGCGTTCTGAGCCTGATATGAGTGGGGTTAAGCTTCTGCCCCTCATTACAGTCCTCACTTGCTGTGAAAGCTGTACCTCATCGACAACGTTGAGCAAACCCCACAGGAAAATGGACAGAATCCCGAAATTTTCTGATCTCCCCCTACGAAAGGGCGATCCTCACCACTCTGCCTGGGGGCTGTAAGTGGCACAGTATAGAGGCTGAACTCGTCTACTACTGACGTAATTTAGATACGGCGATGATGATGAGCTCGGGTTCCTCAATCGATTGACAGAAGACGTCGTGCTGGAAGCGGCGAAAGAAATTAAGACTGGGCAAAGGTAAGTTTCTTCAGTCGTTGCAGAACCTTCCTACTTGCCGTTACGCCGGGAGAATAACGAAACACACGGGCTTTTTCAGAATCTCTCTTGACCTGCCGCTCGACGCCCAAGGTGACATTCCATTCTTTGGCCGCCAAGTATTCCACAAAAAAGTATACCAAAAACCTCCTCGTATCGTCAATGATGACGTGTGGACATTCAACACGCAAAGCAGTAGCCAGTGTTAGTATGGTTTCTTGAAGAGTTTGACTTTAATACTAAGGCATGCCCAAGGGGACGGCCTTCGTCACTTTGCCTATCAGAAAGAGCAAAGGTTTTACAATGGAGTGACGCTCGAGGACATTCATGGACAGCACGCGACAAACGTGAATGGCATCCATGGTAAGTCTCCTTTGCAAAGGGAGAAGTTAGTTGACAAAAGCTAGCTTGGTCCGAAAAGGGCATCGTTGGTCGCGGCATCCTTCTTGACTGGCACAGCTGGCGGCTCAAGAACAATGTCAGCTACGAGCCATTCAAGAGCGGCTCCATACCGCTGGCCGAACTACACGCGGTAGCAAAAGAACAGGGGGTTGAGATCAAGTTCGGAGACATCCTTCTTATCCGTTCCGGTGATGGTCCCACGGAAGCCTTAGAAGTGAAATGCGGACTGACATCTTGAAGGCTTCTTGACGGCTTACAACGCCATGGACAAAGATGAGCTGTCTGCGTTGTCCAAAGTCGTGCCGGCTCCGTTTACGGGAGTCGAGCAGAGCGAGGAGATGCTGCGCTGGATCTGGGAAAACTTTTCTGCCGTTGCAGGAGACCAACCATCTTTCGAGTGTTGGCGTAAGTTACTCCGGTGACCTGGATGAGCACGGGCTGACGTGGAATACAGCAAGCCAGAAAGATTATCTACTGCACGAAGTTTTGCTGGCAGGCTGGGGCTGTCCGATCGGCGAGTTATTTTACCTCGACGCTTTGGCAGAGCACTGTGCGAGGGAGAAGCGCTGGTCTTTTTTCCTAACCAGCAAAGTCTGCAACGTGCCCGGTGGAGTGGCCAGTCCTCCGAATATCTTGGCCATATTTTGACGGCGCCATGTCATGCGCCTGCTGGTCTTGGCGTGGCCCAGGCGACTCACTAGGGGGGAGCCCAGCTGGGCCAGTCATCCAGCGACTGCTTGCAACAGCAGCAGTCGTAGCCCATCTTTTCTTTTTTTCCTACTGGAGACCGGCTGGCCCAGTTAAGGCTCCGAGGGCTGAGAAGGGCGGGCCAAGAGCCAAGTCGATTGGCTACCTGCAGGTTGTTATCGTTTGATGTTAGTAGGTAGAGGGATTTGCTGAGCTTTTATTCGATGCACGAATCATAAAACTAGAGGAGATGCAAGGGCGAGGAGGAGCTGGGGCGCGAGTCTGTCGCCGGATTAGCGTCGCGCGTCGCGGAAGCTTGGCGCACCTAGTGGCCTGTGCGACCAGAAAAGCGTCACCGACCTCCGTTCATCCTCCGCATTTCTTGTCCGCTCGCCTCTCGCAAGCTGGACCTCCGACCGCCCGCGATCCTCTTGCGCTCGCCTGCCCCCATTGCCACTGCTCCTACGTTCGCTTTGCACCTCACGCGCAATTGCAGCAATGGCGCCTACCAAGGACCAGCCCGTCTCCTTTGACGCCATTATTCAACGCGGTACGAGCGCGCTTCCGCCTCCTATCCTTTCCCTCGAAGCTGACCACCCACCACCTCAAAGGCCGCCAGCAGCAGAAGAGGGAGGCTCTTGCGAACGAGATCTTGGGCTCAGGCCGCAGGAAGAGCGCGCCAGGCGCCGCTGCCCAGAACAACAGCAGTAACAACCGCAAGGGCGCCGCCGGAGGCAGTCTGGCCAGTCGCATGGGCGTGACCAAGGTGCGCTGAGGTATTGCTCTGCACCCAAGGCCGAAGATTGCTAACCCCTCGACCTTGTGCGACAGCACTCCGCTATCCCGAAGCCAAACATCAACAACACTCGCTGGGGCCACGACCTTCACCATATGAACAACCCGCGCACATCCCGTTTCGCAAAGCTCCCTCGTGCTCAGTCGGCGTCCCGCCTCGAGCGCGGCAACCGCCTGTACCAGGAGCTCCGCGCGGAGCCATCGCCCAACGGATCCCACAACCAGACCGCCCAGACCAAAGGTGCAAGTGGCATCAGCATCCGTGGCGCTGCCCAGCCCACTGGCTGGACTGTTGTTGCAAGCAACTTTGCGCCTGGTACCACTGCTGCCGACATCGAGGCTGTCATGACTCCCATTGGCGGAGAGATGCTGGGTTGCAGGCTTACCAGCTCTCACCCAACTGTCATTGCCGAGATGCAGTTTGTAGAGAAGAGCGGTGCTGACAACGTTATCAGCATGTTCAACAACCGCAAGGTACAAACACACTACATAGCTCAAGCCATTCCGTGCTGACTACCTTCCAATAGGCTGACGGCAGGCTTCTGTACGTCTTCATGAAGGAGAGCGGTCCTAGCCCCATTATGCCGGGCCAGCGTTCCGGATACCAGCCCCCAAAGACCGCTGAAAACCGTGATGGTATGGACGTTGACGAGGATGACATGGATAGGAGGGAGCCCGAGAGGACTAACAGGCGTGCGGAGCCTGAGTACCAGGATGGTAGGTACGGCTTCCCCGACAATGGTGGTCGTGACAACTACAGGCGCGACGACCGCTGGGACAACCGCAGGAGTGAGGGCCGCCTGTACTCTGACAACATGAGGCGCAACGACCGCGGCTACCGCCGCTGAAGAGCCCAGTGCCAGAAACAAGACATAAGTAGTCTCGCACGAGAACGCGGCAGATTTTGCGCAGCTCCGTGTGGAATGATGCTCACTGGAGCATAGAAGGCGTTTGCATGGCAAAAGGCGTTCACAATGATTGAGCGCCGGACACGGTTGGACAGCACAAAAAACGACCACAATACCCATGATTGGCTTCATTACGGGATGGATGTAGGATTAGAGCGATTAGGCGACCACCTTGGCAGGTCAGGAGTCTTCCGCGGCCTTTATCATTACCTAGGATAGACCCTCCAATAAATGATTTCTAGGGCTTCGTGGTCTTTGCTAGAATCGTCTTGATCATCTCGTTACCCACCCGCTTCGCCTCCGGGAAGCGTGGTTCGAAGTAGGTCTGGATGTGCTCGAATTTCTCGCGGTACGCATCCATGTGACCGAGGCTGACGCGGTCGCTCCAATCCTGTTGGGTTGCTGCGTAAGCTTCAGAAAAACACTAAATGGGATAAAGTTGGCGTACTCTAGCAGCGAACGTGAACTCCAGATCATCAGCACGGAAGGTATTGTCATGTATGGCCGTCTCAATGACCTCCTCCAGCAACTCAGGTTTGCGGAAGAGGTACTCCGTGATCCCTAACCAAAGACGGAAGAGCTGTTTTTGTATAAATCAGCACACAAACTCCAACCTTTCGTATAAAGTATGGACGGAAACCCTACCGGCGTTGAGCAGATCATATGATCGTATGGTACGATCCCTAGCTTCCACCAACAGTCTACCATTGCCAACAAGCTCAAATGGTTGTTCTTGACCCGCTCCGGTGGCTTCTCGCCAAGGCTAAACCGATCCAGCACCTCATCCTTAAGTAGCAAGTCCTCATCACCCACATCTTCCTTGAAAACAGCCTTGGCGGCAGTGTATATCCTGGTGCGGAGCTCCTCCTTGTGGCCGGCGAGCATAAGCTTGAAGAGCTCAGTGACGCTCTCGGCATACTGGCGGATCTGCTTCTGAGCGTAGGGGTTGAGGATGGCGAGGCCGGCGTAGACGTGCCACTTGTTGCTGTAGATGCGCAGCGTGACGTTAATCTTGACGTTCTCGATGCCACCCACGTAGCGCGGGATCTCCCAGGGGAATTGCGCATTAGCGTGCCAGGCAGCGCCCATGGACAGGAAGGCCGCGTGCGTGACGGCCTGCGTGTCGGCCGTGATGCGGTCGTGCTCGGCCGCCGTCAGGTAGACGTGTTTCGACTGCAGACACTCCAGGATGCGCTCGACCAGCGCGAAGGACGCGTCCGAGGCCCGGTGCTTGATCAGGACGAGCGGCTGGCCCTTTGGGTCCACGCCCGGTCCGTGCAGGGAGTGGACCGGAATGATCTCGACATCTGGCGGCAGGTGTTTCTCGAAGGCGGCGATTTCGGGGGCTTTGCAGGATGTTTGCCCGCCGACGATGGCACCGAGTTTGGTGGCTGTATTCGGCGAGGAGAATCAGTTGGTTAACAAGTTCAAGTGAACAACAGTGCGAGGTTGCAAATATTTCAAGGCATACATGGACCGTATTTGGCTACGACGGTGTCGATGGCCTCAGCTGGCACGCTGTAGATGATGTAGTCACTGCATCTGGAGACGAGATGGCCGTCCGGGTATATGTGTATATTGTTCTAGCGCGAGCCTCAGCTAGCCGCTCTTTGTTTACTTTGGACAAAGTACAAAATGTGTGCCATACGTGTCCGGCGTACAACTCCTTCAATTCTTCGTACTTGCTCGGCGCATCGCAGGCGTTGACCCTGTGCAGGATCAAGTGTCAGATGGGCACGTCACATCATTTGAGCAGATATCTAGGAGATCTTTTCGTATGTTAGCAAAGCTGATCTGCCAAACGGTTGTGCGATGAGTTGGGAAGTGTGGATGCGGTTCAGACAAATGAAGAAAAAGGTAGCTGAGATGTTACATCATAGACGACCCCCATAGCTTCCGAAGCCAGAATGGCCGACCGGTCGCTACGAAAGGCCATACTCGAGCCAAATGCACTCAAGTCATCATTGCAAAGAAAGGTAGGAGTGGTGAGTGAAAGAAGTTGCTTACCTTGCAAGTTTGACCTCCAGAATTTCTCCAAACGCGCCATACTCACCTCCAGCCAGCTTCGCTGATCCTCCGCGCGTACATCTTCCCCATGTCGCCCATGCCAATGATGCCGACAGTCTTGTCTAAGTCCGCCATGGTTGCAAGCGAATGCGCGTCGCAGCGCGAGCGACGCAAAGTCTGGTGGTCGAGTGCTGCTAAGTGATTCAGAAAGCTCGTCGTCAGAGCCAGGCAAATCGCAGTCTCAAGTGGGCGCAGCGGACATTCTCAGTCGCGCGGTGCTGGAAGAAAAAAAGAAAGAGAGGTGGAGCTGAGAAGTCGGACTAGAAAAGGCTTGCGCAGAAGCGAAGCGGCGTTCGGTGCAACGCCGGGCCGTGAAAAATCTTGGCAGCCCACACCGCGCGAAAAACAACTGCCGCCTTCTCTTTCCCTCTTTTCGCGACGACCACCCGCGACCTTTGACAATCAACCCACCCCGTCATCTCCCCAAACCGACGCCATGCCTCCCAAGAAGGTTGCCCGCGCTCCCCAGGAGAACGTCCAGCTCGGACCCAACGTCCGTGAGGGCGAGCTGTAAGTTGCATCGCTCGAATACGTTGTTCGACCTGTGTGCTGACTGGCTTGTAGCGTCTTCGGCGTTGCCCGTATCTTCGCCTCCTTCAACGATGTGAGTACAGAATGTTGTTTGGTTTAGCCAAAAATCCATCGAGGGTCACTGTCCGATCGACTTTCCTGCCGAAAACGAGCCATTGGCTGAAGAGGAGGAACGCTTGCGCCGGGGTGCGGCTTCGCAGAGGGGATCCACTGGAATGGCCGGTTGATGTGCAAGAGCTGGTTTCGTGCGCGAGTCGATGCCCGATGGACAGGCAGTCTGGGATTCCGTGCATTCAGCCGTGGAGATGTGGGGAAGCGCGACTCGAAGGCTCCGGATGGAAGTTGGACAGGATTCTCGACAAATTTGAACGTTCAGACATGCTGGGATCAGAAACTAACATTTAATCCTTCAGACCTTCGTCCACGTCACTGATCTCTCGGGTCGCGAAACCATCTCCCGTGTCACTGGTGGCATGAAGGTCAAGGCTGAGTATGTCCCGCTTCCAAAGGTTTAGTAGGAGGAGGGCGCTAACAGGATCCTAGCCGTGACGAGTCCTCCCCCTACGCTGCCATGTTGGCTGCTCAGGACGTCGCTGCCCGCTGCAAGGAGCTCGGCATCACTGCCCTCCACGTCAAGATCAGGGCCACTGGTGGTAACGGCACCAAGACCCCCGGTCCCGGTGCTCAGTCTGCCCTCCGCGCCCTTGCCCGTGCTGGCATGAAGATCGGCCGTATCGAGGACGTCACCCCCACTCCTTCCGACTCTACTCGCAGGAAGGGTGGTCGCCGTGGTCGTCGTCTCTGATTTGGTGCTGGTGGTTTTGGGTGTGCGTTCGAGGTCTATGGGGCTGATGACAACTACGAGAGGAACGGCCTTTTTCGCCTGGTCCTCACTTTTTCGGCTTGTCACATTGAATTGACCATACGATCATTTCAAACGTGCACTCGCCAGTTCACCCAACTTTTAGGCAGCAAAAAAGGAATGTAAGGATCACGAATCATCCCCCCTTCCCACATTGCATTTCGTGACATTTTTCGCTTGGTGTATACCATAGCAACCTCAAATTTTCTGCCCGCGCAGTTTCTTCTAGCTGTAGCGGTTCCTGGTATTGAGGGAGATTACCGCTGCACTTCACACAGACCAATCATTCGCATAATCAATCAGGTCTGTGTGCGGTGTAGCCATGGTGGGACTGTCTGAGAAAACTGAACGGATCATAAATTTCGTTTTGTGGTTTTGACTCCCTACATATCTTTGCTCTGCTTTTGATGCATTTGAGTCTCACAGAGAGACGGATTGAAAGATAAGCTCAAATATCTGCAATGAGAACGCAATTTGAATATGAAAGTATACTTGCTTTGCTTTGTGATGGTTGTGAGAGTGAGAATCGTCTTAGAGAACGGTGGAGCGGCAACAACTTTGTAAAGTGGGTAGATGCAGGGTCTTGCTGCGCGCCAACCCCGACGTCAGCCACGCCTTCCTCCGGACGGACACTTGACAGAAGACTCAACCACCATCTGGAAAGCGCCATTCGGATCTTCGCAAGTGCCGTTAGAAGAGGTTGCTCACCACCGTTGAGGAAGCCCAAATTCTCGCGCTATCCCCTCAAGCTTTTGCGCCATGCAATAACTTCCACGATTTTCCACGACTCCCAAGGCCGCCGCGGACCATCTCTTGTGGCAATTTTCAGCATTTGCGCCGACCCAGCTGCGGATTTTCGATCCTGCACCATCAAAAGCTGAGACAACGACACGTCTTGGAGCCTTAATTACTGCTCGGCAGCAAGAGAGAAAAATTGAAAATGGACGCCACACCGTGCGTCCTTCTTCTCGTTCCCGCAGGCGCGCTGGGCGGAATCGACCTGCTCTCCTTCACCACGACGAACCGGTTCAAGGGCATCAAGGACCTCCCCGCCGGCTGGCACTTCGTGTTCACCAGCAGCACCACGTCCCTCTCGGTCCGCCACGGCGCGTGGTTCCGCGTCCGCGAGACGTCTCCGGGCTCGCCACCGGACCTCTTCGTCAAGAAATGGAACGCGGAGCACGAGGAGCTGGTGCCCGAGTCGGACCCGGCGGAGGTGCTGCGCTGGCGCGCCAATCTGGGGGCCATCTGGCGCGAGGGCCTGACGCCGTACCGGCAGAGCGCGAGCAAGGACGCGGACGACGAGGGCGACAAGGAGCAGGACTGGCGCGCGCTGACGGATGCGATCAGCGAGGAGCTGCTGAACAGGATCCTCGGTGCTAGCAGCAGCAGCGGTGGGGGAGACCAGCAACACTGGGGGTTGACGAGCGCGAGTAGCGCGGCGAGAGACATGGACGACATCCCGGGCCTGTCAAGCGATCGCAGCGGCGGTGACAGCGGCAGCGGCGCGGCATGGCAGCCGGAGAAGGAGTTGGAGTTGCTGCCGATCGATTTGAAGATGACTTGGGGCCAGGGAGTCACGGGCCGGGAGCGCACGGAGGCGGCGCAGGATCGGTCGTGGGCTTTAGGGGACCTCGTCGGACGGGTGTGCGGAGGGAGGGAAGATGAGGTGCTGGGGGAGCTGCAGTTCACCTTCTTGATGGTGTTGACGCTGAACAACAACAGCTGCTTGGAGCAGTGGAAGAGGCTGCTGGAGCTGCTGCTGACGTGCAAGAAGGCGGTTATACAAAGGGCGAGGTTCTACGGAAGGTTCCTGAGGCTATTAAGGCTGCAGCTGCAGCATTGCCAGGATGCAGATGCGATGCTCTTCGATCTGAATGATGATGGTGGGTCATTGCTGAAGGGGCTGCTGAGGAAGTTTAGGAAGGGGTTGGATGAATTGGATGGCAAAGAGAAGTCGGACATCGTGGACGAGCTGGACGAGTTGGAAGAATTTTTGAGGGACGAGTTTGGCTGGCAGCTTGACGACTCCTTCGTGAGGAGAGGTATATTGGAGCTTGAGGACGGCGAGCAGGTTGAGATGGACGTAGGGACGCGGTTCGACGAGGATGACGAGACCGGAGAGTTCGCGCCAATGGTTGTGGAATTGACGGAAGAACAGGCGAGGAGTCTGGGTGGAAATGCACAGGCGACAGAGCAGCAGGATAAGAGGCTGGCGAAGCCTGAGTCTGGGATCGCGGACGAGGAAGTTCAGGAAGAATCGGAGGATGAAGCGGATTTGGAAGATATGGATGCAAGGTATTGATTCATTCACAGGTTGGCCACACAGATAGATTGGACAACCTGTGGTGAAACCAAATAATTATAATCAGAAAGGAAATAGCAATGGCATAAATATAACCGTAAGAGGAGCAGTGATGCTGAGGGTACATAGCTGGAGCAGGGTGTTTGCACTGTTTGAACACGCCATACCCGATCGGGTAATCTTGCGACTTCACTCGAACAACGCGATTTCTAGATTGACATTCTATCTCACAATCCAAGTCAGAATTTTTGTGAGGCTGTGTTGTAGCGACTTCTGCGATACTTCATGGTTCTTCTGTCTTAAATTTTCCTAATACGTCACATGAGGGTTGCGTCAACTTAGGCAGGCGCGTTCGGTGCATTGACGCGCAAGCGGACACTTCTTATCGCGACACATTTAGACCGTATTCACGACAGTACTTTGAGGGGCTTAATACAATGAGTGAGCGAGATGGTGTGGATGCGCGTAAATTCGCGATGCCGAATGCCAATTGAGAAGTGTTCGTGAGAAGGTATGGCGCTCATTTCAGATGCTGAAACGGAGGAGTGAGTGGCAATGTCCTCTTTCCTAGCAGCCTCAGAGAGCAATTGGGGGACTTACTACTGTCTGAGCTGGTAGCACTACCAATGTCAGGCTTTATCAATGGTCATGGGCGAAGTGAGAACATAGCTATCACTGGGCGCGAATCAGCTTCTGGAACTTCGCAGTTAATACACAGCCATCATTCAAGCTTCACCTGCACTTTGGCATCATATTTTGGCAGCATGCCGGTCTGTCTGGGTTTGTGGCGGTAAGTCTGCACGATGCAGGCGGTTCAGGGGCGGGGCGCTCATGGAGACACTGGCGCCTCATCGATCGGCTGATGACATCAGAGTGTCTAATCACGCTGGCACGACGGCTACCGCGGCAGCTCGCTGTGCTGCTCAGCAACCGGTCGCACATCGGGTTGCCGTCGCGCTGCTAGGCAACAGGCGCGGCGAGAGTTAACAGCGGTACTCACAGTGGGCACGGGTGGCCTTAATTTACGTCGATGCTGTAAAGTAGGACAGAGCGGAGCCCGGTTGGGGCGCACAGGGGGCGCGCGGACGGGACGGGCCAGCCCGCGCACGGGAAGGATTGCTTGCCCGCAGCCATCTCCAACGGCTGCAGGGTCGTATCACTGCATGTCCATCGCGTAGCCGGGGAGAGGCGGCTTAGCAGCATCTCATAGACAGTCTCGCAGCGTTCTGAGTGCTGGGCGCTGAGGCCTGCGTTGCTGACGATGTACCACCTAAGGCTTGCACATGCCTTGCACCTACCTTGCACCTGCCTTGCACGCACCTCCAGATGTACTTCTTTGGCGGAGAGGTTTTTATAAAGACTCATATGTTAACTTAGCAAGTGCCGTCCTCCAAGATGCTGTGAGGTTCATTGATCTTCAGGTATTCGCATCAATTGCGCTCCGTTGTGGTTCCCCCAGCTGCCCGAATAGCTACAAGTAGGTGGATACACCCCCTCATACGCCAAGCAGATCTTCCAAGTAGAACCTTGCACCGTCCACTTTTCTCAATCATGGTCCAGCCCATCCGCATTCTGGCAAGGCGTGAAAGTCGCCTACAAAACTGCGGCTGTTGTTGTTGTGGCTCGTTCTCTTCTTCATCACTTCAGCTCCAAGCACACATCAGGAGAGTCTTTGAAAGTACACACACAAGCACACACACAAACATACTACTTTCATCATGCCTCGCTCTCCACGACCTGAAGTGCTCACGACCCTGGATCTTCTGGGTCTCTTTGACAAGGACAGCGGGCTTCCCACCCACAGCTGTCACCCTCTCTATCGCCGGCACGCTCGCGACAACATCCGCGAAACGCTGGCTGCACGAACTGCGGCTCGTCTCTGCCACAAGGAGGCCACTCTCTCTCCGGCTCCCCGCTACACGCTCGCTCCTGCCGCGCCGGTGGCTCCGCTCAAGAGCTGCCTCAAGCAACCTTCTCGCGGCACCAAGAAGGCCGTCTCCATCAACACGGCTCGTTTCTCGCGCACAATCATTCCGTGCTCGACTTCTTCCGGCGCTGAACGCGTCGACAACACTTTCGCTGGGGTCCCCAACCACAGACCCGCAATCTCCATTCGCTCTTCCCTCGCAGCCGAGTCAGACAAGGCTGCCGAGTTTCACTCTTTTCTTGCCGGCTGCCGCGCTCGTCGTCTCGCCCGCGCAGCCAACCACACTCCTTACGTTCCTCGTGAACGCCCGGCCAGGCCTACTCTTCCAGCCCCGCCAACCTCCGATCGTCCTCCTGTCGAGGCTCCGCCTGCGACACCAAAGTACAGCGACTCTGTCGCAGCAACACTCGCTCGCGCCCAGAAAGTTTCTCGCCGCGTCCAACGCACTCTTTTGGAACCGCGATGCACCGATCTCAATCTGGCTGTCTATGCACGCCTTCGACGACCAACCTGAGCAACTACTTTCACTCTCTTCTACTTCTGTCGCTATCACTCTCTTCGGCCATGGGTCGACCACAATCTTTTCTTCAGCAGAGGTTACCGAGACATTCTTATCTTTTGGAAAGACACAACGACACCGACCAAGACGGCCCTTGAGCAAGGCTACCACGCGGTGATCACGGTCTTCCACACAAACAAGAAGATGCTACCAGGGGATGATGACGACCTACGGGCGATCATCCACCAAAGACGGCACTTCAACACATTGGGGCGGTTACCAGCGGATGATGACGGCTCCTGAGCGGGCTACCATCCAGCAACGACGACCCTCCAGCCGTAGAGCAACTAAGAAACTGTTATGACGGCCTGTAATGGGCTACAATAGTCGACGGCAGTGCTCCGGCAAAGACAATACAACCTCCCTCCATCGCGTGCGGCTTCTCTCGGTCTACAGCCATCCCTTGGGAAAGGATGAGCCTGCAAACGGACCACCATCACACACAGCCAATCGCAACCGTCTCTTACAATGGCGGCTTAAAACCGGGAAGCCTTTCGAGGGGACCCACCAAAAAAATTTTATACGGACAAAAAATCCTGGGAGGCAAAAAATAGGCTCCGTGGGGGGCTCAGTACTTTGCGGATTTTCTTTTGTTTTTGTTTTGTCCATTGGCTCTTGTTTGTTGGAGCTTTTTTTTTTATTGGCTCTGTTTTTGCTGGAGCTTTTTTATTGGCTCTTTTTTGTTGGAGCTTTTTTTTTTTTTTTTGCAACAGGAGGTGTTGCGGGTTGTGGGTCAGCGTGGCGCTGATGAGCGTGGGGTAAGTCTTCTCCACTTCCAATCTTTTTACCAGGACAATTGCTAACATTCGACTATAGGCTTCGAGGTTGGCTTTTTTGCGAGTGTTGGTTTGGGTGCTGGTGGCTTGCGAGGGCGACTGAGGGGGTAAGCTGCATTTCTTCACCATCACTCCCTTAGACCAGCACTGACTTCTTTCCTACAGTACGGCACGGCTTTGAGTGTTGGTGCGTGGAGCGTTGGTGGCTTGGATGGGCGACCGAAGGGGTAAGTCACGCCAACTTTCGCTTTGATCTAGAATACAGACTAACATCCTCCATAGTACGGCAGCTGAGTGTTGGTGTTTGGAGCGGTGGAGTGAGGTGGGCACCCGCCTGCTACGGATTGCTGTTGGGAAGTATCCCCCTTTCCCCTGTGACTGAGCTTATGCTAACTGATTTCAGAGGAATTTCGAGAATGTTGGAGGCTGATAAATGGCTGGGAAGTGACCTTGATACACTCCTATCTGAGCTTTTGCTGACGTACTCTCAGGTCCAGTTAGGAGACGATGCTACTCAGGCTGCTTGGGAAGTTGCCATCCACTCCTTTGGTTTTGTTTCCTATTGACTCTTCTCTACAGGTACCCTTTACACACGCTCGGGGAAATAAATAGATGGAAGTGTCCCCTGTCTCATCATGATATAAAGATACTAATCACTGACAGGCACGAGAGCATACGAGACGGGCACAGCAATCACACACTTTGAAGGCAGAAGGAGAGGTGGTACTTGAAGGTGAGTGGCCCCCGAGTGTTGGTGTCGGAGCGAAGGGAGGTAGATAGAGCATGACTTTATTCGGGGCTGGGTGGAGTATACTGTTCGTTTGGCTTTAGCTGGTTTTGGTTCTTCATCATACGTGTTCGAGCAAGTCAACCAATAATAACATTCGTTTGCACCACACAGTTGTTTCCAATTATTCTAGTTCTATTGTGCTGTGCTGAATACATTTATTGAACCGAATGCCATGTACGTTTGCGTTGCCGACTTCCTGTGCCTCTTGTTATACCAACCATTGCACATCCATAACAGTCGTGTCTGAGATTAGACGTTGAAATCGAGGAGCAAACCCATATGCTCCTCCAAAGACCAGAGAGCCAAAAGGAAGGACAGTAATACGTCAATCATCTACAACAACCTCTATGTCTGTTGCGTCTGCGGCTCTTGCTGATCCGGCAGGGCCTCTTGCTTCTCCAGAGCCTCCTCCGCTTCCTCCGGCTTTTCTTCAGCTTCCTCCGGCTTTTCTTCAGCTTCCTCCGGCTTTTCCTGAGCTTCGTCAAGCTTCTCCTCCAGCTTCTCCACCAGCTCATCCTCCGCCTTCTCCGCCACCTCGACGTCCTTCTCCGCCTTCATGCCGAAAGCCTGCGGCACCTTCTCGCTCAGGTTGATGGCGATGAAGCTCTTGGGCAGCTTGACCGTGTGGAACTTGTCGCGCAGCGTCTCGATGACCTGCATCCAGTCGTGGTGGCTGGTCAGGCTGCGGCGCTGGGCGATGCCGATGCAGTGTTTCGAGTCGAGCTGGACGTCGAGCGGGTCGAACGTGTGACAGCCGGGGCTGAGCGAGATGCGGATGCTGTAGTTGAAGCTGGACGGCTCGTCGGCGCCCGTCGAGTTCTGCGACTCGAAGAGCTCGAAGCAGATCTGCGAGAGGTAGTCGAGCTCGGGGATGGCGTTGCGCTTGATCTTGGTCTGGATGCCGCCCTCGAGGATGCAGTTGAGCAGCGTGTAGATGTGCGACTCCTTGGTAAAGTAGAAGAACGACTTGGGGTCCTCCGACGCCTGAACCTCCTCCAGATCCTTGACTATTTCCTTTAGTAGCGGCAGCGACGTTAGTAGGCCGATCTCGAGCTTCTCTGCGTCCGTGATGCCGTATTCTTGCGGCCCGATGTAGTCGAAGAGAACCTTGCAGAGCTTGTACAGCTCGCGCAGGCGCTCCAGGCGAGCGTCGGTCTTGACCTTTGAGGGCAGAGAGCCGTTTCCGACACCCTCAAAAAGGTTGAAATACGATTCTGGCGCAGGCGACTGTTCCTTTGATCGGTTATTGAATGCCGAGGCGGCTTCGGATCGGCGTCTGAAGCCGATACGCTGGGATATACTTCCCTTATCATGCTCTTTCGGCGGATCATGCATAGGCTCTGAGGGACTGGGAGGCTGTGTAGACTTGGCGCTTGCCGTGTTACTGGCCCCAAGAGCTGTCTCTTCGAGCGTGTCCTCTTCCAGCAGGCTGCTATCCGGCGTAAAGACCCATTCGAGGAACTGTCGGTTGTGAAGGGCATCGAACTTCATCGTATCGTACAACTCGGAGATCTTGCTAGGATCAACCTTTTCTTCATCACAGAATTCTTTGAAAAGCTTCTCCCACCTCTCTCTGAAGAGCTCGGGATCTTCACCACTGCACCATCGAGCCTGGATGTTTGTGACGTTGGCAGATACGTTTGCCACCGCAGAGCCTCCTCCGTTCGACGTGTCGGCGTTCGCAACAGCAGCCAAAGACGACACTGCATTGCTACGCAACTTAGTGAAGTTATGGCGCATGACCTTCCGATGAAACTTCATCAGGTCAACAACGCGGCGAACGACGATGAATGGCTCCGGCATGTTGTCGGGCCAGGCGAACTGCGGCGGGGCTTTGTTGCCTTGCCGGAGGAGGATCTTAAGCTTTTTCTTGACCTTATCCATCTCATCCTTGGCAGCGTTTGAGTCATCCAGGAGATCCTTTCTGACCGCGATGAAGTCCGGTGGCAGCTCCTGCTGATTAAGGAAGGTCGTCGCGAAAATCTGAGCGCTCGTGGTTGAACGCCGCTCCGAACTACTGTAGACACGGACGTCGTCCAGAGCATCCCGGTTCATAAGAAGCATGTCGTTCCTAAGGTTTTCGCCAAGATCATGAGCTTGGTAGCGAGCTGAGTGAGTGGGCTCACCGCCCCACTTGATGATCAGCTGGAGCTTATCAAGGATCAGATTGTTTTCCGCAGCGGCAATTCGCGAAAGAGTCATGCCAGAGAGTGAGTCACTCCTCTTCTCTCTCCACTCTTTTAGTTTCTCAGGATCCGTAGGAGGCTTGTCGTCTCCACTTAGAAGTTCTTGTGCTTTCTCGGTCTCGCTCTCTGAAGGCATCTCGGCAAGCAACTCGGGTGGCATTTCCTCCTTCTTGCGCTTGCGGAACATGGGCTTGATCTGGACCTTGGTGCCAGGCCAGCCAATGCGCTTGTTCAACGCATTCCTCAAGCTTGTGAGCTTGTCCTTATCCTCTTCGTCCTCTGCGAACGCTTTGGTGACTGCGTCCTGAACGCTCTCAAGTGCCGCCTCGCCAGTCAAGAGAACTTCTTCCTGGTGCCCCTTGAGTAGATCGATGAAAGGCTTTGTGTGAAAGCTGTACTTGATCTTTTGTTTTGGTGTTCTGTCAGCATGTCGGATGACAGAAACCATTCCCTTGAGCTTCCACTGAGCCTTGGATGCCGGCTTTGGCGGAGGCGCAGCCTGTTCCTCAGTCTCCGTCTTTGGGTGAGAGGTAACATCTGCAACAGCCGGAGGTGGAAGCATGTCAGGTGTAGGTGACGAAGTCTGCGGTGGCTTCTCGAGACTTGGGGGAGATGTAATCGGAGTGGTGGTAGACGAAAGCTCAGGCGAACCCGAGCCGTGACTATGGTGACCATGCGCCACGTGGTGCGCAATTCGTGACATACTCGGAGACTTGAGTATGGACTTGAGCTGAGCCCTGTGGCCACTGTGTGTATTTTTCCTTGAGTGACTGGGCTTGTCCGGAGGGGGTATTTCGTCGCTCTCGCTAGCCGGTTGTTGAGGGGGCTGAGGCTGAGACCCAGTGCGACGCTGCTTCTCTTGGATAAACATCTGTTTGAGGATACTCGCGCACTTGTCATAGTAATCGTTGTTATCCTTGACGAAACTCCAACCATTCACGTCGATGACGTAGCTTTTGTCACCGGTGCGGAGCAGGTCAAACCCGCATACACGCTGGCCGAAGCCCTGAGCAATTCTAGCGGCCATGGCGACCTCTTCCTTGGTCAGACTAGTGACGTAGCGGATTTCTTTGCCGTTGGGGTTGCGCTTGACAACACCATCAACCACCGGAGATTTCCTGGTCTCAGCATGACAGAAGTCGGGGCCAACCGTATAGGCCTTGACATCTTCAGCATTCTCCACCCTGAGAAACTGCTCGTAGATGTAGCTGCTGTCCGGATCCGTAATAGCTCGCGGGACCTCGAGACTGTCATCCGCCTCCGAGCTCTTGTTGTTGACTTTTCTGAAAAGGCGACGACCACCTCCACCAGCGCTTTTGGGGAAGTAGATGTGGATATTGTGATCTTCACCACTGGTCGGCTTCTCGACGAAGGGCTTCCGAAGCTCGACGCCATCCACGCGGATGACGTCGTTGTCTTCCAGCATTTCAACACTTTCCGGTGGCTTAACCCCACCTCCGGTTCCATCTGGTGCACCTTCCAGTTTGACTCCGGTTTTCTCATACATGATACTGGCCAACTCTGCGGAAGGGAGCGTGGGACCACCATCACGATTGACCTCTACTCTCTTTGGAGTTGGCACGTTCAGCTTGTCTAGGATCCTCAAGCACAGACGACGGTCCCAAAGTACAGTCTGCATGGGCAGATCATTAACACAGAACGGCTTCCTGAGCTTGGAATAGGCGACGGCTTTGTCAAGGGGAAAGCCATCTGAAAAGAAGGATATCAAGAAGTCGCAAATGGGCCAATTCTCCACCTCTTCGTCCAGGATAACCTTGTCGCCGAAGATAATCACCTCAAAGTCCTGGTTGGCAATGAGCCTGTTGAGGATATTTCGGCTAGGCTTGCTTCGTGCTTTTGTGTCCATGGCACACACGCCAATGATACCAATGGGTGGTTTTTTGGGCTCGTACTCCTTGCCTGCAGCATAACTGCGCTCACTGGCGGGACTTCCGCTGCCGGCGACACTGGAGCCATGGTGACTGGTTCGTCGAGCGGGATTGGTAGTCCGGCTACGCGAGCGGCGATGTTGGAGAAGAGGAGCGGGCTGAGCATTGATTGGATGGCCGTTCACGGCGGGGGCCGGGGCGGAGTTGGGATCAGCACTCTGGTCTCGGGGAGAGAGTAGCTGTGATGGCGAAGGACCGTTGTTGTGACTCGAAGTAGTGACTGAGAAGGATGAGGTCTGCGTCGTTGCGCCATGCGAAGGACCGTCAGACTTTGCTTCGGCGACGTTAGCCTGTACAACGGGCTGGCTGGGCAGCACTTGACATACCATCCGGCTCACTGCCCGCAACAGAGCTGGGACCGCCGGAGCCGCGGGCGCTGTTGTATATCTGCGAGCCGAGCGAGTAGAGCGACGAAAAAGACATGCGGTTGGACTCTTTGTCCGCGGACGGGGACATGGCAGTGGTTGGTGTTGGGTCATCGTCGATTGCGGACGAGTTCTGGGCGTCTTGCTGGTCGAGGATAAGGGAGGCGGCGACCAGGCTGTCGGAGGCTTTGGAGGGTCTGCGGTCATGCTGCTGGCGGGCAACGGGCTTGGGGTTCGGTGGGGGCATAGATATGCTGGCGCGGTCTACGTCCCCCATGCTGGTGCCAGGGTCGGCAGAGCGACCCTTGCGGTTGGCCGAGGGCGACGAGGCGCCAGAAAGCGAATGTGATCCATGACGCGACCTGGTGCTCTCAGCACTAGTTGTGCGCGTTAGAGAATCCATATGGAGTGGCTGGACCGATGTGACGCGCAGAGCGTGGCGGTTTCGAGGATTTGCTTTTGGCCGGGGCGGACGTGCTGCAGGCGTGCCTTAGGCTCGGCCAGACATGACGTCTAGCAGGTGCATTTGGCCGGGGGCATGCTCCGTTTGTCGTTGCCGCCGCCGCATGCCTTCACTAGCGCCGCCCTCCCGCAACCCCACGCCCATCCTCTCGGGCCTTGATGGGCAGCACTGCTATCCCAGGCTGACGGCGTGCTGAATCGACTGGCTCTCGGGCCTCCGCGCCCTCTCCCACAAGGCTGCCGTCCCGAGCAGCCGCCGCCTCCACAGCGCCATCATCTGGAACGTACCGGCTGCCCGGGACTCTTCAACATGACTTCATGTGGCACGTGTACCCAGTCGGCCAGCCGTGCTTGTGGCACTGCCAGACACGGCTTGCTGGTATGGTCCAGGCAGCTGTCTCGAGCTGCTTCATGCGCATCGATTGGTGTAGATCCAGGCTCACGCAGAGCGAGGTGCAGTTTTGGAGCCGCTTGGCGTGCTGCAGGCCGCGTCAGGCCGTGCACGAGCACGGATTCCCAGCCTAGCCAAAACAATAGCGTGTCAATGTGTGCTCATATTGCAAGACCACGGCCCACAGGGAGTAAAGCGTTGGTGGAGTTGGCGATTGATGTGCGGCCACGACTATTGCACCCCTGCTTAGCCGCGGACGCCCTGCAGATCCCGCGAGCTAATCCAGAATTTTTCGAACCACAGCCGCGACGGAGCTCCAGCGACGCGCCCTCCGTCTGCAAAGCCCAGCCAAGATGTCTGCGACAGCCACAAGCACCCAGGTCGCGGATGGCCGCGTAGTCAAGCGCAAGAAGCTCAACGCTAGCAAAGCCCATCCTGAGGGCAAACTGCGCCCGACCAAATCGAGGCTTTTCGCGCCGTTCCGAGTATGCGCCGCTATACACCAATTTGCTCTCCGGGAAGAGCTGCTAACCCGCGCAGACTGTAGGTCTGATCTCGCCTACTGATGTCCCATTCACGACCGTCCCTCTTGGCAAGACCACATTTCAAATCACCACTTCCGTCGGCCGAAGCCTGCAAACCTACGATCTGCGCCGCGGTCTGAATCTCGTCTTCATCACGAGACCGCAAACTCCAGAGCTCATTACCGCAACGGCAGCATGGAAAGACAAGATTCTGGCGGCATGGGGGGGCAAAGACAAGCAGGCAATCAGAGGTGTGTGGGTGTTTAAGCGTGGTAAGAAGGTGGCCGAGCTCGAAACACCGAAAGGCTGGGATGAGAACATCAAGCAGCTCCTGGTGTTTGGTGCATGGATCGTTGGCTGTGGCTCCACGAGGATCGACGTCTGGAAGTCCGAGACGTTAGAGCATTATACCACTCTCATCGCACCACGAGCTGGTAGTGCAGGCAGCTTACTCACCGGTGGTGTCTGTAACATGCCCACCTACCTGAACAAGCTCCTTGCCGGCAGACAGGATGGAAGCGTTGAGATCTGGAATATCAACACTGGCAGGCTACTCTACACGATCCTGCCGGCTGCTGCCGAGTACGGCCATGTGACGGCCCTGCAGCCGTCTCCCGTTTTGTCGCTCGTCGCTATAGCCTACAGCAGCGGCCCTGTTACCATTCACGATATCCGCGCCGACAAAGAGATCCTCACTGTGAACACTGGATCCTCGAGGAAGGCGCCAGTCACTTCAATTTCCTTCCGGACGGACGGACAGGGCGCGGGAGAGGATGGTCGGAAGGACGGCGTTATGGCCACTGCCTCGAAAGATACCGGCGATGTGGTTTTTTGGGACCTGAACGGAGGCGGCAGGAAAATGGGTGTGCTGCGAGGCGCCCACGCTCCGCCATCGACTGCGGATGGTGGTGTGGCTGGTGGCATCAGCAAGATTGAGTTCTTAGCTGGCCAAGCTGTCGTCGTTACCAGCGGTCTTGACAATTCCTTGAAGACTTGGATTTTCGATCAGACTCCTTTCTCGCCTGTTCCTCGAATCCTCCATTCCCGCAGCGGACACGCCGCGCCCGTGTCAACCTTACAATTTCTCCCTTCGGATGCGGATGGTGCGGATGCCGGTGGCAAATGGCTCGTCAGCGCCAGCAAGGATCGGACACTCTGGGGCTGGAGCTTGCGGCGTGATGGCCAGAGTACGGAGCTGAGTCAAGGCAACATTCGCAAGAAAGCTAAGAAGATGGGTATTCTGAGTGAGGGCCTGGCGGCTTTGGACAGTAGCCTGTCCATCGAGGATCTGAGGGCTCCGAAGATCACCTGCATGGCATGTTCCCTAAACCGCGACGGCGGTATGGGGGCAGTGCCAGACGTCAATGCCATTTGGAACAATCCTAGTAAGGGCAAGGGAGGTTCAGAAGCAACTGATCTCACCGGCTGGGAGAGTATGGTTACCGCACACGAGGACAGCAAGACTGCAAGGACATGGTTCTGGGGTAAAAAGAAGGCTGGTCGGTGGGCGTTTGAGACTGGCGATGGGACACCGGTGACGAGTGTTGCAATCTCTCCTTGTGGTACATTCGCCCTCGTCGGATCTCAAGGAGGTGGCCTGGATATGTTCAACTTGCAATCAGGCATCCATCGTCAGCGGTTCCCTGCAAGGCTCACCCCACAACAGGCCAAGCGGTTGAAATTGCAGCAACTCGAGGAAGAAGAGTCGATGGAGGTGGAAGCCAAGCCGAAGAAATTCGCAAGAGGTCAGGGCAAGCATACCAAAGCAGTCACCGGTATAGCTGTGGACAACCTAAATCGGACCGTAATCAGTTGTGGCGAGGATGGCAAAGTGAAGGTAAGATATTTCTCCAAACTGTCATGTGTTCGTCTCGCTGATCATCCTAGTTCTGGGACTTCTCCAACGGGCAGTTGCTGCATGAGATTGATTGGTACCCTATGGTTACCATCAACAGTCTTCGCTACCACAGCTCAAGCGATCTCATTGCCTTTACCTGCTCCGACTCCTCCATTCGTGTCGTCGATATCGAGACAAAGAAACTGGTCAGAGAGCTCTTCGGCAGCCAGGGCCAGATCACTGATTTCACGTTCTCAAACGACGGGCGCTGGATCATCGCGGCTTCGGCTGACTGCATTATCCGCGTCTGGGATTTGCCTACGGGACATATGATCGATGCGATGAAGTTGCGTAGCAAATGTACTTCGCTGGGTATGTCTGCAACGGGCGAGTACCTTGCCGTTGCGCAGGAGGACAATGTTGGCGTCAATATCTGGACAAACAAAACCCTGTTCACTCATGTTCCCACCAGACACATCTCGGATGACGAGATTGCTGAGGTCGACGCGCCGACGGCATCAGGCGAAGGCGGCGAGAACATCGTCTCTGCAGCTTATGCGGAGGATGAGGACGAGCACGAGGAGGAGGAGGAAGATGCTGGCATTCCGTCGGTGGATCAGCTCAGTGAATCCATCACCACCCTCAGCTTGGTTCCTAAGTCGAGGTGGCAAAATCTTCTCCACCTGGATCTAATTCGCGAACGCAACAAGCCCAAGGAGGCGCCGAAGGCTCCTGAAAAGGCACCTTTCTTCCTTCCGGGTCTCAACGGTGCGGCTAACCCCGCAGCCAACGGGGCCATTGCCGGGATAGACCAGCAAGATACCGCCGCGAAGGCTGGCCCTGTGTCACGAATTTCGAAGTCCGGGGCTCACCAATCAGAATTCAGCCGGCATCTTACTAACGCTTCCGAGTCTGGCGCGTATGATGATTTGGTCTCCTACTTGTCAACTCTACCACCAAGCGCAGCCGACCTGGCGATTCGGTCTCTGGAAACTCCGCCGTCGCATGAGTTTTTGACATTCATTCAAGCGCTCACGGCACGGCTGCGGCAAAAGCGCGACTACGAGTTGATCCAGGCGTGGATGGCAGTATTCCTGAGGCTGCATGGCGAGGATATCACGAGCGACGAAGAAGTTGTGGAGGCGCTGAAAGAATGGCGCGAGGAGGCGGGCAGGGAGAGAGCGCGGCTTGGCAGCTTAGGCAGCTACTGCGTTGGTGTGGTGGGATTCTTGAGAAGCGCACGGTGAGGGGGCAGGGTTGGGCATCAGAGGCAAGCTCTAGGGATAAAATAAAAGTATGATATGTATTGGATGACGCCACAGCCGAAGGTTGTCTCGTACGCTCGATTCGATGGCTCGAGGGTGGCGTGAATGCGTGTTTCTCACATATTGGGGAAGAGTTCGCAGACACGCTGCATGCGTCCGAAAGAGATTGCATGTCCAGCCCACTCTTGCGACTGCTATTGTGACTGGGTTGATCTCCCATTGCCATGTGCGCGCCTCGGTGGCATGTCTGTATTGACTGCGCTAGAAAGGTGCGGCTCTGGTAGCAGGATGTCGCCGAGGCTGCGCACGGACCGTCGCTCTGGCGGACGGAAGCGGTGCGACGCGACGCCCCCCCGGTCGCATAACTTCAGCTGCGTGCTGAAAAACAAAGCCGCACTGCTCACTTCCATCTCGCGACTTTTTTTCTGCACACTCCCGCATCTCCGTCCAGTCGAGTCTTTTTGCGTCGAGCTGCTCCTGTCGAGCCAGGCAGCCGCCTCCATCCATTCACGCCTCTAGGCAAACGCGTTGCATAAAAGCTCGCTCCTGCTTGCTGCTGCCAGCCGCCAACCTCAGCTGCTGCATCGCGCTACCATCGACCGAAGCTCATTCAAGCGAGCCGCCATCGCGCAGCTTCATACTCAACTCAACACAATCCAATTATCCATCTTCTGCCATCGCGATGCCTCCCAAGAGAGCCGCTGCAGCTGCTGCCCCTAAAAAGGCCGCCGCCGCCCCCAAGGCTGCTGCTGGGAAGACGGCCGCCAAGGTGACCAAAGCCTCGGCCACCACCAAGAAAGCTCCTGCAAAGAAGGTCGCTACCAATGGCGAGACAAGTCTCCCGGTCAGGCGCGGCAGGCCCCCGAAGAAGGATGCCGACGCGCCCGCCCCGACGAAGAAGACGGTGAAGACGGTGAAGAAGGCCGCGACTAAGAAGAAGAGTGAGTCCACACCCTCAAACCATTCCAGATGCATCGCGCCTTTCTGCTTGATGGACATGTGCTGACGACGCGCAACTACAGGTGACGACGCCGCAACTGCTAGCTTCTCTACGCAAGCTGCCAGCGAGGCCACGCAGGAGACCGCTGCCACGTCCACTACTGAGACTGCCCCCGCCAAGGCCTCCAGGAAGCGCAAGGCCACCGAGGAGCCCGAAGTACCTGTTGCGAAGAAGATCCGCATCGCGCGCTTCAAGGAAGAGGATAAAAACAAGGCGCCCACTCAGAAGCTACATGTCTACGTCTTCGGTGAGGGCAGCTCGGGTGAGCTTGGACTTGGCACTGCGAAGAACGCGGTGGATGTCAAGCGCCCGCGCCTTAACCCTCTGCTCCCTGCCAACAGCGTTGGTGTTGTGCAGGTTTCGACTGGTGGTATGCATATTCTTGCTCTCACCCACGATAACAAGATTCTTTCCTGGGGCGTCAACGACCAGGGTGCTTTGGGCCGCGATACTACCTGGGAGGGCGGTCTTGTGGATATCGATGACGCCAAGAGCGAGGACAGTTCCGATTCTGGCTCTGACAGTGGCATGAATCCCAAGGAAGCGACACCCACCGCCATTCCTTCGAATGCTTTCCCCGAAGGCACCAAGTTTGTGCAGGTTGCTGCATCTGACAGCGCCTCTTTCGCTCTTACCGACGAAGGTCTGGTCTACGGCTGGGGAACTTTCCGCAGCAACGAAGGCATTTTTGGCTTCAGCAAGAAAACCTTCATCCAAAAGACTCCGGAGCTCATCCCAGAGCTCAAGAAGATCCGCGATATTGTTTGTGGCGCCAATCACGTTCTTGCGCTAGATGCCGACGGCAATGTTTTCGCCTGGGGAAGTGGTCAGCAGAACCAGCTGGGTCGCCGTGTGATTGAACGCACCAAGACGGAGGGTCTTGTCCCCCGTGAGTTCGGTTTGCCACGCAGAAAGATCGCCCAGGTCGCCTGTGGCTCCTACCATTCTTTCGCTGTTGAAAAGAACGGCACTGTTTGGGCCTGGGGTCTCAACAACTTCGGCGAGACGGGTATTCCTGACAATGCAGGCGAGGATGATGCAGTCATCCTTAAGCCCGCCAAGGTTCTGGCTTTGTCGGAGAAGAAGATTAAGATGATCGACGGTGGTGGTCACCACTCTGGTGCTATCACTGAAGACGGAAAGTGCCTTGTTTGGGGCCGTCTGGACGGCTACCAAATGGGTCTCCCCATGGATACTCTTAAGAGCCTTGGAGAAGACAAGATCAAGAAGGACGAACACGATAGGCCCCGCATCCTCAAGGTTCCTACGGAGCTCCCGAACATCAATGGCGACTTCATCACCTGCGGTACGGACCACAACATTGTCATCAGCAAGGAGGGCAAGGCCTACTCCTGGGGCTTTTCAGCCAACTACCAGACGGGGCAAGGCACCGATGATGACATCGAGGTTGCGACTATGATCGACAACACTGCGGTTCGCGAGAAGAAGCTTAACTGGGCCGGCGCGGGCGGTCAATATTCGATTCTTACTGCTCCTGCCGAGGATGCGCCAGTCGTCAACGGCACTCACTAAACACGATTCCTTTCAACATGCACCGACGGCGTTTAAAGGAGAGGGCATTCACTGGATTTGTTTCTGTTCTGTGGGATGGCCTTTTAGACATTTGCGACGAGGAGGATGAAGCCAAGGCTGCAGGCGGGATGTGATTACGTTTGCCGGCTAGCGAGAGGGTTTAATTTTTCCTGTTTTGGCGTTACGGCGGACAGGGGTATAAAAAGTTTTGTCACAACAGTATGAGCGGCGGCGCTGGGGCACTGAACATGCAGATGACTGGATTTCTTGTCGGTTGGACATTCTGAAAGAAGCAGCAGCAGTCATTTTGCGTAGGCAGTGGATTAATCGAAATTATTAATGTGTACCAAAAGTCTCCGAGGTGGCTTGTCGGCTCATTCTAAGCACGCGATTCGGCGAATATGTAGTTTCGTGAACTAATACGGCGAGGGGGTAGACGATGGTGGTGATCAATGGCCTGAGTCCTGCGTCCCAGGCCAATGGGCGTTGCGGAAGTGCCTGGGGCGCTGACTCTCTATCTACCATGTATTGCCCTTTGACCGCGTGGTACAGCAGGATTGCCTCCGATAGATTCCGAGAGAAGCCAGAATTACGTAGTAGTGGCTCGGCCAAGGTCCCGCGGGCACCGAGAACGCGTTGTGCCGCTGATAACCAGCGCCTCAAAACGGCCATGGGACCCTGCACGAGATGGAAATTTCGTGCAAAGGGAGACCTTCGAGCTCGTGTTCCTAGCGGCCTGACGCGCTCGTTTCTCACTCACCCAGAATTGCGTGCCGGCCGAGCTCCATTTTCTCGAGCAGCACGTCTGGACTAACCCTACGTCACGACCGCCACCAGCAAATTCGACGCTGCCGCTCGCCCTTCGCCAGACCAGACCGTTTGCACCGCGCAAAGGGGCGTGTACCGCCCTCTTTCCCAGTCTTGTCTCTCACCATGCAGTCTCAATGTGCCAGGGCAAGCTTCCGCGCGACGCGTCGCGTGCTCTCTCACGATAGCGCTGCGCGCTTTTCCCGCAGCCCTCGCGTTCTGCGCCAGAGCCTGCCAACGCGGACGCAGAGCCCGAGGACTCCTTCCTTTGCGCGCACCTACTACACCAGCTCGACCGCTGATACGAACGGCAACAGCCCGGCGAAGAAGCGCGGCTCCGCCTTTGCGCCGCTCGACACCTTCCCCCACCGCCACATTGGACCTTCGGCTAGCGATGCCGAGCAGATGCTCAAGACCCTCGACCCGCCAGTCAGTTCGCTGGACGAGTTCGTGAAGCAGGTCGTGCCCGAAGACGTGCTGTCGGATCGCAACCTCAAGATCGACGGGCCCCAGCTTCGCACCAAGAGCGGCGAGACGGCCTTCAGCCAGGATGGATACACCGAGAGCGAGTTGTTGGCCCGCCTTCGCGAGATCGCAAACGCCAACAGCGTCCACCGCAGCTACATTGGCTGTGGCTACGCGGGCACCCGTACGCCCGAGGTTATCAAGCGCAATGTCCTTGAAGGCCCCGGCTGGTACACTAGCTACACCCCCTATCAGCCCGAGATCAGCCAAGGCCGCCTGGAGTCTCTTCTGAACTTCCAGACCATGGTCTCGGATCTCACTGGCTTGCCAATCGCTAATGCCTCCGTTCTGGACGAGCCAACTGCCGCCGCAGAGGCCATGACGCTGGCTTTGAATGCTCTGCCTGTGAGCAGGCTCAAGCGGCCTACTAAAATCTTCTTTGTCGACGAGAACTGCCACCCGCAGACGATTGCAGTTCTCCAGTCTCGTGCTGAAGGATTCGGTATTACGATTGAAACCGGCGACGTGCTGAAGGATGGTAACAGCCGTGTGCAGGAGATTGGCCAGGATCTCGTTGGTGTGTTGGTGCAGTACCCTGACACGTATGGAGGTGTGGAGGATTACAAGGCCCTTTCGGATGCTGTACACAAGCTTGGCGCCACAGTCAGCGTTGCTACGGACCTGCTTGCTCTGACGGTCCTGAAGGCTCCTAGCGAGTTCGGCGCCGATGTTGCTTTCGGAAACGCGCAGCGTTTCGGCGTGCCTTTTGGCTACGGTGGCCCTCATGCTGCCTTCTTTGCCGTGAGCGATAAGCACAAGCGCAAGATGCCTGGTCGGCTTATTGGCCTTTCCAAGGACCGCCTGGGAGATAATGCGGCAAGACTTGCTTTGCAGACTAGAGAACAGCACATTCGCAGGGAGAAGGCCACGAGCAATATCTGCACAGCCCAGGCTCTTCTGGCGAACATGAGCGCGTTCTACGCCATCTACCACGGCCCCAAGGGTCTCAAGGCCATTGCCGAGAGGACCATTACTGCCGCGCGAGTCCTGCAGAAGGGGCTGAACCAGCTGGGCTTTGAGACCAGGAAGCGGGGTACTGGCGAGAAGGGAGCTGTTCTCTTTGACACTGTCGTTGTTGATACCGAGAGCAACTCGGACAGGCTCATCAAAAAGGCTCTGGACACGAAGAAGATCAACCTACGGAAGATTGACGACAGCCACATTGGTATCACCTTGGACGAGACCATTACCAAGAACGACGTGGAGGACATACTGGACGTGTTTGCTTCTTTCGTCGGTGTTAAGAACCTGCCCGATCTTGAGGCTCTCGCCGAGCAGGTCTCCGCTGGCGGCATCCCCGAGCAGTTCAAGCGCACGACGCCATACCTGACTCACCCGGTCTTCAACACGCATCATTCTGAGACGGAACTCCTCCGCTACATCCACCACCTTCAGTCCAAGGATCTGTCCCTCGTCCACTCGATGATTCCGCTCGGCTCCTGCACCATGAAGCTCAATGCCACCACGGAAATGGCCCCCGTCACCTGGCCCGAGTTCTCGTCCCTCCACCCCTTTGTTCCCAAGGACCAGGCGAAGGGCTATGAAACTCTCATCACTGAGCTCGAGAAGGATCTGGCCGAAATCACTGGCTTCCACTCCGTCTCGCTTCAGCCCAACTCTGGTGCCCAGGGCGAGTTCACTGGTCTCCGCGTCATCCGCAAGTACCATGAGCAGCAGCCTGGCAAGAAGCGTGATATTTGCTTGATTCCCGTGTCTGCTCACGGCACTAACCCTGCCAGTGCCGCCATGGCTGGTATGCGCGTTGTTCCCATCAAGTGCGACACGGTCACTGGTAACCTGGACATGGAGGACTTGAAGGCCAAGTGCGAGAAGCACCGCGAGGAGCTTGGTGCTATCATGGTCACTTACCCCAGCACTTTTGGTGTTTTCGAGCCTAAGATCAAGGAAGTCTGCAAGATTGTCCATGAGCACGGCGGTCAAGTGTACATGGATGGCGCCAACATGAATGCTCAGATCGGGCTGTGCTCTCCCGGCGAGATCGGCGCCGACGTCTGCCACCTGAACCTTCACAAGACCTTCTGTATTCCTCACGGTGGTGGAGGTCCTGGAGTCGGCCCCATCGGTGTCGCCAAGCACCTTGCTCCCTTCCTCCCCGGTCACCCCATTGTCCCAACTGGTGGCGAGAAAGCCATTGCCCCCGTCTCTGGAGCTCCCTGGGGATCGTCTTCCATCCTGCCCATCTCTTGGTCTTACGTCAAGATGATGGGCGGCCACGGCCTCACCCACGCCACCAAGCTTACCCTTCTCAACGCCAACTACATTCTGTCCCGCCTCAAGCCGCACTATCCGATCCTGTACACTAACGCCGCAGGCCGCTGCGCGCACGAGTTCATTCTCGACGTGCGCAAGTTCAAGGAGACAGCTGGCGTCGAAGCCATCGACATCGCCAAGCGCCTCCAGGATTACGGTTTCCACGCACCGACTATGAGCTGGCCCGTTGCCAACACCCTCATGATCGAGCCGACCGAGAGCGAGAGCAAGGAAGAGCTCGACAGGTTCTGCGACGCTTTCATTCAGATCCGCAAGGAAATCGAGGCAGTTGAGAAGGGTGAGGTTCCGAAGGAGGGCAATGTGTTGAAGATGGCTCCGCACAGCCAGAAGGACTTGTTGAGTGAGGAATGGAAGAGGCCGTACACGAGGGAGTATGCGGCGTATCCGCTGCCGTACTTGAGGGAGAAGAAGTTCTGGCCGAGTACGACGAGGCTGGACGATGGTGAGTTACCCTTTTCCCCAAGATTTGCCAAACATAAGACCGGCCGGCTAACGTGTGTGACAGCTTACGGCGACATGAACCTCTTCTGCACATGCGCTCCCGTCGAGGCTGAGGAGGCTTAAACGAAGTGACCCAAAAGTTATGATACCCCCCAAGAGATGTTCAACTTACATCTCGTCCGCTCGGTTCTTAACAACCCGAGCGGAAACGGACGAAAACTTTCTCATTCACGCTTCTACCTTTCCTCCAGATTCATCTGCATTCGATATTGCGTGCATGTAGAGCGCAAAAGGGTAGAGTTGGGGAGATGACTATTTAACATTTTTCGACATGGCGTTTTAGCATGGGACGGAGGGGGGCCCTCGAGCATCACATCTGAGCGATTATTCGGCATTTTCTTTTTTTAACATTTTCGCATGGGCTGAGCTTTAACAGTCTCGCCTGGATCCGACTCGACTCTGGATTGACTTTTAGTGTGGTAGATGTAGATAGATCCTTGCGGACAACAACGTAATGCGACGCGCCGTCTTCGGAGAATCATTCAGGGATGGGTTCCTCATTTTGAATGGTGACGATGGAGCGGATCATGTTAATCAGGCGGTGGTTCTATGGTGCCCATGCTTTTGGAAACTTGGGCTGTGAAGAGAATGGGTCCCTTTCAACTTCATTCTGGGCGACAGAATGCACGGTCGATTGCTGACTGCATGGTTTTAACGACTAAATATCAGGTTTTAGATCTTCCTGGTCTATGGACACTGCCGCAATCCAGCGGTTTCACGCCACCCTAGCCGTCGATCCTGATGAACCTCAAGGAATACTTAGACCGACGACGGCATGGTCCGGGATTTGGCAGCAACACAAAGGTCGGTCCTTTTTTGCTCCATATCCCATTCTCTTATGGCCGGGCATTCGTGAGCGAGGAGCATATGCATAACCGAGGCGATAGCCACGGCGGCCAGGTTTCTCTAAAGTTTTTCCACACCCCCAACGTCTGAATACGCCCATGTGAAAAGAAAGAGTAGGAGCGAATCTTCTACGACCAACTTCGACCCCGCACGGATGGAAGAGAATGGCGTTGGCGAAGTCAGCCAACCTGATGTTACACGGCATTTGCCTCCCGTTGATTCGCCAATCGATGCACCAAGTTCTCATAGCGTCGGCTATGACGCGCATTCAGAAGCCTAGAAAAACGAACGTCGCTTCTGCGAACCGAAGCTGATGTTTTCACTGGATCTACCTCCGGACTCCCCACTTACGCGGCCCGGCCCTTCTGCAAGATGCCGCAAGCTCATCCTGCGCTGCGAAAACGAGATGCACGAACGCCCCGCTTTCATGTGGTTGTACACTATTTGTGACATGTACCATACACTGCTCGGAAAACATCTGGCCCAGCGGGCCGAGACTATCTTGAACCCTCAAAGGAGACTTTATCGTCTCACATCCACTCCGAATAATGGAGCCCCCAGAAGAAGTTTTCGCCGAATGCCGCAAGAACGAATCACGGGCGAGCAGAATGGACGAGCGGTTTCCAGAACCACTTGCAACATATGTCTCCCCTCTTGATGATCTCGCCTCCACCTTTGATCCTATAGGACAGAGGCCACCAAGCTTGCAGATACGGATAGATGCAGCATGCAGTAGTGTATTGCGTGTAGACGATCTAGCGCTCTTGAAGTCTACACCGAGCGCTTGTGATGCGCCACCGATGAGGGGAAGCTGCTGCACGCCGAGACGTCTCGAGCAACATTGCTCTCGCGCTTTAAGCGCGGACCATCAACTCAGGCATAAAAGGGCGTCTTCTGTTGCTCTTGTTGAATTGCAACTTCGTTGGATAGCTTCAACTTCTTTCCACATCGAACCGCAATCATGAGCAGCTTCAATCTCGGCGGAGTCACCTTCGGGAGTGGGTTGAGTGTTCCCTCTCTTGGGAAAGCCAACACCCGCACTGGCATCAGCGTGCCAAAGGTGGGCAGTATTTCTGCCAATGCCGGAATTGACGTTTCCAAGGGCCTCCGCGGCATCACTGGTGGCATTGAGCTCAAGAAAGACAACGGCAATGTCTTCACCAGCGGGGCTTCCAAAAAGTCTTTTGAGGACAAGAGTCACCAAGCCATCAGCTCCTACTTCATCGGGCCGCAAGCCGAGAACCTGGACTATTTCAAGGACAACATCAACGTCATCCTCGAGAACCTCAAGAAGGGCAGGCTCAACTACTTCCCGGGAGACGGCGAGTTCATCACCGACGAGATCCAAGCTTCCGAGACGTTCCAGGAGCGCACCGCATCCGTTTCCAAGGCAGTTGGCGAGCTTTCCGACTTGCTCTCCCGCACCTCGATTCCTTTCTTTTCCCCCCGCTACCAAGCTCACATGTGCACCGACCTCAGCATGCCTGCCATGCTGGGCTTCTTCGCGACCATGCTCTACAATCCGAACAATGTAGCTTTTGAAGCATCGCCATTGACGACAACTATTGAGTTGATGGTAGGAGATCAGATGTGTGAGATGCTCGGCTACAACCCATCCACGTCACCCAACTACAACACCTCGCAGCCCGATCCGTGGGGGCATATCACCTGCGATGGCACTATTGCGAATCTGGAGTCAATGTGGTAAGTCAACAATCCGTACGCAAGATATACCCGCGCTGACTGTTGTAGGGTCGGTAAGTTTCACACCGAATGGCTCTTTTGAGCCATGATTATCCAATACTAATTTCATGGGCCACTCAGCGCGAAACCTCAAGTACTACCCGCTTGCCCTACGCAAAGCATTCGACGGACCCCTTGGCTTTGCTGGAGATACCTTCACCGTCAAGACGGCTCGGAATGAGGAGAAGCTCTTCATAGAACTGAGCACGTGGGAGCTTCTGAACCTGAAACCCGACACGATCCTTGATCTCCCCGTCCGCCTCAACGTCGACTATGGCATCTCATCCAAGTACATCGAACGGATCTTGGACGAGTTTGGCATTCAATCCCGCGGAAAAGATGCCTTGGATCGCGAGTTCGGCATCGAGAAGCCGCCGCAGTATATGATCTCCAACACACGGCACTATTCCTGGCCAAAAGGCGCCGGTAAGTCTCACGCTCTTTGTGCAAGACGGAACTGATAGTCCACTAGCTATTGCCGGTATTGGCTCCGAAAATGTCGTGGGTATCAACGTCGACTACGGAGCACGAATCAATATCGAGGAGCTCGAGAAGCGCCTCGAGGAGAACCTCAAGAACGAGCAGGCTGTGTATGCCGTTGTGGCCATTATTGGCTCTACCGAGGAAGGTTCGGTCGATCCCTTGGGAAAGATTGTTGCCATGCGTCGCCGGTTCCAGGCACGAGGCCTTTCTTTCGCCATCCACGCTGATGCCGCCTGGGGAGGGTACTTTGCGTCGATGCTGCCACGTGACTACACTCCTGGCGCGGGGTTTCTTGGTAGCATGCCAGTCAATCTTGGGGACGCTGAAGGTTTTGTGCCTGACAGCTCGTTGCGAACTGAAACTCAGGAGGACATCTGGTGGATGCGACAGGCCGACTCGATCACCTTGGATCCGCACAAGGCTGGGTATATCCCGTACCCTGCAGGCGGCCTCTGCTACAAGGATGGGAGGATGAGGTATCTGATCACCTGGACGAGTCCATACCTGTCCCAAGGCTCGACTTCCAGCATTGGTATCTACGGAGCCGAGGGAAGCAAGCCGGGAGCCTCGGCCGTGTCAACGTTCATGTCCAACAAGTGCATCGGACTCGACCCCGAAGGGTACGGAGCGTTGCTGGGCGAAGCGACCTTCACTTGCAGCAGGGTCAGTAAACATGCATCGATTCGCGACGAAGAGATAAGGCTAATCATCAAGATTGACAGCTTTCGGCCCAGTGGGCAGCCATGACCGACGACACGATGGACTTTGTCGTTGTGCCTTTCAATATGCTGCCATCCGAGCTGGCCGACGATGCAACCCCTGAGTCTATCGAAGCCGAGAAGCAGTGGATTCGTGACAATATCCTCTCCTCGTCGAACACTAGCATTGTTGCGAACGCTACCACCAGCCCCGGTGGTGACACTGCGCTGTCGCTCCTCCGTAAGCTGGGATCCGACCTCAACATCAACGCTTTTGCCATCAACTTCCGCAACTCGGACGGAACGCTCAACGAAGACACGCTCGAGGCCAACTATCTGATGCGGCGCGTCGTGGAGAACTTCTCGGTTGACTCGCCTGGCGACAAGCCGAGCGAGATCCCGCTCTATCTCACGTCCACCGAGTTCTCGCCCGAACTATACGGCGAATGCGCCCAGAAGTTCAAGGAAAGGCTTGGACTGAGGAAAGATCAGAACGACTTGTTCGTCCTGCGAAATGTCGTCATGTCGCCATTCCCAACTGAGAAGGACTTCATCGCCGAATTGACTGGTGTCTTCAAGAAGGTGGTTGGACAGGAGGCGAAGGTAACAGGGCCGCGTACGTTCCTTTTATTGAGCGGTTGAAGCTGACATACATCAGGTCAGTCGTGAGCGCAACGAATTGACCAAGGATAACCATGAGTTCTTGGTGCAAGGCGAAGAGCCCATCTACTTCGTACACAAACCCAGCTTCCATGCGGCGAACCATCGCCGTCAGGCCATCCTTGAGGTCGATCTGCCCAGCAACATCAAATTCGAGTATCAGACTCTGAAATCACAATACCCGGACGAGATCATCACTTTCATCACAAATCAAGCCGTCGATCTGACACAGGTCATCAACGAGTCTGGAGAACTCAATGGATACCTGTATTCCGGACGGACGTAAGTTCATCGCTCTCCACTCCCTCATTCGACAGCAACGACTGACGCATCCCCTCCCTCCACCAGCGGCCCCATCCTGCCAGCAACCCCGGCCAAGATCACTGGCAAGTGGCTCGACAGACCCCTCACCGGGCCCTCGCTCGCCACAGAGTATCCGAGCACCCGCATGCCCTTCTACCTCTACGGCGACCTCGACGGCGCCTCCAGCGGCTCCTCCTCCTCCTCCAAGCTCCACATCGACCACGCCCTGCTCCGCTCCCCCAACATCCAGCTCACCGCGCCGGGCGTCGACCTATCCTTCTCGTCGCCCCCGCGCCAAGTCCGCGAGAATGGTACTAGCAGCGGCAGCGGCAGCGGCAGCGGTAACAGAACCCCACTGCTGCTGTTCCTCGACGACGTGCGCGAGGAGACGATGCAGCCGTTCCCGGACAAGAACGCCACGCTGGCCTCGCTGCCAAACTTCTTCTTCCGCGAGGGCGCCGAGTTCGCCGTCAGCGTGTGGGAGGACCCCGTCGCCGGGTGCCAGGACGGGCAGCAGGTGCTGGAGGCGTGGGAGAAGCTGGGGAAGGGCGGCGATGGCGGTGGAGACGAAGACTTGCTCGTGGGGAGGGGCACGATGAAGCTGTCGTGCGGTGTGTTCGTCGACGCTGAGTGGCTGAATGTCGATCCGTACAAGAGGGTGGATCCGGTGGGCGCTTGGCTCAAGGAGTGCGAGAAGATTGGAAACGCTTAGGGGCGGCGAGGAATGGGGTAATTTAAGTTGTTCGCAGAGCCGGTGGGAGGAGCTGCTTCGTTCGTGGCCCGGTTGAGGTAGACTTCGTTTCCCTTTTCTCGGCCATTTTCGGATTTTTGTCAGCGTCCAAGTCTTTTTTATTAATCAACAACAAAACAAAGGGATACGTTGGGTGGATAAGGCGGTTGGTAGCCGTTCCTATCTCATGGTGTCTCAATTCTCTTGTATTTCTCGTGAAACTAATGAAGTTGACTTCACACTTGCCTAAGGAGCTCGAGGCTTTGCGGATCCTACAATGTACATTTGCCCCCGTCCGTTCACTCCAACGGCTGCTATAGCACGAGTGTACTGTGAGCTGCTGGCAGTCGAGATCCCCAGTCTCCACATTGAACCCAGGCAGAACCTAAGTTGTGTTGCACTTCACGAGGACTGCAGAAGTTGGATGCAGGGATTGGAGGTATAATAGTGGTTTGATAAGAATAAAAGCAAGATTTTCTCCAATGTTTTCGTAGGTGCAGATAAGATTACAGTTGTTTCTCTACGTCTCCAATGTGTATCATCTACGTGCCAATGTGCCCTTATCCCCTCATACAGTAGTATTACGACAAAATTAAAGATTAGTTGTTGATCCAACACGTGGAGGAAGCTACTCTTCATCATGATCCTTATACTCCACAGGATATTTATCCAAACTCTCGTACCATTGGATGATGCTTCCAATCAGGAAAGCCCAGCTGCCCCAGAAGGTGCTACATGCTGCCTGATACTGGGCCCAGCTGCTAGGGTCGTAGCCAAACGCCGGGCAAAGTGTGAAACCAATACCGCCAATCAAATTCCAGAAACCGATATGCCAGCCAAGGACGGATGGTGCCGGCTTCCACCACGTCACCTGTGTTTCAACCATGAAAAGGGTACCGGAAAGGATGAAACCTAATCCTCCAAGGATCTGCGGGGTCCAGTAAACGCCATCTCTCAGGCCGGTGGACATGTGGTCGTATATTCCTGGGAGAGAAGTAAAACCCGCTATCCAGAAGACCGTGGCCGAAACCAACTGAATGAGAGAAGCAAGGAAGCCCAGCTCGCGAAAATAGTGCGTGCGGAGATCTTTCCAGGAAGGCGCCCACTGCCACTTGCGGGGGCCGCCGGGGTGCGTGGCCGACTCGACGAGGATCTTCCTGTTGGAGTGGTGGTGATCGCAAGGGCTTTTGGGGTGGACACGTACGACGAGGCACTCTTCGTCAGCTTTCTCCGCATTGGGCTGTGCGTCTTCTTGAAATAGCCGCTCGACGGCCCAGCCGAAACAGCCGGCGCGATCATCATTGACTGCTTCCAGGAGCAGGAGAACGGAACCAACGACGAACACGGTCGCACCTATGAAGGCTGTGACGCCTCCTCCATACAAGACTTCATTCTGGAACTCTGAAGATGGTCGAACGAGGGGAAGAAGCACAAAAAAGGCGTTGAGAACCCAGATGGCGCTGCCCAGAGTGAATATCACAGCAACAAGGTAGGAAATATCCCAGACAGGAAAGCGGGTCAGCATGCGGCCCACACCACGTAGTATTTGGGTGGGGTGGGTGGTTTTCCGGGGCAACTCGTGCTGAACAGCGGGCGAAGAAATGGGCTGGACTTGCAGTGCATGGCGGCCCTTGCGGTTGTTTCTCGACGTCCATTTCCAGGAGACGCCGTGACTTGAATCGGCGTGCACGCTCTTCCCGCCCTCGCCGACGATGTTGTAGTGCGCCCGCGTGGGATTCAGACCGTTCAGCGGGCCATTGATCTTGTGCTCGATGGGCCGCAGGTCGGAGCGGTGAGCCAGCGGCTCCCGCTGAGGCTGGAAGTGGCGGCAGCGCTGAGGCTTTCCAAAGGTGACGGCTGTGCTGAAGTCCTCGGAAAAGCGGCTCATGCGACGAGCAGGCGTCGAGGGCGAGGGTGGAGACGCCATATCAGCGGGCGGGCGAGCTGGCTGGGGAATTGGCCGCTCAGGCGGAGCGGCATGGCTGGGCAAACTTTGTGAAGAGCGAGCAAAAGGTCGGCGAGCTGTTTGTTGTCGCGGGATGACGTCGGCAGCGAAACCTTGGAACCGAGACACGAGTCTTTGTCCACTCTCTTCTCACCACCTAGCCCGCCTTATCCCAGCCTGCGCGCGCTATCTGCCGCCATCTCTGTCCACAGACGCCCGCTGTTCCTCTTCTCTTGCCACAGGCGCTTTGACTCCTCCACTGTGCCGTACAAGTCTCATCCTCGCAACCCTTGCCTCACCGCACTAGAAGCTCTGGTTAGGAAGAAAAGAGTCATGGTTGTCCGGAACGACTCGCGCCGACTGGAAAATCCCGAATATACGGAGCCGACGCCGCGCGGTCTGCATTTAATTCTGGAGTACGAGAGCAGTGGGACTTCTTCGGAGATACATAAGGCTCACAACAACAACAAGCTGGAGGAAGCCATTGGGCTTTAATTCAACAACGGAACTTCCCCGGGCGATATCCGTTGTCAAGTCGAAGGAAGACAGACGGACAGTGTCTGCTGGAGACGAAGGACTCCTTTTCTGCGGGACGACGGCGAATAGCACACCAAGCGGACAATTCATCCCTTAGTCAGCCTTGCGGAATATTTGTAGGTCATCTAGTGATGGAAGGCGCCGGAAGTCTATCAGCTTTGACGCGCACCCAACCAAATGCGGACTACGTGGCTGTCGGCTGGTTTGTTCTTACTATAGTCTCCTGAGCAGCTGTCGTTTGCGTACTTTCTCCGCAGACAACCTTGGTCCTCAACCCGTTACTTCCATCGCCGGTCCCACCACCAACTTGGGTGGATCCCTTTTCCGGGTCATCATGGATGAGATCTACCGGGAGCACCCGCTGACAGCCCCAAAGCTGGTTCCCGGATTTCCTCCTTTCTTCCGAAGATAATAATGTCGTAGTTGACGCGTCAGGCCTCATGATGACCCGTACCAAGAGAATGAAGGATGAGTGTAATTGTCGATACTAATAATCCTTCCGCTCTCATAATCCCGCCTTGTCCTCCAATCACGAATCATTTGCCTCTAAAACGCCACCGCGCGGCTCTGGACGGAGGAGCTGTTCGCGGCTGACTAGTGCCGGCGCTTCTCACCTTGGGCGCGCCGTCGGCTCTTCTGGCTCTTTCAAATCCTTTCAGCCTGGTTTTCTTTCCGGTGGCCGTGTCAGGGCTGAGGCGGTTCGTGGCTTGCGCTGCCGCTTGCTCCGAACGTGCTACATCATCTATTCCATGGTTGGCGCCGCCATTGCGTTATATTAGGCACCAAAAAAAAAACGGAACCTCCTTCGTACTCCTCACGATTCGCGTGGCTAGGTCAGGGTACACCGATCGACTTGAGGTTACCTGCCTTTTTCGTCCATATCCAGATCTCTACAGTCTTCACGGTCGAGCCAATCTCTTGATTTGCGCGGATCGGTATCTGAACGAGCGCGCTTAGGGTGGCAAGTAGGGGACGTACCTGTTCGCAAGCAGGCGGAAGCTGGTGTGCGTGTCCCGTATCTATCTATGTCATCGGATCAACGTCTGTAGCATCCCAGCCACGGACAAAAAATTGTTTGGTTGCGCTACTCATCCGGCGAACCACACAGCGCATCGCATGTAATCAAGGAGCGATCTCCTGATCTCAAGCCCAACAAGGCCGAGGCACACGCGTCGAGAACGTTGCCAAGCTTTCAATGTTTGGCCGCATCCGGACGCAGTTGTTCAGCCTTGAGAGAGAGCACACTTTGGTAGAACGGCACGGCTTTCTCACCTGATGGTATACTGCTTACTGATCTGCAACCTCTTAGAAGCCAATCCTAAGACATGCGAGGTACCAAAGAAGGCAAACATGCACCTGCAAGTCTACTAACCAGCTCGAACCCTTTTGCGCACGGTGCAAGGGAAAAAGTGTGGGGAGGGCACATGCTTGCAGGCTAGTCGTACGCTGCAAGCACCCGCAACACGAGAGCATGGAGAGCATGCCGAATGGCTCACTGACTCCAAGGGTCCCGAGATCATGAGTAAGAGAAAGCAGTAGTGCAAGCCCCTCAGCTGCAGCCTTTACATGCATGCAAGCGGAAATAGAGTTCGAAGATGACTAGCCTACCTTTTTCGCAACGCCACCGACGCTATACTGCAAAAAGCTTCAGCAGCATCGTCCGCCTGCTGGCCTTCTGATTTGGCAATGGCATCGGGAGCAAGCATTGTCGCTCGCCCTTTGGATTTGCGTCCTACATTGCTCTGCCAGCAGATGACTTGACTCAACGGGCGCGAGCATACAGCCAACGCACGCACGTCGGAAAGTTTCTTGATGATTTAAGCTTTCTCATTGCTGATGCATCGTGTGACGGCGCGCGGAAGTGGTCCCGGTGCTATACATTCCTAAACGTACGATTAGGACAGCTGATAGAGAGGCGTGGAACCAAACAGCCAAGCAGCCAAGAGGCAAAAGATGACGGTTGGGAGGCGCGATCGTGTACCACTGGATCGCTCCCGGCAAGGCCTTACTCAAGTCAGCAAACGAGACAACAAGGAAAAAAAAAAAGGAAAAAGGGCGAAAGGAAGACGGCCGACCCACGGTAGCGTGGCTCTCTCATTCGGCGATTATCGTTGCTCTTCTAAAGTATTAGTGTTGGCGGGTGACGATGATCACATCTCGATGGTTGGTTGTCGAGTGTTGGCTGACGTCTGAATGAGACATGAGCCTTCCCGTCGCGGCAACCCGTGCTTTTTTCTCCTCCTCGCCGGCTCTCCCGCTCCCTCACACGCACATACCACCCAACAGCCGTGCTCCGTCACCGTGCCCCATCCCCAGGGACTGGATCAAAGTGGCATTGTGATGCACGCCGGTCCCAGACAGACGCGGAAGTCAGGGCTTCCGGGAAAGGCAAAATAAATAAATAAAAATCTAGAAGGGCGAAAAGTTTGGGAAATGGCATGGTGAAGCAGAAATGTGGCGGCTCGAGAGCCTTGGAAGCTTGGGTTGGTGGTGAGCTCTCAGCAGCGCCAAGCGGTTGATGCGCATTGGCGTTCTGGCCGAACTAGGCAGGGGGACGGCGACAGGACGTGGTGCGGGAAGGAGTTGGCAGAGGGCTGTGGCGCTTCCATTCGCGTGCTCATCACCATGCACGGGCAGCTTTGATCATGCATCTCAGATTTGCGCGTCTCATCAGGCCGTCATCTCGATTGGAAAGCTCCGAGAGCGACACTTGCGGCGGTCGAGGGCAGGGAGATGGGACGGGGGGATGTGCGACGAGCTGAAACGCTCTCGATCAATGCGAGAGGCTTGAAGCGGCAGTGCGGCCGTGATGACGACTGCGGCAGGTCACGGGTTGCGAGCGGAATCTCGCGTGTGCTGATTGATTGATTGATTGATTGTGACGGCGGCGGCTGATTGCGCGTTCGGTGCATTAATACCACGGAGAGCGAGATCAGCACAAGCGGATGGTGTTGGAAGTCTGTGTGGGGAGTGGAGAGGCCAGCGTTTGCTGCGTCGAGCACGCAGCGCCAGTGGCTTGAAAGGACATCGTGGCAATCTGCAACCAACGACTCAGGCTCCCACCGCCTCCACGAAGCGCGCAGCGGTGTTTCTGTTGCGGCCCCACTGATGGACTCACCGGGCCTGCAGCGCATCCACGAACAACTCTGGGGTCGCAATCTACTCGAGCCAGGTCGTGAGACGGTAGCGGGAAGCTTGATGGCAGCAGCGGCAGGGAAAGCTCCGTCAGATCCGCATCGAAACGAGGCTGGGGATCGCGCTGGCCTTGTGGCCTTGGAGTGATGCAACACGGCGCTACGGAACGAGGGAGGGCTGCCCCGAGCCCGCCGGCCTGCCTCAGTGGCTGATGGGCCGACCTTCCCGCCTTCCTTCGCCGCTGCCGTGTGGAGAAGGCGGAAAGGGAAAGGCTCGATTGCCGATAAGCATCCCTTGGGCACGGCGGGCGTGCATCGGGGCCCGCAGAGGAGACGAGCGGTGTGCGTGGGACACGGCGCCCGGCCCAGAGGCTTGACAGCGAAGCTGAAGACTGCGCGTGGTGTGTCTGTGACGGGGCATGTGGGGTTGAGCAGCTCACGGGAGCACGCTGCAACACTCTTGATTTTTTTTTTTTTGCCGCCGCCGCTGCTGTGGCCACGGTTGCGCCTCCACCGCGCGGGTACAGTAGCCGTCAGCAACCTCAGCCCCAGCGTGCGCGGCAGTGCGGTACGGCCTTACGTTCTGCCGCGGGCGGCGGCGCAGCACGCACCCTTGCTGGAAGGCCCCGTCGAAAAATCTGGAAGTCAGGCGGGGAGTGGCAGAATTGATGGCACTCCACCGATCAGCTCCGCCCTTTCCGGTTACGAAGGCATGCGCGCATGGTGACTGGGCTGCCGACGCTCTGGGCGGGCGGTGCCGGTGCGTGCACACGAGGGAGGCGAGCTTGAGCGATCCGCTCTATCGAAACGGCCAGACTCAGGGCTGTGGAGGCGCCCCGTTGTCTCTCTCGCTCGCCGGTCAACACGCTTGCATCGGTGTAGGGTTGGCCGCCCATCCGGGCAATCCGCCATGCCGCGTCGAGCAAGAGCGCTGGACGCCATCGCGTAAAGGCCCACCCCAAAACGTGGCAGGCGAGATGGGCTTTTTCCAGACCAGCTCTCGTCGCGGGCGGTCATGCGCCGCGGAGCTTTGTCTGGTTTCTGAAACGGTGCGATTCGCTGCCTGTCACATAATTTCCGGCCGCTGGCAGGCTCGAAATAACGAGCAGCGCGCGCGAGTGGCAGGCGGGCGGTGGCCAATGGCAGACCGGGCAAGGCGGCCCTCGCGGAATAACGGGGCTGTGGTCAGACACCCAATCAGCTTGCGACGCGGAGCGTGAGAAGGGTCGCGGGCGTTTCGCGCCAGCGCATGAAGGCGACGAGTCATCGCCGGGGCGCCCCAAGATTAGAAGCCCAGCGGCAGCTTATTGGCAGGGCACTGATCAACGCTGCCGTTGGGTTGGCTGACGACCGCACGCGAGAGGTGGCCGCGCCGCCCTGCCCTGGCGCGCACGGCTCGTGGGCAACAACAATAAAGCGCGGCACCAGGGGGCCAGCGCAGATCGCTGTCTGGGGAGCTGCGGCCGCGTGCGCTCAGCGAAAAATGTCTCAGCGCGGCGCTCGAACGGGCGAAGCGCATGGCTGGCCCATTCCTCGCCCGGCGCAGACAAAGCCCGCGCGACGCATGCAGCACCACCCGGCCCCCAGCTGCAGCGCGAGGTCCGCGAGCATCGCCTGCTGCACGCCAAGCGCGTTGGCTGGCCGGCGAGACGCTCGCGCGCAGCCCCATTGGCTGGGCCCGGCTGCGAGGAGGGCGGGCGCAGCGCCCGTGCGCCGCCCTGTTCCTTGCACACGCTGCACGCAAGAGGCCCGCTAGGGAGGGCGTGCTGGGCCGCGCTGCTAGGGCTCTGGCCCGCCCAGCGCAGTCACGCCCGCTGCGACACGCCAGAGATCCTTCGCCGTGCCGCTAACGTCAATCCCGCCGGCGTCAGCCTGCAGTGCCTGAGCGCCGTGTCGCCGCCGGCCAGGGGGGCCCGCAACAAAGTAGCCACGCCTAGTCCGTCTTCGTCATTGCGGTGGAGCATGGATCACCTAGCCTGCGCCTTCCTATTAGACGGGCCCTTGTCGCGCCCTGCAACGTTCATCGGCGCCCGGACATCTGCAGCACTTATCATCACCGCTGCCGCCTCGGCTGCCCGCCTACTACTGCTGCACTTGCCTGCCACACCAACCTACATCATAACCTCCCGCCCTCCCTCTCCAACCTCATCTCTCCCTCTACCAGCCCTCAGCCTCCCTCCCCCGCCTCACCCAATTGCAACCCGCCGGTTTCCTTTTTCACTGTTCTTGCTTCCGCGCCCGGCCACAGGAATCCTGGTGTTTTCTTGTCCGCACGGCCGCTTGGATCTACCGCTTTAATACTTGGCCAGCTCTCTCTCTCTCTCTCTCTCTCTCTCTCTCTCTCTCTCTCTTCCGTCCTTGGAGCCCTTTGCTGGACCGCTAAGGACGACACACTCGCCACCATGTTGCCCACCCCGCCCGCATCGCCGACGCTCAGTGGAGGATACGCGCCGCCGCAACAGCGGTTGGGCCAGATTCTCGCCGGCCGCCTGCAGTTCATTGGAATCCTTGGTGAGGGCGCCTACGGAACCGTCTACAAGGCCGTCGATATCCACTCCGGAGTCCAGTATGCTGTCAAGGCCCTGAACAAGCTCAACCTCGAGCCCCGCCAGAGGAAGTTCCAGCAGCGTGAGATCCAGCTCCATCACTTGGCCAGTTCGCACCCGAATGTAGTGTCGCTGGTCAAGATCATGGACTCACCTGAGTGCACCTATGTAGTTCTAGAGTACTGCCCTGATGGCGATCTCTTCTCCAACATCACCGAGCGTGGAAGGTATGCTCGCGATGACGAACTTGCCCGGAGAGCCTTCCTGCAGATTTTGGACGCCGTTGGATACTGTCACTCCCTTGGCATCTACCACCGGGACCTGAAGCCTGAGAACATCTTGGTCACCGACAACGGTAACACGGTCAAGCTCGCTGACTTTGGCCTTGCCACCTCGGATCCCTACACCTCGGACTTCGGCTGCGGCTCTACCTTTTACATGTCACCAGGTAAGCATTCCTCGACCGCGATGATCCCTGCAAGCAGCCTCACTAACCTGACGCAGAATGCCAACAGCCCAACCCCAAGGCTTACGCATCTTACGAGTCGGCACCCAATGACGTGTGGTCGTTGGGCGTCATTCTCGTCAACCTGACCTGCGGCCGCAACCCATGGAAGAAGGCCTCGCTGGAGGACTCCACCTTCCGTGCCTTCATGAAGGACCCTAACTTCCTCCGGACCATTCTGCCCATTTCCTACGAGCTGGATGCCATCCTGAGGAGGATCTTCGACCCCAACCCGGCCACTAGGATCAAGCTTCCCGAACTGAGGGACCTCATTCAGCGCTGCCCGAGGTTCACCAAGGCCCCCACTCCCATCTACGCTCCCGCTCCCATCTCCACCCCTCCGATCCAGCCGTATGACCAGTGCAACCCCGGATTCCAGCCTGGAATGATGCCCATGCCGCAACCCTACATGGCCAACTTCGTTCCTCAGGCCCCCATCTCTCCTCCGCCCTACTCCCTCCAGTACCCCGAGCTGTCCATCTCTTCTGGAAGCTCCGGGTCTGACACTGGATCCGTCTTCTCCCACGTCTCTTCCTGTTCCTCGGCCTCGTCGGCCTCTTCCGTTCAGCACGTGAACGTGCCATGCCAAGGCGCGGGCATTGCTCCCCACCATTCATACGTCCCCAGCCCTGCCAACGCATGGTTGAGCTCTTACTTCCAGCAGGCCGGAAACCTGGTCAAGCAGTTCTCTCAACAACTGTCCTTCCAAAGGCCCCTTTGCGCCCACTAGACGGGACCCCGCCCGGCTGGAAGCTTACCAATTACGGAGATTTCCCCATTTATTTTTTCATGAGCCTTCTTCACGATGTGTTCTATACTACTTTTCCCAAAAGTCACGACGAGATGAGCTGTACTGTTTTTCTTTTCCAGTAAGGTGTTACGGGGTTGGTCTGGGTCCGGCGCAAAACGAATCACCGACGGCGTTCCATGGACATTTTTATTCACCTGGTTTCAGCTTCCGCCGCGGACAGATATAGACAAAGGGGGTTCCCAGGTTTTCTGTATTGCTTTTAATTGCTCCGGATACTACACAGCCGTGAGGCCCAGTCGCTTCTTCATTAGAATGGCGAGCGGATATCTGCTTTTTTCTCTTTTACTGCCAAGACCGTTTTCCGGGGTGGAAGAACCTGATCAGCTCAGAGGAGACCCGGAGCACAGATGCAGCATTTCGAGGAGTTTACCCCCCAATAAGCACCTGGAGTGTCAATTTTGCTGGAGATTTAGTTTGCTCCATTCACATTCATTTTGATACCAGAGCAGAAAAGCTCATTTTGTAAGATTAGCACATTTGACCAAAGATGGCTTTGTTCGCTGGAATGGTGCCTTTAGCGAGAGGCGCAGCAATGGACCAACAAAAAAAAATAAACAATAGAAGCCTGAAGATGCATCATAGCGGCCACGCTACCTTCCAAGTCTGTGCATCCAATCCCTTGGTGACGAGTGAGAGTTTCATTGATCGACAAAGGTTGCGCCGGGCGACGCATGTCTTGGGTGGCACAGGCCCCCGGTCAATCTTCAACAGTTCGCAGGCAAAAGAGCTACCGGCGGGACGGACGTCATAATTTCGCTTCCCCTTTCACACTGACGAAATTAGCAATCACAGACGTCCAGACGCGATTCGGTGGTCTGCGCCGCAGCCAACCGCCGGTCGCCGAGGGCCCTTGGATTGCAGCCTCCGCCGGGCAGCGAGCCAGGATGCAGGCTGAGTCTATTGCCTCGCGCGAGGAGGGTGTGGACGACGCGGCCAATGAGGTTGGGCAGGCAGCGTCATTGGCATCGGCAGTTTCGCGAGCTAAGGCGAGATGGCCCGATTTCGAGGCGCAGGGTGGCACGCTCTGAGGCAAGCTTCCGAGCGCAGCCCTGCCGCTTGTTGTCGCTGTGCCGTGCCGTGCATTTCACGATTCTGCTGCGCGAGAGATCTGCCCGCCAATGTCATCTGACCCGGCGGCAGCGGCTCCTGCCACGGCGGATGGCAGGTACCTAGCGTCGCTCCAGACACCCAGCCGCCGGCCGGCCGGTGCTGGGTCGCACGCATCATGATCTTCGTGATGGGCGCGAAGGCCCCACCCGTAGATGTCACCACGGCCAGGCTGACCGGTGTGGTTAGGCTGGCTCATGGCGCAACGTGCGACAGACGGCGAGTGGCAAAAGGATGCGGTCCCTTGCTGTTGTTTCTGCACCGAACGTGTGGCCGTTTCGACACGCGGGCCAGGACTCGAGCGCGGCGCAGTCATGCGGCTTACGGCGTCACCAGACCACTGGCGAAGAAGCAAATATTCCGCGCCCGCAACTCGTCGTCCTGTCAAACGTCAGACAGCGTCGATTGGGCTCGGTGTTGAACAAGCACGTCGCGGCTAAGATGCGCATGCGAGACCAGCCCACTCACGGCCTGACACAACTCAACCCTCCCTGCACCAGCTCCTCTACCTGACGACTCCCGCCCCCCTCCTCCACCGCCCGTTCCAGCCATCTCCCATGCGAGATGCCGCACTCTCAAGCCGCCTGACGGCCCGGCACTTGGGACTTGGGTCTTGCCATGGCCTCTGGCACTGCTCCCTCCGCGCCGCCCCGCGCGCGCCGCTCCTCCCGCTGAGCCTTACCCAAGCCTCTCCCTCTCTTCTCTCGCACCAAGGCTGACCCGCCGCAGGCTGCACACATGCACAGAGTCCCTGTGTCGCCGCCGCCCTACGGGACTGTCTTGTCACACCTCCACCAGCTCTTGATCGAGGGCCGTGGCACGATGCGCCCTTGCTCTCCGTTCCGCCAGGCGGCCAACGACACAGCCCGCGGAGCGGAACGCGCGCGCTTGTGTGCGACGGCGCTGCTAATTGCTGCTCCCGCCCGCCTCATGTACTCCAGATCCGACCATATGCAGCCTCTAATGCATGCACCCGGCTGGATGCGGTGGCACCCCCAACCCAAAGACGTTGCGAGCGGCAAACGCCACCGTCAGCGAGAGGCTGGGCGACCATGCAGTGCTCCACCGCCGTCCTCTATTCGAAGTAAGGTCCCGGCGGCCTGTCTCAGAGGGACATGCATGCTGCCAGCATCTTGCCCGTCAGCGCTGCTCTCTGAGGCCTTGCTCGCGTGCCGGTCCGCCAGCCGCCGCTCGAGCGCTTCCTCCCCCCCAGCGTCACGCATGTATCGCCATGTGAAATAGATTGCCGTCTTCGTGACTACCACCCGCTGCGTTACCCCGTGGCCCCTCGATACACTCCTTTTCGAGATCCTGCAGCGGCCCCGGCAGTCCGTCGGCGATTTCCCGTCGACGCATGCGGCTGTTCCTGCCGTCGAGTCCTTCTCGGAGAGCGTGCGGTGTCTGGACCACTCGTGCTCGGGGCAGTAGAAGTAGGACGGACGCACTGCAGTCGGGCGCTGCAGTGCATACACGTCAAACGTCAGACGCAGGCCGATGCTGTCCAACAGTGCTCTTTTCCTCGCCCCTAGTGTCCCCGTCTCTGCATTTTCTTCTCGTCAGACTACTTTCGTAGACATGGTGATCCATTGGTGTTGTTGTTCACGCCTATTACGCGCCCAGCCACTGAGGCATGAAATATGACACGTCTCTTTTCTTTTCCTTCTCTTTCCAGCCATTCCCCTGCCGGCCCTTCGTAATCCGGCGCATTGATCTAACGGGCGTCGGGGGTGCACGCGCTGCGCCTGGAGTCATCTAGCTCCTCATGTCGAACCACGATAACAACGTGGAGATCACGAAAGCAAGAAAAGCAACTTGGCAATGCTCGCTCCACCCCACCACGCACATCCGTACATGCGCCCCCGAGCAGCTGTGACATGGGCGACATCTCAGCAGCAATCGCTAGACCACTGCAAGCAGGCGCTGTCCACTCATTCATCCGTCAAGGCAACAAAGGTGACTGGATCACCGGCGGCGTAACTACTTTTTCTCGTGTCATCCGGATCCCACTGTCTACAGCACTGACACGACACTTAGAAGCCATGGTTCCAGTTAGCCAACGGCGTGCTTGCTCACTCACCCTCTCATGCCACTTCAATTCCTCTCGCAGTCTTCAGATCCTGGAAACCGATCCTAGCCGGGCGTGCTTTTATCCGGGGCTGACGACGGATGACACCACGGGTGGCGAAGGATTCCCGCCTCCATCTACGATCTATCTTACCAGCCATGCGCCGTCGCCCGTGCTTGTACTCGTCGGGTCGGAGTCGACGGATGGCCTGGTCTCGTGCCTATGCTGATAGGGGACGTGATCCTCACTCAATACAACTCATAATAATATCATCAAGAAGTGATGTGGATACCGCGGCAACCGCCACTCCGCTGAGCCGGTTGCAATTCAAGGCTTTGCGAAGGCAGCAGGAGCGTCACGTTGTCTCATCGATACCATCACGATAGAGTCACCATCGGCTCGTCACGCGCCAACGATATGGAAGCAGCAAATGTATCACCGTTGTTTTGTCGATACAGACGAATCGCCACATCACTTTCGGCTCGCTTTATCGTGCGGAATATACCGTCTGGAGACGTGAGGTGTTCTCACGCGACTTCTTTGTGCCTAGAATCTTTGAAGAGGCTCTTGCGTCTCGATAGTGTCGCAATGGTCGAAAGGAGAAAAGCGTCAACAGATGTGCGCTATCAGTTTCATGTCCAAGACTCACGGATTATGCGTAGGGTTCCTGTGGCATTCTTGCTTCGTCTTGCCCGTATTGCGAAACCGTCGATCGACCGACGTTCGCTACATCCAAAACGAGTGGCATCAGCCTAGTGTTGTCAAAGCTATAGCAAAGCTAGGGAAATCTTCGGGAACACTGATGTTTCTCGAACCTATAATACACACAGAGGGAGGCGGTAGGCTCTGCAAGGTCGAATATCTCTTCTAGCAGATGCAAGCGATCGAGGGCCAGGAAATGCTGCTGGAAATTGCCAGAGTTTCTTGGCCGTGGATGTGAAGTGCACATATTGGGTGATGGCTGGAATTATGCCACCACTGCACTTCTGCCTTGGAGAGTGGTTTGACGGAAAAACAGAAAGGAAATATAAACTTGATGAGTCCATGGGGTGACAGGGAAGCCAGCTGGGTAGGTAGCAGCAGGAGGTCCTACGGTGGATTCTACATCTACAACATGGGGAGGTATAAGGCTGAGTACACAGGCTCCTGCTGTCCTGTGAAGAGGCATCGAAATGGCTCTGAAGGCTAGATTGTAGTCTGTGTAGGGTCATGGTGCTGAGTCATTACCATATCTGATCTTTTTCGACCAAAGAGGATTAGCGCGGGGCTTGGCTCTCTGGAGCGCCTCCACTTCACGAGTGACTGCCACCTCTTCGGACTACCCCACCATCACCACTCAACCCGACACACCGCGAGCGTCGAGCCAGACCCCGATCCCGCACTACCGCTTTGCGCGCATAAAGACCCTACTGCCGCACGAACCGTCCAAGCCGAGTTCATGACCACGGAAATCCAGAACCTCAAGGCATTTGATCCGTTCGCGGAGGCAGATGAGGATACTGGCGACACCAAGGGTCAGACCCAGAACTACATTCACATTCGCATTCAGCGTACGTAATCCTTCGATGTCGCCTTGCTTCGCAGGAGCGCTGACACGGAGCCTTTGGCAGAGCGCAATGGTCGCAAGACTTTGACCACGGTTCAGGGCCTTCCGAAGAAGTTTGACCAGAAGAAGATCCTCAAGGTCATCAAGAAGAAGTTCGCTTGCAATGGCACCATCGTGAACGACAGTGAGATGGGCGAGGTCATCCAGCTCCAGGGTGACCAGCGCAAGGATGTCCAGGAGTTCCTCATCGACAAGAAGGAGGGACTTGAGCTAGATGCCAAGACCATCAAGGTGAGTCTCCGCGCCCTTTTCCGCTCTGGACATGGCTGATTTGTCGCTCTTAGGTCCACGGTTTCTAAGCCAGCTACGCTACGCCGCGCCGCGCCCGGCACTCCATGATCGTGCAAGATCATCCGGTCCAGACACTGGCTCTGGCTCTCCTTATATATACCGGCCGCGAGATGTGACAATGGGTTAGGCAGCAAGGCTTTACAGCGGGACGGCGCATGAGTAGATCACAGATGACTTACGACTCTTATCCGGTACTACTTCTATGCGTTGCTTTTGGGCTTGAGCCCGCTACAAGAAAGACAGCAGCAGCAGCACGTCAAGAATGGAATGCAATGCAGCTCTTTTTCTCAACAAAACCTTTTCTGGTGTTCAAAATCGAGGCCGTTGCTACGGCTCTTGCAAGGCTGGTTTGGCCCCCAAAATTTCACATCTGACCAGCGCCAATCATTGTGGAGACCTACCGGCCCTAACAGGACCTCTTGAGGTTTGGCGGCAATCGTTCCGTCTTGATTACCCAGCCAATGTTGTGTGCCTACTTGTGTGCTTACTGCCCTTTTCCTCCGCCCCTTTCAACTTCAAACTGAACAGGTCCTTTCTTATTGGCTCATTTTCTCTTTGCACCGTCGTGCCATTTCACGTTGAAAAGAATTGACTCCCGGATTAACCTGCTAATGGATTTTGAAGACTTCCCAGGTTTCATTCCCTCGAATGAGGCGCAGCTATCGGCGAAATTTGAGGAAGAGATGAAGGATCTCTCCTTCGTATTTATTGTGCTCAACAGCAGTAGATACAAGCTGGACGCGGATGACGCGCAAATATTCATTCCACAACAGCCACACGTGGTCCGCGCCACACCACTTAGCCAGGATCCCATTGAGATAGAATCCGTCCACAGTCTTTGCCGAGCATGTCTAAACGCCTTCAACTACTACTGCCACTTCATCGCCGACGACAAGGAGGCTTGTGGGATCGCGGACGACCAGAATATGCCATTTGCCGTCATGCATCACCGCAACATCCGCTCACTGATGGAAACGGCTGCGAACGGGCAATGTTCCCTGTGTTCCCAGTTACTCGAGGCTCTGCGCGCGCCTGCCGGCCCGCAAAATAGCGACGACCTCGAGCATCGCCGCCTGGAGATGTGCTGGGGTCCGCGCGAGGCTGACGGCGGCAACCATCTCTACTTTGTCTGGACCGACAGGCGGCGACCGCGCCAGTATACCAACTACAACACTTACTACCGGTTACGATTGTGGCCGGTGGAGAACGGCTCACTTGACGCACACTTGCACCTAAGTACTGCGGATGATGAAGAGAAGGGACAGCTGGGGGAGATAGCTGCGAACGACAGCTCTGGATCCGTGGCGTCGGCGCGTGTTTCCAAGGCGTGGCTCAAGCAGTGCCTGGAGAACGCGGACGGCGCGCACGACGAATGCAACAACGCTTCCCTCGCCGGAGTCCAGGAGCAAAGCAGCCGCAGCCACCTGCCCACGCGCGTCCTCGACGTCGAAACCGCGAGGAGAACCGGCCGTCTGCGACTCGTCTGCCCGGAAGCCGACCTGGACGCCACGTCGATGGGCCCGGCCGACCTCCGCTACATCACGCTCAGTCATTGCTGGGGCCAATGGGGCGCGGAAGAGCTCCCCGTGCTGACGACGCGCAACGTCGACGAACGGCGCGAGGCGGGCGCGAGCCTGGCCGACCTGCCCCGGACGTTCCGCGAGGCGGTCGAGGTCGCGGGCGGCTGGTTCGGCGTGCGCTGGCTGTGGATTGACTCGCTGTGCATCCTGCAGGACTCGCCGGCCGACTGGGCGCGCGAGGCCGCCGCCATGGCGAGCACGTACCGCCGCGCCTTGCTGAACCTCAGCGCCGACCACGCCGCGGACGCGCGGGGCGGCTTGTTCGTCAAGCGGAGGCGCGAGGACGACCGGGTGCTGCGGTTGAGGGCTGGAGACCACCGGGCTTGGTGGTGCGTCGCGTTCGACACCTTTGCGTGCCACTGGGCCGGCAGGGCGCCGTCCTTTGACCGCGCGTGGATCCATCACGAGCGCCAGATCGCGAGGCGCGTGCTGCACTTCACCGAGGCCGAGGTGATGTGGGAGTGTTGCGCCAAGGCGGACGAGGAGTCGTCGTCGCCGTCGACGCCGCCACCATCCCGATCATTCAAGACTGAGACGTTTCCCGGCGGCGTGCCGTTCAGGAGGCCCTTCGCGCGGCCCGGCCAGAGCGTGGGCAACGCGAAATGGCAGACCAGGCGGGACGTGAGGGACGCTGTCGCCGCGACGGAGGGGAGAGACGCCCGCGTGCGGGAACTGTGGCGGGACGTCTGTGAGGAGTTTGCGCGGAAGGGGTTGACCAAGGCGAGCGATATGCCAGTCATCATGTCGAGTTTGGCTGAGGAGTTCAGGGCGTTGTTGCCGGAGGATGCGTACGTGGCGGGGTTGTGGGAGCGAGAGCTGCCTGGGAGCTTGTTGTGGAAGGTTGAGATATTATTTGGAAGTGGAAGGATGGAAGAGTTTCGTTCTGGACCAGTGCTTGTTGATACGGAGAGCTTTTCTAACATTATCACCCATCATGGGAAGAGAGTGAAGATTATTTGTCAAGCCCCTCATCCCCCGCCGAAAACAGCACATCACCAACCACATATGGCGCACCTTCCTGGTCCTGGATGTCAGCCAGCCAGCCGATTGCTCGTAGCCGCTTTGCCAAACCGCAGACTCCCATCGCACGGATCGAAGACGACGGCAACCTCGCCGCCCTCCGCGACCAATTCGGCACCCCGTTGCCTGGCGTTGAGCCCTCTACTTCCCTTACCATCACTGGCTTTATCCGGCACGTTGGTGTCGTTTGGGACCGCGTCAGCTTCGCGCCCCCGCGGACCGTCGGATCGTCTCCTTACATATGCGTCCAGCATCATTATACCATGTTGGTCAATGATGAGGACGGCAATGACGGTTACGATGGCGGCGATGGCAATGAGGAAGAAGAAAAGAGCAAACGCCTTCGCAGTGTCGGTGTTTCCTGGCGAGGCGACAGCGGAGCGGACTTCGAGTGTCACCTCGACCACTACGGCGGCAGAGATGATGGCAATCGCTCCAGCAACAGCAAGGTGCTGCAAGCCTTCTGCCTTTTCGTCGAGGCCGAGCATCACCAGTTGCCAAGACGGTACGTGGAGGTTGTCGGACTGTTGCTGCAGCCTGTTGGGAAGGCGAGCGGGGGGCGGCGGGTCTTCAGGCGCATCGGCATGGTGGAGCTGTCTGGACGGGCGGCGTTGAAGCTGAGGTACAGGGTCAAGCCCGGTCACAGCATGGAGGAAGGGGACTGGGAGGAGAATCTGCGGAACGTTGAGGAGGCCGCAGATATCGCGTTGGAGTGTCGCCGAAGGGAAGGAGAGGGGCAGGCGGGAGAAGGGGAGTATGATGGTGCCATTTCCGATCTATACCTTTACGATGCGAAGATTGACATGACCGCTTTAGAAAGGCTGAAGCCGCAGACGATCACACTAATCTAAGAGCGATTCTACCTTTCTATACTATTCGCGACTGACTGCTATATCGTGACCGAATCCTATCACCCTTACTGAATCGGGTAAACTTCCGGAGTGGCTAAAATAAGGCCATTGAACTGGCGACTCTTGGCTAAACACCCTACGCGGCTATTGTGCCCGAGGCTCATGTCGTTATTTCTTAAAAGTAAATTTCCACTATATTTGAAGGCAAGCTTGGCGATAAATCCCGGGTATCCCTCTAGCCTACGACTTGGTATTAAGGCTATCACTGTGAGGTAGACGGTGGAATTATTGCGAGCGAGCGAGAGAGAGAGAGGAGAGTATTAAAAGAGTTTGCAAAGTGACCTCTTTGTATGTCGAGTTGGCCTGTAGCTCTAGGACATACACGTCGACGTTCCATTTTAGGCTAGTCTATTCAGTATAGATACTTCTCATCGCCCCGTAAATTCAATCCATTCTTCAGTACACCATCACTATAACTCAAGTCCTCCTTAGCTATTTCGTCACGCGTGCATACCTACATGTATCTCAACAATCAGTCAGTAGGCCTAGCGTGTGTCTAGTAGCCCGTATCTACTTTAGATAATAGACTGGCCTTTTATAGTTGTAGAAGCCAGCTTAGGTGTGGGAAGCCGTTAAGACTTTGAAGTCGCGGATGGACACGAACAGTGAAGCGATGGTAAAAGAACGAAAGAATTGGAAAGAGGTGGAAGCAAGCGCTTCTATCTACGTCATCTGTCGCTGTATGAGTGCGCCTCGCTTAATGATCCACCTGGGCGCGTTGCTCTGCCATCCGCGCCTTTCAGAAGATGCATGGTTACTCGTTTGGGAATAGCGCGCACCGCCCGCTCCTATAAATTTCTCGCCTTCGTCCACCGCACTTTTTCTTTCCTTCCTTTCTTCTTTGTTTTGTCGGCTTTTTCCTCAAAAAACCGTCCGTCCAGCGGGGGCGTTAGCCCGTTAGGCACATCTCAGTGTGCCAGGCTCCTTCGTGGCTTCGTACCGCGTGGCTGAGCCGAGTCCGCCCTTTAAGCGGATCCCGAATGATCTCCTCCCTCTTGCCTTGGGCAATTTCCTTCCTCATTTTTGTCGGAGTTTTCTCAAAAAACCGTCCGTCCAGCGGGTACGTTAGCCCGTAGGCACAGAAGTGTGCCCGACCTACTTCGTGGCTTCGGCTGCGAGGTTCGTCGCCGGTTTGTCGGCTTTTTCTCCTAAAACCGTCCGTCCGATCAGGGTTCGTTAGCCTGTAGGCGGGACTTGGCAACTTCTTCCCAGTCTTCTCGTCGTTTCGGCCGCGAGTTGGTTGCATCCGACCCGGATTATTGGGTACCGTCTCACTTCTCCTCCCTCGTGAGATTCTCCTTCTCACTTGGCTTTCATGGATTTTGCCTTCTTGACTGAAACCAAAAGGTGAGCCACGCACTTCCTCTGAGTTCTTGTATCGCATGGAAATGCGCATAGGCTCGTCTTATCACTAACATCTCTAGTAGAAGACTTGCCGAAAGTCCAACTCCTCTTCACCTCGAGTAGAAGCGCCGGCAAAGGTCATGATGGAACGGCAAATTACGACATGCGCATAATGTAACTATTTCAGACTCGATTCCATACCAGCATTTCCGGCTGGCGCAAGACTGGCGGGCTAACTTCTGTACAGATGGTCATCCCCACCCCAACCAGCAATTGTGCAAATGAGAAGCCGATCGCAAAGAAGACACGATTTTGAAGATCGCGGAAAAGACATCATCTTCATTGTTGGCCGTACGACAAATTTACATTCGATCGGAGGGAGCTGTCGGACATTGCTTCTGTTACTGGGCATCAGTCTGGCAAAGGCGCCCAACCCTTTGCGTGTGGTCGGAGTACCTATATGCGTCTCCAAGTTCCGGGTTCTCTTCAAGATATAGCGAAGTCATTTGCGAGGGCAGTCTTCGAAGGAGAAAGTTAGACATCTCAGTTTAGTGCTCTGAGCGCCATCAAAATGCACAACCAATTCACTCTTCTCACCGTTTCCCGGATCCTCGTCTCTTGAGTTTGTTGAGCTTTTCGTGCCACTCTTTGAATTGCATATGCTCAGAGTCCCCGTGTGGTTGTGCTTCTAACCACATGGATAAAAGAGCCTTCCATCATCAACATGAATATAAATGCATCATGTATCCAAAATGCACGCCCACAGCACGACGCCTTTGTCTGACATACTCGACATTCGCTTTTTCGCTTCTCACATGGATGCTTTGGAGCACATATACATTTACGCACATAGGCACAGGAACCAAGGAATTCGGTAGACACGCCGCCCAGTAAGAGAAAAGAAAAGCCTCTAATGTTTGCTTGACTCGAATCCCAGCGTTCCTCCCACCATCCCAACCAATTAATCAAGATTTACGCACGGCCGGAAGGGCGTCGGGGTATTTAGATGCCCAGGGTGAACTCGACGCCGACGTCGATGTCGCGGGCCATCTTGACAACCTTGGAGAACTGGACCGACTTCTCGGCGGCGTTCTGCAGGTCGTCGATGGAGAAGATCTTGAGGCCGGACTCGTTGATGAGCTTGTGGGCGGCCTCCATGTTGGTGCCCTGTAACCGGGCAATGATGGGGATGCGCAGGTTCATGCTCTGCACGACCTGGATCAGACCCTTGGCGATGGCGTCGCAGCGGACGATGCCACCGAAGATGTTGACGAAGATAGCGGTGACCTTGGGGTCCGAGGTGATGAGCTCGAAGGCGTTCTTGATGGCCTCGGGGGTGGCACCGCCACCAACGTCGAGGAAGTTGGCGGGCTGGCCGCCGTTGAGCTTGATGATGTCCATGGTGGCCATGGCGAGACCGGCACCGTTGACCAGGCAGCCAATGTCGCCGTCAAGCTTGATGAAGTTGAGGTTGGACTGAGCGGCCTTGACCTCGTCAGGGTCCTCCTGGGTGATGTCGCGCCACGAGAAGACCTCCTCCTGGCGGAAATCGGCGTTGTCGTCGAAGTTCAGCTTGGCGTCCATGGCAAGGACCTGGTGGTCGGTGGTCTCGGACAGAGGGTTAATCTCGATCTGGGTGGCATCCTTCTCCATGAAGACCTTGTACAGCTTCTGGATGGTGTCCTTGGCATCCTCGATGCACTGCTCGGAGAAGCCGAGCTGGACGGCGATGTCACGGGCAATCTCGTCAGTGACACCCTTGTGGATGTCGACCTTGGTGGTGATGATGGCCTCGGGGTGCTCCTTGGCCACGGTCTCGATGTCCATGCCACCCTGGGAGGAAGCAACGATGACGGGGCCCTGGGTGGCGCGGTCCATCAGGATGGCGAGGTAGAACTCGCGGCGAGCGAACTTGCGCTCGACAATGTAGACGGCATTGCAGAGACGGCCCTGGGCGCCCGTCTGCTTGGTGATGAGCTTGTGGCCGATCATCTGCTCCGCAAGGATGCGAGCCTCGGTGGGTCTGATTTTAGCACTACGATCAGCTGATATGCCGTGGTTTGGGGATAACTCGGAGGAGGATGAGGGGGGGCCCTACGAGTAGATAACCCGGACACCGCCCTTGAAGCCGTTGTCGAAGGTGCCCTTTCCTCTGCCACCGGCAAGCACCTGGGCCTTGATGACCATGTCGTCGCCCGCTACTGTTGTTGGTCAGCCGTCCAACGAGCAAGCTCAATTGCTCACGTACTGATGTTCTTCGCAACCGTCTCGGCCTCCTGCGGCGTCTGCGCGACGCTGCCCTTGGGGACGCCGATGCCATACTGCGGGCCGGGGTTAGCGGGAGTCGGGACGCGTGGTGGGGGTTCGCGGCGGGCAGCATACGGACTCGAGCAGGGCCGCAGAGCGGTACTCATGTATGGACAGGTTGCGGGTCTGCTGGACCATGGAAGTCCTCAAAGGAGTACCCTGGAGGCGGATTAGCATTCATGCAGGCGGGACGGTCGCAGCATCATCATGAGGATGCGGTACCTTAAGGGCACTGGCCATAGGCCTACCGGCGCGCGCCAACTTGTACATGGTGGCTTTTGGGCGATAGAAGAGGGAAAGGATGGAGCGGAGATGGGGTGCTGGTCTTGTTGCTGCACTTGTGATGGTTCCGGCTTCAAGCAGCTTTTCCGGGAATTCTTGGCAGCTCGCGGCAGACGGCCAGGCGGCATGTGCCTCGGGCAGATGATGAACATCGTCTCGGTCTCGCTCAACTTTTTCTCACTCGCTGCCGCACCACCCCGACATGCCTTCCGCCGTGCGCCCGGAAGACGTCGCCTTCAATCGCGTCAGCGTCGCCCTCGCTCGCAGCCAGAGTCTGGTCGCGTCATGGCTGCCCCCGCGCTCCACTGAAGATGAGGCCGCGCAAAAGACACCCGAGCAGCTGCAGAAGGAGGAATCTGCCCTGTTTACTGCTGGTTCCGACATGTATGATCCCTGGCTATGCTACTTGCAATCTGATGTCATTTGCTCACAGATTTCCAGCCTAGGCGTCGGCGCTGAGCCACCGAAAGATATCCTGGACGGTAGCTTCAAGCGCAACCAGCTCTCTTCCAACGAGCGCCTCCGCCAGCAGATCCTCGGCAAGAACGCTGCTAAGAGCCGTGGCGTCCAGTCGTCAGACCAAAAATCTACCGCCGCCGCCCACCTGCCGAGCAAGAAATTGGAACGACCAACGAAGCCTGTGAGAGCCCAGGACGACAGCGATGAGGAGGAGGATGGGCGTGCGGCTATGTTCAAGTCGAAAAGGAAGGCTGCCCTGACTCCAGTAAAAAAAGAGGCATCGAAGGGAGAAGAGAGCGGATCCGAGGAGGAGGCAAAGGGCAGGGCGGCGCCTAAACAGGCGAATACAGCGGCAGCACAAGCGCAGGAGAAGTCGAGGAAGCGACCCGTCAGTTTTCTGGATGAGCTGCTGGAGGAGCGCACGAAGAAGAAGAATAAAAAGCAAAAGGCTCAGGCAGGGGCTCAGGTGAAGGCAGCGGTAGAGGAGCCGAAGGACGATTCACGGGAGCAAAAGTCCGAGTCCGCCCCCGCAACCAAGCAAATGGCAGACGAAGAAGACTCTGCGGATGGGTCTGACAAAGCCACTTCGAAACCAGCACCGGCAAAAGTTTCTATACAACATGGAGACTCTGGTGACGCTGCCGTCGCTGCGGAGAACGCTCTGTTGGACCGCTCTGACAAGAAGAAAAAGAAAAAGAAGAAGAAGAAGAACAAGGGCGAGGCAACACAAGAGCCTTAAGTCACGAAAGTTACAAGATATCGAATTTTTTGTTTTATCTTAGGGTATTTCTACAGATTCCCGCCTTGTGACTACTCCCTGACAATCAAGCTGGCCATGCCCATACCCGTTCCGATACACATGCTAATAACACCAATTTCTTGGCTCTGCCTCTCCATCTCGGGCAGAAGTGTTGCCAACTGTCTTGCGCCAGTGGCGCCCAGAGGATGACCCAAGGCAATAGCACCACCCTTGGGGTTGACCTTCTCCTCATCAATGCCCAGCTTCCGCACACAGTAGACGGCCTGGCTGGCAAAAGCCTCGTTGATCTCCCAGATGCCAACCTCCTCCGTCTTCACACCGGTATAGTCCAGCAGCTTAGGGATGGCGACGGCAGGACCAATGCCCATCTCATCGGGAGCGCAGCCGACGACCTGGGTGCCAGCCCACTTGCCGATGATGGAGTCATGGAGACCGAGGGCGTGGGCGGTGCTTCGGCGCATCATGAGAGCGGCGGCGGCGCCGTCGGAAACCTGCGAGCTGTTGCCAGCGGTGGACGAGCCGTCGGGCTTGAATGCAGGCTTCATGGAGGCCAGCTTCTCGACGGTGGTGGTGGGGCGGATGCCGTCGTCCTTGGTGACGGTGATTTCCTCCTCATTCTCGGGCACCTCGGGGTCGGGGCGGAAGCGCGTCGTCACGGGCACGATCTCGGCGTCGAAGAGGCCATCCTTCTGGGCCTGGGCGGCGCGCAGCTGGGAGCGGGCAGCGAAGGCGTCCTGGTCGGCGCGGCTAACGCCGTAGCGCTCGGCGACGTTCTCGGCGGTAATGCCCATGTTCATGATGCAGTCGCGGGCGTCCTTGACGGGGCTGTCCTTCAGCGCAGGCCACAGGACCGTGGGGATGGCGCGCGAGCCGTAGTTGCGCGTCATGCTCTCCATGCCGCCGCCAATGCCGACGTCGATCTGGCCGACGGCTATGCTGTGGGCGACGCCGGTGATGGCGGCCAGGCCGGAGCTGCAGGCACGGTTGACGGTCTGGAAGGAGACGCTGGTGGGGTAGCCGACGTGGTTGGCGGCCATGCGGCCGGCTTTAGAGCCGCCCAGCTCGGACAGCACGGTGCCGATCTGGATATCCTGTACTGCGGCAGGGTCGAGCTTGGGGTTCTTGTCAAGCGTGGCCTTCAGCACGGTTGCGAGCAGCTCATGGTCGTAGGCATCCTTCAATCCGCCCTTTTTGGACCTTGTTACCGGGGTTCTCAGGGCAGACAGGAAGACAATGTCGTTGGGGTTCTTTTGAAGGATGTTCTTGGCGCCTTTTTGTATGAAGCCTGCCATGGTGGAAACGCCAATTGAATCAGAAACAGTGAGAGGAAAGAAAAGTGGAAGGTAGAGGAGAGAAGTTGAGGGCTGCCATGCGGAGTAATAACTATATGGTGTCTGGGGTCGGAAGCGGATGTCAGTTCGGCAGTCGGGCCCCGGGCGCGGCGCATCGCGGGTGGAAGAACGGCTTGCCTATTCGCTTTGGCTATTCGTTAATCCGGCTTCTCCGCAGCCTCGCACGCTTAGCCCCTCAGCCCTGCATCTCTCTCCAACATCGTCTCTTCATTTAGCCTTCGTCCAGCAGCACTCAATGGTCGACATTTGGGAATCTGTCGCGCTCCCCCAGGTCCCGGAGCTCCGGTCGGGTGCCGTACCCGATGTTCGCGCGACAGCGGTCAAGAATCGGATGCGCCGATGAGGTGCGCTTCGGTGCGGGACCGGGAAGGGACCTGGCCTCAGGGCGTCGACGCTCCAGCTGATCACATCCTTTGGCGTTGACGGTGATGTCAGTGAGTGTTGAGAAGGTTGAAGTGTGGCAGATGCGGCTGCGTCGCAGCCAAACAGGATGGCGTATATATGGAGAAGGCTCGGGCGTCGGTTCAACAGGTTTCAGCCACCTTTCGCGGGGTTAGCAGCTCGCGGGCAGCATGCCGCCCGGGAATTGTCGATCTGCGATTTGCCAGCCCTGTCGAGTCCCATGCCCAAGATCGTCATGGTGCCGTGCCGGTCCCGAGAGAAACGCATCTTCGCTTTCCATAATTCCTCGCGTGCGTCTCTATCCATGGGAGCTGGAGCGCACGAAGCTCGGCAACCGGCAGCTTGCGTCTTCCCTCCAGCCATCCACCCGCGCCGCCTAAATGGCCCAATCTCGCTCTCCTTTCTCGACGGGAGAGCCCAGCCCACTTCCCTCGCCAGAGCAGCCTGGCAATCACCCTTTCACCTTTGCTATCTCGCCCGAGGCCTCGTCCCGCTCGTCTTCGCCCCCGGCTCACACTCATCGCGGCTCCACCGTGCATTGGTCTGATGAGAACAGCGCCGCAGATGCCATGGCCTCGTCGCAGAACGGCATCAAGGTCCAGGAGGACGCCGACGACATGAGCGAGAAGGAGGCCCCGCTGCGCTTGTCTCTGAGAGAACGTCTGCGCCACTTTACCTGGACCTGGTTCACCATGACCATGGCCACGGGGGGCATTGCCAACGTGCTACACACTGGTACGTTATCCCAATCCGTCGTTGGCGCAGCATGATCCCTGCGCTAGTTCGACTAACCTCAGCCCGCAGTCCCTTGGCGTTTCAACGGCCTGTACGAAATTGGATGCATCTTCTTCATTTTGAACATCGTGCTCTTCATATTCAACGTCTTCATGATCAGCATGCGTTTCTACCTATATCCCTCGACCTTTCGCGCCAGCTTCCTCCACCCCACCGAATGCCTGTTCATTCCCGCTTCCGTCATTAGTTTCGGCACCGTTCTTCTAAACATATCCCAATACGGCGTAGACTCGACAGGCCCTTGGCTCGAAGACGCTATGGTCGTCCTTTTCTGGCTATACTGTGGACTGGCTATTGTCTTCTCTTGCGGCATTTATCTTATCATGTAAGCCCTCCTGCTCCCGTCGCTGCAGCCTGAAACTAACCTCTCACCAGGTGGTCAACCCAGACCTTTACCATTTCGAAAATGACACCAGTATGGATCTTCCCCGCCTATCCCCTTCTGATCGTTGGCCCCCACGCTGGCAATCTGGCCAAGAAAACCGTTGCAGAACGTTCACTCGAGATCATCGTCGGAGGAGTCGTCCTGCAGGGCATTGGCTTCATGGTCTCGCTGATGATATACGCTGCCTTTCTCTACCGCTTGATGACCCAGAAGCTACCACGCGAGTCCCTTCGCCCCGGTATGTTCATCTCGGTTGGTCCGTCTGGCTTCACCATCTCCGGCTTGATCACAATGGGCCAAACCCTCCCCAGTTGCGTGCCCGATTCCTTCATGGGCGACGGCAAGCTCGCCGGACAGGTCAGCAAGATTCTCGCCAACTGGGCCGGCCTTTGGCTGTGGGGGCTGGCCCTCTGGTTCTTCTTCGTATCCGTCGGCGCACACGCCAGTCCGGCCACGCGCCGGCGGATGGACTTCGCCATGACCTGGTATTCGTTCATCTTCCCCAACACGGCCCTGACGACGGCCACCTTCTCCGTTGCCCAGGCGCTGGACAACAACCGCCCCATCAACATCGTCGGCTGCGTGCTGACCGTCGGCCTGATCCCGCTCTGGCTCTTCGTGGCCTACATGCAGGTGCGCGCCGTGCTGACCCGACAGATCCTCTGGCCGCAGAAGCAGGAGGACCGTGACGAGGGAGGCTTCAAGGAGACGCCCCAGCACGGCCAGACCCGTGACGAGCGCCGCCGCGAGCGCGTCGTCGAGCAGCTGGACAACGAAGAGCCTTACCGCAGCGCCATTCCCGGTCCCGCCCCGACTCCCTTCATGCGCACCCCCTTCGCAAGCAACACGAATCTTCCTGCCCAGATGCAGGCCGAGCAACAGGCCCAGATGTCGGAGCGCCTGAGCAAAGGTCTGCACAGAAGAAAGACAGATTTGTTGATGCCTTGAGATTGCAAGACTGTAATCATTGTCGTTTGTGCGGCTTCATGATCTTCACCCAGCATTGCTGGACTTTCCTTTTTCTTCTCTTCCTTTCTTGCTTTTGTATAACTTTTACCTATGGTTCGCTCGTGCTGATTTCCCAGTCTCTTCCCAAAAAGGAACAAGCTTCATTCTCATATTACGTTTTCAAGCTTACGAGTATGCCCCCTGCTTATTCGGCGTTAGATCAGCGGATACCCAACTTGCTTAATCTTTGATCCAGCTTTCTTTTTGGGGGTTTATTCATGTGACCAATGATGGAGAGCCTGGGAGTGGTACTGTCCGTAGATTCCGTTGATCGTAATCTTCCAGTTAGTTGCTTTAGTGCATCTTTCTTCTCTACAATAGTGGTAAATCTCCTAGGAATTACACATAAAGCGGTTTCTTCCCGTATACGGTAAAAATGACATTTTCAACCACGCCCATTTACAGCTCTCGTTGGCTGAAGAGGTTGCGATCATCCTGTTTGAGTGATGCTCCGTGCTATGAAAGGCCAGTTCAACATTAGAGAATGTTATTTCAGGGTGGTTTATAAAAAGAATCGCCTTAACTGCGGAAATTTCACTAGGCAACATCTACCAAAGTATTTCAGAACGGCAAGTAAGTGACGGGAAAAGCCAGTTAATTCTTCCGACGTTGTTCTCCTACCTCTATTACAGTAGCTTTGCCTGAGAAATTTTCTCTCCGAGTAGCAACATATATAAGCAGTAGAGGCTATTGTCCGGACGCGGATGTATATTTATTAATTCCACATTCGCATCCGGACGATAGCTTCAACTACTCACGTAAGAATGCCGCCATTTGTGCGCAGACGTACGACGCGCTATACGTGTGGCGTCTGCCTTAATTATTTTACATCTGGGAGCAGATGGAGCTAATGTCCGGACGTAGATGTAGATTTTAAGTTCATGCAAACACATCCGGACGATAGCTTCAACTACCCATCGCATGAGCGAAAAATAAATTCAGTTAGTCGTCGGCTGCGATACCCCTCTGTAGGTGGGCTGGCGGTGGCTCGTGCTACAGGCGGTTGTAGTAGGCTCCCAACCGCGCCTTCTATTTTAGCATGGTTTCCCGTTTAGGTATAGTGCCATCGGCAGGCTGGTCCTCCACAAAACATTTCCGTCATGGTCGAGTCTTTCCTCCACTCCTCATCAGTCCCTCGCCGCTCACCCGTGCTTCGCTGGTAAGTTCTTTCCGTCGCCTTCGGGCAACCCTCTCTTTCTCACTTTTGTCTGGTTTGAACTGGCCTCTAACCTCGATATATGCTTTTAATAGTGCAAAATGGACGTTGATCCCTTACCACCACCACTACTGGCGTCGCCGCCCGCAGGTCCAGCGCAACAAGAGGCAGAAAAAGCACAGGAAGAGATCGCTGCAGGCGCGCAGGAGATCTCTATGGCAATTGCTTCAAGCCAAATTGTCGACCTAAAGGATTTCCCAAACGACTTCAAGAGCGTCAAAGAATCCCCCGGGTACCCGAAATTTGCCGGCCACCTCAATATGGAACAAGCGGTTCAGGAGCACCGCGGTCGTGACCAGAAGCCGTTTCTAATCAAGACGTCCAAAAGAGGCAAACGTGGCAACCAAAAGGCGCAGGTTTTCAGCCATACTCCAGCCGTTGTTGCTTTTTCCAATGCGACACGGAGCAACGTCTTCGGCAAGATATCGACACAACTTCCGCTGGAGTCGCTTATAACGGTGGCGTATTTCCCTTCAACGCAGACGCCTTCTATCCACCTAAAACTACTTCATGCAAAAAGCAAGCATCGCCATGTTCTGATAGAGGCCTTCATATATGGCAACTCTATCGAGATGTCTCAAGATCCGGAGCAAAATGCGTCACTTCATTCACTTGAAATGGACGTCGGCCCCAGCTTGAAGACAGAATACATTTCGCCGAAGGTTCTCAACGACGAGTCTACCGGAGTTGCTGCTGCTCATTCAGCCGGCGAACTTTGGCTTACCTGCATAGATATCAATCCATCAAGGCCGACTGATCGTCCTGAGGAGGAGCAGCCTGGACTGAGCAGCTCTCGCCTCGCCGCGTTGCCATTCGAGGATGATATCGTGACGGATGACCAGTCACCTGAGATGATCCAGTCAATGTCTACCGAAAGGGACTCCGGTATAAAGTTTTTTGGTATCGCGGCGAAAGACCTGAAACACATCCGTGAAACCACCGAGAGGGACTTCGAAACTGGCTTGAATGATGTGGAAAAGATCATCTGGTGGCTTGCTCAACCATCATTCCAGATGCACATCTACAGCTGGACCCCAAGCGAGTCTGTCGATACGGCGAAGGAATTCATCAAGTATTTTCGTCCGTTGATGAAGATTTCTATGGACCACGGCCCATATTGGTTCTACCGCCTGGAGGCCCAAAGCACCAAGAAGTTCAGTGATCGTGATTTCCCATACAAAAGCCTCCCAGTACCACGCTGGCTTGTCAACCGCTGGCAGATAGGTCTCAATGAGGACAATATCCCTATCCCGGGTACGGAAATACCTCTTCACTGGACCAATTTCAGGCTTCCAACCGAGGCGCCATCCTCAGACGCAAAAATGTTTCAATACCAACTTGCCGTGACGCGTGAGAGGGAAGAGCACCAACGCCGCATAAGAGAGAGCAGGCTAGAGACTGATTTCAACATTGTTACGAAGTTCAAGAAGTTCAGCGGCCAGCCGAACAAATTCCTTGTTGCTATCTGGCTAAAAGGACACGACCCCATGGCAACTCCGTCCAAGCTCCCAAGCCTTGAATCGCGCATCTCAATTTCAGTCAGAATCGGCAAGAAGGATGTGGTTTTCAATGAGATGACCTGCGAGGACTTCTTTAATGTTCGCTGTCACATTTTCGCTTGTGTCCGTGGCGTCGGCAATACAAGCGCACTTAAAGAGGATATCCGATACAGGGGCTTCATCACTCTCGTTGATGACGAGGTCCCGACATCGCGTATACTGAATGGGCTATATCTATGTGCTCAGCCTAAGAAAGCCAATAAAGGCGTCGATGTCGGGGCTCTGCTTGGGTTTCATGAGCCCATGATCACCCATGCCGATTGCCTCGCTCAGGAGTTCGGACAGAAGAAAGAGATGTGCAACAGATTCCAGACTGTTATGAGCCGCATTCAGCTCGATAAGAACCAGCGAAGCGCCGCCATGTCAGCCATGAGCAGTGCCACTGGTGTCATCGCCTTGTGGGGCCCTCCAGGAACAGGCAAGACTACAACAAACGTTGCCATGGGAGAGGCTCTCGCGCAATGTGGTAAAGTCGTTGGGCATACAACTCCCTCCAAAATCGCTCGAGATGTTGCTATGAACAACTTTTTGAGTGTCACTGAATTGGCCGATGACCAGATTGTAAGATTCAATGGTGGTCACCAGGTCGGCCCATTTCAGATGGACCAAGATGGCGCTGAGCAGCGGCCGGAGGACCAAGAGCTCATAAATGAAGTCTGGGAACTCTACGAGCGCCGCGAGATGACTGGCTTTGACGATCAGCTCGCTGGCTATGACTTCGAGACCCAACTCGACAAATTTGTGGAGAGCGTGAGGAGCAGCCCTACCCACGAGCTTCACTCCATGGCCAAGGAGTATTTCCAAAAAAAGAAGGAGCTCTCTGAGGCAAAAGTCACAGGGCTCGACACCCGGAGTATGAAGGAACTTCGCGACGTTGTAGACAAACTTAGGAAGCTCACATTCACGGAAGCTTATTTTAAGAGCCGAGTGAAAATAATCTTCCTCACGGAGTCACAATGCGCTGCAGACCCTATCTTCCTCTACGCAAAAGTGCAGTGCCTACTCGTGGACGAGGCGGGAATGTCCACTATACCCAAGCTGGCCGTGCCTCTGGGGGTGTTCAGGGAGAGCCTAGAGTTACTCATCCTTTCGGGAGATCACAAACAGCAGCAGCCTGTTGTTTTCTCGAGTCAGTCAAATGAGTTTGGTGATCTACTGAGGCACTCATTGCTCCAGAAGCTTCATGAGAGCGGCGACAACCGCATTCATATGCTCAGAAACTCTTACCGGCTGACTCCAGACGTCGGAGCCTGGAATTCTCATAGATTCTACGGGGACGCTCTGAACTGCAAAAATCCAGGCGACGAGCAGCTTTGGAACACAATCAACTCGGCCATTTCGACCCACGCTCCGTTCTTCGTGGCGCAAAAGCCTCTTCCACGTCGCATTGCCGTGGATGTCTCGAGCAGCCTCCTACATAGCCGTGAGGTGTATTCTTCGCAAAAAAACGAGACATCCCAGGCTAACGATTTCGAGGCTGAATTTGTCGTCCAAGTTATCTTAGGCCTTCTCAAGTTCGAGCCTGGCGATCCTATTGGGCAACGTACAATCGTGCCCAGTGATTTTCTGGACATTACCCCTTACGGTGGCCAACGACAATTGATTGTGGAAAAGCTGGCCGGGGCGCACAAGCAAGGCATACGCGGTCAGGACGGCGCTTCTCTCCTTTCGATACCGGTAGCGACTACTGCTGCTGCTCAGGGTGGGGAGGGTCGCATTGTGCTGGTGTCTCTGGTCGCCAACAAACCGGGTGCACCCAGGTCGCTTGGCTTCATCACGAGTCCAGCGCAGCTTAATGTCGAGACCTCCAGAGCGCAGGAGTTCCTTTTCCTCTTTGGAAATTTCAAGGGCTGGGTGAACCTGATCCGTGGGAGAGACCCTGTTTTCAGCAATAAGAACTACAACGGTGATCATGGTCACTTTATCAACCTGGTCTACAACATCTACGAGAAGAATCAGGTCATTAGCTGTGATGATCTCTGTGATTCTTTGAACGGAATCACGATCACCGACAGCACCTTCCTCAGCACGCTGGATCCGGGCGCACCAAAGGAGCAAGGCACTAAGAAGCGGAAGCATGCGGATATGGATGGTCCCACTACTGCGCCGGAGGGAAGTGGCTTACTCGATCAATTCGAACAACAATCATTAGCGGCATCAGCAAGTGAGCAAGACCAGCAGCCAGTTAAGAAGAAGAGCAGGAAGTCCCGCAAGCGTAAGGAAAGAGACGCTAAAGGCAGACAAGACGGCCAGAGTGACCAAGCAGCATAAGAAAGTCAGCATTAGATGTATTCAATAAAAGTAAGCTCCCAGGTGAGCCGAGATACCTCGTCGTGCCCGCGTCCCTGTCGAAGTCGAGGTACAGATGGTCTGTGGCGGCGAAAATCCAGCCAGGCGGTATCAAGGCAGCAGAAAGTTTGCTCCTTGCTTCAGTGCGGGTGTCTCGGAGTAGATACGTAATATGCAATCTGAAAGGGGTTTTCACTGAATATTAAGGTGGGTTAAATAGAGAGCACGTGAGATTCCTCCTCATACCAACGATGCTGGCGTATTCCATAGCACACGCATCAGTAGCTCCCGGAGGCCGCGTGTTCGAGCCTTGCTTGGGAGTATTTCGTTATTCACGTATGCCTATAGTCATCGAGCCAGTCCTCCGATCCTTTACCACATAGCTAATAGGCTGTGGTGCTGTTGTATGGGTTCGTACCGTACGATCAGCATAGTACGCGCTTAGAGCGTACCCCCCCTTAGTTGACTGCTCTACTACAAAAGCACGATTGCGCCCATTAACCACTCTCTTACCGACAAGGAAGGACCTTGATAATACATACTAGTAAGTGAATTTTCATTAACCACGTGGTCTCCGGGGCTTTTTTTTCCCCCTCTTTTTTAGTATTCTATATCGCTTCGTTAATTCAATCCATTCCTATCACTATAACTTAAGAACTTCCAGGCCATTTCATCACATATGTAAACTACATTTTTCTTAGCGTATACAAAGCCCCCTGGTACTATACGCATGGTGGTTAACATTTCAGATAGTGAAGCACTTCAATAAAAAAAAAATAAGGCAGAGAGCTAGAACAGTTTCGCCAGAATGCCAGTCTTCTGCCCACCCTCCTGCACCTCGGGGGCCGCACCGCCCTTCTCCTCAGCCTCCGGCAAACTCTGCTGGTCCGTAAGCTTTGGATTGCGCAGGACGAGCGAGAAGAAGATCAACAGGGAGCTCAGACAGATGCCGGTGATGCACAGGTAATTCTGAGTGGTCCGGTAGGCGGCGATGACGGCATCACGGTCAGGCGTACCCACAGGGTTACTGTAGGACCAGGTGAGCGGGTCCGCGTAGACGGTGGCGGCCGTCGTCGCGTTGCCGATATGCCTCTCGAGCTGTCCTGGCAGGACCTGCGACCAGACGGCACCTGAGACGCACGCACCCAGCGCCGAGCCGATGTTGTATGTGCCCAAAAAGAGACCGGTAACGATGGCCAAGTGCTCATGCTTGGTCGCGGCCTGGATCGAGGCCTGTGTGGGATAGGGGAAGAGGCCGCCAGCCAAACCAAGCACCACCTGAGCGCCCACCATGCCAGCGTGGTGGCTCAGCGAGGTGCCGCCGCGGTAGTGGATCAGCATGCCGAAGGCGACCATGAACAGACACGTGCCGAAGACGATGAAGGGCTTGAGCCGGCGGACCTTGAAGACGACGATGCCGAGGAACCAGCCCATGAGGACGGAGGCGAAGCTGTACAGCTGGGTGATGCGCGTGGCAGACTTGATCGACTCGTTGAAGGCGACGACGAGGACGGTGTAGAGGAAGTCTGCTTGCATATACCAAGCCCAGTTCAAACACATGGCGATGCCGAGGGCACCCCAGACAGCCCGGTCCTTGAGCAGATGGAATGGGATGAGCGGGTGCACAGCCTTGATTTCCCAGAAGGCGAAGAGCGGGATGCAAAAAAGGCCTATAATCAGTGGGGCCAGAATATGAGCCTTGCTCCAGCTCTCGGCGGTACCGCCGGCGAGTGTAAGGGGTGTTAGGATCAGAGCGAATACTGCGATCATGAGAATGATGCCAATCACGTCGAGCTGCCAGAAAAGCGCTTTTGCGAGGCCCTTAGCGCCCAATATCTCGAAGGGCGTCTTGTAGTCGGCAAGCCCGGCGGACTTCTTAGCGCGACGATGGGCAATAAACAAAGCGGCGAGAAGAGGGAGGGCGCTGACCGGGTACACAATGGCCCACATGCCGATTCCCCATCTCCAGCCAGCATTGGCGAGGGTTGAGGAGGTGATGTCGCCAGAAACCCAAGTGTTGATGATGAAGGGGGTTGCAGGAATATACGACAAGAAGAGACGAGAACGGAGGGAAGAGACATCACCAATGATGACCTCAACCAACAATATGACGGCCGTGTAGCCCAACTGAACCAGGGTTAGCTGCGCTGGGTTAGGTATGAATTGAGATGCGAGTCACTGACCTGGTACAGCACAGCACCAGCACAGAATGTGGCCACATCGTTGGAAACTGCCTCGATGATGGTTCCAAGCACGTAAAAGAAGATGGATACGAGAACGAGTTCGATGCGACCGAACACATCTGCAATTTTGGCGGCGGTGGGCTGAGCAACAGCGGCAATGACGCTACGGACGACATTGATGGAAGCCAAGAGACTGTGGTTTTGGAAGGAGGCCGTGGCAGTGGTCTTCGAGGGATTAGCAAAGGAATACGGCCCAAAAAAAGGACTTTATACCTGATAAGTGTACCTCACGGTTCCGTCGAGGGAGTATGAGTACGCGATGATGAAAACGCCCACGAATAGAAAGATGCGATCAAATAGAGTAAGATGAGCAGATAAAGCCTCCATGCGCTTGACTCCAGGGCTGGTGGAGCCCATCAACTGGAACTCTTCCTCCCGTGAGGGAGTCTTGGCCTCATCACGAGGCGCATTGTCGGAAGCGATTCCTTTGGGTGAAATAATCTCTGTGGCCATCCTGTGCTGTGTTCGAAGTACAGAGTTTCACAGTTTCGCCGGGTGACGGCAGTATAAGAGATTGATCGATAAGATTTGGCCTCGGAAAGGGCGGCGGAGGCGTCGAGAATTTTCAGACCCAAGAACGACCTGATGGATTCGATTAGGCAAGAAGAGGAAAGCCAAGGCCGAAGGCGGCGCACAGCATTAGGATCGCCGCTCATGAGGACGGTTGACGCCGGACACCAGAAGCTATAAATGACAGCAGAGTGGTGTCTGAACGCATGAAGCAGCCATAGGGAAGGTGACACTGGAGGATATAGATAGATATGATCGATGTCTTGGGTACATGGCTGAGCTGCAAGTCACTGTGGGCACGGGGCAGATCCGTGATACGAGATCGAGTCAGTGCTTTGCTGGGATTTGCTGGGCAGCGGTTGAAAACAGCAGTCGCAAGCGAGCCACATAGCGAGCACTATGGAAAAGAATGCAGCATGGATGTGGAGAACTAAATAGAGCAAGCGTGTCACGAGCACTACGGTCAATCTAGATTAGATAAGATCAACGATCATCTGCGCCAGGTCAGAAGCCTCGGCTCAGTGAACGGCTATCGATCCGCTTCCACCGCGACCCGCACGCAACCTCTCCGACCTCAATGAACACTCAGTGCTGAGCCAAACCCGCCGTCACCATGGTCCGCGAGGACCTCGTCAACTCAGCGGTTACGTGTGAGCAAAATCTGCAGCAGCGCGTCCGGACCCGAACTCACCGTCAATTGCAGTCCTCCAAGATCCCTCAGTAGCTAGCGCTCCCGTAGAGAAGCGCATTGCCTTTCTCCAGTCCAAGAACCTCACGCAGGAGGAGGTTGATGCTGCTCTAGCTCGCGCAGGCGGCGAGGGTCCGCCGCCGTCATCGGCAGTCTCGAGCCCTGCCCCAGGCTATGGCTACCAACAACCGCCGCCGCCTCCTGGGTATGGCGCATATCCGGGCTACTGGCAGCAACCTCCACCTCCGCCGCCGTAAGCGACAGCAATGACGCGTAGAACAAATCGAACCAGTGGCTGATCCGACGCGATTGTAGGGTGCCAAAGCGCGACTGGCGAGACTGGTTCATCATGGCCACCGTAATGGGTGGAGTAGGCTACGGCCTCTATTTCACTGCAAAGGTAGATGAGGACCATACCGTCTGCCTAACTCAGGCTGACCGCGCACAGCGTTACATCTACCCTCTAATAGCACCCCCGACGCCACCCCAGCTCGAGCAGGATAAGAAGTCGATTGATGAGTCGTTCGAGAAAGCATTCGCCCTTCTGGACCAACTGAATACAGACACAACCGCTCTCAAGGCCGCCGAGGAAGCAAGGACACAGCGCCTGGACTCAGCGGTCGCGGAAATGGAGTCGGTCATGGATTCTCTCAAGGAATCTCTGAAGCGGCGCGACGCCGACAGCCGCAGGCTGGAGGATGACGTGCGGGGGCTGCGGGACCTGATCCCGAAGGCACTCGAAGCACACAAGGAGGGCACCGACAATAGATTGAAGGATCTTTCGCAGGAACTGAAGAGCCTGAAGACGCTGGTTGGGAACCGCATGGGGTCCGGCACGCCAAGCACCACGGCGAGACCGACATCAGGCGCAAATATGTGGGGCTCTCCAGCTGCTGGTGTGAATGGCGGGGGTCCGACTCCTGCGACCCCGGCTGCAGCTTCGTCTGCGCCGGCCGGAGGCTCAACGAATAACACGAGCGAAACACAGCAACAAGATGGCAGCAGCTCGTCAGCGGCGACGCCTGCCGCGCAGGCATCCTCAAGCCCGTACGCCAGGTTCAGCAACGGGCGCGCCGCGATTCCGGCCTGGCAAATGGCAGCAGCCAAGAAAAACGACGCAGAGAAGAAGGACACGTCGGAGAGTGGTACCGTCAGCGAAGCGGGTGCTGGGGCATGAAAGTCGTGGAGAGCAACGTAGGCTGTGTATACTCTTGGCGGCAGGCTGCAAGGGCCGGAAATAACGATTAGTGGTGTGTTTCGGATGGCATCCCTCTGTCGGCTAGTCTAGGCGTGCGGCGCAGTTTGTTTTTTCACATTGTGACTGGCATTTCCCAATCCACATGCTGCTTCTGACATGAGTAGGTCGGTGCGTTCAATATTCGACTAAATCGTTCGGGTCCAGGCGTACCCATTACATCATTCGTTGGTGTAGAGCTCGAGCCATTTGACGAGCGCCACTGTGTATGGCTGGCCTTGCGCCCCGCATCCGGCCCCGAAAACAGGATCGAGATACAATATATGAAGTACGCGTAGTTCTGGCCTGTTAGAGAAACCGGTAATAGCACCAATTGTACGACTGTAGCGGCACATGGCGCGAGCACGTTTTCGACCACTCCCGTGACCCGAGCTTGCGCATAAACTCCTAATATTGTACCTTGCGGGGCCGCGCCCTCGGGGCGAGTGGGGCCATCCTTCCTTGCAACCATATTTTACATGCAGTACTCCGGTGGGGACAGTAGAGCGGCGTAATCTTTCGATGGCTTCCATCTCGGCCTTTTCACCGAGATGGAAGCCATCGACGAGATAAACAGGTGCCCGGCCGGAAATAACGAACAGCTCGTGCAGCTCTTCGCGTTGAGCCCTGGGCGGTTTCCATGTGAAGACCCTGCAGCTACCGCTTCGGTCAATCGGAATCTCGGTTGGTTGCGTGTTTTGTTTTCTTTTTCCGCCTCAGAAATGCCAGATCGGGTAATGCTTGGGCCGCACGCCTCTGGCGCCTGAGGCCTGGGCTTGACCGCAGCACCTGTCCTTGGGCGTGAATGTGTCGCTGCGGCCCATCAAAGGTATTGTTCACTGCGGCGCTGTATAGGTGCCGTTGTAAGAGCGCATGGAGTGCACCAGTAAGATTACGAGGAATCCAAACGGGTGATGCATTCCGTGCACCGATTCGCGCCGTGACGCAATGGGCGAAGATCGGAGCGCACTGTGTGGACAGGCGAGGGCGTGTGCATGTTTTGTAAATCCGATCAGATCAGGCGTTCCTGTCAGTCTGTTAAAAGAGACGAACGCCCCTCGTTTGCTCCGGATTATTTCCGCCCAAGCCATTACGTTGCGACCTGGAGAAATACATGCTAATAGAATTCGGGCACAGCTGGCGACGGTGCCCGTGGCCGCTGCGCTACTTGAACTGAAGGTCGCCCGGCCCTGATCTTACACAATCCAAAACGCTTGGCTCGTGGTGCATGGCTTGCTGACACTGTGCTTTTCCTCTCCTCCCCATTTTTATTTATCTACAGGCTGCTGCTCCACCTCTCCTTCCTCCTCCCTTCTCACTTCATTTTCGGCCCTTTCCCCATCTGTCCTGAGTCAGACACCGACCCCCGTGGATTCTAGACTGACGAGGTGGGCAGCCGCAGGGAATACGGTGGGCCAAGCTGAAAAGGAGTTTCTGCATAAGGATTGCCGGTCCTTCTGTCGTCCGAAATTCACAACGCCAGACTTCCCTCGTGTCTATCGGATCACACACACACGCCGAGGAACCGCAGGAAAGCAAACAGTACTGGGAATAAAACCGATATCCCTCCTCTTGAGCGCCACGCTTGCTGCAATTTTGCCCATAGGCGTTCATCACAAAACACCAAACTTGGAAAAGTCAAATATTCAAACACAAATACAGAATCCGAAAGGCTTAATACGCACGTACCAACACTGCCGACTAGAAACAAAGGAAAAGAGCAAGAGAAAGACAATACAATATCGCGAAAACTTGGGGGGAATGTCAACTGATGTACAAGGGGGTGAAGCATGAAAGAGCTGGGGTCGGCACTCGCACGGGGGAAAAGGATCATCTAACATGAACACACGACGGAGCGCATGCACGTTGCACACCAGATTCGTTGGATCAACGATTGCATCAAAGCAAGCAGTCCAATGCCAACTATGTGTGAAGGTCGGATTTTACCAGGATCGACGGTAAGATTGCAAAGAGAGGATGTGTAGCGGTGCCGATTTTGTCTCGGTCCAGCACTGCACCGTTCCAACTAATTACTTTCCACGTCTCCCAAGGATCAAAATCCCCGCAGATCCAATCGCCGGATAGTTTTTTATTATCAGTCGAGGGGAACCATGTCGTCGTGCTGGGTGAACACATTTTATCCAAGGCCGTTGCGAATATCGTCACACATGTCCGTTTGGGCCGAACCATAGGGGGATGTGCCGCCAGGACCATTTCAACCGTTGCATGCCTCAATGCATCCCTGTTGCTCGGACCTTACCGAGCAGGAACGGCATCTGTTCGAACAATTCTGGGGCAAGCGTCCAGTTGCTGAGGTTGCTAATGTGCTCGCGGAAGGCAACTGACAAGGCCAGTTTACCAGAGCTCGGCTCGCAATAAACAGTATGGGAATCTTCGTGGGGCCAATTTAGGGACAGATGGTTTACGAGGACGCCTGCTACGTGCTGGTCGGTGTTGTGCAGAAAAAAGTCGCGGACAGAAGGCCTACAGGACAAAGTGTTAGGAGTTTTCCGTCCTCTTCCCGGACCGTACTCCGGCCATTCGAAAACCTACCAGGGGAGAAAGTCGATGGTCGGATCGTGCGGCATGACCTGCTGAAATTGCGTGGGTCTCGCCCATTCTGGAAGCCTTTCTAGATTCTGCCGGCTGGGACAGATTTGCCACTATTTCGCTTGTCAGTAGGACCGACCATATTAGACCGGGCACTCCGCCCCTTGGGAGCGCTGGAAAGTCTTTGGATGCATACCGCCATAACCTCCTTTAGCACTTCGCAGGCCGCGAGCTTTTCCGGAATACCAACGTGGTTGAAAAAGACATTTGCCACCCGTGGAGCCCAGACCGACAGAGGCTGTTCGTTACTAAACTCAGTCTCCCCATTCAGCAGACCACGGATGTCGTTCTCTCGGTCGCCAAAGACCTTCATATCTGGTTCTCCGTCCGCTTGTTCTTGCCTCTTTCTTTCCCGGAAGGTTGCGTAGGTATACGTCACTGGATTGATTGACGACCCGTGCGCCAAGGCTGACTGGAAATTCATGGATGGGTGGTTAATGGGATGGGGTGCGATGGGAATCGACGAAGCACTCGGCCCAAGAATGTCCTGCTTGCTGTAGTAAAGGTCAGTGGATGTGCTCGGGCCCGTCGCTTGATGGCACTAACTTTCCGTGCGACAAGACCGCGGGAGCGGTTGACCCTTCCCGATACGGCGACGTTTGCACGTGCGGTGGAGAAAATGTGCCGTCCGGCATCCATACGCCGCTGTCGCCTGTCGTCAGGAGGGGATGTGCCGACCATTGCGCCTACGACGTCGTGTTAGGTACCTCAGACTGATGGGGCGTGTGGAGCACACCTCTGTGGTGGTGGGCAGGCCTTGGGTGAAGCCAGGACTGACGTTCTGCTCGTATCCCGCGTAGTAGGCTGGCATCGATTCTGGCGATGCTGCCGTCGCCGTTACGTCACTCTTCTGGTCGCCGCCGATTGACGATGACGACGAGGAGCCCACGGCGGGGGCGGCGTCGTCGGGCTCTGGTCGGATCGTCCTGGGCCCCTCGAGTATCTTCCTCATCTCGTCGGCCGAATGCTCGGAAAAGCCGTTGTTCTGGATCTCGATTGCGAGTCGGGTTGCAGCCTCGCGCTGGGACGATGTTGCGAGCAACGGAAGGACGGACTTGACCTCTTCTAGCTCCTGCTCCAGCTTCTTCACGTTCACACGCAGCGTGCCCTGCCACCTATGTTCCTGTCGCATGTCGTAGCTGCATGTCGAGCCTTTGATAGCGCATGTGTTGCAGACGGGCTGCAACCCATTGCACTGCAGGCGGCCACGGCGTCAGTGGGAGGTGGGACGACGCAGCGGGACGCGACACGCACCTTGCTCTTTCGCTTCTTGCACGGCACGCAAGCTATGGCGGTGATGCGCCCCCTCTTGGAGCCGAGCTTGGGAGTGGTGGTGGTGGGCGAGGGAGTGTTGTCCGAGGACTGAGAAGAGAGCTGCGGAGGAGAAGGGCCGACCTGGATGGGTCGAAACAAAGGCCGCTGCTGGTAGGCCGGCATGTTACCTCTTTGGACGGGGACGGATGAAGAGGAAGACAGAATGACTCGATGATCTGTCTCGTCTGCAGATCTCGGCGGCGGCGGGACGGCGGCGGTGGAATGGTTTTGCGGAGTCACCGACGAGGGCAGGGTCGGGTCTATGGGCAATTCTGCACATTGCTGTTGTCAGTGTCAAGACAACAAGACCATGGGTTGGGCACTGTCAGCGTGTCGCAGTGGAGGGAAAGGCTAAGCACGACGCTAGGCGCAGGGCCAGGCACCGGTTTTCTTACCTGATGGACGCATACCACGGATGGACGGCTGGACGGTCTAACAATTCTCTCACTGCGACGGCCTGGGGCCGGCCTTGGCCTCGCAAAACTGAGTGTCTCTGCACAGGTTATAGGCGGTCACTATCAGCGCCCAATGGCGCAAATCGGGGCGGCCCAGTGCGCATAAGGGTCCTCACCTAGTGGACGTCCGAACCAAGCGCCGGGGCGGAGATGCTTCCTAAGCGGTGTTCCTGAGCGGGCAATCGAGGCGTGCGGGCGAATAGGGGACGGCGCGCGAGAGCCTGCTTGCGCGAAAGGACCGGCAGGCGATTTTAAAAGACGGACCTGCGGTGGACTGCTGCAGACAAACGCACCATGCGCCTTCTGCCCACGACCGCGCGATCAGCCGCGGGCCTTGATCCCTACCGCTGCCGTCTGCTCTTAAACCCTGGGGCCGCTAGTTTGATGAAGACAGCCTCTGCCTTTGACAATGGCGAGCAAACACCTCGTTTCGAGCGCGAGCACGCGTCCTGGCTCTGCGGTACGCTACGTCGGCTAGCCCCAGCTAATCCGGAACCACCCACGCCCAGTGCGGCCGGATCTTGCACAGATATACCAGCTCCGCCCAAGACGCTGATTCAAGCACCCATGCGAGCATCACCCTGATGAGCGGGATCGTCGGTGGGCGCAGCAATCGAGTCGCGGTCCACCCGCCGCCCAGCGCCTGCCCGCCGCCGGCCCATGGCTTCGCAGGCGCTGGCTCCGTCCATGGAGAGGCACTGATGAGTGCGCGCCAGATCTGACGGCTGCCGCTGCACCCTGACGTCCTCCACCTCGCAGCACTCCCGGGAACTACCCCACAAGCGGCCGGTCTGGAACATGATCGCCACGCCTGCGCTTGTCGTCCGTCGCTGCGCGGCCAAGTGTTGATCGTGGACCCTCGCCCTCGCCCTCACCCTCTACTACACAGAGAACGGCAATCGGCCCGACTTTTCTTCACTCTCTCCACGAGCCACAGCCGCCAGATGACGCGTGGTGGTGGCGCCCGCGTCTCCAACGTCGACAGCCGCTGCAATCATCGCGCAGCCAGTCCCCGCCGTAGCGCGCTTCTCCGTCAGGGACGGCGATCCGTTGCCGATGCGGCTTTTGGCTCAGGCTCACATGCTTGCTGCTGATCTCCGCCGTTGGGTCGCCAGATCAGCATCCTCTACACCCGCTCTGTTCCGTTGCACACGGACGGCCCAGCAGAGCCGCGTGCCTTGCCGGCTCCGAGGTTAACGTCGGTAGCGCTGGTGTTGCGAGCTTGGACAGACTGCTGCTGCCCAAGTCCTAGACGCCCAAAGAACTCCTTTCGTCGCGCCTGCCTCGTATGGCTTGCACGGGCCGGGATTCGACGTCCAAATCTCCGTGCGCAGAGGCCGGCACTCCCAACGCCGCCGCTTGGGAAAGAAGCGTCGGGCTGCGTCGTGAGTGGACGGCGACGGTTGCGTGTCCACTCGCCACCGCCGCCCCTGAGGGTGTGTTGATGCAGAAAACTTTGTGGCTGTGGGTCCTTCATCTTTTCCCACCCTGCGTCCCGAATGTACGAAGGAACCGTAGGGCGCTCGAGAGCACGTACAAGCAGACGCCGACCCGTGCCTGATGACCAGTAGCGCCCCTCCTAGTCCTGCTCGGATCTCGCCTGTAGCGGGATCGCCTTCTGCTAGGCAAACCGTCTTGCGTTAGGCTCCTTGGCTCCCCTCGCAGAAGGCCGAGACGAGAACCCGCAATGTCTGAGGCTCCAGGCATCGCTTATTGCGCTGGACGTGAGTTCGATGCCAAGAGCGTGCAGGCAAATGCCGACCAGCAGGCCTCGCGCTCGAGCCAGCATGACATGTAAATCACCGGGGGACGAGCGGCAGAATGCTGATGGTCTGGCGCGTAGACAGCCATGAGCTCTGAGCTTGGTCAGGATCGACCGGCACTCGAGCGCAGCCATCCTCGTCGAGCTAAAGAATTTAGCCAGATCCAGTTATACTTCAGCACTCGAATCGCCTGCCGGCATATAGGCGATGGCACACGCCGGGAACACGAGCTGAGCTTTGCGAGGCTTGCGAGCGTTGGCTCCCGTGCCCGAGTTGCATGCCGCTAGACCGCCACGGCGTGAACCGCCTGCGCTGGCTAGAGGCGATCATGAATCGTGTGGCGCCCGCTTTACATACTCGGCTTGGCCTAACGGCGGCGCCGATTAGATCCTGCTCCCCGGTTTTCAGCTCCCTTCGTCAGCAGGGGTCCCACCACTCGAGGTTGCATCTGCGTGGGTCAGGTCAGGTCGTCGACGTCGACGACATGTTCGCGTGGCCCAGCTGAAACCTCTCTTGCGCTGCGCCGACATGCATCCTGCGCAACCGTTTCCAATGAGCGCGCCTCGAAACTCGGCTTTCGAGTCATTTGCTTTATTGGCGCAGGGGTGACTTTTCTTAGATCCAAGCCAGTTCTACCAGATGGCTTGGGGTAAAAGGAAAGCATGCGTGGCTAGCTTTGATGAAGTCAAGCGTTCCGCAAGCGCCCGCGTCCTCAGGCCACAAGTGGCATCATGCTGGTCAGGCCGCTGGACAGGTCCAGGAGCTGCTTGCTGGTGGCGGGAGATTGCTGCCCCCGCCGGAGCGGGTGTTTTGGTGCATGAGCGCCTTTCCCTTGCCAGACATAGATGAAGATTCTCACAGGGCAGCCCTCTCCATATAGCAGCGATCGGAGCCCTCGAATCATGGGCCGTGGTTACGACACCAGGCAACGGGACCACCTCTCGCTCATGACCCCTCCTTCATGTGCCCACGGGTTTGCTATATCGGTTGTGACTCTCGTCCGTGTTTGCGCCTGCGCCGCTACCTGATCACTGCGAGCGAATTTCGGAATGGCGGGGAGGCGGGTGCCAGGTGGACCAACGCTCGCGCACTGAGACCAACGAAATAATAAGAGGGATGAGCATAACGATCTGCGGGCTGATGACTTAGCAAATCGGTCGCATTTGCCGGTTGTTTCGTCATCTGAGTAACGCGAGACAACAAACCAATCAGAGAGTTACTTCTACTGAAAGCCGAGACATATCCATGAATCAATCACAAGCAGCTGCCTCATACGTTAGTTGAGGGTGCAGCAATTTCTCTACCACCCTCACACCACCAAAATTCAGGACTTGAGCAGCGATCCGTAATGCGTTCGGGTGAGGGACCCTTTCAGTCTCAGGTTAAAGTAAATTGAAATGTGGATAGCCCACGGCAACCAAAGAAGTCCTTGCCTTATGCATTTCGGCGAAACGTTAACCCTTCAGAACGGCGAACGAGATAATGAGTATGTTAGATAAAAAAAGGTGAAAGTACAAGTCGGAGACATTCTAAGAGATAAGCAGTTGAGTTTCTGGAGCAGCTCTTTCTAAGGCTACTATTGTCTCACGGGTAGCAGCAACGGCGTCGTGTTTAGTGCTGCTTTAGTTCCCATACAACGCACCACGGTTGCAGGCATAAATAACGTTAGCGCGGTATCTGTGGTCCGTGAGCTCACCTCAACGAGAGGCACGGATTGGCCAGATCGTGTTTATTACAAAGCAAACGAGCCAGGTCATCAGCCACATAGCGCCAAGCCAGAAATTTACGCCCGAGCAGAAAATCAGCGAGGTCGCGGCTGCGTCTTGGCAGCCCGCAGAAGTTACGACCGACCTACGCCCTTTCTAGATGCAGCGCATGAGCCGCAACCGCGTCACTTTTGCGCAGCCGGAGCTTCTTCATCCATTATCTACGTGCGCGCGGGGCAATCGCGTTGCCAGCACTTCGTTTTTCGCCTCGCCACATTGCGCCCGCAGGGTTCGCAGCAGAGTCTCCACGTCGGGGGTTCAGGAGGAAGGAACACATCTCGCTGGTTCGACTTCTGTCAGGCCTGCCTTCTACGCAGAGACGCAAGCTAATCTGCAACCCTCCACATCTCCGCCGCAGGCAACTAGATTCCGCACAGGTTAGCTACAGTCAAGATGAGCTCACGCTCCGAATCTGAGGGAGAGATCCACGAACACGAGGTCGACAAGGCAACTACGGCTCAGCCATCGTCGAGGGGCATCAGCGTTGACCGTCACTCCAGACCCCGCGCATCAGATTCGAGATCTCCGAGGGACGCGTATGAGGACCCTCCTCGCCGCCACCGCTCGCGCTCTCCCTACAGACACCGCTCGCCGCGCGGAGAAAAGCGCCGCCGGGACGATGACTTTTACAGCGACCGGGACCGTCGCGATCCACGCCACTTCAAGGTTCGCTACGAAGAGAGACGCTCATACGACGATGACCGCCGACATCGTGTGTCGTATGCCGATCTAGATCGCGGCGACTCGTCCCGCTTATCGTCGAGGTACGACGATCCCCGAGACCGCGAACGCAACCGCTACAGCAGGCACTCAACACGCAGCCGTTCGCCGCCCAGGAGGGGAGGGCCCGACAGGGCTTATGACAGGCGCAATGGAAGACATGAACCGGAGCGGAGAGATCGGAGGCAGCAAGGTCGGGAGAACGGGGCAGATTGGCGCTCACGGGAGCATCCAGGCACTGAGCGAGTCAACAGTGGGCACGGAAGCCGCACCCCGGCGCGACAGGGCGTTCCTTCTCGTTCTGCGCCGCAGGATGTACGGAAGGACACGGCCATGGGAGATGCTGATGCTGAGACCACCAGGTCCGTGCATTCTATGTTTGATGTTGGCGGTCCACTGATGCAATGCAGTCCAGCCGAAGCTCCGAACGGGGCGAGCGGAGATGCCGAAATGGTTGATGCACACAACCAAGATCAGCCCGAACCCGAACCTGAGTCCGTTAACTACGACGCTGAAGTGGAGCGACGTCGCAAGAGGAGGGAAGCAATCAAAGCTAAGTACATGGGCCAGTCTACGCCTCTGCGTGTTCAAGTTCTGCAACCTGGGATTGAATCAGGGCATTCAACCCCACAAGCCGAGAGTCCCGGTGGTCATACGGAGCGTTCTGGTATGTATTACACCAGCAGTGGTGTACTTGCAGCTGACGTGCATTCAGTCTCACCCATGGTGACGTCACCCAGCACTCCGCAAGACAGCTCCGCACCAGCTTCACCACCAGTTGTTGCAGTTCAAAACGACGAAGAGCTTGCCAATCGCAAGCGTGTGGATACTGCTGATGCCGAAGGGCCCTCTGCTGCTGACTATGATCCAACCATGGACACTCAGGAGGACAGGGCCAGAATTGACCGACGACACAGCCAAGATGTGTCAGCCGCGGCCTACAATGAGGTTGAAGTTCAGCCGGAACCACGCGAGGCCCCCATTGCAGAATCCAAGGCCGATGACGCCTCCGCGAAGAAGGCCAAAGATGACTTCGACATGTTCGCCGAGGATGACGATGACGACATGTTCGCTGAGACCCCTGCCAAAGTTAGCGAGAACACTGAGAATGCAAAGGCGCCGCAAGTCAAAAAACTGGACAGCAGCATGCTCGACGTCTGGGACGACCCGCAAGGGTACTACAAGGTTATTCTCAACGAGCTTCTCGACGACCGGTACGAGGTTCAAGCTCGTCTGGGTAAGGGAGTGTTCTCGGAGGTCGTCCGTGCAAAGGATATCAGGACCGGCAACCTCGTCGCGATCAAGATCATCCGCAACGACGAGATTTTGCGAAAAGCCGGTGTAAAAGAGATTGAGATGCTGGAGAAGCTCATTGACAACGACCCCGAGGACAAACGGCACTGCATCCGGCTTGAGAGGTCGTTCGATCATAAGCACCACCTTTGCATGGTCTTCGAGCATCTCAGCATTAACTTACGTGAAGTCTTGAAAAAGTTTGGCCGCGATGTGGGACTTCATTTGAAGGCAGTCCGCTCTTATGCTCAGCAGATGTTCGTCGCCCTGAGTCTGCTCCGCAAGTGCAACATTGTTCACGCGGATATCAAGCCCGACAACATGCTGGTCAATGAAAATCGGACCATTCTCAAGATTTGCGATCTGGGATCCGCGGCGGACATCTCAGAATGCGAGGTTCCGGCTGGGTTGTTGGTGAGTCGCTTCTATCGCGCCCCAGAGATCATGCTAGGGATTCCTCACGACTACGGCATCGACATGTGGGCTGTCGGGTGCACTCTTTTCGAGCTCTACACGGGCAAGATTCTGTTCACGGGACGCGACAACAACCAGATGCTCCGGTCCATCCAGGAATGCCGCGGCAAACTTAGCCCTAAGCTTCTGAAAAAGGGATGGGCTGATTACGTGTTCGAACATTTCGACGTCAATTTTCAAATGTTCCGAAGTGTGGAGACCGACAAAATAACTGGAAAGGTATGTTGGCCCGGCCCGATGTATCGGCACGAGAGGAGATACTGACAAAGAGCACACAGGACGTGACTCGTATGATGAATTTCGTCAAGCCAAGCCGTGATCTCAAGTCTCGCCTGATCAGTAGCACCAAGGGGTTGAGCGAGGCTGAAATCAAGGAGATCAACCTCTTCTACGACCTCCTGGACAAGTGCCTAGCGCTCAATCCTGAAAAGCGCATCACGCCCACGGAAGCTCTGAAGCACCCCTTTATTCATCGCACCAAACTCTAGGGTTGACATTAGCATTCTCTTGCATTCGCATTTTGCACTGGCATTACAGGGGACCATGGGCACTGACGAGAGGGCACATTGGGGCGTACGGAGCATTATATTCACAATGGGCTGCATACCCGAATCCACACGGCTGTGTCATTGCATTTTATGAAGTGGTTTTGATGCTTGGGGATGGCTCTCGGACGCCTGAGGGTGGAATGCTTTCTCGGATCACTTGTTAGGGATCAGAGATAGGCAGAGTTACAATATGGATCGAGTTGTATCGTAATGCATTTTACACGTGAGTTGGTACATAGATAGAGATTCGCTTTGGCCGAATCCGAAAGCGAATCCCAAATTGCTTTCGCAGAAAAAGTAGGGAAAGCACCGCCGCTCCATCCTGATAAGGACTTTAGTGCCGATGCAGGGAGCATGCAAGACGTCCAGGCAGCGTGTCTTAGAGTCGGAAGCACGGATGGCTCCTACCCACACTCCGCTTCTCCTTTTGTCCCAGCATTCCGACACAGCGGATCAGCGGAGCAGCTCGCTTCTCCTGTGTCGCTCCTTCCGACCCCTCACCAACACTGCTGCTGCCTGACTATTTTTCGCCTCGGAACCTGTTGGGCATCTAAAAAGCCGATGTGCGCGACGCGTAATGGGATATTCTTGCTGACACTCGGGCTTCATGCATGCAGCTCGCCTCCTTGAATGCATGCTAAAATAGCTGTCTACACTAGGGATTCTGTTCTTCATTCGTTGTGCCGGCGCCTCGCATTCTGATGCACGTTGGGCATCCGCGGTTTTCGCCAAGCCACACGGTCTTTTACTGAATGAAGCAAATGGCGTGCAGAGCCACACTGGTGTCGCGTGTGAGGCCGGACATCTTCCGTCGGAGATAAGTTCCTTGATGGCTGAGACAGAAGAAGCTAATAGCATCCTTTTCACGCAGAAATTTACGCTCTTATGTTGGATCGAAGAAGCATCACAGTCAACAAAGGAGCATTTTTTTTTTTTGTTCGAGTGGCAGTCATCTGTCCTTGAATATGGACCGGAGGATCGTTTTTACGCCTTGTAGGCCAGTAGTCAGAAGACAGTTGCTTCCCGCTCGTTGCGCGGTTTGAGCAGCAGGAGCAACATCCCAGCGATCGACACATGCATGTCCGTCCGTCTTTTACTTCTTCACAGACTCCTCCACCCCCCTGAGCGCCGCACCATGATCCATCGGCGAAGATTGAGCGGAAATGATAGGCGCCAAAAGCCGATAGCAGCCGGTGTCGTGCTCAGCACAGGCGAAAGGAGCGTAGTATGAACGTTGTATCCGATGTGGGGTCATGGCGGCATAGGGCTTTCCCTGACCATCGAGCGAATGCCAGCCGAGCTGCACCCTTGCCCGATCCTGCTGTCCTTCGACGTGCAGCACGAAATGCCCTCCTTCGACCAATCACTCTTCACGGCAAAAGTAAGGCTGAAGTTTGACCCACCGCATGCGTTGGCTGGGAAAAAGAATCATTGGGTACAGAGAGCTCTCGCCTCTCGACGCCGGGGTCCCACTCCAAGGGTTCAGTCCCTGCATTCCCACCCACCGCCATGTTGGATGCAATGCTACCCCGCCCGTCACCGCCATGGCGGTTTCCGCGGGAGGAGTTTGCTCCGATGCAGCTCTGCCGCCCGCTGTGCCCACCCGGTGGGGCACAAAACATCACTCCCTCGCCCACGGCCCCAGGAGAAGCAAAAAAAGATACGCTCGACGCGGATGGGACTCGAACCCACAATCTTTGCCATGTTCCACTGCTTGGAAGCCGGAAAGCAACTATATTTCAATTAGTACGTTGTTGATGTTGAGGTGTGATGTTGTGATGACTTACCGCCTTACCATTAGGCCACCGCGCCTTTGGATGATTACAACCCGGCCCGCAATGCTTAATACCGTATAATTTTTCTTTCTACCGAGAAAATCCCGAGCACAGTTGCACAATAATGAGAAACAACCACTGCATGTTATGGCATTGTGTGTAACACAAATCCAAAATCGAAGTTTTGCGAGGCCGTCTCTTCAGACTTCTGCGCTGCTGCGCTGTGGCCTCGGCTCGTTTCGATGAGCGGTGCTTCCTGAGTTTCTATCCAGTAAATTTTCCGGACTGCGCCTTCCTTTTCACGACTGAATCGCCAGACATGATTCTAGCCCCTTCGTACGTCGCTCCTTATTCCGTCTCCACGGTGTCTGGTTCCTGTGATTGCCTTGTCGAACGCTCTTCTTCTTATACTCTGTCTCTAAGCTAGACTGGTAACATCCTCGATAATGGACCTCGTATCTCTCTCTCTCGAATAAAAAAAAGACATAACTAAAAAGTTTACTGGTGTGGGATGCAATTGCCAAATCTTCTGCTTCCAGACGTGATGGTAACAGGGAGACTGCTACATAGTAGCGTACCGCACCACTCACCACAGGGGTAGGCCGCCAAATTTTTATCAGCTGCAAGGGGCGAATCGGTTTTGACAGATTTGGGCACTACGAGACTGAGTGTACAAGGTAATCACACACTTTCGAGAGTGACCTTGTCTGCATTTAGTAGGTCCGGTGGGTATGAAATTTTGATCTCGATAATGAATACTTGAGCTGTGATACTGAAGTATACCTTCAGATGCCGAAAACCTTATCTAGTTCGCCTTGTTAACGGCAGTGCTACTCACTTTTGCACATATCTAGACCTGATTATTCATATGTGAAACGCGCTCGTTTGTCGACCGTGCTTCCACTGTTGTTGACATTCCATCAGAATTTTCTGGGAAATATGTGGCCACTGACTCCATTCTTGTGCCTACACAATCAGATTATGCTCTACAGGAAATTTTTCAAAGTGCGTAGTTCTAACTGGAGTTCAAGCACTTGTTTAGAAAGGAGTTTTACGAGCAGGTCAATCCCCAGTTCACTATGCCTGCTGTGACACCCAAGTCTGTGCTTACCATTTTCTTCATGAAATCGCGGCTTTCATTCTTTTGTTTTGCGGATAATCAGCATTGCATTCCTTACTTCAACGGCAACTTCCTTACGAGAATACGTTCATTCTACTAACGCATATATATACGGCCAGTAACTGGCCGATAAAGTGAGCAACAGCAGTTTCCGATTCATTCTGCATCATCAGCGCAAAATCCAATTACACACACACACTCTCTCTCTTTTTCTCACTACCCCACGTCCTACCACTTCTACCAGTCAAGAAAAGGAACGACTACCCGCACGATACAAACATCACCAAAACCACTCCTCTTACTTTTATCCACCTCTTCCCCTTTCCCTTCACGCTATTCCTGGATTTCCTTTTCCTGAATTTCTTCTCCTGATAGTCGAACACCACCTGACCATCCTTGACCCTGCTCAGAATTCCCTTTTTTACTGCACCCCCACCAACACTTTCAACTCCTCGACCCCATTGACCAGCCATATTGCTATTTTCTGTCAAGAGATCCACCCTTGGACCTGGCTGCATAATGTCCGTAGCCTCCAGCGCCATGATGATACACCGCTGATCATGTGCCCACTACGCCCCTCGTTCAGCTTGTCATCATCAACCTTTATCACAACAGCATTACTACTGTACCCCATCACCCGTATGATTACGCATAGATGTTTTTTTCATCACAGTGTGCTGCCGCTCATCCTGCATCCAATACCAGTTTAGTAGTCAAGTAGTACTCAGATAAGTATGTTTTTGTAGATAATAGAAATGGCAAGGTTGTGGAGGAAATGGATGGGGAAGGCAAAAGAGAGAAGGGACGGGGAAGGAAGATAAGAGTGCCGGTGGAGAATATGAAGATCATGGAGGATATGAATGAGTACGCAGGCGAGGAAGCGGAAGTTAAGGGACGGGATCCTGACTGCGCTGTTGAGGGGGCGAGCTTGTGTGATTTCCGCTGGAGAGATGAGTGAGGTGGAGGTATGTTTCGGCCAGAGTATTGATGTCGATAAAGCTGACTGTGTGCAGGGCAGCATTCCGAGATCAGTCCAGCAACGCTTTCAAGAAAGAGGAACGGGGGTTCGTTTGATAATGGGATGATTCTGCCCTCGCGATGTCCGGTATTCATGGCGTTATTCAGCAGTGATAAACGAGACTCACACAAATGAGAACCAAAGCCCAAGCAAGATACTCAAAAATTCGAGGGGAAAGTACAGTTTATTTCAATGTAGGAATTCACGGCGTAAGCATGCGAATGTCTTCGTTTACAGTGAATGATTACGGGAAAGTACACTGTAGTACTTTGTTAAAATGTTTAGCGGAGTTTTACTGAAGACCTGGCAATGCGTTGGACAAGCTTTCAGTGTCTCTCGAGGTCCTGAAGCTCGTAAAAAGTGTCATGACGAATTTAACATGTCTCTTGCAGCACATCCGAATTCTGGAGCCATCGGATGCAGCAATATGAATGTCTTTGCCATGAAAGTCACGCAGTCACGATTCGAGAACACCACTCTTGTTTGCTGTTAACGTGACTCATGTTTTCGGCACTGCAGTTCTAACAGTGCCTTTTGATATACGACAGAAAGGAGCTCAGGGGTATACTAACCTAACCAATGACTCCACAGAATGCATGCACAGACAGCAATAAACATGACGAAGCGCGTACTGACCGATAAGCTCACCTTGCTTTTGGACGGCGGATAACGACCTTATCCCCCTCGTGAAGTTCCCACCCGACCCCGCTCTTTACGAGCTGATCCCAATCGCGGCCAGTGCACTTCTCGATGTACCCCTTTTCAGCGCCGAAGTAGCTCCTACCAAGGCACTTGAGAGCGTGGAGGCGGATGTCGTCCTCCTTGAACTCGAGAATGCGCTTCTGGTAGCCGTCGACCAGCTTATGCAGCTGCCAAAAGCTGATCCAGTCATCCATAACCAGCGCTCGGAGCAGGCGATCGACACGGCCCGTCGGGTCTGAATAGGCGAGGCCTAGCCTGGACCTGTGCGCAAAGGCGGAGGCAAGGTCTCCTTGGCGGCAAGCCAGGTCGAGCACGTAGTAGCCGGCAAACTCGTTGAACTCGGAGCTTGTCATGGGGGTGTGGGCGTGGATGTGGTTGAGGAGATAGCGCAGGGCGGGCAGATACGACTCCCAGGACTTGGTCAGGATGGCGGCGTGTATGATGAAGATGTAGGCGCGCTGAGCGAAGTGATCGGTGCGGTGGGAAGCTACGATGGCCTCGCGGAGCTTGCGCATGGCGGACAGGATGGTGCCGAGCTCGGCAGTCGGGTTGGGTGACGAGACGGGCGGCGAATCGAGCGTCTGCGAAGCGTCGCGCTTAGTCGGACGGACGGTCGAGGGAGTCAGCGGCACGGTCTTCGGCGAGGCCAGAGAAGGACGCGCGCCCGGGGGAGACGGGGACTGTGATACTTTTGGGGCCGGGGCCGGGTTTGTCTGAGAGACGGACATGGCGGCGAACTGCTCGGCCAGCTTGTCGCCGCCGCCGGAAGCTGCGCAGAACTTCATGTAGCGGTCTACGATTTTGTTATAGAAGGACTCCTGGGCGCGGGCGTCATTGAGCCTGGTGGGCGTTAGGAGAGAAGAGCAGCGAGGGCCAAAGCTAGGCTTTCCTTGTCTCGCCCTTGGAAGGCAGGCCGTAGGCCTCGAGCGGGTCTGAAGGGCCTGGCTTGAGCCTGCTCCATTGCATCGACGGGCCTCGACGGCCAACGGGCCGCTGGGGGGCGTTCATTGTCGGTGACAGCGGTTGAGGGCGGTGTCGGAGCTATGGCGGGGTGGTGTTGGCGAGGCAGGCGCGATTGACACCACCGCACGAGTCAGGCCGTGGCTCCTCGCCCAACAACTGCTCATCCACAAACTCTTTCTCCGCCATAGCCATGGCTTCAGCAAAAGAGCGCGCTGAAACGCGCCTGACCCTCCTCTGGCACGAAATCCACCCTTGGCAGCAGGACAACCACTACATCCAGAGCGGCTACCGCCCAGCCTCAAATTCCTTCCGCAAGTCTGCAAAGAGCCTGTTCTACCTGCACAATGAGACGGTCAACGTCTACACGCACCTGCTGGGTGCCGTTGCCGCCGTTTCCGGAGGGTGTGCCCTGTACGGCGCCCTCAGGCCGCGCTACGACACGGCCACGCACGAGGACGTGGTCATGTTTGGCTGCTTCTTCCTGGGTGCTACCATCTGCCTTGGCATGAGCGGCACCTACCACCTGATCAGCAACCACTCGCCGCACGTCTCGCGCTTTGGCAACAAGCTGGACTACATGGGCATCGTTTTCCTGATTTGGGGGAGCTTCATCCCGAGCGTGTACTACGGCCTTCTAGAACATCCGTCCTACGTGCGCTTCTATTGGATCATGGTCCGTCTCGCACATGGCCCGAAGGAGACGAGCTGACACCGCCCAGATCACGACCAACAGCATCGCCTGTGCCGTAGCCGCCGTCCTGGACAAATTCCGCTCGCCCGCCTTCCGTCCCGTCCGAGCTGCCATGTTCGTCGGGCTCGGCCTGTCCGCCATCTTCCCCGTCGTGAGCGGCCTCAAGTTGTACGGGCTCCTGGCCTTAAGGGAAAGGATCGCCCTCGATTGGCTGGTCGCGCATGGGCTCATGTACATCGCTGGTGCTGCCATATATGCCGTAAGATTTTCCCAATGCTCGTGTCGCCTATTGTATGCTGTGTCTTGACGATGCTCCTAGATCCGATTTCCCGAACGCATTTGGCCGGGCCGCTTTGACATCTGGGGAAGCTCGCACCAGATATTCCATGTGCTGGTGCTGTGTGCTGCAGCCACGCACTTGGTCGGCCTGATCAAAGCTTTCGACTTCCAGCACTCGCAGCCCTATGTTACGGTGGACCGTCTGCATCTGCTAGACCTACCCTGGCTGTGAAGCCCTTTCGGGACGCCAAGAAAGGCCTGAGCGAACTTCTCTTGCCCAAAGAATACGGCTTCTCGTATCGAAGCGAAGTCGTACAGACCACAGCGTCTGCTGTCAGCTGGGAGCAAAATTAGAAAATCCTTCGACGATCAACGGACAAGACAGAGTAGATATGAATAGAAGTAGAGCTGGACGGCAGAGGAACGGCGCGGGAGCACATGGTCCATGCAATTCATGCCCCTTGGTGGAGAGGCTGGGTCCGTTCGCAGCCACACAAGCTCCTTTCATTTCCGAGCATCAACGCCCTCTCCACAACTGCCGCCTGACCGGTACGTAGGGCTACCGTCAATCCCCCAGCAGCAGACGGTTCCAGAACGATACGGCTATGACGGAGTGCACATCAGTCTTTCAGCCGCATCGCTTACGCAGCGCTCGCTCTTGGCGTGGCACAAGAGGAAATAAGCAGCAAGCCATTGACCACGGATCGCACGACGTACGTCACATGGCGGCGGTCTAGCCCTTGGCTGGCCTTGCAGCGAACAATCTCGCTCGTGGTTGGTGGGGATGGGTGGCGCTCCGGGAGAGGCTGTGCCGACTGCAAGCCGCCGTGCCTCTCCCGACCACCACCGGAAAACGCGCCTCATTCCCGCACCCCCCGTCTGCCGCAGGCCAGCCAATGGCCCCGGCAATGGAAATACTGTTTCTCCTGTCTCATTCCGCCCCTTCCCCTGCTCTGGCCCATTAAATCGCTCGACCTTTACGAGATTAGCCCGATGGCCCGCTGGGATCAAGGCCGCACACCCCTGCAGCTGATCATCGACGTGGAGCCCGTCCACACCACATCCACCCATGCCGACGTTTCTATTTATTCACACGGCTCCCTCCCGCTCTTCTTCCATCCTCCACCCTTCCTCTCTCTCACTCATTCTCCCTCCACGGTCATCAATTGGTGCCGTAGTCCTTCGTTTTTACAATCACACAATCGTTAATAGCTTAATAATTTCACAATGAGGCTCACCAACGCCGCCGTCCTCCTCGCCGGTGCCGCCCCGCTGGCCAGCGCTTTCCGCAAGGGCTTCAACATTGGCGCCACCAACGCCGATGGCAGCTGCAAGACCCAGGCTCAGTGGGCCCAAGACTTCAAGGGCATGAAGAACCTGCCCGGCAACTTCAAGGACGTCCGTGTCTACGCCGCCTCCGACTGCAACACGCTTGAGCTGGCCGTCCCCGCTGCCAAGGACGCCGGCATTCAGCTCCTGGTCGGCATCTGGACCGAGGATGACGCCCACTACAGCGCCGAGAAGGCGGCTCTCGAGGCGGCCATCTCCAAGTACGGCGTCGACTGGATCTCGGCCGTGTCGGTCGGCAGTGAGGACCTGTACCGTGGCGACACGCACTCGTGGCGCCTGGCCGAGCAGGTCTACGACGTCCGCGGCATGATCTCGCAGGACAAGTACGGTGGCAAGGGCATCTGGGTCGGCCACGTCGACACGTACAACGCGTTCAACGCCTCGTCGGCCGATCTTATCCAGGCCGTCGACTTCCTCGGCGTTGACGCCTACCCCTACTGGCAGGGCGTGACCCCCGACCAGGCCCAGGAGACGTTCCAGAAGGCCCTGGACGAGACGCAGAGCTTCATCAACCAGTACAACCCGGCCGCCCACCTGTGGATCACCGAGACCGGCTGGCCCACTGGCGGCCCCAACTTCGGCAACAGCATCGCCAACAAGGAGAACGCCAAGATCTTCTGGGATGCCGTGCTGTGCAAGTACGCCTCCAGCTACTCCATCTGGTGGTACACTCTTCACGACACCTCGACCGAGGCCCAGGACTTCGGCGTCGTCGACGACAACTTCGGCGCCCTCTTCGACCTCAACTGCCCTTAAATGGCCGGTTGAGTACGATTTTTGATTTTTGATGGCATGGCGGTACGGGAATGTGTCTAGAAATAGAAATGGGATGATGTACTGGGTGGAAATAAAGCAACTCATGCGATAATGCGCAGTCGCTGAACAAACATTTGAACTTCAATGTAAATATTTTGACAACATACAAAACTTTTATGTGAAACCTCCTGAACGATGCGTGGAACTGTTTTACAAATCAATTGAATGAGTCTGTCTCTCCGAGATAATACAAAGGTCCTGCAATCAAAAACAAGCACGATTTTTTTTTCTGTGTATCAAACACTTGAACTATGGGTAGCTGAAACAATTCTCTGGACAGAGAAATTGAATTGATGAATACTGCCACTGTTCGCGCTGGCATTCAACTTCGGCTTTAACATCCGCCTGTACGTCCTTAATTGAAGTGAATGGCTGACATTGTGTAGTTTTTGAAGCGCACATTCACATCTGGATAAACAGGATGCAGTCTCTCTAAGGAGTCAGGAAGTCGGAAAGCTTGATTCTCTCGCAACCTTAAGTAGCGGCACGGCACAGCAAACTCCAAGATCGAAAGCTTAAATCGTTAAGCTTAATTTGATTGCTCCATTACTCGTAACCCAGGAATTGCCCCCTTCTAATATAAGACCAAGAATTCCCCCATTGCCCAAACCATGCTTCTCTACTGAGCAGGTCTCTCGTTGACCTTCTGGCCAACGTTGCCATGCTCGCCGCCAGGCACGTTGGTAGCATGCGAGCCGACGCCGACGCTGGCGTACGAATCGCCGGCAACGGGAGCGTCACCACCCGCAGCGCCGGCACCCTCCTCGTGCGCCGGCACGTTGTCAGCGCCGAGACCGTGGGCTGTAGAGAGTATCGTGTTGTTGTCGTGAGTGATTGCAAACTGACGAGGGTGGCAGGGGGGCAACTACGGTACACTGCGCCTCCTTCAGAAATTTCTCGCTGGTGGTGCCTGGTCGCCGGGAACCTTGGAGTGAGGCATGTTGATGGATTGGAGTAGGAGGTTTTGTTCGAGTGAGTGCTCTCTGTCTTTCATTTCTGCTATCTCACTTGACATGAACATATCGGACGAGGACGCAGAGGGTGACATCACCATAACTATCCCCCGTTCGCCCTCGACAGACTAGCGACATCACCCGCAGCGGTGGAAAAATGGTCTATATCTCCATGATAAAGTGGAGACTTGAATGATATGCGAAGGTTGTCTGCAAGTGCCATGACCGAAGCCTGGACGTCACATCTTAGAAGCTGCCAAGCCTCAACACAGCCAAGTGAAAGCTCATTATAACGTCAGATTGCTCTATTGATTCTTGGTTGCGAATACATGTAAATGCAGTGCGTAGTGCGAAAGGTCCAGCCATCGCTTATGCAATCCGCATGATGCCCGTCCACAGTCGTGAGGCACGTCCTTTTTTCCTCTTGGGGTGTGATTACAAGGTTCATAATGTCAAATCAACAACAAAGGAGAAAAAGTTTCAGAGGATCATCCACCCTTTCTCAGCTCATCTTCCCCATCTCGACGTCGGCCTCGGCGTAATCGTCGTCCAAGTCGCCTCCCCACTCGCCCATCCTCACCTTCTTGCCCAACCACACGCCGAGGGCCGAGGCGACGCAGGCGGCCAGGAACCAGCCCTCGAACCAGCGCTCGACGAAACCGGGCTCGAGCGGGGCGCCGAGGGCCTCGCTGATGACACCGCGGTACTCGGGCGGCAGGTTGGAGCGCAGCAGCAGGGCGGAGCTGATGACGTAGGCGGCAGAGATCTGCGACACGATGAGGGCGAGGTTGGAGCGGGCGTGCTGCAGCAGGGCCAGGGCGGGGCCGGCCAGGCGCGAGAGCAGCAGGAACGTCTGCAGCACGCTGTTGAACGAGGCCAGCAGCATGACGCCGGCCAGCAAGAAGGAAATCTGGCGCGACCAGGCGGCGCGGTCCAGCGACGGGTCCCAGTGCTTGGCCAGCAGGGCGAGGATGTTGTTGATGGGGTCGCTGTTGGAGAAGTTGGTGCCGGGCGAGTGCAGGCGGCGGAATGTCGTCAGTGTGGTTGCACCGATGCGGTACAGACAGTAAATGGAGAAAATGTACGAGAAGAGGTTGAGCAGCTTGCCCACGGCCGTCTTGGACCGCAGCTGGGCTTGACGTCTGTTCTGCATGGCCAGCAGCGAGTTGGAGAGCCCGGCTGCCATGGTCTCCAAGCCGGAGATCTCGAGCTCCAGGCTCTGGCGCTCCTGCTGCTCGGCGTTGCCGCGGATGCTTCCGATAACGCGCGTCATGAAGCCTTCTTGCTGGTTCTCGGACAGGCGGCGCTGCACGGCACGCAGCCGACTTTGCTTGGCCTGCAGCATGTCATTCGTTGCGTCCAGGCCAGCCTGCTTGCGAGCAATGTCTGCCTCTGTGATCTGTTGCCGTTAGTGGAGGATCCCTTTTCACAAGCAGAGCAGCACTCACCGTCTTCTGCTTGACGCCAAAGTTCTGCCACAGAGAACTAACGGCGGCAAAGCCTGCAAGACTGGCCATCAGGCTGACGCCAATGACACCGATCCGCTCGAGACATCCTTCGCTGAAGCTGTGCTTGTTCACATAGCTCTTCTCGTGCAGGTAGCTGCCCAGCAGCCCCTCGCCCAACCACCAGAAACCCAGCAACCAAAGCGACATTCCAACGCCCTCCAGCAACCACGCAATCTTGATCCTCCCCCCCTTGCCCGAATCGGTGAAGCTCCATCCTCCGGCGGAAATGACCGAGTGGATTTCCAGGGCGGGCGTGACCAGTATCATCAGGACCAGCAGCAGCGAGAGGGTGGTGCGGAGGGCCAGGCCGCGGGCGGCCTGGTTGAGCGAGTTCGAGATTTCGCAGAGAATGAGCTCGACCAGCACGGTGCTCAGGGCCACGTTGGTCGAGAAGACGAGCCCGGCGACGCGCTGAGCCGACGGAGCGCCGAACTTCCGCCTCCACGGCTCGCGGAAGGCGACGGCAGTCGTGGGCGAGTGCGACTCATGGTGGTGCGGCGGCGGCGGCGAGGTGGGCGATTGCGAGCCCGAGAGCAGCGGGAACAGGCGGTGGTGCACGATGAGGGCGACTACGAGGAAGGTGGCGACGAAGGGCAGGCACGAGAACAGAGTGCTCGACGCCGAGCGGCGCATGTAGTCGGGAACGCAGTCATCGCAGTCGTCGGCGGTGGGCAGCATGGGGCGGCGCGCGGAGTGAGCGAGGTGTGAGAGTTGGAGCGAGCGGCGAGGACGGTGCAACGGCGTTTAGCGGGGAGCGAAGGAGTCGGTCGACGATGCGTGTCGAAGAGCGGGTGTAGACCATTAACATGCAAATTCCAACCGAACGGGATCGGCGTCGAAGGGCGGCTGTCGCAGGCTCATGGATGCGCCTTGCATCACCGTCAGAGGCGGAGTCTCCGGACGCGCAACCATCGTTGAGCCCCAGCCACACGGCCCACCCCCGGCCAAAACTGCAAGGGCTTTGCGAAATGACCCCGATTGCGATGCGCAAACGCCACTTTGCCCTCTGAAAACGCTGACGAGTCCGCCTTATTTCGAGCCGCCCCGTCCGCTTGCATCGTGGGTTGTCGTCGCCTCAGGCCTCAGCCCGGCCCCGAACCGTGGCACCATCGCCAGCGCACCACAAGAGCCTCTCGATCTGCGTTTTTTACTAATCGCTCTTATCATCCAGATCTGCGCCTCTGCTATCCTTCGCGGTGGGCCCTTATTTAGAATTAAGTGGACCCGCCCTGTACTCTTCACTTTAGGCCTTTGTAGACTAGTCTCCCTAATTTTGAAATGAGAAAGCCATCTCACTACACTGCCGTTGCTCCGTCGTTGCATCCCAGGGGCAAATACAGTACCGGAGCAGCGGAAGGACAATATCTATTCTGCTATACTGTACCCGCCAATCCGCTCCTCACTTCTGAGACATCTATGGAACAGTCCCCGCGTCTGGAGGCGCTGCGTAACCGGCGCCTCGTGCTGCCGTCCCAGAAGGCAAAACAGAAGGCCTAGGCAAAAGAGAAGCGCCAACCTGGGATCGAACTGGGCACATCGGGATGATTGCTGAGCCAGCCACCAGTAATCTTGCACGTATTGCTCATCTCTATCGCTCTTTCCGAGTCATTTCATCGCAGACAAGAAAGAAATGCACTTTATATTGCAAAATTGAGGCCGAGTATCATCATCCAGCAAATCAAAGCAAGCGTCAATAGCTCAGCGGTAGAGCGTAGGATTGCAGTTAAACTCAGCAATCATCCCGAGGTCCCCGGTTCGATCCCGGGTTGGCGCTTCTCTTTTGCCCAGGCCTTCTGTTTTGCCTTCTGGGGTTGTTGGTTGTTGGAAAGGGATGCAAAAAGGGGTGGGGGGTTGGTCCACTTTGACCCTTGGCACGTAGGGAAACACTGACAAATTTGTCCTGCCCGCTACTTGTTTATGAGCTGCTTAACAAGCAGCAGCAGGCATCTGTTTTCTTTGCTACTAGTTGGCCGCTATAATATCACTTTCAACCGAAATGTTGAAGTGAGTGAATGAATTAATTAATAAGTACTTTCTTAACTCTTTCACGTAGGTAGTAAGTAGACGAGGTAGAGAGAGGTATTATTAATTACAACCGAAGACTAGTAAGAATTTATTTCGTTCGTGGCGTGGGTAGATAAGGCAATAATCTAGACAGGTACAAATGTGAATTATATATATTAAGAATCGCGTTAAACACTTACTTCTAGAATATAGCTTCTACTATCTATATAAACAAGTTAAATACTAACTAAAATCATCGGGGTGACGTATTGTTCCTCGAAGAAAAACTGCAGAGGTATTGCCTCTTATTCTTCCTCTTCGCGCCAGCCTTCGGCCACGATATCTATTTACAACCATGGATAACCATCTTTGCAAAACAATGAATAAAATGTATGGATGGTTGAAAATAGAAAAGGGTGCAATATTATTTATGCCTTGGACGAGCAAAAAGATGGCAACGACGCAACGGGTTATGCGACTCAAGCGATTTTAAGCATTCCGTCTGGTGACTTTTTTTTAAGAAGCAATTTACTTCACTTTGCAAGGCACGACATACCCCGCAGGTCAAGGTTGCCATTGTCGTAAGATCTATCCAGTGCTCAGATTCGGCTGGAACATTAGATACGAATTTGCAGCTTTGTAGAAATGTATCGACCTTCACTATGTGCGATGTACGGGGTACGGGCTTTTGCTTCTGTTCACTGGGGCCTTTCAAATTGAAATTTCCTGAGCCTCGCAATCCACTGATGATATTTCAAGCATTCGAATATCCTTACTTAATGGCGAAGTTGGTCTTGCGTCCAGAGAGCATCACAGGAAATAAAGCAGTGGCAAGCAGGCCATCAACTGTGTGGGACAAAAGGAGATAAATTGAACGATTCAGAGCATATCTGAATTCTCAGGGAATGGACATGTCCGAGCAGTAGGCATGTGGCCTACTCATGTGAAGGTCTCGGAACAAGAGAGAAAGAAGAGGATAAAGCGAGAGGTGACACCCACACTGATGCCGAATAAAAGGAAAGGGAAAAGAATGCCAGTCACCCATCTCTAACACGCTCTAAGTGAAGACCAACCGCCGGTAATTGACACCTGCCACCCAAGAAGCTGGCTTGAATGCCAAAATGAATAAATGTCGAGAATGCCTCGAAATACACCGAAACGCCACCATCTTCTCCTATGGCTGTACAGACGCGACGGAAAGTGTTTGGATTCATACGTCCTCCTCTTCGGGTCTCGCGATCTCGTAGAACAAAAGGTAAACCTCCTTCTGCATCCCCAGAACGTCGCTGGTCTTGCTCTCTTTGACCTTGTCGTCACTGATGCGCCACCACCTGTTATCGCGCTTCTTCGACTTCCGCTTCACCGACTTGGCAATCGACTCTGCCTTTGTTGCTGCTCTTTCGCCCATCGAGTGCAACTTCGATGGGGAGTGTCCGGGAGACGACGTCTGCTTGAGCGACAAATTGTCATCCCGAGGCACAGACGTCGGCGTTGCACGTTGGCGCATCGAGGAGCGCGAAGATTTGGATGACAGTGATAACGATGATGCGGTGGGAAAGGCAGGAGAGGGTAAATGGGCAGACTCGGGGATCTCTGCGGGTTCGAGGGGCTCCCTGTACGCCGAAGGGCGAGGGCTTTGGACTGTGCTGGGCACTGTGCTAGGCAACGCGCTGGGATTTGGGCTGCCGTTTAGACTATATACACCCTCAGTACCAAAGGAATGTGGTGTAGAGTAGGGGGGGATTTGAATCTGGCGCCGGAAGCTCTCATAGTGACCACTGTTGTGGCCTCCCTTGTGGGTAACGACACCTAATAAATGGTACTTCCTCTGATCCAGAATTCCGCCAAGCGGCAAGGTTTCGGGAAAAGAAACCTTTGCCATATTCTTCGACGAATAGGTCCCGTAGTTTCCGGCCATGAAAAGTGACCTCGAAAGATGAACAGCGAGAACCTTGGGGAAAGTGGAGATGCGCATGTGCCGCGCAATCCTCCTTTTAGGCGCCAAAGTGCTATCTGGCAGTTCGACGTCTGCTGGCGGTTTCTCCGGATTTTCCTCCAGAGCCTTGCGCAATTTTGCTATGTCTGTCTCCAGCCGCTCCCGTGCATCATCCTTCACAGCCTTCGCCAATTCCTTCTCTTTAAGTTCCACAGCATGTTGTAAGCGGCAATACTCGCATTTGAAATCATCGATATGCTCAATCTTGAGCATGCCGTCGAAGCATTGGTTTAGCGTGGTTGAGGACTGGTGGGGCACGTTCAAGGTCAAGGTGACGAAGCTGGAAACCGATGGCGCCGGCTTGAAGTGGCAAGTGAGGCACTCAATCTGGGACTCCAATTGGCCTTCGAAAGGAAAGCCTTCCTCGTCATCTTGTTCCTCGGTATCCGAATCCACGTCCGCGTCCGCGGCAGAACCCGTTTTCTGCTTTAGGAGCTCCTTTCTGAGATCGGCGCTCTCCTTTTCCGGCGCGTCGACTCTCAATAGGGCCGCCTGCTGCCTCCTTGCCCGCCTCCGCGCTATGTGGCCGGCATGATACTCCTCGGAGACGCGTTCGGTAACGAGCTGGAGGAACTCCTGGGCGTCCTGCTGTTGTCTGCTGATGCGCGACATGAATGCGCGCTCAAGCGCGCCGACAAAAGTTTGCGCCGAGATGGTCTTGCGGTATATAGGGCGCTCATTCAACCTATCCAACACATCCTTCAAGGCATGGGTCACGATGCCCTGCTGTAGCCCGTCAAGCTTCACCGCGTCAAGGTCCTTTTGGCCGCCCTCGACGTCCTTGCCATTCTCCGGGACCTTGTAGACTTCGGGGCCGTCGAGCGCGCGGCGATGGATCTCCCGGATCAGGTACAGACGCAGGTGCGGGAGGCCTGCGAGCGTCTGGAGAACAGAATTGATAAAGCAGTCATTTGCGGGATTGCTGAGGCCGACGACGCCCTTTTTGCGCGCGGAGTTGGCGGCATCGTCGTCGAGGAAGAAGGTCGGACCAAAGACGTAAACGAGAGTGATGGCCGCCAGAGAGGCACCGGCGGCGTAGGTCGCAATGGTCAACGGCTTTTCCGGCATCCTAGAGAGTGGAGGAGTTGGCGGCGGGGGCTTGGGCGGGCATGAAGGTGTGCAGAGGAGTGCTTTGCGGCTATCGCCGGAGCAGGCTGAGGGGCGTGAGCGCGGCGGGCGAATCAGCCATCTGGCTGGCAGCAGATCGATTGCTCTTATTGCGCAGCTCGACCGGCAGCGCAGGCCGCGATGGCCGCCGCCGTCCGTGAGAGAGGATCGGAGAGAAAAAAGGCCGAGGCTGCGCGCGCCAAGAAGTCCAACCCAAGACGCGCTGTGCGCCGTCGACCTTACCTGCAAAAGTGCCATCACCATGTCCGCTCCGCTGCGGCCCTCGCTGCTGCCTCAATGCACCTCGTGTGCGCGCCGCTTCACCAATTCCGGCCTGGGCGCCTGGCCGCGGTTCCAGCAGCAGGTCCGCGGCGCAAAGAAGAAGGCCAGCAACCTCCCGCAGACGCTTTCCGTCCGCCTGCTCAAAGACGTCAAAGCCTATGGCCGTAAAGGTACGCCCGGAAAGCTGCCAATTGCACAGCTCCAGCTCACTGGATCCCGGCAGGCTCGTTCGTCCCCGTCCCGGCTGGTCTGATGAGGAACGGCTGGTTCCCTCGCTATACCGCCGAGTACATCACGCCCGCCGAACTGCTCCAGCTCAAGGCCAACGATGTCACCATTGAGCGCGATTACACGTTTGGCATGGAAGAGGCCGAAGTGAAGCAGGAGGAAGCGCGCGCTGAGGTGTTGGAGATCGCGACGCCCAAGCCGATTGAGGTTGAGGGAATCAGCGTGCGTGCTTCACATGGCAGCCTCTATCTACTTCAAATTGCTGACTGTTGCACAGCCTCAACGATCCATGGAGCTGATTGAAATCTTCGTTCCCTCGCGCATCGATATCGCCGGGACACCAAGAGACACAGGGAAGCCCAAGGAAAAGCCCAGGGAGCAGCCGCAGCCGCAGCTCCGGGGTGTGTCTGCAGCGGACGTGCTGGCTGCGGCATCTGCAGCGCCGCCGAAGCCCGTAGATTCGCGCATTCCGATCCACGGCTCGGTGTCTACCAAGGACGTGGCTGCGTTCATCACTCAGCAGCTTGCTGTCAACGAGGAGGCAGCGCGCGTGGTGGTGTCAGAGCGTGATGTGTCCTTCCTGGACGGCACGGAGCCAAACGACGAGACAAAAGTGAGACATCTGGGCGAATATGAGGTCGAGATCAAGGTGAAGGGTTCGGAGGGAGGCGTAAGGCGAAAATTGCGCGTTTACGCCGTGGAGCGCTCGAGTGAGGTGGTGCATGAGGTGGAATCATGATCGGCCGACCTCTGTTTTGGGTCGGCGGAGGCAAATAACTGTGTATACACTAACTCTGAGGTTCTTCGGCCCCGAGGGGACATCAGGATCATGTCACGGGCTGCGCGATAAAAAAAAATGCACGAGAGAAAAAATCGAGAATGCGAGATAGGAGAGGCATGCGGCATGCTGCGAGATAAGCAGGCTGGGTCAAGACTCTGGCGGGCTGGCCGCCGCCGGCCGTCGAAGCGAACGGACGGCCCAAGGCGATTAGCGTGTCCAATGCACGACGGGAGATTGGAGTGTTGTGGCAGCTCGTGGCAGCGGGACGGGACCCTTGGGAGGGCGGATTCATCTGACGGACAGCGCCGGCAGGTCGCTGATCCTGCGGGCTGGGCGGCCAGTGAGGGCGCGCGCCGGGCGTGCCTGCGCTTGCCGGCGACGAGGATCCTCGGGACGATTTGAGCAGTGCTGCGCCGATGCAGAGCCGTAGCCCCGCCGGCCATGACACAATCGGCCGCAGTGTTATGATGAAATCCCCACCTGCCCCTCAACACACGCAGCTTCTTCCTCCCACCGACTCGAGCCCACTGAAATCATCGCACTCTCATCGCCGCTGCACGCCTTGATCTGGTGAGTTCGCTTCTCCCTAGTGCCCGTGCGCCCAGCCCGCCGCCAGCCATGGCCCCGCTGATGCAACCGCTCCACTGCGCCGGCAGCTTCAAAAACTGCCCCTCCCCCTCCACCCTCTTCTCTTCTGCGTCTTCTTTGTGATACCCCGTTGCCTCCCCTGCGCTTCGCCCCCAACTCACGTCTTTCCAGCCTCACATACCACTCCCACCACTTCTACCAAAATGGGTGCCCAGGACGTTCTCAGCCGCAAGTCCGGCGTCATCTACGGCGATGACGTCCTCAAGCTCTTCAAGTACGCTCAGCAGCACAAGTTTGCCATCCCCGCCATCGTAAGTCATCGCCCGCCTCTCGTTCTTGCCATTGGCTGACCCTGCCCAGAACGTCACCAGCTCGTCGACAGTCGTTGCCGCGCTCGAGGCTGCCCGCGACAAGAAGTCGCCCATCATCCTGCAGACCTCGCAGGGTGGTGCCGCCTACTTCGCCGGCAAGGGCGTCGACAACAAGAACCAGGAGGCTTCCATCCAGGGTGCCATTGCCGCGGCTCACTACATCCGCGCCATTGCTCCCGCCTATGGCATCCCCGTCATCCTCCACACCGACCACTGCGCCAAGAAGCTTCTGCCCTGGTTGGACGGCATGCTCGATGCCGACGAGAAGTGGTTCAAGGCTACCGGCGAGCCCCTCTGGTCCTCGCACATGATCGACCTGTCCGAGGAGGACGTCGAGTTCAACGTCTCCACCACGGCCAAGTACCTCCAGCGCATGGCCCCCATGAAGCAGCTCCTCGAGATGGAGATCGGTATCACCGGTGGTGAGGAGGATGGTGTCAACAACGAGGACGTTGACAACAACTCCCTCTACACCCAGCCCGAGGACATCCTGATGATCTACCAGCGCCTCTCGGCCATCTCTCCCTACTTCTCCATTGCCGCTGGTTTCGGTAACGTCCACGGTGTCTACAAGCCCGGCAACGTCAAGCTCCACCCCGAGCTCCTGTCCAAGCACCAGGCCCACGTCAAGCAGGCCATTGGCGGCACTGACGACAAGCCCGTCTTCCTCGTCTTCCACGGTGGCTCCGGCTCCTCCAAGGAGGAGTTCCAGCAGGCCATCAGCTACGGTGTCGTCAAGGTCAACCTCGACACCGATCTGCAGTGGTATGTGGACGCCCCAAACTCAATTCCTACAAACACTAACGAATACGTAGGGCCTACCTCATCGGTATCCGTGACTACGTCCTCAACAAGAAGGACTACATCATGTCGCAGGTCGGCAACCCCGAGGGTGCCGACAAGCCCAACAAGAAGTTCTACGACCCCCGTGTCTGGGTCCGCGAGGGCGAGAAGACCATGACGGTCCGCGTCCAGGAGGCTCTTGTCGACTTCAACACTGCTGGCCAGCTGTAAGCTTGTTGCCTAAGACCGCAACCAAGCTCTTTTTGTGTGTTTAATGGGTGACGACGTTCCCGGATGGAAAAGGAGACGGCATCATTGGAGTAGGAGATCGAATTGTGATGTATAAATGAATGCATGAAACTCACCCAAACCTGATTGGAATTTGCGTTGGAATTGAGTGAGCTGTGACTCAGGAACGAAGCCCCGCCAAACCGAAGTCACATGGGCGCTTCGCTTCGATCAATCCCTTAGCAGCAATTAAGCATCGTTCGATCGTCGCCGTTGCTCATCAATTGCTCCCTTCAGCATCCCATTCCTCCTTCTCGATGCCTCTTGGTCAACGTCATGTGTTTCGGATAACCCGCGCCCAAGCTCGATTTTCCGCGCATCCTCGGCCATCGCTAAGCCAACAAACCCTCGGATATGTGCCTCCTCTGGCCCGTCCCTTTGCTGCCGGACAAACCGTGATAGCTCTCCGACAACGGCACGCTCTCGCCAAGTCGTTCGGGGTATCATTGACACCTTGGCCGCGGAGAGAAGCGGGGAAGGAGCGCATTCCCCGGGAACATACGGGGAGACCCGGGTGCGCGGCTAAGTATGCGGGGGGAGTTCACAACGGCCAAAGACGCCGTGCTGCTGTGGTCGGAGAACGTTCTAGGTATGCTATCATAGTGGGTCTGGGGAGCTTCATGCGGGAAATAGTGGATAGCAGAACCGTCCTGGGAGGAGATCGGGATTTTGCGGAGGATCGGTCGGGGAAGCATGGGAAAGATGCAGTTGGGGTATGATCTACCTCTTCGGAGTGTATTCCTACGTCCTTCGTTTGGTACAACGAAAAAAAAAAAAGATTATGCACCCCTGGAGGTGGGTCGGATGATTGCTATAGTGAATGGTCACGCATCCGTATACAAAATAGAAAGACGGCTAGGTAGTAACTCTATGAGCTCTGCCCGTCCGTCACGCTGTCTCTACTCTTCGTTATACTCGGCCGCTACCCCGGCCTGACAACCATACCTGCTATAGAGTTAGTTGCAGGAGAAGGGCCAAGTTTGACAAATTCACTAATCGAGAACCATAGCTCATGGTGTAGCATTTGTAAGGATCAGGATGTGCATCACACGAGAAATGATCAGCTCATCACCAACCGGGCATAGGCGATGGGGCCACGTACGCTCCATATTTCAACTGTCAAAACAACCAATGAAAGTGACAGCGCCTAGTCTGAACGTGAAAGGTTTAACTTGCTTCGTATTTCTAGAAGAGGCATGACATCACTTAAAAATTTTAAGTTTATAACTCAACACAACGGCTTCTCAGCTGGCTCAAAAGTTCAGCAGGCTCAGTAAATATTTCCGAAGCAGCACAGACAGCAAAATGATACCTGGAGGCCCCGCAAAGAGCAAAAAGATGGACACTGTGGGAATTGAACCCACGACCTTTCACAAGCACGATTGATGACGATGCGAAGCGAAAATCATACCCCTAGACCAAGTGCCCGGTCGTTTCATTGGCTGAATTGATGAAATCACCTCAGAGGAGTGGAAATATGTGCACAGGCATCCCACAGAAAGTCGAGAAAACCGATTGAAGAAAGCTCGTTCATTGATTTTCTGGGGGCTTTATGACGTACGGAGCTCGAAACTGAAATGCTCATCATACCTAACGGTAGGGCTTAGAGGAGGGGCTTGTAGAGAGATGATTGACTACAGACTTTGGGGCCGGGCTACAAGCGTGGCGCAAGAAAATTTAAAGAAGCTTAAGAAGGGTCAAGAACCTTGGTAGTAGACGGTGTATTAGCTGGCGAGATGGGGGGAAGTCTAAGTTCCGCCGCGCAAATGGGATGATACCGCAGTGCGAGTTTCCACTTTATAATTGTGAACGACTATTTTGTTGACATTCGGAGGACTTAGCAGCTATGAGGCTGGGTATGAACACAGTTATACAGTAAAGGGTGGGCCAACTGATGCATGCTTATTACCCTTTTCTACGTTCTTACCGGCGCTTTCTCTTGTTTACCCTATGCTAGAAATCGTAAGGCCGAGTGAAGTTGAGATGATTAATTTCTCGTACCACGGACAAGCGGGTCACCATAAAAATCAGTAGTGTACTCACGAAAGATTGCAGCACCGCTATTATTCCGAAAGATGTGGATAAATATTTCTTTGCTTGAACCAAAAGTGCTTTTGTTGATGTTGGAGAAGCCTCCACATGGTAAAAATGCGTCATCAAGCCGTTCCTTCAACTATTTTCAGAATGGGTACCGTGTTTTCGGGACCAGCAACAGGGACCAAAACGAACAAGCCATAGGACCCTGTTGAAGAAGAAAAAAGTAGTACGGAAAATGGTACAGAGAGGGTCTGATCCGAACGGTGAGGTATAAAAGCCTTAGGTTTTCTTTCCTCAGTTCTCTCTACAGCATTTCACCTCAAGCCTCATTGCCTACGATGAAGTACGCCATCAAACTCGCCGCCGTCACGGTGGTTGGCCTCGGCTCGGTTGCTCGGGCTGACCACGCCATCGAAGGTGCAACTGGTTCCGCCGAGATCATCAACAACTGCCAGAAAACCGTCTACCTCCACTCGGTTGGCGACTCGGATGGCCCAGAGCATGTCATCCCCCCGGGACAGTCCTGGAGCGAGCGGTACAAGCAAAAGGAGGGTGGTGGAGGACCATCGCTCAAGATCAGGACCGAGGGTACCGCCATCATCCAGTTCGAATATTCAGCCTTCCCGGACCAGGTTTGGTACAACCTGAGCTGTAAGTCGTCTCCCCAAATCCAGCACGACGTCTTGCTGACCAGCACAAACAGACGTCGACTGCTGGAACCAGGCAACTCACTCGGGCGACCGCTGCCCCTTCTGGAACGACTCTTTCGTCGTCGAGAGTCCCGGTGGCCAGCCCAACATCCCCTGCCCGACCGGCAAGAGCTGCAACTACGTCTACAGGTGCCCCTACGATGACCACGGACCCGGTGTTTCCACCATTGCCGGTGGCCCCGTTGTCAACATGTTGGATCCCACGCAGAACATCAAGCTGCACCTGTGTCCCTGCGAGAAGGACCCCAACTCGGGCGCCTGCCAGATGGCCAAGGGCCCAGGCCTGCCAGTTGATGAGTCCCGTACCGCCGGCATGGAGGGCGTCAATTCGTGCCCTGGTTTAGGCGGTGCCGGAAGGGGATCCACGGGATCTACCCACGTCCCTGTCATCGTCCCAGGACCTGGCTCACCCCAGTTACCCTCCTCGGAGGACGACTATGTCCCTACCAACCTCGAAAGTCAGTACGGTTCGCCCGATGGCTATGGTTCGCCCGACGCTTACGGTGCTCCCGATGGCTATGGTTCGCCTGACGGTTACGGTTCTCCCGATGGCTACGGTTCTTCCGATGGCTACGGTTCGCTTATTGGCCACGTTTTCCAGGCTTAGAATGGCTGCCGGGAGTCTCCCAGTGGAGGAATGTGAGGACAACCGCTAGCAATAGATTAAATCAGAATTTCATTTGTCGTCCTCGTTTATGCTTGCACCTTCAATGCTATTATTGAATCTTGCCTCAAATCTTATGAAGTAACAGTACCTCGCCATTTCGCAATTGTTTTCGGACGAGAAAGCTCACCATAGCATCTGAGCAGAGTATAAAGCAACCCATCTGGTTTCTTATTACAATGCGGCATCTATTACAACAGATAGTTATAACTGTGATCAAGTGCTCGTATCTCTACTTCTGTTCTTCTACTTGCCTATTCTTGTCATCGATTTGACATTGAGTCGTTCGTGGAATATTTCAAGGGAACGCGTGGTTGTGCAAGTCTCACCCTCCAAACCATCACTTTGGCCTTACTCAGTCGGAACAGAAGTTGAGAAACCGAGACAACTAGTCAGCTACATTTCCGGATAACCCAAGTCGGTAGGCTTATTCCGTTTCACTTCCCCTCCACCAACGTGGCGAGACAACGGCCGGGAACAGCCTCGACAGGGTACCACGATTCAAGTGAAACAGAGCTTGCAATCGACGGTCAATGTCTTAGTGCTCGAGTCTCAAGCCTCCCCGAGCTTGGGTGAAGCCGCCGAAGGCCAACCACTGGTCGTGCAGCTAGCTTACAGAAATCCTTGGATTGCAGTGGTTCACTATGTAGGAGTCATCAGACGCCGTGGTTACCATTAATCCTCAATTTCAAGTCCCGCACCGCGCTTGGTAGACTTATTCCTGAGGCTCGCTTCAAGGGATCGACATACCACGCTTTCAGTGTAAACCAACACATAACTTCCTTCCTCATCCGTGATACCAAGGCAAATGTATGATCGTAAGTACATACAAATGACGCACACCTAAATCAACATCTCACTGTCTATGGCAGTTTCAGAGCTGGCTACACGGGAAGCACACGAAAAAGGCGCGCGGGAATAAAAGCAAACAAATTGAATCACAAGGACCACAGTTCGCCGCATAAGCCAAAAAATCCACCACTGAGAAAAAAAGGGGATCAGAAAATATTTGCAGAATCACCAGTTGTACGAAGTAGATCCAGTAGCGTGGCGCGAAAAGAAGTCTCCAATGTAGGTGCCGCGGCTGGGCTTATGTTTGTGCAAATCCACCTCAAGCGGTACCGATTGCCATGGTCGAAAACATGTGGTCTAGAACCAGAGCCTGTAGAAGTCGTGCTGTTTTAGTGAGACCAAGGTCTGTCTGCGCTCGCAAACCACGGAGCAAGGACGCTTGGAAAAAGGGGACGACGGCATAGATGTCTCCCCGCCATGTATTTACCATGTCGGGCAAAATCCAGTGTAGAGAGCTTTCTTACTCCTCTCAAACACACACACATTCCATAATCTTGTATGACCGACCAGTAGCCCACCGATGTTACATTTCGTTATCCGTGATTGCTTTTCTTTTTGACTGTTCCCTTATTGACACCCTCGGGCGAATCTTCCTATCAAGAAAGGTAAGATTCTATGTTAAACCTTTGGGGCAGGAATCAGGGTTGTACGTGAGGGTTGGAGAGATACCATCACCAATCCAATGAACCTTTTCCAAGGGGAAAATGTGCGCGGAGAGCATGACGAGGAAAGAGAAAGGGAAGGAAAGAGGAAGTTATCATATGATCAACCAAACCATAAACACCCAGTTTGCTCGTCTATTTCCGTTAAACGCAAGAAACAGAAAAAGACTAGTCGTTGGGGCTTCCGTGGGAAAGACGAGAACCCTTGTCGTCATCTACCGAGGCTTCTTGACTTCGCTAGCCCATCCCTCTATGCCATCACCCTTGCTGCCCACCGGAATTTCAAGCTTGATACCTTCCATGCCCTTAGTATCATCAAGGAAGCTATGGTTGCTCATGCCACCTGCATTGGCCCGCTCGGCTGGCAGCAGCTCCAGCATGGGCAGCAGGAAATCCGAAATCTTCTTGGAATCCTCAACGCTAAAGTGATATTTCTCCCGGAGAACATCTGGAAGAGCCCAGTGGCGCAGGCGATGGATGTTTCGCAATTCACCGCGCCGGTTGAATATCTCTTGCGACCATTTGCCCGACTGGCAGAGAGATTTGGGAAAGGTGCCGAGAAGTTCGATGATTTGTGCAATGTGGTCGTCGTCTTTACCGTACTTGGTGCCCGATTGTGGGTCGAAGAGATAGTCGCCCGTAATAAGTTCAAAAACCTGTTTCCCTTAGTGTTTGCCACCCATCGAGCGAAGCGTCCAAGCAAACTCACCATGGCAGCCATGCTCCAGACGTCCGTACTCGCACCCCACTTGGCCCCAAGAATCACCTCCGGAGAACGGTATTGCCTGGTCTGAATGTCGTTTGTGAAGTGATGGCCGACCCAACATGCGTTCCCAAGATCGGCAATCTTGACGGAAATTTTCTCGAACCCTGCGTCCTTCTTCAAGTTCTCCGCAGATGGCTTACTTGATTTGTCCAGGCTTATGCCCGAGACTTCTCTTGTTAAGAGATCCCTGAGCCTCGTCAGAATCAGCGCGTCGTCAATCACTCGGTCGCACTTACGCGGTCTTCTCCCTCGCCTTTTGCACGTCATCCTCGTTGCCAGGTTGTTTGACGCCCAAAGTCTCCAGCATGGACATTCCCGAAGCCGATGTCGAAGCCGTGCCTATTGCGCCACTCATTACGACATCGCCTTTTGGAAGTGGGCTTTCGCCGGAAATTGGGGATTCGTTACCTGAATTCTCGTTGACGATCTTGTTGAGACTGGCTGCGCTCCCGGGAAAGTTTGCTAGATCAGAGTGGTTGAAGTTGGCATTGAGTGGGCTGGGCAGGGGCTGGCTGCCTGTAATGAGAGTTCTCCTCCGCCTTCTACCGTTCCTGTTGTCATCCTTCTCGTCCTTCTTCTTCGGCTCCTCGTTAACATAGGTCTTCACGATCTGCTCTACGTCGCCAATCTCGATCAAAACGTTCTCCGGCTTTAGGTCGGTGTGGATAATGCCGCATTCGCGGTGCAGGTAGTCCAGGCCGAGCAAAACCTGCTTGGTGATCTGCTTGACCAGCGGCATGGGAATACCACGGTGGTTCCACCTCTTGATAAGGCCCAATAGGTTTTCACCCAGCACCTCGAACACCATGCAAACGTGCACGCCGTTGGGGCCTTTGTGGTTGAACGAGTCCAGGAGGCTCACGACATGCGCGCGGCCCGGGTGGTCCTTGTTGGCGTCGACCACCTTGTTCAGCAGCTTGATCTCGTCAAGGGCGGTCTCGGTGTAGTGTGCGGCGGAGCGCACAACCTTCAAGGCTACATGCTTGCCAGTGTTGTTATCGCGCGACAGCCAGACGGTGGAGAAATGACCCCAGCCCAGCTTGCGCACGACGGTGTAACGGCCGTTGTTGTACTGCTCGCCGACCTGGACGGGGTGGTAGCCGCCCTTGCAGTAGTCCTCCGAGTCTTCCTCGTCAGCCGTGTTCTCGGCAGGGTCGGCTTCGGACGACGAGGTGGACGAGGGCGAGCGGCTGAGCTGCGAAGTGTACGAGACCTTGTGGTGCTGGAGCGGCGATGCGGTATTTTGCACGCTGCGATCGGCACGTTAGTTTGGGGGCGCTGTGGCAGGGGGCGTAGGGGGCGGGCAACGCACCTGTACTGGAAGCTGTTGTTGGAGCTGGCGGGACTCTGGTCCTGCTTCTGCTGCTCGGTGGTGATGATGGGCTTGAGATCGGTGCCCTTCCGGCGCTTCTTGCCTCCGTTGCCATTGGCGGCCTGTGCGACCTGCTTGGCCTTGTTGATGGCGGCCTTCTTGATGTCGGTGCCGTTCATGTCGGCGTCGGTGCCGTTCATACAGGCGAGGGCGCGCTGGGTCGCGGTGCGGTCAGACTGGTTTCTTGGTGTGAGGGTGCGACCGGCGATCGGGAGATCGGAGAGGCGGCGCGGCCGCGGCTCATCGAACGGCGGAAGACGGGCGCTTGGAGGGTCGGAGCAGGCGCTGCTGGCGGGCGAGGTTGAGCGTGTTGGCGGGCGCGGTGGTTGTGGAGACGGCGCTTTCAGACCAAGTGCTGCCCGGCGGGCTGCAGTCGTGACGGCCGGGAAGACAGTAGGCCGGGAAGGACGGTGGGCCGTGCGATTGGCGGCGGGGCGAACGGTCACTGGCCGCACTGCAGGGTGTGCGACACAAGTCACGGGCGGGAGAGGGGCGGCGTTCAGGCGCAACAGGCGGGCGGCGTGCTCAACAGCTGGTGGTGCCGGCGGCTGCGCATTGGGGTCGGGTAGCGCTGAGGGGAGCGCAGGGCAGCGTCTGCTCGCTGCGAAGGCGAGATGATGCAAGCGCGCTGCGCAGCGGCGGCAGCAGGTTTGCAAAGCAGATCTCCACGCGCCCGCAACCTCCGCCCATCAGCCCAAGCCCTGCCCTGCCAAACCGCAACCAGCCACCCCGCGGCACCCACCGCAACCGCCCTGCCGCTCTTCCGCTGCGCTGCGCGAATCAATGCAATGCCGATTGCGTCTACACTATCCCTCTGCTACACTGTGCCGCCTATGACGCTGCCCGTCCCAGACTCCCGCGGCATACCCTCCAACCCTGCGGACATCCGGCCGCGCGTGCTGACCTCAGCTAAACATCACGCTGTCTAGAAATCAAAATCATCGCGTGGTGATCGCAGACATCCACTTCTGCTCGTCCTTCTTGTCGAAGTGCAGCAGCATCCCCAGCACCGGCACGAGCTGCATCTGGTGCTTCTTGTCCTTCTGCTCCAGAAACTGCAGCAGCACGTTCTTCAGGTACACGACGTCCATGTTGTTACCTGCCCCCTGCCCGACTTCCGTAGCAATAGATGGCGATCTGCCTTTGGACAGCGGAGGGGACGCAACCCGCCCACGTCCTGATTCCATAGATGACCGTGAAGATTGCATCCCGGACTGTGTAGGAGACTTCGTCTTGGATTGCAGCCCTCGAAGCTCGTCTGCCAACGACTGCTGCCTGTTAGATATGGCTTCCCTAACACTTGCTCGTCTACACATACCTTGCTTGATTTCTGCAGTTTCTCCAGTTTCGACTGCGTCTCCTCCAGAGAGCGGCGCAACTCGCCCTTCTCCCTTTCCAGTTCACGGGTCTGCTTCTCGCCCTCATCCAAGGCATCACGGAGCTGGTTCATGGCTGACCTAACCTCCGCGACCTCCTCCGTAGCCTGGGCTGCCTTGCGCTCTAGGTCCTCCTTCTGTCTGCGCAATTCTTTCTCGGCTGTCGATTGCTGTTCTTTCTCTTCTTGGACACGACTCAGAGTCCGCTCAGCATCCCTGACCTTTTGCTTCAGGTCCTCCAACTCTCTCGCCCGACGTCGTCCGATGGTGTTTGCTTGGTCCTCCGCACGATCTCTCTCCTCGATGGCAAGGTCCATGCGTTCCCGCATCTCCTTCACGCGCGCCTCCGCTCGACTCTCCACGTCAGCAAGGAGCCTCCTCATCGTTTCACCCTCGCGACCGCGTTCGCTCAGGAGTCTGTGCGCATCTGCGAGCTCTTCCTCGAGACTCTCGCATTTCTCTCGCACCTCCTTCATCTGCGTGCCCATCTCCTGAGTCTGGTCTTGCATGCTGTTCATCAGGCTTTGTGCGCTGGCATATTGTGCGCTCTTCAGCTCGATCTCGTCCCTGAGCGTTGATGCGTCCCGGTTGAGTTTCTCAGCCTGCTGCTCCAAGCCCCTGATGTTTCCCCGGGCCATCTTCAGTTCCTCTCGAGCTTTTTCGAGGTCCTTCTGAAGTCGATCACGCGTTTCGACTGCTTCGGAGCGTTCGCCTTCGGATCTCTCGAGGTCCCGCTGGGCCTTGCTACACGTTTGATCTAATGCGATGTTCTTACTGGTCTCTTGCTTCAGCTTGTCGTTGAGCGACCTGATCTCGACATCCTTTGCAGAGACCTGCGACTTGAAGGTGGCAATCTCGGCCCGCAGGTCCCGTTCTCTAGCCTCGAGTTTCCGTACTTCAGCGGCTTTGCTCGTTGCCTCATCCTTGACGGTCTTCAGCTCGGCAACCTCTTTCCGTAGGGAAGCGAGCTCAGGCTGCGCTTTCTGCAGCACCTCCCTTAGTTCCGTAAGATCCTTAAATCGTTGAGCAGCCAACTGGTTGGCTGCCTCCAGGTCCGTCTCCAATGAGTCCGCCTTAGCCTTGAGCTCCGCAAAATCAGTCGCCAAACTTTGACGTTCCTTTTCTGATTCCGCGCTCGTGGCTTGTTTAGTGCGCAGCTCGGCGATCTCCTTTTCCAACTTCTCGATGCTTCCTTGCAAGGCTGTCTTCTCTGCCGTGAGTTCCTTGATCTTGTCCTTTGCTTCGACATGATCTCCGCCAACTTCCACGAGCTCATGTCTCAAATCATCAAGTTCCTCCTGCAGAGCCTCCTGATCCTTGATCTTGCTGACAAGGCGATCGATAGTGGCATCTCTTTGCTCCAAGGTAGTCTTGAGTTCATCCAGTTGTGCCCGCATGGGCGCTTCCCAGTCTTCGTTCTCCTTTTCGGGGACCAAAGTGGCCGTCTCTGATGGTGCAGGCGTACTGGCCCTCTCCGGTGTGGCACTGGTGGCTGCGCCAGCCGCCCCACCTTTGCCGCCCTTCTTCTTCTTCTTGTTATTCTTCTTCTTTGCTGCCCCGGTAGTTGTGGTCGTTTCTACAGCAGCAGGTTTCTCCGGCTCCTGGGCGGGCTTTTCAGGCTCTTGCTGAGACTTCGCCGTGCTGGTTTCGATCTCTTTTTGAAGACGGCCTTTTTCGTTTTCGGCATCCTTCAGCTGGCCCTTCAGTGTCTGGACAAGTCCGTTCAGAGTCTCGCCGCGCTGCTCGGCCTTGGACTGCGTGGAACGAAGTTCGGACATTTCGGCCTTAAGTTGCTGCAGTTCGCTCTCGAGACGTTTCTTCTCTTCATCAGCAGCGGAATCGTTGGACTTGGACTTGCGCGAATCCTCAAGCTCCTTGTTGACCTCGTCGATCTTGGACTGCAGGTCCTTGTTCACATTGTCCTGTTCACCCCGGGCTTTCGCTTGACTTTCGAGATCCTTCTGAGCCTTCGCTAACTTTTCATTCAACTCGTCGGCAGTCGCTTGGAGCTTCTTCGCCTGCTCTGCAGCGTCCTTCTCGGCCCGATTCTTGGTATCCTTGATCGCTTGCAGGTCCCGCGTAGAGGCCTCCAAATCCTTGACCAGCTGCTCAGCGGACTCTTTGGCCGAAGTCAAGTCGTTCTTGAGAGTCTTGTTCTCTTCTTCGAGTTTGGCGACCTGTTCTTCCCTCTCTTGAAGCTCTTTCTGAACGCGCGGGAGCTCACTGTCATAGGAGAAGAACTCTTCCGACTCCTCAACTACATCCTTGTTCCCGTTCGTCTGCTTGGTGTCCTTCTCTCCGGTATCGGTGTCCGTTGCGGATTTGTCTGCCGAGTCCCGGGCCGCGCGTAGCTTCTCCGCCTCTTCCTGCGCCTCAGTCGCACGTTTTTCTGCCTCGCCCAACTTCTTCTGCAGAGAATCACGTTCGCCCGATACGCGCTTGAGCTCTTCCATGACCATATCTCCCTTCAGCTGAAGCTGTTGCAGGTACTCGACCAGGGCACCGGAGTCGTTGATCGAGGTTAGAGGAGTGTGTTCTCTCAAGGAAGCTTCGAAGGGCTCAATAGCGGTGACACGGGCGTGGGCGATGCGGTATGAGCGTAGCAGTTCTGCGACCTGGTCAGGCTCTCCACCTGCACGGCGGGAAGAAGGGAAATACCAGAATATTTGGGCTCCAACTTTTCCAGCTTACGTAGCCTTACGCGCACCTCTGTGGGCAGCTCATTCGAGGCAGTCGAGGCAGCAGACTTGGCATCCCTTGCCGCTTCTGCGCCCTCCTTGTCTCCCTTGGCTGCATCGCCATTCTCAGTGGATTGCTGCTGAGCGGAATCGTCCTTGTCGTTTGGCGGGCGCGGAGTGGTGCTGCGACTGAGCTCGTCTTCGCCTACGACGACATCGGGGTCGAACTCGGCGGGATCGGGGCCTCTGACCGGCGGCTTGTCGCCGCTTAGGTCGGGAGTGCGTGGGCGGCGGCCTGCGGGGGACAGCGCATTCGAGTTGGAGCGGCGAAGGGAGCTCGAGCGAGCGGGATGCTGGCCCTGACTCTGTTGCGCAGCCTGACGCTGGCGGGCCTGCTCCTCGGCGATGCGCGAGTCTATGGCGCCTTTGAGACGCTGGACTCTTGATTCAGCACAATGAACAGAATGCGGAATGCGGAGAGTGTACCTGAAACATGGTGACGGTTGGACTATGCTCGCAAGCGAATTGCGCGCGAGGACATTCTCTTGCGACGCCGCCGATTCTGTAGAGCTGGGACTGGGGCAGGGCCAAATTACGCGGCGTGAGCTGCTGCCAGCTGGTCCCCCGGGCTTTGACGGAAGAGAGATCCGTCCGCTCGGCGGCACCTCGGGATGCAGTTTGCTTCCTTTCAGAAAATCTCCAGTTTCGACTGCCGCACATCAAGCACACAACACCTCTTCCAAGCACCATGTCCGCCGTGCAGATCAACTTCCCGCTGCCTGTCCTGCCCGCGGGCTGGGCTGCCGACAAGGACTTCAAGGCCACCGGCACCCTCTCCGCCCCGACGCCGCGTAACGTTGAGCCCGTCGGCCCTCACTTCCTCGCCCACGCCCGCAGAAAGCGCCACCAGCGCACCTTCTCCGAGGACGACCGCATCCAGGCTGAGAAGGCCGCCAAGAAGGTCGAGGACGAGGACGATGGCGAGATTTCTGAGCCTGAGGACCCGCTGATGCTCCAGCGTGAGGCCAAGGACTGGAAGGTAAGGATCCTGAGTGCACCGCTTTCACACAATCCTCGCTAACGCATGAACAACAGGCCCAAGATCACTATGCTGTCCTTGGTATCTCCAGGTACCGCTGGAGAGCCACTGAGGAGCAGATCAAGCGCGCCCACCGCAAGAAGGTTCTCAAGCACCACCCTGACAAGAAGGCGGCCGCTGGCAAGGCGCAAGACGACAACTTCTTCAAGTGCATCCAGAAGGCCACTGAGGTTCTGCTTGACCCCACCAAGCGTCGCCAGTTTGACTCGGTCGACGAGGCCGCCGATGTTGAGCCCCCGACCAAGAAGGAGGCTCAGAAGGGCAACTTCTACAAGCTGTGGGGCAAGGTTTTCGAGTCCGAGGCCCGCTTCTCCAAGATCCAGCCCGTCCCCATGCTGGGCGACGAGAAGAGCACCAAGGAGGAGGTCGAGAACTTCTACAATTTCTGGTACAACTTTGACAGCTGGAGGTCCTTCGAGTACCAGGACGAGGATGTTCCCGACGACAACGAGAGCCGTGACCAGAAGCGCCACATCGAGAAGAAGAACCTCAATGCCCGCAAGAAGAAGAAGACCGAGGACACTGCTCGTCTGAGGCATCTCGTTGACGACTGCTTGGCCACCGACGAGCGTATCAAGAAGTTCCGCCAGGAGGAGTACGCTCAGAAGCACAAGAAGCGTCTCGAGAAGGAGGCCGAGGCCAAGCGCCAGGCAGAGGAGGCCCAGAAGAAGAAGGAAGAGGAGGCTCGCCAGGCCGCCGAGAAGGAGGCTGCGGCGAAGGCTGACAAGGAGGCGGCCAAGAAGGCTAAGGAGGCTGCGAAGAACGCTGCGAAGAAGAACAAGCGTGTCATCCGTAACGCGGTCAAGGATGCCAACTACTTCGCTACCGGCGGCGACGCTTCTGCCTCGCAGATCGACGCTGTGCTCAACCAGACTGATGCTCTGATCACTAAGCTGGATGCCGACGACCTTGCCGCCATGGTTGCCAAGCTGAACGGCAAGAAGGATGCTGCTGAGATTAAGCAGGTCTACGCCGAGGAGGTCCAGCGCCTGGTTGGCGCGGGCAAGGCCAAGGAGGACGATTTCAAGGCGCTGGCCTAGAGTGTTTACGACTTTGACGACGGTGCAGGAATGGACCTCAGACGATATAGCAGAGGGACACTCTAGACTTATTTCCCAAATACGCGTTAGTTCAGAGCACAAAAATAGATTGGGGGTTGGAGTTGTGGATATTCATGACAGCGTTCGAAAAAGTACAAGTGCCAATGCCAAGAGCAACGCCTCAAAATGCTTGATTCCACATTAGGCAATAGTTTTGTGCCTGGTCACACGCGCGCCGAAGCTACCAATTCCTTGATCAATATCGCGTTGTAGCAAGCAGACCGGTGAGCTCTTGTGTGAGCTCACCGAAGACAGCACCCAGGGGCGCCATTTGGTAGGGGTTGTGTTCCAGCCACGACATGCGGCTCCTTGGTGTGGAGAAGTGGTTTGATGTCGGCTTGAATTAGGCCGTTTAGGGCAGGACGGATTGGAGACAGGGGAACAGGCGGATCTAGCGTGACGTAGGGCTGGGGAACGTGGCTGCTTGAGTTGAAAAGATCGCATAGTGATTGTATTCAGCTAACTAGCCGGTCTTTTATAGACCTGGTTGACTGATTGCTAGCATGTTTGCTAGAAATCTACTAGAAGTTGCCTGTGCCCGGCTTGATTTTCCAGTGCTTGGGCCACCATCACGAGCAGACTGTATGCGGTTGTCTTTGGGCTGTTCATGGTAGAGTGACGGCAGCGGCGCGCTTCGCTTGTGGCCGACGGCGAGCGGGCGGCGGTCCAGGGTCTCCCCGCGCTCTCTGGAGTGGCCTTGCATCATGCCGAGCGTGGCAGCCAAGCCTCACTCCAACGCACTCAAACTGCTCCTCCTCCGCCGTAGCTCCCCGTCCTTTCTGGAACTATCGCCCAGGTCCCCGCGTGCCGCGCCGTCTCCGCTCGCTCTGCGCCGCCATCGATTCGCTCGCAAAGGGAACCACCCCCTCGCACCCCCCGGCCTTGTCAGCAGCCGCGGCAGCGCACAAGAGGCAGTCGAAGCGCGCTGAGGCCCACGTCCGCTGCGACGTCTCCCCATTTCACAGGCTCTGCACCAGCGGCTCCGCGGCTGCTCTGTCCTCGTGCCCCTTCGACATACCAATCAGCAACTGCCTATCATGCCGCACCCCACGCCGGGCCGCGACGGCGCGCCATCGCCAACATCCCCGGCAGGCACCCCCGCTGCCGCTGCCGCAAAGCTGGATCCTCTCGCAGCCGTCCGAAACCAGGACGCTGAGCGCCGCCCGTCCATCCAGTTCCTCGCGAATCAAGGTCTACCTAAACGAAGTGGCAGCCCGAAGATCAGACAGCGCCGTCTGTCCTCTCCTCCGCCTCCACCGTGAGTGTCCGCCCTTGCTCCCGCCATCGTTCCGCTATGTTCCCTTTACGCCCCAAAGCCACTGCAGCTCGCCCCACTCTGGTCCCACTGCCCGCGCGCGGAGCTGCAGCGCATTCACTAGCTCCAAAGTGCGTTGATCACGAAAGTGTCTCAACACAATTTGTTCCTGTCCCACATGCCCAACGCCCCGTGATTGGGGGATCCCTCTTGCTGACGTCTGCTTAGTGTTTTCCAGCCTCGCGTATCCTTCGACACGTTTGACAAGCCCGCCGACTTCATCGAAGAGAACTCGTTCACATTGATCAGGAAACACAAGGACTACGAATACACAAAGCGGTCGCGGACCTTTCTCTGCGGCCTGGACTCGAACGACTACTCGGAATATGCGCTTGAGTGGCTCATTGACGAGCTCGTCGACGATGGAGACGAAATTGTGTGTTTGCAGGTCGTCGAAAAGGGCGACAAGGTTGCCGGAGAGAGCAGTATCGACCATGGACGATACCGAGCGGAGGCGGAAAAGTTGATGGACAGGATCCAAATGAAGAACACTGAGAACAAGGCTGTCAACCTCATCCTAGAGTTCTCGGTCGGCACGGTCCACAAGGTCATTGATGAGATGGTATGTTTGGTACTCTACTTGCCTCTAAGTTGGGCATACGCTCACAGCATTGCAGATCAACCTACACGAACCAGCAATTCTCATTGTGGGGACGCGTGGTCGAAGTCTCGGTGGCTTTCAAGGGCTGCTTCCCGGATCCGTCTCCAAGTACTGCCTTCAACATTCGCCCGTGCCTGTTATCGTTGTTAGGCCCACCAGCAAAAGGGCCAAGACCAAGCGGAAGCGTCTGCAAGATCCCACGAGGACGGGCTACCGGGACCTGCTCGACAAGAGCGGAGCTGCAGGCGGACACCTGCTCGACACAGGCCACAGGCACAGCCTCATGCTCGACGAGCTCCAGCAGGCGGCCACAGACGAGGAAGCTGCGGCCGTTGCAAAGGCGGTGGGATACAACCCGCCACCGGAACCCAGCCCTCTCGGACAGGATGATGGGCAGCTGGGACCCCAGACGCCCGATAGTATTACAAACGATCCCCTGATGAGCGGCGAGAATTCTCCTGATGACGCCCGCGACGACGTGGGTGCGTTGATGAAGAGCCCGGAGCTCCAGAACCTCGATACTCCGGCTGTCAGCAGCGATGAAGATAGCGATGATGACGACGGCGGAGTGCAGATGTTCCCTCCGGCTCTCCAAGAACCCGCCTCGCAGGACTCTCCAAGTTTGTCCCCGAACACGACACTGGTAGATGAGAGCAGAAGCAACACGATACAGGACGACGACTCACGTGCAGACGTGAGTCCTGGAACGTTGACGCCTGCTGTGGAGAGTCTATCAGTGTCGGATCAGGGACAACCTGTAGAGCCTGCTTCTTCTGAAGAGCCGAAGGAAAAGAGCTAACGGGCATAGACACGTGCAGCATCCAGTCGACGAGAGACGAGTTGTTTGACGGTCATACTCTCCACCGGATGGGTACGGATGCGAAAGTGACATGGCAACGAGCCTGTGGTGGGGGCACGGTATCCATTCTCGTCAGCGCTTAGTACGAACAACACTAGTTAGCATTTGCTCAGCATGATCGGCGCTGTTGCGGGTGGGTTGGCAACATTTATATCTTCATAGCGACAATGCTTGATGGCTGGTTGGTTCGGAGAAACATTCCGCCATGTGAGCGGATTTACACAGTATTTCCTGAGGAGACTTAATATGATTCGGCTCATGTGATGGTGCCTCTTTTTGGTGAGACATCAATCCAGTAGTAGCGGGTGACACGATGGGCGGCAGAAGAGTTGCAGAGCAAACTATGCCTGCCGGATGTAACTGGATAAATACGTCCAGATATCAGCAGGGTTCCGGTGGTGGGAAAGCCAAATTCTTCGGCCGGCCGTTATGCTTTTCGGCGCCGAGGAGAGCTGGCCAACGAACGAGCGACGTCCCCTTTCCATTACGCTAGTCATTCGTGAGAAGTCCTTGCAGCAGACGCAGCAGCGTGTCGTTTAGCCTGGATGACATCAGACGGACATTCGTAGGCGACATGACTCGGCTCGTGTAGATCGCTGAGGTTGATACCTTCAAGCGCAACCACGCCTTCTCCGCAGATCCGCTCCTATCTACGCCCCTTCTCCCGTCCGGCGCCACTTGTTCGTCCCGCTCGGCGCTATGGACGACCCCGCGAGTGCCTGGCTCAGGGCCGCGATCCAGTACGCATACTCCGCCACTGCTCCGGACGCTGCATTTCCATTCTTCGCCGCGGCGCAGCTTGCCAACGATGACGACACCATATCGGTAAACGAGGACTTCGACCCTGGGAACAATCCGGGACAGGACCCCAGGTTCAGGAAGCTTGTCGAGGCCGTCTTGTTCTCACGAAGGCTGCTGAGCACGTACAACGCCGTATTGCTTCTCGTCCTGCTCGGCTTCGCTATTGCGCAATGGGGTGGCGTTATGCAGCAGGCATACCGGCGACGGGCGGTTGCCAGAAAAGCTAAGAAAGAGAATGGAATGACACCTCGCATCATAGTGGGCGCCGGAGAAAGCGGCGCGTCGTCGTCGTCGAGCAGCACGCTGGAGGGTACAGCTACGCCGCCAGACGCCAGCAAACACGGCCGTGGCAAGGTTCCGGATGAGCGTCAACCACTGCTGCCGCGGGATGGTGCGAAGCTGCAGAAGCCGGGGGTGTTGTCTCTCATGTTGCACCGCGTCAAAGCTTGGCTCGTGTCTCAGCCGCGGCCGATCCCCATCGTCCACAAGCAGCTGCCGTCGAATGGACAGAGCCTGGCCATCCTGGCCCTCCTGGGCTTGAATGTCTTCTACCTGCTCTTCCGGCTGGAGTTCACTGCCATGAACATCTTCGTCTTCGCAGACCGATGTGGCCTGCTGATTGCCGTAAACCTGCCACTGTTTTACCTGTTCGCTGCGAAGAACCAGCCCATTACATGGCTGACCGGCTATTCTTACGCATCGCTCAATATCTTCCACCGTCGGTTGGGAGAGCTGCTGTGCCTGCTCGCACTGCTGCACGGCTTAGGCATGTTTACTGTGTGGTACGGCCTGCTGCGTCCTCTTGGCTTTTCCCTGTCCCGATTCATCTTCACCCGCGTAGTCTCCTTCGGACTCTTGACCTTCGTTTGTTACGAGCTTCTCTACTTGACATCTCTTCGGAGCTTCCGTGCCGCCTTCTATGAGCTTTTCCTAGCGCTGCACATTGTCCTCCAAACCTTCGGGCTCGTCTTCCTCTTCATCCACCACAGCCGCTCTCGCGTCTGGGTCGGCATCGCTCTCCTCATCTTTATTACCGACCGCCTTATCTACCGCCTCGCCATCAAATCGACCTACTTCCGCGCCGACCTGACCATCCTCCCCGACGGCCAGACCGTCCGCCTCTCGTCCAACTGGTCCATCCCCTCGGGCACCTGGGCGACGTCGCTCTGGCGCCGCACCGTCGTGCACGGCTGGAACGCTCCCGATCACGTCTTCGTCAGCATCCCCGCGCTGGGCGGGCTCCACGCGCTGCAGGCCCACCCCTTCACCATCGCCACGCCCGCCCCGTCCAAGCCGCACGTCCTCCCCCACCGGCACCACGACGACTCGGAGCGCCACGCCTGGCTCTCGCTGCTCGTCCGCGCCCAGTCGGGCTTCAGCCGCGACCTCCTGCGCCACGCCCAGACCAACTCGTCCACCCTCGTCCGCCTCGACGGGCCCTACGGCTCCACGCGCTCCCTGCGCCTACTACGCGCCTCCGACCGCGCCATCGTCGTCGCTGGCGGCTCCGGCGTCGCCGTTGCTTTCCCTCTGCTCTGGACCCTGCTCAACCCCGCCGCCCGGCCCGACCTGGAGCGGCAGACGCGCCATTACGACGACCCCGCGCGTGCTGGCGCGGCAGCAGGAGCGCCGAAGAAAGTCTTGTTCGTGTGGGTCGTTCGGCAGCGCACGCACAGGGAGTGGCTGCCCGAGCAGCGGATCGAGGAGCTGAGGCAGTGGGGTGCCGAGGTGAGGATCGAGGGGCCGACGGAGAGCACGGGCAGGCCGGACATCGGCGCCATCGTGGCCGGATGGGTGAGGGAGGTTGGAGGCGAGGACGGAGCGGGCAGGACAGGGGCCGTGGTGAGCGGCCCGGATGCGTTGAACAGGGACGTGAGGAATGCGTGTGCGGGCTTGGTTGGGGAGGGAAGGGCGGTCGAGGTACACGTCGAGAAGTTTGGGTGGTAGGTATGCTAGGAACTTGAGTGCGAGAGTCATGTTGATCGATGAATTTCACTGTTCTTGTTTATTTTTCGTATCTGGATGTTAGGTTTGATTGCTTTTCCATCGGGGCGTTTGCTGGATAACGGGAGCCCTCCTAGTTTATATTCCTGTTAAGATGATAAGTAACCAAAGTATAAAACTACATACGACTGCCAGCTGCCAATTGTAGCATGTCGATACCAATCAATGGATTCAGTTAGAGTGGTCTACAGAGGGGTAATGCAGTTGAGTAATAGTGAGATTTTTCGTGATGGGTAGTAAGTTAATCGATACTTACGCAACAATAACCTCCTCGAAGAGTAATACATCTCGCGCTCTATCTGGCAGGAATGTTTTGATGTCTCGCTTTGCAGAATCTTCTCGAATGCGAGAGGTCTTGGGTTGTAAGTTCGATCCACACCAAAAACATCTAGTTACATGATATTAACATCCTCATCAGCGATCCCCAATTCGTCCACAGCATTTCTTTTCTTTTGCTCCATAGTCTCTTATCGATCCATCTTAATAGATTACTCGTGTTGTCATCTACGTATAACTCGGTCCGGAGGGGAGTATCACGGTTAAGCGGAACCCCACCTGTTGTAGATAGCCATCCTAGTCGTATAGGACGAAATTCCTCCGTCGCACAGTCCCCTCTCGCAGCCGATGACTAGTATATATTTGTTTTTTGCTCATGTTATGGGTAGATGAAGCTATCGTCTGGACGAGAATGTGGAATTAATAGTTCTACATACACGTCCGGACGATAGCTTCAGCTACCCATATATATTGGTTTTTTTTATTCATGAAGGCAATCGATGCAAGGATCAACGTCCGCTCATCCCATTTCAACCAGAAAATCGCTTACATGACGCACGATAGAGCCTAGCTCATTTCATCTGGAAGGTAAAAGTTATGTAGTTTTCTTCTCCAATCGTCCTATGGTATCCTTGAGAACCCCTTATCTCGCATCGACTCATATACTACGCTTTCCATCAGGAGAGATGAAAAAGGAAAAAGAACAATGCTCATCAACAAGAGCCAGATAATTATTTCCGAAAATTCTACGCCTCTTCTTCTTCGTCATCCTCCGGGCCATCATCCTCCATCTCTTCTTCATCCTCAACCTCATCCACATCCATATCTTCCTCCTTCGGCATCTGTTCAACCGGCGGCAGCACGCCGCCGTTCGCCTTCAGCGCTGCCACCTTCGCCTGCGTCATCTCAAACACATACTGGCCCAAGTGCTCGACACCCTCCATCTCCGTTGCCTCTGGTTCGGCCTCCAGCGCACGAGTCGTTGGAAACATCTCGTTCGTAACGAGAGCGAGTTTGTCCGGACGTTGGAGCAGGATATCGAAGGCGGGCTTGAGTTCGTAGCTGGCCTCGAAAACCTCGCGGCGGCCGAGGACGTAGAGGCCGAGGCGGGCGCGAGAAAGCGCCACGGTGAGGCGGCGGATGTCGCGGAGGTAACCAACGCGGGCCGTGCGGACGAGGGATAGGATGACATCTGAGTCTTGTTAGGAGAGATCACTTACTTTGATGCTGAAGAGGATGTGATAGGAAAACTTACAGTCGTTCTGCTCGCCTTGGTACTTGTCGACCGTTGTCACGATCCTGGGCATACCAAAAAGCCTGTTCTTGGCGCAGCGATGGGACAGAACATCCCTGATGAGTGCCTTCTGGCCGGCGTACGTTGTCAAGATGGAGATCTTTGATGGCGGGTAACCGAGCAGGCGCATGTACATGTAAAGAGCCACCGCATATTCCGCCTCGCCCAAGTTTTGAATAAAATGCGGCGTTGGCTCCATCTCACCACGGCCCTTGTAGTCTGGCACGTTGATGAACTGGTAGTCAAAGCGGAAACCGGCGTTGGCAGTCTGGAATTCCGGGCTCAATTCGACAGTAGGTAGGTTCTCCAGCTTTGGATACCGCCACTTGTAGAGTTCTGCTAAACTGGGCCTCGCACGGCCTTGCTGGTCAAGCATGATTGTGGGTACGCCGAGCCTGACTAGTCTGAGGAAAAGCGACTGCTCGAGGTTGGCGTATTGCCTGAAGGCAAGGTTTTGGACCACCGGTGAGTTTTGAAGATGATCACCGCACAAGACAACTCTTTGCAACGGCAACTCGCCCTCCTTCGGGCTCTGCAATGCAAGAGGGATGAAGTTTTCGATCTCGGTGATTTGTGCAGCTTCCTCCATAATTACATTGTCATAGTGGAATCCGAGGTTTGCAATTTCTTGCCGTCTCATGGCTGCGTGAGTAGAAGTCATGGCAATAATCCTGGCCTCCTTGACCAAGAGGTAGTTTGCGCTGTCTCTTGGGCTTCGCAGAATCTCGAATGGTCGAATGTCTTCGAGCTCCGAGAAGATCTTCTCAACATGGCGGTAGCATCCAGCAGCGATGTCCATGAGAGCATCCCGGGAGGCCCCTTGAGGGAATAGAGGTTGCGGGGCATTTGAGAAGTAGTGATGGAAAGGAAACTCGGCGACTAGATCCTCGTCGCTCAACTCGCCAGATTCGACCGCGTTCCAGTACTTCGTCCATGCAGGCTGGACATAGACCGAGTTGAAGTAGCCGGCCGTTTCGCATGATTGGCCGTGTGCGCCGGGAGCATTGAAGTTGGCAGCCAGCCGATCCACCTCTGCTAGATACCGCGTGCCAATTTCGCGGAAAGATTCCACACGGCCATGTTTACTGTAACTGGCCTCTGTCTCCAATTCCTCCTCACCGTGACCGAGACGAAGCAGATGCCTCTCGTCGATATCGAGGGCGACAATCTTTTGGAAGAGTTGGTTCAGTGCTTGATTGCTGTGTGCGATGAGCAGTGTCCGCTGGTTGGGGAAGTTGTGATAAATGTTGTTGATAATCTGAGTTGCAACGTCGGTCTTACCAGTACCTGGAGGACCAACTATGACAGTCAAACCTGGCTGGGTACCAGATGTGATTGCCTCGGTCTGCGCAGGCGTGAATGGTACAGTGTTGAGCTTGGGCGCATCTGTGGGATAGGGGCCCATGTTAGGTGGCTTGTACGTTGAGACACGGACAGCTTCGGGCGCGTTCTGAGCAGGCTCCTGCAACCCGGCCTTGGTTCGTCTCCGCTTCTTCGAATGGCGTGCAGGGACTTCTTGCGGTTCTTCCTCTGGAAACTCCAGGACATACGGTGGTCCAAAACTTCCCTTCGTATCGTCAGCAGGTTCGACGGCCTTGCCTTCGAGGCTGGAGACGAGGTGACCCCAGTTGAGGAAAGTATCGCGGAAATCGATCCTCCTCAGTCGGTTCGCCAAGCGCTTGTACGTAGCACCGGCGGGGTCCCCGTAGCCCAAAAAGACCTCCTGGAGCCACGAGGGGGCAGGAAGGTCAGAAAGCGTCAAGCGTCTGATGGACTCCAGAATAGGCTTGAAGTTATTCTCCCGACCCCGGCGACGCACAATCAAGTTGATGGAATCGTAGATGTTAGGCTGCCCTTTGGCAACACGGTCCATGTCCTCTTGGTATGCCAGATTATCGAGCTTGAGAAGAATCCGACGTTGGCGAGCTCTGCGCCCCTGACCTTCCTGAGCGTTCTTCTTTTCGCGCAGCTGACGTCCGTTCTCATCTAGAACTTGCACGACTTCGGCGCATCGCAGGTAGCGCAACCCAATCCTTTCAGCACCGCTTGGGGGAGCGCCACCATTTTTAATAGCGCGTGAATCCTCTGGGGGGTCGACGGAGAGAAGGTAGACGACGTCATCAGAGCGCAGAGACTCCCATTCCTTGAGAACATTGAAGTTCAAGCGGCTCACATCAAGAATAACCTCCGCTTGCACCCTGGATGGAGACGTCTCTCCAACTTTGGCAGGGGCAACATCGGTAATGGCAGGTTTTGATATGGGTAATGCCATCCTAGAGTTTCCGCCGAACTGTACCGTCCCCCGGACATTCTTTCGCTGTAAACGCTTGATGACGTCTTCCATGTCTTTCCTGATCTCGTAAAAGGCCTCGCAGCGGTGCAAAATGAACGACCTCCAAAGGAAATCTCCAAGGGTCAAGTACTGAAGGTTCAACTTGGGGATTGCCAATGGCCGTGATCCATCGTATGTCTCGTTGCGGATGAAGGTAGATTCATAGAGCGTGCTCTCCGTAGGAAGGATCGCCATTTCCCTAACAGAATCCTGGAATGTCGGCTTGCTCTCGTGAGCAGACACGATAAGCTCGGTGAAGAAGGATCGGTCGAGAGTTACAAGCGAGGATTTAGGGTATTCCGTCCTGAACCCTAGCAACTTGCAGAGCGCAACCAGCTCCTCCTCCGTCAACGCTTCTAGGTGGGCCTCAAGATCTCCTCTTTGATCTAAAGACCTGTAATTGGAAAGGGCCAGAATCGTGAGTTTTGAGGGGAAGTGCTTGATCGCGGTTCGCTGTAGCCTGGCCAATTTCGCGCAATGGGCCTGATGGTACTCCGCGGGGGTTTGCTGCTGGCCAACCTGGTCGTCGATCGGGAAGAAGGTGAAGTGCCTGAGGAGAACACACAAGTCGCGGAAAAGCCCGTTTTCCTCGTCGGCGAACAGCGGAGACAGTTGGATGGCAGGGAGCAGGTTGAGGTCGTGAAGGAGGGTGTTGACGTAGCGGCGAGTGGGCAGCTGGCTCTCTAAATCGATTAGCAACTCGAGGAATCGCTCGCAGTAGCGCAGGTTCTCTCGAGCAGGGCTGTAGATCTTGTTCAAGAAGTCCAGAAGAAGCGTATAAAGCCATGCGCGCTCGAAGCGCAGTTTCGTCTTGACCTCCTCATCGCCAGCGTCGTACTTCTTTCCAGCAGACCTCCATGCCTTCCTCAGCATGACATTCTTCTCCAGCTTGTCCTCCCGCACAGCTTCGCTATGCAGGTTTTGCCAAATGGCAATCGAAACCAGCGGTGCGCATTCCTTGCGTACCAGGCCACTATCCAGGGATTGAAAGGCTCCGATGACGAAGGAAATCAGATAGGTGCGGAGCTGAGAGGAGAGAGAGGCGTCGATGGTCATGGAGAGGATGCGGCGGAAGAAGGACGAAAACTCGGACGGCCTGGTTGCGAAATGCTCTTTGTCACGGTTAGCAGAAAGCAGTAGAGAGCTGACGGCAGTAGACTCACCCCAGGAGGCCAGGTTCTCCCTGCGCTTGACATTGACGAGCAAGGCCAACAGCAGGACATGGTGATTGGACGCGTCGTCTGTGTAGCCCGGCCACAAGTACTTCTCGAGCAGCTGCAGATTCTCCAGAATCAGCAGCGAGGCGTACGGGAAGTCGTCCTTTTCCAAGGCATCCCAAAGCTCATCCTTGACAACCTGCGGGCGGACCTTGGGCGGCTTGGAGCTGTCCAACCAGTGCTTGCGCGCAACCTGAGCATAGTGGTTCTCGCCGTTGAGGTCGGCAACGGTGGGGCGCGCGTGCGTGACAGGGACGATGGAGCCGTTGCGCGAGCGGCTCTGGGTGTCGAGCTCCATGGTGGCCATGGTTTTGGCGTGTTCAGCGCAGCAGGGTGGGCGCGGCGGGCATAATTGTCGGCGCGCTGAGGGAGCTGTCAGAGACGCGCGCGGGTCAAGGAAAGCAGCGGCGTCACCTTTTCGCGGCAGCAGCTCGCGCCCGCCGCCTTGGCGTGCCGATCCTCGAACTTCACCCGACATCCACCTCTACCCTTGCCCAGCTGCGACGCCAGAACAGCTGCCTCAATCCCTCCCCAGACCACAATGGCGAACCCCGAAGTGCGGACACGGCCCTCGGTGCCGACCAAGCAGCTCAACGGCGACTACCCGGTGCGTGCACCATCCCTCGACACCACCAGTCCAATGGGCCAATAGCGACTGACATATTATCCAGCTCATTGACAGCGATCCGTATGCCCGCCTACCGCCCTGCACCCCTCCCAATTGCCGCTGCTGACAGCAGCAGTCACTTCAAGAGAGTCGTCGGCTATGCGCGCCCCTCCGACTACGCCGCCGGTGCTGCCACTGCTGCCGCCGGCCCCGCCCTGCTCAGCCTGTGGGAGCGCGTCGCTCCCTCGTACGTTGGCCGCGGCGGCTTCCCTCCCATCATGCGCGTGACTGTCGGTATCGGCGCCGTCGCCGGCTTCCTGACTGTGTACAACCGCTCCATCTGTACCGCCCCCCGGTCTTCCTCGCCAAGAGCCCGTGCTGATGATACCTTGCAGACCGCTTCTACGGTGTCACCGAGAACAGGAGGGAGATCGAGATGGACATGAGAGAGATGGTTGACAAGGTCAAGGCTGGCGAGCCTCTTTACGGTGTGTCGAGCATGTCGGAGCATCACCAGGGCGTTGCTTCAAGGAACTCGAGATACAGCGCCGTCTTCAACCATTTGCTCCCGTGGTTCAACTTCGCCAACCACAACCAGGTCAGATACTAAGAATTCCTTCTCTGTAGCAGTGCACAGCTGACAGTATTTAGCATGGTGTTGACACCGCCAAGTACTACCAGCAGGCGGAGCGTGAGTTGGCTGCTGAGGGCAAATAGACGGAGTACGCATTGAGTCGAAAGAAGACCAAACGGAAGGAGCAATATTAAAGCAGTTTAAAGAGATCCATCGTCTCTCTCAGCAGTGTATGCTGTATATAGGTTTCAGGGGCGTTTGAATTCATTCTCAAAGAAAAAAACAAATACGTCTTCGAAGAAACATCACAATACTCAACGCCTCCCACACTGAAGAGGTGTCTGGTACTTATTGCACTTTTCTACCATTACCAATGCCACAAGATGGACACCATAATGCCTCTGCCGCTTCCGCTAGAACTGAATTATTGAGCTGCATGGTTTGAGACGCGCTGACCGAGGTGAGTCCACAATGCGAACGTGATCAAGTTTTCCGTACAACGCAGGATGTATTTCAATTGCAAGCTAATGTAAAGAACATCACAACAACGCCTAATGGTAGGCAAGAAGAAACGACTGCTCATCAACACTTGACTTGTTCGAGGACTTGAAGCTATTGTCCGGACGTAGATATATATTTAATTTCAACTACCCATGGAGTGTCTTTGAGCAGGTGTCTCATACCAAGAAAAATAAATCACGCTGGCTCTCGGCTGTATTACCCTTCTGTATGTAATGAACAGCGCCTTCCACCGCACTATCACACTTTCCAACCTACTTGTAGCATACAAGAATTAGAGAAGATAAAAAGAAGTGCTTTGTAGACGGATTGTACCAATAACTAGTAAGTAACTAGCAAAGAGCAAACTAACGAGGGTCGAGCGTACAGAGCCTCCCTACTCCGCTTACTATTTTATTAATTTCTTTTATAAAAAACCAACACATATGGGTAGTTGAGGCTATCGTCCGGATGTAATTGTAAAATTGTTAATCCAACATTCGCGCCCAGACGATAGCCTCAACTACCCATCAAATGTAAATTTACTAATTCTACATTCGCGTCCGGATGATAGCTTCAACTGCCCATGAAATGTAGAATTATTTATTAAATGCTCGCGTATACGATAATTGTAGCTAGCTACTACAAGTAAAAAGTTAAAAAGAAAAACTACGTTAAGATTTAACTGTAACACCCCTTTGTAAACGACTTTAGCTAAGCCACCACTACGTGCCTCACATGGAGCCAATCCTCCTGGGTCAAGATCATCGAGAAAAAAGGCAAAAAAGAAACGCTATGGACGAATTGGGGATCGAACCCAAGACCTCTCGCATTCGAGAAGATTCTGCAAAGCGAGCGCTCTACCACTGAGCTATACGCCCTGTTGAGAAGTCTGTGGTGTTGAATTAGTCTATAGTATGAAAATTCAACTTAGTACAGAAAGGAGCGTTGCAGCTGAAAGCTAACGCTGTTGGCAGGTGTGATGGTCAAGGGGGGTATTTGGTGCGCCTTAGCCTGCAGCAACAGCGCGAAGATATTACGCTCTCAAAAGATGGGGTGAATATGTCATCAAAATCTTTTTTTCTCTGCGAAACAAACATATATGCGTAGTTGAAGCTATCATCCGGACGTAAATGTACATTTTTAAACTCGACATTTATGTCCGGATGATGGCTTCAACTACCTATGATATGAGTAAATAATGAATTCACGCTGGCCTTCGGTGGCGACACGCCTCTGTAATATCATTCACAAATAAACGTGGGTCAACATACTAAGCACCACTAAGTCTTAAACTCGTTGAACACGCTTGCCCATTCCAAGCATGAAGCGTATAGTTGAAACCCTACGACCGAATAGAACAATTATAGATTTGTGTCCATATCGGCTCGCGAGACGCGAAAGGCGGAGGCTTTCTACAGCGCAGTGCGTATTAATGTGCTCCATGCTTTTTGTCGACTTATCAACTCTGGAATGATCACTTTACGACATGAGACTCCGTATATCGTAATTGTGCATGTGGCATTTCTTGTTCCTCTCTCTAAAGTAATGTTCTAATGCCCGTTGACGATTATGCAGAAGGCAGTGGGCGGCCGTGTACTAAGGCGGGCCATCCGATCGTCGCTTTGCCAAGTCAGAGCTATGTGTGTGTGGCAGTCCCGAACGGACCTATCAGCATTATGATAGCTAAAACAGCAAACGCCGGGTGCTTGGTAGCATGCGAGAGCAGAGAAAATGCAGTATACCGAAACGCCGCATGCCAGGTACCATCCAGTTGAATCCAAACGCCTTACCCGCTTCCAATACAGAGTGAATTACTGCACCACGGCCACGTCGTCTCTCCGCCTAAGCCGTCTCGACACCTAGGACGCGGGTGACCAGGACATAGCCGAACAGGAAGACGGCACCGATAATGTATTTGTTGCGGCTCAACCAGCCCTGGCCGGCGTCCCGGGCGACCTGACCTCCCTCGACAACAGCACCCAAGCTGCCGCTGCCGACGGGGCGCCTCCGCAGAGCAGCGGCTTCGGGAGCGCAGGGGCCGTGGCCGTCAACCTGCGGTGCCTGGGGCATGCCGGTGGCGGGGTCGATCTTGTTCTCCTTCATCCAGCGCCAGTTCTCCGCATCGAGCTCAGGCCACTCTTGACGGAACTTGGCGCCACCGTCTCCGGCCTTGATGGCGCCAGCGCCGGCGGCCTTGGGGCGAGTGGAAGCGGCATGCGAACCGCCACCGGTGGAGTTCCACCAGCGGGACCTGCTGGCGAACAGCTTGCGCTCTGCATCCGAGGCGCGGACGCTGCCGGTGGTCATCTCCTCGCTCGTCATGAAGCTCATCAGGCCAATCAAGATTGTGCTGACCTCCCAGGCCGGGTTGAAGCTCTTGGGGTGGAAGTCGGAAATGCTAAGGCAGAGGCGCGTCGAAGGCTGGAAGCGACCGGAGGGCGTGTGCATGCGGATGGCCGGTGGAGCAAAGGGATAGTCGGGCGGGAACATGAGGGTGCCCCAGTACTGGCCGCCATCGTACGGAGTGCCGGGCGGGCCGGTGAGAATGTAGTGCCATTCAAGAATGTTGTTCTCGGAAGGGTGGGCGACGATGTACGGCGGGGGGTTCTGAGAAATGGTCTTGTACTCGCGCGTCAAACGCTTTGTCGCCTGGGGGGTGGCCATGGCGGGTGGGATGGCGGGAGGGGCGGTGGGCGGATGGCACCCTGCGCAATGCGTCGGTGGGGACTGACGGTGGCAGTGGAGCAGACAGAGAGTGGGAGGCGAAGAGGGAGCGCAACGGACTGGCAGGCGAGAAGGAAGGTGCTGGACGGGAGGTAAGCGGGCGAGGTGGACAAGCGTGGAAGGGACGGAGGCGGAGCGCACGATGAATGAGCGAGTCTCCGGCCCCGAGCGCCAAGCCTACAGCCTCTGGCGCCCCAACGCGCACAGCCTCACCCAGCGGACAAAGCAAATGCAGGCCACTCTAGTCTACACATGGAGCAGTCGTCTGCACGCAGGAACAGTAGGAGTGAGCCCGGCGGCGCAGAGGATGATGGCTTCGCGCCGCTACGTAATTCCGCACTAGCAGCCGGCTCATGCCCGAGCGCCAAGGCGGCGCGCGACAGCTGCACTGTTGCCCTCAGCGTCACCACCATTCCCGCCCGCATCAGACCACAGCCCGCATTCCCCCACTGCACAGCAGCCCGCGAGCCCAATGGCGTCGCCACAGGACGACCATGTGCGTCGCTCCACCCTGCCACTGCGCAACCCCCGGTGCGCCCGCTAACCGCCCGCCCAGGTGTTCGAGAAGCTGAAGCAAAAAGTCGACCCGGCCGAGCTTCAGCAGCGCCAAAGAGAGATCAACGAGCGCATCGCCGCCCAGTATGAGAGGGCAGTGGCTCGCCAGGCCGATTTGGTAGGCCTTGCGCCTCCTCTGGCCTCCAATGCCTCCGCTGACCATTCTAGGTCGGCTCCAATTTCACGCTGCCCGTGACCGTGTCGTCCGTCCGTGTGCTCCACGCGAAGCACACCCGCCACGCCTTCCTCGAGCGCGTCTTCAGTCCTCTGCTCAATGCCAACAAGGAGCCGTCGTACACGTTGGAGGATGCGCTCGCCGACATTGGCGGCGCCGTCAACAAGCTCGAGAGATTCGGTCTGTCCGAGCCGCCCCAGCGCAACGGTCCCACATGCTGACGCCCGGCCAGACATCTTCAAGTCGCCCATCTCGGTGTACGTTGACAGGCCTGACAAGTCCAACCCTAGCACTACTCCGACCGACATCGACGTCTACCTCCACGCGCGCGAGCGCTCTCGCTACACCATCAAGACCGGAACAGAGGCCGGCTCTGCCGAGGGCTCCGCTTATGCGAGCGCCCAACTGCGCAATCTGTTCGGCGGTGCCGAGTCGCTGAACGCCCACGCATCGGCTGGCACGCGTACCCGGTCGGCCTACTCGGCTTATTTCGACACTCCAATCCTCAGCAACCCGGATCTGCGCTGGGAGATTGGCGGTCTTGCGAGCTCGACGTTGAAGAGCTGGGCCAGCCACGAAGAGGTGCTCAAGGGTGGATCGACCAAGCTCAAGTGGCAAAGCTCCGGTGGCCACCGTCACGAACTCGCCTACTCGGGCTTCTGGAGACAGATTACTGGTCTTGCCGCTACTGCTTCGCCTACCGTCCGTGCTGATGCAGGAGACTCGTTCAAGTCAAGCATATCGCACACGTATACGCTCGACCGCCGCGACTTCCCGCTCCTTCCTTCGCGTGGCTATCTCCTCAAGACGGTGGCCGAACTCGCCGGTGGCCCGCTCAAGGGCGATGTCGGGTTCGGTAAATTGGAGCTTGAGTCTCAGGCCGCTCTGCCCTTCCCCCCGATTCCCGGTGTCGCACTCACTACTAGCTTCCGGGCCGGTCTGCTCCATCCGTTCGTCGACGGCACGGGCAAGCCGACTCCCTCCCGGATCAACGATCGCTTCCAGCTGGGCGGCCCTACCGATGTCCGGGGATTCCGGCTCGCAGGTCTCGGTCCCCGTGACGGACCGGATGCGGTTGGTGGCGATGTCTTCGCTGCGGGTAGTGCAAGCCTCATGCTGCCGCTGCCGCGCGTTGGCGCTGAGACGCCACTCCGCCTCCAAGCCTTTGTCAATGCCGGACGCCTACTCGCTCTGAAGGAGAGGAGAGACAGCGAAGGAAATGCCGATGCGAAGGAAAGCTTGAAGGCGACGCTGGAGGAGCTTAAGAACGGCCTTCCAAGCGCCGCAGCCGGCATCGGGCTGGTGTACGCGCACCCGGTAGCAAGGTTCGAGGTCAACTTCTCACTGCCGTTGGTGCTGCGCAAGGGCGAGCAGGGAAGGAAAGGAGTGCACTTTGGCGTTGGAATCGAGTTCATGTAGAAAGCGGTCTGGTGTAGGATAAAGCAAGAAAGAAACAGTAATTTTCAGTTCACAGCATCATCACGGCATATGCTCCCCAGCGACGTCGACACAAAGCACCGGGTGCAGTCGAAAGATGACGACGTCTTCCTGTCAGGTCAACATCAACTGGAGAAAGAGAAATTTCAGATTGGCAATCACGCGGGAACATCAGCGGGCCACCGCCCAGCTCGTCGGCGTTGCCGCCACGGCTTATGCCGAGCATGCTTTAAGATACGACCGTCCAACGTTCCCCGTGGGGAACCAAGCCAACCGGCGGAGCGCGGCGCCGAGAAATCCAAGATCTCCGCCTCCCCCGCTCTCTTGAGCTACCACGCGGCCAGGCTGCCTTAGATTCCAGAATGGCATTTACTCCGTGCCGATTCCATTGGTACGGCACGGCAACTTGGCGCGGGGTCGCCGTACCTTGGCGCGCCGACGATATCTGGGGTGCGGTTGGTTCCAGATGCCGTGCCACCTGAATCCGAGATTGAGGCGTCTGGATGGTGTCAAAGTCAGGCCCCATGAGCTGAGAGACAAGTGGCTCTATTGGCAGGCCTCCGGCACACACAACATCCCGTGTGGCCACAATCCACGCCGAAAGGTTATACCGTGCGGGATTTTCCTCCATGATATCTGCGAGCGGGAGCCTGTGTTAAGCTGTTGAGTTGTTCCATGGCTGCCGACTCAGCCCCGAGCATTGCCTAGAATCACTTGGCCAATCACACCTTTGCCTCGATTAGTCCTGACAACGCTTGTCAGCAGCACAGTATACCATTGACTTCCCCGCTAGGCCAATCTGCCATGACACGGACACGCTCATCTCGGTGGCTTGCATGCGCTGACTGCGGATCTGAGGCAATGGCTGTAAGCTCAGGGCTCAACTCCCGCAGGCGTGCACTACATTTCCACGCCAAAAGCATACGCCGCGAGAATGTATAAGCGTGTTGCGGCACTTGAAAGTAGGCATAAGAATCCTTCGGGCGTGTTCTGATACGACGTGACGCCGATTGATTCCGCAAGCGTCGGCGCACCAGAATCAGAACCGGGACGAGCCACGCCTCTTTACTTGGCCCGTCTGCCTGACGTCGAGGGCATCATACGTAGATGAGTGTTGCATCGACCACTTCCAAGCAAACGCCCAGCTGTCGACCCCGCACCTGTCCAACCCCCACGAGGCTTCAGCAAGGACGTGGTGTAGTAAAGGCCCGTTTGTTGGCTTCTCATCGCCACACATGCTTTTCCGCCGCCGCGCCCGTGGCTGGTCTGTTGGGCGGAGTAGTGGCCTGGGCGGTCGGTGCCAAACTATATAATTCTTCTTGACTTCTCTCTTGCACCACAGGAACGCTCTTGTTTTGAGCCTTCTGCATTCTTGGGTTCGCCAGTGTACCTTTGACTTTCCTTCCAAGCGCCACCTCAGCCTCAGCCATGGCGGACCCAATCATGGAGAAGAAGCAGCTGGAGCATTCGGAGCACATCGAAGATCTCGATGAGGAGAAGCTGAAACAGAAGACCGGGAAGCAGGACTACTCCGGTGCTGCTGAGAAGACCGATCCCGTCGAGATTGCCTTGGTCAGGAAGCTGGACCGTTGGATTATGGTGAGGATCCGATTTGTTGTTGGACTGATGGTTCCACTGCTGATGCCGGACAGCCTATGCTTTGGTCCATGTACTGGCTCAACTACCTCGACGTAAGTCCCTGGAAATCCACTGATTGGCTCAAACATTGCTAATGGAAGATAGCGAAATGCAATCGCGCTTGCCCGGCTTAACGACCTGGAGGAAGACCTCAACCTTACTGGTACCCAGTACCAGACCTGCGTCAGTATTCTCTTTGTGGGCTATCTACTGGGCCAGGTGCCCAGTAACATGTTCCTGACGCGGACCCGTCCTTCATGGTACATGGGTATCTGGTATGCTACAACTCGTTGACTGCACATATTTCTAGATACTAACATCTAAATAGCATGATGCTCTGGGCCGTCGTCTCGGCTTTGACAGCTCTGGCAAAAGATTTCAAAGGCCTGCTCCTCACGAGGTTCTTTCTCGGTGTCACCGAAGCCCCTTACTACCCCGGTGCTCTTTACATGCTCAGCATCTTCTACACCCGTAAGGAGATTGCTACTCGCATCAGTATCCTCTACACCGGTAACATCCTGGCTACCGCTTTTGCCGGTCTGATCGCTGCTGGCATCTTTCACGGAATGGATGACCTGGGTGGCATCTCCGGCTGGCGCTGGCTGTTCATCCTCCAGGGTGCTGCTACGTTTGTGATTGCGATTGTCGGCTGCTTCATCCTCCCCGACTTCCCACACAACACAAAGTGGCTCACCCCTGACGAGAGGCAGCTCGCCCAGGACCGCATCGAGAGAGACACCGTCGGTCTAAAGGGCAAGGGATCCCCTTGGGACGGCTTCAAGCAGGCGGCAAAGGATCCCAAAGTCTGGCTCTTTGCTTTCATGCAGCACCAGCACTTGGCGGCCAACGGTTTCAAGAACTTCGTAAGCATTATCTCCCTGGTGTGCACAAAAACGAAGAACATAAACTCTAACCGCTCTCCTTCCACCAACAGTTCCCCACCGTGGTCGAAACGCTCGGCTTCAACACGACCATCACGCTCGTCCTGACCTGCCCGCCCTACGTCATCGCCGGCGCCATATCCATCGCCGTGTCGTGGTCGTCGGGCCGCTTCAACGAGCGCACCTGGCACATCACCATCTCGAAGCTGGTCGCCATCTTCGGCTTCGTGCTGGGCGCCGCGACCATGAACATGGGGGCGCGCTACTTCGCCATGGTCGTCTTCGCCACCGGCACCTACGGCGTCAACTCGATCGTGCTGGGCTGGGTCGGCTCCACCTGCGGCCAGTCGCCCGAGAAGAAGGCCGTCGCACTCAGCATAGTCAACACCGTCGCGAACATATCTTTCATCTGGACTCCGGTAAGAGGCCCTCTTTCTTCTTCATCTTCCCCCCCCTCTGGCTGCTGTGTGATGAGAACGATCCATCGTTTTGCTAACGAATGCCGCAGTATCTTTGGTACGATGAGGACGCGCCCCGTTACGCCGTCGCCATGGGTTCGAGTGCTGGGTTCAGTATGCTATGTTTCATCTGCGCTTGGGTCATGAAATTCGTTCTCAAGCGCAAGAACAAGAAGATGAGGCAATCTCAGGATGAAACGACACTCTTCTACGCCTATTGAATTCTTTCGATATAGAACCAAAAGCAAAAAAGTGGGCAGTTGACTCTAATGTCTGGACAGAGGGATACTGCAGCCGAGGGCTGGCACGGGGAATAGCAGGGCCTTGGAACAAGGGATAACCAAAGCTCTCCCACGATAGATGACATCTCACAATATTTATGAGGAATCAGTTGACTAATGTGGGCAGTTGGAGCTGCCATCCGGACGTAAATGTGGAATTACCAATTATACATTCACGTCCGGCCAATTGCTCCAACTACCCATATGAATTGATTTTTATGACTGTACAAAAATTGGCATTGAATATAAATCATCGCCTGACCTGTCACCATACTTCTTCTTCTTCATGCCAGAGGCTTACCGCCATCGATGTCACTATTCATCGAACCTAGTATATTGACCGTATATATACCTCGAGATAAGAAAATGGGGTTAGTTGCAAGACCGTGCTGAAGTCTTAGCACTCGGCGCCACGTCTCGCCCAAGTCTGTCTCTCCCGGTCTTCTCCGACGCGGGTTTTCCGTGACCGTAATCCATGTCGCTTTGGTTAGCAGGCCCGTGTTGCCCCTGTTGATAGAGATACCGGCCCAAGCCAACAATGAAGGGCTATGGGACATCCCGCCATTCACGCTATTGCGGGCCAATGCCCTGCGATAAGCCAGGCCTTCCGCAGCGAAAATGTCAGACAGAACAGAGGGCTCGTGACATTGTTCCGAATAGCCACAGTCGGCATTTCCGAGTGGCGCTCGACAGTACTTCGCAGTGCAGGAGAAGGCTACTACGCAAGCGGGAGTTCTCATGTGCAGCCACGTAAATGGACAATACGCATACGCATCGAAGGACAATTGCCTGCAATGGTAAATAGTCCAGCCAGCTAGTTACCCGTTGGGTGTCAAAGAACATCAGCTGATTTGTGCCGTTATAGCAAAGCGAGTTTCGGAAGAGAGCGGAGCCGTTCTGCATCCACAACGCATCTGGTGTCTTGGCCCACGGTTTGGTTCATAGTAGGTTCAGGTCGACTGGGGACTAAGGGCCGCGGGTATTAGAGCGGGATGGTGATGACTGTATTTCCTGGGCGATTTGCTGCTGCAAAGCATCATCGTCGCTCTCATCTGAGTGTTCTTGCACGTCCTCCTCGCTCTCACTAACTGACCCACGATCATTACTGGCGAGGGTTTTCTTGGCTCGTGCCCTACTCCAGGTGTTAGAGGCTGCGCTTTAGTGCGAAAAAAAAAAAAAAAAACACCAGTTCATGGACGTACTCGAGGTCGGCCTTGCGCAGCTCCCAATCTCTGACTATGGCTTCACTAGCAAAGGCCTTAGGCTCCCAGGTGTCTTGGTAGACCTCGCCGGTCTTTGGGTCGTCCTCCCACGAGATTTTGTACGAGTAGTCATTTTCAGCGACTATCCCTTGGGCAGACCACTCTTTGCCTGCTTTATCTTGCTTCCACTGGGCAATGAGTGCAGGGGTGGCACAAGCTTTAGGGTGCCAGCTCGGCTCGTAGAGCTTCTTGGTCTTTGGATTGATCTCGTCCCACTCGATGAGATAGTTGGCCTTGTCCTCGTCGAGGATGCGTTTCGCTTTGTATAATTGCCCTTTCTCGACGCTGGCTTTGGCAGGCTTGCGCTTTGGGGTTTTGGACGAAGGACGAACACGCTGCGGAGGTCGACCACGTTTGCGCTCTGTCATCGGAGGTGGAGAGGTTGAGGTAGGGCGAATACGGTGAGGGGAGATAGGCGGGACCTTCTTTGGCCTGCCTGGAAGACGCCTTGGCATTATGCTGTGATTTGTGCAGGTGTGTTGCGTCGGGTTGCAAATATTTAGTGCGATTGTGTTGCTGGTCGAAAGTTTGGGGAGGAAGACGCGCCGACGCGTTAAGCACCTGCAGGAGCTCGGTCCCAGTCGGCGCACAGGCCTCTTTTCTCTCGTGACATGTCTGTATCACCCCCGCGTTTCATCACTGCAACACGAGCAGGCGTGAATATCAAAGTCATCTAGATGTTGCAAAGTACTCGGAAAAGACATGGCCTCAGCCTTGGCCGCCCAACGTCAAGTTACACCAAAGACACCCGCTTCGCCCCGGAATTTCAATCACACACGCTTACTGCTCTTTCCGCTCCCAAACTCCAACTTGCACATGCTCTTCGAAACACAACTCGATCATCAGAACTCGATGATAATCTTCAGCGCTTGGTTGGTCGAAGCCGCCTTGAATGTGCTGTAGGCGTTCATCATGTCGGTGAAAGCAAAGTCTGAATTGATCAGCCGAGGAACATTCAGCAACTAGAATGTGTACTTACTGTGAGTGATGAGTTTCTCGGCCGGCAGTCTCTTGGCCGCCACAAGCTTCAAAAGCATCGGCACCGTCGCCGTGTCGACCAATCTCGTGGTGATTGCTAAATGATATCAGCTTTGAACACGTTCCCATAGAAAATGAGCACCTACAAATATTCTTGTCCCACAGCTTCTCCAGGTGCAAATCTACCTTGGTGCCGTGCACACCGACGTTGGCGATGGTGCCGCCAGGCCCAACGAGCTCCTGGCACTGATGGAAGGTCTGCGGGATACCGACAACCTCGAGCACGGCATCGCAGCCACGCCCCTCGGTCAAGCGCATGACCGTCTCCTCAGCCTGCGGAGGCGTGGCAGTAGCGTGTGCGCCGAGCTCGCGGGCGAGCTTCAGCCTGTTCTCGTCGTAGTCGATGACGATGATGAGACCGGGCGAGTAGAGCTGGGCCGTCAGCAAGGCCGCCAGACCGACGGGGCCCGCGCCGATGATGAGCATCGAACATCCAGGCTCGACCTTCGCGTTCAGGACACCGCACTCGAATCCCGTGGGTAAGATGTCGCTCAGCATGACGACCGTCTTTGGGTCCACGCCCTCGGGGACCTTGTACAGCGACGTTTCGGCATTCGGGATGCGCACGTACTCGGCCTGCGTGCCGTCGAGCGTGTTGCCTAGCACCCATCCGCCCGTGTCGCACTGCGAGTGCATCCCGCGCCGGCAGTAGTGGCACGTTCCGCATGCCGTGATGGCCGGGATTAGTACTAGATCGCCTTCCTTGAATTTGCTGACGGATGAGCCCGCCCGAGAAATGACGCCGACACCTTCGTGCCCAAGCACCCGCCCAGGCTCGCACGAAGGCACGTCGCCCTTCATGATGTGCAGGTCCGTCCCGCAGATGGTCGTGTATTTGAGCTGCACAATGGCGTCGCCTGGCGCCTGGAGCTCTGGCACCGGCCGCTCTTCCAGCGCAACGCCACCATCGGGGCCGTTGTAGACGAGAGCTTTCATGGTCGAGGCACGCGCCAATTGCTGAATTGGACGAAAGGTCGCTGGCTGGTGTCTGCTAAAGTTGCTGGGTGTGGGCCGGCAGGTCTTGGTTGCTGCTGCTGGCACATATGCTATGTTGCGCTGCTGCATAAAGCGGTTCCGCACCGCCGCGGATGCGCGGGTACTAACGCGGGGAACCATGCCCGCGCATCTGGGAATGCATCTCTGCGCCCGGAGAGATGGAAGCATGAGGGGCGCAATTGGTGTGCTGGTGGTGTTAGAGTTGGCGTAAAGGGGGGATGAATGTGGCTATGAGGGTCGAATGGAGGTGTGGTAGGCCGACAAGTTCAAGAGCAAGGCATAGACGGCAGGTAGATATGTCATTTCGAGTGCGGGGTTCCGTACGCCGCAGAGGATTCGTAGATCCTGGACAAGGGTGGTGCAATCATCAGCAGAGTTGTCACCAGATGTCACGATGGTGTCGGGGCAAAGGATCTGAAGAACAGGCCATTCTTCGCGTCAGCTGCGATTCATTGAGGCACGGACATTACCATTGACCCGTCTGGGTTGTTCGATGTGGCTGGATCTGCAGACCTGCATGACTCTGTACATGAGGTGTTCGCCGCTTGGCGACTCGGATTGATCGGTAAAGCCCGGATGGCCCTCCGCTTCTGGTATCCCTTTTAGTTCGTCTGTTAGGCATGGGCACGAATTGGCAGTCGTCCTGCCGTCCCCAACGGCATGTATTTTCTGTGGGTCCTTGCGGGGAAACCCTGTGCAGGAGCGACGATGTCGCAAGGCTCAACGTGGGGAAATAAGCTTCGCGAGCAAGCTTCAGAAAAGAGCCGGCTATTGGAGAACAAAGGAGGAACATATTGTGCAAATAAAAATTTCGTTTTTTTTTTCACCAGCTTCGTTACCTATCAAGGTCTTGCTGCTGCTGTAAATTATGGTATCTTATGTCATGTAGTACTTGGGACCGTCGCCACCGGTGGGGCAAACCCAGTTGATGTCCTGCGAAGGGGCCTTGATGTCACACGTCTTGCAGTGAACGCAGCTGTTATTCGAGTTAGCAAGGAAGATTCTGGCCAAGTGGAGAGAGGACGTACTTCTGGGAATTAATTTGGAACCTCACGCCAAGGTCCTTGCTCTCATCCTCTACATATTCGTACACACCGGCGGGGCAGAACCGGTTTTCAACGCCCTTGAATCGGGGCCACTCCTTGAGCGCGTGCGCATCCCAGTCCTTGACTTGCAGGTGAACCGGTTGGTCCTCCTCGTGGTTGGTACCAGAGCGGCTGACGCTGGTCAAAATGTCAAAGCTGATCTTGCCGTCCGGCTTGGGGTACTCGATCTTTTGGCTCTGATCGGCAAGCTTAGTGGCGGCGTAGTCAGGCTTCCCGTGTTTGAAAGTCCACGGCTCCTTGCCCTTGAGGACGAATGCTGTGATTCCCGAGTACAAAACACCACCGTACAGTCCTAGCGGGTTGTGGAAAGAGGGGCGCATGTTGCGGACTTCCTTCAATTCGCTCCAGATGGTCGAATTTCGCAACTTGTCTTCGTAGTCGTACAGGAAAATAGTTCCGTCATCCGAATTGGCGCTAAGAGCCGTGTATGCAGCTTCAGCGGCCAGCATTCCCGACTGCATCGCCGTGTGTGTACCCTTGATTTTAGGGAGATTGAGGAAACCGGCAGTATCGCCAATTAGAGCGCCGCCAGGGAATGCACACTTCGGAATTGACTGGAAACCGCCCTCGTTCAGGGTACGGGCTGCGTATGAGATGCACTTGCCTCCCTCAAGATACTTCCTGTAGAACGGGTGCTGCTTCATCTTCTGGAACTCTCCGTAAGGGGAGAGCCAAGGATTGGGGTAGTCCAATCCAACAACCAGACCGATGCTAACCATGTTGTCGCCGAAGTGATACATCCAGCCGCCGCCGTATGTGTCCTTGGGAAGCGGGTATCCGAGCGAGTGAGCCACCAGACCAGATTCGAATTTCTCGGGGTCAATTTCCCAAACTTCCTTGATGCCAAGGCCGTAGGTCTGATGTTCCGAGTCCCTCCTCAAGTCGTACTTCTTGACGACCTGCTTGGTCAGACTACCGTGACAGCCTTCAGCGAGGAGTGTGCACCGGGCGTGGAACTCCATGCCGCGCTCGAACGAATCCTTGGGGGTGCCATCCCTGGCAATGCCCTGGTCATTCGTTGCCACACCCTTGACGGAGCCATCGGGGGTGTAGAGGACCTCGGAGGCAGAGAAACCCGGGTAGATCTCCACACCAACCTCCTCGGCACGCTCGCCAAGCCACTTGACCAATTGGTTCAAACTTATAATGTAGTTGCCGTGGTTGTTCATCTGCGGGGGCACCGGTAGCCAGACGGACTTGTTCGAGGTGAGGAAGCGCATCATCTCTTTCTTTGCAGGGGTGGCGTGCTCGAAGCGGTTGGGGTTCTCTTCCGAGTTCCAGTCGGGCAAGAGCTGGTCTAGGGCGGTAGGTTGGACGACATTTCCGGACACGATGTGGTCTCCTATCTCGCCAGCCTTCTCTAATAGCAGAACGCGGAAGTCGTCATTGCCTGCTTCGTTGGCGAGCTGCTTCAGGCGAATGGCGGCGCTGAGGCCTGCGGGCCCGCCGCCGATGATGCAAACATCGACTTGATCAGCCTCGCGGTCAATTTGACTGGGGTCGAAGGAATCGTCGACATCGGCCAGGCGCGTGCGGGCAGTGTTCGAGAGGGTTCGCCTCTGGCCGGCGACGCGAAGGGCTGGTCTGTAGGCGCGGAGAGGCGAGCGGGTGGTCGGCGCAGCAAAAGGTAGTGCGGAAAGCCGAGCGGGCGAAATGCGCGGGACGAGGGCGCGCCGCAGGGCTGATGGAGTAACTATCCTGGACGCCATGGTGAAAGGAGATGTGCAGCACCCCGCAAAAGCATCGGGGCAGGAGGCTATTGAAAGCGGCCGCGAGCCGGGGAAAGCTCTATGACGCCGACGGGCAAGGGCCGAGGTTGCCGTGGTGGGCGCGCGTGAAGATTTGCCGCAGGGGTGCCTGCGCCGGACCGTATGTAACCGCGGCCAGCCAAACAGCATCGAGCAGATTGTCAGCCCCTGGCCAACCTCACTCCAACTCCCGTCTGATCAGGAAGGCCATCCCGCGCGTTCCTGGCTGCCAGGCCCACGCTTTGGTGTCCCGCCATGGGCGGCGGTGCGACTCTCACGGGAGCCCCAAAGACTCATCAAACTTGTGGATCCTTTCGCTCCATGTCTTATGATGCTCGCACCATGGCAATTCGTTGGGTCGGTGGATCGAGTGTGAGTGGATTCTGCGATATCGCTCTCAAAGACAGCGCCGAGAGCGCTTCGACGACGAGCCTGTGAGGCGAAATCGGCCCTCCCACTTCCCCGATTCCTGTCGAGCCTTTCCTTTCTGTCAATGTGATTGCATATGCGGCAGCCCTGGTTGAGGGTCGAAAGAGCATGGTGACGCGCAGGCGATTGTTTGTCTTTGGTACACGATACGGGAAAGAGTGGCGCATTGAGCGAAGGAGCTGTACGAAGAAGCCCCTACCATGGACAAGGTCGAGCGTGTCTACACGTCCGTTAAGAGAGGCTGGATTTGACAGGCCGTGGAATCATGCGTACCTTTGCAACAGGCCGCGAACATCTGAGCCCAACGAAGGGGACGCCTTACTAACGGGGGCAGCTGAAGCATATGTCTAGATGCATTTGAACATCCACGTCCGGATGCTTGCTTCAGCTGCTCTTAGGAAGCAGTGTACTTCGTGGCTCGAATATTCGGTCGGTGTCATCTCACACATTGCTCCTTCCGCAGGTAGCGATGCGGTGTGGATGGAGGCAAGCACTCAGTCTGCGCTTTCCCTAGCTGTATTTCCGTCGAGCGGGGTGCTTCTGTAGCTTCAGGTCTTCTCCACGTCCTTCTCCATTCTTCGTGTTTTCCATTATCAAGTGAGTGACAGCGTGGGTGAAGATGGAGAGGCACATCGAGCCACCCAAATTTGAGCTGCTGCGGGCAAAATGGGAAGCACAGCAGCAGGGCAACCCAAACAACGACTCGTTGTCACCCACCACCCCGGGCCGCACACCTGCCCAGCAACGCCAATTCTACACTTCTTCAAGCGAAACACGCGATTCCAAGATCCGCCGCTTCAGCTCCTTTGCCGCTTTCACAACCCCCATCAACCCATTTGCCCGCCGCGATCGAGTCGGCATGCCTTTTCCCAAGTCGCCCTCGTACAAGGCCCTCGTCGCTCCCGACGAGCGGGAGGACCCTCCATCTCCTTTGAAGCGCCGCCACGGAAGCAGGCTCTCGTCCTTCAAGACCGCCTCACACGCCATGCCACCACCGCCATTGCCAGCTGCAAAGGCCAACACCCAAGCTCCTCAACGCCGGTCCATGCGCCTTCCCAGGAGCCAGACAACCAGCAACATCCCGCTGCTCACAGCTAGCGCCCCCGAACCTGTGCAGCGATCTCCCATCAGGCGTCCACCGTCTGGAACTCCGTCGCGCAAGACGACGGGATTGAGACAGCCATCGCAATCAGCGAGCAACCTTATCCGCAGCAGACCGCCTACACCCCATCGCAGCGCCGACGAGCCAATGCCCGTCACTGCCCAGTCTACGAACAATCTAATTTCTCTGACTTCCTTGAACTCATTTGCCAACATCCGCAGCAAGCTGCCCACGCCCGCCATGAACAAGGAGGCAAGGCAGTTAGGAACGGCGACTAAAATGTTCGGAGGCATGGTGAAGGCACAGAAGGCCAGGGACAAGCGCTCGTACACGCAGCCTAACCTTACGAGTGCGACGACCATGCCATCTCAGTTCATCACGCCGCGAAAGACGGCCTTCAGGGAAGAGTTCGCTACTAAGACGCCGCGCTACATGGCAAGCGAGAATGCCAAGCCGTTATCTCTCACAGATGATCTCTTTGCTCCAGCTGACGGGCTTGAGGTCACAGAAGTAGTAGGTGATGAAGAGCTCAGGCGGTACGGGGCGAGAGTGGAAGATTGGGGAAGCCCGCACGCTATTGAGACACCTCCGACTATCAAGCCCAACAGGACATCCGGCACCGCTCACAGCAGACACCCCTCACAGCTTCCTCGCCTTCACTCCTCAGGCTCTCTCCCCCAAAATGGTCTTCTTGCGCCGCTCTCTCCGCCATTCCCTCGAACGCCGCGTCACTCGACCGCTCATAGTCAATCTCTGCTTTCCCCCGGCAGCGGCGCCAATCCGCCCACCATCCTACGCCATTCGCACTTGTCGCCCTGCTTGGAAGACTCACACACGAATCCGAGGACAGCAATCCGCTTCATCTCCACCGGTCAGCTCCGTGCATGGTCGCCTCCATCGTCCCCAACACCGACACATTCGTCCCATTCGTCGTCCTTCCAAGCCCTACCTCCGTCTCCGACACCCGCCAGCGGCGGTGGCGGTGTCTACGGCGCCCAGCCTCCGACGCATGCGCTCGTCAACACGGCACAGCCTTCAGCCTACTGGGCGGGCCGCTTCGCATCGTGCTTCGACCGGCTGCGCTTCGAGGCCTTCCACACCGAGGGTCGCGCCTTCCGGCTCTCCGGCCGCGTGTCGGACACGTTCGGCGCCTTTGTCGACGGCGGCGAGGAGACCCGTGCCCGCCGCGTCTTCAGTGAGCTGTCCGCATGCTGCCGCTCCGACGAGGCGGCCCGCAGCTTGCGCGACTTTCAGGCCGAGTGGGCCCGCAGGTGCGGCAGCGTCTCCTGCATGCCGCCGCCGGCGGTGATTGTGTTGGGTGGAAGTGGAGAGAGTGGAAGTGGGGTGGCCAGCAGTGGGGATGCTAGAGTGGGCGACCATGTGGTGGGTGGGGGTGAAGACGGCCTGAGAGGCGGAGAGGGCAAGGGAAGGAAGACGGGCATGGGATTCATGGAGAGGCTGAGGGGTATTGCAAGAAAGACGAGCGCTTAAGATGGCGTTGGCTTGGGTAGAGAAGAAGAGCACCTTATGGGTTTTACGATATTTGACGACTGTACGATATCAGGATGGGATTCCAAGGTATATTCGGGGGATTAGAAAAGTGCTGAGATTAATGGGAAAGGAAGGGCATATGATGGGGTCGATCATTCCTTTCGGCATTCCTTAGTCAAGATGGAAATTCAAGTAGTACTAGGATAGACGGGCTTCTTACGATATCATGAGCCCACGATTGACGAGAGACGAGGAAGGCTATAAGGTAATTCAGAAACCGATATTCCGTTCAAGGAGGCAAGGGATTAGACTGTTGGATGCTAATTGAAAAGTGCTGAGTGCTGGTGCTCCTTACCGAATTGACTCGGCAGAGTGAGAGTGTCAACTAAGAACCGTCTTTCTCTATCACGTACAGTAAATAACACCTGCTTCCTGAACGCCTCATGATCGCCTTTATCATTCTTTTTTTGTCTTATCATCATCACCCAACGAGCCGCATCTTTCGTTGGTGTAGACAACACCATCTACCCGCCTCATTAGTCCCGCGAGGGCCAGGGGAAAAGGAGAAAATCCAACACCTCTCTCACGCCCTCTTCTGCCTATTCTTGATATACTGCGAAATCTGCTCAACGCGAGTCAAGAACATCAAGCGCCTCACATCATTACTCCAAACGAGCACGCCAATGTGTCCAGCGTACTCCTTCAAATCGCGGAATTCTTCCCAATCCTTGAAGTCCTTGAACAGGAAGCCCTCGGTCGCACGCATGCGGTCACCCTCGATCTGCCACAGGCGGATCTGGTCGACGACGGTGGGCGGCAGGACGGGCGTCTTGCGTTGCATCTGCGGGTGGGCGTACGTGTCGAGGTAGGAGATGATCTGGTCGGAGGTGATGCCGAGGCCGATGGCGCGCTGAACCGACTCCTTGGTCAGCTTGCCCGACACCAGGTTGGGGAAGCGCGTCTCCAGCTCGGTGAAGAGGGCCAGCACGGCGATCTGCAGCTCGCTACTCGTGTACGCGTAGAGGCGGTAGTTCGTCTCGATGATGATGTAGCCCTTGCTGCCCGAGGTTGATGTGGAGTTGAGGGCGTTGGAGAAGGAGTCGTTATTGTTGAGGGCGGCAGCGTCTGAGGTTAGTGTCGTGGCGAGACGGGTCGGGTAGAAGCGTGTGGATTTGGACGAGGTGCGAAAGACAATGCCAAAGTCGTTGAGGTCATCGAGCATTTGCAGTTGGGTTGCCGTCAGGCTGTCGGTACTGTAGTCCTGTCCGAGTTCAAGACTGCCTAGCATGAAAAGGAAGGATAAGACGTCGACATTGTCCATTTTGAGCTGTTGAACGGTTAGTCGTGAGTTCCAAACGGCACATACAACCAATCATTCCTCAAGTCAAGGGCATGACGAAGGAGATAGCAGCAGAGAAAATTTCACCAACGACAGGAGCAACGATTATCATGAAGGAAGCTGGCCATACCTTGTGAGCATTCTCGAGGTACACGATCAGCAGACTCCACACTTGTGCGTTTACTTCCTGCAGCAAGAATGAGAAGCCTGCTTGTGTGATGCTTGCCCGTCCTCCTCTCAGCTCAATAAAATGGCCCAGATCCAAGAGAGTCTTGGACGCAGGACTGATTTCTGATCCGCCTACCAGCGCCGAACCCGCACTGCCGACCATGTAGTGTAATATAGTTTCCCACTGCCCTCTCGCGAAGGCGTCTAGTCGTTCTATCGACACGCGCTTCGAGCCGGTTTCTACGCATGGCACGCCAAAAGATCGGTGGTTGCCTCCGCCGGTGAGGGCTTGTCGGAGAGAGTTCTGAAAGCCGCTGGCAAGACGGTAGGCGCGCTGTCCCTTTGTCTCTTGCGCTTGGGTTATAATGTGGAGGCTCTCGAGCACGGAAATGGCCTTGTCCTTTTCTCTACGCGAAGAAACGCGTTAGTATATGGCTGCGCCGGTCGGAGGGAGGAGCCGTAATCGCACCCATTCGAATCATCGCGTATCCATGTCTCTAGTTCCGTAGCGGGGAGAGGGCCGGTCATGTAGAGCATCGCCATGACTATCGTCTTCGCTGCGGGACGCCGAAATGTTAGCCATGTCGCACAAACAGTCGCGGTCGGACAGCTGACCCAAGTGAGGCAGCATGCGGCGAAAGACGGCCAAGACGGCCGAGGGCTGCTGGTACAGGCGTTTGTGGATGGCGCCGGACAGACCCTCGAGGTAGTCGAGGGCCTGCGACGATGAGGTCGTCATGGCGGAGCGGCGGCGGGCGGTCGACGTCGTTCGCACGTTTCGCTAGGGCAGGGTCATTGTCGGGGGCTGGCGAGCGAAGGTGGACAAGGTAAACGAAAGGGCGCTGGTGGTTTGACTGCACAGCTACAATGCGGTTGCTGCGAGGCGCACGCGAGTCAGGCAGAGCTGCCTGTAAGGCTGAATGAATCCCCCCGGGGCAAGCGACGTCACCGCTCTCCATCACACCTCCGCGGCGTCGTATCTCATCCGTTATGTCTCAAAAAACGTTGAAGTTCGTGAACTCGGTAAGAATTCTCTCATCCAGTATGCCATTGGACTTATTCTCACGCCGGTAACCCTCAGGTCTGGAAGTCATTCCAAGCCACCTCCGGCTTGGAGCCGAGGTAGAACCTCACCCCTCGCCCGTACCATCTCTTGACTGACAATTGACTAACTAGGCTTCTGAACAATGTACGTGACATGTTTTCTAAATCAGCGGAAGAGATGGACCCGAATTGGCAGAAGGAGCCCTCCGCTATTGAATCAGATTCCTTATGACTGTAAATGCCGACACATCTTCGCTGTGTCAATATCAAATTATCACCCAAGCTGATTGGAAAATCAGCTTCGCATCACCAATGCCATACCAGGCAGTGTCAAATTCGAACTCGACATTGAAAGGCACCATACCAACCGCCTAAAGATCCTCCATGGCGGCACCATCGCTAGCATGGGTACGTGCGAATTACTTATACAACCTTTGCTGTCCTACATTCTCACTGACACGTATTAACAGTTGACCTCGGCGGCTCGCTTGCTGTGGCTTCAAGGGGCCTTTTCGCGACAGGCGTGTCGACGGATCTGAATGGTACACCTCTGCAAAGCAATACTGCAGATTATACAGTTGTGCGAGCAGCATACTGACACGATTTACTTTTGTTTACAGTGACCTATCTCAACTCCGGCGGCACCGAGGGAAATACCATCCGTGCTGAAGTGACGTGCGATAAGTGTTCGTCGAAACCGTCCCAACAACAAGCCGCCTCATTCAAGCTAACATTTGCATCATGTAGTCGGCAAAACACTGGCGTACACGAACATCAAGTTTTTTAACGACAAGAATGAAGTCGTTGCGCGTGGAAGCCACACAAAGTGAGTCATTTCCTTAATATATCGCGAACCTCAGTAGAGTCGCTGGTTTTTCTAACTTGGCCTCAAAGGTACGTGACATTTGCTTGGAAGGACCCGAACAACATTGTCGAAGAAATCAAGGCCGAAGAAGCAAATTCAACCGAGTCGGGAGATGCGAAGCAGTAGATAGACGCACCCGCTACAAGCCATAGAGACCGTCGTCCTCACGTGAAACTAGTAGAGTAGTGATAGAACGAATCAAATAAGCAGCATCACGAGATCCATAAGTGGTATCATGCTCTCAATCTAGAGACATCTAGCCTATGGCGGCGATACATTAAGGAAAGCCTCCACAACTTCCTTGAAGCTTCTGCTTTCCCCGTCGGTTTCCCGCCACACGGCCTCATCACCCTCCAATTGGGTATCGGGAGCGTACCAGCTCACCTTGAGACACCCTTCCTTTCCAGAAATGTGTGCTGCTAGCTCTAGCAGCACTGCTTCCTTGTTTTCCCCTTCGCCCTTTCTCTTAACAACGTACACCAGCTCCGGATGGCGGTTACTCAACTGCAAGCCGGAACGATCCTTGGCGGCGAGGTTAAGCGCCAAATCCATAGATATGGCATGGTCGAGATACTCTCTAAGGGCATCAAATGTGTCAAAAGAGAGGGTGCGTTTCTGGACTTGGCGATTGTCGTGGTAGAGGATGTCAGCAAGGGCGGGAGGTATCGTGAGGCTGACCTCGCTGCCCTGGATATGCGGCGCAATGGGCGTCCGAAGTGTTATTGCGAGCTCTTGACGCAAAACTGCAGCTTCATCCAACGTCGACGGCAAGGGTAAGGTTGCTGTGGTCTGCAGGGGTCGAGACAATACTGCCATCAGAGCATCCAGTTCAGGAAGACGGCTCTGCGCAGAGTAGGCGGTTTTAATTGTCTCCGAGAGGTTCGCGTATGCTGACTCAAAATTGGTGCTGAGAGATATCCCAGCCCGGGCCAGAATGTGCTGAATAGACGAAAAATATGATCTAAGGGCAGTGGTGGTGTTGTGGTGGTAGATGAAGTTGAGCAAAGTTCGGATGATGGGAAGTTGGGGCTCGGGTCGAGCGCGGTCAGTCATCGGAAGCGGCTGCTGGGTACGCTTTCGCAGTCTTTGACTGTGAATGTAGGATAACAGGAGACGTAGTGTGAGCGCTACATCATTGGCTAAGCCATCCTCGGGGCGCCTGGAGGGGAGCTCGTCCGCATCTTCAACGCCGATCAGATCGACGTGGATCTCTCGCTTTTGGTCCGAAGCGTTGGCTGCAGCCTCCGGGCTCGCGGGAATGATGATGACGTGATCTCTGAAGTGAGTTTTGTAGGATAGCAGTTGCCTGGACTCCATGGTCATCTCGTGGAATAACTCTTGCTCGAAGAGAGAATCTCTTGCTCTCCGGATCAGATCCTCAATTTCCAGGTCGCTTTGCTGAGCAAAGACCAGACTGTTCTGTTCCGAAGTGCCAACAGTCTTCCCGTCCTCGACGATACGAACACGAACGGTTTTGGGCTTCTGGACGAGAGCCTGGTCAAGGATGATGTTCCCGTCTTCCTTGGCACGCAGAGGAGCAAAGCCACGAGCCTGGAACCTATCGCTCGCCTCAAGGAAGCCAAACTGGACACCCAGAGTGCCGCTCTCACGAGGCACCCTGCGCAATGACCATCCCCGCTTCTTGATGGACAGAATCTGGCCCCAATATTGGGTCTCTTTCCGCACCTCTTTCTCCAACTTTGTGGCAGCCTGCAAAAGCGAATCCGCAGATGCGCCGAGCCCCTCCATGGTCCAACCCTTTGCGACGAGATCCTGCTGCTTTCTTTGGCGCTCATCCAGTGGCTTGACCGGCCACTTGTCATAGGCGAAGCATCCCTCGGGGACACCACTCTGCTTCAGGGTAGGCGACATGTAGTTGGAGCCACGGGGATTATCTTTGGAGAGGAGAAGGCCAAGGAAGTCGATGGTGTACAGAATTTCCTGCTGAGCATCACTACTCATTGTCAGCGATGCAGACATGCGGATTTGGGCCAGCCGGGCCATACTTGATGTGCCTGAACATCTCAGCCTTAGCTTCGCGGAGCTCGTCGGCGCGCTTCTTCGCGTCATCGGTCGCTTCCTCGTCGTCGTCCTGGGAATCAGAAGCATCGGCAACGCCAGCCTGCTGGGCGGCGACCATGTCCCTGAGCTTGTCCTCGTCCATGTGGCGGAATTGGCCGAATTGCGCGGAGATGCGCTGAAGCTGCATCATGAGCGACTCGTCCTCGTCGGAGCTGGACGGGGCGGGGCGCAAGGCCAATGGGAGCGAGGGGCTGCCGCCCGACAGCTGCGAGTCGGCCATGGTTGGTGGGCGGTTAGACGGCGGAGGTGCGTGCGAGACAGTGGGTGGAGGGCAGAGATGAGGCGTCGGCGGGAGGAAGGATGGTGTTGACAAGCAAGGCTGCAGCGCTAGCGACGGGTGCATTGCTCGGCTCCGGCTAGGCGGGTCTATCGATAAGAAGAGAGCCAGGGATGAGAGGGGCGCGGGCGGTGTGGCGGGCGTGTGACATGGATCGGCCAGCTCCGACGCGGAGAAGCTGTCCGCCCAGAGCTCTGCTCTTCGCGCCACGTTCGTCCTCTCTGTCTCTCCTGAATTCCAGAAAACAGTCATGACGACCAGGTACAGAGTTGAGTGTAAGTCTGCCCCTGCTGCCCCCGCGCCGTTCCACGCTGACACTCGCCAGATGCACTCAAGGTGCGTATTCACCTCCCGCTCTCGGCCTCCGTAGCTCGCTGATCAGCTCCGTAGACGCACCGGCGTGACCAATTGGTACCTCAGTCCCTTCAATGCCATGACAAACTGCGTGCTAACGTGGCCTGCAGATCGAATGGATCAAGGTGCCCAACCCCCACAAGTGTCTTCCCCGGATCCGAGCTGACGAGCTGCCAGGGCCTGCTGGCGGTGCCGTTTGTGCTGCACTCGCAGCCGACGGCCGTGTTTGAGCCGCGCCGGGAGAGCACCGAGCAGATGGCCGCCATCGCTCACCGTCGCTACGGCGAGATCATGCGCGACGTCGAGGAGCTAATCAACGACCACAGTTTGTGCACCTTAAACCTGTTCGTAGCTTTGTCTAAGTCATGTGTCAGTCGCCCACCAGCGAGCCGGCACCGAGCAGAACTCAAAGCTCAAGTTGCTTGTGCCTGCCGTGTCCAAGTTCTTCACGCCCTTGGTTCTCCACGATGCCTTCGTCTACCAAGATCAGCGTCGTTTCATCAGCCACCGCCGCTTCGTGGCGCCCTCGTTCAACGACGTCCGCCTGATCCTCAACACAGCCCAAGTCATGTCTCTCGTGCGTGCCGGTCCCCTTGACTTGATCACTTTCGATGGCGACGTCACACTGTACGATGACGGCCAATCCCTTGTCCCCGAGAACGCCGTCATCCCGCGAATCATGGGTCTGCTGCGGAAGGGCACCAGAATCGGCATCGTGACCGCAGCTGGTTACACCGAGGGCGCCCGCTACTACGAGCGTCTGCATGGCCTGCTCGACGCCATCCGCGCCTCCGACATGCCAACTAACTACAAGCAAAATCTCATTGTCATGGGCGGTGAAAGCAGCTACCTGTTCAAATACTCGGCCGACGAAAACCATCTCCTGCAGTGGGTCCCGAGGAAGGACTGGATTCTCGAGGAGATGCGCTCATGGACCGAGGACGACATACGCCTGCTGCTCGACGTGGCCGAGACTGCCCTGCGTGAGTGTGTGAAGAACATGCGACTGTCTGCACAGATTATTCGGAAGGAGCGCGCTGTCGGAATCGTGCCAGCCAATCCCGGTGGAAGGTTTGCCAGAGAGCAGCTGGAGGAGACCGTCTTGGTGACCCAGAAGATCCTGGAGATGTCCGAAGTCGGCCGCCGCCTGCCATTCTGTGCTTTCAACGGTGAGTTGCTGCTCCCCAGACATGTGAAGTCGCAATCTCTAACAGGAGCCCAAAAGGTGGAAACGACGTCTTCGTCGACATTGGCGACAAGTCATGGGGTGTCCTCGCTTGCCAGCGCTTCTTCGGCGGCATCGAGGGCAGCAAGACGCTTCACGTTGGCGATCAATTCCTTTCCGCCGGCGCCAACGATTTCAAGGCTCGCCTTGCCTGTACCACGGCTTGGATCGCCAACCCGGCAGAGACATGCTCTCTTCTGGATGAGATCGCTGAGTTGGACGAGATGCAACAAAGGAAGCAGGTGTGACCCTCGACGGAAATCTCTTAACTTTCCCACCTAATCGGATGTTGGAAATTTGGCTTGGAGTTATTTGGCTGACAACCATATCGGAAGGACGTCGAGTGAGTTCATGAAGATCCATGAAGTCAAGATACCAGGGAAGCATGTCGATGGAGTTAGGAAGAAATTCAATTTTGCTGTTTTGAAAGCACCCAAACCAGACCTTAATCATGCATGCCTGCTAATGTGCTATCAGTCTATTTAAGCTGATGTCGATACTGCAGTCTAAACATCCCATTCTGAACGCCTAAGAAACCCTCCAAACCATCAGAAGGAAGACCAAGGCAATTCAGTCTATTCTTCAGTACTTTTTTTGTTGTTCGGAATTCTTCTCACGAAAATTCCAATCCCCCTAGTCTTTCTTGTCTCTTCTGAAAATAGGCCGCTTCTCCCGCATCTCATTATCGAGAACGACCGTTTTCCAATCCTTCCCTCGGCCCATTTTCCCGTTTTCACTGCCCTCGATTCCTAAAACGGCGTTGTACGCGGACAGAACTCGCCAGCCGCAGGGTTGAGCATCGATATTTTCCTCGCGTGGCCGTTGCTCTGCTGGGCGTGCTGCATGCCCACCGCTTGAGGAGGAGGATGAGCATCAATGATGCCCATGGCAACATCGAAGCTGTGGTGTGCTTGCGGAGAAATCAATCCAGCCGGGACAAACAGCTCGCCAGACGTCTGCCTCATAACTGGACCCTCACCTGGGACAGTGTCGGGGACACTATCCCTCCACGCCCAAGGCTCCATACCGTCGTGCGTAATCGTTCCCATATTCTGTGCATATGTCGTAGTCAGGGTCGGGGTCGGGAGCGGCTGAAAATTCGCCGAGGGGTATCCGGGATGACGTTCAGCTTCAGCATACATCTCCACGCCGTAGCCACCAAGGTGCGCAAGCGAGGTGCCTTGCTGGTGCGGATGTTGGAGCTGGTACTGGTACTGATGCTGGGGCTGGTACTGATGCTGGGGCTGACGCTGAACAGCGTCACGGGAATCAAGGCCCCTAGTACCACTAACAGCTTTGCCATGAAAGCCGTGTGGCCTAGCATTGCCGTACTTTCCTCGGCTGCCAGACCACGTCTTCTTCTTGATCTCGGCTTTCCTCCTGTCTTCTTCCCTCTTGCGCTCCTCTTCGGCAGCGGCGGCCTCGCGCTCGCCCTTCTCCAGCTCAAGCGCCGCCTCCAGAGCCGCGATCTCCTTGAACTGCGCCTCTAGCCAGGTCTCGTCGTTGTCGTCGCTCACCAGCAGCTTCTTGTTCTGTGCCGCCATGGCTCCGCCATCGAAATGAGATTCGGCAGAAGCAGAGGAGCCTGAAGGAAGTGTGTCCTCCCACCGCGGATGGCACTCCGACGTCGCTGTCGCCAAACGGTCCGGCCCGGCGCCCGCGACCGCAGCGGGTACGACCGGCTTGCGGAGCTCGTCGTAGATGTAATGCCCGCGCGTGAACCAGTGTCGCAGTTCGTTGAGCGGGCGCGGCGTGGGGACTCCGCTGATGTGAATGTAGCGACTGGGTTCAGCTACCTTATTCGCACCCAGCAGGGACGATGGCGTCGGGGTCGAGGCGGACATGGTTTGCTGCCGGTGCTGCTTTCGAAGGATGCAGCTGCTGTCTGGTGTTGAGGATGGGTTCGGGTTTCTGTTGATGGGAAGTAGAATGCGGATCGGTCTTTCGGTCGTGAGCGTCTTGATCACCTGCCGATGCGCGTGCGTTGCGCTGGTACTGGAAGCAGAGGTGGACCTATGGATGCTTCAGCCCTGGAGGCCGGGTGGGTCAGTCGGTGTTTGTAAGAGCGTGATCTGCGCTGCTCGAAACTGGGCTGGTTTGAGCGAAAATCCTCACCATCCGTTTGGCCGTGCTAGGCGGTTGTAGAGGTGAGTGGAGGTTGACCAGTATGGCCAGCTGTCGAAAGACGATCGTGCTCTGGCGGTGGCCGTCAAGAAGATCTAGGGTGGCATTGTAGGTGGAGGTGCGAAGGAAAGGACTCGAATGGGCACGAAGGTTTTTTTGTACCTGTGGCCCGAATAGTGACCTCACGTGCGCGAAGTCATGCAGAGGAAAGCCGCTGGCAGGGAAACCGTGCTGTTGCCTTGAGAGTGTAGCAGAACCTGTCCACTGTTTGCTGACTGGAAGACGTCGAAGTGTGAGCCACGAGTTACATGTTTGGCTGTAATCTTGTCCAGTCTCGACGTAGCTCAACAGTAACGCCTTAATAATAAGTGCTAGTTCTATTAAAGAGTATCGTCCCTGGTCTTCCCTTCACAGTAGGACTGTTGAAAATATTAGTCTCAGTACTAGCAAATGAGGCTCTGTGTGCTAAACAACTACTTGGTGAAGTAACAGCGCTAGTACGCTATTAATTGTATATCGAAACTAGTATCTCTAAAAGAGGATTTCAGTTACTCATTCTGGTTTCTAGTTTGCGTTAGTTGATAAACGATTGGAAAATTGCCCTTTATAACGCGTTTCTTCAGTGGTCTCAACCAGATAAACAAACAATTGCAACTTTGTCTAGACATTGGTGGCAGTGCTGTATCGGTGTGCAAACAAAATAATCGTACGTACTATGCTACTACTCTGAAAAAAAAGTTACTTACCTAAGTTATGGTCTGGTGGTGTAGATGTCACGGAGTCTTTTTTTCTTGACACACTGATTCAGTATTGGTCCACAAGTCACAGCTACCGGATGAGATGTTTGTCCGGACGGGTCTCATTCTGCCTGAGGAACGGGAAGTCACGCTATTGAAAGAAATTCCATATTTACTAGGAGAATCATCTATCATATTCTCATGCAGCTGCCTTTTTTGTTCGAGCGGAAAGTCATTATCATGACGCGAATAGTCCCATACTCCTGCAGCGAGCGCCTGCCATCCGGTATCTAGCTACTTAAAGAAAACTCGTACAATGTTCACAAAACAGGCTTGGGCCTACCGCTGAGGGTGTCGATCAAATCCTTGTAGCCCATCCAGAACTCGTCCTTAGGACGACGGTTGGGCCAGTCGGTCTCCTCGTTCTCGACCTTCTCCATTGCGGAAAACTTGACCTTGGCGCCACGGATGCCGATGACCACAGCACTCATGGGATCGGCGGCGATCTCGTCCTTGCTCTTGCCTACGAAAAGTTAGTCTTCTATTTCATTCAAGGGGGTTGGGTGATTGGCTTACCCGCAAAGCTCTCGAGGTGCTGCATACTGCGGACACCGAACCTGGTGGCCCTCATTCTGTCCATGGGCGAAGGCTTGCCACCCTGCTGGAAGTGACCAGGCACACCGTGACGGGACTCGAAGCGGCCCTTGCCCTCCTCACGGATGATATCAGCGATGAGCTCGGTGCTGTAGGTCTTCGATGCCTTCTCGTTGCGGAGGATGATCTTTCCACCACCACCAAGACCCTTGTCCTTGGCGAAGCTGTCGCGAAGGAAATCGATATCCTTCGAGAGCATGCTGAGCGTGATGCCCTCCTCGGGAGTGTAGACCGCGAGAGCTCCGACCGAGATACCGGCCAGAGTAGCGATGTAACCAGAAGCGCCACCTTGGGTTTCGATGACGAAGACACGGCGGCGAGACGCAGATGCGGATTGCCTCATGACGTCGCAGTACTGGATAAGCGCGTTCAAGCAAGTGTCGCTACCAAGCGAGTATTCGGTTCCAGGGACGTTGTTGCTGACGGTGGCCGGCAGGACGGTCATGGGAATGCGGAGGGCGGAGTAGTATTGGCGAGCCTTTCTCAGCTGGCTGACAGCGGTGAAGGCCTCGAAACCACCGACCACGAATAGCGCTTGGATGTTGTACGTGTCGAAGATTTTGGCCACACCCTCAAGACCCTCAGCTTCATCGGCGGGAAGTCCACGGTTGGTACCAATCTCCGAACCACCACGGCTGACCCAGTTCTCAGCATCGAGCCAGTGGATTTCGCGAACGGAGCTGAGGGGCTTGTCAGCGTGGTGACGGCAGAGGCCGGGGAAACCGTTGTAGAGGGCGACGGGGGTGTGGCCACGGGCCAAGCAGTAAGCAACGGCCGCACGACTGGCAGCGTTCATTCCACCTGCCGGAGCACCGACGTGGATGATACCAACGCGCATGCGCTGTATACGTTAGCCAAAGTTTCAATATCAGGGAAGCGCAGTCATTACCTTCTCCGGGGGAAGTTGAAGGTCTGGAATCTTGGCAGAGGTCATGATCTGGTAGGCAGCGTGGTACTCAGCAAACTCGACGTCACGCAGGCTCATGGCACGATCGAAGTCCTTGGCCTTGATGGCAGCAGCAACCTCGTGAGTCTGTTTCACGGCCTCCATAAGCGGGCGGCGGACAATCTTGTTCTCCAGAATGCAAATGACAGGGCTGGGCGTGTCAGGAGTGGCATCCAAAACGGCATTGACGGCCTCGGCGCCCTGAAGAGTCGAAAGCATGCGGTCGTAGGCGCTAGCCTCGCCACCTCTTTGGACGTGACCCAGGGTAGTGATTCTGGTGTCCAGCTTGAGCTGGTTTGCAAGCAGGTCCTTGACAGTATTGGGAGTAATGGGTTTGAGGTTGGAGTCGTGAGCACCCTCAGCGACAATGACCATGGTCTTGCGCTTGCCCTCTTCACGGTGCTTCTTGACAATCTTGCTGAGATCTTGCTCCCAGTCCTCGCCCGGGGGCTTCTCCGGAAGGAAGACGTAGTCGGCGCCGCTGGCAATACCAGCCATCAGGGCCAGCCAACCGCAATGCCTGCCCATGACCTCGATGACGAAAGCTCTCTGGTGGGACGAGGCGGTGGAGTCGAGCTTGTCAATTGCCTCACAAATGACGCCGAGAGAGGTGTAAGCACCAATGGTCGCGTCTGTTCCAGCCAGATCATTGTCAATGGAGCCAACGAGACCAACGATGTTGAGATGACGGAATGGGGCGACCTGGTCGGCGGTAAGCTCCTTCTTCTCGACCAGCTCGTCGACCAGGCTGGGCCACTCGGATCTAAACAGATCGGCGCCAGTCAAACTGCCGTCTCCTCCGCAAATGACAAGGGCGTCAATGCCCTTGAGTATCATGTTCTTAGCGGCCTGCAGACGGCCGGGGCGCTCTCTGAAGCTCATGCAGCGAGCAGTGCCGATGAGAGTGCCGCCCTCGGAGAGCCAACCGCGGACATCTTCCCAGACCATGGGGCGGATCATGTCGCCGCCCTGGACAAGGCCCTCGTAGCCCTCGTAAACGGCGTAGGCCTCGCAGCCGCGGTGGATGGCCATGCGCACGACAGCTCTCACAGCGCCGTTCATGCCAGGAGCGTCTCCGCCCGAGGTCATGACACCGATGCGGCGCTTCTTGCCCTCGAGGGGCGGCGGGGGGTTGGTGGCCATGGTGTGTTTGGTCGGCGCAAAAGCGGTGGGGTATCGGATGGCGGGGTCTCAACAGAGCTCGCGGCGAGAAATGATGGAGGGGTATAGGCAAAGAGGTGGGTGGAGGATGGCGCGCGGGAGGGTGTGAAGAAAGAACGCGGCCAGAGGAGGGAGCGGAGAGCTGAGACAGACAGCTTTAGACTCGGGCGCGCAGCTGGTGACACAGTCCCGCCGTGGCCGCCGCGCGAGCTTGCAGCTGAGATTTTTGGCCGTGGGGCCTTGCGTCATACCCAAACGCGCAGGGTCCATCCGTACCACCACTCCGACGATACCGTACGCGCTGTATTTCATTACACCTGTGCACTCCCGCATTCCTTCCGGCATGGTGCATCGCACGCCTCGCCCTCAACGCCCCGTGGGCAGCAGCAGCAGCAGCACCCGGCCGCCGCGAGACGCGGTGCGGCTGCACATGCAGCACGCCTCACGCATCATAGGCTGCGGCAGGCGGCGGGGGGCGCATGTCGGCATGCCGAGCCCGGGCGGCTGCTCCGGCGACGGCGTTTGGTATCCAACGCGTTCCACAACACTGGCTGTCATCTAACGCCTCGCGCGCTGCTCGCCTCTCTCCTTCTGGTGAGCTGATGTCTCGTCTTGTGGCGTGTTGTTGGGAGCACCCTATCTCACTCGCGGCCCCGGCTCGGCCAAATGCTCCACTCCCTTGCCTACCTCCTGCCGCCGTTGCAGCGCCGTTTTCGTTCACCCGTGCCGCGACTTTTCGCGAGCCTCGCAATGACGCAGCTCGTCGATCCAGTGATATCAACCCGATCACCTCCCGCCCGCCTCCATATTCTGCACCTTCACCCTTTTCCGACGCCATCCGGTGCCTGCGCGATGCTCCGCGACCGGCGGATTCTTATCGTCTGATATCTAACGTACCACGCGTCTCAGAAATAGCTCAAATATCGCTTCACCTCACGACGCCTTCTTTTCGCTTCTGGACTGTGCGTCGGCCCCGACCGTGTAATGCCTCAGGCCCCAGTTTTACCCTTCAGATAACTTGACATCATTCGAACGACAGCTTTGGCGTTTCGCAGCAATCGATCCGGATGTGCACCTGCATCATCTCCCAACCCCCGACGGATTTGTTTAACAGCTCCACAAAGCCGTGCCCCGTGCCTTCCATTATCAGGTCCGCCAATTCTCGCGAAATCGAGACATCAGCGTCGGAAGTGAAACCAAATTCTGTCTAGCTAATTGCCTCGCGTTCTTTCGTCTGCGTCGAGGATGGTGTGACTTTTCCAGATCGAGACTTTTCTTCAAGCGGCCAGAAAAAGCCATCTGCCATGCTTCAAGGGAGCTTCAAGTATCATTCAGGTGAGTTCCGTATCAACAAAGGCACCGGATAACTGCGGATACTTTATGCCAAGGCCATGTAACCGGTAGACTGCACTGAAGAACCGCCGACATCGTCCACTTACTCGACATTGTCTCACTGCGGCTTTTTCGGAAGATTTTCAGACTCCCCGCACGCTCTATTCTATTCCTGACTAAACGGCCAGCCCTCGGAGCTGGGAACGTATGAATGGTCGGAACAGAGCATGCACAATAATTTGGCGTTAGACTGATGGCCGCCTGACAGAACCAAAAGTTGGTCGATATCTACAAAGAGTGCAGTGGACCGGACCAGCACATGCAAATCTTCGGCCAAAACTCATCTAGTATACTATGACTAGTTCAAGGCAAATTAGTCACCACCGCTACAGTTATTTATTTAGAGGCAGGGTATTCGCACTTTTCAGCTGTTTGTAAATTTCCTTAAATTTTTAGCAGCAACCACTGTGTCAATTTTGCCATCCTTTTGCTTCTTTTCACTCTCCCGCATTAACACCAAATACAGACCCAAACCTGGCATATTGATACTCCGCGTTGTATTCCATGGCCTCCCACTGATGACAAAAAAAAAGAAATCGGACAGTGATATGATACCTTTCCGAATTATGACCTGGAGCTTCCTCTTCCATATATCTGGGATGTAAACCTTCACGGCGAAGACCAGAACAAAGTCAATGATCGCTGTAATAGCGCAACTATGCGGTCGATACGGACACTAGGAAAAAAACGTAGTTCATAGAAGTGGTCGCGACAATGGTTGATTGGCGAGAGTTTGCGTGGTCTTGTGCGCTAGCCATGCCATCAAGCTTGACAGAACCCCCTCGTTCAAGCTAGCTGGGCACTTCCCAAACTCGGCATGCTGGAATAGACCGCTCAGGGTAGTGAAAACTCCATGGCACGAGACGGCCGGGCACATGAACGGAGCGAGGTTTCCTGCGGGGTATTCCTGGGTGAACTCGGCGGGGTGCATCAGCTCATGACGGTGGGCTGGATCTACGAACTTCCACGATAGAATGAAGGAAGCCGCGTGCTGGTTCAGAGTGTGACGGTTAATGCCGGACGGGCAACCTGCCTCCAAATGGAGCAACATTGCTGAGCGACTTGTGAAGGCCCTGTCGCAACCCCAGCAATCCACGTTAGGCTCGCGATGAGTGATCATGTGCTGTTCTCGGTGAGTGAAACTTCGGTAGAAATTCACACGGCACGATGCCTACCTGCTCGACGCTATTCTCTGTGTCGTGGTGTTTTTGGCATTCCGGACAAGCGAATTCCCGATCGAGGTGGTCCATGTATACGTTGAAATCGACGAAAACCTGCACGCATCCTCGGCATGATTGGAGATTGTGAACGATGAGGTAGTGCTGAAGCAGCCCCTCAAGCGTAATGCCGTCGAAGGTGCATCGGTTGCCATGATTATCCAGGGCGAGGCAGATGAAGTGTTGGCCCGACGCCTCCCAGTGCTGTTCTCTGGCTGACCGGCTGCCAAAAACTCTGTCGCAGCGCCTGCATTCGAAATTTCCAGAGACATTAGCAGCGGTTGCCCTCTCGATTAAGTCGAGCAGCTGGGTGTTGTCATGGTAGACAGCATACTCTCCCAGGTGGGAAGGCATGTAAGGCGTTTCCAAGCCTGGCATTTCTCTACCGGTATACGTGTGCGTCGGGAATGTTACTTCAGTTAAAGCTGTTGCAACACTTTGTTGGTTTAATCGAGACGGCGAACGAATGCAGGGTCTAGGACTAGGGCATGCCAGTGATAGATCGTCGGCGCTGCAGGCTCACCAAGAGCCAATGAGGAGTGATGGCGAAGCCAACGTCAGCTGGGAGAATGGATCCGTCACTGGGTGCACTCAGCAAGTCAGAACGGAGCGACGACAGATGATTCTGTTGAAGGGGATGAGCTAATTGAAATAGTGTGTGCCGAGGCCCATTTCGTGAGTGCAGTAGCGCGTACCGCGCATGTCGATCTGCAACCAGGTTTGCTGCAGGAACGGGCTTTCCTGGAGCACTTTGCGTTTTTTGGGAGTACCAGTGAGGCATGCAGATACTGGCTAAGCACTACCTGTTTTCAACCAAAAGAAAAAAACGAAACAAAAGAAGAGCCGGTTTTATCGATAGCTGAAGCAGATGTCCGGACAAAGGTGCGAACTCAAATAGCATAACGATGATATGCGACTACTTATGCGAATGGAGAACAATATCTCGTGGAACATGCCTCCATCCCTACAAAGGTCGTGTAATTTATGATGGCACTCTACACTACGTCGTCACACGAGAGGCAAATTTTTCACAGGGAAATCAGCACAGCGCAGACCAGTCCAAAGCCGAACCTTTCTGGGTCGTAACAGTGAGAACGGGTAGTTGAAGTATAAACGCATGATAGATTCGGGAACACAGAAGCCCCGATAAGAAGTTCAACTGCCGTCACAACCTAGGCGAGCCGACAACCCGAGGCCTAGCCGGTAGTAGCATAGAATTTAAACCTTCGAGATTGCATCCTACTTACGTGTATAATTTACGTCCAGATGCTTCTACTGATGGTAAAGCTACATCTGCCTCCGGATATTCGCTCCGGTAGCCGAGGATCAAAAAAAAGTTGATCTCGCCGAAACTTTCACCAGAATCTTAGCAAGAAATCAGTGTGACATCGTTTTTGTGGCACAGAGGGCTCGAATTTCCTGCTACCTGCCGTGAGCTGGCGTAAACGTCCATGGAGTAGGGGTGGATGGCAGAGCGGGTGTTTTCCGTGGAGAAAGCCTTCGCCGACGGGCTAACGCGATCCGCTGGGTCGTGCACTCGTACCGTTTCCGCGATAAGGCATTGTTATCGCGTCACCCGGCTGTTGCTTGCACCTTCATGTCCATTGACAATTGCCCACGGAGATTGTGTCATGCCACCGAATGCGACCGTTGTCCTCCAATCAGAACTCCATGCTACCATATCATCGGCCGCTGCAAGCTCCAGCCCCAGGTCTTGGTATCTCCTCGCCCGGCGCGATCCACCGGCACGTCCACCAGCAAGTTTACCTATTCCCTTTTCAAGTTTAGCGTCATCTCAATCCAGGGATGAATAATCTATATTTCTTACTCACACAAGTTTCTGCCAATCATAAAGTTACAATACAATACTAGTGGACGTGCCGGTGGACGTGCCGGTGGATCGCGCCGGGCGAGGAGATAGTGGTGTATTGCAGCCGAAAGCTAGCCCGAGGAACATTGGGGCCCTTAGAAGATGGGGTAACTATGCCCCATCGATTTTCTCTACGAAACAACATCTATGGATAGTTGAAGCGGTTGACCGGACGTCAATGTCGAACGGAAAATTGTGTATTCACGTCTGCATGAGAGCTTCAACTACCCATGACAGGAAACTTCGGCTGCGACACCCCATCTGTAGGTCTGGCGGAGTTAAATGCGCACTGCATGTGACGGTGGATCAACCTTTGAAGGGCGCTTAATCATCATTTCCGCCTGAACCCGATCTGCTATCGCGTCAGCGAATGGGAAATGATGCACAGTGCACTTGAGCAATGACTAGGCTAAAGTCCGTCCGATGGCGGCGGGCTTTGGATTTAACCCCGCCGTGGGGTCGACCGATGCCATCATACAAAAGAGTGGACGCTGCCCAGAACAAACGTCCACCACTCTTCCAATTCCACACCTCTGAACACAATGACACGCGTACTCCTTACTGGTGGCTCGGGCTTCATCGCAGGCCATGTGCTTGAGTATCTGCTGAAGCGCGGGTAAGTCAAGAGCCCCCTTGGCCCTCCACGATACAGTCTTCTCACTGCCGGCTTAGTCACTCCGTCGTCACGACCGTCCGTAGCCAGGAGAAGGCAGACAGGATCAAGGCAGCCCACCCCAGTTACGGCAAGGATAAGCTCGACTTCTCAATCGTCCCGGATATTGCGCAGGAGGCCGCCTTCGACGAGGCTGTCAAGTCGGACCCACCGTTTGAGGCCGTCATCCACACCGCGAGCCCCTTCCATTTCAATGTTACCGACGTCCAGAAGCAGCTGCTTGACCCCGCCGTCATTGGCACAACTGGCATTCTGAAGTCTATCAAGAAGAGTGCGCCGACGGTCAAGAAGGTCGTTATTACTTCTTCTTTCGCTGCAATCGTGAACCCCTTCAAGGGCAATTGGCCAGAGCACACGTATTCTGAAAGTGATTGGAACCCCTTGACGCACGAGGAGGCGCTGGAGAATCCCGCCAACGGCTACAGAGGTAAGCTTGCATTTAGCAGCAAAGATTATGGGAGATGCAGACTGACTCTGGATTGTAGCGAGTAAGACATTCGCTGAGCGTGCCGCATGGGACTTCCTTGAGAAAGAGAAGCCCAACTTCACCATTGCCACCATCAACCCGCCATTCGTCTTCGGTCCCATCGTCCACTATCTGAACTCGCTCGACGCCCTAAACACCTCTAATCAGCGCATCGGCAACTTCATCCTGGGCAAGTTCAAGGACGAGATCCCACCGACCGGCACCTATATCTGGATTGATGTGCGCGACGTAGCCCTGGGTCATGTCAAGGCCATGGAGCTTTCTGAGGCGGACAACAAGAGGTTCTTCTTCACGGCCGGCTACTTCAGCAACAAGGAGCTGCTAGAGCTCATCAGGAAGAACTTCCCCGAATACAAGGACAAGCTGCCTGCCCCAGACGTCACCGGCGCTGGCGTTGACTACCCCGCCGAGGGCGTTTACAAGATTGACAACTCAAGGACGAAGGACGTCCTGGGCATTGAGTTCACACCATTCGAGAAAACCGTCGTAGACACCATCAACTCACTCAAGGCTGTGGGCGCATAAATGATGGGGTAAATAAAGACGCGGACAAAATCAGGTAGACATAGAAGAAATACAAGCTGGTAGTCCAATCGCGAGTATATTCGTCACTGAGATGCTCATTGTTTCTCTGTCAATTTTCCGGTAATTCCCCATCTCTTAAACTCAGCGCTAGCCGAGTTCCTTACCTATCCTCCTTGGTCTCATATCAAAGTATCGACTGTTCAAAAGGCCGCGTTGTCACGAATTGAGATATGTAAGAGGACCTATTAATTGCCTTTTTCCAGTGTCAGCCAACAGGCTCCGGCAAGCAGAACACTTTAGCAAAAAATAGGTGTGTAGCTTAGTCAGACTGTTGAGCTTGAATATTTTGAAATATCATGGATGACTCATAAATGTAGTTTGAAGAAGAAGACATCATTTAAAGCGGTAGAGTTAGGCTTGAGAGAGCTTGCTTACCTGATAAGATTGGTGGCGCCTCCATGTGAGAAGCAGCCAATAGCCCCGACTGTAACGATGTACTCCAAGTTGGCTGGTAGGTAGCCTGCCCAGTCACTATGGTCACTATGGTCCCCCGGTTAGTCGCTCGCTTGCGCCGGGCTGAAGACGCCTTGGCCATAGAGGCGTGTTCTGGGACATGCGCGTGGCTTTTCGGTCTAGTGGTTGTAGAGTGTGCGTCACAGCTCCAAACGCGCAGAATTTCAAGCGGCTCTCGGTGGCCGAATTTACCCGCCCGGCAGCGCATGGGCCCGCAGAAGCGCAAGAGAGAAGCAGCCCCACCAAGCAGGTCCCCCCACGACAACGAGCAGTTTCGGGCTTCAACTACCGCCTGACACAACCAACTCCCTCTAACCCACTCCTCACCACATCTTCACCTAAAGAGCCAAAACACTCTCCCTCCATCAAAATGGCCGGTGAGTATCCTACATTGCGCGCCGAGTTTGCCGGCGATGCGGCGCTAACATGACTGGATTACAGACTTCCAGAACATCGCGAGTACGTACCCGGGGATCCTACCATAAGGGCGCTTATTGTTGCGCTCGATGCGATACTGGCTTTGATCGGCGCAGTGGAACTAATGGCCGCACAGCTCAGTTCGTCCAGTTCTACTACAAGACCTTCGATGAGAACAGGGCACAGCTTGCGTCGCTTTACGTACGTGGACACACAGGGCTATCTACACGTGCGGTTGCTGATGAGATTTACAGCGCGACCAGTCCATGTTCACCTTCGAGTCGAACTCGATCCAGGGCACCGGCGGCATTATGGAGAAGCTGACGGTAAGCATCGGTCGCAGCATCTGTTGTGTAGCCCCGCACTAACAGCGTCTGCCGCAGAACCTTCCCTTCCAGAAGGTCGTTCACCAGGTTGCCACCCTGGACGCCCAGCCCTCCACCGAGGATGGCGGTATTCTCGTCCTTGTCACCGGCGCTCTGCTCGTAAGTTCAGCCAGCCTTCCGGCCGTGGACCCACCTGCTCTGACACATTGTGAAGGTCGACGAGGAGCAGCGCCCCATGAGCTACACCCAGGCTTTCCAGCTTCGCCCCGACGGCGCTGGCAGCTACTTCGTCTTCAACGACGTTTTCCGTCTCGTCTACGCCGCATAGAGGGCGCAAAGAGCCCTGGACTTGGAGCATGGTAGCTAGGTTGGGTTACGAAGCAATGCGTTACATGCGGACGTGTGCATTTAGGAGGCTAGTCGATGACAGCAATCAGAGGAGGGACTCTTGGACATACCCACATACCAATATGGACGGCGCCACAGCTATCTCGTGAACATAGTGTAAATTGTCGTGTGCAAGGCTCCATACGCGCTGCAGCCTGGAGCAGCGTGTGGCCGTGTCGCAGGCTGTGGAGCGTGCGGAGAGGCAGGATCAAAGACCCCTGGACCCCTGCAATTGTGACGAGTGTATTTTTGATGGAAGCACTGGCCGCGGCGCTGAAACGCATGGTGATTGCTGCGTCGCTTGGTCGTGGTCGCGTTCTGCCTGCGATCCTTGTCAGGTGGCACTGCTCGGGACGCGACTGCCGTGGCTGAGTCTGAGCTGCTGCGGCAGGGACTCACGCTCCCGAAACAATCCATCGATTCGTATACAGCCAGCCCACAACAACACCTTCGACATCCACGCTCCCCTTGCCTGTACGCAGTCCGCTCCCCACCAGTGTGCCGGCCGGTCTTCAACAATCCCAAGTCCGCGACAAGCTGGCCATTCACAGCCGCATTCCCACCCCTGCAGCAAGCGATCAACATCTCGCACGGAGCCTCAGAGATCGACAGCCAACGGCCGTTCGCAACCCAGGCATCACTCCACAGTCGTCGCGCCGCCGTCGCAGTCGCAACATCGTTAGCCAGACATCATGACTTTCAGCGAGGAGCTCAAGTCTAGGAACTTCAGTGAGTCTTTCCGCAGGACCGCCGCGGCTGAAGCGAGTGCTTTCTGACACGTTGGTCATAGGTATATACGGACAATGGTGCGTGCAATCCGACTTTTCCGCGACCATCGCCCCTCCCTTCGCCCTTCCTGCCCAGACCCGAGCTTCTCTTGCGATGTCGTCCTAGAGGCGGCAGAACAGATACATGGGCAGCAAAAGCTCCTTGGCGGTGTGCGGGGAGCGGAGGAGCTCAACAAAGCGCATGCATAGGAGATGGCGGAGGCTGACCACAAGACAGGACCGGCATACTGTGTGTGATCCTGTGCTTTGCCATGGGTATCGCCAACATCTTCAGCCGCTTCCCCATCATCATCTTCTCCATCATTTGCCTGTAAGTAACACAGCGCTGCCAAGCCCCAGTGCGCCTAGCTAATACCAAAGCAGGGCATATGCACCGATCATCTTCTTCGTAGAAGTAGCATTCTTGCTCAAGCTCCCCATCTGGTCTGAGGGCTTCCGCAGCTTCTTCCGCCGTCTCCAGGAGAACTGGCCGCGCATCATCATGTACCTGGTCATGAGCATTGTGCAGTGGATCAGCCTGGTCGGTGGGGCCAGCAGCCTCATTGTGCCGGCCATTTTCCTCCTGTTCGCCGGCCTCTTCTACCTGCTTGCGGCGCTCAAGCACCAGGAGTTCCAGAGCAGCAAGATCCTGGGTGGACAGGGTGTTGCTCAGATGATCATCTAAGCGCGGAACCACGGGGCTGTCGCGGAGGATTGCATGGTGACTGCTGGGCCACGCGCGGGGCGTGCAGCCAATGTAATTTTGGGTTTGGATGCTCGACGGCGCGTGTCACAGTGTTGACACGGTCGACAAGTTGCATTGCTTTGGCGGACCCCTCCGCAGCAGGACACAGGCGTTACTGGGATAATATCCGGCAAAAGCCACAGCTGATAGGGAGGAGCCATGATACCTGCGGGAATTGTTGTCATACTTTTTTTTTGTTCTTTATCGGTAAAGGCGGAATGCAGTTCGATGGCGTTGAGTTCGAATCACATAGTGGTGCGTGTCACGACGGGTGGCGCAAAAATGTAGGGCGCGAATGTTCGACACGCCGCACGGCGTGGGTGGAGGCGGTGACCCGGCAAGCGTCGTGGCTAGCTTGGACATGCTCTGCTGTGGTCACGAAGCTTGCTTGGCGGGTGACGACGCGAGCATTCAGGAACGGGTACTGGCCATCACGTGGCGGGCCGGATCGCGGGGGTGGCGCTCGCGATGGTGGCATCACGATGCAGTGCAGAGCCTTCAGGGCGCAGCAAACTTGGCAGTGGGCCCAGCGAGCGTTCGCAGCGTTCTGGAAGCGTTGAATGCGGGCGTCGCGATACGCGCCTGCGAATCAGAGGCGCGCCAAATGCTGCTGCGAATTGGCAGACGCTCACCGGCGGCGCTGAGGGCGGGCGTGTTCCATGCAAAATGCCGCAGCCCGGGACCAATGACGCTGCTGGCGCATGCCGGGCCTCGATCTGACGAGCACCCCCAGCAGCCAGCGTCACAGCAGAGTCGGGTCACTTAAAGACACGCCCGCCAACCCTGCAGCTGACTTCACTGCCTCGAATTTCCTCTGTTATCTGCTCCTGTCCTCCTATCTGCACCCTTCCCGTCTTCGGTAAGTGCCCTTGCGCTTTGTCCGCTCCCTTTGGTGCCGCTAGCTCCATGCAAGCACCTTGGGCCTCACTACAGCCATTCTGCTGCCCCGGGCCAGCGGCCCATGGCCTACTTATTCTCGGTTGCAAGCCACTTGCTGATCTCACTCTCTACTTCAGTATCCCTCTGCACACGTCACTCCTCCCTCCCAGCCGCGCTGCACACCCAACATGGCTGCCCCTACGATACCGCAGCGCCCCTCTCGCTCCCAACAGAGCCAGAACGTGCCTACAATTACCGGCGACGTCCCCAGGGTCCCCCCGCGTCCGAAGCGCAACATCGAGCGCTCTGTCTCGCCCAATAGAGACTCCTTCGCCCGCTCCCCGCTGAACGACCCCTCCTTTGTCAATGGCTCCAGCAAGGCCACCAAGAGGCTCTCCGCTTCCGACCTCCCTCCCCGCCCCCCGAGCGTCACCCTCCCCTCGATTGGCCAAGAGGGCAGCGAATACGCAAGTCTCGAGACCCCCCCGGTGGACGAGAGTGTGCCGAGGGAGACTCGTGACGCCGAGGGCCTGAAGCTGTACGCCCCCACCGCAGAAATGCCCCAGTCGACAGCTCGCTCGAGGATTGCCGCCGTCACTCGCACCGACTCCCAGCAGGCCGCTGCCGCCGGTTTCGGGAGAGCTTCTTCACAAGACACCGAGCGCCACACGCGGAACAGCTCGTCCACCGGCCGCCGCTCCCGCCCCCAGTCTATCTACAACAACGGCGACGAGGAACATGGAATTCCCGAGATCGGTCTCCAGGTCCCCATGTACCCCAATGCTGGCGATGTCCAGGCTCCCACGCCGTCCAACAACTCGAGTATGCCTGCCACCGGCGTTGGCTTCTTCAACAGTGGAGGCCAGAAGCACCACACCCGCACCAAGAGCGGCCGCGAAATCTTCCACGGCCCTCCCGGCAGCTACGGCATGCACGGCCACGGCGTCAAGCCGCAGGATGATTTCGAGAAACAGTGGTATGCCAAGCATCCCGATGATGCCGCCCGTGAAGCCAGGGGCGAGTACGGCCCGGCTATTCAGCAGAACAGGAAAGAGTGGGCTCTGAGCAGTGAGGAGCTGAACAAGATTGTTCAGGATAGCGCTACGAGGGGTGTCGGAATGGGTAAGCTATTGCTAGCATGTTAGGTCGACCGCGACCTTCGACAAACTAATCGTCCACTCAGGTGCGTCCCCCGGCGCAATTGGTACTCCTGCCGAAGAGATTGGCTACATGGCATCGGAAGAGTATGCTTCCCGCATGGCCTCGCCCCAACCGTCGTCCAAGGTTCCCAAGGAGCGCAAGGCTAGCTCGCAGACGAACATCGAATCTCCTCTCCGCCAGAGCAGCTTCCCTGAGAACGTCATGGATAAGGACTCATCTGCCATTGAGGCTGATGACGACGATGTCATCCATATTGACCCTCCCACCAAAGAGCGGAGCCATATCCATGGCGGCGGCCCCGAAGCCGAGAACTTCGCTCCTGGTGGCGGAAGCACTGATGCCGACAACGGCTTCATTACCGAGGAAGGCCGACGCACGCCAATTTTGGCCTCAGATGAGTTGAAAAGGCACAAAACTCCTGGCGCTGAGTTTATGCAGCCAGCCGTGCCACCTGAACTTGAGCGTGAGCGCAGGTTGAGTCAAGAAGCTGACAACCACCGCCGTTCCAGCAGTCGTTCGACCAGCAGACCCACTAGTGGTATCGGTCTTTCTCGCTGGAAGAGCGAGGAAGATCGCACAAACACGCCTCTTGACAATGTGAAGGAGTACGAGCCCCTCTTCCCTGATGAAGACGAGAAGAAGCCTGCAGACAAGCCGGCCACGGCTGCCGACAAGCTCAGACGCCCTGATCTTGCTCGCCATCATTTCCCCAGCCAAGATGTCTGGGAGGATACTCCGAGTAGTTTGCAACTCCAGACCGAGGTCGAGACTCCTGAGAATCCTGATGAGCCGCAATCTGCTACAACCTCTCTGCAGTCTTCTCAGGTCCTTGAGAAGCCCGAAGCAGACAAGGAACGTAAGGCAGAGCCTGCGCCCAAGCAGGAAGAAGAGAAGAGCTTCCTTGCAGATCATCAGAAGCGCCCAAGCAAGTCTCACTTCAACAAGGATGTGCTCAACGATATGCCATCTCGCCCTGGCATGCAACACAGGTTCCCCAGTCAAGATATCTGGGAGGATACTCCGAGCGAGCTCCAACTCGTGACGGAAGTCCACACTCCTCAGACTGATGAGACAGAGAGCCCGGTGGAACCCAAGTCTGCAACCGAGCAGCGCCCCCAGGTTCCTGCTCGACCCCATGTTCCTGCTCGACCAGCTGGCCGTTCAAAGCCTGGTGACAGCCAAGAGAGCTCGCCGGTCGAGAAGAAGGTTCCCGTGATTCCTGATCGTCCTAAGCCGCAGGTGCCAAGTCGTCCAGCCAAACCCAGTCAGAAGCCTTCTGATGAGCACGTGCCCCTTGCGAAGGTTGGGTCACAGGGCAGCACTGGTAGCGAGGGTGCACCGGCCGCCGCAACAAAGCCCAAGCCTCCGGTGCCCTCTCGTCCTGGTGGTAGCAAGATTGCAGCGTTGAAAGCTGGCTTTTTGAGTGACTTGAACAGCCGTCTCCAACTTGGTCCCCAAGCCCCGAAGCCCAAGGAAGAAAAGAAGGAGGAAGAAGAAGAGCCGAAGGAGAAGGCGCCTCTTGCAGATGCTCGCAAAGGCCGCGCCAGGGGACCGGCGCGCAGGAAGCCTGCCGCATCGGCGGCAGCTGCAGCTGCAGCGGCTCCTGTTGAGGCCAAGAAGGAACAAGCGCTTTCCATCGGCACTATCCAAACCGTCTTCTCCATCTCTGATGATGGCGATCTCGATGTTCCGTCGTCGACTTCTGCTAGGACGGAGGCCGGGGCGACTGAGGAAAAGCTTCCAGCAGCCGCAGAGGCGTCTGTTGCTACCCAGGTCCCTGCTGATCCTAAGCCCGCTCCCAGCGACGATCCAGCTGAACCAGAGCTCGAACCACATATTGCCAAGGCAAGCGAGACAGAGGCCACACAGGCTGAATCTACGCCCGCTGCAACGGAGGAGAAAGAAATCGAGTTGGAAGCCACCGAAACGAAGACCTCTGACTCGGCCGTGCAGACTGGCCAACAAGACATTGAGATCCCAAAGGAGGAAGGCGGTGTGGAGAAGATTACTGCTTATCTAGGCGCCAATGCTCCTGAGGAGGGAGATGTTGTGGTGAACGATGGTGCTGAGGCTGTTGAGAAGGTAGATGAGAAACATGAGACTGAGAAGACTAGCACTAGCACTTGAGGGTGTTAAGAGGAAACGGGCTGCATAATGATAGCGAGTGTGATGAGTCGGTCAACGGAGGGCTATAGTATTCGGTAAAATTAGATCTTAACCAGTGGTTGTCTGAGAAGCTAATATGTTCCGATGGTCAGCAAGACGTGAGAGAAGCGCTGTACATCTCTAAACAGGGCCTTTGTTGCACTGGAAATCTTTGTTACAAGGCAGATACTCGTCAAAAGCGTTTGTTTCAAGTTATCCAACTTACTAGATAAAAGGTCCATGGACTTCGTGAGTCTACTTTACATTGCACGAAGCTAGGCATCTGAGGCATTCATTGGATATGATTCCATGTCATGTTTAGAAACAAAAGTGTCCAAACGATAGCCCCGCCTTGTTTCGACGTTAAGCCAACTGACCTTGTAACGCCTTCCTCCTGTTGATGTTTCTTCCCGTATCGTGGCTGCCGGTTATGGAAGCCGACCGCCGCCTGCATCTTCTTTCCTCACTACTGCTAACACCAAGCCTCTTCTTCTCACGCGTTCACATAACCTCCGCTAACATCGAGCATCGATAACGCAGCAGCTTCTATCATTTCAGTTAAGGATATCCCCGCACGCTCGCAGTTCCGCCCACGAGGTGACTCTTCTACACGCTGAGCAGCAACAAAAGCATCACTTTTCATCCTGGGATTGATTCACTCCTTTGAACAGTCAGACTCACCCTCGTACTAATATATCTCTCTCTCTCTCTCTCAAAATGCCGCCGCGGAGACCACCGCCCGATGAACTTCCTGATCTGCCTCCTCATTTGGCGGATCGCTTCAAACCAAACCGTCCATCCCCACTTCGAGAAGCCTATCCAGCACCAACGCCTTCTTCTCCGTTGCAGTCCTCAGAAGATGTATCGTCAGCTATCTCTAGATCCTCGGAAAGGGGAAATGACCCAGAAGATGGAGACGGCTACGATGAGGACAAGGATGAAGAGGAAAGAGCGTCGGGGAAAGCGAGGGCGACGAAACAAAGGCAAGATAAAAATGCAGTCGCATGGTCTGGCCCAACGACACGAGCCGCTTGGCGCAAGTCTATTTCGGAAGCAGCATCAGATGCTACAACGCAGCGTAGTAAGCGCCCGAAGGCGGTCTCAGGATCTAGCATACTCGCAAGAAACCTTCAGATGCTCGGAGTAAATGCCGGACAGGGAGAGATGAGGAAAGCTTGCGAAGCGTCAGTACAGCCCTGTCTCGCATTGTCAATTCTATAAAGGACATCGCATGTTGCAAATTGAAGAGCTAACAGTGTCCAAAGTGCTTTTGAGCAAGGCCGTGACCTCATCATCGACCATCCGCTTAGCTACAACCAGACTGTCACCGTATATTTTATGCTCTGTCTCAACGTGCTGAAGAAATTGAAGCAACAAGGATATATACCAGAGAATGTTGATGAGCAAGTAGAGGATCCACGGACAAAAGACATCGACTACTCCAAAGCTACCGAAGATTCTCCCGTAGATAGACCGGAGCATTCGTCGACCCAGGGGCCTGTTGATATGCAGTCTCACAGTACCGTGGCGTTCTCTCCTATCGGAACAACCTCTAGTCTGCCGGAACAGCTAGTCGAAAATCGTGGTGGAGATGGATCTTTGCTGGAAGAAGAGGATACTATACGACTGACAATCGAAGAAGATGAGGGCAGAGGTATTCCAGGAGAGCAGAACAACCCAATTGTCATCTCCGACGATTCGATCAGCGAGAGATATACGAGCAGCGAGAAAGATAGGCCTCTCACCTTACCCCACGGGCAGGCCAACCCCACTGGTTCCGATAATCCAACAGTTGTTCCCGACGATTCAAACCGTCTTGATACGAGCAGTAGAAATGATACGCCTCTCAGTATAAAGCCAAGTCGATCTCAACATACTACTGACAATGAGACGTCCAGAACGACAGATCGCTCCAGCTTAGCCCAGTCTAACGCGCAGCCAGACCATCCTCTCTTTATTCAACCAACGGGAATTCAGCCTACGATTGAACGCGACTTTATCACATTTGATGCTGTCATTCTCTGTTCCGGTCCCGACCTTGCTATCTGCTACTACGACATAGTCCGCACATTGATGCGCGGTATTGGTCTGGCTGTTTCACTTGCGATTGAGACGGACAAACACGAAGCCCAGGAGCGAGAAATCTCGAGAGGATGCAACATTTTGATTACTGACCTTCAAAGGCTCGTTAGGCTAACCCAAGTCTTTGAGACGAAGATTTCGGTCTTGGTGGTTGAAGACGCGATCGGTGTTTTCCAGAACAGCCACAAGAACGAACTAGAAAAACTTAACAGTGAGCGGAATAGCCCCGTCTGCGCTTGCCCATGCGTGGATTCTTGCTTGACACACAGCATTTCTTATTCCGCAGCTGGCGATGTTCTCTTTCTACGCTAACTTGACCACAGATGCCTGTACTCGAGAAACTCGGTTCATATTCATCAGCCCCTGGTGGAACTCTGAAGCGCAATCTTTCATTCCGGACTTGTTTATGGCTTCAGAGCAAAGGTTCGACAATTTAATTTGCAATTTGGGCGAGGAGTTTGTTCCGACGGGTCAGGCTGCTGAAACCCAATTGTACGCCCAACATGAAATCAATGTCCGCACGACTGAGACCATGGAGGCTTTCTATCAAAGACTGGCTCCGCTCAAAGAGAGTGGGGATGCAAAGGTTCTGATCCTGTGCCGTGAGGCGCAAGCGGCGGATATTCTATGGTATTGGGTCGAGAAGTGGGGCTTCGTCACGAGGACGCATTTGACTGATCGGGTGGAGAGGGACAGGATTCTGGACGGATGGAACTCGGGCAAGATCAGGGCGGTGATTACGACGGAGGGCCTCGCGGATGGCATGGCGATGGAGGGAATCACGGATTTGGTGACGTGGCAATTGCCGATGAACAAGGATATCAGAGTCAGCGAGTGGAAGTATTGGAGGCGCTTGGAGCGTGATCACATGGAGGCGCCGCGGACGCTCGTTTTCATCGGGTCGCACGACCACGACTTGTTTCCGTTTGTGGCGAGAATGGCGGCGTTGGGGGAGCCCTCGGTTTCTGGGAACTTGGAAAGGCTACAGAAGAAGAAGGACTTTCTGGCGGCTATGTGGAAGCTATGCCTCCCTAACCAAAGATCACCCGACGAGGAGGAAAAATAGTTGTCTGAAGGCTCTCTTTTTAAAGGAAACAAGTGTGGTTTAGAAGGTCCTGAGCGGGCTTCTCTGTCACAGCTCTTGGGTATGTCATTCTAGTATGATTCAGGAGAGAACAGGGAGAAACCATTGTTACATATTGGCTACGGCGTGCACAGCAGACCACAAAAACTTTGGCCTTTCACTAGCAACATGTCATATTGCTTGTGTAAGCATCCAAATGCATCATCTCGACGTGTTTTTATGTGCCATTGTTGAAGTGACTTCCGCATCCTGATGTTTGCGTCGACTGCTCATAAAGGACAGGCACTGGGAGCAAGATCAGACATGTCTTTCACTGAGCAAAACACTCGATTAACAAGACTTGAATATCATTGAAGAGGATACGAGAAAGTGGTAGTGACTGAGTGAAGATCATAAATAAAGCAGTGACCAGCCGCATGATGCCTTTCATCGCATCACTGGACAGTGACTTGCGGCAGCGCCGGGAAATTGGGCGTATGCTGCGGCACTCCGCCGGCGGCGCGCGACACGGGCAGCCAGTTCTGGATGAAAGGGCTGGTCCGGTCGAAGGCGCTCTCACACTTGACCGGAAGCAGCGGCAGCAGCAGCTCGGCGCCAATCGATGGCATCGCCTCCAGCCGCGCCACGGCCGCGTCGACGTCTTCTTCTCCGTCTTCCAGCCGCTCGGAAACCATGTGCGTCGCAATCAGCCGCTCGTCCGGGGAGTGCAGCAGCCAGAAGGCGGCGGCGCCGCGCTGCTGGCGGGCCGCGTTGAGGAGGGCCGGGAAGGCGGCGTCGAGCGCGTCGCGGACGGCCGTGGGGCCGTCGATGAGGCTGCTGTCGTCGCCGTCGTAGGAGAAATGCTGCACCCGGCTCAGAGCGTGGCGGGCGGGCAGCGTCAGGTTGTGGGCGCCCACGACGTCCCAGGACCAGCGGCGCACGTGGTGGAAGATGGGGCGGTCCCAGAACTTGACGCCGGTCGAGGGGTCGCGGAAGGTGTGGGTGGTCCAGGAGGCGAAGGAGGCGCAGGCGGCCGGCGTGGTGAAGAGGTAGGCGCCGCCGGTGAGGAGGTGCGTGTCGATGCTGGACGGCGAGGAGGAAATGCGCGCGGGCACGTATTTGATGTACATGTTGGCCGGGTCATGGTCCATCATGACGCGCCGGTCCAGCTCGAGCCCGTCGAGCATGGACTGGAGCGTACCGCCGTACTCGGAGGCGTGCATGACGAAGGCGGAGGTAAAGGCCGCGGTGGCCGGAATGGGCCCTGTGGTGTAGCCGAGGATTTGGTCGGACGACATGTTGATGAAATGTTAGGAGATGTGGAATTTGGTCGTGAGTGTTTCGGTGTGGGCGCTGATATTTATTCTCTGCTCACAAATCTTTGTCAGACTGCATGTACGGGGTTCTTGGCCGACATGGTGTTGCGCGTCAACATAAGAGTGTATACAGGGGGTTAAAAAAAACACATATGACGTATGTGTGGTAGAAGCTGATGTCCGGACATGCATGTTTAATTATTAATTCCACATTTACGTCCGGACGATAGCTTCAACTACCCACACTTATTGGTTTTTTTTAAGAAAAAAAATTGCCGGGGCATAGTTACCCCATGCTCTACGGCTCGAATGTTCTTCGCACTAGCCTTGGGCGGTAATACCCCACTGTAAGCTCGATGCTGACAAGGATGACATCCGTCGGCATCCCGCCGGTTTCCGCCGGTATCCCGCGCACTCTTAAGGCTGCTTACGCTTCTCCTTCGCCTGGACTCTCGTTCGTCCTCTTTCGACTATTACCCTCTGTGATTTGAAGACCCCACATTCGACCACAAGACCATCGCCGTAAGCCATGTCTTCTTCGTTTAGCACGCCCGAAGTATCGGCATCCCGCCAGCAACCGATTCGGAATTTTCGCTGCACGGAACCCGGCTGCGGCGCTAGCTACGTACGGAAAGAGCACCTCAATCGCCACAGCAGGCAGCACCAAAAGCAATCCCAAGTTTTTTGCGAGCATTGTGGCCATTCTTTCTCCAGGAGGTGAGTTGCCCATCAGACTTTGTCACTGTCATTCTGACAAGGAGACGCAGTGATATTCTTCGTCGGCATCAAAAGCTGTACCATGATGATGTCACCGTTGGCCGTTCCAGAGCTGTCCAGGCCTGCGACTACTGTCACTCCCGAAGGACTCGGTGTAAAGGAACGTCGCCCTGCGATACATGCTTGGACCGCGGGATCCAGTGCACATTCAACCGAAAGGATGGAGCGAGATACCAAGCCGATGTGGAAACGGACAGCAGTGACACCGTCCAAGTTCCGAATCAGCACACATCTGCAGCTTCGACCATCGATTCCCTGCATCCGCTACAAGTAGAGGTATCGCTTGAGGGAAATGTCCATCTGTGGAACATTTTGCAGCAGTATGAGCGGGATTATGGCCGTTTACAGACCACGCCGATCCAGGGGGAGGTGGAAATGACAGATGCATCGGAAAAGAGGACTGCACGTCGGCAGCCTCCGGGCTTTGACGGCCCAGTGAGTGAACTGGATGTCCAACGGCATGTCGACGTCTACTTTGCGAAGTTCCATGGCCAGTGGCCGCTGCTCCATCGACCGTCGTTTCGTCCCGAAACCGAGCCCCAGTTTCTCGTACTCTCAATGGTCATGATCAGCCTGTGGATGAGCGGTGATAGTACAGCTCAAAACGCTGCAGTGAGAATCCACGAGCGCTTTGTGGTGTTACTGCAAGAACAGAGGGTACGTACTTTGCAATCTGGCTCGCCCTTGCATCTCGTCTAAACCGCGATAGGACAAATGGGACACGACACAAGCCACATTAAAAAACGGAAATGCCACGTGGCCGATGGGCATCTATCAAAGCATCCTCTTGCATGTTATCTTCGCGACAATGCGCAGTAATGCCGAAGGAAAGTCGGGCAGCTCGAGCCTACGCCTTCCCCTGGCCATCCACGAGCTTTTGGAGTCCGTGCTGAGGAGCTGCCTGCGGCTGGGTGTCTTCCACTACCCCAAAATGCTTGAACAGTACAACCACATTGACTTTGCATTTCTGACTTGGGTCCGTGTCGAGGAAGTTAAGCGATTCGCTCTCCTCCTCTTTAGAGTTTGGAGGCTGTGCTATGGTATCCCTTTGAAGGGAGACCCAGGCGTAGATTACTGCCCTCATTTCACGCTATCAGATCTCCGCTTCCCTCTGCCGGAAAGCAAATACCTCTGGGAAGCCGAGGCCATAAGAGAGCTAGTCTCTCGGCGGGACAAGGAGCTAAGGGAAAGGAGTGACGTGAGGGAAGAAGAGCAGTTCTGGATCTCCAACTTAGGGATTGATGACCTTCAGTCATCCAAGAACTGGCAGGATCTGCTCATGGAGTAGATGTCGGGGTGGGGAGGCCGCTGACGTGAGCAGGACCGTGGACGTAGCACGAGAGCAGTAGAGTCCAACATCGAACGCCTACGCGTGAATGATTCCCTTTTGGTCGGCAGCCAGGCTGCGTGCATAGCCAGCTGAAGCAGCTTGGCGTGGCGATGAAGCGTTGGGAATGGTCCACCCAGCGGCGCTCGATGTTAACCCTTTCTGGCAATGTTCGCGCCTAGCGCACACACACAGCAGGGATATCCTCCCCACAGCTGTTGCGCATATAAAAGCATCAAGTCCATCGGCATTTCATCATCTCGACTCTTCTGGACTTTTGGCTTTTGCCTTCCAGAAGGTTTCTTTGCTTTTCCACACTGACTGCCTCTCATGCCAACCCTTCATTTGCTCGCCTCCTGGACGCCTAGACCGTGCAACACAACGCGGATATCCGAGAGCCACGTCTTGGCCCAAGAGTCCCGTCTTGTCACTACGCGTCGTCCTACACGCCTCTCCGCGGATGTATCTCAACTGTAACAGCGCCGATGCCTTTTACTTCGTCGAACGGCCCGAATCATGCCACCGATAACTTTGGGGGCGGGAGGATACGTCGGTGATGGGCATCATAATCGAACGGTCCCCGGGCTTTGCGCAGGCCTTCATGTGAAGAACGAGGCGTGTTCTTTCATGAACAAAGGGGACCGACAATACTGGTCGTAGAAAAGGGGTTTGATGATATTCATTATCACAACGAACCAGAGCTGCCGACAAGGCTCAACTGCGATTGGGCCAAGGAAATGCTCTGCAGATAAGTCAGGCCGTCCCTTAGAAACGTGCCTGCCGCGTACCCCTTGGCTATGATGGAGTTGTATAGGGCCACGATGCGCTCTCTCACGCCAAAGTCATTGACCTCAAGCGAAAGGCTCAGCAGAATCGGTAGCAGCGAGAAAACCTCGAAGTCGACGACAGCGATACGATTCTCGATGGCGTCCAGGCGCGTTGGCCAGGGCAAACCAGTATTCGCGGAATCGACCAGCGGTCGGACGGCGTCAGGGTCAAAGCTGCTCCATGCTTCATTGGCATACAGCGAGGCCATGCTGATGGCGCACGCGTGGTACCAGGCCGGTGCGATACTGCTCCAGTACTTCGGGTCCGTCGTTGCTTGGGCGTTTTCGCTCACGGCGATGGCGAGGCGCTGAAGCTCTTCGAGGGCAACATGTCCTTGTTGCACCAACTGCTCACCGCATGGGTGACAATGCAGCGTGCTACCTCCGGCCGGATCCTGCCCACAGTGTGGACAAGCCTCTGCGAAGTTGACGACTTGACTCAACCAACGCGGCACACTGGGAATGGTCAATAAGAAGGGCTGTGGGTCGGGCGACATGGAACATACCGTGAGTGCAATGAAGAGAAAAGGCAGAGGAATTTCACGATGTGGTAGAATACAAGCTGCTCGGCTGACGAGGTTTCTGGAGGGGGTGGAGTCATGGGGCATGGGGCAGGCTCTTCCCTGGTGTACAGGGCTCGGCCGGTATCCAACCAATTGTAGAGGACGAGCAGCCAGTTGTTCTCAGGACAACTGTTCGCAACACATTTGGCTATGATGCGTGTGGAGGCGGTGTTCATGACTGTGAAGAAGCCAAGACCACTGGACTCGTACAAGAACTAGCATTCTTATTATCGGCGTGAAAGGACAGGGGTTTGCTGTCTCTTACCTCGAAGATAGCCAGCAGTAGACTAAATAAAAGGTGGCTGAAGGGATCATCAGCATCGACATGCAGCACGCTGTGTAAACTGCGGCGGGTGTTTGCGAAGGTGTGGAGGTGGTTAGCGGCGGGATTCTGGCGCTTTGTTGAAACCAGAGCGCCGATTGCGGCAGCAACAGCCTTCACAGGACCAGGGCGGCATAGATACGGGCGGAGAGCAGTAGGAGTGAACTGCAGGCTGATGGGCGAGTGGGGCTCGGAGCCTACGAAGGCGAAGAAAGCTTCAAGGGAGGCCGTCTCGTCAAGCGAAGGGTGCGGCGTAGTGAGTTCGGGCAGGTAGTGGAGGAAGGTAGGCTGCTGGCGCTGCGACGGCACAACAGCCTCGGTGCACTGCACGCGGCGCACGCGGCAGGTGGAACATGGACGGGTGCCGTCGCACTGCAGGCAGAGTCATCAGCTAGAGGATAAGGAAAGGGGGCAAGGAAGCGGGACGGCCCGCGGTGGCTGACCTTTGTGCGAGCGCGGCGGCAGTTCTTACAGCGGTGGCTCTGTAGCCTCTTGTCGCGGGGGCCGAGTGCCCTGGGTGGTGGCATCGTAGGTGTGGTAATAGGCGGCGCGACTTTCCAATGCGAGGGGGGTTGAGGCAATTCTCGGTCGGCCAACGTGACCCGATTCTCTGAGCACGGGAAAGAAGAGGGAGCGGATTGATCCGGGCTCGCAACGGGTCAGTCCGGTAGCAACAAGTGGAACGACCCGACCTTGGAGGCTATTCCGGCCAGCTCGGTCACTTCGGGATATTCGGCTTTTTGGACGGCGTCGAATGCGCATGCATGTTGCAAATGTCGCTGTGGTCCCGGCTGAGGCTTTGAGAGCTCGAGAGAGACACCCAGACGGCAGGCGTGAGCCAGTGTTGGTGTGTGGTAGCCGAGTTGTGAACTAGTACGCACTAGTGTGCCTATTAGCAATATCCGGCCAATCAGAGCCGCCCTAATTCTCTGACCGATCAAGTACTTGGAGAAACGATTACTCAACGACCAATGACAGCTTGTCAATCCGACTATACAGTGTATAGAGGGCTAGCGCGAAGATCCGGGCGAGGGTGTACAATCGGTAATTTCACATTTACATCCGGAAGGTCGCTTCAGCCAATGAGCGAAAAATAACTGTTTACTGTGATACTCCTTTGTACTGCGTCCACCACCCTTGCCTGTTTGGTATCGACCTACCTACCTCATGGAGCGACCCATCTGTGAACCTGACGGGCTTTATCCTCGCACTTGCATTGGTCGTCGGAGGTGATCGAGCACCGAGATTAAACGACGTGGTGAATGAGCAGTCATGTGTTCCCTGCTTCGACGCGCCTTCCCCGCGCGAGCGAATGACGTAAGCGAGCGCCGAGGCCTTCTGTGCGACTGATTGACCAACTACACTCACCTCAGCTATTTCTGCCGACTTGACCTCAGCTAACAATGCCGACATAAAACCAAGCCGTCAGATCCGTTTTCCCAGATTGGCACCATGTTCCGGCTCGCGAGGTCGCTAAGGCGGCCTTTGAGGCAAAGCTTACCCTCATCAACTTCGAAGCCGCATACACGGATAAGGTCAATCCATGCCAAGCCAACTGTTCGACACGCCTGGACCGCTGGTGGCATTTTCTTGCTCATGTCAATCACGACCTTCCTTGGATATAAAGCAGGTCTCAAAGACGCTACCCCGCTTCCCCCCACTGTACAGCCAAAGTATGCATCCAAGAAAGAAATGGAAACGGCCATTGAAGAGCTGAGGGCCCTTCTCGGACGAGATGCCATTAGTATTGACCCGGACGATCTACATCGCCATGGATACTCCGATTGGTCCACCACAAACGTTGATACGCTTCCAACAGCTGTTGTCTATCCCACTTCGACCCTCGAGGTTTCTCAAATTGCAAAAGTCTGTGCTAAATACAAAATTCCCGTCATCCCCTACTCTGGCGGTACTTCTGTCGAGGGCCAGTTCACTGCCCCCGTCGGCGGCTTCAGCATCGACTTCGCAAATATGGACAAGATTCTCGCCATCAACGACGACGACCTCGATGTCGTAGTCCAGCCCTCGGTGCCATGGATCGAACTGAACGAGTACCTCAAACCCGCCGGCCTTTTCTTCCCTGTCGATCCAGGTCCGGGTGCCCGCATCGGCGGCATGGTCAGCACCAGCTGCTCTGGCACCAACGCTGTCCGCTATGGAACCATGAAGGACTGGGTCGTCAACCTTACCGTCGTTCTCGCCGACGGCCGTATTATCAAGACGCGCCGTCGGCCCCGCAAGACGGCTGCTGGCTACAACCTAACCGGCCTGTTCGTCGGCGCCGAAGGCACCCTCGGCATCGTCACCGAGGTTACGCTGCGGCTGACCGTACTCCCGCAGGAGACCAGCGTCGCTGTCGTTACCTTTCCTACTATTCGGGACGCGGCAGCCGCGGCGTCAAGCGTCATGCGTGCCGGCGTGCCCGTCGCAGCTATGGAGATGATGGACGACGTGCAGATGGGCGTTATAAACAAGGTCGGATCTACGAAGCGCAAGTGGAAAGAGGTGCCGACTGTGTTCTTCAAGTTCTCGGGCACCAAGGCAGGCGTGAGAGACAATATCGAGACGGTCAAGGCCATCGCAAAGTCCCATATGGGCGGCGATTTCCAGTTTGCTGCGAATCAAGCTGAGCAGACGGAGCTGTGGAGCGCGAGGAAAGAAGCCCTGTGGAGCATGTTGGCGCTAAAAGGAGAGGATGAGGAGCTATGGAGCACCGATGTGGCAGTGCCGTTGAGTCGGCTGGCGGAAATAATGGGTGAGTTTGGTGCGTGTTGCTTTGTTTGAAGAGTTGAGGACTGATGTACGACGTTGCAGAGGAATCGAAGAAGGACATTGGTGGACTTGGTATGTTTGCATCCATGCTTGGGCACGTTGGGGACGGCAATTTCCACTCGGCCATTTTTTACAATAAAAAGGATCCGGAGCAGGTGGAGAAGGTCAAGCGAGTCGTGTACAAGATGGTCGACAAGGCTTTGGAGATGGAAGGCACGTGTACAGGCGAGGTTAGTCATGCGAGGTTTCTTCGATCGTATTCTTCTGGAAGCTGACTCTGCGTAGCACTCGGTCGGATTGAGCAAGAAGGCATCGTTGGTGAAGGAACTTGGCCCGGAGACGATTGGCGTCATGAGAGAGCTGAAGCGGGCCCTGGACCCTCACTCGCTCATGAACCCAGGCAAGATTTTTGACCTTTGAAGCCGCAGTGTTGGAACTGAGGGAATATTTATCAGGTCTGGAAACATGTTCTCCAATTGATCTTCTCCATATCGTTCCCCCTAATGCATTTACAGGCTGTATCTGAACTCGAGATTTTCTTTATCCGTTAGATCTAGGAATTCGACATTTTCCCGGTGGCTGATAGCCAAACGATCCCGCCTTCTATTCTCCCAGATATAATAAAACCGCAGGATGACGACTACGATGATTGAAAACACATCAGCCACAATGATTGCGATCTTGGCCGGCATGTACTCGGGTTTGTCCCCGTCGCGGAAGGTCAGAGGCCCGATAATGTTTCCGAGGCAGAAACTGATCAACAGCACGGCATTCATGGTGACCTTCTTGGTATGGCCGGCGACGTTGGCCGATACATAGGCGTACATGAGCGGCAAGCCGGCCACGATGCCGTTCATGATGTAAATACCGATTAGCCTACCGACCTTGTTATCGGCAGGCAGAAAGGCAATCTGCAAGAGAGGTCAGTGTCATGGAAGTCAGCAGACGCAACAGAAGCCGCACTCACCAAACATCCACCCAACACACCAGTTATCTGCGTTACGATGGCCGGCGGGCTCCTTTGGTTGAAGCGGTTTGCGGTATATGTGGCCAATAAAATTGAAACGATGATGACGGCACCAGCGGGGATACTCAACAGAGCGGTCGTCTTGCTATCATAGCCGAAGCCCTTGATGATGGTGGCCTGGAAGCTGCTAGTGGCGGCGTTAGGTATGTTGCTAGCGACAGTGGCGAGGGCGATCATCCAGGTCTGCGGATCAGCAAAGCACTCGCGCGCCTGGGCCGGCTTGAAGCGCACGTTCTCGATGCCCGTCTGGTTGACGCGCAGCCGCTCGACGGCCCACAGCTTTTCGGCGTGCGTCAGGCGCGCGCAGGTCATGGGATTGTCGGGCAGCAGCAGCACGACGAGCACGCCAACCGCCACCGTGACCAGCCCGACGACCAGGAACATGATCTGCCAGCTGTTGAAGGTCGGCGACGAGTAGTGCTGGAAGCCGAAGGACACCAGCGCGCCGATGACGGTGCCCACGCCGGTGCCCAGGTACCACAGCCCGACCCGCCACGGCTGCTCGTCGCGCTTCTTGTACCACATGCCCGTCACCAGGATCAGCGCCGGTGCCACGGCGCTCTCGAAGACGCCGAGCAGCACGCGCGTGGCCACCAGTGTGCCGTACGTCTTGCACGCCGCCGTCGCCGCCACTGCCACGCCCCACAGCGTGACCATGGCGCCCAGATACTTGGCCGTCGGCAGCCGCTGCATGGCGTAGCCGTGCGGGAACTCGAATGCTAGGTACGAGGCGTAGAAGATCCAGGCTAGCGTCGAAAACTGGTCCGTGTTGATGGCTGCGTCCTCGTAGAGACCCATGACGGCGGCGTAATTGACTGAGGTCTGGTATTAGCGTCGATGAATTCCATGTAGAAACTGGTGAGCTGTACTCAACGTCTTGTCCAGGTACTGCAGGCAGTAGCAGCACCACATGAGTGGAATGATCATCCAATCGATCTTTCGCACCAGCGCTTTTTCGTCAATAACATCGGAGAGTTCGCCAGCATTCGTGGCCTCGGCGGCGAGGAACTTGAGTGCCTCGTCGCCATCTCCTTTGGCGACGGCGGCTTTGATCTTGTCGTCATCTTGCACGGAATGCGCTTCGACATCTTGTTTGGAGTCTGAGACCATGGTAGCCCGGATCCGAGCACAGAATAGAAGAAAGAGTATATCAATCGGATGCGATAAGAGCAATGGTGCGTCAAGACCTCTAATATGATCACTGATATTATTTTGAACCTCACTTGTCCCGCTTCAACCCCAGTATTTTCTCCCCACTTATGTCCGCGGATGTGGGTACTTGGGTGTTGTGCCAGATATCTTATCAGAAGCTCGCGCCTTTCGTCATGGATGCTTGTCTTATCGCATGAGCGCGGGGCAACCATTGAACAGCCGAAGTACGCATGTAGACAAAAAGCGCCACAATGGTTGGCAGAAACCCTGAGCCGTCTGGGCCATATGAAAGTTACACTCTTCATTTGCGGGCAAGTGAGGCAAATATCAGGACGTTAGAACAAGTGGTAAATTCAAGTTTCTTTACAAACATCAGCTACCCATGATATGATCAAAAAAAAAAAAAACGAATTCACGCTAACCTGCGGCTGCGGAGCACTGTAGATCTCCACCACGTTATCAGGATATCCTGGGGCTGGGGAAAGATGCTGAAGTGGAGACTCGAAGCACCTTTTCGCTTATCTGACCCGAACGAGAAGGTGCTTATTAGTCCATGTTCGGTCCGCGGTGGCAAACTCGTGGCCGAACAAGCAGTATCGGAGGTGATCAAGTGTTTTATGCATACAGCATTGCCACTACAAGTGCATGGTATTCTTTCTAGACAAAACAATAATCTATGGGAAATACACCGCAACGCCGCTTGACTGAAGTACCTCGACCAAATGTTGAGTGTGTTCGAGCTCGAGTGGAAGGCGGCTCGTTGATGAGCTGTGAGAACCAATGGAGATGTGAACCTCACTAAGCTGGGGACAGCAGAAATGCTTGTGCTGGGCCAGTTCAGCAATGTACGCAACCAACTCTTTCGTTTCGGAGCTTGGCTGCATGCTGTCCCAGTCGCCCCACCAGAAATCGCGGTCCAATTTCAGCACGAGGGCCTGAATGCTGCGAGGTAAACGCGTGTGGAGTGGCGGAGCATGGTCGTAAGAGTCTGGTGTTTGAGAGTCATCGGTGTCAGAAAATTCCATGAACATGGCCAGTGGGACACTGAGGCGGGAGAGCCTGGTGAATGATAGGAAGCCATCATCCTGGAGCGGTGCGCCTAGCCACCCACCACCATGATCGAAAATATCGACGTTCAAGTCTTGAAGGCAATGCTCGATGGGCGACAGAGCCTTCCGTATATTGAGGAAACTGATGGAGCCAGAGTCAAAAGCATATCGATTCAACCCATCTGCCAAGTCCATCCCAAAATCAAGGACCTGAAGGTCTTTGGGCCAACTTAGGAGGTGTGCGATCTCTGGGCTTACAGGCCCACATTGGACGAACCTCAGGTCCGTAACATTGGATGTCCCGGGCTGGCGGCAATGCTCGGGGACGGTGCAGTTCAGACGAAGCATTTGAAGCAGCCCCACGTGTCTGAGGGACGGAATTTGAAACAGCCTCAGCAACTTCGCAAAGTCGGGTTCATTGTAAAGGCAGTCGGTAATAGGTATATCCAAAGAATTCAGGCGGTCCACACCGAATGGAACGAGCGAGTCTAGGCGTGGAATTGACAGGTGGAGGTTTTGGAGTACAGCCGACTCGGCCAGCAAGTTCGCCGTCTCTTTCACCAGCTCATTGAGTTGAAGCTCGTCATTTGTTTCGAAGCGCTCCGGCTCCTTCCAGCAGTAAGGGGTGCCGTTGGTAGTCCAACGCAGTCGCACGTTTTGGACTGCCGACCGCCACCCCGGCCAGACGGAGAGAGACTGCCGAAACATTCCTAATTTGCAAATTCGTGTCCCAGAGCGCCTCACATTGTGTCTGCTGCCGTGGGCAAAGTAGAGTGAGCGGTAAAGATGTTTGCGGGCCTCTTCATGGCAGCCATGGGAAACGAGTGCGAGACTTTTCAGAGTCTCCGGTGGACAGTATCGCATGATATTTGCCCACAGTTCCACGGGGAACATTGGCACGCGATCGCGAGTCATGTTCATAGCTGGAGAGCGGAAAGTATGAAAAGAGAGTTCAAGTGGACGTTCGGGGTTCAGAGACAAGAGAACCGAAGGCTAGCGCGAAGAACAGCAGGGCCTTGAGACAGGGGACTGACTAAGCTCCCTCAAAATAGATGATCTTTCACAATATTTGCGAGAAATTATTCAACTTGTGTGGGCACTTGAAGCTACCATCCGGACGCATATATATAATTGTTAATTCGGCATTCATAGCTTCAACTGCCCATGACATGGGGGAAAACAAAACCACGCTAGCCTTCAGCTTCGCGCTAAGGCCGAAAGCAGAAAAGCCGCCCATCACAAGCATCACTTTTGATGAAGATGAAGTTACTTATTCCTTGTCGCCAACTCCCGGCTCGTCCAGAGCTACCACCTCGATCTCTACCCTCATGTCGTCCTCGCCAAGCCGAGTAACACCGACGCAAGTCCAGATGGGACGGTGATTTGGCATCCACTTCTTAAAGTTGCGAACCATTGCCTCCAAAGCCTCATTGTTGAGCGGCACATGGTAAGAGTTGACGCGGAAGACCTGAGACCAGCCTTTTCCGCCGGCATCTCGTAGGTTCAGGTCGACGTTCTTGAATGCTTGATCGATCTGGGCGTTGATCTCCTTGTAGAAAACCTTGGTTTCGGGATCCCATCCACCTGTTCATGTCAACAGCTGTACCTCTGGCGGAAATGCTTCGACGTACCTTGGCCAGCGCATTCAATTCGGTTGCCTACGCGGACGGCCTGGCTGTAGTAGAAGGATTCGGCGGCGGCTTTTCCCCACCCTTCATAAGTGTAGTACTTGAGGCCTGACATGATTGCTGAAAATCCGAGGTGGTTTGAGAGACAGAAAGAGGATTGATTCTTTTCCACCATGGGCGATGGTTGTTCAAATAGTAAAAGTCACGTGATAAGAGACCAAGGGCGGAATATATATTCCTCTTCCGGCTGAGAGAGCTGATGACAAACCTACCACCACTCAACCCGCAGAGTTCCGCTTGAAAAGCTAATTCCTGGGCCTGTAACGTCACAGTACCACGTTTTCTTACGTTTTCCTGCTTCTTCAACACCTCGTGGTTCGGCTCTGTTGTCTTACCCGACGATTAACGGAACCGCTCTTCTCGCGACATCAATGGCTCCAGAGCAGCTGCTAAATGCACAGCATCAATCAGGCACTGCTACGGCATCTAGGACAGTTAGGAGAAAATACACGTCCAAGGCCTGCGAAGAATGCCGGCGTCGACGGGCAAAGGTAGGGTCGAGCATGGCCCGATACGGTGTAATCTTTCAATGCTGACCCTGGCTAGTGTGACGGTAAAAGACCAACCTGTTCTCGATGCACAGACCGGAAGATCGACTGCCGTTATCGCTTCGAGGAAGATGGGCGCCGCCCGGCCCCCAAGTCATACGTCCAGCTTCTCCGGAACCGAATCGAAGTCCTGGAACGAGTCCTGCGCTCACACGGCATTGACTTCGATGCCGAGGTAGCACGGCTCGCCGCAGAGGATGACACCTCGCAGACAATCCAGGCATCCGCTTCCACTTTGCCCCAAAGCCAGAGCTCGGCCGAGTTTGAAGAGCTTTGTGTAGCATTCGAGGGGGCCCTTTCCTTTGACGAGTCTTTGAATTTCGATCAGGATGGCGAGCTTCGCTACTTTGGACCCACAAGTGGCCGCCTCGACTTCCACCCTTGCGGATACAAAGGCACCGATTTTCCAAGCGATATACCGCAGCCTTTGCCGCACGACATCCAGCCAACCACTCTCACCCCACCCTTCGAAGAAGACCCAATTGTGCCGGAACATGTCAGAGAAGAACTCATCGACCATTACTTCCTCTATGACCAACCTTGGCTTCAAGTGGTGAATGAGGCCCTCTTCCGAGAAAGCTACCGCAGCGGTGGCCGCTTCTGCACCCCATTGCTGCTGAATTGCATCCTCGCCCTCGGGTCCAGGTTTACCGAAAGACCGGACCTGCGTTCAGATCCGGACGACTCCAACACGGCGGGAATCGTGTTTCTCGACAAGGCGAAAGTGCTGCTATCACTTGACATGAAACGGCCGAGCACCACAACACTTCAGTCCCTTTGCCTCATATCAACCATGTGCTTTGTAAGTAGAAGGGCAGGATCATGAGCAGCGAGAACTGACTGACGCAGGCAATCGGAGCTGATGCCGCTGGATGGCTCCATAGCGGCATGGCCATGCGTTTAGCTCTGGACATGGGAATGAACCTGGACTCGGACCTGCTGGCTCGTTCCGAACTCATGTCCGCAGAAGAAGCAGATTTGAGACGACAGATATATTGGTCACTATACTGTGATGATAAGCTGGCGGCAAGCTACACCGGTCGGGTTTGTACCATGTTGGTGAGTTTCTGTTCTATCTCGTTGTTCAGCGCACTGTCACTGATGCATTGGATAAGGATGCTCAGGGTGTCGTCAAAATCCCGTCAAACTCAAAGCCACCTCTGACTGCTCTCATTTCACTGTCTCGTATCTTGGAGAAGATCCTCATGGGCTTGTACGTTACCCTGCACTGGAGTCAAGGAAGTTTTGTTAACTTTCAGCAGATACGCCCCGAAACCTGCATTGAAGGGTCAACAGAAGGCCCAGTTCCTTTCATGCTGCATTTTGGAACTGAAAAACTGGTTCTACGATCTTCCGAGCGAAATGCGCATCGACAGGCTCTCAGAAAAACGCGCCCCGCAAGTCTACACGACGCACATGGTCTACCACACCTCGTTCATCCTCCTCATGAAACCCTTCCTGGCCAAGGATCAACCGGAAGAAGCCCAAAGCGCCGAGCGCAGCGACATGGCCAAAAAGGCCGCTGCCATCTGCCACGAGGCCAGCCGGCAGATGATCCTCGTCGCCCGCAAGTACCAACACCTGTACGGCAGCTTTCGCAAGAGCCCGGTGACGGCCACGCACTGCTCCCTCTCAGCCGCCCTGACCCTGATGCACATATCGAAGCTGAACGGAGAAGAAGTGCCCAAGGCCAACAGCAAGCACGCGCGAATGATCGAGGCCTGTCTCGAGGTTCTGCAGGAGCTGTCTACTTCATGGGATATCGCGAGGCGGCTTAGAGAGAACCTCGTGAAGCTTTACGAGCAGTTCTGCGGCAGCGAGGGATCCCTCAACCAAGCAGCCCAGAGTGGCGCGTCGGGCAATGTTGAGAAAACGATTGACCATGTTTCACAGCTTACGAGTCCGGCCGCCGACGACGCGTTGCCGTTCTTCTTGGAAGGGCCGTCCACCGAAGTTGGCGGCTATAACGCTTTGGGAGACTTCACAGAGGACATGCTATTGGATGAGTCTTTGTGGGGAACTGCAGGCCAAGACCTTACGTTTGACCCTCTACAGAGCGAATACATGGGTACCAGTTCTCTTGACCGCTGGCGCTTTGACGACATATGGTAGAATGCACTTCTGCATGAGGAACGGGACATTAGAAGGCGGTGATTATGTACGGGATAATACTAAACTATTTACAACTCCAGTCTAACCCTCAGCTTCTCTAAACGATGCGTGAATACAAAAGTTACATAGTTGAATACAGAAGGAAATTTTTCTCGACAACTACTGAGTATGAACACTCATCCGACAATGTCAATTTGTAAATTCGGACAAACGTTCACCGCTGTACAAGGAGCATTTACTCCATCATGGCCTTGAACTCCTCGGCCATGTCGTTCACCAGCTGCTCGGCCTTCGCGAGATCCAGCAGCTCGACGTTGCAAAAGACGCCCATGTCCAATCTTCCTCCCCTGGTGGTCGCTTCGACATCGAGAGAATGCTGCAAAAAAACGCATGTTAGCAGACTGCACAAAAAAAAAAAAAAAAAGGCGCGCGCTTAGGTGCGAGATCCAAACTTACCAGGTAAGCGTCACCAACCACGTTGTTCTTCAACTCGGCCGGCACCTCAAAGGGCCCGTCCTCGCTCTTCTCCACCCTGCTCCATCCACCCTTCATCTCCTCGTTCTCCACCTCCCGCACCTTTACACCAGCCTCGCTCTTGCCCGCCGCCTCTTCGCCCGATTCCGGCAGCTTCAAGAAGTTCACAAACGAATCCACCTTCACGCCCGTCCAGCGCTCAATCTGCCACAGCCCGGCCCCGGCGTTCTCCACGCTGCCGATGCTCCTCAGATCCTCCTGAACCTCCCTCGCGATCTCAAAGACGCTCCTCCGACCGAGCGGTCCGCGCACGCGCAGCGGCACGAGGTTGACCGTGGGCGCCGCGACCTCTGCGAGGCCGTCGATGGCGTGCGAGCGGTTGGCGAGCCAGATGCCGAACACGACGCCCTGGTCGCCGCCATCGTCGTGGGTGCCCGCGAGGCCGGCGTAGAGCCGTGCGTACGCGGCCAGGAAGAGGGACTGCACGTTGAGGCCCTGCTTCATCGCGGCCGCCTCCAGCGCGGCGACCGAGTCGCAGATGTCGGGCTTGAACACGCTGACGCGGCCCGGGCGTGCGGATCGGGGCTGTTGCAGCAACTTGACAGCCGGCGCGGCGTCCTTGAGGTAGCTTGACCAGAAGGCCTCTGCCTTTGATGCGGCGTCGGCGGATGCTGACGCGGCGATGAGCGCAGGGAAGGCCGCTGGAGGGTTCGGCTTCGCGGACGGCTGGTTGCACAGGGCTTCGTATTGCTGCATCAGGATGGGGAGGCTGACGCCGTCATAAAGCGCGTGGTGGAGCTTGACGGTGAGCAGCCAGCCGTCGTGCTGCTTGTTGGCAACAAGTTTGGCAAAGGGCTGCCTGATGTTTGATGGCATCGGCTCCCAGCTCTGCAGCGGCTCACGCTCTCCCTCTGAGTGGCGGCCCAGCACATTCTTGAATTTCTGTGAAACCTTGCGAATCAACGACCTGGTTCTGGAGGAGCTTCGCTTCTTCTGAAGCTTCTTGGGGCTCGAAGTTGGAGTGTGGGCGTTGATTGCCTGGAACCCTTGCTCAGCCTGCTTCAAGACAACCTGGATGAACGGTGTCTCCTTGTTTCCAGTGGCAACCAGCATTGTTCGGAGGATGGGGTTGGCGGAAACAAGGGCAGCCCATGCCTCGCGGAGACGTTCCTCGTCAACAGTGTCCTTGATGTGATACTTGAAACTGGGGAACAGGAGAGATCCTTCGGTTTTCTGCCAGACAGACAGCATGAATGTCTGGCCGGAAGTGGCTGGGGTGACTTGTTCGACGTCCTCAGGTGAGATCTTGGCATCGTTCAAGAGACCTTCCACGTTCAGCGGGTGGAGGATACCTGTCAAAACCTTGGCCGGGTCGGCGTCAGGCGCCGTGGTAGCACTCGATTTCCGACTCTCAACGATCTGAGCCATCTTTTCAACCGTAGCCGCGCGCAGCATCTCGCTAACACTGAGCTTGATCGACTTCTTCTTAAGCAGCGAGGATACCTTGATAGCGCTGATTGAGTCTAGACCCAAGTGGAATATCGTCAGATCCTTTGTGATGTCCAGTTCCGGAACCTTTGAGACTGCGGAGAGAACCTCGCGGATCATTTTTTCGGACTCGGTCCACTCCGTCGAAGCACTAGTGCCATTGGTCAGGGCTCTGTCCTCTTCGGCATCACTATTCTCGGCAGACTGGTCCCTGAACGGAGGTAGGCCGCAAACCGAAGCGCCGTCATCGCCGTATGAAACGACGCCAGCATCGGGAGAAGAAATGATGCTCTTCATGACGGCATCAACGCGGTTGAGAAGCTGTTGGGAGCCTTCTTCATCAAACACGTTCGACTTGCACGCCGTGCGCCAGACGAGATTGTCTCCTACGGCCTCCATTTCGACAGCCACAGGATATTCGACATCAGCGGCGCCTCCAACAGACTCGTACGGTGCCTCGGAGGCTCCTTGGTCGTCGTCGCCGGGTCGAGTTTGGAAGATGAATAGCGTGTCGAAGAGAGACTTGCCGTTGGTCTCTGCTGCGGCCTTAGCCTTACGGAGTGGGTAGTGCTGGAACTGTCTCATGGTGCTGATGTTCTCTTGCATATACCTCAGCATATCCTTCCTCGTGCCATGGATGATGGATCTGACTGCCACGGTATTCATCGTCGGGAACATGACATCTTCCGCTTCATGACTGTCTCTTCCCGATAGGACCACGCCGAAAACGAGATCCAGTCTGCCGAGGTAAGATGACAGAACAAGCGACCAGCAGGTCTGACCAAGAGCTTGCAGAGTGATGCCGGCATTCTTGCAGAAGGCACGGAGCGTTTCAACAGAGACGGATCCAGTGTGCTCCTTCCGGTGAACCTGTAGTCCGGTGCTGAGATCTTGCACGCGACCTTCTGACAGAAGTCCGCTCGGTGCTCCACCGAGGAAGTCGCGCCAGAAAGTCGCAGCTTTCTCTCCCGACGCATTAAGGATGTCCTCTAGAACATGGTCGTACGCAGGTCGGACATGGACGTCACCGGCATATGCAGCCTGCACGTCGTTGTGAAGGAGCCCCAGAGACCAGCCATCGTACAGAGCGTGCGCGATGGATAGAACAAGGTAGACGTCGGACTTGCACCGGATGATGTTGACTTGGAACAGGTCTGCTTTGCCACCATGTTCAGCAGTTTGGGACCTGATCCTATTCACTATGGTGTCAATGTCATCAGGTGAAGCGGCCTCGATTTCTCCAACGACGAAACCTTGGGGTTTGCGGACAACCTGCGCGAATGACATGTCGAGGTCAGGGTCGTCCACTTCTTCAAAGGTCGTGCGAAGAACAGCTGAACTGCGGTACACGCCGACCCACGCCTGTTTCATCTTCTCGATATCCACACTTGGCGCGAGTTTCAAGACGTCATGATTGAAGTAGTGATGGAACTCTGAGGACAACATCTCGGCGACCATGGCTTCTTGCAGAGGAGTAGCTGGCAAGATCCGCTCCACGTTCTCCAAGTATTTGCCACCAGCATTCCGGAAATGCTCTGTAAGCTTGGCTTGCTGAGAGTCGAGAGTGGCTCCTGGAGTTACGGCTTGGCTATCGGCAGTCTTCTCGGTGACCTCGTTGGCCATCCTTGGGATCGTCAAGCTACGCATGATCTGACTGACAGGCAGGTTGATTCCGCTCTTCTTCAGTCTTGAAGAGAGCTTGATGGCATCTATACTGTCCAAGCCGAGCTCGAAGATGGTCATGTGCTCATCTACCTCGGACGGCTCGATTCCTGCAAGAGTCGCAATCTCTTCCTGAAGGCGACGGGCAACAGGCGTCCATTCAAAACCTTCGACACCGTTCAGGTGGCCGTTTGCGTGTCCGTTGACACCGTTGGCGTAGGCTGGGCTGACTGAGTGGATCTCACCGACAGTGCCCGAAACGAGCGCCTCGGGGTTTTCGAGCAGATTTTGAAGAGCAGCCCGGAACTCGCTCAGGAGGGCGACCAATGCCTCGCGATCGGCAATATGCCCTTGAGCTACGATTGTCAAGCCCAACGATCCATTTTGCTTTTGCTCCACTTCAAGTGCAAGCGGGTAATCGGCTTCGGGCTGATCCTCCAACAATGACCACAAAGACTTGTCAGGTTCACCATCCTCAAGCTCCTTCTGGAAGACGAAGAGAGTGTCGAACAGAGGCTCGCTGGGGGCCCGCTTACTCCACTTCATGATGTCGCGAAGTGGGGTATGCTGATATGGAAGGGCAGAAGTATTGAACTCATGACATCTGCGCACGACCTGGGACCATGTGTCGTCCTGGGTAAAGTTGATATGGAAGGGAATCGTGTTGAACATGGGTCCGATGGTGCGGTCAGCTCCCTCAAAGTCGATTGACCTGCCAGAGACGACCATACCAAGTGTGACGGCGCCATCAAAGTGTTTCTGAAGAACAGATGTCCAGCAAGCTTGTACCAATGCTTGGTGCGTCACATCGAGTTTCCTCCTGGTACTTTCAAACGAGTCCAAAGCTTCCAGGGTTCCACTGACGGTGATGTCCTGGTCTTGAGGGGAGGAGGTAAGGCCACGCATGATGCAACTTCGAGCTGTGGACAGATGGGCAGTCCAGAATGACTTGGCTTCAGGCATGCTCCTCAGGGGGCCGTAAGGCAGTACCTCTAAGAAAGCAGGCCCAAAGTCGACTTGTTGGCTTCCCTTGTATTCAGCCTCGACTGCTTGGAGAAGCATTGGAAGACTGGCACCGTCGTACAAAACGTGCATAATGTGGACCGACAGAATCTTCTTCCCAGGAGAGACAGTTGTGACAAGTTCGAAAGGTCTCATAAGCTTGTCTCTATTTTGCGACCACCACTTGAGCTTTCGCGTGTCGAGATACTCTTCAACTTCCTCGGGATTTGTCACTGACGTCTCAACCCAAGGTAGTGGCTGATCACGGAGAACAACCTGGATGTAGCCGTTATCCGTGGGAATGAACCGGGCACGCAGAATTTGGATCGATCTGTACGCTTTCTCCCAAGCGGCCTGCAACTTGGACAGGTCAACATCTGGAGAAAGTTCAAACCTGAAAGTCGCAAAGTAGACTGGTTTATCGCTTTCCAGTGAGCGAGAGATGATACCTTGCTGGAGCGGGGAGCAAGGGGCGATGCCTTCAATCGCATTCTGCTGCACACCAAGCGACCGGGATGCGATCGCCTTATATTGATGCTGGCACGCAGAAATCGTCTGTTTGGCTGCTTGAATAGAGGCTCGGTCCGCTCCAGAATCCTTCGAGGAGAGAGCCTTAGCAAGGCGACTAAGGACAGGATTCTTCATGACAACTGATGCCTGAGCGTTGCGGAAACCGGCCTTCCTCAGCGCACCGGCGAAGCCGATGACGGAAATCGAGTCGAGACCAAGCTCAAAGATGCTAGAGCTCCTCGAGATGTCGCTGCCATCAACCGACGCCATTGAAGCGAGTACCTCGGCAACCTTCTTCTCATCGGCAGTAGAAATAGCACCACCGTCTCCCGATGATGTTGAGATAGACTGAAGTTGCTCGGGACTAAGTTCGGAGTAGAGCTGCTTGAGGTGCTTGCCATCGGCCTTGTTGTTCGGAGAGAGCGGCATTGACGTAAGAGGGATGAAGTGAGTAGGAACCATGTAAGCTGAAAGCTTCGACCGGCATGCTTCTGCAGCCACCTGCATGGCCTCTTTTCCACCCTGGCTCACGGCAGGTTTTTGCTTCTTGACAAGTGTCGACTTGGTCACAATGAAGCTGACAAGCTGGTCCTTTTGTTGCTTGGGATGTTTCAGCACCAGGGTAGCAACATCCAAAACCTCGGCTTCCGACTGATTGATGACGCTGTTGATCTCGCCTATCTCCAAGCGCTGACCGCGGAGCTTGACTTGGTCATCCGCACGTCCCAGGAAATCGAATGATCCGTCGTGCAGGATACGAACCAAGTCGCCGGTGCGGTAAACCTTCTCGCCAAACTCGTCCAGATACGGGAACTTCTCATTGGTGAGGTCTGGACGGTTAAGGTATCCTTTGCCAACCAGCTTTCCGGAAACGCAGAGCTCACCGACCGCACCTCGCATGACCGGAATACTTGTGTTGGGCCTGAAGACGAAGGACCCAACATTGTCGAATTGAGGGCCAATGTTAGAAGGTTTGCCGTTGGCCGGAACGCGAGGGAACATGGTCACACCGATGGTTGCTTCTGTAGGGCCGTAACCATTGTGGATTACCTCGTATTTGCCAAAGTCATCAAGGATCTCCTGTTTCAACGCCTCGCCACCAGTAATGAAGACACCCTTCAGAAGGGTTGGCACCTGGTCCGGTGTCAACTGCTTGGCCAAACTGGGCGTCAGGTCAATGTGAGTAATGCCGAGGGCAGTGATAGAGCCAGCAAGGTCCTCGAAAATCAAATCTCTTGGTGCAGAAACGAGCCTAATGCCTTCAGACCAGGTCCAGTATTGTTCGAGGACTGAAACGTCGAAATGGAAAGAAGCAAACTGGAGCCATTTTGAGTCTGAATCCCAACGCGGGTAGAAGAGCCTCGAGAAAGCTAACATAGCCTGTACGGCATTCTCGTGGGTAAGCTCGCATCCTTTGGGTGTTCCCGTAGTCCCGGAAGTGTAGAGGCAGTAGCTGAGGTCCTGAGGGGTGATGGATCTTGACAGTTCAGGCTTTCCGGCCGAGAGCTTTGAGTAGTCGACTTCATCGAGATTGATGATCGGCACGCTGACCTGGCCCTGTAGAGGTTCCGTCTGGCTCTTCATCGACACAACCATGGACGCCTTCGAATCATGAGTAATAAATGCTTTGCGCGCGACGGGTGCTCCGGGGTCCAAAGCAACGTAGGCACATCCCGCTTTCAGGATACCCAGAATACCGAAAGAGGCTTCAGGGCACTTGTCGAAACAGATCGCCACTAAACCACCTGGCTCGACGCCGTTACTCTTCAGGAGGTTGGCAATCTTGTTACCCTCTTCGTCCAGTTCCTTGTAGGTCCAGCATCGACTGGTGACCTTCATATCCTCAATCTCCGTTGCGAACTCGAAGGCAATCTTGTCAGGGTGCTGGCGGGCACTCCTTTCGACGAATTCGTGGAGAAGGCTGACGTCTGTCTGAATCTCGCGCTCTTTGGGAGGTGTGATGGAGAGAAGCTCTTGCGACTTTTGGAAGGCATCGTCCACCTGTCCGTCAGGGTGAAAGATGAGGTCAACCAATATCTGGTCTAGCTGATCGAGCATCACCTTTGCCTGCTCCTCGGGAAGGCGATCTGACCTGTAAGTGATTCTCAACTCGAGCTGGTCTCCATCAGTAGGCTCAAGCTCAATGGACACAGCGGCATCGACGGTTGCATCTTCATCAACCAGCTTCCAGTGAGTTTTCCTGCCGCTTCCGCTTGAGAGCTTCTGATAGGCAAATATGGTGTCAAATAGAGCCTCGTCCGGATGGCCCGTCCAGCGCTGAATCTTTGTGAGAGGCGTGAACTGGTGCTTGCGGACAGTAGTGGTGAATGCCATCATGCTATTGAGAAGAGCACGGTTGCTCGGGTTATTACGAGCAGGCAATGGAACAGTGGTGATGCATGGGAAAGCAATATCATCAGCGCTCTCGTCATTCCGACCGGAGAAGACGACACCGAAAGTCGCAGCATCCTCCCCAATGTACGCCGAAAGGAGGCGAGTCCAAGCAGCTTGGCCGGCAGCTTGAACAGTGATTCCGGTCTTGCGACAGCCCGCCTCGAGTTGAGTTTGACTTTGAGAGCAGGTTTTGGACGAGACCAAAGTCGGACCTTCTTTGACACGGAGCGGGGTCATACTGGGGAAAGCGTTGACAAAGATGTCATTTCCCTTCTCTTCCCAGAATTGCTTGCGTTCTTCGCTTTCATCACTGCTTGAAAGGAGGATGGAGCTCAGGATGGGTTGGAATGGCTTGGGTGCAGGCACCTTCCCGTCAAGACAAAAGGCCGTGACCTCGTCGAGAAGAATGCGCAAGCTGAGGGCATCATACAAAGAGTGTAGGATGGAGATATGGAGAGAGACTCCGTCCGTGGAATCGATCAAGAGCGCACGGAAAGCATTCTTGTGGAGGCCACGCAAGATATCCCGCCGGGAATCTTCTCGCCATTCTAGAACCTTTGCCTCAACGGATTCAGACTCCTCCATCGTAGATACTGGCGCAAGGGAAGCGTCATGTGCGTACGTGACCAAAGCGAATGGTGACTGAGTACTATTGACATGCACAAATCCAGACCGCAGGATCTCGTGCTTCTCGTAAAGCAAGCGCAAGGCCTGCTCCAAGGAGTCCAGGCTGATGTTTTCAAACCTGTATTGCATGTAATTGAGGTACATCTTGCCCTCGGAGTGGAGGAATTGCGAGATCATGCCGGCCTGTAGTGGAGTACACGGGTGGACGGCGGCAATATCGTCAGCGTTGATTCCAAGGTCTCGAGAGATATCCTGCAGGTGACGCTCCTCGAAGCCCTTGAAGTCGAACTTCTGCTCGTTCGATACGTGAGATCCTCCGCTTTGCAGAAGCAGCGCGAGCTCCGCGCAGGTTGGGCGATCAAGGACGTCTGATGCGGTGACCTTGAAGCCCCTCTTCCTCAGCCGGGCCGCGACCTGCACGGCGCTGATACTGTCGAGACCGAGTTGGTATATGGTTGTCTGCAAGCCAATGCTTCCAGGTGCAACCTTCGACAGGCTTGCCAGTGCCTCCCTGATTTCGAGCTCAGTGGGAGTCCAGTCGCGCTCATCATGGACTTCAGCGGTCTCCTGCCTTGCCTCCTCAGAATCCTGGAAGATTGTCTTGAGAGTCCGCTTGTCCACCTTCCCGGCGGCAGAAAGTGGGATGCGATCGACCAAGATAAGGAAGTTTGGCACCATGTAGGACGGTAGCTTGTCCGCGGCGGATTTCCTGGCTTTGTTCTTGATCTCATCGGCGTCGAGGTTGTCCTTGTCCGACCCCACCGCCAAGAAAGCCACAATCTGATCCTTGGAAGACTCGGAGGCCTTGAGGACCTGCGTAGAGACAGTGGTAATGGCATCGTGAGAGTCTCGCAGAACAGCGCTGATTTCGCCAAGCTCAACACGAAGACCACGAATTTTGACTTGATCATCGGCACGTCCAACGAACTCAAAGGTCCCGTTTCCGAGCATTCGAACCACATCTCCCGATTTGTAGAAGCGCTGGCCGTGGCAGGAAACAAACCGCGTTTGAGTCATTTCGTGGTTGGCATGGTACTCGCGAGCCACTTGAGAGCCACCAATGTACAGCTCACCAACGCCGAACACGGGCAGGGTAGAGAGGCCGTCCCGAGACTGCACGATGAAACTTGTGGTAGGGAATGGTTTTCCGATAACAGCCGACTTGATATCCTTCGATACGGGGAAAATGGTAACACAGAAAGCAGCTTCGGTAGGGCCGTAGGAGTTGACGAGCTTTCCAGCCCATCGATCCACAAGCTCCTGCGGCATCGCCTCTCCAATGCAATACAGATATTGCAGGGTCGGAACAGCGTCTTGTGGCAAGCTCAGAGCGACCGAGGGGGTTAGATCGGCCAACGTAACCTGCATTGAATCTATTATTCCGGGCGTATCATTGAGCATCATTGGTTGCTCAGCGGCGCAAAGAGTGAAGCCGAAGGACCAAGCGAGGAAGCAGTCGTAGTAACACATGTCGAACGTAGTCGCAGCAAACTGAAGGAGGCGGGACTCCGGGCTCCATGGAATGATGGTCCGGGACGCTTCTACCGTTTGGATAGGATTGCGGTGCTCAACGCTCACTGCCTTTGGTGTTCCCGTCGAGCCCGAGGTATACAGCCTGTAGGCGAGATGATCTGGCCTTAGGCCTGTGACGTTCGGATTGTGCGTCGAGGAGGATCCGATTGTTTCGACAAACAAGATCTGGGTCTTTCCACACCAGTGCGTGTCTATCATTGCGTTCGATATGACCACCTTCGCACCGAGCTCTTGGAGCATGAATTGCTTCCGAGACACAGGAAGGTTGACATCGATTGGCGTGAATGCTGCTCCGGCCTTGAGCACTGCGAGGACACTGGCGTAGTAGTGTGGCGACTTCGGCATACAAATCGGAACGGCCTCGTCGAAACCCACACCGTATTGCAGGAGAGCGTGGGCAATTTGGTTCGAGATCTGGTTCAGTTCGTTGAAGGTCCATCGGCCACGGCTTCCATCTGCATGTTGGAAATCCAATGCCAGCGCGTGGGGAATTTCCTCGGCATTCCGTTCAAACGCTGAATGGAGTAATGGCCCAGCGGGAGGCTCGATGGTCTTGAAATCAAGGTTACTCGTGGAAAGGAGACCCTCAGGAAGATGCGTGGCATCGAAATGGTGCGCGGATGGGTCCTGAGTGCACGCCTTCAACGTTGCAGCGTACGTGTCGTGGATCACACGAATGTCCTCCTTCGCGATAAACGCTCTACAAATGCGGCCTTTAGTCAATGATTCATGGGACCACTGTAGATTGACTTACTCATGGAAATGCAGAACGAGTGCGAGGGTATCATTGCGACGATCGGGAACAAGCTCACAAACAAGAGGAAACTGTGATAATCAGCTCCAGCTCCATCGTGGAAGGTTGTATGACTTACATCCATCTCTCCGGAATCTTCCTCTAAAGACCAGATGTTTTCATCCAGGCTGTAGATGGACTGCTGAAGAATGAAAAGGGTATCAAAAAGACGTGTGCCATCGCCACTGAACTTGGCCTGGATGCGTCGAAGAGGCGTCAGCTGGTAAGGTAAAGAATCCGCATTAAAAGAAGAAAGGTATGTAAGTAAATCGCAGTTCTTGCTCTTTGCAGAAAGATCCACTCTGACCGGCAGAGTGTTGAAACACGGCGCAACAAGTCTATCGAGACCATCTATAGGGAGAGTCCGTCCGCTGACAACATTGCCGAAGCAAACGTCGCTCTCACCAGTGTACAGAGACAAAATCTTTGCCCATGCAGCTTGGCACAAGGCTAAAAGAGTGCAAGAGAGTTTCCGACAATCAGACTCGAGAGTGCTGAGTGAGAGCGGCAGATTTTCCACAAAGACGGACCGTCGGGTTCTGGTCTTTCGGGCGGCAGCAGAAAGACCAGTAAGGTCCGGGAAAGAAGTTGGTTCGAGACTCTGGAGGCGACCAGACCAGAATGCGTCAGTCTCCTCCGATCGGACTTGGATCATCTCAGCCAGGAATTGGTCGAAAGACGAAACCGGTGGCAGGTCGTTGCCACGATACATCTTCTCCACCTCTGTCATTAATTGACCCATGGCTGCGCCATCATATAGGGCATGATGGCAGCAGAAGAGCAGGTGGCTGGAGTTTTCTGTCTGTATCGTTGCAAACCGAAGCGGAGGTTGTGTGGATTCAGCCATGGATGCGACAATCGATTCCACGTATTCGTTTATTCTGGCATCAAGCTCGGCGTCATTTGCATCGATCTCGTCCCAGTGAGGCGCACTTTCCTCAAGAACAACCTGTGCAAAAGCATATCGATGGTCTTCTGTGGCGATGAAGCAGGTCCTGAGAATTTCATGCCGTTTGCACATGGCAGTCCAGCATTCCCGCAGGCGAGCGTGATCCCCTTGGACTTTGAAAACCATCTTGTTGAGATACGTAGCTGTCTCAGAAGCCCCTCCAGCCGAAAGCATGGCCTCCTGCAGAGGACTGCACGGCAGGATTTTGGAGACACGGATCTTCTCGTCGCTAAACGCGGACAGAATTTGTTCCCGAGTAGAATCACTGAAAACGGTGGTCGGGTCCACAGCTTGAGGCCGAACATCGGAACCCGAAGTCTTTTCCGAAATGAACCTCGCCAAGCGCACGATAGTTGCATTCTGAAGGATGGCTGAGACTGGAATACGTGGTAAGTTGGCTTCCTTGAGTCCGTTAGACAGAGAGATAGCCGAGATTGAATCCAACCCATAGGCAAAGAATGAAGCCTGCCTCTTGATCTCATCCGTTGGCATCTTTAGAACGCTGGCAAGGATGTTGGCGATCGCACTCTCAAGTTCGGACCAGTCGCCGGTTTCGTCAAGCTCCTCGGACTTTCGTGAGACCAAATCGATATAATCCGGCGTCAGTTGCTCGTACAGAGCTGTAAGCTTGCGTTTGTCCGTCTTGCCTTGAGTGGTCATTGGGATGGATGTGACAGGAACAAGAGCGTTGGGCAGCATATAGGCTGGGAGCTTGTTTGCTAAGTTGCTGAAAACCTCGGCTACAGTCTTTTGCGTCTTGTCCTCAATAGGCACAACTTGAGTGTCCGGAGAAGAGAAGCCAAGAGGCACCCAGAAAGACACCAGCTGCTGAGCAGTTCGATTCTGAATACCCATTAGGAGAGTGACGCAGTCTGTGACCGATGCCGAGTCGAGGATGCAACTGTTGATCTCTCCAAGTTCTATCCGCTGACCGCGTAGCTTGACCTGATCGTCCGACCGACCAGTGAACAGGATTGATCCATCGGGGCAGAGGCGGCCCATGTCTCCGGATCTGTAGATCCGACCCCACGTGGGATGGTCAATGATCTTTTTCGCGGTAAGTTCGGGCATATTGAGGTAGCCGCGGAAGACCTGATCTCCACCAAAGCACAGCTCGCCAACGCCACCTCTGGGAATGAGAATGTCCCTAGTCTCATCCATAACAAAGGCAGAGGTATTAGTGAATGGGGCACCAATGTTGTTGATCAAGTCATCCTCGGTGACCCTGGGCCTGACCGTGCAGATGTTCGTTGTTTCAGATGGACCATAGCCTTGATAAAGACCCTTGCCCGCCCAGGTTCTTTTCACGTGCTCAGTGACAGCCTCACCCGCTGTGACAAGGAACTTGACATTTGGAACATTGTCTGGGTTCACCAATGCTGCCACCGTCGGTGTGAAGCTGAGATGAGTGATGCCCATTTGGCGAATTGCAAGTTCCATGTCCTGGAAGAGCTCATCCTTCGTGCCAGAGCAAAGGCACATGCCTGCGTACCACGAAAAGAATATTTCGAAGACGGAGACATCGAACGCCTGAGAGCAAGATTGGAGAAGCCGAGAACCCTCAGGGCAGGGATATATCTCCGAAAGAACTTTCAGATTGCTCACGAGATTGTCTTGTGTGACAAGAACTCCCTTAGGTGTACCTGTGCTACCGGAAGTGAACACTGCGTACGCCACACGAGATCCATCGTAGGGCACGTTTGGATTCTCGGTGCTGAAACCATCGAGGTTGACTTTGTCCACGTCCAAAACATCACGCTCTCCAAGTGAACGGATATCGGCAAGGCAGTCGCTCCTTGTTAGGCAGATGCGTACTTTTGCCTCATGAAGGATAAATCGAATTCGCTCAAGAGGTGTCTCCGGAGTGATGGGAACGTATCCGGACCCAACTTTCAAGGTTGCAAGGATCGAGACGTATAGATCGGTTGACTTTTCCATGCAGATGCAGACGAGCTCTTCAGGTCCGACGCCGTGAGAGAGGAGAAGACCTGCAAGCTGGTTCGCTCTCTCATTGAGTTGTCTGTAAGACATCGTTTGCGTCTGGATGCCACCTTCAGTGATATTACTGCTGAAGGCAATTGCTGGAGCATCTGGACATTGCTCGGCCTTGGTTTCCACAGCGTGGCTGGGTCCTTCCAGAATTTCCTCATGTTTGAAGTCGGCATTTTCAATTGACAGTACAGAGTGATCCATGCGTTGGATTGACTGAGCAAGCTCCATGTCAACATTCTGTGAGAAGAAGCCAACAAGCTGTTCGATTTGCGATATTATGATGTCAACTTGAGCCTTCGGCAGAACAGCAGGGTCGTAAGTTGCCTTGGAGACAACACCAGTTGCGCGGGGCTCAAACTCTAGGGTCAACCTAAACTCGAGCTGGTCTGCGCCATCGACTTGTGAGACCAGGCTGTCCTTGTTTTCGCTGCTTTGCAACGATTCTTGCCATACAAAGAGCATATCGAAAAGCGGACTTCCAGGTGCCAGACCGCAGGCTTTCTTGACGTCGCGCAGCGGCAACTCACAGTGGCTGAGCATCGCACGATTGAGCTCATGGATTTGAAGAAGTAGGTCCTTGACCGTGCGAGAACGAGAAACGTCCAACCGGAGAGGCAGGGTGGCGATGCAAGGCCCAATGATTTCTTCAATCCCGGAGACAGGAATGGTTCGACCAGAAGTAACGGTTCCGAAGGTAATGTCGTTATTGTTGAAGTAGAAACTTGCAAGGACCGCAAGAGCCGCTTGGAAGAACACCTGGGTATTAACTTTGATTGTGCTGGCTTGGTGCCTCAGATGTTCAAGAGGTGTGGACAGAGCACGCCCCGTGACAGCAAGAGTGTTTGCATGCACGTTCCTGCCATTGAAATTGGGAATTGGAGCATACGTGTAGCTCTCCAACTGCTTCTTCCAATAATTAAGCGAAGGTTCGAGATCAGTCGCCGATGTGGTAGCAAAGTGGACAGCTACATCACGGAATTGAGGTCTCGCCGGGATCTCGCCGCCGGAAATGAGAGTATTCAAGTCAAACACAATCAGATCCATAGACCATCCATCGTAGAGGGCATGTGGAATCTGGCAGAGAATCCTGGGGCGACTGGTCGAGGTCAAAATTTGGAACTTGAGCGGCCTTAGCAAAGACTCGGGTGAGCTGAGCTCGTAGTTCTTTTCAAATTCATCGACTTCAACCATCTGGCTGTCGGAAAGCGCCGACCAGATGATCTGCGCATATGAATGCGTCGAACCTGTCAGGCTACAGAAGCCGGAGCGCAGAATGTTGTTCTTTTTTGCCAGCTCTGTCAACCAACCCTTGAGCTGGGATGCGCTGCACTCTTGATGAATTTCAAGCTCAACCCAGTTACAGTACGCCCGTGGGTTGATGGAAGTCTCGGCAAGCATAGCGGCTTGCAAAGGTGTGCATCCAAGAACATCTTCGACGTCAGAGATGTGGCGGCGAACCTCGTTCAGATTCAAGACGGCTTGCTTAAGGTCCTTGAACGTGTCATTTGAGGAGCTCGAGAGTCCTGTCGCGATGCTACGATCTTTGAGCAGTAATCTGAGAGACTGAGCGTCGCGTGCAGATAGTACATCAACAGCACCAAGCGAATAATCCGACAACCGCAATGCCGAAGCTACCCGTATCGCCTTCAATGAGTCAAGGCCGAGGGCAGCAAGGTTGCTTGTTGGATGTACCGTCTCTTGGAGGACACTAGTGAGTATAGTGCAAATGCGTCGTTCAGTCTCGTCTGCATGTTCAGTTCGCACAGGGCGCTCAGTGCCTTGTTGGTCCCTGTAGCTAGCCTCGAGCGTTTTGCGGTCAACCTTGCCAGAGGGCAATCGAGGGATGTCATCCAATATGACGACATCTCCAGGCACCATGAACGCTGGAAGCCAACGCTTGGATTCTTCAATGACCTGTTGAGCGGTGAGGCTGAGATCTTGCGCAAGAACAAAAGCGACGAGAATGCCCGAAATGACACTAGCGGTAACACTGCGGCATCCTTTAATGTTTGTCAGGGCTTGCTCCACTTCTCCAAGTTCGACGCGTTGGCCTCGTAGTTTCACTTGGCCGGAAGAGATACGGCCCAAGCACTCCAGGGTACCGTCGGGCAACAACCTTGCCTTATCTCCCGTTCGGTACAAGCGCCCGTACTCCGGGTGATCGACGAAAGCTGCAGCCGTCTGCTCGGGCCGGTTGAGATAGCCGACGGCAAGTTGGTGACCGCCGACGGCAAGCTCACCAACCTGACCAATGGGAAGAATTTCCAATGGGGCGGGTATGGATTGATCTTCGGGCGGGGGAGCGACGATGAAGGCTGAAACGGTGTCTAGTGGGACTCCGATATTGCCCACCTTAGATTGCGCGCTAAAGCTTGGTTGGAGGGTGCAGTGTATGGCAGCTTCCGTGGGGCCATACATGCCCCACAGGATGCTTGGCCGCCCTTCATTGCCGCCGAACTCCTGCACGATCTGGGTACTCAGCATTTCGCCGATCGTAAGGAGAAGTTTCAGTTTCGGGACAGCACTGCGCGTCTGCAGCAGGGTCCCTGCAACGGTGGGGGTAAGTTCAGCGCCATCCACCTCCAGCGTTCTCATGGCTGCCGGGAGATCATTAAGTAGAACTGTGCGGTCGCACGTGACAAGTGTGCAACCTCTGAATAAGGGAAAAAAGATTTCGAAGACCGACACGTCGAAGGTGGGTGCGGCGAATTGAAGGAAGCGCGAGAATGAAGGTATGTGGCGATCGTGGGCCAGCAGACTCTGAGTGGCAGCGGAATGCGAAACGCCGACTCCTTTCGGAGTGCCGGTCGAGCCCGAGGTGTACATGACATAGGCAAGGTCTTCCGGACTGGGGTCTGGGAAATCCGCGCAATCTGCCGAGTCCAGATTGGAACAGCCGTCTTCTAACAGCAAAACATGAACATTGCTGGCTGGGGGTATCTTATCGCGAAGTGAAGGAGTGGTGATGACGAGCCTTGCGGAAACATCCTGGATGATGAACTTCACACGTTCTGGGGGCGCATCTAAGTTTAGGGGGCAAAACGCGCCTCCTGCCTTCAGGATGGCAAGCTGGGCGACGTAGAGCTCCGGAGACTGTGGTACAAGCAAGGGCACCACGGGGTGTGGCCTCGACGGAGTCAAGTGGGAGAGAATTATGCTCGCCAGCGACGTCGTCAGGCGGTCTAGGGCGGAGTAGGACAGCTCGGCGCGCTTCCCATCGGCACCGAGATAGTCAATGGCGGGCCTCGCGGAGTGGTCCGTCCATTGCACCAGGTGATGAAGCAACCGTGGGCCTTCCAGCGCCGCCGGGTGCGGGTTGAGGACTGACAGAGAGACAGGCGGCGAGCTTTCGCTCGAAGCGTGTGCCTGGGCGATGCAGCGTCTCAGCTGCGACGCCATGTGGCGGAGGTGGTGGACGGGCAGATAAGCCGAGGAGATGAGGCGTCCCCAGGCCGCGTCACGGTCGTATTGGAAAGTAAGGGCCTGCGGCGGGTGGGCCGAAGGAGTCTGTCGGAGCGTCAGAGGAGAATTTGCGGAGAAGGGGCGGGCTGGGCAACATACCGAGTTGATGCAGACTCGAGTGACGTTGGCGAGGTCCGACGCGGGCTGCGGCGGCGCGAGTGTTGAGATGGTAGCGCCAACCTCGACCGCAGCGTCGTCGACCAGGAAGCGCACTGCATCTGCGCCAGTGTATGCGCGCAGCAACGCAGCCCACGCGCGCAGAATTACCTCGTCTTGCAGCTGGGGAAGGCCCGCGAGAATCTCTTCTGCGCGGGCTGCGCCAGCATGCGCAGGCAACTGCGTGGAGTGAAGATTGGGGAAGGCCGTGAGGTCCATGGCTTGCGCAGTCACCGCACGAATTAGGAAATTAGAGACAGACTGGCGGGAGGAACGGCGCGTTCAAGTGGTACAAGTATAGAGACGGGCGGCCGACGGGATAGTGGGATCAGCGAATCACGGCCCAGGGATCTCAGCGGTGCATAATTTGCGGCCACAGGCGATGTATAATGAGGGCGCTGGCGGCCGCGTCCATGGCGCCCAGGCGTGCCGGATGCTGAGGAGAGCGGGCGCGTGAAGTCGTGGTCGATGACGATGCTCGCCGTGGCCCATGCCGTGCTGGGGCCCACGCCCGCTAGGGTCGGCCGCCGCGGGGCCACCGCCCGCGCTCTGTCCTCGCTCCGCCTCGCACTGCATCGCCCGCTCTCTCGTCTCGTCTCGTCGCCGCACCCTCGCTTTGGGACGCCGTTTCTGCCGTGGCCTCCCGGTGACACCTCCGCACGCCATCATCATGCAGGCTTCCTCTCTAGGAATTGGTCCGCCGCTCTTGCATGCCCGCCGACATGGTCCGCCATCGGAGCGCCCACGCGAGCAGCCCCGGCACGCGGGCACCCAACCTGCGGGCACCAAACGCCGCAGTGGATCATGTGTGTCAACGGAAATCTCATCTGATCATCAGATAATTCGACCATCGGGCTAACGTAGCATGCAAAATCTTCCACGAGCTTGGCGCCCGGAAACACGGCCCCAAAAGGCTTAACTGCAGCCTCTTTTGCCCTAGGCCGAGTCCAGCAGGCGGATCTGATAAGCCCCACACTGCAGGGGTCGCGCCGCTGGCGCCGGCCCTTACGTGCGTGCGCGGTCCGCTGGCGTCGATTCGCACCTCCATGCACACCAGCTCGTACAGTGCCGCCCGATGGCGAGCCCTGCATCCCGGCCCAGTCGGCGAGCCGTGGACTGTCACCATGGCCCCAGCATCGGTAAAGGCGCCGCCCCGGAGGCGGCACAACGCCACCGGCACCGGCTTTCTCTCTTGGCCGTTTGCTCCCGCTTCACCGACCTTGACTCTGTGCTGTCCTCATCCCGCCGGAAATTTCTGCCAGCTTACCAAGGCTTTGATCATCCCCGGTTTCTCCTTTGGGATTGAACGGAGTTTGAGCTGTGCTGGCCTAGCCATCGCCATTTCTAGAAGACATGGCCGAGGTCCAGTTCCCTTATACGTAAAATTCTTGCTAAGGACATCCGGGGAAAACGCCTCCTCCTCCATCTCACATCCCCATGGAGGCCTCTGTTGTACCGCCAGAGCCCACGGCTCTCGAACCCGTCCGTACGCGTAACGATGCCGACCCTTCTGCTGGAGAAACCCGCTCCCAACACGCGCGTCATAGCCGAAACGTCAGCGCCGGCGACTCCCAATGGCGCCGAGACATGGACGTGACCTCGCTCAGCACTGCTCAGCCGAGAGCCTGGCATGCTGAGATTGGCGGTGTCTCCAAGATATTCTTCAGACGCATTGCTGGCCTCAATCCCTTCAAGACGTCCTACTTCTCGCTCTACCGACCGCTCAAGAGCTTCCAGGACCGATGCATCCTCATCGCTGGTGTAATTCTGGGCATCGCCGCTGGCGTGCCTCTGCCCTTGATTGGCGTCATTTTTGGCCACATCATTGATGCCTTCCCGCCGTCAGAACACGAACTCGCCGTCCGCATTTCGCAGTTGCTCGGGGTTGCTGTGGCATACTTTGTCGTCACTTGGGGATGGGCCGTGTGCTGGGGCATCATCGGTGAGAGGACCTCCCGCGGACTACGGGAGGCACTTGTCGAGCGTGCTCTTGGAATGGAAATGGCCTATTTCGATGTCGAAGCGCCAGACATGACCAGTATTCTCACGGAAAAGACCCAGACCGTGCAGCTTGGTACCTCTGAGAAAGTCGGCCTCTTCATCCAGTCAATCTCATACTTCGTGGCCGCTTTCACTGTCGGCTTCATCCTGGATGCCCAATTGACCGGAATCCTCCTGGTGGCAGTCATCCCAACCATGTTCATCATCATCACTTTCGGCTCGAAAACTGTCGCAAAACTGCAGAAAAGCTCGGCAGATGTTGCAGAGAACGCTGCTGCTATCGCATCGAGTGCCTTGAAAGCCGTTCAGGTGGTTCAAGCATTTGGCATTGCGGACAAGTTGGCCGATGAATACCTCGAACTCCTGAAAAGGTCCGTCCGGATTGGGGTCCGAAAGTCGATCGCAGGAGCAGCTATGCTTGGATGTGTATACTTCACTGCTTACTCCGCCAATGCCCTTGCCTTTTGGTATGGAACCAAACTTCAAGAAGATAGGGGCGCAGATGGCGGTGCTGGCACAATCTATGCGGTCGTCTTCCTCATCCTTGACGCCTCCTTTGTCGTCGGCCAGTTCGGTCCTTTCATCCAAACTTTCGCCATGGCAGCAGGCGCCGGTGAATCCATTTTCGAGGTCCTGGACCACGCAGATCCACATATCGATGTGTATGCAAAAGATGGCGAGACTCCTGACGCATCTGACTTCGCGGGTGGCATTCGTTTTGAGAACGTCACTTTCGTCTACCCTGCAAGACCGACTGCGAGGGTTCTGAATCACGTAAACCTCAACTTCCAGCCCGGTGCTGTGAACGGCATCGTCGGTGCTTCTGGCTCCGGCAAGTCCACCGTTGCTGGCCTTCTTCTGCGGTTCTACGATCCCTCTTCGGGAAAGGTCACTATTGGCTCAAAGGACATCAAACGATTCAACGTTGGTGGACTTCGTTCTCGGATCTCAATGGTCAACCAAGAGCCAGTTCTCTTCTCCGGCACGATTTTCGAAAACATCAAATACGGGCTAGATGAAGACCACGGGCTCTCCGATGAGGAAGTTCTCCGACGCTGTGAAGAAGCAGCACAGGAGGCGGCTTGCGACTTCTTCGACATTCTCCCAGATGGCATCCATACTGCCATTGGAAGTTCGGGCCACACCTCGTTGTCTGGCGGTCAAAAGCAACGGATCTGTCTGGCGAGAGCTCTGGTTGGAAACCCTTCCCTGCTGATCCTTGACGAATACACCAGTGCCATGGATGCCACCAGCGAAGCTCTGGTCCTCAAAGCTCTGGATAGAGCCACATCTGTGTCCGGTCGAACGACTATCATTGTCGCCCACCGTCTAGCTACGATCAAGAACGCCGCAAAGATCATGGTTATGGAGCAGGGAAATCTCATCGAAGAGGGCACACACGAGAGCCTTATCGAGATGAACGGTACCTACAGCCGTCTAGTTGAGGCTCAAAAATTCGATAAGAGCCCCCTGGATTCGAAGACGTCATCGATAACAGCAACCCCCAGCATCGCTCCGATGACCACCGAGATGGACAAAGACACTGAAATCCCTACTGCCGGACAAGCGCAACCATCGCAAGCCAGCCAGCCTTCCAAGCCATTCAGTATCGCCCAAGTTTTACGCAGAGCGTTTCTTCTCAGCAAACCGGAGACCCTGTACATAATGCTGGGACTGTTCGCCTCCATGTGCAGCGGAGGTATCATTATTGGCGAGGCAATCATTTTCGGCAGCCTCGTGTCCACTCTGAACACCGATTTTAACAGTCCCGATTTTGACAGCCAAGTCAACTTCTTTTGCTTGATGTTCTTCATCTTGTCTCTCATCGCGCTGTGCGCGTATATGACAAGCGGATCCTGCTTCGGTGTCGTTTCTCAGTGGCTTCTCTGTCGTATTCAGGACACTTCACTCAGAAACATCCTCAGGCAAGATGTGTCCTGGTTCTCGAAGCCAGGAAGGTCATCGCATGCCCTCATGTCGAGCTTGAGCATGGATGCTGGACACATTAGCGGTCTTTCTGGCGTCATCATTGGCACGATCTTCTCGGTCACTACTTCAATCTGCGGTGGGATCATTCTCGCCCACGTTGTCGCTTGGAAGATCGCAGTCGTGTTACTTGCTGCGGTTCCGATTATGCTCGTTGCGGGCTTTTTCAGACTTCGCGTCCTGTCCATGGCGGAAGAGCGCCACGAGACTGCCTACAACGATGCTGCAGCTTTGGCCTCTGAGGCTTGCGCTGCCATTCGCACTGTCTCTGCACTTGGGCGAGAGCGCGGTGTATTCAAGCAGTACAAGCAGGCCATCCAGGGCCCTTACCAAGAGAGTCTCAAGTTCACCTTGATTGGAAACATTTTGCTCGCGTTTTCGCTCTCCATCACGTACTTTGTGTATGCCCTGGCCTACTGGTGGTAAGTTTGGTCTACCTAGGTGATGATAATCACACCAGAGCTTTGCTAATTTTTTTTTTTTTACGCCAGGGGTTCGAGGCAAGTGCGCGAGGGCATGTATGGCATGCGCGACTTCTTCATCGTTCTACCGGCGCTTCTATTCTCCGCACAGTCAGCTGGCCAAATGTTCTCACTTGCCCCAGAGATCACCCGCGCCAAGTCAGCGGCACGCAACGTCTTCAAACTCCACGACGAAAAGCCCTCGATCATAGTCGACGAACCTAACACAACGAGCGCAAGCTCTCTGTCGGACAACGTGGCTGAGAAAGCAAAGGCTGGGCGCAAAGGGACGCTGGAGCTGAGGAATGTCAGTCTTGCCTACCCCTCGAGACCCGACACTCTGGCTCTGAAGGGCATAAGTTTGTCGATTCGAGCGGGTGAATATGTCGCATTCGTGGGACGGTCCGGGGCTGGCAAGTCATCGTCAATCGCTCTCATCGAGCGCTTCTTCGACCCGACATCAGGCAGCGTATTCATGGATGGCGAGAACATCAAAAACAAACCGGTCTACTCGCACAGGGCGAGGATTGGTCTTGTCGAGCAGGAGCCGAACCTGTTCCCTGGAAGCATCATGCACAACGTATCGTTGGGGGCGAGACCCGGGGTGACGCCGACAAGGGAAGACGTGGAAAGAGTGTGCAAGATGTGCGCGCTGCACGAGTTCATCATGAGTCTACCAGAAGGCTACAACACCGAGGTGGGCGCCAACGGGGGCCGACTATCAGGTGGGCAGCGGCAGCGGCTAGCGATAGCACGGGCACTTATCAGAGACCCGGAGATCTTGCTGCTCGACGAGGCTACCTCGCAGCTGGATGCGACGAGCGAGAAAGAGGTTAGAAGGGCGATCGCAGCCGCGTCGTCGGGGCGAACCACGATCATGGTAGCGCACCGACTGGCCAGCGTGCAGAAGGCAGATCGGATTTTCGTCTTCGAGAACGGCAGGATTGTGGAGCAGGGCAACCACGACGAGCTGGTTGCGCAAGGGGGCATCTATTCGGGCATGGTCGAGACGCAGCAGCTGACTTGATAAGGCTTGCTTCCATAGTGCTTCCAGCAGGGCGTTTAGGCGTGGTGGGGTTCAGCGTCACGGCAGGGATCAGCTCTTCATTTCACACAACGAGTACTTGGTTGTCTAGAACAGGCAAATACGTTGCGCGTCCGGCTGTTTGGAGTAAAAAGTTTCCAGCTCAAGAGACAAAACGCGCTTAGCCGGCACAGAAAGACAGATGGACGCGTCAGCCCGTAGGATTGTAATACAGCTACTGTGATCTAGCCGGCGGGACCCACGCCGCGCAGCAACTATACATATATCAGGGTGCTGTGCCTGATCTACAGTGCGTGGTTCTACAGTGATTTCCTGATCGGGACGTGCAGCATGCGTTGCAACGTGAAGGCAGCTGTTCGCCACAACGTGACAGCGGCGGAATTGTCAGCCATGGGCCGGGCGGCAGACTGCAACCTCGGCTCGAGGAGAAAGAAAAAAAATTGGACGTCACGGATTATGGTGTGTGCCTCTAGCGCGGGCAGACGTGTGTGGCTGCCCCCCGGACGGTTGCATCGGGTCCGAAACTCGGCGCGCTAGCGGGAAACGGATCAGATAACTGTATCCAACATAGGCGTGGTGGGCCGGGCTTGGACATGTCTTGGGAGGCGAAGCGAGGCTCGGCGATGAACAGGGGCACGGCAGGGCACGCGCGGTTTTTCGCAATGCACTTGCTCTTTCCAGACCAGCGCCCGACTCGCGCCAGGCGCCCTGCACGTCGAAAAATTTTGTCGCCGTGTCCCACCCCGCCGACCGCGCTAATCTTATCTAATAATTATCTGATTCAGATCATCGCCAGCGGCTGCCCTTTGGGCTAGCTGTGGGTTGCGCCGCCGGACGAGTACCGCGATGCGCTTTGCTAACAGGAACTTCTCGTCCGATGGTCTGCTGAGACCGCGTTGCCTGCGCCTCGAGCTGCCTGCGGGCCCTTGGCGGACGGGTCGAGCCGGGCGAAAGCGCTCCGCGGGCAGCGAGCATAAAACGCCAGGCGGCCGCGACTGCAGCGTTGCTCCCCAGCCTGCCGCTGCTGCGACTTCTGTTGTCGTTGTGCTCCTACTTAGCTGAGCGGTCCCGTACGTAGCCCGCCCCCGCGCCTGCCGCAAGAAAGTCATTGCGTCATCGTCTCTCAACTCACCCAGAGCAGCCGCTGACACGCTCATCCAGAAGCTTTGAAATCCCTGCCCTGCCATTCGCCCGCCTTCGCAGCGCCTATCCAGAGCAGAACTACCAGGTGAGCTCCAACAGCCAATGGCCGCGCGTCCGCCGGCCAGGGCACCATCACAGAGTGCCCCGCCGCCGTCGGAGAAAAAGTGTAGCTGATGTATATATATCAGTTTATGTTCTCGGAACTCTCCTCAGTCACCACTCCAGTGCCTGTCTTGCTCGACCTGTCCACCCGCACACAATGAGCCCTCACGCCGACTACTCGACTCCCCCCCAGCACAACAACCAGCCCCTGCGCAGCGTCCACAGGGCCACCCAGCCCAAGATGCATCGGAACACCAGCTACCTGAGGCCCTCCTCCGAGGACGAGCTGCACGACATTATTTGCGTCGGCTTCGGTCCTGCGTCGCTTGGCATTGCCGTGGCCATGCACGACGCCATTGAGGCCTCAGGCCATGTGGGGCAGCTCGACAGGCTGCCCAAGGTTGCCTTCTTGGAGAAACAGCCCGAGTTCCGCTGGCACGCGGGCATGCTCCTCGAAGGCGCCCACATGCAGATTTCTTTCATCAAGGACATGGCCAGTCTGCGCAACCCGCGCAGCAACTTCACTTACCTCAACTACCTCCACAAGAACGACAGGCTGATTGACTTCACCAACCTGAACACCTTCTTGCCCCCGCGTGTTGAGTACGAGGACTACCTGAGGTGGTGCGCCAGCCACTTTGACGACGTCACCTCCTATGGTCAGGAGGTCGTCCAGGTCGTCCCGGAGAAGACGACCATTGACAGCGCCGCTGTCGACTCCTTCGTCGTCAAGTCCAGGAACACCGTCACCGGCGAGACCACTTCTCGCAGGGCCAGGCACGTCGTCATTGCCACTGGCGGCAGGGCCAAGATCCCCGAGCCCTTCCCCAAGGACCACCCCAAGGTCATCCACTCTTCGGCCTTCAAGTACACTGCGCCCAAGCTTCTGCCTGAGCGCAACGCTCCCTACAAGATTGCCGTCATTGGTGGCGGTCAAAGTGCTGCCGAGATCTTCGAGAACCTCCAGACCAACTACCCCAACTCGAACACCAACCTCATCATCAGGGCCCAGCACCTCCGCCCCAGCGACGACTCTCCCTTCGTCAACGAAATCTTCAACCCCGAGAGGACTGATGACATGTTCAGCCGTGATCCTGAACTCCGCACCAAGACGATCCTCGACGACAAGGTCACCAACTACGGTGTCGTTCGTCTCAACCTCCTTGAGAGGCTGTTCGAGACCATGTACCTCCAGAAGATGAAGTACGGCGCCCAGGAGAACTGGCCCCACAGGATCCTGAACTTCCGCACCGTTGTTGAGGCCGGCCAGTCCCCCGTCATCAAGGGCGGTGTTCGTCTGGTGGTCAACAACCACAGCAATGATTTCTGCGCTCGCAAGAGTGCAACTGAGGAGGTTCACGACTACGACCTGGTTGTCGTCGCCGTCGGCTATGAGCGCAACGAGCACGAGGATATCCTGCAGGGCAGCCGCTGGCTGATGCCCGGTGGCGGCAGTGCCGGCCAGAAGTGGGAGGTCAACAGGCACTACGGCGTTTTGTTCGAAGAGGGCAAGGTTAGCCCTGATGCTGGCATTTGGTTGCAAGGTTGTAATGAGATGACGCACGGTGTAAGTTTTCTCCAGTCCTTCCTGCTGCTTTCCCCTCCCATCACCCCCGCCACCTCGCTTCCCAGCAGCCTGTGATTCGTTCGCCAAACTTGATTTCTCACCTTCCTATTCCGCCTCGCACACCCTTCTCCATCATTTACAGGAAACCCATCTTCCGAAGGATCGGCAGATGTGGTACTCTTGTATATCACTCCACCCCCACGGGATTCTAGACCTGATCCTCCACGATTTGAGGGATTAAATGCTGACAAGCCTTGGCGCTTACAGTTAAGTGATACCCTACTCTCCGTTTTGGCCATTAGAAGCCAGGAGGTTGTTTCTTCGATTTTCGGTCCACAGGTTGAGCATAGCAACGGCGTTCATCACGAGGAGGCTTCTCAGTCTCAAAACGGTCACCACGCCTCCCACCAGACTCAGCTCCAGGCTTAGACCTGAGGCATTGGTGAGGGATTGACGCGGATCATGCAGTCCTCAAGTTATCATTTCTGGGCTCGCGACTGTTCAAATTTGCTTTCTACAGTTTGATAAAAATATAGCTATTTGTATGGAGTCTTTTTTAAACAAAGGATAAATGGGAACGAAATCTACACCTAGCCATTGCGACTTTTGAAATTTGCTCGGCGGTCCCGACTAAGTCCGACCCGGAAGCTGGACTTCAGACCACTCCTTTGTTGTCGCCGAGTAGTGGTCGCTCTTACCGTCGGAGACCGCGGGCAATTCCGATGACGAAAAAAGCAGATGGAATGGCATTGAGGGACGAAAAAAAATGGGGCTGCTGGATCTGCAACACGCCTGCATATGCGTGCGGGCATTGTAAGTCTCGCCAAATTCCGCTGCTAAGAATGTTTCGGCCACCTACCATGTCCGCGTGAGGGCCCATCGCTTCAGGCAGGCTACCAGTGAGAGCATAACAGCGGAGATTGATGTGATCGTACCTGGCTATGCTTTAATCTCACTCTTACGTCTTTGCCACCCGATGTACGGGATGGGAGTGAGCAGCGGCGGATCCGGCGGAGAATCAAGTTTGCTCACCTAGCCTGGACCCGCCTAGCTGGCGCTGCAGCGGGTAAGTAGCATGGGGCTTCAAGCCCGACTCCCCTTCACATGCCTTCCTTCTGTTAGCTTTTCCTTAGCTTTTCCTGCCCCTTTTTGGGCAATGGTGAATCAATGGTGTGTACTCGATGGAGCTAGGCTGTGGAGTTCTGGGCACCAAGCGTCTGTGGCTCGCAGCTATTACGGTATGCAGCGCGAAAGAAAGGCCGGTGGGGGGCACGCTTTCTGTGGCGGCGGCGAACCCGCTGGCTTTCTCGCGCCGCCATACACTATTGGAGCTTGAGTACGGTCCGGCCAATGTCATCCCACGTTCCAACGACCCTTCTTGTTCTCTTCTGTGCATGCTATTACGGTGAAGAATGAAGAAACGGAGACCGCTTTCCGCCCTTCCGTAAGGTGCTATGATCCTCAGGCCGGTCACGGAGGCGGTTCGGACTCGATTGGGATCGCTAAGAAGAGGGGTTTGTTCTTGACAACTGTTCAACGTGTGGAGGAAATGGAGCAATGCCATTGCTTATTTGGCACAGGGATCAATGGCCAAATTGAAACGGGTTTCAGGGACGTGTCCCCGCTGATGTTTCCTTTTGCGTCATGTGGAGACGCATGCGTTGTTGTACCTAGCCTCACGTCGTCGGGTTTACGCTATGGTGTGCTTCGGCCTTCAGTCTCGCCAACTTGTACATGGCAGCAGATCTGCTAGTGCTATTCTTGGCCCCATGCATGGGCCCCTTTTGATGAGCGGTCACCCTAGTCATGATTGGCCCGTTCCCTTTTTACCCTTTTACAAATGGATATCGTCAGGTGCAGCAGACGGAGGAAGGCGAGCATGTATCGTCCGGTGTAAACCGATCCGCACGGGGTCGGCCTTAAGGTCGGCGAGCTCGGCAGCCATCCCGTCCGTACCCGCTTGGACACAGGCCTGTTGTATCCCGTCGGCACGGGTCTCTTGCTTTAGCGTTGCAACCTTGGGAGCAAATCACAGGCCCTCGTCTCTGCAGAATTTCTCAGGATCTGCCTCACAATTTCTTTTTAATTTTCTTTATTGGGGATTGTGGAGTCTGCGAGCACCGTGTGCCATGACGTTTGATACTTGCATGTTTGTGACATCCTGCATGCTATTTACATTACCTACTCCTCGCTGTCAGGTACCTACTAAGACCACCACATGTGTCATTACCAGTCCGCAGACCAATGGTAGAGTATCTAAATACACTTCTTTTATCAACCAGATATATTCATAGCGGAATCATAGGTTGGTTCCGTCGGCCTTCGGATAGTCCAGTACGATGCTATAAGCAGTTTGTGAAGCTTTTGTCGTTTGAAGAAGTACCCTTGCTATTTCGGCTCGCCCCCTCCAGCAAACGACAGGGGCATGATAAGATAGAGCCGCCCTGGCATCGGAGTGTGAGGTCGACTTTGGGAATGGTCCCAATTGCACATCAGGCCTTGGTGGTCATCCTCAGCGCGGCGGATCGTCTCTCTTCTCCGATATGGGATCGTCGCAGCCTTGTGTCCGGCAGCACTAAATGCCGCGGTTATTCGCCGACTGGTGGGTCCACTCCATGGGGGAGACGTTTCAAGTGTCCAGGTTAAGGATGCCTTGCGGTCGGCGCATTTGCAACAGAAGCATTGTGGCTGCTCGTGGCTGGTGATTCGCTGCTCGGTGTACGGATTTACCAACGTGAGGCTCGGCTTTGGGTTCTTCAGGCTGGGTCTGGTACGAGATTTCTAAGCGCTGTAGCCGCTACAAGGGCTGCTGACCCCGCTTACTTGGTTTTGACTGTCTCCTGGTTGGTCTTTGCCTGTTCCTGAGAGCTTGCCGACGGGTCAGAGGTACATGTGAGCTACTCAGCTGATACCTGCCAGGGCGCGAAGCCGGAAGAAGCGCAGAAAAAAAATTGGTGAGACCCGAGGGTTTGGAGGTGGCGCGCCGCCATCATTTTGGCGCGGGGCTGGCTGGTACGACCTTCCTCTTTTCTGCCAATCCCCCTCTTTTGCCTCCACTGTGATGTGAGAAACGTGGTGTTGCGCTGCAGATTGTACGCGCAATCATATCGAATGGATTGATTAGCATCCCTCTCATTCGCCAGGCGCCTCACGACGCGAGCCCGCAACACCCACCACCCGCTCGATCCGCTCGAAAAGGACGCAGCCGTGGCATCACAATCTTCGCCGTCATATGCGTCGGGCCAGTTCTGGTTTCTTTGATGCGAGCTCCACTCGTTCCACGGATGTTTCCTTTGCCGCTGACCAAAGCATTGAAGCATTGCCCCCACACTATTTCATCTCCTCTCGGGACCTTCTCCGGACAGAATCATGCACGAGAGTCAGCGGTTTCAGTGCCCTTGGTACGAACAACCAAGGGCTGGGCGAGGCTGTGCCAGTGCAGTGGTCTGTCAGCAATGCCAAAGCAGGAAACAGACGACTCAGGATGCAGTCGCGGATCTCGTCGAAGCCGCGGCAAATTCGGATCAATTCGGCGATGTTCTATTGCGGTGGCTGCAGGAGTGCGAGTACGACCAGAGTTTGGATGCCCTTGCCGATATCGCTATCGCATTGATGAGGTCAAGCTCTTCTCCACACAATCGGAAATCACTTCCGTAGTGAATTTTCTGGAACCGAGCTCACGTCTGGACGTCAGAGGCTCCGACCTGTCGAAAGTCTATTTTTCTGCTCTTGGCGGTCCCTGGGGATCTTGGACTCCGTCCTTGGTCGCGCCTTGGTGTTGATAATATTGGTTGGTCACGCCGAAGTGCCTGTGTGCGTAGTCATTACCGTGACCTCGTAAAGAAAGGTACTGAACGGCCTTTCATGACGTCGTCTTGAGGGGGGCTCTTGCCTTGGTTCAGCGAAGGCGCCATTGCTGCGTTGACGGGCTCCCGATGGGGAATTGTAGACGAGTCGTGGAAGGTGAACCAGAGTGCCTTACTCAGCAGATCACGTGACTACGCTGCAGTCGGGTGGCATGTCCGCGCTGCGGGTTGTTGAGCATGTTGCTCAGAGTACCTGCTACTGTTGGCCCACTCGCCTGCTCGCGACCAAGCATGTGCATCCTCGAATGGCTTCCGCTGCTCCTTTCGTGGTGGTGAGGGTGTCTGCCTGGAATTTCACGTGGCTTAAGCCCCGCGCTTACTTGTTTCGGGATGGAACATTAAGAGTACGAGGGCGGTGGCAGGGGTGTCGAGCGTTGGCGACTGAGCAGATTCCAGGCCATTTTCGCTTTGGCAGAGGTCAATGGTGAGCGAGAATGGCGTGGCCGCAAGCAGCAATGTTCTCGAAGGCTCAGAACCCCATTTCTGATCGACGAAGTGTCGTGGCGTTGACATGGGTGTTGAGGAGCTATCCCCTCGCGGGTGGCGTCAGAGCTTCACGAACCCCACTATCTGCTGTCGGCCAACGCCTCCAACTCCCCTATCCCCCTTCCTCATCCTCGACCAGCATCACCACCGCCCTCAATTCTCTCCTCATCCGCAATCATGAGCGTCAAGACCGTTTCTCTGCAGCCTTTCCAGGACCAGAAGCCCGGAACGTGAGTGTGACCCCGCAGCCACCCACCACCAACTCCAATTGCTTCCGCTAACACCCTTTTCCCCCCAGCTCCGGCCTTCGTAAGAAGGTCAAGGTCTTCCAGCAGCCCAACTACAGCGAGGCCTTCGTCACCTCCATCCTCCTCTCGATTCCCGAGGGCGTCGAGGGCAGCACTCTCGTCATCGGCGGTGATGGCAGATACTGGAACCCCGAGGTCACCCAGCTGATTGCCAAGATCGGCGCGGCGTACGGCGTCAAGAAGCTCATTGTCGGCCAGAATGGCATTCTGAGCACTCCGGCTGCGAGCAATGTCATCCGTGTCCGCAAGGCCACTGGTGGTATCCTGCTCACCGCCAGCCACAACCCCGGCGGTACGCACCCCCTTCGGAGCATCGAGACGCTCGCTGACAAGACGCAGGCCCCGAGGAGGACTTCGGTATCAAGTACAACCTTGCCAACGGTGCTCCCGCCCCCGAGAGCGTCACCAACAAGATCTACGCCACCTCCAAGGCCCTGACTTCGTACAAGATCGCCGAGATCCCCGACGTCGACCTGAGCACCATTGGCACTCAGACCGTCGGTCCCCTTGAGGTCGAGATCATCCACTCGACTGAGGACTACATGAAGATGCTGAAGAGCATCTTCGACTTCGACCTCATCAAGGCCTTCCTCAAGGAGCACCCCGACTTCAAGGTGCTCTTCGATGGTCTCAGCGGTGTCACCGGCCCCTACGGTGTTGATATCTTCGAGAAGGAGCTGGGCCTGGCCGGCAGCACGCAGAACTGCATTCCCAAGCCCGACTTCGGTGGCCACCACCCCGACCCCAACCTGGTATACGCCAAGTCGCTGGTCGACGTCGTCGATGCCAAGGGCATCCACTTCGGAGCTGCCAGCGATGGCGATGGTGACCGCAACATGATCTACGGCGCCAACGCCTTCGTCTCGCCCGGCGACAGCTTGGCCATCATTGCCCACCACTCGGACTTGATCCCTTACTTCAAGAAGCAGGGCATCTACGGTCTTGCCCGCTCCATGCCCACGTCGGGCGCCGTCGACCTTGTTGCCAAGGCCAAGGGCGTGCAGTCGTACGAGGTTCCCACGGGCTGGAAGTTCTTCTGCGGCCTGTTCGACGCCGACAAGATGAACATCTGCGGTGAGGAGTCGTTCGGCACTGGCAGCAACCACATCCGTGAGAAGGACGGTCTGTGGGCGGTGGTTGCCTGGCTCAACATCCTCGCCGGTGTTGGCCAGAAGACGGGCACCACGCCCAGCATCAAGTCGATCCAGCAGGACTTCTGGAAGACGTACGGCCGCACCTTCTTCACGCGCTACGACTACGAGGGCTGTGAGACGGAGGGCGCCAACAAAATGGTCGCTCACGTCACGGAGCTGATCACGACCAAGAAGGACGAGTTCGTTGGGTCGTCGATCAAGGGCCGCAAGGTGGTTGATGCTGGCGACTTCTCGTACACGGACCTGGACGGCAGCGTCAGCAAGAACCAGGGCATCTACGTCAAGTTCGACGACGGCAGCCGCATCGTGGTGCGTCTGTCGGGCACGGGCAGCAGCGGCGCGACGATCCGTCTGTACGTCGAGAAGCACGAGTCGGACCCCGCCAAGTATGACGTCGAGACGCAGGAGTACCTGAAGGACAACGTCGACCTGGCGACGGGCCTGCTCAAGATTCAGGAGTACACGGGCCGCACCGAGCCCACGGTCAAGACCTAAATGCGCCTGCCGAGGGACTGCGGATTGACGAGTGATGATAAAAATGGATAGGTGCACTCAGATTGCTCCAGCATAATTTCCTTGTTTTTTTGTTTTGGCAGCGGACGTATATCGAGAATTCGCAGTAGTCTCGGAATATAGAAAAACAATCAAAGTAGATATACGGGCACACATGTCGTCATCGCGTGGAGGTTTCTCGGACGTGAGGCTGCAATCCTTAATCAAAGTTAGCTTTCACGTGTGTGGAATGCTGGGAGGCTTGCCGCATGCAGGGCGGATCTGCCACAGGCATGGAAGCGGGGGGACGAGAGGGGTGCATTTCGAGGAGTTGGGCATCGGGGGCGTGTGCGCTGCCAGCGTGATGGTGGGCGGTGTGTGGACCGGTAGAGTAGCGCGTGGCTTAGCGGCCCCAGGCGTCATCATACCTACACAGGCCCCTCGCCGCGGCCGCCGCATCCAAACCTCGCCCGACTCTCCTCCAATTCAGCTTTCCCTCGAGTATCTCGCACCTCCCAGTCATGTCGTCCAACAGTAATGCCGAGGCCTCGGCCGTGCCGCCCCAGGCGCGGAGCTCGTGGACGTCGTTCCTCAAGGTAGGCCTCGTTTAGGCGCCGCGCATACCAACACGGCTCGCTGACGGCCATGTAGTCGATCGCCTCGTTCAACGGCGACCTGTCGTCCATGACCGCGCCGCCCTTCATCCTCAGCTCCACCTCCCTCGTCGAGTTCTCGTCGTACTGGGCCGAGCACCCCCAGCTCTTCGTCGCCCCCGCACACAAGGAGGACCCTGCCGAGCGCGCCCTCGCCGTGCTCAAGTGGTTCCTCAGCACCCTCAAGCAGCAGTACGCCAGCCGCAGCGAGAAGCTCGGCAGCGAGAAGAAGCCCCTCAACCCCTTCCTTGGCGAGCTGTTCCTGGGCAAGTGGGAGGATGCCGCCGGCACTACAGAGCTCGTCAGCGAGCAGGTCAGGTACGGAACACCCCATGACGCTCCCAAGGGCCCACTGACGCTCGCCCTGCAGCCATCACCCGCCTGTCACGGCCTACTCGATCTGGAACGACGAGCACGGCGTGCGCCTGACCGGCTACTGCGGCCAGAAGGCCTCGTTCTCGCGCACCATCAACGTCAAGGTAAGTGAGCGTAGCACCGATCTGCGAGCGCACTGACTGACGCTTTGTGCCACTCGGGCAGCAAATCGGCCACGCCGTACTCCACATCGACGCCTACGACGAAGACTACCTGATCACCCTGCCCTCGCTGCACATTGAGGGCCTGATCACCGGTTCGCCCTACGTCGAGCTGAACCGCCAGTCCTACATCACCTCCTCGTCGGGCTACACGGCCAAGATCGACTACAGCGGTCGCGGCTGGATCAGCGGCAAGAAGAACAGCTTCACCGCCTCGCTGTACCCCCACGACAAGACCGAGAAGGATGCCATCTACACCATCGATGGCCAGTGGACCGAGGCCTTCACCATCAAGAAGAAGAAGGACACGGTCGAGACGTACGATGCTCGCACCAACAAGACCACCCCCCTGACTCTTGCCCCCGTCGAGACCCAGGATGAGCTGGAGAGTCGCCGCGCGTGGCAGAAGGTTGCCGTCGCCATCCAGGCCGGCGACATGGACACGACCGGCCGCGAGAAGAGCCTCATCGAGAACCAGCAGCGCGAGCTGCGCCGCGTCGAGAAGGAGGAGGGCAGAGAGTGGCAGCGCCGCTACTTCACCCGCACCGACGACTTCCCCGTCTTCGAGAAGCTCGCCGCTCGCATCCAGGAGCCCGTCGAGGCCGAAAAGACCAACGGCGTGTGGAAGTTCGACCCCGAAAAGGCCGCAAAGTACCTTTCCAAGGCCACCACTGCCCCGTCGTCGTGATTTTCTTCTTTCTCGACCAGCTGAGATTTGCAAATTTAAACCGATAGAACGGATGGCTGGGGCTATATGCATTCTCGAATCTCGTCCGACATTGCAATTCTTTTTATCGTTCTTGTATTATGCTAGGGTTTATCAATAACGCACACGGTCAGACCATCAAACGGATAGTTTGGAACTGCTGCCTCTCCTACCATACGCGCGGCAGTAGCCAGGATAGCTGATGTAATATTTTTCTTATCCTCCCTCGCGCGTCCTTTGGCCACAGTTGAGTAAGAAAGCGAACAGTTTCAATTCATAATGAACGCCACCAGCCAGCTTTCATTCCATTAGTCCGCTTCCTCTTTTTCCTTCTATTGACATTCACGACGCCAACGAATCCATCCCCCTTGTGCTTGTCCTGCGAGAGACTAGAAAAATAAGATTTTCTTAAACTTTTTGGCTTTGCCCTTTTCTTCCTCCCGCCTCCAGTACGTGTCTTTTCGCGGCGAGGAATGCTGCGACAGAAACCAGCCTAAGTTTGCGAGTGGGGTTAGGGTAGCGCACACGCGTTCGTAAGCAGAGAGAGTACATAGAGCAAACGGCAAAGTTCGGGTTTGGTTTGGCTACATACGAAGCTCGAAGAATGAGGCTTCCCACCCCCCGGGAGGGGGGAAGCATAAATTTCTTGCACCATTTATCGCACCATTGTTGGTCACGTCTCGTATGACATCTGCCCTTTTAATCGTGGCTTAGAGCAGAATTCCAATGGTACTAGTAAAGGGGAAAGGGGGGGAGGGGGAACGAAGGCGCAGCAGCATGACGCATGATGTGAGGTATGGTACCATAACATTACTGCTTTGAGTGCGGCTTTTTTCGGAAGTAAAACGGATGGGGTTGAGGTACGTCTCGTCAAGCCCGGGTAGCAGCAGGCCGAAGGTCATGAGGTGGGATGATGGCGGCAGCGGACGAACCTTTAAATAGATGAATAAGTCACGTTGGTAGTGCAATGAAGTGTGTCTCGAAGGCTATTTTCATTTTTGGCTTCCTGGTCATGTGCATCTCGAAGCCCCCCCTCTTCTACTAATGTCTGTCAGATTCGGGGGGAAAGAATGAAGGACAGGAATATGATGAAAAGAGAGAGCATTCTAAGGCGTCCACCACTCACTTTCAACTCAGAGTTTTTCTCCCATACTTCCATACAAACATCAGAGAAAAGACGTTTAGTACACAGCTCTTCTCAGCAAAGAATCCGGCATCTAGAAATGTTTCATTACTATTTGTCCCTGGAAAAGGCCTAGTTCCTTGGAGGCTTATTTATTCGTTATTGAATTGAAGAAGATAAAAAAAAAAGAAGAGCCACGTTTCCGAAATTCAAGCCGTTTTTTTAGTCGTTATTCATGAATAGCAGAAGCATTCTGTCGAGATATCCCATCTCATTGTCCGAGTAGCACACCGGAGACCGGAATAATCATAGAGAAGCCCAACAAGAGCAAAAACAGGTGACAGAATAGTATAAGCGTATATATCCACCAAGGAGAACAAGAGACGATGAATGGATGCAATAAAATACACATAATAACAGACGGCGGCTGAAGGGAAAAAAAAAAAGTAAAAGCATGTATCTCCTGAGGTGCCGTTCCTGTGAATCTACAGTGGACAGCCGGCTATTTGCTCTTACTCCAGAAACGCCTCCCAGAAAACAATCGTGAGGCAGGAAACGGCCAAAGTCCATCTGGCATAACCGCATCACTAGAAGAACAGGCCGGGGCTGTTTTCATTAAGTCTTCCTGGGCCAACTTCTGACCAGGAACGGTGTGACCTGAAAACAAGTGTCTGCTCCTGAACAAACGATCGAGAGCATGACGCAGGAAATCCACAAGGGAGAAGAGCAACAGCAGAGAAGCAATACATCAGCAAGAAGAGTATATCCACGTAAGTGAAATCATGTAGTCAAAACAAGAGCAAAACCCCGAATTTGTTTAGAAAGAAGTGTAGAAAGAAAACACAAAGCCCTTCCGCCACCATAGAAAGAATTCTCCCGCATTTGCACCCCGAGCCCACTTTCACCTTGCCCGTCGCCAATTAATTTCTCTGTCAAAGAAAATGAAGAAGACCCCTCCTTCGCCACGCAAATGCCCTTTTTTTAGTTTACCCAAACCCGGCGCACTGAAAATGCATCAAGAAAGGAAAAAGTTAAGGGAGACTCTTGCCACCCTTCTCTCCGGAAAGAGAATTAAGAGCAGTAAATCAAACGGGACAAGAGACTCGCTCCTTGCCCCGTCTTTTGTATAGACGCCAGTTGTTCAGAAGAAAGGTGTCGTGTGTCAAGTCATACCACATGAGCATTTCGTTCGTGACGTGTCCCAAACCATCGAGCTACAGGCCGTCATCTGCGTGGCCATCGCTTTCCTGAGCTCCTTGGGAATAAGGAATTTGAAGGCTGCTGGCATCACTTCACGGCTTCGGCTAAGAGCGCCGTAGCTCGTCCATAACTTCGCGCAGCATAGCTGTGCGTTTACGAAATAGCCCTCGGGCTCTGGTTGATGTGCTGGAACAAGGCCCCAAAGAGGCGTTCGACCTGGAATGATGTTAGTATACATCATAGGCTGATACGCGTGTAAAGGGGGAACTCACCTCAGGTGCCGCCTTGACGAAAGGCAACTCCCAGAATTGGTAATCACGGTTCTTGAGAATCTCCAGCAGTGTGATGATGAGACCCCAGGGGTGCGGGCGGTGGACTAGAAGGCGCTCAAGGAGAACACGCGTGATCTGCTGCTTGACGTCGAGGCTAATCTGGTCGCTGCTGGAACCGAAAAGGTGCAGAATCGCATAGCTGAACCAATGAGTGTGGCTGTTGGGCCAACGCAGCTGATTTGTCATGGCGCTAAGGAAGTGGTAGCGGCCTTCAGCGCGCAGCTCCTTCGCAAGGTTTTCCAAAAGCTTCGCATGAGGTGAGGTGGCGCTGAACACTGGGCCCTTGCCAGCAGTGGAGACAGCGTTGCTGCCGACGTAGAGGGCGATGGAATGTAGAACGGCCGTGTCGACAAGAACTGGAGCGAAAGCCAGTCCAGTCTCTTCACGCTCAGGAGAGTAGATAGCATCGCAGAGCTTCTGGATTTCCTCCGGACTCTGCTCGGTCGTCCGGAGAAGGGCGTCGACGGTATCCTTGATGCCGTGCAGCTTGAGAGGCTCTTCAACATCGCAACGAACTGCCGGAGCCTTCCTCACATCCTCAAGGCGGTCCACCTTGAAGCCCGCAGTGAAGGGGTCAGGAAGCTCAGGATAGGACGATGGGTAAGCGCTGACGACCAGATTGCGCAGCTGGGTACAGTGCATCGGGATTGCATTGCACAAGCGGAAATGGTTCTCAGCCAGGAACTCGGGGAAGTCGTGATGGATGACCAGAAGAACCCTCAGAACGCCTCGGTAGAAGTTGCGAGCTTCAACGCTGGGCTCCACCGGCTTCATGAGGTTACCGGCGTAAGAGAGGACAACTTCGGTCAGCTTAGCGTAGAGATTCCATCTAGTATCATCGGCCAACTTGAGCATGACAGGCATGAACATGCGGTGTGAAACCAAGGTGAGCCAAGCAAAGGAGAAACCAGGAAGATGCTTGGGTTGGAGCACCAGGAGAGCCTTGCCCATGACCAACATGAACTCTAGCTCAAGACCCGGGAGAAGATCTCTCACGTCGTGAAGCTCGCAGATGATGGAGTTGAAGAGGCGGAAGAACACCTTCTGGTTGAAACGCTCGTGACGGGTACGGTGGTGGTGAATCAGTACCATGATGACCAAGCTTAGGATTCCCTCAAGGTATCCCGGCTTTTTGGAGACGGTAGCGCCCTCACTTTCGCTCTGGTAGACGACCAAAGACACGACGAGTTTAGCCAAGCCATCAACGAAGATGTAGGCATTGTCCAGGCTGGGGAAGGGGACAAGCTCCTCACGTTCATACGCATCCACCGAAGCCTCGACGCAGACACGAATGAAGTGAGCAGAGTCGTTCTGGCTCTTCAGGAAGCCGCGGGCATGTAGCTGGTTAATGAAAGCCGCGATCATCCTCTCAGAAGGAGGTTGACGTTGGCCGTAGCGGACCAGGTGGATCCACTCTTCAAACACGTACTCAACCTGGTACTTGCCACCAACATCGGGAGGAGTCGGCGCGCGCTCCTGCGGCACTTGAAGCTTGGACATGATCAGTTTGCCGACCTCCAGATCAGAATCCTCAGAGAGCCATTGAGCAAGGGCTTCGAGCGACCTAGAGAAGTCTGTGCGGAAAGCTGCAGGGGTGGCACCGAGGAGGATTTCGTCCATGAACTGGGAGAGGAAATCCAAAGCGTGCAAATTGCGAGCTTGGATAGCTTTGGATGCCGCCATGTCGACGCGCTGTAGATCAAGAAGGCCGGCGGTAACCATGCAGATGACAACCGGAGCGTTAAGCAGGCGCTCATTTTCGATGTTTGCAAGCCACATCATAATCTGTCGAGAGGTATTGACGGAGATTTGACACAATTGAATGACCAACTGCACCATAACCTCGATCTCTAGGCGACGCTCTGCCTCTGCGAACAGGTAGGTAACGACGCGCCCGGCGATGCCCAAGCAGAGGTTGTCCCTTGTCGTACCCGAGCTCTCAACAAGATGGATCAGTTGCTCGAAAGCATCGCGAGTAGGGGCAGATGGTCCCAGCTCTTCAATGTGCTCCTCTTGAGCTTCTTTCGAAGTGCGCTGCAGATCCAAGAGGAGAGTCAATGCACGCTCGCTGGCGGTATGAGCATCGACATAGCCATTGAGCTGAGCCTGTGGCATTGTAGCAGACATCGGAGGAGCAGTTTGAAGACGTGTGGGAGCTTGGGAACCCGGGCGGGGGATAGCAGGGGGCTCTGCTGGCGTAGGTAGGTTCGGAACTTGAGGGTATTGCTCCTGTAGCACCTCTGACATTTGGCGGCCGTTGTCTTGGGAAGCGTTGTTGACCTGGGACATGCCGCGAGCCTGACGACCGAAGTCCTCGTAGATAGCCAGTTGCTCCGCGTTGAGCCCTCCAGGGCTCTGTCTGTACGGCTCCGGAATGAAAGTAGCCCAGTGTTTGACGGGGGGATCGTTGAAGGGCTCGCGAGGGTTGGTGTTGCGGTGGTAACGGCGCGCGCGAGTGCCTCCTTCAATTTGAACGTCGATCTCCGCGATAGATTGCTGCTCTGCTGCTTGTTCAACCATGCCGCAAACCGTATCCAGATTGTCGTTGACAAACATGAGGATCAGGCCCTCAGGCAGCGCTTGCTCTGGAAGATCGCGGGCCAGGATACGGATGTTGTTCATGATGCTCATGCGCAACGGCTCCTTGCAGGTCACAAGAGCGAGACTGCCGGATAGCGACTTGACCATGGTGTGCGCAGCCTCCCGCATCTTGTTCTCGTCAGCCTCAGTGGCGAAATCCTTTGCAACTAGTTGCGATGTAGAGATGGCGGCGATTGTGACGGAGCGTTCAACAACCGGCGCAATGATCTCTGCAATAGCGGACTGCGCTGCCGTATGGAAGATCTGTCTCAAACGGCTGGTGGCTGCCATATTGGAAGACGCAGGCGGGTAGACCAGAGCTGAAGCAAGATCCGGCAAGGATGCTTGAATTGCAGCGGGCGAAAACCGGTCATTCACCGCTCTTGCGCGGTTGAGGCCGACCAACGACAAATCGTGGAAACCTTCAAGGCCATCTGGTATAGCCTGCCCCAAAATCTCTTCTTCATGGAGCGGCCTGGACCGGATGAAGTCGGATGGCTCAATTATCTTGTGATCAAGATCTAAGCCTTTGCACAGAACCTCGATCTCGAACTTCAGGTTGAGCTTGAGCTCGGCGAAGTGGTACAATTCCATAAGCAACCGGATGATCTCCATCACCCATGGGTTCGGGGGCCTGAAGACTGTCGACTTGCTCGCTTGGATGAGGACCTTACAGGTGAATGGGATGACAATCAGAAGTCGCTGCGTGTCGTGACCCTCAATCAGCAGATCCTTGAACGAGATGTTCTTGAACTTGATAGGTTTGTCCCTCGCAATCGTCAGGGAACCGAGCCATCCACCAAGATTTTTCAGATGAGTGCGCTCGGTTGACGAGTTCATCGTAGACTCGGCATTGAGCATGCGGATGACAGAAACGTAGGTTTCCCGAAGAACCTCGGCCCAAAGTATCTTGTCATCGAAGAGAGCAAGCATGTCAAGATACAACTGCTGGAAGTTCGGTTGCATCTTCGCGCGCTCTTCAACGAGATAGCTGGCGAACCACTGGTGATGCTTCTCCTCTAGCGCTTCTTTGAGATCCTTAAGCTTGTCGACGATGTTGCGCTCCGAGACGTTGTTTAGCACAAACAGAACCTTATCTTGCACCTCCTCATCCGGATCCTCGTAAAGTTCTGGTCGAAGTGGAGGGTCGGTGTGCAAGCAGCTGAACTGACGGACAGCTGACTCCTGGCCGAATTCCTCCACATTCCCATTCGTCAGAGAAATGCCATTCTGAGCATCGCCGTTGGTTTCGCCGTTGGCCTCTCCAGAGCGCTGCCGTCTTACGATTTCTTCGGCCTTGTTCCACACTTCGGTGCCTTGAAGCCCCGGCACACGGAGAAGACGGTCGCAGAAACTAGGCCACTCGTGGAGCCTGTTGGAGAAGTTCAGAAGCGCTTGCAAACCAAACTTGTACATGGAAGCCTCCGGCGGGTAATCCTGTACCGCCTCCAAAACCATAGCCAGGCCAGCCTGGAGAGGAATACGTGAAAGCAGGTTATACTGGATGATGCCACCGAATAGTACAGCAGTGGTCGCCAGTGCCTCCAATGGATACTCTCCAAAGCAGTTGTACTCGTCGAAAAGACCGTGGATCATGCAAGCGAACAAGTCCTGTTCTGCAGGATCCTCGGATGCCTTGTACTTCTGTAGCTCCTCGATGATGTGGCGCACGTCGCTCTCACCGCTGTACATGTTTTTGTAATGCTCCTGCATCTTCCTATCGGCCTCCGGCGATATTGCATTGCCGTCTTTACCGTTAGCGTCGATAATCTCATCGAAGCCTTCGCCGTAGTTGATCAACCTCGGGTACGCTCCAATGCAAATCCGCTGCAGAGAAACCAACTCTTCGTCCGGCAGGTGGCCCTGGAGAAAGCCTAGAAGAGGGTGAACAGTCTTTACAGCCAAAGGGACGTTAGCAGGAGGGACACCCTCGCGCTGAGCTTGCAAATCTGTCTCCGCCTTGTTGTTAAGGAATGAAGCGAGAACCCTTGGAAAGACCGGAATTTGCCTCAGAGTGTCCTGTGCCCATGAATCTAGGTCAAAGAGTCCCTCCCTATGCGCAAGAGCTGCCAGGTCCAAGCTCATATCGGAGTTTAACGCAACGAGATCTTGAATCCACGCATGTTCCGCCGCGTGTTCCATAATCGTGGTCAAGGAAAGAGGATTGGCATTGTAGAAGTCGAGGAACCTGGCGGCAACCCAAATGCTGTCCTGCTTCCAAAGACCATGCAGTGCGAAGCTGTAGACGTTCGGAACGCGTTTCTCGACAAAAGGTCCGAAGAGCTGACGCATGGCCATTTCCTGGAGACCAACCCATGGCTTGGGTACAGCGGATGCGGCAACGACGAAGATGTCCGTGTTCTGGTTAATGACCGTCTGCGGAATCTGTGAGCGTTGAGCAATGTTGTACGTCTCTTGAGACTGGAAGATGATGTTGAAAAGAGCTGCCGTCGCGTCCAGCGACACGAGCGGGTGTTTAACAACTTCCTTTGCACGTTCCTTGACTACCTCAGAGGCATCTTCAAACTGCTCCAGCGTGAAAGCCTTGCGCAAGCGAGGAACCTGAGTGACATCCAGGTCTTCGGGAGAGCAGGCCAGGAATGCCACAACGAACGAAAGCTGGGTTTCTTGATGGTTCCAAGACCCTCCCCACAGCAGCTGGATGTCGAAGTTCTCGTACTCCTGAGCCAGAGGCAGAAACGCGTTGTACAGGGCCAGGAACTGCTGCGTTGTGACCTTCAGGTTCTCACGATCGAACGAGTGAACCACGTCCTGCCAGTCCAACCGTTGTCCCGCGCGGTGCTCCCGTAATGCAGCCACAAAGTTGCTCGCGTTGTATGCTTGGCCATTCTGGGTGATTGCCATGAAGAGAAGCGCATTGGCAACCTGCTGATAGCTGATATCGCGCGTTTCAACTGAGGCGAGCATCTCCTTGCATGAATCCAAGCTCAAGGTTGCGCGAGGCCCGGCACGCTGGACGTGCCTGATCAACGGATTTTGATTCTCGAGTAGGTCGAACATGTGCAACGCCGCGGTGACGTCCGGAGGTAATATGCCGGTCAGTTTGTCGTACTTGGTACGGATGGCGAACAGCAGGCTGTTTTTGCTCTCGTCGTTCCACGTGCGTGGAGGGTCTTGGGCCAGACGGTCGATGTCGGTGGCGAGAATGCTGGATGGGATGTCGTCTTGTGAGTCTGGTTGGGAGTTGACGAGGCTCATGAGGAAGTTCTGGTAGTTGTTGGACAGGATAGCATCGGCTAGGACAGAAGGAAAAGTCAGTGGGGCAGAGGAGTTGTGGGCGAGGGGCTGCGGTCTCACCCTTGGTTCTCAGATCCGTCTTTGACGAAGTCTTGCACGCCAAAGCTAGGGTTGTCTTGGCGACGGGGTCCAGCTTGAAATGCTCCATAAATGTGGACAGGTCAAAGTCCCTGAAGAGATCACCCTCAGTGGTGTCAATTGACTCGGCAATCTTGTATGCTTGCTGGGGGTCACGCGTTATCTTGTGCATCTCTTCGACAAGCAGGCCGTAGCTGCCAGAGTTGTCACCGCCCTTGGCATTGCCCGGGAAGATCTGCGGCGCATTGCTCTGGAGCAGGCGGCGGAAATACTTTGAGAAGACCTCCATGCCGTTTGAGTTGACCAGCTGCGATGGGAAACAGGGTTAGCGCGGATGCGGAGGGGGCAAGTGCGGGCTGCACTAACCTTGCGAATCTGATCGGTCTGCTGTTCCCACTTGGTCTTGTCCTTGTCTTCCTTAAGCGAGCTCAGGAGCAGAAAGACTTGTGCGATGACGATTTTGGCAAGCGACTGGCCAGACGGAGCCGATGCGGTCGACGTGCTGCTCGGCGAGCCGATGTTGCCCGACTGCGATAGTGAGGGCGAAGCGCGAGCTACCTTGGAGCTCCCTCCGCCGCTGGTGCTTGGCGCACCTCCACCACCTTGCGATGCGGAAGGCAAAGCCGCGGCGGAGGAAGCAAAGTGTGAGGCGCCTTGGGAAGCTATGGTTCTTGAGCGCCCGGAGGACAGCAGCTGGCCCTGGGTGTGCTGCTGCTGTAATCCGGATTGCGACGGCGAGAAGGGTGACGACGTCGACGAGGCGGACGAGGTGCGGCTGATGATGCGCCGGGTGCCGGACGATGCGACCGAAGGCGGATTGTTGACGGGCGAGAAGGAGGATCGCGAGGGGCTGTTGGCAGCCGAGTTGGAGCGTGTCGAGGTGAAGGCGGTTGAAATGGGAGTAAGGCCACGCCGTCCGCTGGGTTGCTGACTTGAAGAGCCCCAGGGGAATTGCTGGCTCATCTAGGCAGCTATTCCATCGGGTTCGCACGCGCGACAAGGGGAGTAGAGGAGGCGGCGAGGAGGACAGGTGTGGTCGGTGGGGGACGAGGCAATGGAGGTGAAGTTCAAGGTTGGCAGCCCGAAGACGTGAACGGGCCTCGTGCGGCACTTGCCGAGGGGAGCAGCGACAGCGAGCAGCAGCGCTCCCGCGAGCAGTCTGCCGCGCAATGGGCAATGGACATTCACTGCAGAGACCGGCCTCAGACGTCTGTCGCCTCGGTCCCGCGCGCACGCGCCTAGCCGTCCGCGGCGCGCCCTACGGTCGCAACCGGCAGCACGCAAACATGCCCGCCCAGCAGCCTGCGTGCTCTCTATCTACGTATGCATCCTGCCCTTACCCTGGCAGCGGCCGTGCCCTGAAAAGCGGCTGCGTCCTCCCGGCCGCCGTGCCGTCACTCGAAGCCGCACGGTCTCAGCGGTCGTGGCAGCGGGACCTGGCCTGCAGCGACGCGCCACGGGTGCTGAGACCGCTATTGACGGCTGGCGGCGCCCCCAAATGGGCCCTGTCAGAACCGGACCCATCGGGCTCGCTGCCAGGAGTGCCGGCCACACCTCAGCCAGACGGCAGGCGACAACGGCCTCGCGCGCGTGGGCGTGCGTGCCTGATTGAGGCGGTGGGCTGCGGAGGAAGCGCGGGGCGTCAGTGGCGGCGGTTACCCAGCGAACGCAGGCCGCATCATGTTTGCCAAGGCTGCCCGACGGCGCTCGCAGTTGCTGCCAACCGCTCCACCACCAAGGCACGCGCCGCCAACCTAGCGCCCCTGCCTCTTTGTTAATTACCAGCTACGCCCTGCAGAATCTTCGCATTTCTGCTTTTCACGATCCGCCGTCTACCGTCTCGCCCACGCCCGTCCTCCGAATAAGACGTCATCAATCGCCCGGCATCATGCCTGGGACCACCGTGAGCGACCCACCGTCGGTCTCTCTGTCGTGTTCGTCCTCCCCATCCGCCCGGGCCCGATCGCTGCTTACCGTTGCTAGTTGCGAACAACTTCTGGGGCAAAGATGATGCCGGCGTTACTCCGCTCCTTGAGCGCATGCACAATGCCAAGGTCACTGGCGACGAGTTGAAGTCCTTCTACACCGGTTCGTCAGCCCACTCGCCAGAGCGCTTCCCCGGCTAACCACCACACAGCCCGTGCCCATATCGAGGAGGAATATGCCCGCAAGCTCCTCAATCTCTCCCGCAAGCCGCTCGGTTCGTCAGAGGCCGGTACTCTGAAAATGTCCCTGGACGTTGTCCGCGCTGAGGTCGAGGCCATGGGCAAGCAACATCAGCAGATCGCAGGCCAGATGAAGTCAGAGCTGGAAGAACAACTATCGGCATTTACCGGAGGCTTGAAGGAGAGAAGGAAGATCGTCCAGACCGGCATCGAGAAGCTCTTGAAGGTCAAGATGCAACAGACGGCTGCAGTAAACAAGGCTAGAGATCGTTATGAGCAGGACAGTTTGAAGATCAAGGGTTACCTTGCTCAGGGGCACATGGTCATGGGCCACGAGGAGCGGAAGAACAAAGCCAAGTTGGAGAAAACGCAGATACAGTTGTCTGGAAGCAGCCAGGAGTACGAGCAAGCCGTCAAGATTTTGGAAGAGACCACGGCTCGGTGGAACAGAGAGTGGAAGAAGGCCTGCGATGTGCGTATGCCTCTAAATCCAGGGCGAATGATCGCTAACACAATTGTAGAGCTTCCAAGATCTCGAAGAGGAGCGCATCGATTTCATGAAGAGCAGCCTGTGGGCTTTTGCCAACATCGCCTCAACGGTTTGCGTCAGCGACGATGCGGTAAGCCACACATTGGCCTCGGGACACTACCAGGCACTAACATACCCTACAGTCCCTTGAAAAGATCCGTCTCTCTCTTGAGGATTGCGAAGTCGAGAAAGACATTACAACCTTCATTCGCGAGTCTGGCACTGGCCAGGAGATTCCAGATCCGCCCAAGTTCATCGACTTCTGCCGAGGGGACGCCTCCGATGACGCGTCCATGACTTCCGAAGACAACAATTACACAGTTGCTCAATTTGCCCGTACAATGAACCCAGCTTTTCGAAGTGCATCACCGCAGCCATCGCTCTACGAATCTCACCATGATCCAAACAACCCGCTGGCCAGGGAGTTGGCTCACAAGGATGGAAATGCTCCCGCGTCCTCACCCATTGATCCTCCATTGTCAGCCAGGTCCGATCCACGTGCTGTAGCGCAAGCCATGCAAGAACAGTACCAAAGCCAGTACGGCGACATCCCGCAAGTTCCTCACAACGCTTATCCCACGGATGGAATGACTCAGTTCTGCCGCATAGCTCCTCACTCAGAGAGGAGCTCCTCGATTGCGAGCCCGGCCCGCCCAGACAGCCGTGACTCTCGCAGCGATCTCTCAGCACCGACTTCTTTTACAAGCGCTGATCCTGCGAGCCTTCCAGCATCCCCCATCAAACAAGCGGACGATCCGGTCGCCGAGACCACACCTATAGCACCTCGGGAGAGAGCTGTACTGAAGAAGAAGAGTGGCTTTTTCCAAGGTCACAGCCCGTTCAAGCGGAAGAGCAGGGGTGAGGAAAGTGGATCGCCTGCTACTCCTACAGGACGCAACACATGGTCAGCAGCAGGTGCTCGTGAAGGCTCGCGGCCTCCCTACGGACGCCAAGCTCGTACCCCCATTCTCGGTAGCAATGATGTGGTTTCTGCCAGCCCAGAGCCAGATGCAGAGCCTGTTGATCCTAGGGCCAATTTCCAGCTGAATGTCGGAAAGAATGTCTTCGACGTTGCGTCTCCTGACAAAAAGAAGCAGGAATCCGCGAATGGAGCCGCTGAAGAGCAAGATCCAATCGCCGCCGCCCTAGCAGAATTGAAAGCACCATCCAAGCAAACTTCTGTACGCATGACAGCCGATCGTTATGCCGGACTTGCAACTCCAGCTCCTTCTGTAGCTGCTGGAAACGTCTCCGATCCTGTCAAAAATGCCTCTCGTGGCGCACCACCGCCTTCTTATGAGCAGCCAATGAGCCGTTTGGGCGCACCTCAGCCTGCTCATACTGCGAAACAGATGCAACAGACAACTCAAAGCTACGTTAAACAAACCCAGAGCATGTTCAACCCGCGAGCTTCCGGTGGGTCCTCTCGGCCAAGCACCCGTGGCAGTCAGGACATTCGTGCAACAAGCCCAGCTCCTGGTCCACGGGCCACCAGCCCTCGGCCTGGCTTAAACAACCGGGCTACTTCTCCCAACCCCTACGCTGCTCCTGCTGGAGGTAGCAGGCCTCGTGCCCAATCAACAAGCCCTGTGAAACCTCGCGAGTGGGGCAGCTGGAACTCTCGCGGTGGCTCCCCTGCTAATGTTCCACGCGCTGTTTCGCCGCAGCCTCAATTCAGCCGTCCTGGAACACGTACTGGCGCAACCTCCCCTGCACCACACTTTGGTGGCGCTGGTCAAAGGCCTGGCAGCAGCGCCGGAGGTGCTATGGTGCTCGCGCCTGCTTCTGGCGAGGGCGGTGGCGGCTATGGCGGTGGTAGCCAGAGAACTGGCCGCTCCAGCACTCGTCCGATGAGCTACTACGGTGGTGGAAGTGGTGGGGGCAGTGAGTTTGGTGGTGGGCAAGGCCAGGTTGGCCGTGTCCGTAGCAGGAGCGTGGCTGCAGATGCTCGCTACACTTCAACTGGGTGTCCGATCATGCATTATTGTAAGAAATTTCCTCTCGATACCTTTTGTTTTCCGAATTTGTTACTAACAAACCTCGGCAGCTCGTGCAATGTACATGTATCAGGCTCAGATTCCTGAAGAGCTCAGCTTCAACAAGGGTGATGTTCTTGCTATCACCCGAGAGCAGGACGATGGCTGGTGGGAAGCCGAAGTTCTCAGCAAGCCTGGACGCTTGGGTTTGGTGCCCAGCAATTACCTGCAAAACTGCTGAGCGGTTTTTGCCCCCCTTATACCCTTTTCGCGTGGTTTCTGACACCTTTTCTGTCCCTTGCGTACGTACACATGACACAGACTTGGCATTTTGCATTTGCATTTCGGCGATGGTTAAGCGGACGGTCGCTTTCATGATTTTGAAAATGGGTTTGAAGGATTTTTTTGTTTGGTTGGATTCCCCCAGATTGCTGCTTTTTGTGTATGGATGGAGCGGAATTAGCGAGTTGACGTTATGGTCTCCTTTCATCGGTTTTATTATTCTGCGGGCCTGTCACACCCAGGCATGACAAAGCGATACACTGCAACCGATTACATCATCCGATTCTGTGGAACTGTGAAACCTGCATCATAAAAATTGGTTGAAGATAATGTGAAAGTATGCGCTCCAACGACATGGCTGAAAGCTGGTGGTGGTCTGAGCCTGGATGAATGAAGGCCTCATTGCTTTGATCGAAAAAGTGACTATATTTCACCTCTCCTAAGAGGTCATTATCTACCAGTAAGCGCTACTACTTCCCTTCAAACCTAAATTTGACCGAAAGGTATGAGTATTGGTACTGAATTTTGAACGCCACCACACCAACGGCCTACCCGAAAGCGACTTTTATGCCCCCGAACCAAGATGCCGAAATTCAAACCCCAAGCAAACAATGTCCACGCAAGAAGCAGAGCAGGGAAGGGAAAGGGAATACTGTGGCCAGCCACCTTCACCTCATTCGTCAATCTACACCAACATCACACCTCTAATCCACTCCTTGAAACCGCCCTCCACACTCTTCGAGAAGCTGACCCAGAAAGCCATCGTCTCGCTCACAGGCGGCGGACAGTATTCAACAATGGCCTTCACATGCAATTCCCGCAGCCCTCTCAGCCACAGCAGCTGCTCGACCCACTCGAAGTCAACGCCCGCGATCGCCTTCAGGCCCAAGCCGTACAGCAAGTCTCCGTTCAGCACTCTGCTCGCATCCTCGGCCGCGGCGCCGTTGTCTGTGGGCGTGACGGTGCCGGACGACGGGCGGCTGCCGAGGCGGCGCGGCTGGATGAGGCGGAAGTGCTCAACCGCGAGGGCGGGCACGTCGTCCCAGCCGCCGGTGCCAGCGACGACGGGCGGCTTACCGGCGACGACGCCGAGCGAGAGGGTCAGAGCCGGCACGGCGAGCTCGCGGGCCATGTACTCGCAGGCGGCGCACCACTCGGCGCGGTCGAACTCCTTGACTGAGGGCAGGGCGCGCTTGACGAGGGCAAGGCGGGTGAGGCAGGCGCGGGCGAGCGGCGTGAGGGTGCTGAGGAAGGGTACGATGGCCTCGACGTGCGTGTCGAAGTCGAAGGCGTAGGCGCCGTACAGCAACTCCGCCGCCTCGGCGTGGCACTGGTGGCAGGTGCGCAGGATGGCCGGGTGCAGGCCCGGGTTGTTTGCGAGCGCGTAGGTTGTGCTCATAGTCCGCGTCCGGAAAGGGTCGCGGATGTGGTAGCGCGGGCGCGTCGAGCTCGGGGAGAGGATGGCTGAGGAGGCCGGGCTGTCGGGATTAACGGTGCGGATTTGTAGCGTGCGCGGAGCGCGAAGGTGATGCGAGGCGTTCTGCTCGTCTTCACGGTAGACGGGCGCTACGAATTTGGCGGCTGGGGGGCATGGCTCGCTGGACGCGGGTGGAAGGAGGAGTTCCTCGTAAATCATGAGCCGGATCTCCGCAGGGAGACGCAGGAAGGTCGACGTTTGTTTGACCATTGCAGCGGACAAGGACGGAGCAATTGAGAAGTGATGGGAGCAGGTATGGAGGCCGACGTCTACAGAAATGCTAAGAGGTGACGAGCTTTTGCGTCAGGACGGCGAGAAGTGCGCATATCGGGCCTTATGGAGATTTGGTCGGGTGCGGGAGAAGAGTAATCGGGTCGACCAGTCAAGTAATCTGTGGGCGGCCGGGCACCATGGTGTGCAATGCCGCGCCGGCGGTCCACAGGCACGATGACGGCAGGGTAGGCTTATCGTGACGCCGGGCCAGCTCGGTCTAGCCTCGGCAGCCTCCCGATCGCCGCCTGCCATTGGCCGTCGGGAGGAAGAAATCCCAACGGCAGATCACCCTTCTTAGTAAGAGGGACGCCTGTTTGCGTGCTGCACTGGTGCCTCTCAGGGCGTCCTGCCGCTTCGCAGATACTCGTACACTGAATTTATCGTCTGACTGTCACGCCGCCGAACCTATGCCCCATGGGTTATCTCCAAAAACCAAGCCGCGCCCCATGGAGTCTCCGCAGCAAATTGGCCCAAACGCCCCCGCTGTCAGTGTCCACCATAACGCCCGCGCTGATGCAATAATATAAATGTCTCACCTGATACTTCTGACTAACCCCAGGAGCCCCCTGTCCTATCGCGACATTTGCTTGGTGTTGCGCTGTCCAGCGAGGCCGGGTGCCGGGGGTCTGGATATCGTCTCCACGCAGGACCACTATTCCTCCACTTCTCCTTCTTCGCTGAGGTCCTCTTCCGCGGCTGTTTTCTTCCCTTCCGCCGCGAGCGCTTCCGCATCCGCCCCATTTGCTTCCGTTTTGATACGTTTTGCATCCGGCTCCCCTTCGGACGTGCGCTCCTTCTTTTCTTCGTGCTTCACCGCTTCCGCGCTCTCGGCCTCGTTCTTTCGGCTTCCATTGACATCGCCGTCTCCGTTTTCTATTCTGCCGACTTCGTCGCGCGACCGCTTGACGCCTTGCTCGCTGCTTGTTCGCTCCATGCCGACGGAGCTTGGTGCAGGGCTCGTGGGCGTCTGCGATGTCCTTAGCCTCGTCTGCGCGTACAGGGGATCGCCGTCCTCTGGGGTCCGTAGACCTACGTAGATGCTCTCGCCGCCCTTCGCCGGCGTGACATTCTCGTAGATGTTGGCCATGTAGTTGCACGCCCGCCTAATGTCCCTCAACGTGACGTGCTGGATTTCCCACCACGGCTTGCCGTCCTCGTCCTGGAACGCCACTTCGCAGAGACGAGCTCCGCAATACAGTGCCGCCGCTGCGATTGTTCGCGACGTGAAGAGCAGGCAGAGCTGGGTTAGGTTGCTGTCGTTGATGAAGCTCCATGCCGCATTGCGGAGCCGCTTGTGGTGCTCGACACCATGATAGACCAGCATGTCAAACAGGAGCTTGTGCGGCGACTCGATCGTCAGGTCGAAGCAAATCGTCTCGAGCAGCACGTCTTCGTTGTAGAGGATGGTGTCGCGCCATCTCCAGAAATCCTTTGTCTGCTCATCCACGAGGAGGTTCGGGTTCTTTTGTGCTACCCTGCAGCATGCAATCACCAGCTCTTTCATTTTGCGGCAGTTCTCCTCCACCTTGGTCGCGAGGAACAGGGACGTGGCGGCGATTTGCTGATTCCGATCAGAAGTGCGTTTTCAGGCTGGGAAGGACACGTACATAGTGGTGAAGCGCCTTGTAGCCGTCCTTGCTGACGAGAGAGCGGCGTGTGATGAAGCGGTTCAGGAACACGCCAGCCGTCGATAGCGTAAGCTGCGGCAACTTCAACATGGCGCCAACCTGGTATATGAAGGTCATGCCCTTGTAGCGCATTTCTTTCTCCTGCTCTGCCGACATGCCATCCTCGATCGAGGGCGTGTGCAGCAGTTCCTCTTCGGTAAAGATCCACTGTTGTTCGTTCTGCACGGCGACAGGGTTAGGCGGGCGCGGTCGCTCGCGCGGACGCGTTGGTGCGGCTGGTTGCGAGGGCATTTTGGTGGAGCGCGAACGCGTCGCAGGCTCTAGGGAAAGTAGCTCGTGCGATGGTGCCGGTAGTGGGCGCGGCGGGCGGACATGGATGAAGATGGAGGCAGCTGCCGGAAAGTTTAGGAAGGCAGGCGCTCAAGAGTTTGTCGCGGGGGATGCGAAAGTGAATAGGTAATGCGCGATGCAGACGATGCGGTCCGTCGTCCCTCGATCGGCATTTCACAATCGCATCAGGGTTATGTCTTGGCCGGCGTAAGGGGTCAGGACTGGTGCGGGGGGAGCCACGACTTTACGGCGCATCAGCCTTACGCCAATGCTGGCCTCTTGCGCGCCGCGGTCGCTCCGCCGAGCCTGGGTCCGGGGCCAGGCCACCTCTCCAACACCCCGAAGCTCCTCCAAGCTGTCCGCCGTCCTGACCACTCTGCCGTCCCGCCCCGCCCCGCCAGTCGCTCATTATCCCGCCAATTGACTCCTCTACGCTCTTTCCCGACCCGACTCCTACAATGGCTTCCAAGAACAAGTACTCGGTTCTCCTCCCTACTTACAACGAGCGCCGCAACCTCCCCATCATCACTTGGCTGCTGGCCAAGACCTTCACCGAGAAGTATGCTTGACGCCTGCCACATATGATTCGGCACGTTCCCCTGACGGTTTTGCAGCAACCTCGACTGGGAGATTGTCATCGTCGACGATGGCTCCCCCGATGGCACGCAAGACGTTGCCAAGCAGCTCCAGAAAGTCTACAGCCCTGAGCGCGTCCTGCTGAAGCCGCGCGCCGGCAAGCTTGGTCTGGGAACGGCCTACGTCCATGGGCTGCAATTCGCGAGCGGCAACTATGTCATCATCATGGACGCCGACTTCTCCCACCACCCCAAGTTCATCGCCGAGATGGTCAGAGTACAGAAGGAGAAGAACTACGACATCGTCACCGGCACCCGCTACGCTGGCAACGGCGGTGTCTACGGCTGGGATCTCAAACGCAAGTTCGTCAGCCGCGGCGCCAACTTGTTCGCCGACACCCTTTTGCGCCCTGGCGTGAGCGACTTGACCGGCAGCTTCAGGCTCTACAAGAAGGAGGTGTTGCAGAAGGTCATTACCAGCACTGAAAGCAAGGGCTACACTTTCCAGATGGAGATGATGGTCAGGGCAAAGGCCATGGGCTTCTCTGTTGCCGAGGTTCCCATCAGCTTCGTCGACCGCCTGTACGGAGAGAGCAAGCTGGGCGGAGATGAGATTGTTGAGTATGCCAAGGGCGTCCTCAACCTGTGGCTCAAGGTCTAAGATATCCGCTACAAGAGCAAGCATGGTGTACGCATTCTGGTCGGCGTTGGAGGACACGGCGGGACTGGATGAGCCGGTTGACTTACTAATATCCACATTTGCGCAAATAAAAGTGCTTCCACCAGCAGCTGATGATTCCCGCGTGTACCCGTCTCGACCCACAGCTTTCCACGTGATGAGGCTGTGTGAGAAGCCCATGCCCTCGTGTTGTGACACTTCTTTTTGTCAATCAGACGTCGTGCATTCTGCTGCGTGGTTGCCCTTGGAATTTTGACGTGTCAAGAATCAGCTCGAACATCATTCTACGTCCAGGCTGTGCGTTTCTATCATCACTCTTAGCCCCCACTGTGCAGCCTAAACGATCGTCGCAAAGCGCAGTCTTCAACCAACAGGTGGCTGTGCAATGACAACCAATCAGGGAATCTTAACAGCAATGAGCCTCGACCGAAGGATTCCACACTGCCCTCTACACTGCCCTGTACACGACAGAAAACATAGACTTACTGCCCACATCGTTTCCCGAACTCGTGTCAAGGAAGCATCCTTAGAGAACTCTAGAAACAAAGATTCGACCGGTTTCAACTCATAGACATTGTAGCAATGCAAGGCTGTGTGAGTGGTCCCACAAATCCTTCGAGCATCAACAACACTTGATGTGAGACTTCGCTGCCTAGCCACCTTGAGGGGGTTTATATGCCGCTCTGCCGTGCTACACTGGAATACATCAATCAACATTCCATCGTTACAATTGTGTGCTCCCCTGTAGTAACAATCAGTCTATTCAACATGCCTCCCAAGGACTCCTCTCCCTCCACAGCAAACGCTATCCTCCTGCGCCGCATCACCATCTTCATCTTCCTCCCGGCATTCCCACTTCTCCTTGCCCACGGCATCGCCGGTCACAGACCTTTTCCCGCTCTTGGCTTGTTGCCGCTCGCCGGTTCCGCGGTCCTTGGTGGCCTCGTCCTCTACTGCGACCGCGTCACCGTAAGCGGTTCTGCTATCCAGCAGCTCTCGACCTCCGGCGTCTTCTTTGCCGATGTCCTACTGACGGCCTTGTACCTTGCGTTTCTCATTGTGAGCTGGGTTACTCTGACCGCCAACTCGTGGCGATATGACAGCTCGCTCGTTATTCTGGGAACATACGGCACGGTGGGCTTGTTGGCAAACTTGTAAGACACATCCGGGCCTGCCTGGTCTTTTGCCGTATCCTGATACATGTACTGACTCTCATTCTGCAGCGTCATTCATCTTTACTTTGTTGGATTACAGGGGTTGCGCATGCTAGTAGCAAGGCCTTGCAACTGTGCACACTGTCAAAGTGTCTCGAAGAAGAGTTCATTCATGCGAATGGTGTCCGAGTACACCCTTTTGAGCGAAGAAGACGTTGAGGAGGAGTTGTACACTGACGTTGAGGCTGGCAACGAAAGGATCTCCATGTGATTTCAGCCACTAAAGCCTGCAACAGACAAGCTCTTATCAGAAACTTGTTCTTATCCAAAGAATGTCGTTGAAGGTGTCAGAAGATAGATTGTAATTAACGCACGGGGTTCCATAATGCAATGCTACAGTTTCGTTCGAAGCTTCCTCTTCCGGGTGGTCACCGAGAATTTAAGTCCCAGTCCTTGAATGCATCTACGTATCTCATTCGACGCCTGACATCTTGTCTCCGGACTGGTAATGTTGCATACATAGGTCATTCAGTCTATCACAAGGCACAGTGGCAGGACCAATGGAAGATCGAAAAGTTTTAATGTCGCATCACAATGCTGTTGCATGTTCTTTGCCTCATACTTTTCACTTGCAGTAAGCCTTGCCATAAGTTGGAAGGATGAGCCGATATCAACTCTCAGATCCAGTGAGTTCATGACCAGCCGATTATGGCTACAGATCTCGATAAGCATGCAGAGACGTTTCCCAAAACGGCTGCTACAAGTTGACAGTGGCTTGTTTCGTGCCGCATCTGGTGCCAAGGACCCCTTCAATCCCAGACGTTTCTTGGGTTACACAACCAATGAGGCCACCAATGACACGGAAGAATGAGCAACACAGCCGAATGATTGCGCAAGACCGAGGGTAGGGTGTAATATCATATAGATCTTCTCTGCATATGCACCAAGCTCCAACCCAGTTCGCGCCTGTCCATCCTTCCACGTGTACATAAATCCACAAATATATGCCGCCCATGCATGCAAGTCCAAAGCTCAGACAACAGTGTCGCCAAGGACCTTGAATACTGAGCTGCCAGAACCAGGCTTACTGACGACGATCGCGGACTCGAGCTTCTCGTCCGAAATGTCGGGCCAATGCTTCTTGTAGTATTTCTCCACCCACTTCGCCTTGACATTCTCAACCTTGTCCTTGGGCACGAGATGCACACTGCATCCACCCCAGCCAGCGCCAGTCAACCTGCTACCGACGGCGCCGGCGCTGCGGGCCAGCTCGCAAAGCTGGTCAAGCTCAGGGCAGCTGCATTCGTACAGGTCACGGCAAGATTCCTGCGTCTCGTTCATCAGGGCTCCCAGTTGCTGCAGTAGCTCGGTCGTCTTGCCATCCTCGGATGCCGGCGGGTTGTCCAGCAGGTGGAGGAACTTGGCGACGCGCAGGGATTCACTGAAGACGTGCATGGCGCGCTGTTTGAGTTTGAAACGCTCCGCACGCACAGCGAACTTGGACTCGAAGCGCTGCTTGAGTTCATCAACGCTGACGCCAAGCATCTCAGCAATCTGCTCACGGGTATATCCATCTTCCTGGGAAAGGTAATCCTCGCATAGAGTGAGAAGTTGCTCCAGCTGCTTCTGAAATTCCGGCAGCGGCGTCTGAGTGTTATCCGCCTTGCCCTCCTTCTCCTCGAAGTATGTGTCTTGAAAGCCACGCAGACTGATGCCCAGGGGCGATGAATCCTCAGGGAGCGGTTTCTTCAGGTTGAATGCCTTGTGGAGGAAAGCTGCGGCCAGAGTGCATTCGACAACGCGCAGGTTGTAGCAGACTGGGGCGGTGACATGCTTGTCCGCAGCCACAAAAGATTGAGCGATCACGAAGGTCAGCTCCGGATCCGTGTGGGGGAAGGACACGGATCTCGTGGAAAGCGAGGGCTTGAATGAGACATAGAGGGCACTCCCGCGTTGAGAGAAGACAGAGGCAGACTGGTCCATGCTACAGGGACAGTCAGTGGTGTGCCGTCGGTTCAAGACTGGAAACTTACCCGCCAGAATTCACACCCACAGCACGTTCCGAAACAATAGCCACCTCTGTTAGCTCCGTTTGGTCAACCTTCTCCTCTCCGTTGGCCCGCATGACGGCAAGAGCGCTAGCGCACACGAAGGCTGCACTGCTTGACAGACCGCCTCCGGCCGGGACTGTGCCATCGAGCAGAATATCCATGCCCACTGATGCAAACTCAGCCTTGCCCTTCTTCTTGGCCAGCAGCTTAGCCGCGCCGCGCAGGCCGGACTTAAAGTAGTTGGTCCATTCATGTGCAGATGCATCGATGGGAACCTCCCCATGAGCCGGAATCTCGAACTCGCGGGTAGGGAATTTCTCCGGGTTGACATTGGCAATGCGGACTCGTGGGGCCTCGGAGGCGGGACGGACGGCGACGGCGATGAGAACGTCGGCGGTCACGGCCATGGGCAGGACCTCGTAGAGCGAGTAGTCGATGTGCTACATTGGTCAGCTCGTATGATGCATGCTCCGGTGGTGAGACGCACCTCGCCAATGATGTTCACGCGGCCGGGGCTGCGGGACACGAAGTCGGCTTGCTTGCCGTACAGGTCCTTGAAAGAGGCCAGGAGATGCTCCCAGCGCTTCTGCTGGACGGAAACGGCATCGTCGGGGTATATGTCGTGCAGCGAGCTTGCGGTTGGGACCTCCATGGTGACGGCAGGGTGGTGGGAAGCGTCGGGGGAGACGCAAGCATACGAGGGCGACGGAGGCTGGCTTTTGTGGAGGGACCAAGAGGCGCGGGGCACGGGGCGTGGAGAGATATTTGGGTGGAGCTTGGTCGTCAATTGGGTGACATCAAATGGTTGCGGTGCCTCGCGAGCAGCTCACGAGCTCGCTTCCAGTGGACTGCCCCGCCTTGCCCCGCCGCCCAGCGCCGCGCTGGCTGCTATCCCGCCCATTGACCACTTCCGCCTCGCGTCCCCGGCGGGCGCGCCAATAGGTAGATCTGCCACAAACGAAAAGCTCCGCGCACGTCGTCGACCTTCCGCATCGGGCCACGCGAGCAAAAGCCTCTGCCAATCTCATGATCACAGGCAGACGAGCATGAATTCGCGATCTGCAGATGTCGCACGTTCGCAGAGATTGACGGCGGGAATGGACCCACACGCTGCAGCCATATCCTGGGGAAGAGCGCGCACAACGGCTCCCTGCGTGTTCCTGCAGGCTGCATGGGATAACGCTTGCAGCCGCCGAATCGACGACAGCATCGCCCCCCAATCGCCGACAGCATCGTCCCCCAATCCGATCCGCCGGCCGCGGCATGGTCTCGTCGACATCCAGCAACACGCGCGCCGACGCATGATGGCTGCACATGGGCTGCAGGCAGTCAGTCTTTGCAGCTGCAAGGCCCGCCGCACGTGCTTCTGGTTGTTGGAAGGACATCGATAGACACGGCAGCATGCAAGTAATTCTCAACCCGGAAGCTTGGCCGTGCAACGACAAGCGGGGCGGCCACGTGCGTGACGTCGGTGCTTGGTTCTTCAGAAGCTTCGATACGATGAGGGAGGACGGTGCGGGGTGGTGTAGCAGGCGACAGTGCTACTTCAGCCTTGCGAGCACCAAGTCTCATGACCTCTTGTGAGCCGGCCGCTACGAAAACCGGCGCAGGCAAACGCGTCGTCCGGGCTGACCGGCGCAGCGTCAGCCTTACAGGGAACGCTGCGGCTCAAGGACGATTCCATGGTGCTTCGCTGATGGCTGGGGCCTCGGCGCGTGCGGCGGCAGAGGCCAGTGGCGCGCGGTGGCCGAGGCAGCAGCTGAGGATGACGGGCGGGCTCGGGGCTGAGTGCAGGCGATGCGGAGAGGACAGCGGTGAGAGTGCAGGGTGTGTGCTGCACGTCGGCGCACAGTCGCTGCACCACGCCCATCCTTCGTCGCTCTCTCCATCCCCACGAGCCTGCGAAGCGCGGGCCGGCTCTCTTGGCCCGACTCGATCGCCGCGCGCGGCCGGATGAGTCAGCCGGGCGGGCCAACAAGGAAATTGCCTATAAACTCTGCATTTGGCAAATCCGTGGACCGCACTGCCCGGCTCTCCAATCCCACGGGCGTGCGACTGCCCCCCATCCGCCGTCGGAGGCTCTGTTTGCCAGCGCTGCCCTCTTAACATGTGCACTGCAGACCCGACTGGCGCACAAGGCTCCAGCGCTCCTCTAGGCCGCCGCGCATCCAGCTGAGCGGCGAGCCCGACCAGCTGCGCGCGGGTGGATTCTCCGTGCATGGTGGCGAGCCTGCGAAGAGGGCACGACGCACAAAGAGAATTGGTAAGATGCCCGACTGCGCGGGTCTGTCTTCCGCTCCTTCTTAAGACCGCCTCTCTCGTCGATGCCGCTGCTCACTCGCCTCTAGCACCATGGACGCTCTCGCACACAGCCCGCGCGCTCTGCGCCTGCTCCATCAGGCCACTCCGGCCTTGGTCGCCCTTTGCTTCTGCGCCGGCGTCATCCTCGAAGTCGCCTTCCGCCTTCCCCCAAAGCCGAGGCCGGCCCAGAAGCCATGGCGGACCGCCGCAGTCTACCTCTCGTGGCTCGTCACCTTCACCTATGCGAGCGAGCTTGTGCTCTTTGTGACCCATTCTCTTGTCGACCGCGGCTGGTGGGCCGCTCAAGACAGCGTCATCTTCGCCATTGCCTCGGTCCTGCTCTGGGGCATCATGACCTTGATCTTGGTCGACTCCGAGTCTCCCCGCTGGACGCCTTACGTCGCCTCCTGGATCCTCGGCCTTACTCTGGACATTGCCATGTGTGCCCTTTCTGTTTCTGTTTACCCCGATACGAATCGCTTTACCGAAGCTCAGTGGGCTGTCATGATCGTCCGCCTGGTCGTCTTTGCCGTGTTGACGCTGGTCGGCGTCGCCTTTCTGGTGCCCCCTAAGGAGCAGGAGCAGGGTCCTGACGAAGAGCGCCAGTCGCTGCTCACAGACTCTTCGACCGAGAGCCGCCCAGGCACGACATACGGCTCCATCGCAGAGGACGCAAAGGAGGCCGATGCCGAAAGCGAGGACGACGAGAAAGAAGTCAAGGAGCGCCAGCGCCAGCGCCTCCTGGACGCCGGAGGATGGTGGGCCTATCTCAAAAGCTTCTTTATTCTCTTCCCCATCATTTGGCCGGCGCGGAACCGGAAGATCCAGTTTTACCTGTTCATCATGATTCTCTGCACCCTGGCTGAGCGAGTCTTCAATGTCCTCATCCCCCGCCAAGTCGGCATCATAACCAACCAGCTAGCAGAAGACTGGGACACGGGCCGCATTCCCCTCAAAGAAATCCTCATTTGGATTGGTCTGCAATTGCTAAACTCCAGAGTGGGCATCGACAGCATCTTTTCGATGCTTTCAACCGTCGTGGAACAGTTCTCATCTGCACAGCTCACCAAGGCTGCCTTCAAGCACGTAATGGGTCTTTCGATGAATTTCCACACGGAGAAGAATTCAGGAGAGCTGCTGAAAGCTGTTGAGCAGGGTCATTCGATCACGGCCATTTTGGAATACGTCTTTTTCGAAACCATTCCTCTCATCATGGATCTCGTTGCCGCTTTTGTCTACCTTTCCAATCTTTTCGACGAGTATCTGGCCCTGACGGTCGTGGCTCTTGCCGTCACATACCTGTACTCCACGATCCGACTCACTGCCTACAATAGAGAACGACGCAGGGTTTTCATTGACAAGTACATGAAAGAGAATTCAATCATGTACGAATCGGTGAGCAACTGGCAAACAGTGGCATACTTCAACCGTGGAGCGTATGAGCAGACGCGGCTCAACGACGCTGTGCATGAACACAGTGATTCGTTCGTCAGATACAGCTTCACGTACAATCTGATCTTCGCGACTCAGGCCTTGATCACGTCCACAGGCCTCCTGGCCGCCAGTCTCATCGCAGCATATCGCATCTCTCAGGGTACAGCCAGCGTTGGAAGCTTCGTCACCCTCGTGCAATATTGGGGGACACTGTCTTACCCCCTCTCGAACCTCGCCCACTCATATAGCCGACTGTCGTCTGATCTCATCGATGCCGAACGAATGCTTCAGCTTTTCCTCACCAAAACCAACATCGTCGAAAGACCCAATGCTCCTGATCTAAAAGTAGATGGAGGTCATGTGGAGTACGACGCGGTCGGTTTCGCTTATGACCCGCGCAAACCAACTTTGGATAAGATCAGCTTCGAGGCCAGACCTGGACAGACCATAGCACTTGTCGGTGAAACGGGCAGTGGCAAATCCACTGTCCTGAAGCTACTTCTTCGGTTCTATGATGTGACCAGCGGCAGTATCAAGATCGACGGCCAGGATCTCCGCGACGTCACTCTTGACAGCTTGCGCGAGGTGGTTGGCGTCGTCCCACAAGACCCCTCGATGTTCAACATGTCCATAATGGAGAATATTCGCTATGCACGTCTCGATGCTTCCGACGAGGAGGTTTATGCAGCGTGCCGCGCCGCTGCTGTACATGACAAGATCGAAAGCTTTCCGGATGGCTACAAATCCAAGGTTGGTGAGCGTGGCGTGAAGCTCTCTGGAGGAGAGTTGCAACGTGTTGCCATTGCTCGCGTCCTTCTCAAAAACCCGCAGCTAGTCCTTCTAGATGAAGCAACTTCCGCCGTGGACTCTGCTACGGAGATACAAATCCAAGAAGCTTTCCGAAAGCTCAGCAAAGGCCGGACGACATTTGTGGTTGCCCATCGTCTTTCCACAATCATGGATGCAGACTTGATCCTTGTTCTCGAAAACGGCAAGATCATAGAGCGAGGTACTCAAGACGAGCTATTACAGCTTGGTGGGAAATACGTCGACTTGTGGACGAAGCAGACTTCGAGAAGGACAGAGAGCACTGCGAAAAACTCGATAAACAGCTCCGAGTCCCTGATCGATGACGTCCATGAAGACCTGATAGGCACTGCCAGTCTATTGGAGCAGTTAGATGGTCACAGCGACGAAAGAGACGACAAGTGCTGCAGCAACCTACGTGCTAAGCTGGCAAAGAAACTCAAGACAAGCAGCATCAGCACCAATGATGAGACCGACGAGCCAAACGAAGAGACATCTGAAGGGCTGCATGTGGTGTCTCCAAGACCAACGTACTGCGAAGATGATGGAAGAGCTAGCCTGCCGAACAACCTGCACAGGAGAATCGCTCAGCACGATAAACCCGACCCAGTCGAAAGCAGGGATAAGAACGATGATCAAGCAAGTCCGGAAACGGAGTGCACCGAGGAGCGACCAGAAGATGGCGCAGCCAAGAAGAAATGAAGGCAGATTGTCCCATCTCTTATTCTTGAGAACATGGCCAGCGGCCACGATACCTGTCACTTGGTCAATCACAATGCTTACATATCCATACCCTAACAGCCTCCGACAAAACACATATCAACACCTGTGAGACACGAGTCTCAATCTCTTGGAATGTCCTGTGCATTTCTATATCATTTCCCTCTCCCACCTGCACGCCTTTCAAACACAATTCCGGGATCGGCCGTGCCCTATTTTCCTCTCGAGTTCCTTTCCGGCACTTTATCAGGCGCAGGGGGCACTATTGTTACCTCAGTCATGCCACAACATTTCAAGTCATAGATTCTTTGGGCAAGGAACAGGCGCAGGCGGCTATTGTGTGTGTGTCCTCCCAGATGCTCTCTATTTGGTCATTATTTTTGGTACCGGTTCTTGCCGAATACCGCGATGCATTTGAGCTCATGCGCGTGAACTGAGCGATACTCCTTGTTTCGGCTGCGATTTGTGTTGTATATCTCGGATACCTGTTCTATCTGCGTGCTTTTAAGTGTTCGGTGGCTTGTTCTATGAAGCATTGATACTCACATTTTTCTCATTTTCGGCATGTCCATGGCGAGGCTTTTCGGTTTGAGATCTACCTATCGGCTCTGCGGATGGAATGGGGTGGAAGAATGGCTTACCAAACTGTGCATATTGTACTGAGCGACAGAGATATGAGAATGGGTGGTATTTTCTCGATAGGGTCAGCATTAAAGAGCAATGATGCTCGATATCCAATTATCAGATCTCAAGATGAGTGCAACCAAATTCTGCTGGCACCAGGGGGTTTTCTCTGAAAGAATTTGCTCTTCTTAAAACTACCTTCCTCGTGGTGTTCGACGGTTACCCCTATTTACGAGGGCAGTCATAGCCCCATTTGGATCCTTTTGGAGAGTTTCAAGCCCGAAGGTTACATCCAGACTTTTGCTCCAGTCACTGGTGTAGAACCTGTACAACACCGTCCATTAAGAGACGGAAAGGGAAGGGTCTCTGTGACCGACTGCGCAATCGTATTAGCTTCATACCTCATCAGTTTTACTTTCCAATTCGCTGAACTACAGTTTCATTGTTGTCTATATCCCTATTCACTACCCCCCCTTTCGCTTTGACAACTCATTAAAGCCATTCGGTCGTTCCGCAAACTCGTGCTGTGACGCTCTACGCGGTTCGCAAATTCCCATCATCTAACCTGCTTCCCACTCTCGTTGCCTCCATTGAAATGATGTGAGGCTCAAAAAGGCCAGTCTGCATTGACTTTGCGCCGTCCGAGCAAGAGTAGACTCTTCCGACCCCACCCAGTAATAAACTCCTTGAGTGGCTATCTGATTTGGGGGGAATCGAAAGTATACAAAAAAGAAAAATGAACTGGACCGCTAAAGTATCGAACCGGAGAGAAATAAGATGCCGGCAGAAAAAAAAACTTTTCGTAGGGAGGAATCAAGCAGCACACCAATAGCGGACCAACCACTTTTTCCGTTGCCCAAAAATCCCAGAGCTAGCAAAAGGCCACCAGGGGAGCCAATGCCATACACCCAAGATCCAAGTAGACTCGAGACCAGTGATCCGCATGCACAGCTTAATCAGGCCTAACCAAATTTAGATTTCCTGCGCAGCGTAAGGAAGGAAAAAAGTCGAAGGAAACAAGATCCAAGGGATGGAGGAGGCAAGGGGGGTATTAAGGAGATCCGTAACGTGGCCGAGATGAACGCCAATGTAGTGCCATGCTGTGCAAAAGTAGAAGAATCGAAGAGAAACGGTATCCTGTTACGGAGACCAGGACGTCAAAAGGTGGAGAGCTTCGTCGAAAGAATAGCGAGTCCAACCAAAGCCACGCGTCGGCGACACACGTGTGAGCCATAGCAGTTGAAGATATGTCTTCATCCTGAGGAACCGACCAATTACGGAGATGCTGATGCTCTAACCAGAACGGACAAAATCTCGAGGCGTGTTTCCAGGGGTGACGTAGAGATCCTCAAAAGCTGGCTAAAGTGGAATCAAGCACTATGACGGTTTCCGATGCAAGGATCTGGCGAGGTGGCAAAACGCTGAAGTTCCTCGATTTCCGGTTCTCACTCATCCGCATGATCCAAAGTCTAACCAGCAGAGGGTGTTGAAGCGCGTGCAGAGCTCCTCGTTCTCTTCGCACCTGCAACTTCAAGTGGCTCTCCTTCTCTTTTCGTTCCCGATACCGATCGGACTCCCGCCTTAGTACGACGCCATTGATCGAAGGGGCTGCGTTTAGCTGGCCTTGGCATTGGCGCGAACACTGGCTTCGGCTCTTGATCATCATTCTGTGCAGAGTCAGACGGACCAGCCTCTCCATCAGCAGGGTTCTGTGGCGGTTCAACGTTCGCATCCTTCTTTGCTGATGCGCGTGTGGTCCTAGATGGCGGAGGCGTAACTGGTTCGAAGTAGCGCTGCGTGGCAGGTGTAGTGGTGTTTGCAACTGTCTTAGGGGTGCTTTCGGGAGCAGGCTCGGGTGTGGCATCTCTCGCCTCAACAGGAGCAGAGCGCGGAGCACGAGCCTTGTGAGCACGCTTGCGAGGAGTGGTGAGTTGAACGGAGGCATCAACGTCAGTAGAGTCTTCTTCCGCAGCCTTCGAGGCAGCAGCAGCTTCGCGGGCACGTTTCTGCTCCCCTGTAGGGAAGAGAAGGCGTGGCTGAATGGAAGAACGGGTCACACGACGGCGAGCCATGGAGCCAACTGCGCGGCGAGTAGGGCTGCTGGCCAGGTTGTCGGAGTCTGAGCCGCTGTCGTCAGAGCCTTCCTTGAACTCGGTGAATATCTTCTTTCCACGGCTGCGAATCATTAGCCCGAACATAATTGCAGATGTGTTGTTAAGACTTACAAGACTGAAATGAAACCTTCACCGTCACGGGCCCTACGGTCCATCTCCTCTTCCTCTTTCGTCAGGCGGCGCTTTGAAACGCGAGGCGAGGTGCTCGGGCCCGCATGAGGCTCATCATTCTCATCGGGCTTCTTGGTGATGAACGGATTGTCTTCTTCCTCGTCAAAGCTTGGAACGCGCTCACGGAAGTCAGTGTAGATCTCGATCTTCTCGTGCGAATCATCGTCACACTCATCCATGAAGCTGAAGGAGGTGTGCTTCTTGTTCTTGCGGTTCTTGCGAGGCGAAGGCATGGCGTCTTCGATGTTGGCCGGGCGATCGTGGAAAAGGATGCGCGCGGTCTGTGCAAATGCGGAGATGGGCCTCGCCTTATCCTTCTTGCTGGGGGTTTTGGAGGGAGTCGGGAAAACGCCACCCAAGGAATCCCTGGAGCTGGTGAAAAAAGGGTCCGAATCGTTGTCAGAGGTCAGGAGCTGATCATCGAACATGACCCTGTGGGCGCTCTTCTTGACACTGGGGCGCTTCTGAGGTGAGGAGGGTGAGGAAGGCGGCGAGGTTGCGAAGCTAGAGGTGGGGGCCGGCAGGTCGCCGCTTCCAGTCGGTGTGAAGGCGCGAGTAGACCGGGGGGCCGGGCGCTTCTTAGAGATGTCCAGGTCTTGTGACTGCTGGCCAAGGGCATGTCGCGAACGCTGGGCAGCGACGCGGCTGGAGCGACGCGGCGGCGAGTAGGGCTCCCAGTCATCGTAGCGAGATCCAAGATGCGGCGCGGGAGGGGTATGGATGCGCTCCGGCGGCGGAGGCGTCGAAGCCATGGTGGAGGATGGTAACAATGGTGATGCAGGTGATGTCGGTTGGCTTGCCGGCGGAATCTAGACGAATGCGGCGACGCGCAGCGGGAGCGGGATGGATGTGAACAGAGCAGGCGCTCGGCAGGTTGCAGGCAATTGGGCGGGCGTCCGGGGTTCTTGTGCGATCAGGTAGGCGCGGGCGCCAGGGCGAAGCAGAGGGTTGTGGTGGAGCGGCAAGGGCGGGCGGTGGTGGTGAAGTGAGGAGGGAGGTGCCAGGGCTGAAGTCGGCGGCTCGTCACCGGGACTGAACGAAGTGGCTGGGCGCTGCGCGTGAGGCTGGACGCGGCAATTTGGGCGCGGTGGGCGCGCCAAGCCTGCGCACGGACTGCCCCCACGCGTACGTGTAAGCTCGAAAACAGTCAACAACGCGCTCCAAACGACCGCGTCGGCACATCGCCAGCACTGCCCGGTCCAGGCAGCGAGGAACAGCACACACTGCAGCGAGCACAGTCCGCCAGTCTCCACTCTCCGCCCCCTGATGGCTTCCCCGTCCGCCGACGACCTGCAGCTCTCCGATGCAGACATCGATCTCGACTCGCCCGCCCCAGCACTGCCTGATGATGCGGGTGCATCTTCTGGCAGATCACGGCCGCAGCGCGCCGAGTCGCGCTACACATCCGAAGAGGCTCGCGATGAGGCGCTGCGGCGTGAATTGGATCAGGTGCGGGGCGTCAACAAAGCCATCGAAGACGTCATTGAGAGCCTGCAGAAGGCCAAAACCAATATGCATGTTCGTGTTCCACCAGGCTGTCTGATTCTCTGTCTACTGACGCTCTGCAGACTGTGAACCACACCGTCACCTCTGCTTCCACGCTCTTGCAAACATGGACACGAATCCTTTCCGCAACTGAGCACAACCAGCGTCTCATCCTTGATCCCAATTGGCAAGGCGCTACCCAAGACTTGGCTGAAATCGAGGCCGACACAATTGCACAGCAGCAGGCTATGGAACGCCGCGAGCGCGAGGAGCAGGCACGCCGCGAAGCAGCCGCCCGCAAGGCTGAGGATGAGGAGCGCAAGAGGACCGAAGCCGCTAGCCGGCCCACCAGCGCAGCGAGCACGAGGGGACGGAGGGGTGGACTGCGGGGAAGAGGATCGGCAAGTGCCTCGAGTACTACAAACACCGGCCGGACTACTCCCGGAGGGTACGTCGGCGTCGGCGGGCAGAGGGGTGTGGGCAGAGGACCTGCAGGAGGAAGGACTGCAAGCGGAATTGGCCGAGGTGGTCTGAGAGGAAGGGGGCGTGGTTGAACATCAAAAGCGAAATGGAGTACGATTTTAGACATGGTTTGGCGACATGATACCCCGGGACTTTTGCTTTCTGGCACCTATAGGACACAAGCAACATATTACAAACGAAATCAGACGCAGGCAGTGTTGCCGTCATTTTCTCGTAACTGTTGTCGCGAAAACAAAAGTATGTGCTGCTAGTCGGTGTTTTTGCCGGTTGCGCCTACGTCATGCCCCTGATCGATCAATATCTGCCAAGCTCATATCCAAGATCCCGGATAACTGTCTGTGCCCTAATCGGCAGTGGGCTCGCCGTATTCTCCGCAGCATCAAACGTCTACGAGGAATCTTTCGGAATACATTATCGTCCGTGGGGCTGGCTGCAAAAGAAATGCGCGTGCTTTGACCAGACCCCAGCGAAACTGGAATGCTTATGGGCCCTTCTTCATTGCGTTTTTTTAAAGAGTTATCTAGGAGTCAAGAAGCTGCAGATCTCATCAAATTGGAGCATTCGGTTATCCGTGTTCGCTCCTTCCCGCCCCGCTCCCGCCCGCGCCCCACACTCCACAGGCGGGTAGATTCCCGCATCTGGGTGGCTGCAACGATCCCACCTACGTTCCGGAATTTATTTGTGACTCATGTCATTGCTGAGTCTCTTCAGCCTTTGGACTAGTTGTTCTCAGAAGTCGCAACGTAATACATTTTTTTAGTGCTTAACCGTGATATTTGCTAGTGAGGGTATACGGTATAAAGCTTTAATAGCATCATCCGCTGTCATTTACTATAGTATTCTCCACCAAAGCTAGATGTCATCAAAGCCCAGGACGATCTCGACCTAGACTATTGTCATAGAATGGTACAAATGTCATAAGTTTCGCGGGCATAGCTTCAAGAATAAAGCTGTGTCAACGCTGTGCACTGTTCAGGTCAAAGCTTAAGGCAGGGTGTTGTCCCATAAGCTTCTCACTGTCACCCCATCTACCCACGCACCGCCTGTGTCGTCTTTCTGAATGGTATATCCGACTTGCTTGCTCTCCCCAGGAAGCAGCCAGAAGGCGTTCTCATCGAAGAATACCACCGCGCCTGCGGGATAATCTATCCAGACCCAAGATGCTACACCTTTCTCGGCTGTGACGATGAACGTCCCGCTGCCAGCATCCCCCGAGTGGGTGACAGACAGTCCCGGGTCAACCAAATTTGCCTCAGCGAGAGTGCTTGCATGCCACCAGTTGCGATGCGCGAACCTCTCGGTTGTATTCGCATTAGGCAGTGACCCTTCAACCTCGACGTCAAGCACGAGCAGTACGTCAGTGGGATCGAAGCCGGATAGAATCTCATCCGTGTTTGTACTGAGAACACGGGTGGTGTTGATCGCTCCTACGTGGACGGTTGCGGAAGTTGGCGTGCTGATGTTGAGCGGCTTGCCCGCATAGTTGACCCAAGTGAAGTTCGCAGTGCCGGTGGCGGAAGTCCAGAGATCGGAAGTGACATACACTTCAAGATCGCCCGTAGTACGATTCAAAAACGGCGTGATGATGACGTTTTGATAGATATCCTTGGCGACGTAGTGCAGCACCTTCCAGCGTCCATCATACTCGATGCTCGCCCACGTTGGTGCTTGCCAGATATCTTCAAGTTGCCAGTACAGAGAGCCAAGTTGGCGTTCTGGCATACCACTTCCACGGCGGTAGAACATGATCTGGCTTTGGTAGAAGTCTGCCTGGAAGATCTGGGTCGTATGGCACCAGGCGGAGAAATTGGCAATGGAATCTTCCTTGTTGGGAACTGGATACCATCTTTGTGCAGCTACCGTCATCTCACCCATTCCTTTAGAGGTATTTGCGAAGTTGGTAGTATTCAATCCGCCTGGCGGGTAGTGGTGGTTTCGGAGCTGAATCACGGTGGAGTTGAACCATAGGTCTTCTTCATCGACAGCTTGACGCCATGTCTGAAGAGACGGCATGGAATGATAGCCAAATTCGTTTGAGAAACGGCCGACAGGGTAAGAACTGTAATTGAAGGCGAGAGCGGAATTGTAGTTATAATAGTCGGTGTCGCCGTAGATGCTACCTTCAGTCGTGTTCTCGTATCTCTCAATCATCGGTCTTGGGGCGCTGTGGTTGAGATACAACCAACCATTGGTTGTGGATGACGGAGCGTAGGAAATACTTTTACTATTGCCAAAAACGACCGGTACGAGCGTGTCAAGAAACAAGGTCTCGTACTCGGCCAACAAGCGCGGAAAGTCCTCTGGAGATGCTTCTTCAGCGATTGGGAGCTCTAAATTTTCCAACTCATTGCCGCCCGCCCACATTGCCAGGGAAGGATGATGATTTACGCGTCGAACTTGGTACGTAGCTTCGGCACGTACGTTGTCCAGGAAGTCTTGGTTGACCGGGTAGAGAGCATCGCCAAATTCGAACTCGCTCCAGAGAAGAATTCCCATTTCATCGGCGAGATCATACATGAAATCCGGCGAGTAGGCGCCGGAAGACCAAACTCGTAGCATGTTCTGATTACCGACGACGACAGCCTGGAAGAGCTGCCGTATGCGTTCTTCTGTAACGCGAACCCAGAAGGCGTCGGGCGGGATGAAATTGGAGCCCTTTGCGTAGAATTCATGACCATTGATTTCGAAGTGCCAGTTGTTTCCTGGAGCAATTCCCTTGGCCAGTTGTTCGTCTGATATCGGCGACTCGTTCAAGACGATGGTTCTGAATCCAGTCCGCTTGTTGATTGTTGCAAGCGAGGCATTCGTAGCATCAACGACGATGATTTCTAGATTGTAAAGCGTTTGAGCGCCAAGCCCTGCTGGCCACCAGAGCTCAACCAAGTCAGATGGAATCATGGTACTTCCAGTAATGACGCCTTCGCCAACTGTGATATTCAGCAAAGTGCCGGATGTTACGGTGGTGTTTTGTGCATCAAGAAGTCGAAAATTCAATCCCATTCCAGATGGGCCGTGGCCAAGAAAATCGACGCTTGCATTCAGCACCCATGGCTGAGACTGATCCGGTGGCAGGTTATTCAACTGGCCCAATCGGTAAATGTCCACTAACGTATTACGGACATGAATTTCGTCTAGGCCAAGTTCGACGACAAAGGCAGGCTGCCATGGACCAGCTGGAGCGAAAGCGGGGCCCTAAAGGAATCAGCCAACTGGTCTGTGGCATTACTCAAGGGTGTATTTACCCAGTCCCAGCCAAAGTCACTTTGCTCCTTTCGGATGAAATGTCGGTTCGGAAATTCGAAAAGGCCCTGCACGCCATAGGGCCAGGTTTCCTGCCCCGGCTCTGCCGCTATTTCGTTCGCAATCGCCGGGGCACTTCCAAAATTAATGCTCAGCACTGGGGCTACGGGGCAGCTCTTCACAATGTCCGTGACTTCGAAATAGTACTGCCGGAACTGGTTGTTGGTAGCTGCCACGTGCTCCCCGCAGAGCTCAATACTGGCAAATGTGTCGAGGCCGTTGAAAAGCAGGAAGCTAGATGAGGCACTGGAGTTCCTGTCTCCTAAATTAGCGTGTTCACAATTTCAAGGGTCCATCCATTCGCTCGAAAACTGCTGGCTGACTCTTCGACGGAAACGTCGGCCGGGATTCCGCAGATTTCACAGACCGAAGGAGGCACACAAGAAAAAAGAAAAAATAAAAAGGGAGACAAAAGAATTCATTCAGTTTTTGATTGGTGGTGCAATAAACGGATACAGTCATGGTGGACATGTGGTGGGGGTGTTGGGGAGATATGACGCAACAGAAATCGTTGCCGGTGACGTAACCGACAACCCTTCACCTAGGTGAGCGACAGTGATGATGATATAAATCAAAGGCTAGGGCCAGGCATCGACGGTAGGAATATCATGGGTGTCTTAAGGCCTCGTTCTCAAGAATTGGCCCAAGCACAAGGCCCAATGGCTTAGTTGGCCGCACGCCTTGGGACATATACATGGCCCGACAAGAACACCTAACCGGGGGAGGAAAAGAGACTGATTGCAGACAAAAGTTTACGGAACGGTCGAGACGTACAGCAGAGCGGCAAGAGGAGGCGAAGTGTAAGTCCAATTGGCCCAGGCAACCCAACGCAAGTCGAAGTCGTTGAGTGCGTAGTACGGGTCACCTATGACCTGGGCGGCAAACAGATCGAGATGGGCCTGGGACGGCAGTTGGGCAGGAACGGATATGTTCAGGGCGGGATTGGACAGCGTCCAGCCGGGACCGGCCAGATCGACGACGCGGTTGGCAGCTACCGAGGCTGCGGCAGCCGTGCTTAGGACGGCTTGCAGATCCCACCGAGGCATGACAGAGGCTGGAGCAACGACAAGAGCAGCGGGCGAGGCGGCGCACCGCAACAGAAGTGCGGCCATGGCGAGCGCCAAGATGGCCTTTATACGGGGCATCGTCGAGTGATGCAATGAGGAGCAAGTCAATGGCACAGTCGCATCGCTAGAAGCGGGCCGGGGGGCTGCTCGGGCGGGAGCGCGGTTGCGACGGGAGGCGGCCATCATGCATGTTTCGAGACATGACAGACCAGGGCGGGAGCTAGTTAGAGGCGCCGGACGCCTCCGCCGCACAGGCGGGGGCCAGAGCGTGGGGCAGCAGCAGCTGGGGAGCAGGAAGGCGCGAGCGTCGCACGCACGTGACGGAGCGACAGCAGCCGCCCAACCCCAGCCCGTCAACCCTTTAACTGCCACCGGCCGACTCCAGCTCCTCCCGATGTCCCAGTCCGACCCGCATCATGGCCGAGCCCGAGTCCAGCGCTGAGTCGCGCAAGCGCCGCCGCGGCCAGCGAAGCAATCGGCCCTGCGACCCGTGCCGCCGCCGCAAGACGCGCTGCATCGTCGAGTCTGGCTCTTCCGGCGAGTGCACCGTGTGCCTGTACAGACAGACCAAGTGTACCTACGAGGAGTCGCCCCCCGAGCGCCCCTTGCCTCGCCGCCCTTCCAGCACTGCCGCTTCTACCTCCACCGTCGACATCCCCGCCCGCCACCCGCCCTCCAGCGAGGTCGCCCACCTGTCCCCCGGATCCGGCGACATCCCGAGGTCTGCTCCCACCCTGCCGCAACTCCCTAGCGTGCGCACCAACGAAGAGCTGCCCTCGGATGTGCTGAGCTCTGGCGAAGCCTCGGCTGCCGCCCTCGAGGCTGCTCGCGAACGCCAGCGCAATGGCGAGACCATCAGCGATGCAGACCGTGCCAAGGGGGAGATGTCTCTGGGCCTGCATCCTACGCGCTTTGCCGAGCTGTACGGCTTGGGAAGTGACATGGAGCCCATCCTCATGGTGCGTCTTCTCCGCTGCTCCAGCCTCTCACCCGTGCTAAGCTCAAATGCAGCGTCACCGTCCCTATGACGCCCTCCATCACGAATTCCGCCTTTCCACGCACGCCATCCGCCGCGTGCTCGAGCGGGATCAAGGCGTCGAGTACCCGCTCTGTTTCCACATTGTGGGTTCACCTGGCCCGAGCCAGAGCCACTTGACTGACCCAACTGCAGGTTAGCGACGAGAAGGCCGCCGGCTATTCCTCTACCTACCAGGAAGTAGACGCCATCGAGGCCTGCGTCAAGCCTTTTGGCGAGCGCCTTGTTCGTCTGTTCTGGCGTGTTGTTCAGCCATCCTACCCGGTCCTGTATAAGAAGGGCTTCATGGAACAGTTCTCAAAATCTTACCGCTTCATCCCAGGCCCTCTCCTGGGAGCCGTCTACCTAAACGCAATCAACTGGTGGCATTTTGACCCCTTACTCTCAACACACCCTCCGCCCGACCTTTCCACCCTGAGGCGGCTTACCCTGCACGCCATTCAAAACTCATATCACCGCCCGCGGCTGTCTTCGATAGAGTCCATGCTCCTGCTCTTGCAGTGCAAACCCGAAGACCCCTTAAATCCCGACCATACTTTTGGTTGGGGCTTGGCCTCTCAAGCACTGGCAATTGGCGAGGCTTGCGGTCTCCACCTCGACGCCTCTGGCTGGGCCATTCCGGACTGGGAACGCACCCTGCGCAAACGCCTTAGCTGGGCTTTGTACATGCAAGACAAATGGACTGCCTGCGCGTATGGGCGGCCAAGCCACATTACTGACGACGAGTGGGGCGTGAAAGAGCTTGATCCGACGGACTTTGCGGATTGTGAGGCAGATCCAGACGATCCCGCCGGACTGGCCGTCCAAGCTGGCCAGGAACAGTTCTTGCACATGGTACGGCTATCACAAATACTCGATGTTGTCTTGAAAAGATTCTATTCCGTCAAAGGATGCGTAAACCAGGACACTGTCGATTTGTACACGAAAGCGCAACCCATCATAGACTCGCTGGCCACATGGTACAGGGCCATACCGCGCTCTCTGCACATGGACTCTTTGCCTCCAAGGCAGCTTTGCCCAAATGGTAAGTGTGTTTCCTCTGTGGGTTTTCGTGAAATAGAAGGCCACTTCCGGAAATACTTCTGCATGACTACAGAAGGTTAGCAAACCGCCAGACGCCCTAAAGCAACCATACAACTGCTTGCATGATTGGTTCAAGCTGTCTAGACTATCACGTGGTTTCGGTATCTGTAGCCGGGTAGTTTTAGCCAGGTCCACGTCTCCCTACTACGCTTTTTGCCTTGAGGTCGCCCACCTCTCCGATACTGATTCTTCATAGGATACCTACATCTTGCTTATTTTGGCGTTACAACTCTCCTGCTCCGCCGGCTCGTTAGGTCCACGGCACTTGCTCCGCTATGCTTGGACATACAAGTACTAAACGCCATTCGTCAATACGCTTATGATACGGCAATGAAGGCCACAGCTTTGGTTGCGTTGCTTCGCCCAGAGCATCTGGATGCCTTTTGGTATTTTGGTATGCTAGAGACACGACCTTGGCGTGCGAGGGCTGACCTGTGTCTCATTTAGTCTCACCGTACCTTTTTTCTGTCATTGGATCTTTTACCACCCTCTTACTAGTGACGTCGCTCACGCCGTCGGAACGAGACCACTGGCGTGAGACGCTCAATTCGTACATTTGGACCCTCCGCACCATGAGTAAATCAAACGAGCCCATCAGATATGCTGTCAACCGGCTCGAGGGAGCAATCTTGCGTGGGCTTGAGCATGCTCTGGTTATTGCTGTGGACGGTCCATCGACCGAGATGGCCGAGACGCCTCAGCAAACGTTTGAGGCGGGCGTCAACGGATTTGGTTTTGGGATCTCTGAAGTCAACGACTGGGACTACCAAAGTCAAATGCACTTGGGCGCGTTTGATTATTTGAGTAACAATGCACCTGCTGCGCCGATGCAGTAAATAACCATTAGAACGGCATTCGACGGGCCACAGGTAACCAGCGGAATATTGGCAGGATGCGGAGGTAGGCACATGTCCTTCGAGGGATTTGGACATTCTCTGAAGCGTGCGTTGATCCCTCATGGCGGTCTTCCCGTCACGCATCTGCCGCGGCCTTCGTTCCTCGACGCAAGGCGTTCCCTGTGACCTGTCATTAGCTATGTTTGGTTGGGGCCTGCTATTTACAAATGCTCCGAAAGGCGCAACGAAACATCGGTCAACTTAACGGCGCCATCTTCTACAAAGATACCCAGCTCTTTAGTCTCTTGTCTTGTACTTTCTAATGTACCATCATTTGTCTTCGCATGCAATTCACCGGTCTCTGACGGAGAGCGCTTCGGGAGGCGATAGCTTATTGACCTGCCCCCGACGAATATTTCCAGGACGTTGGTTTGCACAACCACGACAACGGGGCCATCGACTACTAGTCCATTGTGGCGGCCAATCTCGGGGCCGTCGACTTCCCTGGGGAGGTACTGCTTGTACTGGTCGGCCCAAAAGTCGTCGAGGGGTGGATCGTCAGACAGTAAGACGACGTCGAAACGATTTGGTGCAGTCGGCTCAAAACGCAAGCGGTGGCCCTTCATGTCTTCGTTGGCACGGAGCAGAAGCCCAAAGGAGGTGGCGTCGTGTGAGGCAATGGTAAACTGGAACAGGTAGTCGACTGGGTCAGCTGTGTGGCGCATGGGAAGGAAGTGTGCTGATGTTTTTCCAGTGGAGATGAGATCCAGAACAGGTGGCAAGCTGTCGGCACTCAGTTCGGTGGCCGTCTCGAAGGCGGCGTGGAGAGCTTCCCGGCTCGGTTCAAGCACGAGGGCCCCATCGGCGTTTGCAGAGACCTCCCTCGGGGTGCCCATGTCTCCACCCCACAGCCACTTCCCGTCGCCGTGGTAGCGGTCGGCGATCCATCCAAAGTAGACACGCTTTGAAGGATCGCCGGCCTTGGGGCATGACTTGGCGGCGTACCAGCGCCGGGCATCAAGCCTGCCGCCCGAAGCGGCGCGGGGGGTGCGGAAGGGACCTCGCGGGGAGGAGGCGACTTTGTACACGGTCCCAGCATTGGGCGACGAGAACCTCGAGTAGACCAAGTACCAGTTGCCGTTGGGAAGGGAGAAGAGCTCGGGACACTCTGGGCAGAAGAGGTCGTTGGGTGCGTAGAGGGGCTCGGGCTCGGCAGTCCAGTGGTCGAGGTCGTCGGAGGTGAGAAGAGCTATGCAGCCACGAGTCCAATAGGGCCCGTCGGCGAGGCGGGTGGCGACGAGCATCCAATAACGGTTCTCGGCCGAGTTGAAGAAGACGTAGGGGTCTCTGAAGTCGATGTCTTCGAAGAGGGTGGCGGTGGAGGGCGAAGTTATGGTGATGGGAGTGAGGGGCTGGGCAAAAGTAGAGCCGTGCTTGTCAGAGGACGTGGCATGCAGGATGACCTGCTTGCCGCCGTGCTCGAGGTTGTAGCCGGTGTAGAAGATGTGCATGTTGGCGTCAGGGCCCTCGACGGCGGAGCCGGTCCAGGCGCCGTCGGCGTCGGGAGCATCTGCGGTCTTGCCGGGATGGAGGGCAGGCTGTTCGTCGCGGACCCAGGCGACCAGGTCTTTGGAGCGCAGGTGGTGCCATGAGGAGCGGAGCCTCGGCGGGTGGTGGATGGTGTTGTGGGGGGTGGCCAGATGGAAGAGATGGTAGGTATCGTCGACTAGGATGGGAATGGCATCAGCGGCCGCCTGCGAGTCGGACGGCCTGCTGTAGCGAGAGACAGGCGAAGGTGCAATGAGAGAAGGCATGGCTTGGTCCTGACAGATGCTCGGATAGCTGCATCCTCCAGCAGGTGGTTTTGGGCGTAGTGATATAAGCCACTGCGTGGCCGGGCCGCGAGTCATGGGCAGCCCGGCAGTTGGAGGGCGTGCCGGTGGACGGCCGGCCGGCCGTGATGGGCGTGCGACCGGCCGACGGCGGGTGGGTTCACTGGCCAGATGGGTATCTCAGGGTCCGCGCCATGAGCGCTAGGAACCCCCTAGCACCACGGACTTCTCCAGCTTCCCCAGATGCTATAACCAACGCCCTTCCGCCGCCATACACTCGCCCGACGCCGTCGTCCGCTGCTTCCCTGCACCCTTTGTACCACCTTCCCCCTTCGCTCGCCTGTGGTGCAACGGCACTCAGGCGCCATGGCCCGCATCGAACATCCCTACGCGTGGCTTTTCTGCGCCTTCGCCGCCCTTGGGGCTTGCTTGTACGGCTACGATGGTACGAGAGGCGTTTCTTGGCCGCTTTCACTTTGCCATGCACTCACGCTAGAGCCCAGGCGTCTACTTCACCGGCGTCAGCGCAATGGACGTCTTCGTCGAGCACTTCGGCACGCCCAAGGCCGACGGGACCGGCTACGAGATCAAGGCGTCCGACCTGTCGGTCATGACCTCGATGATCAACGTCGGCGAGCTGGTGGGATCGCTGACGGCCGCCCCATTGAACGACTTCCTTGGCCGCAAGGGGGTTTTCCTTATCGGTGCCCTGACCGTCATCGTTGGCGTCGTCCTGCAGCTGTCGACCGACCACAGCCATGCATACATCATTGGTGGCCGCGTCATCCTGGGCTACGGCGTCGGCGCCTTCTCGTCGACCAGTCCGCTGTACATTGGCGTAAGAGCTTTCCTCTTTGGTCTTTTCTTTTTCTATTTTTGGCCGTCCTCGTTCCGTTTCCTCGTCCATGCCGACTTGGTACCTTTCGACTGCAGCGCGCGGCATTTCTCGTCGGTGCATGCGGCTTCCGATGTCCGCCAAGTGGCCATAGCTTTCGGCATAAACTACCGACAACCCTATACATCCTGCAAGTGGAGAAATAACGGCAGTGGCTTGCCACATGGCTCGTGCTGCGGTGGAGCAATGGGGCAGACTAACGCCTCCGGGTATCTCCCAAGCGGCCCTGGGCACGGCGTCTGGTGACCATTGAGCCCATCTGCAAGCTCTTTCTCCGTCCCGGCCTACCGAAGAGCTGGCTCCTCTCTCTCTCTCGTTTTTTCCTTGGTAACGCTTCAGATGCCGACAACGTGTTGAGGTGTGAAGGAATCAACCAGCAACAACAAACTGACGAACATGATCAACAGGAAGTGGCACCAACCCACATCCGCGGCCCGCTGCTAATGTGCTGGCAGCTCACACTGTCAGTCGCGCAGATCGTGGCTGCCGCCATCAACCGCGGTACTGAGTCCATGACGACCACCGCCGCCTACCGCATCCCCATGGCTGTGCAATTGATCTTCCCTTTGCTTGTGCTGACCTTCCTGTGGTGGGTGCCCGAGTCGCCGCGCTGGCTGCTGCGCAAAGGCAAGGGAGAAAAGTGTGACGATGCCCTGCGCTTGATCCACCGTGAGGACAAGACCTACTCGTCGCACGCTGATATGCTCGCACTCCAGAAGGACATTGATGATGAAGCTGCATTGGCTAAAGACTCGTCGTGGCTTGATCTCGTACGAGATCCCATCGAGCGCCGTAAGGTTGTTTATTCGGCCGGCGCCCTCATTGCCCAACAGATCAACGGCATCCAGTGGTTCTACTACTTCGGTACCGTCTTCTCTCAGGCCATCGGCCTTGACGATCCTTTCTTGATGACGTTGATTGTCTTCATCATTCAAGTCGTCGTTGTCTTCGCTGCCGTCTTGTGCGCCAACAAGATCCCTCGTAGGCCTCTTCTTCTCGTCACCACGGGTATCATGACCATCTCCATCTTCATCGTGGGTTGTCTGGGTATCCCTGGCGGCGAGGTGACCGAAACATTTGGCAAGGTCATCATCAGCTTCGTCATCATCGAAATTACCGCTTTCAACTTTGCATGGGGACCTCTCGGTTGGACCATTGTGAGCTCTTATCCCTGTTTTCAATTCTACTCCAGCCACAGACTGACCCCGTGGTTTTCTTCCTAGGCATCCGAGATGGCCGTCGGCCGCAATCGCAACAAGATCTACGCTATCGCCGTCGCCTGCTTCTGGGTCACCGTCTGGGTCACCGTCTTCACTCTGCCGTACCTGTACTACTCGGCGAATTTGGGGCCTAAGACCGGCTTCGTCTACACGGGCCTCTGCTTCGTGTCGCTGGCCTATGTGTGGTTCTGTGTTGGTGAAGTCACTGGGAGGACGATGGAAGAGATCAACGACTTCTTCATGAAAGTAGGCTCCCCTCTCTTTTCATTCCATTCCTTTCTTTCTCCCTGTGCACATGGCATCTGAGTTTCAGTGGCTGACTTTCAATCCGTTTCTTCAACCTCACAGGGCATTCCAGCTCGCAAATGGGCCGAGCAGCCACGCCGACCGCACCCAGAAGACGGCTCCGATACTTATGAAGTTACAAATGAAAGGGCTAAGAACGATCAAGCTTAACAAACTCCATAAGTTGATTGCATTTACCTCTTAGCTGGACCGTACTTTGGCAACGGGTTGAGCCCTGCTACCTTGCTCTGTTACAATGATCACTTGTCCATATCTCCGCCAACGCAATTACTGTACAGTAGAGTAAAAAGAAAAGAGCGCTTGGATTTGTATCTACCCGGGCTTAACATATTCTTTGCATGGAGTACGAGGATGAGATCTGCCTGGATGTTTTTTTTTTCTTCCTCTTCGTGTCCTCAACGAGATGTCTTGGCGATCATCCAATAAGATAGCCCGTTTATTATTAGATTGATGAACGATAAATGTATCCACCATCCCCTCTATTGCCGGGAGTGGGTCGCGACGCTAGCCCTCGGACTCCGCTAACCTAGAGCATGATGTGACGCATCCAATTATTTTAACTTGGCAAGGATTTGCGGAATAGATCATGAGACCATGGAGATGCCGTCGCGAATGGTGACAATCACCGAAGTTTCCGGGACTATTGGCGGAATGACCTTTTTAGGATAAAGAAAGGCTGTGCCAGGTCCGATGCTAACTGGAGATCGATGTATCGCGATGAGGATCGTAATGAAGCCTATCTCGTGAAACAAGGCGAACGGCACCAGGTGTGGTCCGCACTAGATAAAAGTTAATGTTGCAGCCGTGCTCGATTGGGATACGTGCACGCCATCCGTGAGGGAAAAAGTATGAATATTGTAGTACGGAACGCCGCTCCCTTGCTAAAACGCCCATTCGGTATTGTGCTAGGTACCCAGAAAACCCGTGAACAAATCATTAGTCAACCACCCAGATCCCATTTTAACCATCCGTTCATCCATCTACGAAGACGACGCTGCCTTGAGAGCAAAGGCAAACAGACTGTCCATTTGTACCCACTGCCGACCGTTGCGGTCCAGATACGATTTGACGACATCTCTCCATGTCTCGAACCTCTCTCGGTTAACCTCTGCCAAGATGGTGACCTTTTCCTCAACTTCGCCATTGACCCCCTTGCCCATGCTGCGCTCTTTCGTTATCGTCGCCTTGGTTTTGTCAACGTCGAACAAGCCCTGCAGGTACAGCAGCTGGTTGTACATGGCCTTATCACCATACTCGTAGCCCATACGACCGGCGCAGCCGAGACCTCGCCCTTGAGGACCCAGGCACCGGTGGCCGTATACACTCATTTGGCGAGTGCGTGCACCGCAGGCTGGGTCATCGCAAACAAGCCAACCGGCGTAGTAACGTGCCGTGTGTTGGCGAATCTGCGCTTCGAGCTGCGAAGATACGGAGAGCGTTGAGATGAGACGACCGCAAGAGGTGTTGGTGCAAACCAGGCCATCATGTGAGACTACCTCTGGCGTCTTAGCAATCCCACGGAACGTCGATCGGTGTTTGCATGACGGGCACCGAAGCGTGAAAGGCAGCGAATCCTTGAAGCGGACCTCATCTGGTATCTGCGATTCCAGAGGGTGGATCTCGACATCTTGCGAATTGCTAGATACGGTGCTGACGCGGTACTTGGACGTGTCAAGACCAAGGCATTCCGCAAGACGAGTGACATTGGTGCCTGCAATGGGGGCACAGAGACGCTCGACGGGAGGCAGGATTTGCTTGTGGAGGTAGTAATCGATGTCTGTGTGTGTCAGTCATGAGTGTAGCGAAGAACAATGCGTCTATTAGCTTACCAGGCTTGAGACCAGAATCAGGCTTCAGGACATCTTCAAGGGTATAGGCATTCTTTGCAGCAGTCTCGGCAGATCCGCCACTTTCGCCAGTGATGACGAAGGACATGACATCTTTGGCTTTGACGTGCTTTCCTTTTGCCATAAGGCGGAGCGCGACCTGGACAGAGGGCATGCTGTTCGCATTGGGGTATTCTTTAGGGTCTTTGCCGAGCTGGGTGAAGATGGTGTACTTCTGAGCGGGGATCTTAAACTCGCGCATCTTCGCCGCCAGTTCCCGAAGGTACTCGTGGATCTTCTCGACGACAGCTTCGGGATCTTCTCCAGAGAGCAGGAAGTTGAGAAGCTTCGACGACGTTTCCTTGGACAGAGCACAGTACTCCCTACGTCTCATATCAAGACCCTTAACCTCAAGCTTCTCCGTCCACTTGCCGTCCACCTCGATCATGTTGATAGCGGCATACTTCTTCTTGGCATGGAGAAGCAGGCGGCGGAACACGTTATCGATATCAATCTCAAGAAGTTTGTAGCTGTCGTTGACGTCTCTCTTGAACTCGTTCCCGACCTTGAGCGCGTCTTGCATGTTGTCCATGTTGGTATTGATCATGACGGAGTCGGTATCACCGTAGATGACACGAAGCATCTTACTCTCAGCCAGATCCTTTGTCCTGCGCAGAATCTCACGGCCTTTGTATGTTGTAAGCATAGCAAGAGGACGGGCATAGAATCGCGATTTCGTGTAACCAAGACAACCGTACATGGAGTTAGCAGTGAGCTTCAAGGCCATTTGCTTGATGTCCCAGGTCGCGAGTTCGTCTCGAGAGGCCGTGGGATCCTTCATTAGCTTCTTGACTTCCCTTCTCCGATTGACGAGTGTGGCAATGAGTCGAGGAAGGATGCCTTGGTCTTGGGATGCGTCCGGAACTTCGGGAACCTTCTCGTCCTCCTCGCTGATGTCGGACCGCTCCACAGTGGTGAAGCAGATGTTGAATTCCTGGATAATGCTGGGATACAGAGAGTTGAAGTCCATGACAAGAATGAAGCGGTCGTAGAGACCCTTCTCGGGCTCGAAGACGAGACCACCCTTGTACTTGTCCTTCTTCTTGGCATCGGCACCCTCTTCCCCTTCCACAGACTCTTCACTCGGCTTTTTGCTGCCCTTGCCAAAAACCTTGTCGGGACAAATGTACTTGTTACGGTGGAATTCGTGAAGCAGAATGTACTCGTTCCGCTCGGCTCTAGTACCCCCTAAGGTGCGTCCCCAAGAGTTGCCAGCAAGATTGGTGAGAACCTTGGTCAAAGGAAGCATTTGAACCTTCAATGCAATGGCCGCAATGAAGAAGGTGTCGGCTTCACAATGTCTGAGATAATTCATCAGACCTTCGCGCTTCGTTGCCCATGTCTTTAGTGCCGTGTCGTTGTCAATATCTTGACGGAGTTTGCCTTCACCGAGGACCAGCTCGCACATCTCGTTCAAGCTCCAAGACTGACACTTGGTCATCAATGACTTGCCGAGATCATTTGCCAGATCACAGAGGAGGCGACCTGCCGCAATCTGCCTTTCAGCAAAGAAGCTACCGCTACCTTTTCCGAGGTTTTTGGGCCACTCCCTTCTTCTCAAGCGGCCGATCCTGTGCCAGCCAGGGGTCTTCTTCTCACGCAGGCGGTTGAGAAGAATACTGTAGTCGACATCCTCAAGACGGTGACCCATGATGACGTCGGGGTCCATTTTGCCAAGAATCGCCATGAATATACTGAGAAGACCCTGCTCGTTCCTCTCCATCTTGATGGTACCGGCATGCTTCTCAGCCTCGTATTTGAAACCAGTTGGGTAGGAGTCGCCGTTGGGACGCATGACAGTGAACGTCTTGCAAGGAAGTTTTTCAGCAGGGGTAGTATCTGTCAACGCAACATTCTCGTAGACCCTAGCACTGGCGACAAGAATCTCCTGCTTGTTATCCTTGGCGTTGAAAGTTGTCCTCAGTGCGATGCTCATCAGCGTAAGCGGAGGGGCCTCGAGGTTGTCGGCGTCTCCTAGGGTAGTGATGCCACTCGGCTTCTCGACTTGGAATTCGAGCTTGCACCACGAGGCGTTGTTGACCGCGTTGAAGTTTGCCCCCTCAATCTTCAACCAGCATGGGCCCATGATGTTCTTCCATAGCACGAACTGTTCGAAGATGGACGTGTTGGCTCCGAATACGTGAGAGAAAGTCTCTCCTTTGCAGTCCGTTGGAAGTGCCGACTTGGTGTAAGGATAAAGAAGCTTGAGGTATTCTGCTTCCTTCGGGATGCCGGGAAGTTCGAAAGCGTATTTGCGAGTGGAGGGCTTGATCTTGTGCATGTCCACTTGGAATCTAGACATCAGCCCGTCCACCTCTTGATAGACATCACCCATGCCCACCTCTTCTTCCGTATCCCGGCCGTGCTTCTGGCGGTATTCTCGGGGCAGGAAATACAATTTGCGGAGGATGTTATCAATCTTTGCAAAAGCACTGACAAAATTCCCGGTAGTTTTATCCTTGACCTTTCCAAATAGGAAGAGATTGCCGCTGGCCTCGGTATAGTCGATCCAGAAGAACTTGAGGCTACCGTCATCTTCGAGAGCACTTTCAGGTCTGAGTTTCCCCATGGTATACGAGTTTTCAACCGCAGGGCTGCTCTGAACGTTCTGCCCTTGGACGATATTGTTCCAAGTGGGCTCAGTGTCTTGCGATGGTCGTGATTGGGGTGGACTAGACGGTATAGAGTACGGATCCTGCTTCTTGATCTTCGGCGCAGGCCTGCTTCCGGCCATGTTGACACCTGCGGTTCGAATACCGGCATGGCCAACAGCCTGCTCTACCTCCATGAGATCATCATCGTCTTCTTCCTCTGCTTTCACGTTGACCTGAGAAAACTTCCGCTCAACAGCCTTCGTCACCGGGGATGACGGTAGTGGCGGGTCGCTCATCATCACATCATCGTCTGCCGGCGGGATGTAGTTGTCTTCGTCTAATATACTTTTGGTTGGTGGGGTATCGGCCATGATGTTGGAGTCTTCAGCCTGGGTCTGCCGGGGCTTGGATTTGCGCTCTTCGATGGGCGGGGAGAGAAGGCGAGTCTTTCGTCGAGTCTCAGACTTCACGGGCTTCATTCGCGGGCGGCTGGGTACGTTGGCATCGACTTCGCCCAAAAGATCGGCCATGAAAGCCTCGTCCTCAACGGTTTTCGCGGGCTGGGCCAGAATCAATATGCTGTTGCTATTGCAGAGGCAATGTAGAGCTCACCTTGGGTTTGGAAGCAGCGGTAGCAGCCTGTGCGCTGAAATACTTGTTGATACCATTTTTTGCTTTCTCTTGTCTTTCGCGGTCCTCTTCCCGCTTCCTCTTGGCTACAAGGAGGCGTCAGTATAGTGCTCTGGGTGAGAAGACGCAAAGTGTGAATTCTCGTACCAGCTTTCCCCCTCAGCGGGCGTTCTTCCTCGCTCTCGCTGTCGTACTGGGGCAGGCGTTCGGTGTCCCAATCCTCTCTGCCGTCGTCGGCATAACCCTCGCCATTGTCGTCGACAACGAAATCATCTTGATCAAGACGGCTGCGGACAACCTTCTTGTAGCCCTCCTCGTCGACTTCCTCATAGAGCTGCTTTTCCTCTTCGACCTGGTAGCTGTCGAGGCGAGTCTTGCCCGCGGCTCTCAGAGCTCGCAGCTCGGCCAGGGCTCCTCTCTTGGCCATTTCGAAGAGAGCGGGACGAGGAATAGCAGATTAAAAACTTCTCCGAGGCGAAATCATGCGTAAAGGCGGGGCGGCGAGTGTGTGATGCTGCGGGGCGTGGATGGTGTTTGGCGGAGTTCGGCGTGCGAGCGTCGCGAAATAGCGCGCGACGCGAGACGCGACCCGCGTAAAGTGACCGTGCACGCGCTGTGCTGTGGCAGGGATATGCACCAACCAGAGCCCCGCCAAACCAAACTTTCACATCATCTTCTCCGACTGTTACCTGTCCCCTGCAATACCGCCACCATGCCGGAACAGGTCTCCCGGGAACCGCTGGTCTGGATTGACTGCGAGGCAAGCCCTGCGGAGCCCTCTCCCAGCATCATCTCACATAGCTTACCTCCGCCAGATGACGGGCTTAAATGCCGAGACCGAGTCAATTCTTTCCATAGCTTGCTTCGTCACCGACTACGACCTGAACCTGCTTGATGACACTGGATACGAAGCCATCATTCACCACGACAAGGCTAGGCTCGACGAGATGGACGCCTGGTGCACAAAACACCATGCCCTCTCAGGGCTCACTGAGGCTGTCATAGCCTCCACCACCACCCACGAACAGGCTGCCGACGGTCTGCTCGCATACGTCAAAAAATACGCCCCAGAGCCTCGCAAAGCCCTTCTCGCCGGCAACACGGTCCACGCGGACAAGACCTTCCTCAAAAAGGCTCCCTACAACCTCTTGATCAAGCATCTCCACCACCGCATCCTCGACGTCAGCGCCATCAAGGAGGCTGCCAGGCGTTGGGCACCCGAAGCTGTCCTCAAGAAGTCTCCGCAGAAGAGAGGCCTCCACGAGGCCCGTGCCGACATTCTAGAGAGCATTGCTGAGGCAAAGTTCTACCGTGATATATTCTTCAAACCTAGCAAGCTACCGGACCCCGAAAATATATCTTGATTTCGCATGAGCAAAGCACATTTAGCTTCCTCGCTCCCAATAATATCATCGGCCCATGTGCCCTTGCTAAGCACCGAGGTTGATTGCCCTTTGCCTGGTTCTGGTCTTCTCTTTTCCTCGAAACTCAATTGCCCATGTGTAGGTGAAACTGTTCCCTAGGTATCGGTTCATCTCATGAATCGTCATGTAGCGAACGGGGACCTCTCACATCAAGGTCTTCTAAGCAGCGGATTGCCCTGCTTTATGTTCTCTCATGTGCCACATCTTAGCGTCACAGATGAGGGTGCATGAATCCCCTACCGCACCCCAAGGCTCTTTGACATCCCATAATCCAAGGCTGGCTTTGGCATGGCTCAATCGGCTCCTTATTCTCGGGACTTAATCTTAATCCTGATATCCTCCACCCACAACCAGCTTTGAAACTGGCGGAGACTGCGGCTCTTGTCCAGATCATCTGCATTCCGCCCTGGAGGAGGTATATGGACCACCCGTGTCGTGGCCTGATTACTGATAAAAGTTGACGCCGTTAGATTCATTCCTTTGCGTAAGCAGAGTCTGGACCATCGCTTTCTAATCATTCATGCACGGCATCTCCCCCTTACAAAAACGTCCAGTAGTGTGTGAGTAGTGGACAAGACGTGCTGGGTGCCGTTCAGGCAGTAGTTTCTTACGTTAATGGTATCAATCAGGTCTCCGTCCCAAGTGCATATGGCTTTCTCAAGATCAACACCCTAAACCAAAGAGGATGAAGAAACTATAATACGGCGCAGGAAAGCACAGTTAGAAAAGGAAAAAAGAAAAAACAGAATGACGAAGGTATCATCCATTCCGTGTGGCGGGAAATAGGAGATGGTCCGGGGAGGGGGAATGAGCGCGACAATATGACTTACATGACCGCTTCTTGGCTTCTCGTAAACCACAGTTGGAAGACAGTGGAATGCCTATTAGGCAGAAGAGAATAGCAGAATACCAATCCCCGTACCATGGATCGGACGACGATGATAAGGTGCCACCTGGAACGGTCAAGGACCAAGACCGTAGGAATAAAGTGCGAGGGCTGAATAATGGTGGTTGATTCGTCATTTGTCCCTTGTTACTGTATTAAGACGCCGGGGTCGCTATACAGAGACTCCTGTCCAAACTTGAGAGAGCTTCTCTCAACTCATCCGTGCACGGCGTTTAAACACATCAACCTGACAGATGCGCAGAATTATCCATAAGGTATCTGTAGGCAGCGTAGAATATATACGTGCCGAATGACTTATCAACAGCAAACGAGGTAGCAAACAAGAGAGGCGAATAGCATGGAATCCACCAGATACTCCGTCACAACCCAACCACACCAACAGCATGGAGAAGCTCATAAATAGAATCATGACTTTTTCCGTTATTGCTACAGACTCGATTGTGACCCTCATATAGTCTTAGCACGTAGGGTACTCCCAAAAGTAGGAAGCAGTAAAAAAGACAGGACCTAAATCGTAAGTCCTTACCAATCAATCGCAGTTTCCGCGAGTGTCGAAGCAAAAGCAGAGAAAAAGTACGAGCCCCGGAGTAGACGACTAAAACCCAGGGAGAAGAAGCATAACCGGAAAGAGAAAGCCACCCAAGTATCCAGGCTGAAGAGGCTAAGGAGGCCTGACAGCTGTCACCCTCCCCAAGAGCAGGTCTTTTCTCCAACCCCGCTTCCCCATTTCCACTCGAGTCCTCCACGACGTCATCCTTGGCCCGAGAACTTGAAAGGAAAAACCCACCATTAGATCCATCAAATCGTACACTCGAATTCCCTTTTCATTGGTTGAAGATCATCCTGAAAGGCTCCAGTAACCATCCCTCATTCCGTCGATACGTAGGTGTGCATGAGCATGGTTTACGGGGATGGGTGTTCTAAACGGGTAAGCAGATATTAAGCCAGGATTCTTGTGGTATTCACCAGTAGGGGCGACGGTTGTAGCCATCGTCATAACCACTGCGTGCACCAGGGCTCCTCGGCCTGCCACGGGGTGACGGAGGGCGGCCGTAAGGCCTGTCATGGCCGTTCATATAAGGGTCGGGCTCGTAGCCACGGCGAGGAGGCGGGGGGCCACGGGCATCGTAAGGGTCATCAGGGTAGCGGGCGCGCGGCGGCGGGTAGGCATCATCGATCGGGGGCCCGCGAACGCGAGGAGGAGAGCGGGCGTAGCGATCGCGCGGGTCGTAGTAGTCGCGAGCAGGCGAACGACGGCGGTAGTCGTCGCGGCGAGGGCTGTAGCCACGAGGAGGACCGCGACGGTAGTAGTCGTCATCGGGAGGCCCGTAGCCGCGGCCACGGACGGGCGAACGCGACCTGTAGCGCTCACGCGGGCGCTCCTCCTGGATCTGGTAGCAGTCAGAATCAAGACGGTCGTCGTAGTAGGATGGCTTGGATGGCCTGACATCTTGAACGCATCGGACAGCCTGTCCCTTGAATTCGCGGTTGTCGAGCTTTTCGACGGCGTTGCGGAGGTCGTTGGCAGTCTCGTACTCAACGAATCTGGCTTGGTTAGTGTCATTGCCAACTTGCGCTCGACAAGAGTCGTTGCTTACCCTCGGCCGTCGCGCTCGCGGCCAACCTCGGAGTAGACGACGTCCAATCCAGACTGGCGGGCGAAGTCCTTCAAATCCTATAGGTCCAGTGTGTAAGTTCCGGCCACGGCAGAAAATGGATGTGCGGAGACAAGCGACAAGCAAAGGGAAAGGTCCAGTCCCGGTCCAGATGCTTCCAAACCACCAGTGAAAGAAACAGGCCTCGCGTGACTCCATTGGCTCTCCCCGGGACAAGACAAGTGAAACAGGACACCAGCACTCTACAAGCGGGAGGGGGGTGAAAGGCGGCCGAGAAGAGAGACCAGCGTCCGGCTGCCGGGAAGAGGAGCGTCCCACAAGCGGAACCTATCAGCCCGGAAGATGCAGACGACGCGAACCGGTGCGTAGCTGGCTCAAGGTACAGGAATGGTGACGGGAACATAGACATGGGAAGGGAATCCAAAGGTCTCTGAACCAAGTGTTACGGGGAGATTGCTAACCTGCCAGCTCGTCTCGACGGGAAGACCAGTGATGGACATGCGGAACGGGGTGCGCCTGGGGCGCGGGACGGCGCGCTCCTGGTGGGAGTAGCCATCGTTCTGGCGGCGCGAGCCGCGGGCGAACTGGACTACGAGGCGCTCGCCCATGAAGTCGGAGCCATCTGCGGTGGAACAGTGTCAGAAAAGCGCCGATCGCTCATGCAGGCGGCTGGGGCGTCATAACGTACGGAAGGCTGGTGGTACAGGTCAGCGAAGTGTCTCACGAGCGCATGCGGGGGCTGGGCGGCAGACTCACCAGGAACGACATCTCGGGCGTCCATGGCATCCTTGTACTCGATGAAGCCGAAGCCATTCATGAGCTTGATCTCGGTGATCTCGCCAGTGCCATGGGTCGCAAAGTGGGCTTCAACATCGGCCTTGGTGGCTGTGGTGTCGAGGATTGCTAGTCAGCGACGCGCATCACTCCAGGAAGAAAAGCGACAACGGGGCGGTAGTGGTGATGGTGGTGTTTTTTGGTGTCAGTCCCCGCGAGGCCGGCTGTGTCCAGCAGCGATCCAAATCCATCCAAAGCGTGGGTGGGGGGCGATCCGATCCAGCAGCCGGGCAGGACATCAGGGAATGAGCATACCGTTGCGAGGAAGGTTCCCCAGGTAGAGGCGAGTGGACGACACCTCAGTCATGACGGGCAATCCCTCGAAGCTATCCAGCGCAGGCAGTAAAAAAGGCAAGGCAGGTGGGGGAAAACAACGGCCGCGGTGTCCAAAGCGAAGTAGAGCAGCGGAGCCGGCGGGCGGATGGGACAGGACGGGGATCCGCGATCCTGGATGGCGAAGGACGGGCGGGTGGTGGTGTTGGAGAGAGAGAGAGCGGGCGGGCGCAAGATGGAAAGGCTCCGTCGCTGACGGCGTGGAGGCGGCCGGCGCCCTCGCTTTGGGGCGCTATGGCCAGCCTGGGTTAAGCGCCACCGTCGAGGCGCGATCCTCCGGGCAGAGTTTCGCACAAGCCGTTTGCCCCGGCAAATGCCCAACCGCAGATGCCCGCGTCGCCCGGCTGCCTGCAGCCCCAGCTCGAGTGTGCTGCTGTGGGCGCGCCTGCAGTGAGGCTGCTGCGCCCAAGCCGCCCGCTCCGCGAATCAGTGCGCGCGTGGAGGTGGCGCTGCACGCGAGCCCGAGCCCTGCACGGCATCAGTGCCTCTCGCGTCGCCGCCCAGCCTGATCTCAGCACACCCCACGGCACTCTCGCCGCACGCCATCGCTGCCGATTGCCCGCCCTGCGTGACGGCCGTGCCCAATGCTGACAACGCTGCTCGACACACCATTCCGACGTCACGCACCTGGATCTCAAAGACGAAACATCAATGCAATTCGCACCTTGCGTGCCGCTGATGTGCGCCGGTAATTGCACTCAAATCGAAACTCAGTATACAGCCCAGATGTTTCCCGCCCATGATGGTAGTAAAACAGTAACGGTACCCAAAAACGCCGTGCCCTATGGTCCTGCCTCTCAATTCAGCAGCTTGTCTGCCGCCTTGGAAATAATGCGCGCAGCCTTGTCCGCCTGCTGCTGTGCCAGCGTCCAGTTGCCCAGCTCAATTGCGTCTCTCACTGCTGGGAAATACGCCTCGTCGTACCCGCTCCATGCGTCAGGACCGAAGATGACGTGTTTGAACTGCTCGCGCCCTGGAATGCCGTGCTGTTCGCCGTCGTCGTCGTCCGTGTTCTTGCCGCCGTCCGGTAGGTCGAGCAGGTGGGTCTCAAAGTTGGACATGCGCGTGTTGTGCGACAACCGCTGCATTCCCATCGAATTTGTCTCGTAGCCCGAGCGTCCGCGGAACTGGCCCCACCACCAATCCTCCCAGCCTTCAAACTCTTTCGCATTTCGCTCGAGTGTGTCGGCTGCCTCTCGCAAAGACTTGAGATCAAGCTGCTTGCCTCGCGTAGCGTCCTTTCCGACGGCATATTTCTCCAGATCGTGGATGTACCCCTTGACTGCCATTCCGTAATCTTTCAGGTCGAACGGATAGATCGGCTCTTGCGCGAGCTCGAGAATGAGGAGCACCCAAATCTCGGCAAGCGTAGCGTGGTAAATGAATCCCGGATCACCGTACTTGTCCATCCAGTCGAACGTCTCGTAGCAGCTATGGTAAGGATAGCCATTCTCAGGCCCATCGAACATGATGTCGATGCTAGAGCATCCGGCAAGATCCTGGAACGCGACATAATCACTGCCAGCACCCAAACCTCCCAGCTTGCCACCTCCTTCATTCCAGATTTCACCGACGGTTTTGTTCTGCAGAGGGTCCGCCACGCGAGCCAGGACCCGATTGAGCGCTGATTGGAAAAGAGGAGATCCTAGAGCCCGAAATTTGTCGCCAACGACGCCGACATCGACGTTCAGATAGGCAATGGCATTCTCGCGAATGTCATTGATGTGATCTTCCACGTACTCGGTTGAGCCAATGATGTTGTACTCCTCAGCATCCCAAGAGGCGAAGTAAATGCTGCGGAGAGGACGCCACCCCTCCTGGACCAGAAGGTCGAGTGCGGTGATCACTTCCATCATGACCGCCGTTCCACTACAGAGATGTCAGTAAGAGGAAAACAACTCAGAAACTGCAAAGGGAACAAACCCTCCAGCGTCAGCCGATCCGAAACACCAGGCATCGCGGTGATTTCCGACAAAGATCTTCTTGGCTGACACCTCGACACCCTCAAAAACTCCTAGAACATTCCAGATGGGTTGTTTCTCCTCTTCGTCCTGCTCATTCTGGAGAAGCACAAGTGGCGAGGTCTTGTCGCCAGTCCACCACTCAACGTCCGGAACGCCACCTACCCAGTCTTTAGGTGCCTTGTCGCCGTGGCCCTTGAGCACTTGTAGCAGCGGTTTCGCATCGCGCCACGCGAGTGGCATGCTGGGAATGTTGGGCAGGGCCGGGTTGTTGTCCTTGCTGATGCGCTTCGCATCCCTCCCGCTTCCGATGCCAGGAGTAAGCACGTCGCCGACGATCCAGGCGGATTGGGCAACCGAGCCTCTTTGAACACCATCTTCCGGTCTCCATCTTCCTTCCGGATAAACATCTCCTCTTACAAAACCATCATCCTTCGGGTCCGAGTAGATCAAGCATCCGATAGCGCCATTCTCCTCTGCGAACTTGACTTTCATCGCGCGGTCTGACATGGTACCATAGTATCGAACCAATACGATTGTGCCGTTTACGTCAATTCCACGATCCTTCAACCTCTTGAAATCTTCCTGGCTGCCATAATTGGCGTAGACGAGCGGGGCGGTGACATTACCGGCCCTCGACATTCCGTGGAAAGCCAAGGTCTGCTGTTCGGGGCCAATACCTGGCACAGCAAGCTCCTCCTCAAGCTTCGCCTCGTATCTAAATTCCGGTGGGTCGACGATGGCGACTCTCCGGCCTTCCTTGACAGGGTAGTTCAGGTAGACATTATATTCCAGTGTGGCAACTTTATCCATACCAGCCTGCGTGAAGAAGGACTCGATCCAATTAGCCAAGAACTTGTCGCCCTTGGTCCCTGCGACGTGATCGACGCTGGTAATGTGTTTTAGGTTATCGCGGATGCGTTCCGCCGAAATCTTGGACTGTACAAATGAGCGCGCCCACTCTGGGTTGAAGGGCGCCATGCCGCCCCGGCCGAGGGGGAGGACGGAGGTAACGAGGAGGGCGTAGACGAGCGAGGCCATCATCAGCACGCCGAACAGGCGCAGGATGACGCTGTAGCCGGGGCGCATGTGCTCGGGTATAGATGGCACTCTGCACGAGAAGGTTGGCCAGCGGAGGGGTTTGCGCAGGCGCGGCAGGCGTATCGACGACAGGGTGGCACCGATGCTCGAGATGCGCTTCGAGAAGCTCATGTTCATGCGGGCACGACGGCTGCCGTGGGGTTGGCCACCGGCCTCGATAACCTCCAGCTGCTCCATTTCGCGATGCAGGCCGGCCTCCTCATCCTCGCTCTCCTCGACCATGTCGGGTAACGACAGGTCGCTCTCCATGCTGTCCCGCACTGACTCGACTGATGGCTGCTGGTATCCATCAGAGCGGCGCGATGCTCCTCCGCCACTGCTCCCTCCTCCGCCGCGGCCGCCCAGTAGGCCTTGCCGCTCCGCATCGTCGCTGACCTCGTTGGGGCCGAGGTGTGAGAGGGCCGAGGGCGGCCGTGATGAGGTGGCTTCCTCATAGGTGGGGATGGGGAGGCTCTCGTGGGGATCGTAAGGGTGCTTTTCGTCGACCATTGGTGTGGTGGTGGGACGCCAGGTCCCGGGGGGCTATGACGCGGCGCGCGGATGCGGGTGGATGGATGTTGGTCGGGGTTGGTGTGGCGGTCACTGCGTGCTCATGGTCGCTGGCGGGGGGGCGACTGGCGGTCAGATCGAAGGAAGCGAACGAGCGTCGAGAAGGCTGAAGGGAGCGTGGTGGTGAAAGGAGACGGTGCGTATGGCGTTGCGGCGGTGCAGGCCGTGTCTGGAGCAGGGGAGATCCGCTGGGCTTGTCTCGAGTGCTCGGCGACTCGGATGCGCATTACGAATTCGCCCTCAGACGCGCCTCCTTGTTACCTTGGCGCTCCGCAACACTCGACCTCCTCCAGCACGCCGCCGCTTCATTCGCCGCAAGCAACCACCGTCCCCGCACTTGCGCCCTGTGCGTCGCGATGTGCGATGGGCTCCACATTCTCGACATCTCACCGAATTCTTGCGCCCCAGCTGCAGCACCGACTTATCCGGCTCGAAGGGTCCGCCGAGATGCTGGAGCCAAAAGCCATGGTGCACTAGCTATGGGGTCCCGCTGATTGGCGTGCGTCAGCAGCTCTGAGAAGACGCTGTTCTATTGCGCTGATAGGGGATGCGTAATTCTGCAGGGACTCATTTCGCAAGCTGGAGGTGGCTGAAAGCAATGAAATACCCCAGCACGTCGGCACCACGCTGTGTCCCTTTCTCAATCCCAGTGCTTGTTCCGGTTTGGATTCACTCCCTGCAGCACATCTGATAATAGCAGCAGCCTCAATCTCCCAAAGCTTGATCGCCGTAACATGCAAGATAACCTCGGAATACATTGTCTCCACATCAATTGCCAGTTGGTCTTAGCTCCAGGTCCCGAACAGTCCGTCCACGCACCCTCCACACGCAGTCTTACAGCAGCCTTCAGTTCTTCGCAATATGAAAACCTCTGTTGCTCCATGTTTCTGCTTTGACCAACCTCCAAATACCATCTTTATATATTTCTCCCGCCCGTCACTGAGATGGTCTGCCCGCTCACATAGCTAAACAACGGGCCCGCCACGGCCAGGATCGCACTCGCCGCCTCTGTCGCAGTGCCAGGCCTGCCGAGCGGGATATCCGGGAAGCCGCCCTGAGCCTTCGCCGCGCCCTGAGCCTTGGGAATGCCTAGTGCGACCTTGCTGCCGTCGGGTGTGGTGACGAAGGCGCCGTCCTCCTTCGCCGCCGTCAAGCGGGTGAGGATGTGCCCGAAGGCAACCGTATTGGCACGAACGTTGAATTGAGGCCCCCACTCTTTCGCGATCGTCTTAGACAGGCCGACGACGCCCGCCTTCGCGAGCGCGTAGTTGGCCTGCCCCGCGTTGCCGTGCAGACCCGACGTCGACGAGATATTGATGATGTTGCGCGGCTCGCCGTCCTTGACCCGGAAGTAAGGCGCCGCCGCGCGGACCAGTTTGAAGGGCGCCGTGTTGTGCAGCGCGAGAATAGTGTCCCACTGCTTATCCGTAGTCTATCGCAATCGTATATTTAGTCTAACAGTTCCGTATGATTCGGTTTGTATGGGATCGTGGAAAGGAAGCAATGGCATACCTTATGAATGACACCGTCCCACGTGAATCCTGCGTTGTTAACAATGATATGGATCTTTCCGTTGCCAAATTCTGCTGCCTTTTTGACCAGCTCGTCGATGTACTTGTCGTCCAGCATGTCGCCGGGCACGGCGATGGCGCTGCCGCCGCTCTCATTGATCTGTTGCGCCACTTCCTGTGCCTTTTCTGCGAAGAAAAATAAAGCCGTTAAAGCCCCTTCCCAGCTGAGTCGTAGCATTTAGCGAGATACAACTTACTGCCGTCGAGATCCGACACCACGACTTTGGCGCCCTCGTTCGCGAACAGCTTCGCCGTCTCCGCGCCGATACCCTGGCCAGAACCGGTGATGATAGCGACTTGCCCTGCGAGCAGGCCCTTGGGGTAATTGAGGTGGCCAGCGATCTGGCTCACTCGACTAGTGTACGACATTTTGTGGACGGTCAAGCAAGTTAAACGAGTGCTAGTCGACTAGGTCGTCTCCTCTCACTGCTTTAAAACTTGTGCGGACCAACGCTGAGGTAGTGTGCAAAGTTCTCTGCAGATGTTCAATTGCAATGGAAGGTATGATATACAATGGAAGAGGTTGGTAGCTGGAGAGACGCGGCGTTAGCAAGGAAATAAACCCCAGAAAGCGGAGTAGCTATGGGGTCGAAGCCCGTCTTTCCAAAATTACCGAGGATGATGACGCCGAAGCGGGTATGGTGCAACGTGCCGCGGCAGGGTCCAGCACCGCGGCACCCGACCCGGAATAGACAGTCACTCGCAAACATTGGTGGGAACAGAAGTATTTCAAACTCCTCTAGGGAGCCTTTAAATTTGAATTTATCTTACTAGTTACGTATTTGTTTTGGTTGTATGTGCAGAAAGCGACCATTATGCGCTTCTAAAAAAATCATGGAGATATAACGCCCAGAAATGCTGATCAAAAACACCCAGCCCATATGCTGCCTTCATTTCCATCCATCTCATCATCGTCATCATCACAAACCATCATAAAAACATACTCGCCAAGCCAGCTTAGCGAGTTCCGCGTGAGCGTGTCGTCTCTTTTTAAACTTTTTACCTGCTCGACCTCGACCTCTTGCTCTTGCCCAGCTCCTTCCTGTTAAGTGGCTCATCCGGGAAAACCCAGCCGCGCAGGCGCTTGGCCTCGCGCTTCTCGCTGAGGTTGGGCTTGGGGATCCAGGCATCCTTCTCCTGGCAGTGCTGGCGGGTGAGTGCAGCAGGGCCGCCGACCTCCATGCGCCAGCTGCCCTGGATACCAGGGAGCGGGTTCTCCTTGGCCAGCATGTGCAGGTACCAGAGGGCCAGGCCGGCCGTCATCTGGGGAGTCTGTTCGCCCGTCTCCGAGTCGACGCGCAGGCCGTGGGTGGAGATGCGGATGGGAGCGCTGAGCTCGAGGTAGCCGAAGAGCGGCACACCGGAACCGGCGTCGGCGCTGACAGTGGCAGTGTCCATGGTCTGGCCAGGGTCGGAGGGGTCACCACCACAGCGGACGCAAAGCATCTCGATCTCAGTCATGATGAAACCGTAGCGGCAGCCGTGCTCGCGCATGACGCGGTGCAGGTGGGCGAGGCCAGCCAGGTAGTAGACCTGCTTGTTAGGGGCCTCGGAGCGCATACCAGTGTTCCACTGGTCGTACGCCTTGACGATGCCGACAACACGGCCGCGCTGGTCACCGTAGATGGTCTTCTCGTAGTCGGTCGGGTAGTTGGACACAAAGTCGACAGGGGTCTGGTTGGTGGGAAGACCCTTGCGGGAACGGAGAGACATGTGCGTGTTGCCCTGAGCGATGTTGAGAGCAGCGCTGATCTTGGTGCCGTAGTAGTCACGGACGATGTCGTGAAGGGCAGACTCGCTCTCAGGCATCATGTTGGCCTTGGGCGGGGTAGGGAGGGACATGGCATCGATAGGGATCTGAAGGAGAGGCATCAGTCCGGGGATGGAGCTGATGGTCTCGATGTTGAAGTCATCCCAGCTGCGAAGGTTGCGGATGTCCCACCAGTAGTGGCTGCCGGTCAGGTTGCGAGCACCGGTGGTAACGCGCTGAACAAGAGCAGGGGAAGGGTTAGCGCCGGTAAGGTAGTCCAAAAGGGTAGTAGTGGCGGCAGGCTGGTCGAAGGCACCGTACTGGAGCTCAGCGGCCAGGGGTTGCTGGACAGGAGGGGCAACAGCAGGGATCTGGTCCTCAAACGAAGCTGTGGTCTGCAGGGGGAAGGAGTTCATGGGCATGGCGGTTGCCAGGTTGTACGAAGCCGCCTGAGCCGCCGAGGTCTGGGTGACATAGTTCGGGAGGTTCCGGTAGGTAGGGTAGCCATAGCGGTTGATGACGCTCTCGTCAATGCTAGTAGCGGAGCTAGAGCGAGAGTGGGACCGAACACCGGAGGCCGAGTGAGACCGAGAGTGGGTGGCCATGGAAGGGCGACGCGAGAGGTTGATGGGGGAGTTCAGACCCGAGCCGAAGCCGGCATCGTAGGCGGACAACATGGACGAGGGGGCCGGAGAGCCAACCGAAGCGTTGCTGAGCGGGCTGGTCGAGCGGCGACCCACAGACGAAGGACGCGCGTAGGGGTTGTAGTTAGAGATGCCGCTGGCAGCAGACGCCGTCCGGCGGTGCCTGATGGGGCCAGAAGTCGAGGGCTCAGTGGTCTGATCCTGCGACCGGATCTTGGGCAACAAAAGAGGGCCATGCTGACGGATGGGAGATCTCGCCGGAGTGGAAGCGGCGGGGAGACCGCACTCCGGAGAGGCATCGGGCGTCAGGTAACCCGAAGGGGCCTCAAAGGAGGTCTGAACATCCTGGCAGTAGGAGCCGTAGGACGAAGGAGGGGTGTGCTGTCTCGAGTACATGGTGACTTTGGAGATTGTTGCTTCCGGACTGAGGCGCGTTAGGAGGGAGAATGCCAAGCGCAGAATCGATTGGGCACTTACGCAACGATTTAGAAAATAAACAAGAGGTGATTAACAGAGAAGAGCGATTAGGTGGAGACCGGCTCCAAGACACACTCCAAGACAAACAGTGAAAGGAAAGGGGGCACACGAAGAGACTCGTGGGTCTCGCTCGGACACACGCAGAGAAGATGGTTTGTGAAGATAGGATGACTGGAGAGGAGGGCAGATGGGGTGCGGCAGAGCCGCTGGTACTTATTTCCAAGGCTGTGAGGCCGTGACATCCAAAGAATCTGGCAGAGCCGGGGAAAGTGGGACTAGCGGCAAACAACTTGAAACACACTGATCGACGGACGGACCCGATTTAGGGCCCCGAAGCCATGTGCAGCGAGTATCAGGTCCGTGTGTGAGTGCGTCCGACCAGCGGGCAGGATGCGTGAAACAAAGCGCCCAATGGAGAATGCTTATGCGCAATTTGCTTTCTGAGACAGGTGCTATTATGGGCATTATGCTTGGGCGGGCCGCCTGCTCGGCCGCTCGAAGAGGCTTCGTGCGTGCTCATTGGGGTAGTGGTGCTACGTGTGGCCGCCGGAGTGCTGCGCTGCCGGGCGATGCGCTGCGCGGACGGGCGGCAGGCGAGACGGCGCTCTGGAGTTAATTTGGGACACTGCTCGAGTCCGAAAGCAGTGCTATTTGCAGCGCTGGCGCCGGGCCGGGGCGCTTGGAGCGCGGCCGGTGAGCGACAGGGTTCGCGAAGTCGAGAAAAGCTGCAGCTGGCGCCGGCGAAAAAAAGCGCGTCTGGGCGGCGCGATTGGCTGCGCGGGGCGGCCCCCTGGTCGCCGATTCCTCCAAGAGTCTTACCGCTTCGACAACTCACTGGCCCACAGCGAAAGTTCGTTTCGCAGCTGCAGCTACTTCTGCATGAGTGACTCACACCTGCAAGCGGTGAGCGCTGGCCGGCCACGTTGAGTCCTCAGGTGCTCAAATTTTGCACCTCCCCGACGTCAACCCGCACGCCTAGCGGTTTCCTCAGGCCTTCGCTCCGGTCTGGCGGCCTTCGAGAACTTCTCCGCTCTTGACCGCTTGTCTGGCGGCATCTCGCGCGGCCGAGAGCGTGCTGCTAGCGTCAGCGGGTCGCGCCTGGTTGCACGGCCGGCTGCGGACCACGGCTTCCTACATGCGCGCCTTCGCTGTGCGGCTCCCGACGCGCAGCAGCGCAAGTGCTGCAACGCTGTTGAGGTGCGAATAGCCGCTCGCCTTGGACGCCTTCCCCGCGAAGCGCGCGCGCGCTGATTGGCCCGCAAAAATACACAGAGCCGCACCGCAACCTCGCAATATCTGTAAGCGCCCACCTCAGCGCTTCTTCGAATTTCGAGAAGGAAACAAAACGATCCGAGCATGGACGCGGCTCCACATGCGGCTGCTCAGCCTCCTCCCTGATCCGAGGCCAGCGCCCCAGCGTTGCATGCCAATGTCCAGATCGTCGTCTGATCCACGGGAGACTCTCGAAGCGCCCAGCTCCAGCCGCCTGTGCAGCGGCTGATCTACCATCTCCCGCTCCTTGGGACGGCTGCGGTGCGCAATTTGACGCGTGTGGGAAATTATTCTGTTCCATGAAAAGGTCTGCTGTGTCTGTGCGAGGCGGGTCCAAAGAAGAATTCATGGCTATGGTAACATCGTGCACACGTGCCGGCCGTCGTCAGCACAGCTACGACATCATCGACGCTGCCGCCGACCCGGGCGGCTGCTGCGGCCCCGAGTTCGCCCGACTGTGTGCTGGCGAGCGGGGAGAGGCCGTCGGCTGATGCTGCAGTCGCTCCTCGACGTTCTTCTGCCACCACGAGTGCCAGTCCACTACCGCCCGCTGTTTTCTTGCGTCCTCAGCCGCGAACACCATTGCGTGGCTCTGGATCACTTCTTCAAGCGTGCACCCAATGAACTTCTGCTGCGCCTCCTCCACCCCCATCCTGCCATCCTTGACGGCGCCAACCGCCTGTACAAACTGCGTTGCCAGCCCATCGTCGCCGCCGCCGTGACCTCCACCGCGCTGCTCGGGATAGAACGTCTCCGTGCGGTCGGTTGCAAAATCATGCACCCGGATCGTGGCGCTGTCGTATTCAATCTCACCCTTGGTGCCGTAAATGCGCCCGCGGCGCTCGCATATTTTCTCCGTGAAGGCTACCATGTGAAACTGCGCAGTTTTGGCGAGGCTTCCTGAGGCAGCATCATCCTCCCAGGTGATTGTCACACATTGGTCGTCGCAGACGTCATTGTCAGCCTCCCACACGCACCGCCCAAACCAGGGTCGTCTGCGAACCTCTTCGTCTGGTGTCTCGGATGTCCAGTCTTCCGAGAGGTCTTTCATCAGCATCTTCTCGGCTGCATCCGGCCCCAGCGTGCTGAGGCAGTCTTCGATCTCAGGGTTGACGATCTTGACCGGCCACCTAGCGTTGCCCTTTCTCAAATGCCGCTCCGCATAAATCTTCTTCGCGCTGAACATGCAGTCTTTCTCAATCGGGCAAGAGAGGCAGTTGGTTGCCGTGCCAGCAGCCGCCGGCTTTCTTGCTCTTCTATAGAAGTTCCGCGTGCCGGTCGAATTCAGGAAAGCCGGTTTGTGGGTCTTCTCTCCCTCTTTCGCCGGCTCGCTGAGCATCCACAGCAAGAAATCAATGTCGTGGCAAGACTTCGTGAGCAGTGACGGAGCAGTGGTGGACTCTCTCCTCCAGTTTCCTCTGCATCACAGTCAGCAATTACAGCAGTCGTTGGACGATTCGGCAAGTCATACCTGACGTAGCTGTGCGAGAAATGCCACCAACCTGTACAAGTTGATCAGCACAGACGTACTCCACAAAGGGACGCATAAGGTGGTCACGCACCAACCGGCTCTGTATGCTCCACACTCAAAACGTCCCCCACCACACCCTGCTCCCTTACCAGCTGTCTCAGCAGCATGTTGTGCGGGGAATACCTGAGCACGTGTCCGATTCCGAAGATGCGCGGCACGCTACCCTGACCGCCCCGCAGCATCGCGTCGTAGATAGCCACGCAGTCTGCCAGCGTCGTCGCCAGCGGCTTCTCGCACATGACGGCTAAGCCCAGCGGCGCTAGGCCCTCGACGACCTCGCGGTGCTGCTCGTCTAGCACACACACGAACGCGGCGTCCACGCCCGCCGGGACTTTCCCCGCCTCGCCAGCCGAGGAGGCTTTCTTCGCCCGTTCCCGCCGCGCCTTCTCCCAGTCCACGTAGTCGCGCCAGTCCGCAAATGCCTGCTGCTCGTGCTCACCGCCTTCCTCCGTCTCCACCGATGCTAAGGGGCCGCGGTTGATGAAATGGGAGACGAATTCGCGCCGCTTGAACTCGATCGGCTCAGCTACGGCGGCGATGATGGCAGCCGTGTGCTTTGCAACTGCGCTGGCGTAGGCGTGGCCGCGCGAGCCGGCGCCGATGATGAGGATGCGCGGCGGCGAGGGCGAGTCGGCGAGCAGCTTCTTGGGCCGGAGGGGTAGCGAGGACGACTTGGCGGCGACTGAGCCGGTGGCGGCGGCGATGGGCTCGCCTAGTTTGGACTCGGGGATATTCGTATGCATGATTGTTTGGTGTCGTGGAAGGTGATGTGGCCGTGGTTCGACTGGTGCGGTCGGAGAGCTAGGAAACTAGCAGCGTGCCAGGCGTCACAAGCAGAGCAGGAGCGAATTTCAAAGAGGCAAATAGCTGGATTGTTGCTGCCTAATGATCGATGATGCTGCACTCCAGCGACTGACGTTGTAGTAGCATTGCAGAGGACGGACTTCTGCAGATGGCATGTGAAGTGATGCAACGGTAGGATAATGCTATCTCGACTATCGCTGATTGGAGGGGACTCGAAAGTGGGGAACGCCCCGCAGCGTGTGGACGCCCACCTCACACAGCAACACTTTCAAAGCGCCTTGCAAACAGTACTGGATCTACCGGTGCATATCGTTCGCCAAAGTCTCACTTTTTCCAAAAAGTCACATTGTTAGGGGCAAGAAAAAGAAAGGATTCTCACGCAATGGTAATCTATATTTTGTGGTACCTTGCATCCAGATGAGAAAACCAAGTGAACTCCAACCCTAGCAAAATCATTCATAAAGTAGGTAGATATAAGTGTCGTGCTCAAGTTTTCCTCAGGCATCTCTTTAAACTTTGTGCAAACTCAAACCTTCCGGGCGGCACTCTTCTTGAGCACCATGTTGTATGTTGATAACTCTTTTTCCTTAGAACCATCGCGCTTGAATTCCAGGCGCTAGCCAATGCTCATCTGTATGTCAGATTGGGCAAGAAGGGGGGCAGTCGAGATGTTCAACCACATGGCGTGGGGCAAATAGTTGCAAGTCAACAACTGCCCGGTCAAACATCCTCTGGTCGTCAAAGATCTCCGAGATCCCCTAGTCGATCTCCACCACTTCGACTCTCTTCTCCCGCAACTCCTTGAGTCTCATGGCGTACACCATCTCCGCGAGATCCTCGTGATCTCTCAGGAGCATTGCTAGCATGGAGTTCTTAGTCGCCCTGAGCTGTTCATAACGGCAATGAATGTGCTCAGTGACTGCATCCCTGAGATCGTCCTCGAAATTGTGCTCAACGTTGGGACGGGGTGCTACCCGGAACAAGGCCTTTGCAATGAGAATTGTGGAATCGTCGGACCAGGGGGCCAGTTGTATGAGTTGATTAGCGGCCGTCTCAGCTTGGTCCCAGTCGGAGTTAGCCCTGGCACCGTCGAGTTCCCTACAGAGCTTGGTAACTGCTGGTTCATTGTCAGCTTGACCTGGCCGGGTGCTGGAAGACTTGGAGCTGTTTGGTTGTTTGCTACGGGCGGGCTGAGGACGAACGGAGGTTTTCACTGAAGCCTCGGAGGCGATGTCTTGGGACCCTTTCTTGACCGATAGGTGCGAGCGTGAGACGGGCGGATTCGTATCGTCAGTGTTCTCCTCATCAGAAGAGCCGCTCGTAGCACCACCTTCACTCTTGGTGTCACCGTCACTCGTGCTGTCGTCATCGTCGTCGTCGTCGTCATCATCCGAGATGTTCAGAAAAAGCTTCTCGTTTTCCATCTCCTCCTTCTCCTTTTCCTTCCTTAGGTTCTCGAAGTATCCTACCGGGGGCTTCGCATTGTCCTCGTCCTCATCAGGAAACCAATGATGAGTGCACTTCCCGGCGCCCGCTTTGATCTTGCTCTTCTTCTTGGAATGTCGGAACTCTTCACCAAACTCCTTGTTAATCTTGAATTTTTCCCATGATCTCTTCGCGTCTTTCACTGAAGGGCGCGCGCTTTTCGTGTTGCGTGGTCTGCGCAGGGCGGAGTTGTTGCTAGACTTTTCACTCGAAGAAGTGACAATGTTCTGCAGGTCGCGTGCCACCATCTCACTACGCCAATAGTTTAGTTTTGGGTATGCTGGGCAGCCGGGTGTAGAGTTCAGAATGCTGTCAAACGCCTCTTGGAGTTGTCTTTGCTGCGGTCCGTCTGTTATGTTCTCTCTGGCCGAAGGATCGAAGTCGTAGGGGTAAAGGACCCATTGGCTGTTAGGTGGTGATGTTGATCAGCATGTGAGTTGGAATTTGGTTGATCATGGGTTAATTGCGGATCGATCACGTGGCTTACAATTCGAAGACCCCGAGCAAAAGAACCGGCAGATGATACCCCGAAGGGCGAATCTCTACTTCGTGGACGGGAATCATCTCCTGTGAGCAGTACACGGCTGGCCATTGTAGACCACCTCTGTCGACGAGACAGTAGACGGCTTCTTCGCTGGTATCTAGCATCGTTGGCTTGTGAGGTGAGACTTTGGCAGGATTTATGTGGCGTAAGCTGATGTTTTGATGGTGTATTGGAGTAAGGTAAACTAAAGCGCGAGCTGCGAGTGAGGCAGGGTTGCTTGGTTGGAATTATCAAGAGTACTGCACGCGAGCATTCAAGGCGAGTGGTATTGAGACGGGATGTGGAGGTTTGGGGTCTTGGTGTTGGATGGCAGTCTGAAGATCTCAATATATCTTGCAGGTAATGCAGGTATCGTATCCGGATTGGAAAGATCGCGACTCGTAGCTACTTTGTTGGTGAACCATGATGTCAGATGTGAACCCTGTTTTCGGAACTAAAGTCGTGTGTTATAAGTGCCAATAAAGGAAGGGGCGATTCTGAACGTCCATATTCCATTTCCTGCACGAATTCTGTACTGGGTACGGAAAATCTTTTGTAAAGATCCCAAAATGCATCTTCCTCGTCCAGAGCCATCTGGCACTAGCACCGCCCATGGAATTGCGTACAACTTGCAGGGGCCAGGCGGAGCCAGTTCTGGACGCGTCAACCGATGCATCATACCACAGTACTCCATTTTTTGCACAGAACCATGTGCTTGCAATCAATGTCATTTCCTTTTTATTGAATGATCGCCCGCAAAACCCAGAAATCCGAGGATGTAGTGCCCCAGCACCTGTAAAGCCAACCACACTCCATCTTCCCCCTCGTGCATTCGTCGCTTAACGGTAGGACTTCTGGTATCTCGCACGAGCGCCGGGACCGCCGAACTTCTTGGGCTCGCACCTCCTGTTGTCGGCAACGAGGAGGGTACGGTCGTACTGGACGAGGGCCTGCTTGAGCTGGTTCTTGGAGTGCTCATCGACGTACTTCTGGTAGTAGGCGATCTGCGCAAAGGGTTAGTGACCCGCAGCACTCGGTGTTTTCCGTGGGAATGGCACGCACGATGGACTTGGCGATGGCCTGACGGATGGCGTAGACCTGGGAGGTGTGACCACCACCAGTGACGCGGACACGGATGTCAACGTTGGCTGTGCTGGCAGTTAGCTTCCAGCCCCTTTAGATACCAGACCTGCGAGAAAACGCACCGAACTTGTCAAGGCCGAGGATCAGGAGCGGCTCGTAGACCTTGAAGCGCAGGATGGCGGGCTCAACGAGGGAGAGCGGCTGGCCGTTGACCTTGACGAGGCCCTTGCCGGCCTTGCAGTGGGCGACGGCAGTCGCGGTCTTCTTCTTGCCGAAGCATTGCACACTCTGAGGGGCGGCCATGGTTGCTGAGGGATGGCGAGGAGTGGTGTGCCGGGTGGGTGTCGTGGGGGAGTGTCGTCGTCCGCTGTCGCTTCGAAGTCCAGTCGGGCGCGCTCTGAATTTGCGGTGGTTTTCGCTAAACGAATTGTGCGCGCCCGTCGCCGAATCGCCGACGCCGATCTTATCTAATCACTTGGCTAGCCTCCGCATCGCTACCAGAGCCCTGCCACCGCGTCATTCACTGCTTCGTCTCGCCCGGTCACGACTTCTGCTCGTCTCGGAAACAATGTGGTTTCTCCCTCACGAGCAGCCTCGGCGCGCGCCGCCCACAACACTCTATGCGTTCGGCTCTAATGGCTCCGGGCAGCTGGGCCTAGGTCACACTGAGGACGAATCAGAGCCTCAGCCTGTCGCGGACACTCATCGTTTTCGAGACCAGCAGCCCACGTGGATGGCGGCTGGAGGGAATCACACCGTAATAATAACAGCTGACTGCGAGATATTTGCAGCTGGCGATAACTCAAATGGGCGCATTCCATGGCAGAACCTGTCCGCTGGAGTCTCCAGATTCACCGACAGCTTGGTACCGAGACTGCCTACGCCGCCATCCATCAAGCTCTGTGCAGCTACCTGGGAGGCATCCACTCTCGTATCCGAAGACCGTGTCATGACCTGCGGCACGGGCAGTCATGGAGAGTTGGGTCAAGGCGAAAATGTCAGAGATTCGCCTTGGCCTCAGAAGCTGCCCAAGTTCCCTCCATCCGGAACTCGTGTAGTTGATATTGCCGCGTGCATGAGCCACACGGTGGCTATACTCGACAATGGGGAAGTGTACGGGTGGGGTAATGGACGCAAAGGGCAGCTGGGCGAGCCTGCAGCAATTGTCTGGTCACCACGGAAAATCGAAGGCATACCCTTCCATGCATTCCGCGTTACCTGTGGGCGCGAATTCACCTACATCGCTGGGAACCCTCGCGAGGGCACACACCTTGTTCTCGGCTCAGACAAATTCTTCGTGAAGTCAACAGCGCCCAAGGAAATAGCTGATTATGTTGACATCGGATCTGGCTGGAGCAGCATTTACGTTTTGCTCAGATCCGGCAAAATTGTGGCATGGGGGAGGAATGATCACGGCCAATTGCCTCCGAAAGACCTTCCTCCAGTCGAGTTTATGACAATAGGCAGCGAACACGTGCTCGCGAAAATCAAGGATGGTAACGTGGTGGCATGGGGCTGGGGCGAACATGGGAACTGTGGGAAGCCGACCAATGCGGCTGGCGACGTAGTCGACACATGGAATGAGATTCCTGTGAAGGGCGAAGTCAAGATGATCACGGCTGGGTGCGCCACCAGCTTCATTCTTGCGCACGAAGAACCTGCCCAGCCAGCGTAAAATCAATACTAGATCAAAGAGGCTTGCTTCTCGTGGCCCTTGTTTTGAAAAAAAAAAAAACGAAAGACGAGAATCGGATTTTTTTTCACGTTATACGGCTATTTAGCTTTTTATGAACTTAATTAAGTGGAAGCGAACGATAGAAGCCAAAGACGTTTGCCTCGGCTCTCGTTAACAGAAGCTCAAGCTGGTACGAGAGACATGGTTCTTGACATGAATTTGTTCTGAATAACTAGCACAAGCTCGTTCTGACGCCATTCTGCGTCTCTTAAGCAGGCTCGAGCTAGCCGTGCTGTAGGCGATGCTGTGGGCGGGGATGCGTGGAGATGCACCCGGAGGTAAGGCAGGCACGCTGTAGGAGAATTTGATTGATAACGGCGCCAGGGGTGTCACGCGCGGACATTCTCCTGCAGTGGTCGAAGCTCATGAGCATGTCGGAAAAAAAAAAAAGCAATACAGTAGTACTGCGGCTTGTCCACGTCAGGAAAGATAATGATGCGTGTGGAACGCGGATAGAAGAGGCGGTTACACCATCTTATCGAAATGTAAAAAATCGGCAGAAATAGACCCTGGTTATAGTATACTGCATCTGTAACGTCTTTCCTTTTCGAGACTGCAGGCTCATGATAAGCACAGAACAGTCCCTTGAAAAAGAGCCGCTCTTATCTGCATGCCAGCTCTCGCGCCGTCTGAAAAGGCGAGTGTGCTTAGCTCAGTCTGTTCACGTAGCTCAGGGTTTCAGATTCTTGTGCTCGATCGTTGCATCGACCAAAGGACGGATCTACAGCGACATGACTCGTGGATCATGGCTTGGGCGACTGCAAGATGCCGCAAGGTGCCTACAGAACTGGAGTTGTGGCGAAATATGGCGGCGAGCCAAGTGTTCGTGTGCCCTCAGTGTAAATTTTCAAGGTTTCGGTACCCGTCAGTCCATCCACCTGGCGCCGGCGGCAGCTGGCTTGGTTTGCGTGCGTTTCTGGGCTACAAACGAATGTAGAAGGAGCTGGACTATGCGTCTCATCGTACTGTCATTCGCTGTCTGCTCGTGTTCAAGTGGGCGCTTCAGTGCCGTGGCGGAAAGAAGCTCGGCGGCCCCGGTGCTTGCACATATTAAGAGCAACCATGCACCTGGAGCTTCCCCGGAGGCGGCAGCAGCACTCTAAAACAACGGCCGGCCTCGATCCAAGCTGGACCGGAAGGGCAGCGAAAGGCTGGGCTGCGGTTCGTTCCCCACCCATCGGCGCGGCCACCAACATGGCGCCACAGGGAGAGAAGGGCAGAGGGCACCTGGCTGGGTAGTCAGCGAGCGCCTGAATGGGCAAGTCGGCCAACCCATCGCAATGCAGGGCATTGGGCAGGGCAGCGCACAGCCGCTGCGGGGACAGGAAACGGTCCGGCCGTGGGCAGGAATAAGGTTGCCGCACCAAGGTACCGCCTGGTACGGCAGCAGGAGCGTGCGGGCGGCTCTGCAGCGGCGCGAGCAAAGGGCGGCCGCAACAGCGCGCAGCTTGGGACGCGCGTGATGGCTGGGGGCCCTCGGCGCCCGAGCCGCAGGTACAAGGGGCATCGCCTCGCTCTTCACCACAACAACAACAGGGCAGGCTACAGCTGAGGACCGATGCGAGCGACTGGGGTCGGCGGAGCTGGCGGCCGGCGAATCGACCCCTCTATACGCATTACGTAATAGTTAACGTATAACAATCTGTTGCTCTCCCTTTTACTCACTCCGGCAACATCGAAATGCCGAACAAGGTAGCTCTTCGCCCACGCCCTCAGGCTCTCGCGCAACACGGCCTCTGATCACAGCCAGCAGGTCCGCCTCAACCCCGGGCACCACCCCAAGCGTTCCACCCCGCGGCGTCGAGCGAACCAGCATGCGCCGCCGCCGTACGGCACCGAGCCCTTCGTTTCCACGCAGGCACCGCCGATGCAAGCAGGAGTCTCGATGCCCGCCGCACATCCATACCAGCCCACCATGATGCCCGCCGCCCACTACCCTCCGCAGCCTCACCCTCCTCCAACCCACCCGGCCCATCCTCTTCACCAGCTGCAGACGCAGCCGTCGCACCATCCGCACGCCCCGCCGCCGCCCCAGCAGCAGCAGCCCCATCAGCCCCAGCAGCCCGACCCCGACGACCACCACGACCACCGCCGCCAGTCCCACCAGCAGCAGCAGCATCAGCATCCCAATGCCCCGCCCGACCTCGACATCCCCACCCCCCGCGAGGGCAGCACCTACGCCGACTTCGAGGCCCTGCGCTTCGCCGTCAACAGCTGGGCCCTGCGCGACAAGTTCCTGACGCGCATCCACAAGAAGGACCAGACGCGTGCCATCTACCAGTGCCGCCACTTCATGCAGGGCTGCCCGTGGAAGCTGCGCGCCACCATCAACAAGGACACGGGCGTGCTGACCGTCTCGTCGGTCGTCGCCAACCACACCTGCAGCCGCGACGTCTACGAGGATGCCGACGGCAAGCCCAAGTACGCCAAGCGCGGCGTCCAGCACACCCAGCGCTGGGTCAAGGACGTCATCCAGCGCGCCGGCTTCCATGTCACCCTCGAGACGGAGCCGCGTGCCATTGTCGACCTGATTCGCGAGCGCTTTGGCGAGGAGATCACCGACCGCCTCGCCGCCAAGTCGAAGCAGAGTCTTCTCGAGGCCCGCGGCGAGGCCATACCCCGCCGCCCCAGCCACAAGCAGCCTGGGCCCGGCCCCAACAACAATGACATGGCCGACCGCCAACGCGACATGCAGGTCGCCATGGAGGAGTCGAGGCGTGCCGATCGCATGGTGCGCGAGCAGCAGGCCGCCCAGCAGCAGCAGAGCGTGTCAATGCAGGCCGTGCAGCAGCAGCAGAACATGGTGGCCCATCAGCAGCAGCAGCAGCAGCACCAGCAGCAACAGCAGCAGCAACAACAACAACAACAACAACAGCAGCAGCAGCAAGCGCTGGCCTTTGATCTTAACGGGCACGACATGAACGGGGACCCGATGCCGCCCGCCCCTACGCAGAACCAGAACGAACGTCCCTTTGTTTTTGAGAGCGGTGTGCGCGTTATCGGGCCCGCGAGCCCGCCGCGCACGTCGCAGCGTCGCCAAACCATGCCTGCCACCACATCTCTCTCTGCTACTGACTACAACGCTTACAACACCTCAAACAACACCAATGGCTTTGGCAACATGGTCGGCAATGCCGGCCCTGGTCCGTCCGCCTCGACGGCTTCGAGTACCACCGGCCGGGCGTCTGCGCTGCCTGTGTCTCCAGCCATGGTCGAGCAACGGCCCTGCCCGAACTGCTCTGGCTCGGGCATGGTGCGCGCCAACGCGGTGAACAACAGGACTGGCGGCGGCAATGACGACGACAACGACGAACTGGCTCTGCTGCAAAAGCAGGTTGCGCTGATAGGAAAACAGATAGCGCTGATGCAACGGCGTCGCGCTAATGGTGCTGGTTGAACAGAAGCATCGGGTCAGGCAGGGAGCCCCGCTCCTGCACCCCTAACTCGTCTTACTTCTAGGTTCCACGGCGGCATAAATATCTCTCGATCCAGGTCGGGAACAGCATCGGCTTCAGGAATGTCCAGCGCCGTCCACAGAGGGCGGAGTGGACGGCGCTCGGCACAGTGCGCACACGCACCACGCGGGCAGGGTCACTCCACTGCAGGCCCGTCACTTTCTTTTTGTTTCCTTGTAATGCAGTGATGGCCACTTGGCTGCGGACCAAGTGGCCGATCCCCTTGTCAGATTTTTGTGGGCAGGAATGGAATGGAGGGCCGGAGGAAGATCCGGGATCAAACAAGCCTGCGCGCTCACGCACATACTTTTCAAACGCACACACACACGCCCCTTCGCCGTGGGAACCCAGATTACATCTTGTACGATATGGGGGGATTGGAAGACCCCGCTTTAATAAAGTAGGAGAGACAGTAAAAGAGCGAAAGTTACAGCCCACATCGCACAGCAGCATATCGCAAACGGCCGGTTCCGAGCACGCACGCATCCGCATACATCTGATGGATGCACAGAAATAAGGGCTGCGTTTTGTTTTTTGACCTTTGGTATGAGGACCCCACACGGCGCACACGGGCGAGAACGAGCTACGCGAAGACGACGCTACATTGTACGGCCCCTCTGTAACCAGTACCCCTTTGGCACAGCGAGAGCGACGACGCGAATTTGGTTTTTTTTTATACTTCCTTCTTTGAGCGAACTTTGAGCATCCGAACATTTTCTTCTTGCAACGACGACCAATCGACCGGTCCCATTGACCGTTTCTATCTCAATGTTACTCCCAGGAGCAGAAATCTCTCTCTTGTGTATCAAGAAAGCATGAACCGAACGTGTCTAAAACCTCTCCAATGCAGACAGACAGACCAATGCAACCTGGATCCGTCTTCCCCCCCCCCCC